CCAAACCCTTCCCTCGACCCTCGCTTGGCCCTCGCGTGGCGGCCACAGCCCGGCCATGACCTGTCAATGGGGGGGGGCAAGGTTTCTGCTTTATAGACCCCTGGGTACCTGCCCGTCCGTAATTCCGTAACGTAACCTTTTGCAAAACTAGGTTAAACTGGGTCGTCCCAGTCATGTGCGTGCAATGTTCCCACTGGTTCAATGATAAGAGAGAGAGAGAGAGTCTTGAAATGGTGTGCAAGGTATGTGCGTGGCGATATGCGAGTCGTGCGTGTCTAGATGTCGGGGCAGCGGAGATATACGAGTTGCGGTCGTGGAAAGGAGGCGAGGGGGAGGGTTGCGCGCCCGCGCGGGACGACAGGGTTACTGAATGGCTCCCCTAACGAGCAAGGAGGCTCGATCACGGTGTTTGTAACGCAGGTGCGGACGCGTGCGTGATGGTTTGGTTGACCGCGTCGGACAGATTATACAGTATATATGCTGGACAGTAGTTGGGAGGGACCTCAAAGCTGGGTGGTGCTGGCCTCGGTTACCTCGAGGTCGACGGTGCCGTCATCAAAGTGGTAGTCGGGCTCGCTGCTTGCGGCTTGCGTCTCGGCGTCGTCGCCATCCACCTCCACCTCGATCGGGGAAGCGTCGACCTCGAGTGGCGACGCATCGTCCTCGACATCGTCCTCCTCCTCAGCACCGCCGTCACCGCCACCGTCGCCCGCGGTCCCGTGCTTGGCCTCGTCATAGTGGAAATCCATGTCCACGCCATCCTCCGCCACCAGGCGCGCATACTCGAGGAACAGGCGGAACATGTACGCCTCGAGGTCGCGGAGCGGTACATTCGCTGGACGAAACACTGGCCGTTGCGCCCGAGCGCCTTTGCAGTCTCGTCAAACGCAAGGTCCGGGTAGCGTGGGGACCCGGCAAAGAAGGCCATAATGTCGGCCAGGTCGCCAAAGTCGAGTTTGGAGGGGATGTAGTGGAACCACGGGATGAGGTGCGGCTGGAACCATTCCGTAAACACGGCCGTCTTGATGACAACAGAGTTGGTGCCCATCAGACGCCTGAAACGGCCAGACCAGCCATTGCCGTCGACGTCAAAGAGGAACTTGTGCTGATACAGGTCGTGCGCCGTCTGGCGCGGGGCAAAGTCTACCTCGCGTCTGACATCGTCAGCTTGTTGTCGCGCGGACGTCGAAGCTCACCTAATGTCGTCACATGTGCCGTCCTCCTTTGAGCACTGAATAGCTTTACCAGAAAGCTTCATGTCAAAGAAGTACTCCGCCGCCTCGTCGGCAGGCACCTTTTCCACGCGATACCCCAGAGGTGGGGTTGTGTGGTACGCCAGCTCCTCCGCCTCGTATGTCTTGTCTGCACGGTCCTGGCCCATGTCCGGGGCCAGGTACTCCATGTTTGCGGTCGAGTGGTTGTTGGCAAACGCGTGCAGGCGGAAACGGGGAGAGGAGCGCCAGTCTACATCCTTGGTCATCATGGAGATACCTGTCGGCAGGCCACGCTGCGACTGTCAGTCAGAGTCCCGGGTGTTCAGCTCACCCATGCAAGACGCGGGTCCGTCTTGTCCTCCCATGCCGGGTCGCGCCTGACCTTGTCAAAGAACTGCTCTAATGGTGGCACCAGAATGTCAGAGCTGGACGAGTTAGCTCAAGTGCGGCGCAGGTGCCAACTCACTTGAGAGTTGTCTTGGCCAAACTGAACAGCGGCAACAGCTTTGTATGCGGCTTGGGCTCGCTTGCGGGTGTGTGCGGCTCAATGGTGATGCCGTGGATTGGGACGAGGTACGGGTCTGGGTGTAAGCTATAGCACGGAGTACGAGTCGGAGAGCTCACTCTGACAGAAATCACTCGACTTGAGCGAGTCGTAGATGAAAGACTTGCCCTCGGGACTGCTACCGTTGCGTAACCTCGAGTCGGAGGCACACGAGTTGGCAATGGTGATGCGCGACTGGTCGGGCTCGGACAGGTGGGTCGTGTCTAGCGTGGGTCAGCTAAGATTCAACAGAGGCTCGACCAACGCGCTGTACTCACGCTTGCCCTTCTCGCCCAACGCGACAAGCGCACTGTGCCGCTCCCATGCCATGTACACTTGCGGCTGGTCAAAGATGCTGAATGTGGCTTTGAGGTCTGGGAGGTGTTTGGCAAACGACTTGATGAGCCTGGAGACGCGTCAGTTAAAGATAAGGCTTTTCGAGATTCTCAACTAGACTCACTTTGACACGTCCCTCGCGCGTGACTTGGTGCCAGCCCACTTCAAGCCTCCGGGCTCGATATCCACGCCGACCTTGCCCCGTGCAATGTTGACGGTGAAGACGTGTTCCATTGCCTGGACCTCTTCCAGCCTCCTCTGTATCTCGTCCCGTGGCAGACCGAAAAAGGGGGCAATGTCGCGGTTGAGCCCGTCATACTCGTCGGGAGCACGAGGGTGTTCTTGATCGCAAACGCCCACCACTGGTCAAACCCGGCAGGCGGTGCGCGGCCGTACCGCCGTGTATACTCCTTGACGGCGGCGCGCAGCGTGCGGGACTGTCGTGACAGCAGCTCTTCCCAGCGCTTCTCGCCCAGCTGGAGAAGCTGCGGGATCGGGTGGTTGGCGCTCGCGGCAGGAGACACGAGGAGGTGGCCCGTCGAGCTGAACGTGTGGTGGGCGTGGCTATGTGGGCGCGAGGTGGCGTTGGTGCTTGCGGCAGGGTCGACGTTGGCGTTCCAGCCATACAGCTCTCTCAAGCGTGCGAGGTCGTGGTGATACGCTTCGACGGGACTGACGAATGCGCATTCCTCGACCTTGTCAAACGCGTGCCGGATATCGTAGATGCCGTCCGCGATGCGGTCCGAGAGGAAATGGATCACCAGGATGAGCAGGATCACGACAAACGCGAGAGAACGGCGCGGGCGCACGCGCGCCCAGTGTAATGCCGCTGCCAACCGAGATGGGGGCTGCCGCAACCTTGGGCCCGGGGAAGATGTCATGAGTGGAGATGAGGAAGGTGACGATGTCGGCGAGCGTCCGGCACCAGACCCAGAGCCAGCGCCGAAACGCAGCAGTGGGACATGGACGCCAGACACGGATGGCCGGGGGCCCTTTCGTTTGCCCTTGCCCAGACTCCCAAGGCCAAAGGGGAGTCGCTTCTCTTGAGCAGGACGGCGGTCGTCGTCGTCCATGTCGTTTGGGATCTGATCCCAATTCCGATCGCTCGAGGGCGAGCGGCCAGCCCCGCCTGAGGTGGACACAGGAGAGCTGGCGGCATGGCCATGTCCAGAGCTGGGACCAGCGCCGCTTACTGTGCTGTCGTGCGGCAACATCATCGAGCTGCTTGCGGTGCTGGCGGTGCGCGTGCGTGCGTGCACTCGGGACATGAGGGGGGGTCGCTAGGACTGCGGGAGGGGATAGGTTATGTTCTCCCCGGTTGCGTGATGCGGTTGTTGATTCGGCCTTGATGCGAGCAATATGTGTGATGCAGTGTGATGTTGTGTGTCGGGCAGTGATGTGCTGGTGCACTGTGCGTGCAGTGGTGTGTCTATGCGATGCAAGGAGTCTAGAGAGGATGGAAAGTGGATGAAAGAAAGGCCAGTACTTTGCTCTGTAGGTTGCCGGAGTGTGTGTCCACCCGTTGCACGCACCAAGACTGACCCCCCCTATAACCATAACCCACCCTGTGTGCCGACGACGGGATCTACCAGGCGCCGTCGCTTGCCGCGCCTGGCCCAGGCCCTGCCCATCACCGCTTTCAACCGGGGCCCTGTCCGCGTCCACTTCAATCTCTTCCAGCCGCGACTTGCTCCAACCACCTGGCACCTTGGCGGACTGGACTGGCCTGGCAACCCGGCAGCCAAGCAGAGACCAACGTGGTCGCGAGCTCGCGACGAGGCGCTCAATCCAATTCCATAAGCCCACAACTCTATTTCATGGGCGGTGCGGGCCACCCGTGCCCAAGTCTGGCCTCTGGACCCCCTTTCATTTTGATCAGTTGCGATCAGTTGCCGAACGCTCATAATAGCACCCACAAAAATGTGGAACTGTATCAGACGCCAGCATGTGTGTCCACGGTGTCGCTGCTGTGTGAACGTGTGTCCACACAGAAAGAGATACACTGGGTGAGTCGTGCCAAGGCATAGATAGCTAGAAGCTAGGCCGCTAGACAAAAAGCGTGCCCCAAGGGCCAGAGATGCAGCTAGCCACCTGCCACCTGGCTCTAACTGCGTTTTCCGATGTGCAAGAGCTCCGTCGGCACGGCATGATCCGACAAAGAGTGACCGCTCAAAGTAAGATTTCACTTTCGTCTCTGGGGTGCTCCAGTCACGCCTGGGTGCGTGATCGGTGTTGCTGTGGGTTCTGGGCCTGCTGTACTGGCCCTGGAGTCGGTTCCAATGCATTCCAACGCGTCGGACATTGGAGAGCCTGGGCCAAAGCTATTCAAGGCGCCAAGGAATGCGAAATGAACAGCGTTCAAGAGATCAATAGAGATCCACGTCTAACAAGCTACTGTGCCTCCGTCCTCTCTCGCTCATGAAGCCCACGCGCCTATAGGGCACGCACGCCACTCGTCCACCTTCGCCCACCCCTTGACCACATGGCCGTCGTCGTCCTGGCCCTCGCCCGCCCGCGCGGCCGCGCCTGTGGGCCTCTGGGCAAGCATTTTGTCCAGGGAGCGGAGGTTGGCCTCCATGCTGGCCACTTTGGCGTCGACGTCCACCTCTTCCTCGAGCGCAGACGTGCCCGTGCCAATCTCGACCTCGAGGCCCTCGAGCTCCATCTCCTCGTCGCTGTCGTCGGCGCCTGCGGTGTCGTTGCTGCGCTCGAGGAGCTCGTCCATCTCGGCCAAGGCGGGTCCCTCGTCAGACGTGGCAGCGAGGATACCGTAAATCCTGCGCAAGCTGGGGTTTGGCAATGTCAGCTGGGGACAGGACATCTTTCAGCTGCACTCACACATCATCCTCGTGCACCAGCTCGCGCGCCAGACGGCGGAGCACGCCGACGCGCTCGTCGGCAGGCACACTCAACTCGCCGGCGGCGTCGGCCTCCCACAGCCAGCGGAGCCACACGCCCAGCGCCCAGCGGTAGCTCGCGAGCTCCTTGCGCGCGTCCTCGGCCGCGTCGGCGTCCATCCCATGCGCGGGCGGCTGGAAGCGGGGCGCAGTGTCGACGATGACGCCGACGACCGTTTGGGAGAGGACCGACGCGATCGAGGCCGTGGGGTGGGTTGCAGCGAGGTGCATGAGGAGCGGGCCCCATACCAGCAGGGCTTCCTGCGACGGAGCCGTGTCCCTTTTGCTTGGACGCTTCCTGTTCAGGTGCGTCAGCCAACCACGTTCTATTAGCCACACCTGAGATAGGTGTGTGTGTGTGCTCTACCCACTTGCGTCCGACGGGCACGAGTCCAACGCGGACCACGGCCTCGATGATCTCCGCGGGGTCCTCGTTCTCAACCTCGCGCTTGAGGCGGCTGACCGCGTGGCCACTGGCCGATTCGGCCGTGACGTCGCGCGCACGCACGCGGGCCTTGCACGTCTTCTTCCAGCGGGTCACGAGCGCCTCGGCACGCGCGCGCTTGTCCCACCCCACGCCGGCCGAGCTGGACGCCAGCAGCGGCAGGAACGAGTTGCGGTGGACATAGTCTGTGGCTTGCTCGAGGGCGCGGCGGAGGAGCGAGAGCGGCGGCAGGTCCTCGTGCGTCGCGCGGTGACGGAGGGTCACGAGCGAGGCGGGAAGGCCGAGGGTGGCGGCCAGGTGGGAGATGGGGCGGGCGTGCAGGCCCGTCTGGAGGGGGTCGACCATGCCGTTGACGAAGCGGACGACAGCCATGGCGTAGGTCATGCGCGCGACGTTGGCTTCCTGTGCCGAGGTAGGCGGGTAGGGGAGAAGCAACGCGCCAACTAGGGCATGCAACAGGTGCAGAAAGGCGGGGCATGAAGGTGAGGCAATGTAGACGCTCATCTGGACATTGTCAGCTGCGTTTTCCCGGACACAGGAGCCAGCTTACCCTCGACATGGCCGCCTCGCGCGACTGCGTAGAGGCACCCGGGAGGAAGATGAGGTCGTAGAGCTCGGCGAGCTCGGCATTGGATGCCCAGGGGACGCGGCGGGGTGCGCGCATGGTGTATTGAGCTGTGATGGGTGCTAACGACAAGAGTTCAAGTGGAGGAAGGCAACAATATCTTGGGCCAAAACCAAAATTCCAGGTGTGCGTGCCTGAGAGAGCCTTCTATTTAGTTTGATTCAAATAAACCCCCACGTGAAATTGGTTCCGCTAATGAGAATTGGTAATACATATTTGTAGTGACTGTATGTGGTTGTGTGGTGGCAAAACGGCACGCGCACTCCAGGTGCACGATCAGATGGCATGATCCTTTCGCCGCTGACATGCCCTTGCTAGAACCTGCGCGGGACAGTCTCGAGCGGGAAGGAGATCTTGACGCCGGCCTTGTTGGCTGCCTGCTTACCCCACCCAAACGCGCCACCCAGCTTGGAGCCTGGCACAAAGGTGTCGTCGCTGCCAGCCGGGCGGCTGCGGCTGTATCCGGCGCCGGCCTCGACGTCGGTCGGCTGGGACGAGTACATCGAGCTGGGACTGGGACTGGGGCCGCCAGCCTTGCGCTCCTTGTATCCATTGAATGCCTCGTGCATGGTCGAGACAACAGCGACGCCGGCCTTGGTCTGTGGCGTGAGGTTTGCGTAGTTTTCCCAGCTAAAGAGGCTGCGAGTCGCCTTGGCCTTTTGGCGGAGGAAGATGCCGGCCAGCATGTTGAACACGCCGAGGATGAAGAGCAGCCACGACGAGACTTGCGGGAATAGAGTGCACGAGTGGCTCAGCACCGAGCATGCGATAAGGGCTTGGAGGACGCCGAGGGTGCCCAGGCCATAGTCTGGGCCGAGCATGGGCACGAATTCGGAGAAGAGGCGCTTAGGCCAGCCAACCTCGGAAAGGATCAGGAGGATGGCCTCGAGCACTAGTTGGTCAGTACAGTGACATTGTGCGGGGGAGAGACGAACGGATGAAGACGCGGTTCAGGATAGACCAGAACTCGCCACCAGCCTGGGAGGGGACAGTGGAGTCCTTGACATAGTCGCAGTATGCCTGGTCGAGCGAGGCGTTGGCGTTCGAGGCAAAGACAAGGCCAAGGGAGGAGGCAGGGATCGTGATGTTGCGCTGAGTGATAGAGCGGGCGACCTGAGTAGTGTTCTTGGCCTCGGCACTGCTGCTGGTGGCGGCTGCCACGGTCGTGGTTTGGGTCGCGCTAGCAACCACCGTCGAGGCTAGCGTTGACGTGGGAACAGCCGAGCTCGAAGGGAGGACGACGAACTGTGGGACTGAGCCTTGACGGCCTTTGCGTCGCTGGCAATAGTGGTAACGTTGGCCACAAAGACGAGGAGCAGAACGATGATACTCAGCGCACGCAGCACGTTGAGTCCGATGAACACTGGTCCCGAAGGACGCTCGGTAAAGTGGGAGAGGGGGTCACGGGTCTTGCCCATTGTAAGAGCTGGTGGAGGAGAGGGAGAGAAGGAGTTAGGTAGTTAGTTGAGTGGGTCAAGTCGGGTCGGACAGCAGGTCGGTGGCGACCAAGCGAGTCTGGTCATATACGAGCTGAACGGTCGACTCGTGCTGCAGCATCATGCTCAAGGTCTATTGTCTGTTGCGCCAGGGGATCGTCGTCTGCAGAGGTTTAGAACATGAAACGTGAGCTGAAAAGTGTCAAGGAAGCACAAGTTGCAAGTGGTGATGGGCGTGATAGGGGGGATCTGAGTGATGGAGGTGAAGCTTTTGATTGTTGGTGGGTGGAACGTGGAACACAAAAAGGACGAAACAGAAGACGAGTTCGTGAGCATGTTGTGTGGCTAGTGCCAGATGCCAGACGGATCGGACGGACTGTGGTGCCACAACCACCCGCGCCATGCAGTGTCTCATCCTATGCACCCATGCACGGCCACAGCCTTTTACACTAGTTCCATTTGTTGCATGAAAAGAATCGAGCGCCAAGCATTGAACAAGACCATCTACCCAGTCCTGCGAGACCATTGCATGTCTAGTGCATCATAGTGTCTTTCTGGGCGCTGCGCATTGGGGGACAGCTGTGCGCGTCCAGGCCCGCAGACGTTTGCCCAAACCTTACAGCGACGCGTTGGCGCGTTGGACGCGTCCACCCGACCCTTGATGTGGACCAGGACAGCACAGCATACAGCATACACAGAGCTCGCGAGCTCACGAGTTTAGCATGCAGTGGCCAGAGTGGACATGTGCTCATTTGCTTTGCCGTACAGTTTTCGGACGGAACAGGGTGAGTTTACGAGAATGACCCGGATGGACCGGCCCAGTTACGTCCGGAAGATGGAACACATGTGGGTAGAGAGTGTCAGAAAGAGCGCGTTTCGAGAGCACAGAGTGTCTGTCGCTGTCGTGCGCGCGTCCAAGACACCGGTACGCGCCGGGCCAGGTCCCAACAGAGGCGTCCACGACGTTGCGCACGGCAGAGGGTCTGTGGTGACCTTGTCAGAGGAATGTGCCACCGCCTCGCCCGCGGACCGGGAAGCCAGCAGGGTTGCAACACAGGGAGCAGAGGCATGCAGACGCAGGGAGCAAGTGAGCACGCCGGCAGGGAGAGCAGCCCGTAAGAGAGGTTTGGGCGGCCCACAAGGTGCAAAAGGTGCGACATGACCACCCCCACCCACCCAAAAGGAGCAACGACGACCACTTTTGTGATTGTCCTGGACAGTGGGCTTGTGCACACTTTGACGCTAGGGAATGGGGTGGGATGGGGGATGCCCTCGTCTCTTTCTCTCTCTTGCACTCTTGCACACACACTCACTCACTCTCACTCTCTCTATCGTGTTCTGTTTCTCCTCTGGCTAGGCTAGACACAACAACAACAACAACCACCTCGTCGTCACACGCACGCCGACTCGCACACACCCGCGCGCGGAACCCGTCCAACCCCCCCCCCCCCCCCCCCCCCCCCCGGTCTCCCCGTGGCTGCACCTCCAACACACTCCTTGCTTCGAGCGCACTGACCGTCTACCCCCCGACGGTTCCTTGTCCTTGTCCTTGCTCGCTCCCTACCTTTCTACCGCCAGCCTCCTCGTCGCTTCCTAAACACACACAACACACATCTGTGTCGTTGATCTTGGTCTCGACTTGCAACGACTTGGCATCACCACCACCCACACACTCCTTTAGTCTCTCTCCGAAACTCGCCCCCATCACTGCGAACACTCGCAATGCGTCTCGCCTACCTCGTCCTCCCGCTCATGGCGGGTGCGGCAGTGGCCCAGCACGGCCCGCAGTCCAACAACCACAGGCGACACCACGGCAAGCTTGTTGCACGCCAGGACAACAGCACCGCGGCCGAAGACACGGTCTCGGCTGCTGCCGAGGTGGTGTCTTCGACGTCTACAGCTGTCGTTACCTCGTCGCCTGTCCAGAACGCCGTTACCACGACGTCTGACGCAGGCGGTACTACGACCCAGCGCGCCGGTGTCACGTCAAAGAGCACACCTGCTGCCGTGTCGTCGACTGATGACGTTGTTGCGGCTGCGTCTAGCAGCAGCAGCAGCTCCAGTTCCAGCTCCAGCCAGGTCGTTGCCGCCGTCACAGAGTCTACTACGTCAGCCCTCACGACTTCAAGTGGTAAGTTGTTGCTCCACACGCACGTCCCCTCTGACTCTTGAAGCTGTTGTCGCCACGACCTCTTCGGTTGTTGCGTCAACCACAGCCGCCGCGGTGACTACGGATGTCGGAACAACTGCCACAGCGTCTGCACTTACATCGTCTGTGTCACACACGTCGAGCATCAAGGCGACAACCGTGACCTCGACCAAGACGTCTGCTTCAGCCACGTCCGCAGCTGCAGACAGCTCGTCGTCGTCGACCGGTATCGCCAAGAAGGCTCTGATTGCGATCATCGTTGTGGCCTCGGTTGTCGGTGCCGCTGCCATCGGCTGGACCTTGTTCCGCAAGTGGAAGCTCCGCCCCTCAAACCGCTTCGACTCGCGTATGCAGCCCATCGACTTTTCGCCCAACGGCGGCGACATGCACGACGACTTTATCGAAAAGACCCTCCAGCGTTCGGCGTCTGTCACGTCGGCCGACCGCCAGCGCCAGGAGTTTGTCGCCGACCTCGAGCACGACCACAACAGCCTCACCCACGGTATCCCCGAGCACGACTTTACGGCCGGTACCGCCGCTGGCGCCGTCACGTACGGCCACTATGACCCGGACCCGTACGAGCATGACCCGTACTCGCGTTCCCCTGGTGCCTACGACTTTTCAAACCCCACGGGCGGCGACTACGACTACCCGGCTGCCCCCGAGGCCGCCGCTGCTGGTTACCCGTCCCAGCACCAGCAGCACCTCGAGCAGCAGCAGTACTACAGCCAGGACTACCCGACGCAGGACTCGGGCCACCACGGCCACGACGACGGCTATGCCAACCTCCAGCGCGGCCCTTCGGTCAACGCGGGTGACTTTAGCGCCCCGCCCGTCAGCAGCAGGCCATTCGACCCCCTCGCCGGATCAGATTTCGCAGTGGGAGCAGGCGGCCGTCCCACTGGCGGCCAGCACGGCGCTGAGGGCCCCTACGCTCAGGCTGCCACTTACAGGTACTAGGGTGGTACTCTAATCGCTGGCTCGATTGGACGTCCCAGCCTAACTCTCGCCTGTCTCTCCAACTTCCCCACCACCCACCATTTGCCTGCTTCTCGACGACACTTCCCCACGACACCCACCCACGCGCCCTTCTTTCTCTCTCCCCCCACCCCTCTGTGAGAAAACAGGCCAGACGGAGCCTTCCCCCCGCTCCCGTTCTATCCCCTCTCTCCCCTTACAATAGGCCTCTATTACTTCGGTCTTATAAGGCGCCTTGTACCCACGGACTCTACCCGATAGTTTACGCAGGTGAGCTCCCGCGGCTCACTGTATGCATGTTGCGACGAAAACCAAGACGGCTGAGCAGCAGCAACGAGTGTGGCTGAGTGCCACATTGGTCCACCGAGCCGGGCAATGACACTGCGGTGCAACTGGACTGTTTGCGTTCAGAGGCGTAGTCCAGGGAGTTGAACTTGTGCCACAACTGGAAACTGGAAACTGGCGCGCTGGCTACAGCATCTCTGGCTGCGACCACACAGGGCACACAGCGGGCCATCCAGATCCAGCACGGGCCAAGGGGCGAGACCCACTCCGGGGCGTTGTTCTTTTCCCTCGTCGCCGCTTCCGTATCGCTCGCTCCCTTCGTGCCCGGCTGCGCTGGCGCTGCGAGCGACTCAATGCTGTATATCTGTGTACAATGAATAGCAGGAAGCGGTACACCTCGCAGAGTATCCTAGCATCCTGGACGGCTGCGTTGGTTGATTGCACCCATAGGAAGGTCTGCAGCTCTGCGGTCTGCGGCACTTGCCGCCTGAGCTCCTTGGGCCTGTGCCACATCCCGACCATAGGCCCCGACCAAGCACACGTCTCCGTGCAGCACACTCTGCGCACCAGCGGGCCGTCCGAGAAACTGCTGGCAGTCGAGGTACCCGACCACCGCTTCATTGCTGGGGACCTGGGGTGCCCAATTGCCCATATCGGCTCGGGCTGGGTGTGGCTTGTGCGCGGCGCGGGCGCGGCACCCAGACGACGCCCAATGAGGCGCGTATGGCGGGGCGCTTCGGGACGGACGGCGCGTGTCGCCGTGTGGTGGTGGCCATGGTGGGTGGCGACGTGCACGACCCGGGCCGAGAGCACATGAAGGATGGGCGAACCCCCCACTGCACGCTCACAAGTGTTTCCACGCCTCACCAATGTCCTGGTACCACAAATGCCTGTATACATGCAACCACTGATGCTACGCTACAAAAATAAACATAAAACTACCTTTCTTCCTTCCTTGCCTTTATACATGATAATTCGTTTTGCTTCGTTCGTTCGTTCAAGTACCCGCGTCCGCCGCGAGCCTTGGAGGCAGGACTTTGCCGATGATAATGCAGCTCTTGAGCCACGCCACGTTGCCGAGTTTGGACCTGTCACAGCCCTTGGGAGGGCTGACGTCGCGGTCGTCCATCACGACAATGTCGTACGCGCTCGTGTCCTTGGGGAAGATTGGGGAGCGGCGGAGTGTTGCGCCGAGGGAGAGGAGACAGAAGGGGACGAGGACCTGGGTGGGTTAGAGACATTGCTGCGACGCACGAATACCCACGTTGACAGTCTCGCGCGCCTTGTACTTTGGACGAGGCTCGACAAAGAGCACCTCGTATCCCTTGAGGGGCAGACGGGCGCGCCCGGCCTCTGGACGCCAGGATGGTTCGCCCCAGTTGAGGTCTACGCGCTGGCTGGCGTGCTCTCCAAGGTACTTGGAGAATCCGGGCGAGACGAGGTACGAGCGCCAGTCGGTGGTTGGGTCGTCGATGGCGTCCTGGATATAGGACGGGGAAATGATGGGGATATCGTTCGACAACGCAGCGAGCACCTTGGGCGTCGTGACTATGGGGTGGTCGCCAGAGATCAAGAAGGGTGGGTACCTCGCCGTGAGTAAAGGGGGTCGGTCGTCGCGAATGTCGAACAGGGCCTCCCACGTGTCCTCAAAAGTTCCACCGTTCTTCTCGATTTGTTTCTTGAGCAAATCTTTTGAAGCCTGGCCGTCGTTCTTGCTCGAAGTGGTGATGAAGAAAATCACGCTGTCAAACACCTTGCCGGGGCGGGACATGGACTGGGCACGGACAGGGAGCGGGAAGCGCATCTCTAATTGGTGGACAGGGATGACACGGTCCTCAAAGTGAGAGGTAATCTCAGCAGGCAGAACAATGACCTTCTTGCTGGGGATCACTTTGGTCGCCGAGCTGCGCGAACGCAGTACCTGAATGTCGCCCGCGCCATCCCAGTCGGCAGCCACCGTGAAGAACTCGAGCGGCTGGGGTACGTCACCCACCACTTCGCCGACCTTGAGACGGAGGTAGCGGAGTTGATCGGCTGGGACCACAGCAGTGTGCCCGTCGTCAAACCTGACGCGGTAGCCAGTGACTGTGCGGTCTGTGACCGTGCCGGCGTACCACTCGTCCAACTTGGACCACACAGCGAGCACACGAAGGGGACCCGTGTTCGAGGACGAGGCTTCAGATGCGACGCTCACATCTGCCACACTCTGCAGTGAATGGGACCTCGTGCGGCGGATGCTCGGCGCCGGGGACTTGGGCGTCGACTTGGCGCGGGCGGCCGACACGCCGCGCTTGGCTGCAGAACGTGGGGCTGGGTTCTTCTTCGCCTTCTTGGCCGCAGGAGCAGGAGCCTCGGGGGTCTGCTTCTTCACGGCAACCTTCTTGGACGGGTGGTAGGAAAAGTCCTCGTTGTCCTCCGGCGCCGAGCCGCTGCTGGGACCCGAAAGCTCCGGGGAAGGCGACATGGCCTTGCGTTTGCCCCGGTCTGCGCGAGTTGAGCGCGTTGTGGGCGTGCTGGAAGGGGCAGCCTTTCCGGTGGTGCGCAGCTTGGCAACCTTCTTTGGCTTGGGGGCGCTGGCGCCCAGCTTGGTGACCTTTGTTGGCTTGGTTGGAACTGGCTTTGAAGCGACAGCAAGAAACGATTCCTCAACGACACCACCGAAAGGGACATCGGGCACAGTCTCGGGCGTCTCAAACGTGTGGTCCGCGGGATCGTCCGCGTCCGAGCTGCTACTGCTGCTCGACGGCGGAGGCGAAGAGGACGGCTGACGGGTGATCTTGGTCCGCTTGGCCGGACTCTTGCCGGATGTCTTGGGGCTCAGACCATGCTTCGTGACTCGGCGAGATGGACCCGCACGCTCGAGAGTCTCTTCCTCAATCTCGTGCATGCCAGCCTCCTTGGGGTCGAGTAATACCGCCGGTGCCGCAGATGTCTCGGAGTTCGGCTCGTTCTGGGAAGACCCCCAGTCGTGGCGTGAGCCCACGGCAACCGAGACAGTCGTGAAACCCATGCCAGGGGGTTCACCCTCGGCAACACTTCCAGACAAGATTGGAGCCAGGTCGGAGGCCTTTGGGTGGATGGGAGGGTCGACATAGGTCTCTACGCCGAGAGGCGGTGAGTCGGCCTTCGGAAAAACAACCTGGGCACTGCCGTTGGAGGAGACAGTGGTGGTAGGGCGACGCCTGAGCATACGACTCTCGGGGACAAGCCTCGTGGAGTTGGTACGGGATGTCACGGTCGAGCGCGGTGGAACAGGAGGAGTCGCGACTTGAACTTGAGTAGCAGCAAAGTCGAGCTGGGTTGCAGACTCTTCGGTTCGCTGGGACACACCATCGTGGTTGCTCATCAGGCTCTCGCTAAAGAGGTTCCCAGGCTCTTCGGATGCATCTCGAGAGCTTGCCAACTCTGCAAAGCCCTTCCTGATGGGCGAGGAGGAGTCTTCCTGAGAACCATGGCCGTTCAGTTGGGTGTCCGAGGGTTCGGCATCAACCGGTGTCCTGCGTTGACGCCCTTCAAGTGGAGAACTGGGGGGGTCTGGCATCACGATGTCGGAAGGTACCGCATTGTCCGAGGCCTCACGGGGAGAAACATACGTGTCGCCGGGAGGTTGGAACGTCTTGAAGGGCACAGCCTTGTCCGAAGCTGCGTGGGGAGAAATATAGGTGTCGCTGGGCTGGTTGACCTGCTTAGGCGAAATGTAGGTATCGTTGGGGGGTTGATATGACCTAAGGGGCGCCGTCGTGTCCGAAGCTGCACGGGGAGAAATGTAGGTATCGTTGGGGGGCCGGAACGACCTAAGAGGTGCCGACGTATTCGAGGCTGTGCGGGGCGAAATGTACGTGTCATTGGGGGGCTGGTACGTCTTGTTGGGTGTTGGCTGCTGGTGCGACTTGGGAGAAACGTAGGTATCGTTGGGCAGTTGGAACGGCGTAAAGGGTCCCGTCCTCTCCGAAGCTGCGCCGGGAGAAATGTACGTGTCATTAGGCGGCTGGAAGCTCTTGTCGGGTGTCTTCATGCCCAGTGGAGACACATAAGTCCTTTCCAACTGGGACGGGAGCATGGGGGGAGTGCTAGGAGGGTATGGAGCTTGGTCATCGCTGGGGGTCGGGCCGGCAGGAGGGGGGTTCAGCTGACTGGAGCGCGTCGAGGCCTCGGTCGCGGGAGACTCCGAGTCCTGGGTGTCTTCGTTCACCACCTGCCGCTTGGTCGCGAGCATCGACGACAGCCTGTCATACGGACGAGCGGGAGGCGGCTTGTCCATACCCTTGGCAAAATCGTCGTCAGAGTCAGAGTCTGGACGACTGTCAACCCTGGTCCTGGACGGATGACGGGGCCTAAACAGGGAAGAGGACTCGTTGCGGGTCATCGCGGCGGTGACCATGTGCTTGCTTGGCGACTGAACCGCTGAACGCCCGTAACCAAATGGAGCAGACTTCTTCTTGGGCGTGATGTGGGCCGCGTGCTTGGTGGGCGAGATGAAAGCCAAGCGGGTGGGCGACAATCCTGGTAGGCCTGGCGGGGCCGGTGGTGCGTGGTCTGTTAAAGGGCGCATCGGGGAGCCTTCGGCATTGGCGGGGGTGTGCGCGTTGGGTGTGTGAGTCGAGGGCGGCGCGCGAGCTGGGATTGTCCGAGTGCGGGGCGGAGGGGTGGGTGACCTGGGAGGAGTCTCCACGCGGTCTCCATCCTCTTCATCCTCAGCACCCAGTGTCGCCTTCTTTGGCTCTGGTAAAGATGGTTGAGACTCCAACTCATCCACGTCTTCCGGTGTAGAAACGTGGTCGTCGTCGCTGGGAACGGGCTGGGGGGCAGTTGGTAGGTCTGTGTTCCACGTTGGTGAGCGGCGTTTGGGATGTATTTCTTGGGCGTGAGAGTCGGCCTCGGGCGACTCTTCTGGCGCCTTGGACAGCTGCTGCACTCGTCCTTCCTCCACGGCCAACACTTCACCACCAGCCACGCGGAGGCCTTCGTCCACTGGGCGTGTCTGCGCGTGGGAAGGGTGGCGGGTGAGTCCCTTTGGGTCGCTGAAGAGGATTTCGTGCGACTCGTCAGATTCTGACTCTTGATGGAAACCAGGTTGGCTGCTCGCGTGCGGACCGCGGCTCGAGGACGCGGCGGGTGTAGCCAAACGGGGTTCAGAGTCGAAGTGGCGGTTGATGTCGTCCAGCTCTTGGGATAAGGCGGATGGACGCTGCGAAACAAGCGCAGTAGGAGGGGGAGGTTGCAGTGACTCGTCCTCGAGCATGGTATTTGGAGTCGTTGAGGCTCGGGGTCGCGAAACAGGTGCTCGCGACAGTCTGTTGGTGGGTGAGTGAATGGAAAGGAAGCAAAGATGTACGGTACGCACCCTATCCTGCGGACACCACTGGAGGAAGGCAAACTGAGAAAGGGGGTGTCAGTGAGAGAGACAAGGAGAAGGTCGAATGTGTTCGCACCTCATGGACTGCGAGTGGCGACGACTGTGAGGGACATGGAGTGATACGTCGTGCGAGACGGACGGGGGGGCGGATTGTTATGGCGCACCTGTGTACCTGTGTGGAGGTGGTCATGACTGGACTCACACCCCCACGCGCCAGGCACGCTCATATCCACATCGAAAACAACAATCCATGTCACAATGACACGTAATTGTGCATAAGGGTAATTTATTAGCAGAACCTAATCGAACCGCGGCCTTAATGAAAGCTAATGGACCCATCTTTACACCTTCCTTGCATACATGCACAAACATTACATACTTCGCCTCACACGCGCAACCTACGTACACAATACACTTTACTACATGCTACATATGCCACATCTTCTCACCACGGGCTGAATTCGACTTCTGGCCGCAAAAACTGCCTTACCACCACACAATTTTGGAGTCATTTGAAGTCCGCAAGTTTGCCAGACAGGCGCACAACACGGGGGCCGTGTAGTTCAAGTATGACGGATACGCTTTAGGCCGAGCTGTCACGACGAGCACGCGCTTCCCCCTCGAAAGGTCGGTTCTGGTACGTAGTGTCTTCAAGTCGTCAACCAGGGCGGCCCCACTGGGGGTCAATCCGCCACTGGGTGTGCCGTATGCTTGAAGGTACTTGGAGTGTCCATGTGAAATGACGAAAGGTGCCCAATCCGTCGTGGGGTCCTGAACAGCCAGCTTAATATACCTGCTCAAGATGACAGGAATGCCACTGTTGAAGGCGGCGAGGCGAACATGGAGCTGCAGGTCACACCTGATCCGTTTACAACGGGGTCAGACCCCGGCATATGCGCGGCGGACCGTCGTCGGGGACGTCGAAGAGCAGGTGCCAGTCTCGCTCGCTCCGCCACGCCACCATTTTTTTCGATAAGAATACGAGTTCGTTGGCGTTGTGGACGTCGTTGGACACGAGGAATATTTTCGTTTGAAATATATTGCCCTCCATCGTCTGGTAACAGGAAGGCGGGTAGTGGGTGACCAAGACCTGCGCCGAGATCTGGCGGTTGTCGAAGCTTCTGTTGACGACCTCGTCCGAGATGGTCAACTGGGCGACGGGGATCAACATTGGAATCGATCCCGTCCATGTCTCGACCACTTGGTAGTGCCTACATGGCCTCTCGGTGTGGACAACCTCGTCACCGAATTCCAGACGCTGGAATCGTAGGTTTGTTTGTTGTATGTCGTGATGGCCTTCGAAATAGCTGAACTTGGCAGCTTATGTAATGTCCACACCTTGGCCTTGGCGGTAGGTGATCACGCCCACGACCCATTCTCCGAGTAGGTGATGCCGTGCGAACACTGGTATCGGCTTGTTGGGGTTAACATACTGTACCACAGAGGGCTGGGCCAGTATGTTGCGCTGGTTGCGAACGAACCGAGGAGGAGTTTCGCGTTGGGCACGATGCTTCGTGAGTGGCTTCGCCTGCAACTCCGGTGGGGTCTCCGGCTCTGGAAGGACGTGGCGCTTCCTCTTCGGAGCATGTGTAGCCTTTAAACTGGGAGAATGGGCGTCGTCCGTTGGTAGGGTCGGTGCGGTGCAGACGGTTGCTCCCAAGGCCGCGAGGTAGAAAGGTGCTGTGCCCTTCATGTACGGAGATTCTTTCTTGTTGGCGGTGGTGGTGATGACCAGCACCTTCTTGTCGGCGAATGGCAGTGACTCCTCGATCGCTTTCTCGGGAAGCCAAGTTGGGCTGCCCCAGTTGCGGTCGACCCACCACTGGGTGCCAAATTGGGCCAGAAACGTCGAGTAACCTGTCGAAGCGAGGTATCGCCACCAGTCGGTGGTGGCATCGGCAATATGGTCGTCAATGTACGTCTTTGACAGGACTGGTACACCGCATGCAAATCCGAAGAGCATGCCCTCGCACAGCACGGGAATCCTTTTGCTTGAGATAATCATGAAGTACGACCGGCGCTGAGGCGCGGCTTGCCCTCGTGTTGCTCATCAAAAAGTAAGCGCCGATTGGTCTCCACCACACCGCCGTGGTCCTCAATCTTCCTCTCCAGCTGGTCGAAATCATGCTCTTGAGGCGATACGAGGATGACGAGGCCGGCAAATGCATTACCCATTTCGAACGAGCAGGGGCTGCAGCGGTCCACCGGGAACCGGTCGGCCAAGATGTGGTGGGGGATGAGACGCTTGTTCAGGCGCTCAGCAGCGAGGTCGTCAAGATAGAATTCGTGTGGTTGCAACAGGAGCGTTTGTGGCCTCCTCTCCATGACCACCGCCACGCCCCTCTGTCGATCCCAAGCGGATGACAATGTCGCCGGGGAGCAGCTGGCAGGCCCGCAGGTGGTATGCAGGGACGACGTACCGTTGCGATGAGTCATGGAACTCGACCGCGAAGGTGGGCGACGTGCCACCCTTCAGCCGACCGTAGGCGGTCGCCGCTCGCCATTGACTACGGCTGTTCTGCCGCGCGAATGCGGTCATGGGCCTGGAACCGATGGGTCCAAACAGCGGGGCGATGTCATCGGCGCGTGGTCCCATGAACGTTCTGTTCTTGCGCGGGACGCCCAACGTTTCGAAACGTCCCAGCTGTCGCCACTGGAGTGCTCCTCCAAGATCCTGCCCGCCTTGCGCTTTCCCAGGACAGAGACAGGCGGAGTCGTTATTATAGTGGTTGGGCGGCGCTCAGGTGGGGGAGGGGGGTAAACGTACGTAGCCACCGGCCCTGGGTGAGTGGTTGGGCGGCTTGCCTGGTAGGGGGCGAAAGGCGAAATGTACGGGGACTCCGGTCCAGGAGGAGTCGTTCTGATCGTCTTTGCAGTTTTGCTCAGCTCGAGGGCCTCAGTCAAAAGCTCAAGTGGACGCTTCGGAGGAGGACCACTGTCTGGGGCCGGGGGGGGGGGGGGGGGGGGGGGGGGCCGGGCTGTCGTCGCGTTGCGAGTGCGTCTCGGGACGCGAATCGGGCGCAGGAGGATTTGGAGGGGTCTCGTCGAGCGCATCCAGTTGATCGAGCTCATCTACCTCGCTCTCCTCTTGAATCAAGGATGGCACCGATGGCGAGCGAGTGGGCAATAATGGCAGGGTGACCCATGTCGGGGAGCGGCGTTGGAGGGATTGGCGGGGTTGGTTGGCGGGGTTGAGAGAGGGCCTGCTGCGATACGTCTGGGCCAAGGGAGTTGGCGCGCTCCTGTACATCGCTCCCGAGGCCTCCGAGAGACTCGACCAGTTGCACCTCCAATTCTGGACGGGGTGTTGGTTCGGTGCTGGCGGGGGGGCCGTGGCTCGACGAGATGCCCGTCATAGTTCAACGTGGCTTCGTCAACGTGAGGAGGATGGAAATGGAGCACGAGGGGTGAGGTCGCGGCACTAGTAGCGAGACGCTGTTAGTCATGTAAGCAAAGTGGAAGAAAGGGTTGCCGTGTGTGGGGACGATGCATGTACAGTTCTAGGGACAGCGCGGATGACTTGGACTGGGTGGCACTAAGCTGGTACGTTGGGTGTGGTCGCAGCAAGGCTGTGTCATGGAACTGGGATACGTTAGTGATGCTCAACTGAGGCAAGCGTGAATCCAACTCGCGGTTAAGAGGAGGCAAAATATTATGAGGCTTCCTGGCCTCTCCTGGACGGTCTGGATGCTCGAGTGGACGACACGGAGGAGAGGAGAAGGAATGGTCAGACATTTGTTGTTGTTGGGTGGAGGTGGAGATGACTGGACTGCCAGGCCCCGAAGGCACACGGGATCAAAAACACGTGGGCCCAAGAATTCCAAGACGCGAGCAACGGCGCTGCAACAAGTAAACATGCATCCATTACACCACAACTCACTACAGGCCAGTCTCCTGGCTCCAGATCAGCTACGATAACGCTCTCATCTCTCAAGCGGGTTCCCTTCTCTCTCCTTCGGTTAAACCCCATTCCTCAAGCCTCGAGGGTAAGCACAAGCTCACTGCAAGGCTCACTCTCCTCTCCACTCCAGCATCTCCACAACCCAAAACCCGGCCCAGCTGCTCCTCGCAAGGTCAAGGCGACTCGTAGCACTGCAATGCCCACGAGGGTCAACGAGATGGACACCCCAGCGCACCCGGTCAACAAGGTGGTTACGGGTGCCGGTGGCAAGGTCCTTGCCGAGCACTACAAGTACGTCCAGGTTGAACGCCAGCGGAAGACTAACGTGTCTCCAGGTCAAGTGGTGATGAGGCTGCCGACACTCTTGCGTTCCTCCACCTCCTTGGCCAGCTGAAGGCAAGTTGAGGAAGTGATATCCTCCGAACTAACCTCGCAGACTGAGAAGCGTTCGGGTTGGATCCGGGAAGGCGTGAGTTACTAGCTGGACGTGACCGAGTAAGAGCTGACTCTCCAGGTTCGTGAGCCCGAGAGGTTAGTCACGACTACGGCGTCCAAGCGGGGCTGACGACAGTATCTCGGACCACATGTGCCGTATGGCGCTCATGGCCATGATGATCCCATCGACAGCCGAGCGACCCCTCGACATTCCCCGCTGTGTCATGGTGCGTTACACGCTACAATTCGAGGACTAACGGTCAGATGGCGCTCGTCCACGATCTTGCCGAGGCCTAGTACGTGTGCACAGTCATTGGAGTCCGGACTCTAACTGTTGCTAACTTCCACTCCAGCGTTGGTGACATTACCCCTCTGGAGGGTGTCCCGTCGCACGTCAAGTTTGAACTCGAGGAGCAGGCGATGAAGTCGTTCCTGAACGAGATGCTCAGCGGCGACGGCAACGCCCAGGCTCGCGACCGCTTCCGTTCCCTCTGGTACGAGTACGAGGCCCGTGAGACCCCCGAGGCGAAGCTCGTCAAGGACCTCGACAGGCTCGAGCTCATTGTCCAGGCCGTCGAGTATGAAAAGTGTAGGTGGACTCTCAGGCGAATCGTTGTTGACCTATCACAGCGCAGGACATTCGTACCCTCAAGACTTTCTACACCGGCTCGATCCGTGAGTGTCCAACTTGCATTCCGCGTAATGTTCTAGCTGACGTGTACAGCCCACCTGGAGCACCCCGCGATCCGCAAGATGGCAGAGTCGGTCATTGCTGAGCGCGAGGCGTTGTGGGAGGCGCGTGGCGCCGACGACATGAAGGTCGAGCTCGAGGGTACGGCTGTTGGTTCTGCTGTCGATGCTCGCAAGCAGACCGCCGCCAACGGAGACGCGTAGAGACCATCTGTTGTACATATGCATTTCATAATAGACACGGGTCCGTCGGTCTCGGTCAGAAGCAAACACCCCTCCGATGAGAAGGTCACTCCCCAGATCTCCCTTTCACCGCGTCGGCTTTGCACCAAATGTTCCACACTGGGTCCCTTCTCCCGAATCACCTGCAGCCACTCCTTTGCTTCTGCAAACTATGCATTTCACAACAGATCCGACATTACAACTAAAAGTACAGGCGCTGGCTGGCGGCCTGGGAGGTCTCTATGGGACAATAGGGGCATTTCACTGTCCGCCTACCGCCCTTCATGAGTCGGTTAAGCGACTCGTGCGCAATAACGTGGCCGCACGAGAGAACTTTGGGCGGGTTCGTGTCCGTTGCCTGCTCCTTGGAGACGGGGCAGACAAACACCGAGTGGTAACGCCGGGAGGAGGGGAGTGGGACTTCCATCTGAGCACAACGTTAGCGGGTCTGGTTTTGGGAGACTGCACCTACCGGAAGTTCCTGCCAATGTCTGACGTTTCCGAGCCGGTCACCCATGACGCGCCTGGCCTTTTCGATGGCGTTGAGGGCGCCACCGCGCGATCCGAGGCGGACAGTGACTTCGAGGGGTTCCTCCCGCGCCCAGCCGTGAGCGCGGCAGTAGTCGGCGCGGAACATGGCGGCAAGCGGGGCGGCCTCATTGGCGTATGGTGAGTTTGTGGAGTCGTAGAGACACGATGTGAGCAGGGCCTGGACCTGGCCGGGCTGCGAGCGGAGGTAGTCGAACAGGTGGTCCTGCGCGTACTTGAGCGAGGCCGCTGGGTCGGGCTGGGCGAGGAAGACGGCGCGGTGGAGGTAGTACGACAGAGACGAAGGGTTGGGACCACTGGCCAGCTGCTCCTTGTGCACGTCGCACCATGCGATGGCGCTCGACAGGTTTCCAGCCTCAATGTCGGATTCGATACGGCACAGCTCCTCGCTCAGTTCGCGCTTCTCGGTATCGTAGGCCAAACCCGTCTCGTCTTCGAATGCCGCCACCGCATCCCACAGTCCGCGACGACCGAGGGAGTCAAGCACGACGCGGTCGAGGGCGTCTACGGCCTCGGGGTCGGAGAAGAGGGGTGGATCGTCGTATGCCGACGAAATGGACGCAAGGTTTGGAGGGAAGGCCTGTGTCGAGGAAGAAGCGAGGCGTACGTTCACATGGAGGGAAGGTAGGATAAGCGGAATCACACGCCATGTCAGCAAACAGCGCCACCCAGCGATGGAACATGGGCACCAGACACGCACCTTTTCAACACCTTTGCCCACGTTGCCTATAGCCGAGTACCATGCTTTCAGACCGCGCTCTACCTCTTTCTTGGCACGCGTGATTGAGGACTGCAGCTCCGTGATGACTTGTTTGGGTGGTGCGCCTGCCTCGAGTCGCATTCGAGCGACGGCAATGTGGTTCTCGATAACGGCAGTGAGGGGACCGCTGGCGGGTTGGGAAGAGAGAGCTTCGAGAGCGCCCAGCGCCGCCGAGACGTCGGCGGTGGACATGGCGGACGACTGGGCCAAGGGATAAGGGATAGAGGGGTGTTGAGGGGATGAGATGAATGGATGGGTGGCTCGAGATTGGGTCGTCTGGGGTCGTCTGGGGTCGTCTGGGTGGAGGCGATCCAGGGAGCCGGGCCGAAAAGAATGACGTGTATAAAATATCACCGGCGATCAAGTTGCCACTCGATTCTGTCGATTCTTTCTGAACTCGTCTGTCGAGGATCTTCAACAACAACACATCAACCATGTCGCAGTCTCCCTACACCTCTTCGCGCCCCGACGACAGCCACCTGCCGCCTCGCCAGATGCCCAAGCCCTCGGAGGCTAGCGAGTACCTCTGTGGTGGTGAGTGACTTCCTCCAAGACTGGCAAAACCGGATCGGACATGTCCTGCTGTTCGCGACACACACGCTTGCTCGTCATTCTGTGGGCGTGGCCAAGGCCATGCAGCGACAGAGTGTGTCATGAGCCGCTTCAATATTCCAAGAGTGGACATTCTGAATTGGGATGCCCCGTTGCGGGCTTGATGCCGAACCGCAAGGACCCATGCGTCGTCTCTCCCCGTCATGTACCGGTGCTGACTTGCCAGACTGTGGTGCCAAGACCTCGATCAAGATGGGCGAGCTCATCCGTTGCCGCGAGTGTGGTCACCGTGTCATGTACAAGCCCCGCACCCACAAGAGTGAGTCCAACCTGGCGGCCCCAAACGGGGCTCGGTTCGCGCGATTCATGTTGGATAGATGCTGACAGAGCAGTTGTGAGCTGACAGGAAATGACTCGATGAAACAACAGCTGACAATTATTTAGGTCCAGTTCGAGGCCCGCTAAGCGGTTCCCTTCTCAAGGCGAAATACAGGGCGACAAGAGAGCCACAATTGTGCTGTGCTCGGGATAGAGTGTATCATGTACTACTGCATCAAACGGCTGGGTTTTGCGGAACGACGCGCCAAACACTGACCTCATGCGTATTGACCGGCAAGTACTGTCAGAACCATCACAGCTATGCTTTTGTTGGCGATTGCAGTTGCGGAACCATGGCGCGGCGACGTTTGACAAAGAAGCCCCTTCCAACAGCTAACAGTCGCTAAGTTGATGTGAGCATCTGGCTGGTCACCTGTTGGCTGTCATCAAAGACGCAGATGTGAAGGACGATCCCAGAGAGCAAAGGCAGCTCGAGTGGAGGACGTGGGGAGTGGACATCCGATGTAACACTTTCCGTCACAATGTTCCGGGAGGTGTCGGCCAAAGCGACACTATTGACACCGACACCACAACCTCGTCATGGAGCTTCTCACAACGATACTTTGAAATATCCCCAAGGAGGAAACCCAGGTCGTGCATATATACAAACGCCCAACAGGCCACATTTCTAAGCGCCAGTCACGAATGATGCGCTACTTGTAGAGTGGACCACCCGCTGCTCTGAACGGCCCCAAGTCAAAGTTTGTTGTGATGAGGTTGTCGCGTTGGTGGGTATTGCACCACCCGGAACGCCGCTACGAGGCTGCCATTCATCTCTGTTTCATATCCGATATTGTTCGCTCAGGCGCCAGATAACCTTGGCGAGGTTTATAGCCTGCTGCGTGGGGTCGATGGGCGTGGTAGTTGAAGCAAAAGTGTTGGGCGTGTCGACCTCCGCCCACCAAAGGGATATTAGGCGAGATGGTGTCGTCCACCCAAAGACGTGGAACGTGGATATGGTCTCGCGACAGCCCCAGCCAGTGTAGAGCTGTGGGTAGCGCTGGCCGTAACCCATACCGTCGACGGTCTTTGGTTCGACGCGGTTAATGCGGAGAACTCTTCAGGCATATGGACAGAATACACCCTGGTTCGGAGTAGATCTCAGTTAACCTCCTCCAGAATTCCAGTTGTTACCTTCACTCTTGGAACAGCTTCATGCATGCATGCAGGGTTTTTATTTTTGATTGGAAACCGCGTTTAGATGACAAATGTGCGTGCATACGTTCCTTGCTTACCTGTGCTTACAGACCGACAAAAATGTATGAACGCCAGTCATATGTGTTATCATCAAAGTTTTAAAGTGGCTGGCTGACATTTTAAAACGTCAAAAGGATATCGGAGAGCTCGGGCGCTTCGGCAGCTGCTTTCGTCTACTTTTGTATGTTGGCAACGCACGCCCACGATCTAGGAACTCCAACCGTTGGATTTGTAATCGGTGATCAGGCGATTACAAATCGCCAGCGGCTCTCTTTATCCACTATGCTGTCGGCGGAGTCGAACCTCGTCCCATGAGACTCCAGCCGGCCATTGATTAATCATCTGGTAGTGTTAACCGTGCGGCAAGCCTGCCTTGTTAACCATGTAAAGTCTGCAACCCCAAAAGGGTTCCCTTTCCCCTTTAACAATTACGCAAGATAGTCGTTGAATCAAAGCGACACCCTGTCTGAGGATGTGCCTCAATGTCGTCTCCTCTGTAGCGTGCGTCTCAGCAGCTCTGTGGATCTGTGTCCCACTCATACATATGTACCCCTCCTGCTCTTCTTGAAAGATATCTCCTTCGCGATCTCTCTGGTCCAAGACCGACAGCCTATAGGTGCACGTACCCAGTCAAAAGCTGTTCCTCCCACACTCTCTGGTCGCCACTTCCGGCGGCACCAGTGGCCAGTGAGCCAGTGGCGGCCTACGCGGCACCTGAACGGTTCGTGTGAGGCTGGCTGCACCTCGCAAGTCGCAGCGACGCGGGGTTCGCGGGTGGGGTTCGACGGTGTAATCGGCCTTCCAACTTTCCCCAGACCCCCAGACCCCCAAGCTTCCACTCCACTTGATGACAATCGGCAACTGGTGGAATACAGATTTCTGAATGCCGGGCCGCCAGGCCCACAGCTCTCACAGGTTTCACCGAAGCCGTGTCGGCTCCGTGTTCGACGCTCTCGTGACCCATTTTTCGCATCCGCCATGCCCGCGCCACGTCTGCCCCGTCCTTTGGCTTCGAGCACAACCGGCCTTTTTTTTTGTGTGTGTTCTTTTTGGGTGGAGAAAATGCGGTGCAGACTAATTTGCCTCCATATCGTTCGCGCCGAGGGGCTTCTTCCCACAGGCCACAGATCCACAGATCTCGGGGACCGGAGAGGGGGGTGGTATGTGTGTTCCTCGGCTAGAGGCCGCAGCCCTCAATTGCAGTTGGCCATCACCTGCCCAGCACACACCGGCACACCAGTGCAACGGTCGGTGACTCTGTTCCAGGTAGAGACTATGTGGTCCTGACGCGGGATAATTTAGCATGTCGCCGGGGGGGTTTCTATTTCCTTGCCGCGGCTACAACTGGGGAGAGGCTGTGGGCTGTGAGGGTTCTGGCCGTTCTGGTTTCTGGCCCGCGCACCGCTGTGCGCTGTGCCGGGTGGCGGCGGACTCTGCAGGTGCGCAGCCCAGCACGCGGCTTTGGAGATTTGCAGAGAGCGGTGCTGATCGTGCTGAGGGTGGGCGTTTTTCTCGAATCCTTGTTCTCATCATCGGAATGCTCTTGCTTTGTGTGGCCCGGCAACTGGACTGGATCCCGGCAAGACAAGGCCGCGCAAGGCCAGGCCTCGCAAGCCTTTGTGCGGCTCGGCCAACGTGGAACGGTTCGAACGGTTCGAACGGCTCGCAGACGTGGCACACTTTTGGTGCGTTACGTGGGTCCCTCCCGATCAGTACTCTGCCTCAGAACACATTGCAGTCTAGCTGAGCCAAGCCGAGACAAGCGAGCACGCATCGAGCAAAGTGGGGGTACATCAAATGGGCTTGTTAAATGGGATTGCGGGGGGAACGGTTGAGGTTGTGAGGGGTTTGGTTGAGGGTTTGGATTTTACTTTACAAAGGTGGGGAAAGGGGGTAAGGAATTTTGTGTATTATGCAAATGCAGATGCAGACCCGGGTTGCTCTGCTCGTCGTGGTGTGGGTGGGGTGTTGGGTGTGTGGCAGTCGCGGCGGTCGCGCACACGTCGTTCTTCTCTCTCGTTCTCTCGTTCTGTCAAGTATGTTTGCTCGCCGTTATCTTATCTCGCGGTTTTATCTCATCTCGCGGCGACAGGATCCGCGACCGTGATGCCCATCGGGCTGGGGCTCTGGTTGGCCGGGGTCGGACCGCTGCGCGGGTCCCGAGGACCAAGGACGGTGGGGCTGACGGGCGTCTTGGCCGAGTCGGGAGGTGGCGGGGACGTGCCGGTGATGCCCAAGCCGGCCGCCTTGTCAGCCGCACCCCGCTCCTTGCGTGTCGCCTCGGACTCGGCCCACGCGTCGTACGCGTACTTGACGGGTTTGGCCAGGTAGAGGTCGTCGGCAGTGATGGAATGCTCGGACCCAGTGTCCGACTTGGGTTTGGCCGGGGCCGTCGTCGTCGTAGTGGCAAACAGGTCGTTGGGATCGAATGTATCTGCACACGGGTGAGCACAATCCACAAAAGGTCTGCACAACAACTCACTGTCAGGATCCGGGATGGCGCGGCGCTTGCCGAGCGCCTTGCGACTCGGGCGAGCCTCGTCGTCCTCGTCCTCGCCGGTCCCGCTGCTGCCACCTTCGTGGGTGCTGCCGCTGTGGCCGCGTGAGGGGGCCGGCTGCAGCTCCCTGGCATCAGCAGCAGCAGTGGTGAGGCTCTGGCTGCTGTTGACGGTCTTGAACGGGTTGGGCAGTGGCCTCGGACCCTGCATGCGTGACCGGCCGAGGGGCGAACCGGAGCGCGGAGGAGACGCGATGGGCTTTGGTGGAGGCAGCTGCGGGAGCTGGTGGGCACTGCGGCGCCCGTCGGGAGACGGCGTTCGGGACACGCCGCGATCCGTGACGGCGGCCTGGAGGTGGCTCGAGAACGACTCGGTGGTGGGGACTTCGGGAAGGTGGCGCGTGTCATTGAAGAGTTGCGAGTCGCGCACGTCCGGAAGCGCCCTGTTGTATCCAGACGGCGAGGGGGAGCGAGACGACGAGCCGCCTTCGGGGGCAGTGAGCATGTCCATTTGCTGCCTTCGGTCCATGCGCGTGTCCTTTTTGCTACGCTCCTGGACGGCACGAATCTCTCGGTCGTCGGCCGCCATCTTCTCGAGGTCGTCGTGCTGCTTGAGCGCGTCGGTAAGGATTCCGTGCGCCTCGAACAACAGGGCAAGGGCATTCTCCTCGGCCGTCGAGTGGTGCGGCCCGTCCACAGAGTTGGCGACGCGGCGCGACCTGGCCGCCTCGGACTGAGCCCAGTCCATCTGGTTTGTGAGAGACTCGTGCGCGAGGACGCATTTGGTGTAAAACTCCCGAATGACAGCCTTGTGTTCAAGCTCCTCTGGGCGAGTGTACACCAGGGCCTCTTGCAGGACGCGGGCAGACTCTTTGGCGGCGGTACATTCCTCGATGAGACGGCGCATATCCTCGTGGTGGTCTGGAAGATCGGCATACGTCGGACCGCCGCCGCCGAACCCAGTGACACCCGGTGATGGAGGAAGTTCTTTGGGAGTCGCGTTCATGCGCTGCGACAGAGGCACAGGCATCGGCTCGGAGGGCCTGCGCGACGAAGGGAGCGACGAGGGGGGCGATGGCAACGGCGACATGCCGTGGACAGCACCACCACCACCAGGCGGCGGCGGGATAATGTTATTCGACTGGCCATGCTTGAGGTAGTCTTCCGGCAAGGCGTTACCATAGTCTGGGTCTGCGGGTGACTTGACCTTGACCCAGAGCTCGTGCAGGCCCTCACAGCCACGGTCCTTTCCGAACCGGAAAGTCAGATCGGACAGCACGTCATAGGTCGTCTTGTACGTGTTGTTGGACACGGGAGGCTTGACCTGTTGATAAAGGATAGGCTCGACCGTCGACATGAACTTTTGTTCGACGCATAGTCTGCAGCCAGTGTCAGTGCTATTCCCGCACACGTCGTCCGTCGTCAGGCTTGTTACTCACGTTGGTAACCGCTAGCCTTGATGTGGCGCATGGTGATCCACCACACACGCATGGCCATGCGACGCTCGGGGTCGGTGCTGCTCTTGAGCACCTTGCGAATTGTCCTTGCTGCCTCCTTGCACACTGCATCACGGGGTTGCGAACGGTTGACCTTGTCGCACAGGTCGAGGACGGCGCCATGCCTGGTATCACGCGAGGAGCAGAGGGTGCCTACTGGTTAGTATAACTGTCACCACAGGGGCTACTCACGGATCGCGGTTGCGACATCGTTTGACTCGTCGCGAGTGACAAGCTCGAGGCCGCGCGTGGGCTTGTGCGGCGGCTCGTCGCTGTGGCTGAGCGACGCGGGACCCTGGCCATGACCGTTGGTCGACGCCCCATCGCGCCAGTCCTCGCCACTCTGGCGGTGCGAGTCATCGACGGACGCGGTGAGAGGGGGAGGGGGCTGGAGTAGGGTAGAGACTGGTGCTGTAGAGATTGGTGCTGGTACGTCCTTGTGCTTCTTATCCTTGCCCCAACCCCAGAAACGCTTCTTCTCCGCCTTGTCAGACCTGTCCCTGTCGTTTTGTTGTTTGTCGAGGAAGCGTCCACTGTCTCTGTCGGCCCCCCTATCGTCCACTTGTGGGACTGGAGTCGAACGCTCAGACGGAAGCATGGTCACGGAACTGTTGCCGTACTGGTTATACGAGGCGCCGTACATTGCAGCAATGGGAGCTTGCTGGTGCTGTTGCTGGTGGTGCTGGTGCTGGTGCTGATGGTGTGGCGGCTGCTGCTGGTATTGCTGAGACATGGGGTGCGGTTCTGAGAATGAGTTGACGAGCGGCGACCTGCTGGAAGGAGGTATGGGCTGGGGCTTGTTGAGCATCCCGGACATTGGTGAGGTAGACGCGTGGTGGACCGAGCCCTCGTGGTCCGATCCACGTCCGCCAGACAACGAGGTCGCAGAGTATGCGCGGTTCCGGTTGTTGTAGCCGTCGCCTTCGACAAACGCGCCCGCCACTGGGGGAGGTAGTTGGGTCGCACTGCCGACACTTGACTGTTGCACGTGGCCAAGACGTGTCGGAGTCGCAGGTCTGAACTGTGGAGAAGGCGGTCCGGCGCCGGGCGGCAAGTAGAATCCTGGTTGAGCCATGGCGGGGCTGGGAGCCTGCTGCTGCTGAGCATACCCGTCACTCGCAGACGGCATTTGTATACGTTGCAGAGGCGCAGACGTTGGCGACACGTTTGGTCGCCCACCGCCGCCCTCGTTGGATGAGGCCGTGCCCGCACGGGACCGTGACGATGCCCGGAAGCTAGTGCGGTCACCGCCTTCTCGGCGGTATGGAACAGCCGCTGCAGTCTCCTCCTCCATCATGCGGAGCTGAGCTAATGTTGGCCCGTTTGGAGTCGCCCCGCCGGAACGCAGGCCACTGTCGCGAAGATCTCGGTCCCGCGCATCACCACGAGGCGGTTCTCGGACTTGTTGGTTGAGGTCGACGACGCCGCCCCCGCCGCCGCCCCCGCCGCCGCCTCCACCTCCACGCCACTGTTGCTGACTATTTGCTTGTGGTGGTGGTGGTGGGGGCAGTGGGGGCGCAGCCATGTCATGGTGACCAACGTCCATTGGGAAGGGCGTGATACCGGCCTGTGGGTGGTGGTGGTGGCGGCGCTTTTGCAGCTGCTCCTGGCCCTTTGGCGGTGCGGACAGGCTTGCACCGCTCGCGGAGTCTGGGAGCAGCGGCTCTAGGCCGCCGGCTTTGGACGTGCGGAAGAGCTTCTTGAGTCGCCCGCTCTCCATGGTTGGGGAATGTCCTCAAGGTAAGAGAGCGAGGAAGTGAGAAGGAGAGCAAGGCAAGGCAGAGGGGGGTCCGCCCTGTCCCGGCGGTTGTGGGTGTGATTGGGATGTGTTTGTGCGGGGGGGAGGTGGATCGTAGAGGCGAAGGGTGCGCGTCGGGGGGAGATGGGTGGATTGTGAGTGCCGGGTGTGGAGGGGACAATGTGGAGTTGTGGTTGTTGATGGACGAGTGTGAAGGTGAGGGAGTGCAAGGCCGGGGGGAGAGGGGGGGTATAGCGCTACGAGAGAGATGAGGGATGGAGAGAGAGAGGAGCTGGAGGGTGTGGTGTGGGGGGGATGTGGAATGGACGAAGACGGTGTGTGTGCTGGTGGTGGGTGGGATGGCGGGGTGTGTGGGTGTGTGGGTGTCAGCGTGGAGGAAGCCGCCGCCCGCAGTGTGGAGGGTCAGAGAGGGTCTCCCGGGGGGCGGTGGTGGTCGTGGGTGGTCGTGGGTGCTGCCTGGGTGCTGCCTGCGTGCGATATGCGTGTGCTCTCTGGGCTGTCCGTTGCGCCATCTGCCCCCGTGTCTCCTCTCGCTCGTCCCAAAAGGCCCAAAAGGCTAGACCACCGCGGGGCTGTGCTGCAAAGGTCAGAGCCGTCTGCGCACACACGCGCGCACGCGCAGGATCCCCCCCCTCTCAGGCACAGCATGCAGTGGGATGACAAACGGAACCTATATTTGTGTCCATTCCCTATTCATTTGACCATTGCTTCCTTATTTCCTTATTTCCTTATTTCCTAATCCCCCGGCATACTCTCTCTCGCTCTCTCTCTCTCTCTCACCACTCTTCCGGGCTAGAGTATGGAAGGAACTGCGGGGGGGTCAGTCAGCTGGCCACAAGCCCATGTTCGTCTCCACATTCCTTCCCATCGACTTCTCTCTTCCGACCAGCCAGTACACCAATAGCCTCCCCCCCACACAATCACGCTCTCTTCTTCCCCCGCACTCACCTTGCCGTCCAGCGTGATCACAACACGGTCGCCCTTGGGGTCCGCCTTGCGTTCAACAGACGTGCGGAAACCTTTTTGGGCGTCGGTGTTCCAGCGTCCAACAGAGTCAGAAAAAAAAGCAGTGCGGTGCAGACACGGGTACACGGGTGTATGATGTCGTGGTTGTAATAAGGGTAAATGTTGCGTACCACAAGTCGGGACCAGAGACGAGCAAGAGAGAGAGGAGAGAGGCACGGGAGTGGCAATAGAGCAACAAGGCAGCAGCAGAAGCAGCCCCCCAACGTACAGACGGGTCATGCAAGGAGACGTGTCAGACGCGGGTTGAGGTACAGCGGCACAGCGAGCGAGTGAGTGAGTGAGTGACCAGTCCAGTAGGCCAGTAGTGAGCCCAAGCAACAAGGACGCGTGGCGAGACGAGTGGTGGTGGTGGTGGGTGTGCGCGTATGCGGTGTTGTTGTTGCCAGGAACGTCGGCCATCGGAACGCAACGCGGGGTAATGGTATGAACGTAGTCGAGCGCGGCAGAGGTGAGAGGAGGGAGGGGGGGTTCCAAAGGGGTAAACGGCCATCAAGGGGAGGGGTGCGGTCCCGTAAAGTAAGAGATGTGGACCGTGTCAGCATATGCTAAAAGGAGGTCTGATGCGATGCAGTGGTCTGGTTGGAGCAGACCCGGGGGGGCGATGCGACACCAAAACAAACCATTCCGTGGCTCACATGCCACCGACACCAGGGGCAGGTCCGTCCACCCGCCCATTGCGGCATCTAGCGGCTCTGGCAGCTCTGGTCACAACGGTTCCTCGGAGACAAGAAACCTGCTCGATAGAACACGACTGTGGCAAGCTCACTCCACCCACTTGGACTACTCACCGATAGCACTCATGATCCCGTCGCCGACTGTTATTGAATACTCGTCAGCTCTCAGTGCCTAAGCCGTGTTGCCTCGGGTGCGACGTACACTTCTCGTAGATGAGTGCCTTGTAAGAGTATCCGTACACCACCAGGACCTCGTAGAGGCGGTACAGGACGGGATCCTGGCGTCGTGTCAGCAACGAATCACCCAGGACACATTCTGTAGCACAGAGCGTCACGAGCGCGAGCGCTCGTGTTCACACCAATGTGTTTAGAGGCTATCCTCGGACCAAGGGATCACTCGCGTCCGCATCCGAGGATGCCGGACGCCCGACATCGATCGAGACGCGTGATGCTCAACGGGCGGGCATGGCCGCTGTATTGTAATGACAACAAGGGACGGATCAAGAGCCGATGGAAGTTGGGGGAGAGCATCGTCTGTGGTTCCGACGGTACAAGTACGGTGCACGGAGTTTCCGGTTCGTTGCACTGTAGTGTACTCGGCGACAGCCAACCGCGGGAACCCGCTCGCCCGCACACCGCCGGGCACACGCAGACGTGCAGCGATACCACACTACTCACCTTGGGCGGCCACTCCCAGTTCTGCCCGCGGACAATCATCCCGTCCACGCCCAGGCTGCCAGGTCCTTTACCCGCCAGCCCCTTGACGGCCACTTCGTCCTTGAGGCCAATCTCTGTCGCAATCTTGGCCGCCGTCTCCGCGTCCGTCACGGCGTTGCCAAAGAACAGGGCCGCAGTCCACACTTCAGGCTTGCCGATGGCAGCCGCAATCTCCGCAAACGTCTTGCCGCTGGCCTGCTTGGCCTCCATGAGGGTCTGGCAGTGGGGAGCAAGAGAAGCCATGGTGGGGTGAGAGGGATGTGAGCTGTGGTTTGAGGTGAATCGTAGAGTAATGTGGGGAGAGAGAGAGAGCTTGTTAGAGTGCACAAAAGTGGGCGTGTGAATGACGTTGGGCTTTAGGAGGACCCCGATGGTCTCGTGATGGACCTGCTGCGGTGGTGGTTGCTATCGCATTATCGAAGCCTCCCTCCAAGATGGTACATGTGGGTCAAAGAAGACCGAACTCCGATAGCCCGGACCGTCAACAACGAGGGCAGCGACGTGTAAATCACGTGATAGGCACGTGTTGCTCACGTGATATACACGTGTAAATGGTCCCGTGGCTCTACGTGGCTGTGTCTGATAACGCTGCGCGCCCTGTTGGAAGCCACGTTGGAAGTCTAAAGAACGCCGTCAACAACAACCTATACCCATCCCGTTCGCTCTTGGCTTGTGGTTGACACAACTGCCATCTATCCCACACCACCATGAGGGTCAGTCCTCTCCTTTCTCTCCCCATTACCATCCTTCTGGCGGTCCAGACCCTCGCCCAGGGCCGTACAGCCAAGGAGGCCGCTGCGGACGGCAACAGGCTGCTTGCCGAGGGCGCGTACTCGGACGCCGCGCGCGCTTATGGCGAGGCGATTGGTGAGTGACCTCAAGCACACCCGTGCAAGGCGGTTGGAGCTGACGAGATTACAGACGCCGACCCAACTTCTTATATCAACCACTACAAGCGCGCCACGGCGTACCTCTCGCTTGGTCGCCATGCGGCTGCTCTCGAAGACTTTGACGCCATCCTGAAGTTGAACCCAGGCTTTGTGCAGGTGTGTATCACAGCTACTAGCGGCCCGTGACCATGTACTGACGCCAAATAGGCCCATTTCCAGAAGGCGAAGGTTCTCGCCAAGGAGGGCGAGTTCTCCGAGGCATCGGACGAGCTGGCCGCCTTCGCGAAGACCAAAACGGACTCCGAGGCAGACGAGCTTGCTCGTCTGGTCATCTCGGCGGACGTCGCAAAGACGGCCGCGCGTGATGCCGCCAAGGATGGCAAGTGGGGCGAGTGCGTCGCGCACGCTACCAAGGCCATTGAGGTTGGGCCCAACTCGGGCGAACTGCGCGAACTGCGCGCGACTTGCAACACGGAGCTGGGCGAGGCCGAGTCAGCATACGCCGACCTCAGTCGTCTGGCGATGCTGCGTCCCTCGTCGGAAGACCTCCGCCTCCGCCTTGCCAACCTAGGCTATTACCTCTTGGACACCACCATCGCGCTCAACGAGATCAAGAAGTGCCTCCACTACGACCCCGAATCCAAGGCGTGCAAGAAGATGCACAAGCTCCTTCGTTCCCTCGACCGCGACACTGTCAAGGCCCGCAACTTTATCGACGGCGGCAACCCTCGCAAGGGCCTGACCATCCTGCGCGGCGAGGGCGGCGTGCTCGAGCGCTTTGACGCGGCCATGACCGACGCCGAGGCCGCCGGACAGCTGCCACCTCAGTTCTCCGCGTCCACCAAGAGCAAGACCCGCCTGGACCTGTACACGCTCGCGTGCCGCGCCGCTGTTGACTGCAACGACTTTGGACCCAAGTCGGCTGCCTTGTGCGACGCCGTCCTCGCCCTGGACCCCGACAACGAGCACGCCCTCGTGTTCCGCGGCGAACGCCTCCTGAAGGCCGAAAAGTGGGAGGAGGCCGTCAACGTCCTCCAAAAGGCGTTTGAGCAATCCGGCCGCTCTTCACAAGACATTGCCAACCGCATGCAAAAGGCCCAACGTCTCCTCAAGGTATCGAAGCAAAAGGACTACTACAAGGTCCTCGGTGTCTCCCGTGACGCCGACGAGCGCACCATTAAAAAGGCCTTCCGTAAAGCCGCCAAGACGAACCACCCTGACGTGGGCGGCAGCGAGGAGAAAATGGCACAGCTGAACGAAGCGTATGAGGTGCTGTCCGACTCGGAGCTGCGTGCGCGCTTCGACAACGGCGAGGACCCGAACGACCCGCAGGGCGGCGGACAGGGTGGCAACCCGTTCGCGCACCATGGCGGCATGCCCCACTTTTTCCAGCAAGGTGGATTCCCCGGTGGCTTCCCTGGCGGAGGCCAGAAGTTCCAGTTCCATCACGGATAGGCCTTTGTTCCACTTTCCGTCATGGAATCGGCTGTAATGAATAGCTCCATAGCATATTTGCATGTTACATGTATATACCAAGCTGCATGAACCCGTAAGTGATTCATTCCAGTGATCCAGTGGCTAGTGGCCAGTGACTTCTTCGGTGAATGAAGTTTGGGTGGGGGTACCGGTTCTGACTGTTCCGAGTGGAGGTGACAACGGTGAACCGGCGATTGAACGATGACGAAATAGGGTTGCTGAATCACACCTCTCTCCGCCTCGTTTCTGGCATCCCATTCTAGTTCGTTGCTCTTCTCGCATCACATCTCTCACTCTCACTCACTCACTCACTTACTCGCTCACACAAGCACCGCACCACCATGTCTCTTCCCCCCTCCCTCTCTTTCCTGCGTACCGGCTCGGGCGGCCAGGCGCTCGACGTGTGAGTTGAACGCGATGGCTGTGGCCGCGTGGTGTGGTGTGGGTCAAATGGCCGCTGGCCGCTGGCGATATCCAAGCTGCCGATCCGCCCATCCCCATCACCGTCTCGGCTGGCGGCATTGCTGATCACTGGTCACTGATGGTCACTGACGCGCACAGCTACCTCGAGCCGCTGTGCCCATTCTCGGCCAAGATGGCGCGCTCGCTCGCGGCCAACGTCGTGCCCCAGATCACCAAGGGCGGCAAGTACGAGGGCCAGGTCCAGCTCATTGTGCGCATCTACGCGCAGCCCTTGTGAGTGTGACAGAGGGAGGGATAGAGTGTACGGAATGGGATGGCCTGCGGCACTGTGTACTGCGGAGGCTGTGGGGAAGGCTTTGGGTGCAGGTCCACGGTCAACGAACGTGCTGCTGTGCGGGGAAGATGAGCGCAATCGCCGTGTGTCGAATGGCGGGACATGCTGACGGCTAGCCACTACTTTTCGGCATTCCCGTGTGAGGCCCTCTTGATCTTTGGTCAGGAGCACCCCGAGCTCTTCTGGGACTATCTTCTTGCGGTGAGTTGACCCCCCCCCCCCCCCCCCCCCCCACTATACCGGTGGGCTCCAACTGACACTGTCCTCAGGTGTTCGACGCCCAGGAGTCGTGGTTCAACAAGGAGGTTGCCGACAAGACGCCCTCGCAGTGCCAGCAGTACTTTGTCGACGTGGCGCTCACCGTCCTCGACAAGGCGGGCAAGCTCGCCCCGGGCCCCCGCTCCGCTGCCGCGGCGCCGTTCCTCGAGAAGCTCGCCGTCCACGACAAGGCCAACGGCGGCAGCACGGCCTTCCTCGACCTCAAGTACCTTGCGCGCGAGGGCCGCCAGAACGGTATCCACTTTACGCCGACGGTCCTCCTCAACGGCCTCGAGGACGGCTCCGTCTCGAGCTCGTTTGGCAAGGAAGAGTGGGACAAGTACCTAGCGTGAGTTTTTTGTCAGCTTTATGCTTTTTTCGGTTGAAGCTGACCCCGGCTTCCCCAGTGAGAAGCTTGGTGCGTGAAACAAGGCGAGAGCGTCAGCAGCGGGGCTAGTGGACTCCCAGGCCAACGACTAATCATGGCAGGTGCTCCTACCCGACTCGCGTCGTCGCTATAGACTTGGTTGTCCTCTTTTATGCAAATACATCAGAAATTCAGTCATCCAATAGGGCATCTGTGTGCCGGGCACGCCCGTGGCGCTCTCCCTCTCTCTCTCTAATTAGACAAACTAAAAGTCCTCAATGGTGCGGTCCAGGTCCGCCTTGAGGTGCTCCTTCATGCCAGGGGGGAGGATCGGCTCACCCTTGTCGTCGGCAATGTAGCCTGGTCTGTTAATGGGGCACCGGACGTCAACAGAAGTGAATGGACACTTACGGAAGGGCATCTCGATCGACTCGTGCTTGTTGAAGGTGATCGTGGGGAATTCCTGTAACGTCAGCACGTGGATGGTGACAGCTGGGCGGCGAAGGAGCGCCAAAGCTGTACATGGCCTGCTCGAGTTGAATACGGCCAGGCTCAACTCACCGAGTACTGGATCTTGTCCAGGGCAATGCCATCTTCAACCACACGCTTGGTGACAGCGACGGCAGTGTCAGTGGTCATCTGCACGGGGCCCAGGTGACGGCCGGGGAAGCCCAGACGGCGCAGCTCGCCGGTACGGTCGCGAGGTGGGTCGTCGCCGAGGATGCCGCCGTAGAGGAAGACGTCAAAGGCGTCGGCGTCCTCGGGAGCAATGACCGTCTCGGCACGCGGGTCGAGGAGGCACACGCGCTCAATGGGGATCGGGGGGCTGCACTTGGCCAGCATGTCCAGGACGGGCTGGGTGTGGGCGACGGCCTTGGAGCCCTCGGGGCGCGACGAGAGGTACGTCTTCAGTGGCGGGATCGAGGACGAGGACAGCGAGGTGAACTCGACAGTCGAGGAAGGGCCCACTTGCTGCAGCATGTGGGCGTACCTGCACGTCAGCATAAGAGGGCTTTCCGCACCCGAGGCTGCTGCAGGCCGCAGGTAAGTCGGTCAAGCTGGACGTACTCGAGGCGAACCCATTCGGGGAGGGTACGGGTCTCCTCGTCATCCTGCTCCATGTGCTCTGCTCGTCAGCGATATGGAAGAAACATGTGGTCGCACCGATCACGTATTTGAATCCCTTGGACATTGTTGATTGTTGTGCTGAAGAGGGAGAGATGAAGGAGTCGCTCGCCTCTTCATCGTCATGTTTCCTTTCTCCAGCAATTCCGAGATTTTGGAGAGACGCCTCCACCCGCCAAGCGGAACCAAATATATTCTCGCGAGTTGCCACCCAACAATCTCAAAAGCTTTCTTGGCCACAATAATAACAGCACGCCCCACACACCCACTCTCTCCCCCACCCCTCTCTCCAACCTCCTCATCCTCCTCGATCCGCTGCCTCGAGATGGCGCAGGGAAAGACCAAGGGCCTCAAGGCCAAGGTGGCCTCGGGCGGCCGGAAGAAGAGCGGTACCATGTCCAAGGGCAAGCGCGACATTCCTCCCAAGAATGTCCACCATGTGCGCGAGCGCCAGACCAAGAAGGTGAGTCTAGGTGGAGAGGGGGGTGGGGGCACGGGTACCAAGAGGTGATGCGAGTGGCATATTCCTGCTATTGTGTGGTCTGGTCTTGCCCCTCGTGTAGCTGGCGATACGGGGCATATCGCCCTCCCAACCGAGCTGCTGCACATCGCATCTTGCAGCAGTGTACCATCGCACCCTACCCCGTCCTTCCTTACACACTGACCACGCGCTTACCCCCCACAGCAACTCTCGTCCAGGATCAACAACAACATTGAGAAGCAGATGGTCAACGCCGCCAGCTCGGGCAAGCTCACCATCATGAAGAACAAGGGCGAACTCGAGGCGTGAGTACAGTTATCCGGCCCACAAACTTAACTGACGCATGTCACAGCGGCAAGGGCAAGAAGTAGACTTTTGTTGTACATGTAACCATGGACGCGTATTATATCGGACACGATGGATGGTGCGAGCGGCACCAGCGGCGTTGGCTGGAACATGACCGCGAATGTCTGGTAGGGTGGCGAGTGTGCCCGCTAACTCTCTGCCACTAAACGTGGTATCCATACTCACAAACGACCGCTGACCTATGCGAGGTTGTCGGTTAACGGGTACGAAAGGATATGACAACAGCTCACAGTGGCTTGTGTCCTTCTCTTGTCTCGAACATGCGGCGTGTCCTCGCTCAGAACCCTCGTGGGTCGGCTCGTATCAGCCCCCTACTGGCAACTCGTTCACAAGCTACGAACCATTTCAGTGGTCGCTTTTTTCCATCTTGCCTCCATTGCCAGCAATGAAACCTCATGAACAGGAAGGCTTCCCTAGAGCTCAGAGCCTACGATATTCTTGCCCCCGTCCCCTCCCCTTTGAGTATTTGGTCCCCTGCGCGTCTCGCCATACGCCACCCGGCCACCCGGCCACTTTGCCCTACCCCGCTGCAACCTGCACTTGCTTGTCCGACTTGCCCAACCTCGTCGTACCTTTGCAGCCGGCACAAGCCAGCCTGCAATCCTGCAATACTGCAATACTGCAAGCCCGCAAGCCCGCAAGCCTGTAGCCCCCACACGCTTACGTCGAGGACACGGCTCGTGCACGGTCGGCCGTCTCGTCCCCACCAGCCAAGACGTGCTCCCATCCTATTGACCCACTGATCATCGTCGTCCCGCCACAGCACAGACCACGTCGTAAAGCAACCATATGCGGGGTGTAACATGCAACTCTGTCCAAAACCCGTATGGCGATGCAGTCCTGCAACCCTGTTGCTTCTGCGCACAGGCAGTGGTGGCGATCGGATGTTGTGAAGTGACGGTGGCTGTTGCCACTCCGGTACGTGCCGGTGGTGCCGGTTGAGGTGGCGCGCCACGAAGAGGATTGGATCCCGCGATCTCGCAGAGTGGTCTGTCTAGGTTGGCTGGCAGGGCCTGCGATCCAGCGAGTCTGAACTGCCGTGCTACTACTGCCTACATCTCTACCTAGGGCTACTGAGTACACTGAGAGATCGTGACCCCAAAGGGATACAGCCATCCTGGTGACGTAGGCAGAGCAACGCCAACGTGTAACAGAAGGCTGAGTCCACATGGCCACAAATATCCGACCAGAGGCCAGAGGGTGTTTGATACGACGGCACTCGTGGCGACTCTCTCACGACGTTTTTGGCCTCACAATCAATGCACCACTGCATGCACCGGCCCACCGGTAACCATCCCATAGCGTGTCCACGCTAGGCAGCTCAACGCAAAGGCCATGACACCACACGGGCCACACGACTAGCCCCAGGCCAAGCCTGTACAGATGGAGTTCTTTGTCGTGGACATCCGGTCTGCATGAACGCCACTCCCCCACCTCCACACGCTTGGTCGCGAGCACCCACACCATGCGCCACAGGTAATCTCCCCCCCTCCCCCTTTGTCATCGCCTCCGCCGCCCCCAGTCGCAAGCCTCACCTTGTCCCCAGGGGTTACTTTTTTTTATTCAGACCGATCAGACAATGGCTTTCCCCTCGTGTCACGTCCGCAGACTAGGACACTACTGCTCTTCTAGTGTGGGTGGGGAGTCATTTCGAGACCCATCCGTAGGCTATTCCAAGAGATCTGAGAACACTGATCGAGGCCGTCCGTATATCCGTATGGGTATGTTGCCCATGTGTGTCGTGGCATGTGGCGGAGACCTAGCGAAACATACAGTTACCGTACAAGTGTTAACCGGAACAGAGAGGCTCGAGCGGCTCCCGGCAGCACCTGGGACTTTTGGCCTTTGGAGGACAAGACACCATACGTGGCTAGTCGCTGTGGCCGTTGACAGACAGTCCGTGACACATACACAGTCCCAAGCGTCACTCACAGCCAGCTGCGCGGACAGCTGCGCGCTGGCTGCGCTGCACGGCTCGACGCCTTGTCCCGGGTTGGAGGGTCGAGTTTGTGGGTTTTTTACAGCCCCCAATCCCCAACCCTCGCCCCGGGTGGCTCCCTGCGCTGCAACCCTGGTGTCTCCCTCACCGTGTACCCTCGTCACTGCCCAAAAAACCGGTTCACGCTTGCCCTGTCTCTCGGCCGCCGATGAGGGGTTATGCTGAGGATGAATCTCCCACGAGGTAGATCCGTTGAACTCTACTCTGTCTGGGATGTCTGATACTGGTCCACTCTGATTGACTGTGGGAAAAAGTAGCCGATTCGGCAATCATCGCCCACAGTCCCACAATCTCCAACAGCTCGTCTCCCTGCCCTATTCTATGCACTGCATGCGTGCCTCTAGTCTACTACTTAAACCTCGAAGCTGTCGACCTTGTCCTCGGCACCCTCGGCCCAGGCGGCAACCGAGACCTGGCCATTACGCTGGACAATGATCTCGAGGACAAGGTTCTTGCCCTCGGCGACGTCGACCTCGACGGCGCCAAGACGGGTGGTCTTGACAGAGACCGAGGTGCGGATCTCCTCGTCCTCGTCGTCCGAGTACTCGTCCTCGTCCTCGGCGGCGGCGGCCTTCTCCGACTCGGTCTTCTCGACCTTCTCGACCTTGATCTCGTCCTTGCCCTCCCAGATCTCGAGGGCGGTGACACCGCCGGCGACGGGGAACGACACCCTCCTGCGAGCAGGGAGGGGGGCGCCAACCTCGATGACCTTGGCGGCAAGGAGGTCGTCGGTGGCGCCGGGGATGACGACACCAATGGGGGCGGCGGTGGTGGGGAGGGGGTTGGCGGCGAGGGCGAGGACATCGTCAACCTTGAGCTTGGAGTCGAGGTTGGCGAGGTGGAGGGCCTGGAGGGCACAGCCGACAGCGATGACCTCGGAGGGGTCAAGGGCGGCGGTGATGGGGGTGGTAGGGGGGACAAGGAAGGAGAGGTGCTGCTGGAGACCGGGGAGGAGGGTCGACGAACCGGCAAGGAGGATCTCGTCGATCTGGGCGAGCTCGAGGCCGGCACCCTCCACGTACTCGCGGAGACGGGCGTCGACCTGGCGGTAGACAGTGCCGGCGAGCGAGTCGAAGCGGATACGGTTGATCGAGGTCGAAAGGTCGTAGCCGTCCTTGAGCGACTCGACGGCGCAGGTGGCGGGACCAGCCGAGGCCGAGAGCGAACGCTTGGTGTGGTCAATGGCAAGGCGGAGCTTGGCCTCGGCACGCTTGTCGGCGGCCGAAGCAGACTCGGAGCAAGGGAGCTCAAGAGCGACCTTGGTCTTCTTGGTGAACTCCTTGGCAAAGTGCTTGATAAGGAGGTTGTCAAACTCGCGGCCACCAAGCTTGTCGTCACGGCCCTTGTTCAGGACAGTGTACTCGCCGTCGGCAACGGAGATGACCGAGACGGCAAGCGAGGTCTCGCCCATGTCGAGGACGACAACCTTCTTGTCACGGGCCTCAGCCTCGCCGGCGGTGCCCTCCTCGGGCTGGCCAAGGAGACCACGCTCCTTGCGCTCCTCGGGCATGCCGGCACGGTAGCCGACAAGGACGGCAGCGCACTCGTCAAGGACCTGGATGACGTTGATGCCAGCGGCAGTGGCAGCGTCACGGAGAGCCTGGGTCTGGGCAGGGGTGAACCAGGTGGGGGCCGAGATGACACAGTGGGTGGGCTTGGTGCCGACAAAGTCGGTGGCCGAGGTGAAGAGGGTCTGGAGGAAGAGGGTGGTCACCTCGGGGGCAGTGAGGGTCTTCTTGGCAGCGGTAGGCTCAGCAGGGATGGGAGTAGCGTAGCCCGAGGGAGCAGCCGAGCGCGAGACGGGGGTAGGCGCAGCGGGAGGGGGAACCATAATGTCAACGGTGTAGGCAGGGATCTTGGACTCGGCAATGAGGGGAGCGGCAAGGATGGCAGTGTGGTCCACCTCGTCGTAGGTGTGGCCGAGGAGGTTGCGGAAGCCCATGATCGTGTTGTGGCCGTTCTTCACAAGCTGGGGCTTGGCACCGTTGCCGATGTACTGGAAAGCAAATGTCAGCTCACCTGCTCGTCTTGTCGGACGCGCTTGTTCACTCACGACCTGGTCCTCGACGTACGAGACGGCGCAAGCAATCTGGCGCTCGCCGTCCTCGTTGGCGATACAGGCGGCATGGCCCTCCTTGTCGATAACGGCGATCGACGCGAACGACTGGCCAAAGTTGATACCAAGAATAACAGGAGCCGACCTGGACAAATGTTAGTGACATGGGGATGGTGAGGACGAGAGGGGGGTGATGTGTCGAGGAAGGGAGAGGCACGCACATGTTGGACAAAATCAAGACACCTTTTTTAGGAAGAGGATAGTTTATAGATCAAAGAGAGAGAGATGAAGCTGCGCCAAGCTGTTGAGGAGGTGGCCGAGCTGCTGCAGTTCGTTTTGGTTTTGGTGTGGGGGGGTGTGACAGGTTTGGATCGCGGTCGTGTAATTTTCAGGCAGCCCGTTGGCAGATGAGGCGGCGGAAGTAAAAATCCCCCGGTTTAGCCACTGTGTTCTGCCCATTTGTAATCACCTTAGAACAGTCGCTTGTAATGCCAGGGTCGTGCAATACAATTGAGCGAGTAAGGCCTGTGTCGTCATTGTGTCTTTGCAAGGTCTCTCTATCTGCCTCTTGAATGGATGCGGGGGGCAACAGAGTGACGCTGCATGGTGTGTGGTATCGCCCCTCCAGGTAGCAACTTGTGCTATAGACGTGTTGAAAGGCTAGAGAGGAATAGCTTGGGGCAAGAAGAAACAGAGGAAGGCGGCAAGATGGACGGGAGGGAAGACACAGTGTCCAGTGTACCAGTCAACCACATCCACCACATTCATTTCGCTGCTGTCGTCGGCTCACCATCTTTCGGACACTGTGTCATTCCAACATACGATCAAACCTTGAGTCACCACCTCGTACCTCACAGCGACAATCCAGAAGTGACGGACACCCTCTCGAAAGTATCCTTATGGTGACCGCCCCGCCTGCGCACCCGCAGGCGACCCTGTTGGATGCTCTGGCTCCATCGTACGCACTTGCAACTGCGGTGACCTCGTTCCCTCCATCCAACGGACTTCGGTACTTCGATAAGAGTTCTGTACCACCTGCCACAGCATCGGCACGTGACCCATCAGACCCGTCCACCTCCGGCGCGCCGGCCGGTGCGCGGCCATGGTCATGAACCATTCCTCAACTGGCCGCGACGCAGGAGTGTACGGACTGTGACGACTGACAGGCAACCTGGCACGCTCACCGACATCCGGATTCCTGGAAAACGCCACCTGCGAAACGACGAGCCCCGGCCGCCGCTTCTCGTACGTCGGTCGCTCCCTCCTGCAGAGTCCGGCCAGTGTCTCCAGTCCAGTAGTCCTGCAGTCCTGCAGTCCTCTGGGTGGGGCACATGCGCGGTTCGCCTTGGCACCATGAATGCTGCAACTGGACCAAAAGAGCGAGCAGCCTCTCCTCCCCTCCTCCATCGCGACGATATCATTTCCTGCCCCCTCCCCAATTTCGCGAAACAGACCGCCATGTCTCGCGTCTCAGTGTTCCTGTTTCGACATTTCTCTTTTTTCGGAGTCGTCTATCGTTCCCTTCCGTTTGCGCATTTCTGTGCTTCTTCTGTCCCCTCTCTGCCCCCCCTTGTGTACGAGGATGAAAAGGTGGCACACGGCTGTGGGGGGGGGGATGTGAGGATCCTGTTGCAGGAGAGGATGCGCAAACCTGAACGATGGCTTCCCTTTGCGAGTGTGGGATGGACGCACGCGCGCGGGGTGGTGGGGGGGGTGCCAGGAGGGGGTTTTGGCTGGCTTTGTCCCTGTGGCTCGTGCGTACCAGGATCTCGTCTATCCACTACGCTCTACGCGTCTACGGTGAGGCGCCCGCTTGGCCGCTTGCACGCTTGCCTGCGCGCTAGAGCGTCGTCCTCACGCGCGCAGATGGCGCACACTCGGGCCCATGCACAAGCCCGCAGCCTGCTCTCACCACCCGACAGACAGGTAAAGCGCACGCGACGGGCGCGAGCACACACCGCAACGAGGCGTTCACCCTCCAGCGCCGCCGCCGCTGCCGCCGCCGCCGACCACTCCTGCTACTCTTGCACTCTCGACGTGCTACAGCTCATCGCGCATCGTTCTCTTGTTGACAACTGTGCTTTGTCTCTCCCACATTACCCACTCCCAATCGCTCATCGTCTCGACTCTGTTGTACCCCCCCCCCCCCCCCCCCCCCCCCCGTGCTTTTGTGCCCTCCCCCCTATCATCTCTCCTCGCTCGACCTCCGAGGCTTTGCCTGCCTGCCCACGACATTCAGCACCCTCTCTCGACCTTGCCTCTCCGTCCGCTGTATCTCTTGTCCTCTTGCCAGAGCCGCAGTCGTCAGAGAGGCCAACCTTGACCGTCTATCGCACCAGCCCCATCGCGCGATCGCACCACCCGAGCTGCGCCCCAATGGTCGGCACCGCGTCCATTCGTTCACATACGGAGCGAGCGCCGAGTTACGGCAGCAGCGAGAACATTCATGTTTCTCTGCCTCCCCGCAAGCAGTCTTTGACGCAAAACGGCTCGGGCCAGCCCATGGTGCCGCGCGGCAGCCGAGAAGGGTAGGTTGTAGCGTTGGTGGGGAGTGCCGGCCGGGCCTTTTCATGAGAGAGAGAGAGAGAGAGAGCGGGGGGTGCCTTATTATTCTGTACCAGCACGACTGACTTCCTTTCTCGCAGGTCACCACAGAACGCTGGACCCAATGCTCCGGGCACTTCCACTTTTTCCCCTCCCTCCCCTCGCTTCCGGTACGAATCTGCGCGCAGCTCGCCGAAATCTGTCGCATCCTCCATACGCGGCAACATCTCCGGTCCGATTCTTCACTCGTCACCCTCATGCAGCTCACTCCGGCCGTCAATTTCCTCCCTGTCAGGCGCAGATCTCGTCCAGCCGAACGCCTCGCAAGCCTCGTTGGGAAGCGGAACCCCACTTGGCACACCTGTTAGCGGACGATGGCCATCGTCGTCGTCGTCGGCGCGCGGTGTAGTAGGTGCACACCGTCCTAGTCCCAGCATGCCCCTCAACTCGTCGCCATGGCCGCCTTCTCCGAGCTCGTCGGAAATGAGCCAATACAGGATGAACTACACGCCGCAGCCGCCACTGCCCATGGCACGGTCCAACTCGTCGGACACGTTCGGCAGCAACCCCACTCCAATCCCGAAACTGCAACGCAAAAAATCGAGTGCTTCTTTGCTTGTTGGTGGCATCGGACGTGGTCTGGGGCGAGCCACATCGGTTCTCCGCAAGGCTAGCAACAGTAGCCAGCAACCCGCAGCAGATCTGCCCGCATTCGGCACTATCCCTCTGAATAGCCAGCCGCGTTCACTGGGACCTACATGGGGTCGTCGAACAAAGCGTCACGGCTCGTCAACGCTCCAAGATTTGTGCGAGGACGACGACGAGCCCATGCCGTCTGGTAGACGGGGCGGGCATGACCGCAACGAGATGCCAGTCGGGTGGGTCGAAGTTTTAAAGTCTGCCCCGCCTGCAGACATGTACAAAACGGGCTCCTCGAGTGCAACGCCGGTTTCAAAGCCACCAGGCTCGGGTGTAAGCTTGCCGTTCAACGTCCAGGTAAGCCGCGTGGATTATTGTTTTTACTTGTTACATACAGAGTGACGCTAACTCTGCCACTAGCACGACTTGCACGTATCGGCTGATCTCGATGGCATGCCAGACGACTGGATAACAAAGCTCAAGGCACAGGGGCTGTCGGAGGCTGACCTGCTTCTCATCACTGCTGCGCAAAAGAAGCAACGTGCAGTGCCACTTATCAAGTTGAAGCCACTGCAAGCAGGACAACCTGCGCAACCAGCACCACCACAAGCACAACCATCAGTGCCTGCACCTACACCTGCACTTGTTACTGTGCCCGCAGCTGCCACACCACCGGCACTGCCTACTCCCCAGACGTCGCCCAAGACTAAGGCCGAAAATATCTCGCCCACGGATCCTGCAGAGCCTGTGGCACCACCTGCATACACACCAGCACCGGTACCGGCACTGGCCATGCAGCCGTTACCGCCGGTTCCCCAGTCTTCGGCCCACACAGCATCTCAGGTTCACAGCCGGCAATGCTCGGCCGCCGACGCCACGATTGTCACCGTCACTGGAGCCGGTGTCAAACGAAAGCCCAGTATCATCTCCAAGCTCCTCGACGATCTTGACTCGGTGAGCTCGCGCCCGTCAAGACCAAGTGTATCGCGTCCATCAAGGTCGCGTGCCCGGTCGTCTGGCGAACCCCGCGTCCGCAAGCCCGCGGAGGCACCAGCGCATACAGGCCAGGCTGTGGTCCTCGTCGACAACCCCGTGCCGCCACCACCAGAGGGCGACAATGAGGATGAGCCAGTCACCTCGTCGGTTCGCCAGCGAACGCAGTCGCAGTTTAGCGCGCTCAGCGCAACGAGCGCAATGTCGTCGTCGCGTGGCTCGTCACTGCACCGTGTCGAGTCGAGACGTATCTCGGTCGAGCTGCGCGGTTTCCGTGAGCTGGCGATCAATGGCGAGGATGGGTGGGCCTCCTCGGTTCTCGCGGCCTGGGACGACGAGCCTGACGTTGCCGTGACGCGTTCCCATGTACGTTCGTCCAAAGCGCCTGCAAGGGTGGTATCAAAGCGTATTCAGCGTGTCCCGGAACTCGACCTCGCGCAGCCGCAGCCGCCCGCTCTCGCTCCGTCGTACGGTGTCGCTCTCACGCCTCCCTTGGAGAGTACTACTACGCCTTCGACCGCCGACACCCGAGCGCCCATTCCATTCTACGACAGCCCCGTCGCCTCGGCGTCTGCTCCCGCGAGCCACAGGTCACCGACGCTGGTAGCTCCTTCCCCGCACCCCGACTCCCCCGAGGTCGAGGTTGTTATGCGTAGGCGATCCAAGTCGTTTGACTTTGACCCAGCTCTCCGCGCGACGCTGTACTCGCCGCCTCCGCCGCCACCGCGACCTCCCCGCGGCAACGGCCCGAGGGCGTTGTCGGGTTACGAAGTGACCACAGTCCCACTGGCGACTGTGGTAGCTGCACCCATCGTGCGCTCTGTTGACGGCCACCACCGCCGTAAGAGCGTCGACTCGTTTGGCGTCGCCCACTCGCCCTCTTCGGCTGGGTCATCACGCTGCCCCTCGTCGTCCGAGCTGGACCTCGGCACCCCGCCCCTGGAGCCGCCAGAGAAGGCCCACACAAAGCCCCAAAAGGAACGTACCCCGCCTATCCGCTCGCTGGGTTCAGCAGTGGCACTGCGTGCTCTGCCCCAACCACCGCGGCACGGCGACAACATGCCCAACGACGAGCGTCCGCCGTCGTCAGATGACATTGTGGCAATGTACGGTGACGATGGTGACAATGGCGACTCGCCCAGTACCATGGCTAGCCATGACTTGCCGCCATTCAATGCGTCTACGACCTCTGTCCAGTCCATCCCTCTGCGCCCAGGCCACAGGAACCAGCACCTCCAGCACCTCCAGTTCCCCGTCTCGGCCACGAGCCTTAACCTCAACTCGCCGCCCTTCCCCATCCACCACGCGACGTCGGAGGAGTCTGACGGTGAAATGGGTTTCTCCCCCTCGTCGTTTGGCGGCAGCTCCCTCCCTGCCGTGTCGGCTCTGGGATTGTGCCTCACTATCAGCGAGTCGCACCCGCGGTCGCGCTCGCACTCGCAGTCGCGCAACTCGGGCAGCCACTCGGGCAGCCACTCGCGCTCGCACTCGCCCGGCGCCAGGTCGGGCAAGGAGAACAGGGACGAGCACGACCCCCGGGACCGCGACTTGCGCAGCTCCATGCTCTCGCGCATGGGCAGCATCACGTCCGTTGCGTCTTCGGCGCACTCGTACTCGCTGCACGAAGTCACCGTGCACCGCGCATACACGCGTGTGCTCCGCCGCGTAGCCGAGGGCGCCGAGACGCCCAACGGGAGCGATATGGACCACGGCACGGCGTCGTCGACCGCCAGCGCGAGCGAGTGCACCGCCGGCGCTATGGGCGCACTGGAGGAGGCGGCGTGGCGTGTCGCGTTGCGCGAGCGTGTGGCGACGGGGTAGATGGGTGTGGCTTTTTGACCGGCTTGATGTCGGCGGGCTCTCCTTTCTTCCCTATCCCGCGGCGCCGGCGAGAGAGAGCGCATTGTTCGTTCCTTTGCCTTTCTTCAAGTATCCGTTAATCGTTATAATTACTCTCTCGCCCCGCGCGCTGTGCCGAGAGCTGCTGCCGCCGCCGCCACCCCCCAACCAATCCTGTGACAATGGATCAAGGACCGTCCGGGACGTTTTGGGCCGTGAAAAAAGTCTCGTCTTATCTGTCGACACATTCTAAACCCACACGAACTTCATTGTCAATCACTCTTCTGCTACCCACTTCACCCCCTCACCCTACCCTCGCTGCTACCCATCACGTCTATATCACCTATCACAATCACATCCACGACCCCCCACCATCACTTATGCCTCGTACGTTGCCTTACTGGTATACTATGCATTGCTGTGCGACGTAGACGAGAGACATGGAAAAGAAGGAGTGAGAGGAGGAGGGATATAAACAAATTAACACAGTGGATTGCGGGTGGCTGGGTTGGTTGGTTGGTTGACGGCCCATATGTAATACAGAGCTGTCCACGTGCATGCCGTCGGTCGGTCGTCTCAAGTCTAGCAATGTTCCCGCTGTATACGGACGGGGAGTGACGGCTCCCGGCAGTCTCTTGTCTTGTGCTCTTGTTCTTGTCTTGTATGTCTACACGTGCTGGATGTCTGTATTGCCAGGTAATAAGCAGGGTCATGACACTCGACATTTTGGGCGAGCCTAGGCCTTGGCCTTGTTGGCACGCGCGTACTCGACAAAGTCGTCAATGGTCGACGGCCAAGCGGCTGCACGGGTTAGCTTCCTCTGAGGTGACGTCTGACCCACCTTCATCGTCATACTCCGTGTAAGCAGCGTCAATGGTGCGCACAAAGTCGATGAATAAGGACCAGGTGTCCTTGCTGACGGCGCGGTTCTTCTCACGCATAAAGTCGAGCCACAGGTCGAGGTCGGCATCGCCAAACTCGGCGGGAGTGTCGGTCGACTTGCCCGTGGGGCTTGATCCGGTGGGGACGCGAGAGAGGGCACTGGGGCGGGCATGGAGCGCAGGAGGAATGTACAACGACCACATGTCGATGGCCGTCTCGAGAGCGAGGACGCGGGCGCCAGGCGCCTTGCACAGGTCGAACGTGTGCATGTAGACCTTTTTGAAGTATTCGGCGTTCGAGTTGAGCTTGGTGCGGAGCGTGGGGAGGGCGGCCTTCATCTTGGCAATGGAGTTGATCCTGCGGTAGGCATGTGTCAGGAAACAGGACGAGGGAGGGTGCAGTAGCAGGACCAACGACCTCGGGGGCCTACTCACGACGAGTCAATCGACAACCAGCCCTGCACAAAGGGCTCCTTCTCCCACTCGCCAGTAGCCTTGGATCCGAGGTCTGATGCGAGGCAGAAGAGCACAGAGTCCGAGGCGGGGTCAATGTCGAGCTCCTCGCACAAGGCCATGGTGCCCTCAATGGTCACAAGCTTGGGGTTGGAGGCATCTGGAGAGTGTTAGTATATCTAGAACTGAGAAACGAGTAGTGATTTGTGGCCACAAATTACACGTCCACGACGTCACCGCCCATGTCGCTGCTACCCAGTAGGTAGCATCAGGCCACACACTCACCCTTGAAGCGCTCCCAAATGTCACCAATCTTCTTGGCGTTGTCGGCCGAGCTGCTGGCGCTGCCGCCGCCCGACGTAGCGTGCTCCAAGTACCCGTTGATGGCACGGTGCAAGTCATACTTGTACTTCTTGAGGAACTTGGCCGCGTCCGTCGCGCTGAATATTAGCTGATGTCGCCGTTACCGACGCGCGGTTAGCTTACGAGGTGCCGGTGACGTCGCGGAACTCTGCGATGAGCTGCTTCTCAGCGCTCTTGGTGAGAGGGGGAGCCTGTAGCATGTCAGACGATGGTAAAGGGGAGAAGGAGACAGAGGGACGACGCAAGTTGCCACTGGGGCCAACGCCATCACGATCAAGCCGTTCGTGTGTTGATGATTGGAAGAGGGAAGGTGTCGTGAGATATACATACCATGACGTGCTGCTTGTTGGTGTGAGACAGCCAGCGGACGAGGCGGTAGCAGAGGATAGCTGCTACGAGGGTGAGGACGAGGTATAGACGCACAATGTCGGCGAGTGAGCGGAGTGGACGGAGTGGCGAGGAGGCCATGGACCATGCGCCGACGGCGAGAGCTGGCACAACGCGCGCGCAACCAGCAGCGCCCAGACCTGCACACTCATGCAACACCGTTGACCGGCCTCCACCGAACGGCCCGATGGGAATATCCAGTGTATTTTGGACCATTTTGTGCGCGCGGAAGTCCCACGTGGCTAATAAATGACGTGTGTATTTATTTTCATTATCAAAGCCCACATATATCCTGTGGCCCCTGCTGTGTGATCTTGTGAACGGGATCAAAACGCGCCCGCACGGGGACGCGCGCGTTCCACTCCCTGGTGCTCCCCGCTTTCGCTGCCACGGTGGACACACCTTCGTTGGTCGTCTCTTGTCGTCCGTCCGTTCATCTCCACATCCCCATACCACAACCATGGCCGCCGCAGCAGTCTCCACCCCGAGCCCCGAGGACATCTCCGCCGCCTCCTATGTCGGCTTCGACTGTGAGCATACCAGGACGCGACAGCGCACGCGGCCGACACACACCTCAACGCGGACAGGACGGGATGGAGGCACACGGACCTCCTCTTCCGCGACCTCGCGCCGTCTTCTGGCGCGTGCCCACCACCACCGTCCTGTCGTCCGCGTTGAGACGGTCGTGCGGCCGTCCATCACGCACATTATTGAGATACGCAGTGAGCTAACATGCAGCGATCACGCGCCAGATCGAGCACAAGCTGCTGAAGCGCGGATTCCAGTTCAACGTCATGGTTGTTGGTGAGTTGTTACTAGACCCGTGTTGCGCCAACTGGTTGGACTAACCACCCCACTCAGGCCAGACTGGTCTCGGCAAGTCGACCCTCGTCAACACCCTCTTTGCGTCGCACCTCGTCGACTCGAAGGGCCGCACCGAGCCCGACATTGCTCCCCGCGCGACCACCGAGATCCACCCCAAGTCGCAGGGTGAGTTTGGCGCAAGCAAACCGCGGGCCGAGAGGGCGGGGAGCGCAGCGTGCACAAGAGGAGGCCCGGGCGCGTAACTTGGCACGTATGGCGCGTGTTCATCTGCACTTGTGGCCACCTCGCGCTGTGTGTCGTAAACTTCTTACCCTCGCGTGTTGTGTGGATGCTTGGAAGCTTGAAAGCTTGAAAGCTGGATGCTGGATGTGTGTGGAGGCTGATACTGTAACAGTTATTGTTGAGAACGGTGTCCGCCTCAAGCTTAACATTATCGACACTCCCGGTTACGGCGACCTCGTCAACAACGATGGCTGCTGGGAGCCGATTGTCAAGCACGTAAGTTTAAGAACCTTCACAACGATCCAACTGACAATCCTCAGATCAAGGACCAGCACTCTGCCTACCTCCGCAAGGAGCTGACCGCCATGCGTGAGCGCTTCATCCCCGACACCCGCATCCACTGCTGTGTTTTCTTCATCAACCCCACCGGCCACACCCTCAAGCCCATTGACATTACCGTGCTCAAGAAGCTGTCCGAGATTGTCAACGTCGTCCCCGTCATTGCCAAGGCCGACAGCCTGACCCTCGAGGAGCGCGAGGCCTTCAAGCAGCGCATCATGGCCGAGCTGCAGTACAACCAGATCAGGCTGTACCCCTTCGACGGCGAGGACCTGGACGCCGAGGAGCTCGACGTCAACGAGCGTGTCCGCTCTATGCTTCCCTTTGCCGTTGTCGGCTCTGAGCGCAACGTCATTGTCGACGGCAAGTCGGTTCGCGGCCGCAAGAACCGCTGGGGCACCATTGTCGTCGAGGACGAGACCCACTGCGAGTTTGTCTACCTCCGCAACTTCCTCACCCGCACCCACCTCCAGGACCTCATCGAGACCACGAGCCAGATCCACTACGAGACCTTCCGCTCAAAGCAGCTCCTTGCCCTCAAGGAGTCGTCTGCCAAGCAGCAGCAGGCCACCCCTGCTTAATTGCGGTTCACGCCGGCGTGGGCTCCATCTCTTGCTCTCCCCCTCCCTTTTTGTCTGCCGTCTCTCTCGCTCTCCAAAATATATCTGTCCCCCCTTCAAATTCGACCCGAGGTTTTCGTAATGTTCTTTGTCAACCCCGAGCGGTGATACCTGTGATGCACTTATGATATGATGTGATTAATCTGGCAGACGTGATAGACGTGGGCCGTGTCCAGGCCTTGCAGCATGTTGTGGTGTGGATCCAACCTTAACCCGAGTCGACAGACGGAACAACCCACCCACCGGTTGTGTGCACATCTGCGGCCTTGTACTGGAATATCTCCTGACCCTGGTGCGCTAAGCGACGTGGAGATTGCAGAAAAAGAAAGGTCTGGCGATCATGTGGGCTCCTAGCATGGGAACCGTCAGGTGGTGTGGGTTTGGTTATCCCAACTGATATCACGCAACACGTACATACTTGCACGCACATCCACTCATTCCGTCCAATTCATTGACCACAAAAGTGTGGTGAGCCGAGACGTGACGATCGCGTTCCGCGAGGCACCACTGAACATACCGCTGATCGTCGCGTTCGTCGCCATTCGTAGCTTTGCTGGTACGCGCAGCTAGTGGATGTTTTAAAGTCTAGGCCCCAGCTTGCAGCTAGGGAATGAACCGTGGAGCCGTGGATCGTGAAATGTGCAGCGATAATCGCGCACGGAGAAAAACAAAAAACAAAAAACAAAAACAAAAGCAAAAAAACAGAACAGCGCAAAACCGCGGGTGACACCAATCTGTGGAACGAGTCGTAGCCATTCTGCAGGGAAAACACACACACCCGCTTATTTCATTCCTCTATCCTGACATACAACAATGCATAGCGCTTGAAATGCGATAATATACGTGTGCTTTGCATGGCCGGTTGCTGGAATACAACTACAACTATACAACTCTGGGTAACTGTGACGGACAGAAAGGGAACCGACGACCGAATGTGGGTTGGTGTGGCATGGCAGACGGAAATAGTGTGGTGGTGTGTGTGCGTGGTTGGTCGTCTCGTCGTCTCGTGCTACCCCCGTGTCGTAAACAGGAGCACCATGTGAGCTATCAGTGCGTGTTATTGTTGCTATCGTTCTCGTGGTGATGGTTATGGCCAACGAGTCGTCGCCAGGGCGAGTTCTGGAACATCCTCCAGAATAGAGTTTGGATGCGAGCCAAGACACAACCTTGCGGAGCGTGTCTGGTGTCTGTGATCCTGGAGACTGGGGGGATGGGAAAGTGGGGATGGCGCGATCGCCGGGAGATGTGGTGAGATTGAAACCCAAGTGCAGCGAGTGCACTGCCAAGCAAGTGGATCCATGGTGTGTGAGGGTCGCGTGGATGGCGATGCAAGGTTTACTGTCGCTGGCCCAGACGCCGCATCGCACGCGTGGCACACCCGCCTTCCTCCTCCTCGAGGACCTCGACACCTTCGCTGATTTCCATCCGGCTGATCCCGGCGAGCATGTCGCGACGGACCAGGCGCTCTTCCTGTGTCATGCCGGCGCGAGCCGCCACAGAGCCAAAATAATAGGTGTGCTGCTCCGCTTCGCGCATCCATGCCAGACACCTGCGGTCGATAGGGGTGGTGGGAGACATCTCGGGCGAGGAAGGTGTGGGTGTGGCCAAGGACGAGATGGAGGAAGTCGACGAGGTGGACGATGACGACGCAGACGAGTCCCGGGGGTCACGAATGGGCGGCGGCGGTGGCAACGCAATGCTGGTAGTGGGACTGTGCAGGACACTCGTAGAGGGCATCTTGCGCAGCGAGCGGAAGAGCGGTTTGGAGACGGGGGTCGTGTTGGCAGATGATGCCGAGGCAGGTTGGGCATTTTCCTTCTGCTTGAACGGCCATCCGGGTTCGAGGGTTGTGGACAATGATGGGCTGTGCCCAGGTGTCAATGTGGCAGACGACGAACAGTCGCTTGGGGACGACGCAGAGCGAGCGCGCACAGCGTCTTCACGCCTCCTCTCGCGCTCCCTCTCGCGCTCATACTGTCGCTCTCGGCGTTGCTCGAGGTTGGTCGTGCGGGGCTCGACACCGAGCCGGCGCTGAAAGTCTGCACTGCGTTCCAGGCGTTCAATCTCGAGAAGCTCGAGGCGCTCGAGGCGCTCCACGCGGCGTTCCCTGTCGTCGGCACGCTCACGGTCACCGCCAAGATCAATGATAGCACCAGCACCGCCGCTACTCGAGCTGCTTCCAAGCGATCGCAATGACGCAGCCGACTCGCGGTGTCTGATGTATGGTGTCTGGTCGGTGAGGAATGGATGGTGTACCTTTCGTGGCGACGCAGTCCCGGACTGTGGGATGGAGTAGACGGACAACGTCATGTGCGGGGTACGCGGGGACGCCAGGGACGCAGACGCCGTCGAAGTTGAGGCTGCTGATGCCAGTGACATGTTTGAACCGAACGAGTTGGCCGACCCAGAGCGCAGCATGGTGGGGCGTGACCGTGAACGGGGTGGCGAGGTGGTCGAGCCGTGGGCTGGAGGAGAGGCTGGCGTGATTGTAGGAGGAGGGGGTATGCTCCGTCCCCGCAGGGACAGACCGAGACCCGAGAGGCTCCAGCTGCTTGTACTTGTGCTAGTGCTTGGGCCTGAAGTAACGACTGGAAGAGACGCGGTGGTGGCGGTTGGAGAGGGTGAGGAGAAGGATGAAGTTGGGGTGAGGCAGACTGGGGACGCTAGGCCAATGGCTGATCCACTTGGTGCAGGGGCCGGGGCGGACCAGCTAGTGTTGAGCCGCGGCCGGGTGGTGGCGGTGAACGAGGAGCTTCGAGGAGGACCTGGACGCGCAGCCCTCACTGTAGCATCTGAGTCGTGTGCGTTCGCCGCCACTTTCTGAGCCGTGAGTCCCAAAGTCGACATGCCTGGGGGTGGCGCAGACATTCCTGATGTTGATGACGGTGGTGGTGGTGATGGTGGTGTTGGTGATGAAGTCTGTGCGGGGTAGTGTGGTACCTGGGATGTTGCCGTCATTGTTGGCCCTTGGGCTCCATCGAATGGCGACACAATGGTCGAGCGACAACGGCCTGATGGTGAGATGGAGTACACTTCGTAAAGGTGTGTCGTGGAAAGTGTTTTCGTTGACAATGTTGGGAAGGACGTTCTTCTCCCCACTTCGACTGATCCAGTATATACCCCTGCCCTTGCTCTCCTTTGTTCCTCTTTCCCGTCAACGTCCATTCTTGCGTGGTTGTCGTGCCGTCGCGACGAGGCAGCGCGCAGCGACTGGGATCGAACTGAACACAAGCGCGATCTGCCTCCTGCCTCCTGCCTCCTGCCTTCCTGCCGCCGCCGCCTCCGCCTCCGCCGCCGCCAGCCCGGCGTTGCCTCTTGTTCTTCTCTCCCCCACCTTTTTCCCACAATCCCTCCCAGCCTCCTAGTTGCTCTCTTTTGACGCACACTTTGTTGAGCCTCTTCGTGTGCCCTGGCCGTCAGCTGAGCAGCCCAGGGCCGTCAGATTAATGCTCCGGCGAGGCCTGCATGTCGCACGCTCGTCGCTCACAACATCTGAGGCCTGCATCGCCTCTGCTCATGTCGCTGCGAGGCACACACCCAGAGTGCAACGCGACGGGTGAGTGGAGACCATGAGTTGGACCAGATCTTGGTACTTTGCCGTGGGCACAAGAGCAGAGGGCTAGGCGACGGGCCAGGTGCGCAGGAGATCGGGGCACGTTGTTTCGGTCTGGCTCTCTCTGCTGGCAGCTGGCAGCTTGGCTGCTATCGCTGTTGGTCGGGAACCGGTCGGTTGCTCGTTTCGGCCACGCTATTGAGCCAAACTTAGTACTTATGGACAGAAGGCTGCTCGGGTCGCGCGGGTCGCCTTGTTTTCCCTTTTTGCCTCGAGGCAGACGCGCGTGGTGCTCGCTTTTGTGGATGCCGTACACATTGACAATTGACTGTTCGTCCGACGTGTCCAGTCGCGCTATCGCAAGGGACGGACTTTGCCAGGCAACACTTGAATCCTTGCACCCAAACCGTACGACAACGGCGAAAGCATCACCCAAACCAACCGTGTCTTCCCCGGCACCATGGGGGCCCACGACAGAGCGTGAGAAGCATGTGAAGGGGGGGCTGCAGGCGCCGCCGCCGTGAGATTCGGAGGTGAGAGACATGTTGCGGGGATGAATATCATCCGAAACACTACGGAGGCACGGTTGTCGTGGGCCACCTTGTTGCTGGTGTACATAGATGCTGCAGACAATGACCATGATGCTAGGCGGGATTAAGACGGAATCTGTGCAGCCAGCAACAACAACAGCCCTCCACCGATCCACCGCAGCCAGACGAAGACGAAGACGAGACCCGAATTGCGTTGCGACGATCGCAGGCGCAGTACAGTAGTGCACCCGTGGCGCAAGTAGTGTTGTCACATAACTTAATAACGCGACGTCGCGTTCGTGAGCCGCGTAGCTTGTAGAGCTTGTAGAGCCGTCCAGGCGTCAAGCCGTCGTCTCGCAGGCGCGCGCGCGCGTCGGTTCCAGACACAGAGTTTAAATCAGGCACAGAGTGCACACATGGAACAAGTGTTAAATGACGTGTGGATATTTAACCCAGCTCAATCTTTATCACTCCCTTGTCCACGACAAACTCTGACTCTCGCACCCGCTGGTGCTCGCACCCAACTGGCTCGACATTTCAGTATTTTAGCACACATTCTGCACCTCTCTCTCTCCATTCACTTCTCATCATTCCCCCGTCTCGCCTCCCCCTCTCGTCACGGCGCGCATGGCTTCGGCCCACCTCGATCTCCTTTGGTCTCGTTTCGGATAACGCATCCTTCTCCGAGGGGCACCATTTGGGATCCGGGGGGGCTGTCTGTCGTGCGCGTCGTCGGGGTCGGGTTTCGTCTTTAGCTTTTAGCCTTCTCACACCACCACACCATCACACATTTACGTCCTCTTTTTGCTGAGCTTGAAGGCTACCACTAGCCGCTCCTTTTGCACCTCGATTTGGATTCGCACGCTCGTCGGCCCACCAGCACATCGTCGACCCGATGCCCTTTGCCGAGCGAATGGACCAGTCAAATTGGTCCTCATGTTCCATGCCACTGGAGACTGCTCTGTGGGAACCTCTCATCCCACGCGACAGCCCGGCGAGCTTCCACTCCTCTACCCTACCCCTTTCCGCTGGTCATGCCAACCTTCTCGGTCCAACCTTGTCGACACCATGGCCGGACTCGTTCCAGACACTGGTGTCGGAAGGTTCACCGGGACACTGACGCACCCCACACATTCCATGCCCACCTGTCTACCCATCTACCCATCTTCCCTCCCTCTCCACATCCCACACATTCCAAACCCCAGGCACATTTGCCTAGAGCTCACCTCGTTCACGGGGAGTCCTTACTAGTTGCCTGGGAGAATAGCGGCTTAGGTCTAGACAACCTGTGTCGCAGCGTTAGGTTCACCTTCGGGGGTTCTCGGCGTTGCGAACGGCGCTTCCTCGTCCACCCTCGACTGTCTTCGGGATCTTCGTGATCACCGCCTTTATGGACTGTTGAGGACTATACGGGGCATACATTCCTTCAAACTTCTTTCGAGATTTTTGGATCACGTATTGCTTTCTCATGTTTTGTCACCGCGGGATTCTGTATATTTTGCCTATCGAGGAACTGGGCTCGTTGTATTCTTGGCACACACCACATGTATCCTCTATCCTGGTACCAGACAGGTAGCTGCATTGGAGCAGTTCAAAATATATATCACGATCGCGCGTTCACTGGACTCAATGAACCAATGTAGATCTCACGAGCTGCGTCTATCTGATCTCGTTTACTTGCCACAGCACTCGCAAGACGGACCATTCATTCATTCATTCATCTCTCGGTCCGAAATTGGCTCTCCGAGCATACCGCCGACTGACAAGTTTGGTTCCCACAGAAGGGTGGCATGCAGAACAGCCACATGAACAATACGACGACACGCGCAAGACGACGCGGCGGCGCGCGACTTTTACGCGTTACGTGCCGCGGCGCGCGGCGCACATTCTGGCGTCTCCAGTAGTCTGTCGTCCAAGGCCCCAGGCGCAATTGACGAGCCACGCCGCCGGACCGCCGGAAAACACGTCCCAAGAGAACGTTTCGCGTCCACTCATGAATTGCGAGCCGTGGGACGCGTATGTGCGCCTCCTCCCCCACTCTGGTGGGCCCGACGATCAATTCAAGGTAAGGTAAAAAGGTCGGACACGTCCATATCGCCACGACATCGACTGAGTAGCGACTGGCCACTGCCGCGATCCTATTTCTTTTATACGCTTCCTGATCCTGAAGAAGTGTAAAAAAAGGACCCCACACACACATATGTAGTTCCGTTTCAGTTGCCATCGGTTGCGCATGTGCCACCAACCGGGTCGACTGCCACTCGCCACTCGCTCGCTCGCTCGCTCGACAAAGTCAAAAGTCTAGAATCAATCTCACCTGCCACTGCCGCATTCCCACACATTCATCAATGTCCGTCTCATGTACGCATGTCTGTGGATCTCTAGAGCAAGCATGTCGCGTTCCTCGGGTTGGTCGGCTCCATTTCACTGCTCGTTCACTTCACTTCCATTTTTTTTTGGGCACACGATCACCAACCCACACCCGACTCGACAGATAACGGGGCAGCCTCACGTACCGTATGACAATGGACGATTGGACGATGGCACACGCTCAGTATGTGCATCAGCAAGGTTTCTACCCCGGCATGCCTCATGCATCCTCCTTGCACCACTCGCACTGCGGCCAGTTGGGCCAGTTGGAGCCCACGGCAAAGTGGGCCGTTGCCTGGGTTTGCCCCAGTTCCGTCCCCCCAGTTCCGTGCCAATCATCGACGCGATCATCTATCGTGAAGGGCGCGTGCGTACATCCTTGTCGCGTCCATCCAGGTCTCTTAAACGACCTGCTTTTAGATTTGCAGCAAGGCAAGTAGCTAAGTAGGGTAAGTACAGTAGGCTGTGTGGATTCATTGTTTTCGGATCTGAATGATATCCGAAAGGAAAGACGGAACAAGTCAGAATGCTTTGCACCATGGCGTGCTTTTCCGGTTTCGCGCAGCGGCACGCTACCTGGCGTCTGTGCGTCTGTGCCCCTGGCTTTGCACGGTATGTAGGAGGGTAGCTCGTGGAGAACATCCACAACCTTGACGGGCGCTGGAAATCGGTACCCGCCAAACAACAGTCAACCGCAAGATCGTCGCCGCCACTGCCTCAACATTGTTTGTTTGTTTCCTCTAGTCACCGTTTGGCCAGTGAGTACCTCCTTCCCACACAGAACGTCTCGCCGGCCTCGTTTGTTTCCTGCAGCCACTGTATGGCGAGTGAGTACCTCCCTTGGCCCACACAGAACGTCCTGCCTCGCCCTGGGACACAAGTCAGCCTCGGTGTACAACGTGCGTGGGCTGCAACACGTCAAAAGGGCAATAGTGATGTAAAATAAAGAAAAGTAGTAGTAGTAAAAAAGCTAACGACCCATGCCGTACAATGCGCGCCTGCTTCTCGTCGTCGTCTTCGTCGTCGTCTTCGTCGTCGTCGTCTCTCTTTCTCTCTCTCTCAACCCTGCGTACCACCCCAACGCCCGTCTACAGGCGGAAGGGGTATGAGGTCCGGCGACTTCACTCTTGTCCTTCCTTTATCGTCATCCCATCCCATCCCGTTCGCTCGTCCGCTTCCACCGTTGCGTCTCGCGTCTCCAGCCCCGCATCCTGGCGGGTCCCTGTGCCAGCAGGGCGCACGGTACGGTGCCGCTCAGTGCATCTCCACCCTCTGCTCGCGGTCGCCCGCGGCGCCGAGGAGTGCAGCCATGGTCTCGACGTACCAGTCGTCGCGCTTGATATAGTGCACGACGACTGTGCCTCCGCGCTCGTGCAGGTCGTCGTTGAACCGCTCCGAGCGGGTGGGGCGGGTAGCCACGAGCTGGTTGATGCGCTCACGCAGGCTCTGGCGCGAACGGCGGGACCGGTCGTCGCGCAGCTGGCTGAGGCCGCTGCCCTCCACGAGGGCCTCGACCTGCTCAAACGTCGACAGCCCGCGGGCGGGCGCGCTGTACCGGCTGCTAAACTTGGACACGGTGGAGTATGCGTCTGCCTTGTCTTCGCCGCCGCGCTGGCGAGCGATGGCGGGCGGCAGACCGACATGCTGCTCGGCGCGGACCTTTGTGACCTCGTTTGGGAACAGGAAACCGTGCGCGTAGACGGTGCCGGCGCGTGGGTGGTCGTAGATCCAGCACCGCTCCGTGACCCACGTAATGTCCTCGCGTTCCGGGTGGTGGCGCATCCACTTGGACACGAGCTTGTCCTCCTTGCCCTTGGTCATGCCGAGGAGGTAGGCCGAGTGGGCGACGTAGTCGACGAGGTCGCGGGACAGGGCGTAGCACTCGCCAGCCATGAACAGGTTGCGCACCAGGTATCCCCAGTACGCCTTTGTCCTTGGTGCAGCGCGGAGCTTGCGCTCGAGCTCGCCGAGCATGATGAACGAGTCGTCGTCGGCCTTGACCACATAGTCGGGCTTGCGCTCGCCGCGGTATGTCGGCGAGGGCTCGGACCCGCTCTGCAGGGCCATCTCCTTGAACTCGGCCTCGCTCTCGCGGCTGCGCGGGTGCGACGGGTACTCCCAATCGGGGACAGTGGCGTTGGCAGCTGCCCATGAAAAGAAGGCGTGTGTCTTGCCAGAGTTCATGTTCTCGGGAATGTCCAGGAGGATAATGTCGTTGAACGCTTCCACCTCGAGGGCAACAGCTCGGGCATACTTGGGTCGCGGGCGGCCCATGACGAAACGGACTCGCACGCCCTCGGTACCGGGCTTCCGGGACCGCCAGTGAGAGGCATAGCTCTGACGGATCAGGTTGCGCCGGTCCACACCTTGGTCGACCGTGAACACGCCGACGAGGATGGACACGGGCTCCTGCTCATCCAGGTAGGTCGCCGCCATGTCACTAGAGTAAGGCGTCGTGGGTTGGCCGGGGTAGGGCCACAGGCGATGATCGGGGGTGATGGGCGAGAGTGTCATGTCGTAGGGCAGAGATGAGGTGAGGCCGTCTGAAACCGACGGTTGGAGCGAGTACAGAGTCGGCTGCTCGGCAGTACAGTACTGTCGCCAGGGGAGCGCCTCCTTGTCCGGGTTGAGAATGTGCTTGATGGTCAACGTCGTCAACAACACAAGCATGGCAAAGCACGCAACACTAAACGTCTTCAGAAACCCAGTCAGCGTACCGTTCAGAGCACGTCTCCACTATGCCACTTACCACTGTCCAAGGCTTGGTCTTGACGTACGCGCTGGCAGTTCCCAAACGCTCAGAGCCACAGATGGTCTCGGGATGGCGGCGCCTGCGAGTCGAGATGAGCTTTTCAGCAGCCACCCCGCGTCTCCGGCGGGAGAAATAACGTGGTGGCTCTGGGGTGGAGGACCTTGCCTCGATCACGCCGCGCATAGGCCCAAGAAGCCATGCCCAGCGGCGAACGCTCAGCACGCGCGAACCAGCTGATCGGATCGGGGTCGGTCGAGGGAGGACTATGGGAGGAGGGCGAGGGTGGGAACGCCACCACCAGGACGACGAGTTTGTCGGCGAGCCGTCGTCGTCTTCACCGGTCGACGACTCGGAGAAGGACCGCGGAGCGCCCCAGCCAAAGTGGGACGACGAGGTGGACATGGAGGTGCGCGGGGACGACGTGCCGCCTCCACTGGTGTTCCCAGCGGGCACGCTTGCGACAGAGACATAGTCGCCCGCGAGGTCGCCCATGGACGCCTGTGGGGAGGGTAAGGGTGTCGTCCGGCGCGAGACGGGTGGGGTGGACGATGCGCTCAGAGGCAAGAGGTTGTAGGGGTCCTGCGGCAACGGGGCGAGTGTCGATGTCGTCGATGGCACCGTGCTCGTCATTGAAATAGCCATGAAGCCGCCGCTGCCCTCGGAGGCGGGTGGTGTCATGCTGATGGATGGTGTATCATGCCAAGCACTCCGATGTGTGCGTTTCCCCTTGGTCCTGCGCTCTGTCCGTGCCGGTTGCGGCTCCTGGTAAGGCGAGCTGTCCCACTCCTTGTCGTCCATCTCACGCTCGTCGTCGCTCTTGGAGCGTTTGTCGTTGGGATTGTTCGAAAACCAGCCAAACGCTGGCCGCGAGCTCGAAGCGGCCCCTGCTCCGGATGTACCAGAGGGGCCTGCCTCGTCATTGACATGGGAGGCGGATACGGCGGGTAATGGAGCAGCAGGCAAGCGCGGGTATGGGTCTGGGCGTTGTGACTCTTGAACACTGAATCGGCGCCGAGACACTGGGTTATTGCCTGATGGGTTGCTGGTACTCATTCGTCTGCGGTGAACCGTTGCGCCTTCGTCAGGCCCCGTGATGGGCGAGCGAGCCGTTGTGAATGATGCAGCTTCTGGCATTCCATGGTGTTCGGCGTGGCGCGGAGAGGACGTCGACGTTGGGGACTGGGATGACGCATTGAAGACCATGTTCGTGTCCACGGGGTCGAGCGTCGGCAGCCATTTGCGACCCGAGGGGCGAACAGAGAACGAGGGTGCGTTGCTTATCACGCTACCGCCGCTGACACTGCGATGTTGACCACCACCGCCATTGGCGAGGTCGAGAGGCAAGCGCGGCGAGGCAGCATCTCCGCTGACGCTGACGGTACGGCGGCGCTCTGTCGAGGCCGGGCGGCGTGCCGAGCTCGAGGTCGGTGTGCGGGGCGGTGTCGATGGCCCAGGAGGCTCATTTGGGGGATGCATGGGAGAGACCACGGGCGATGGCTATCGCGAACCGGTGGTCGGTCTTGCGTGTGGTGAGTCGGGAATGGCGCGTGAGAGCTGTTGGAGGGTAGGTGTGATGAAGAGTTGCCGCGAGGCAAGGCGGCGGCGGCGGGATGTCAACACAAGGACCACCGTTGTCACGTTTGTCGTCGTTGCTAGACGGGGCGGTGCGCGCTGGCTCGGTGACAGGTCACGGTGGGCAGAGTGCACGATGCGGGCCTAGGTCGCTGGCGTGTGGACGTGAATGCGTATCGCACAGACCCAACAGTGGACCTCGAAAGCTCGAGGGGGAGGTTGGTGCGCACACGGCCAAATGGTGGTGGTGTGTCGGATCGGTGCGTTTGTCGGGTTCAACGAGAGCGGGCTGGCGATGGCGCTTGATGCGGCGTGCTGTACAGCTCCGCCAGGTGCGCGCACTGAGCTCTGGCTGGTGGCGTGCTCACAGCTGGCTGGTAGCAGTCGGGTGTCGAGGTGGGGTGAAGGGGAAGAGTGAATGAGCAAGTGGTAGACAGTATTGAAAGAGGCAAGATTTGTTGAGTGTGTGTCGGGTGCTATCCCCGCTGCTCAATTGAGCTGCCCGAGAGATGGGATGGGTGTTGCGCAACAGCAAAGAGGGCCAGTGGCAAGTGTGTGCTAAATGGGTGTTCTGCCTGGCAGCGAGAGGGGTCACAGAGAGGGGAGAGGAGGGGGGAGAGGGGAAATGGGTGGGCGGAGGAGGCGGCGAGACCGTGACGGACGGGCAAAGGGATGGAGCCAAGGGGTGGTGGGGTAGTGTCAGGTCCCGGAGCCAAGCGACGGTGGGTACGGTGGGTTTTGCCTCGAAATGGACAAAACGTTTGTTGTCGAGAGGTTGGATCTGCCAATGTTCCGACCCCAACTGTTGTCGGCCTTGCGGTGGTGGTGGTGGTGTATGTGTTGATACAGAAGCAAGAGACGTGCGCGTGCAAGGTGAGGGTGTAGGAGATGGGGACGAGCTCGTTGGTGCATGCCCAGTGGCCAGTGGGCGGCGAGGGCGGCGGCGGCGTTGCGGCGGCGGCGGCTGGCTGGCGCGCGGGGCTGCCTGGCGGCGCCGTCATGGTGCCGCACGCTGGTACTGTACGCTGGCCGTCAGCGCGGCAGGACAAAAAAAAAAAAGAGGTGTGTGCCTAGCGCGGCCAAACGGGCGTGTATCTTTGCGGCACAGGTCGCGTCGCACCTTCGTTCGCTCCTCCGTATATACGTACGCTGGTCGTCGCATCCCCAGCAGCTGTCCATGATGCTCGGGTCTGTACGACCCCCCATCTGTGTCTGCTGTAGCACATGCATAGACCCCCCCATGGCAGTTGATTCTCGTGAACGACCAAAAGAGCTGGCGCTTCCATGGCGTGTCACAGTGTGACGCATGGGTGCGGCGCACTGTCCTGCTCTCGTCTACAGGGTCATCCACCATTGCCCCCCCCACCCCTGTTGCAGGTGTCTCCAGGTGTCCCAGGCCGTCCATACGTCCATTCGCCATCGCAGCATTGGTCCGTCTGCTGCCGCCCCCACAAACCTCCCTCCCTCCCCCCCGCACACCCTCTTCCGCTCATGGGCAGGCCGCGGCCATGCGTGGCGTCGACGTTCGAGGGTTGCTGCAGCAAGTTGACCTGTTTTGCCTCGTCCAAAACAAGCATGTCCTTCTTGGTTGTTCGTTCTCGGAAAAATCACTGTTCTGTGCGTGCTAGAAAAAATTATAATAGAAAAAAAAAATACTTCACGCGCTTCACGGATCATATGGATCACGATGTTAGGGACATGGGTTCCATGCGATGGCGCTGCATAGCGCCATAGCATCTGGGGGGTATGAGGGCCCCTGCACAGCACGTGTCGTAGATTGGATCTCATGGGTCTCTAGCATGCATAGCATCATCGTGTGTCCCCTGCCCTCAATGGTTGTGGAGCGTGTGCTGGGCGATTAGCTGGGCCACTAATCTATATTTGGGGGAGAAATCAGGAGTCGCAGGATCAATGTGTTTCCACGCGACGCTGGCTAGCTTGCAGCTTGCTGTAATCTCCTCGGTTTCCTGCACAATGTCCTGCGCAGCACCCCACATGCCCACATGCCCACCTAGCTCCTAGCCGCATCTCTAGTGCCCACATATTACGTGCAAGTACCGCCATTGCCAAGCTGCCGCCGTTTACCGTCTTTGACGTACTCTGGCACTCTGGCGGGTCTTTTGCCGTGTCAGTGCCGTGTCGGTGCATTTTGGCCCCCACCCAATGCGCAGTCGCAGGAGCGGAGGACGCACAGTGCGCACAGCACAGCCCCGCAAATGCGCAGTCGGCACTTGCTGGCCCGCCCCGCCCCCGTTTTGTTCACTCTAGATAGGCCTTTGCTTGGCAGTTGCGCCTCCTCGTTTGTGGATCTGTGGCGGACAGACTGACGTCTTGACATCGGTAGCAGACGACATGACCACAGGCTGCAAGGCGTTGTGGTGGCACCCGTGTTCAGATACGAGTTTTCGTATCCGCGGTGTAACACACGGATCTACGGACCGCGTCGTGGCGGGCATTGGGTGAGAGCCGTTTTTAGGAAATCACGTGACCTTACCCAGACATGAGGCACTGTCGTGCCAGGCTGCGCCTAAAATGGCCGATATGATGTGTTGTGCGACCTTGACGTCTTGTCACCTTGAGGATGAGCTACAGGAACATGTCTGAAACGGTGCGAAACGAAAGGTATATCGTCTGTAACATGTGAGGAAATGTGCCCCTGCACACCTGTCCGCAGGCGCGTGCTCCACGCGCAGAGCTCAGAGGTGGCTGTCCCACGTTTTTACCGCATGCCCCGCGGCGTGCGCCGTGCCATGCCGGCTCTCGGGGTAGAGACGGAGAGGGGGAGGGGGGTAGGAACATGCGTGGTTGAAGGCGACACTGGTCAAGTCTGCTGACGCTCTGTTGACACTGTGCTGACACTCTGTTGACTGTGGACACTCTGTTGACAACAAGGCGAGTGGTCGTTTGGCCTGAGGCTGGAGAGACATTCAGCCAGCGTGTGTGTGCCACCAGGAAGGGAGGGCGAGTGCATGTGGATGTGGGAACGGACATGAAACTACTGGGCCATGAGCGTTCGCGGGTGGGCATGAGTACTGTGAGCGCGTGGCAACAGTGTAACAGATGCGAGAGGTGCGAATGAGACGACACCTAGGTTGACTTGACTGACACAATCTCACGCATTTTGCTTGTGCTGCCACATTCAGGCGCCTGTATTCTCAAGGAGGGAGTCGTATTTCACACCCTAATACCGTGAAATAAACATCAACCCTCCCGCCCATGTCCTCTTTCTTCAACGTGACGACACCCGCACGCCCTCGTACAGTGATGAACATGCCATAAAAAAAAGCAAAAAAAGGGAGATTAAAAACATGAAGAAAAAAATCCCCTCGATTAGATGTACATGGATGAACAACGTATCTAGACTCGGTCAACGAAATCTAGAGGCTGAGCCTGTGGGCAGGACGGCTGCGGCGGCGGCGCGAGCGCTTGCACTTCTTCTTGCCCGTCACCGCGGGGTAGGCTGCCGCCGCCGCGCCCGTACCGACGACGGCGCCCGTGGCGGCAGTGGTGACGACGGGCGTGGCGACTGTGGCAACCGTCACACCGTCCGTGCCTCCGCCTCCGCCAACGCTAGCTTCGATGGAACTGGCATCGTCAGGCGAGGCCGTACCCGTCACGGCAGCGTTGTTTTCAGCCGGGGCCGTGGCGACGAGGTCGGCCGTGGGGGTCGGGAGGGCGGCGAGGTTGCCGGAAACAGGCGCCGACGAGCCGTCGGTGGCTGCCGAGCCATTGAAATCGGCCGGCGCACCGATGCTGCTGCTGCCACGGTCGGTCGTGGAGCCGTCCGCGGAGCCACTGGCAACTGCAGTCGGGGTCGCGACGGCGGTGGGTGCGGGGGCAGCGTTGTCGGAAGCGCCTGCGGTCGGCTCAACACACGGCATGCCGTACCACGTCGGATCGTTCTTGCAGAGCCACGACGCGGTGTAGTGGGTCGGGTAGGGTCCCACGGCCGCCACGGCCGCGGCGTCCACGGTGGTCGCAGGGTTCTCGTTGCGGTAGTCGGACGAGTCCTGCTGGCCGGGCACGGCGGCGAGGTCGATGCCGGCGCCCGATGCATAGTCGGTGTCCTGGGACGCGTGGGTGACGTCGGGAATGTCGACGGGGGTCGACCAGTCGTAGTACGTCGCCCATGGCCCGACGCGCGGCTGGTAGTCGAGATAGTCGACGTCCAGGTTGGCCGGGATGTCCGAGGGCTTTGTGGACGGGGCGATCTTGGGCAGGACCATGGGCAGCGAGAACCAGTACGAGTTGAACTGGTACTGCGGGGCGACGTAGCCGGGCGTGGGGGTAGAGTCGCATGTGGGGCGCGAGCCGGTCCAGTCCCAGCGCTTGTTGCAGCCGGGCAACTCGGCAATGGCACCGGTCAGACCCACGTCTTCGTTGGGGATCATGCCCTCCAGGCGACACTTGTCGCGCGCCACGTCCGACTGGATAAACTTGGAAATGGCAGGGCAGTCCTGGATGTGGTCGCCGACACGGCAGTTGTCAATTGCCTCGGCCAAAACGTCCGTCGGCCAACCGTTGACTGTGTCTGTCAGCACACCAGACTTCACGCACATGTATGTATCAGGACAGGAAATGCTCCTCACCAAAGTCACCGTGCCAGTTAGTACCTGTCGTGTCTCCGTTTGAGAGGATAACATTGGGACCTTCCTTGTTCCAGTTGGCCTTTTGCGTGTCGCTGAGGTAAAAGATGGACTCGATGAAGAGGTGCGGGTATTTGATCGGGTGGGTGTCGGGGCAAATGGCCTGGTAGGGGTCCATGGTGACCTGACCGCCACCGGCGTAGATGGGCCAGGCCATGTGCGAGAAGTGGTCCGGCGAGTCGAGCGACTGGTTGGCCCATCCGCACGAGGGGAAGTTGACGTTGGACATGATGTAGTCTGGCGCGTTCGGGTGTTGCGTGCCGTTCATGATGAACTGGCGGTTGGTGGTGCCACGCTCCATGTTGGAGTAGACGCCGAGGACCTGGTTGGCGCCCTCCTTGCGCTCGCCAGAGAGACCAGACAACATGCGCAAGCCCGGAGGGAAGGGCTGCATCTTGCCCGCGGCCGTGTTGCCCATGTAGTAGATGCGGTTGTACGGCTTCATGATCGAATAGGTGTTGTTCTTCTCCATCCAGTACATGGCCGGGACCCAGTAGTTGGACTTGTCGGCCGTGATGGACACAGTTGTGCACTTGGCGCGCTGCTGCTCCTCGGGCGTGTTGAGGACGTCTACACACAGGGTTCAGTCCTTATCGTCTACAGCGTCCGAGGACGTGCACTCACTGCGGAAGTTGGACGCGCCGGCAATCATGTGGACGTGGCCAGCCACGCCCCCAGGACTGACGATCGGGTCCATGCGCGAAAAAGTGAGGTACGGTCCAGCATCGAGGACAAAGATGGCCTGGTCGTTACCGATCATGGCGGTCGTGAGCGTCGCCGCGGCAGCCAGTGCCGCGAGGACGTGGTGGGTCTTCACCATGGCGTGAACAGGGTGTGAGTGGTTGAAAAGAGTGTGGGAAGGTTGGTAAAAGGAATGTGGGTGAACGCTGGGTTCAAGTCACAACGTCGTGATCGTTTTCCACAGGAAACCGAGAGGACGCCAAGTCGAAGGAGTGTACAAGAGTTGGGCGGAACGGAGAGAAACGCCTTGGCCCTGCTCCCTTGATGTGACCTTATAAAGAAACAAATCGTGTGGAGAGAAAGACAACACACACTGTCGGGTGATCAGGCGATCAGGCAAGGGGGTCACGAAGGCAACAGCCACACCGTGTGGTGTGAACTCGGCGACCTGGTGGAACACGCGGGGGGTGGGGGGGCGAGTCCAGATGGGCCACAGATGCGTGGGCGAGAGAGTCCAGATGTGCGGAGTGAGTAACAGAAACAGAAACGTATGAGTCCATCACTTGCGTATTGCGTATGTCTTTACGCGCGTTGCTGGCATGAAAAGGGTGCCAAGGTGTGTGGTTGGTGTGTTCGGTGCGACTCCACAGGCCACAGGCCACAGGTGGCGGAGGGACGCGTCCAGTGACGGCAGCGTACCCAGGGGTGGGTGTTGCGGGACGCAACGCGTCCGTGTCCATGCCACAATTTGAGACAGGGGGTGTCGTTCCGAACGGCGAGGCGCGTGAGGCGTTGGCCGTCGCGCCGGCGGTCATTCTCCGCCTCTGCTCGGGTCCTGCATGAGGCTTTTTAAAAAACAAAGCTGTCTGCAGTGTCGAGAGGCCAGAGGGGCCAGGCCACACTGTTGCTGGAATTGCTCGTCTGGGTGGTCAAGACCCACCACAACTCAACTTCCCTACTGCCAAGAGACCACGACAAGGTGGCGTTCCTTGCAGGCCGTCAGTCCTTCACATAACCTGGGCCACACAAGTGCCCGCTTACAGGTCCAACGCACTCTGCATCACTCCTGTACCTGATCCAGTACCCATGCCACTGGCCACTGGAGACGCGTCGGACGTGCTTTTATTCTTGGAATAGGAAGACGACCCGAACAAGGGTGAGCGGCTCCAGACCCACAAGCGATCGGAGAGAGGGGAGACGCGTTGTGCCGCTTCCGCGCTTCCTGCCGTGCTCATCAAGCAATGCACTAGTCTACAGTCTACAGCAGTCAAGGTTGGTCCGCAGATCCGGAGTATCCTGGAGAGCCCAGGTTCGCTCGGCGCTCGGGCCGCGGAACTGGTCATGAACATGGCCTTATGCTTGAGCACAGCCTGGGCATGACCCAGTACCCACACCCCTGTATCTCCTGGGCCATCGGTGTCTGCTGGCGTCAAAAACCCACTATGGCGAAAGTGGAACCTACATTCGACGTGATAGTGCGTTTTTCGGCCCCGCGTTGAACGGAGTATCCAGACTTGACGACCGACATCGGATTCTGTAGTGCGTTTTCGCGTCGTCGCCCGAAACACACCGTGTTGAACATTGCGCCCATAGCAAATGCGATAGCGTGTTTCCGCCTTTGACGGTGAAACACACGATGGTGATTCTGGTGAGAAATATTCTGTGACGTATTGTGTTTCTCGTTGGTATCGAACGCAGATCGCAGAACGCCAGGGTCGTAATTTGTCAAGCATACAATGCGCGGTCTGCCGATCGTCTGTATCACTGCTTCAGATCTTGGGCATGTGCGAGCCAGGAGGCCGGACGCTGTGAAATGGTCGTACCATACATTATGCCTGATGCAAGAAAACGGAGTGGACGTCACCACCCTTGCACGCAAGCCAGGACCACACCGTCGCGAGGTGCTGTCACAAATCGCAAACGAGTCCACAACGCTTGCATGTGGTTGCAAGAACATACTAAAAGGAGATGGGAAAGATATACAGAGGATTACAACCTCGGTGGTGTGATTGAGCTGATCTAACAACGATCTCGATCCCCACTCGAGCGCGACACGCCCTTGCCCCGCTCTCTCGCCTCTCGCCTAACTGTTCTTCTCGTCGGTATCAGCCGCCACTGTCCCCGGCTTGCTGCCGCTGCCGGTACTCCCCTCACTCTCGCTGCCGGGCACGTACGTGTGCACGATCCCATGGTACACTTTGCGGCCCCAGACAAGCCACTGGAGCGACACGAGGAGAATCAGGCCGCCAATCGCCACGACGGCATAGTTCATGTTGAGGGCGGTGACGGGCATGCTGGTGGGGAGGACGAAGAAGACGGACATGACGACGATGAAGATGAGGGACAGGACGTTGATGGCCCACGAGAAGCGGCCGAGGCGGAAGGGGCCGTGTTGGCCGTCCAAGGAGTTGGGCCAGAGGGTGCGGCAGAGGATGGGCATGCCGCTGATAACGGTGTCAGCGTCCTATTTGCAAAGAGAGTGAGGGGTGTGCGGGTATGTTGGCACTTATGGCTCTCACACCCGCTCCCATACGACTGGTACTCACTATGCAAGCAACACCGAGATGGCCGCGGACGACAAGATGGCGCCAAAAGCGACAGTCGAACCGATATAGCAGGCGCAAATGACGCACCCAATAAACACGCTCAACCAGATACCAGCGTACGGCACATCGTACCGGTTCTTGGCCATGAAGACGCCCTTGAACGGGAACGCACGGTCACGAGCGAGGGCAAAGAAGAGACGCGATGAAGCAGTCCACGCAGTCATGGCGGCAGAGGCCTGAGCCACGAGAATGACGACAATACACAGGATCGACAGGTGTTTGCCTGCGGCATCGTAAAATAGCTGGGCGATGGGCAGTGAGTATGACGTGTTGACGATGCTGGTGATCGACTGGAGGGAGAAGAGGAGCGCAATGAGGTCTGGGGGTCGTCAGCTGGTTGTGCGAGTGCAGCCTCAGCCACAACTCACATACGAGGCCAACAAGCCACGATCCCGCGATAGAGCTAGCGATTCCGAGCGGGGCGAGCCACTCCGCATTCTTTGCCTCTTCTGCCACCTGGGCACTGAGGTTGTTAGCGCTCAGCTGGCAAAAGGCGCTGTACAGCGCAGCCTCGGACGACTCACCTCGTCTCGGCACCCTCCAGCGCATAGACTGCCTGGAGGAACCCCAGGATAACGACAAAGCCGCGGTTTCCCCAACCGGTGTAGTCTTCGTAATCGAAGAACACAAAGTGGGCTTCGTTCTTGTGTGGCGCCTTGACGAGCAGGGTGACCACGAGGACGACGGTGCCACCGAGGGTCCACCACGAAGCGAAGGCGGCGATCCGACCGACAAGCTTGGAGCCGCCTGAATTAACCAACCCGGCAAGGATACAGAAGCCCCTGTAGGTATATGTCAGCACGCTCATGCGCCCTTGCTGTGCATAGCCGGCCAGAGATAGGACTGCGCCGAGGCCACCGGTAAAGCCACCGGCTGAACATTGGCAAACCGGCTGCGCGGATGGTGGAGTGACGACGCTGAAGACGGACAAGACCGTGGTAGGTTTCACTAGGTTGCAGGCATCCGATAGGAAGTACGGGTTGAACGCCGTGACTGTCCGGCATAACGGACAGGCGTGCCGGCCTGCGTGCATGGGACACGCAGGAAACGGCAAAAGGTCCGGCGATTGTACACGCACAGCGTATCTCAGCAACCGTAGGTTGGGGGCACAAACGCTTGTCGTGGCCTGGAACGGAGAGGTATGGGGTGGAGCGGGGGAAGGTGGATGTGGGCAATCTGGAAGATGTGACTCACCATGCCATGGCGGCAATTTCGACCCGCGTCAGGGTGTAGCCCGCCACCTCGAGCGCCGAGGCGAGGTAGAGTGCCGACGAGAGGAGACCTGATGTGCCCGTGAAGACCATGGCCCACGCCTTTTGAGATGGTCAGTTCAGAGGAAACGAGAGCGAGTGACACTGGGTACGCACATAGATGTTGCCCGTGTAAAATCCGAGCCACTTTGCGTCTGGCCTCATGCGACATGTCCAGTAATATAGACCGCCTGCAGTTGGGAAGGCACTGCAGATTTCGGCCATGGAGAGCGCGATGAGGAACATGAAGAAGGAGCAGACGTTCCATCCCCAGAAGAGACCGAGTGGACTCGGCGTCAGTTGTTGCAGAGAGCACTCTTCAACTCACCCTCCTGCGAACAGACCACTCTGGAACGCTGATGACATTCCAGTGAGAATGCCAATGGCAGTGAAGCTGATGGTGACGATACTGCATGTGTCAGCCGCCCGCACTGTAGCTTGACATGGCCAGGGGTCGCTTGTCAACAGCGCCCAGGCCCAGTGGTCGCCTGCGCGCCCGCCGCACAGATCGCATAGACCAGACGGAAACTCACCCAGCAGCAGACATCTCTCTCTTGAACTCGGAGACATATCCCAGCTCGTTGAGACGTGCGTCGTCGGCGGAGACAGGTGGTACGCCATGGGCGCCGTGCTCGACGAGCTGGATCGGGTCTGAGTAGTCGACCATTGTTGGATGAAGGGTAGGGATATGCGACGCCGTTTAGGTGGACAGCAAGAGCATTGAGTGGGAAGTGACAAGCGTGATGGAGCAGTGTGCTCTTTATCTATATTTGGCGCGCGATAGGAGGGGGGGCTCGATGCTGAAGGTGTGGTAACGGGGTGGTGTGGGGCAGACGGGCACGCGCTGGATGGTTGGTGTAGTCCGACACAGGCTCACTCTCGTTTTGCGTTTCGACCGAAGAGGACCTATCTCAGTGCCTTGCCTGGATTGCAGAGACCCCTTATTCCTAAATAATGGAGCTCAGCGTGACGGTTTGTGGCCTTGTGCTTGAAATGGATAGACGGCCGAGTGAGTGTATGTGTGCAACAGCTATCAGCTACCCAAACGGCCTACCGCACAGTAAAAGGGAAAGGTCAACGCGGGGACCAGGGTGGGGGTAATGGCGCGGGGGTGGGGTTTACGGTGTTGGCGCACCCGGCGTATTGGCACATGTTTGGGCGGAGGCACCTTGCCCGCGCCAGGTTCTGTCTCGGGATCTCGGGAGGTTTGTGAGGAAGATGGTAGTTGGTGAGCACCCCGTTTGACGACACATGACCAGGGAGAGACTCTCGGTGTAAAGACAAGAACGGACGTGACAGAACAAGCACCATGGTTGGGAGTGAGCTGAAGCTAATGTGCGGTATGAACGCTGCCAACTGGCCAAGTGGGTGCTCAACCGCCGCGCACGCCCAGCTTTGACACAATTTAAGCTTTTTTGGAATGGCTGTCGTCGTGGGTTGTCATCATGGTGTGGCCGGATGTGCCAAGCGATCCAGCGATCTAACCCGGCAAATTGAAAAGGTGGAACAACGAAAGGGTTCTATGGAGAGAAGAAAACCCGGGCACACACACAGGGGGGGCTTTTAATATTAATAATGGCTATTCCTTAATTCCTTAATGCCCCTTCCCTCTCCCGCCCCGGCGGCCGGCAAAGCCTCCTGCCCCCCCTGTTTTGTATCCGGTCCCCTCCCCCGGCCGACTCGTCCTTGGCCACCAGCACAGACACACACAGACGACATACCCGACTCATATGCGCGCGCCGCTCGTCTACATCCATCTCCTTTCTTTTCCATTACACACACCTGGCTCTCACAACCTACGTACTACCACTCTCCACACACACCCCACCGCACCAATGTCCACAATGACACCGAGGACAGAGGACGACCCATCGTCCCCAGAAGACCACTTTGACGGCCCCGGCAACTCGCCAGGAGCAGAGGGCAGCAAGAAGCGCAAGCTCAACACTGGCCGCACCTCGCAGGCGTGCAGTAAGTCCAAAGATCCACATAGATCCACCAGCCCACCACGCGGCCCCTCGTCCCCACCCCCGCCTTCCCGAGACGCAATCCAGTGCTCACACTCTCCACAGCGCGCTGCCGCTCGCTCAAGATGAAATGCATCGGCGCCACCGATCCACCGTACGTTGACACCCCCCTTACGTTGCCAAGAGTTCATGTGCTGACGACATTGCCTTTTCTCGACTCAAAAAATAAAAAAACCTGGTCCTCAACTGCGCACATTCACTGTCGACCAACCCAACAGATGTCGACGTTGCAGACGTACAGGCGCGACGTGCGACTTTGTGCCCAGAGCCAACGCTGCCCGCCCATGGTCTCCGGGGCCATACCCAAGCCACACGTGCACTGAACTTTGGCGTAGCGACGTCACCAGTCGCCTGAAGGAACTCGAACACGCCAACGCCCGTTTCGAGAGCCTCATCGCAAAGCTTCAACAAGGAGGAGGAGGAGGAGGTGTTACTGTTGGGGCGCCAAGCCCCGCGGCGCCTGGACTCGGAGGGGTGGCGGCGGCGTCCCGCTCTGGGGCACTCAACCTCGACTTGGGACTCGACGACGAGGCACCGGACAATGCACCGGCTACGAGCGACGGCGAGCGCATTCCATCCGACTGTCGCGGTGTGTTTGAGGCTCTTGAGAGGCTCAAGGACGAGCTGCCGGCGAGCCTGACGCGGTCGGACGCATGGGCACCAAGCGCCGTTGCGCGACTTTGGGAATCGTGAGTAATCGCTGGGGTTGCCCCGGTTGAGTGAACGTGCGCTGAACCCCTATAGTTTCCGGTCCAACATGCCCGGCCTACACTTCCTATCCGGTTCACCGGGCCAAGTGTCGTTCAGCAACCCTTCGCCGCTTCTGGCCGTGTCGATCCTCTACGTCGCGGCAGCCCACTCGCCACTGGCCGAGCTGGCCGCACACCAGCCAACCTACTTCCGAGCTCTCACCCGCGCCATCGGTACTCTTGCGGTCCCCGACTGCCCCATTCGCGGATTGTCCAAGGATGACGGCGAGGGTAACATTATCAGCGGCCGCTTTGACGACCTGCTCGGCATTATCCTTGCAGGCTTGCTCGGAGTCGGCTTTGTCGACTCGCTCGGCATGTGGGTCAACACTGCTTTCCGTCTGCTCCTGGATGGCATGACCGAGGAACGCGGAAAGCGCCAGGTCGAGTGGCACGGTCTCTGGGAAGGTCTTCGGGTGAGCTCTTCAGATACCCCTCCCCTTTTGTTCTTGTTGCTGACGCAGGTATCCAGACGATCGAGCTCGAACACTCGTCCTTGCACCTCATCTGCCCCGCCTTGCCGCGCAACCCCCCGAACCCTCCCTTCTCGCCCGTGGATCCCACTCCTCAGAAGGACGCTGCCGGGTCGATCGGCGAGCTCCTTGCCATCATGCAGCGGCGCATGCCCCAGTTTGTCGGCCGCGGGCTGCCTACAGTGTGGGACACGGTGTGCGACCCAGAGCGTCAGCAACTGCTTCCCATCTCTACGGGCCGCGACGACATGTCGGCCATTCGCGCATGGGCGGGCGAGATCGATGCGTGGTACTCGCACGTCGCCACAGAGAGTACGTGCTGTGGTTGTGAAATGAAACTGACATTGCTCCAGCGACTGGCTCCAGCCTCTACGTCCGTGCCATTATCCTGCTAAACTACCACCTCCACAAGCTGTTTGTTCTGTCAATCTTCTTCCCGCTCCAGGGCGTGGCGTCATCGTCCGTCAGCGACCAAGCAGAGCTCCTCGAGTCTTCGCGCGTCGTCCTCAGGATTGAAGCCAGTGGCTTTGAAGTGTGGAGCAGCTGGGACCTTGTGGTGAGTGTGGCCATTGTGGGGGGCTGCTGGATGCCCGCTGACGAATGCAGATGATCACCAACGCGTCTCTCATCCTCCTCCAGGCGTGGGCGGCGGGTGCTGCAGGACAGGAAGACCTGAACCTCATCCAGCACCACCTCAACCTCCTCACGTGCACGCAGCAGACTCCGCCCAGTCTGCGTCACACCTTGGCCACTCGACTCGAGACTGCCCTGCAGCAAGTGCGCACTCCCGTCCGCCAAGCTGCCAAGACATTGCCTGGCGAGTCCCCAAACCAGACCGTGTCTGAGATTGTCGATACTTGGCAACTGCAGGCATCCAGTAACGAGCGTGCCAACAACAGCGGCCGCTTCTCGCCCTCACGCTCAGGCTACTTGTTCATGGACCAGGCTCCAAACCTCGGCATTCTCCCTGAATTGCCCTCCTTTAACGTTCCCGAAGCCGACTGGCCGCCGTTCCTGCTCAACTTTTTTGGCGACCAAGAGGCGCAGAATGGAGGTCAGCAGTTCCAGCAAGGCGGACAGACGGACCAGCTGCAGCAGCAGCAACAATACCCTCCACAGGGCCCACCACAGCAGCAAACGCAGCATCGGCAACGACAACATTCGCACCACCAGGGGCCCACCCAACTGCCCCAACGGCACGGACAAATCCAAGGCCAGGTCCACCAGGCGCATGGGGGTCACGGCGGTCACGGTCCGGTTCACGGACAGCACGTCCATCAACAGGGCCAGATGTCCCAGGGATACGGGCAAACCAACGGCGTGATCCATGGACCCGTCCACTAAACGGACGGCGGTACAGCAGCCCCCGTCAGGTGGGCATTTAGCAGCATAGTATGTAGCAGACCGTTGGGGATCGTCCCCGTGAGGAATGTAGCCTTCAGGAGATGAATACGTTGACTGGACAACGGCGGATAACTTGCTTTTAAACTGGTCGCCGAGCGCCTCTGCACAGGACGGACGACGAAACCTGAAGGTCTCTGATGTGACCGACTGGTCACTGGACCGGTCTTTGAGTCTTTTGAGGCGGGCCAGCTTGAGCTGCGCGGTTCGGTAATCGCACACGGCTCACTGTGGGCTGCTTGCCCGGACGCCCACTTGTTTGTGGTACAGCTGCGGACTGCGCAAGCAAGGCAAGCAAAGCAAGTGTGGACGGCGTTGTGGCGGTCAATGGTGGACCGGTAAGAGCTTGGCACTCTGATCCAGCCGCACCGAATGACGGCGGTGGCGGTCACGGGCAGCGAATGCGGCAACTTGGGTATTCCTGACCAGCTCTTGTCCTGAGACGGACGAGGGATGAAGCGGAGAGAGAGCGAGGGAGAGGGAGAGAGGGAGAGAGGGGAAGGGAGACGGTGGCCACTCCGAATCCCCACACCGGCCGGCCACACCTGGCGATCGACGCTCGGCACGTCGGCACCACTCGTACTATCCTCTAGGCCTCTCACCACCTCTTTTTTCAGGTACGGAAAATGTTGGGGAAAAGTTCGGTCACGGACGGCTAATACCAACATTTTTGGTCCGTCTTCTGCACCGTTCAACACCGACGCCCACAGCTGGCGCCGACGACCTGTGGGGTGCTCGCCACAGGTCACAGGTTACGCTGCGCTACCGAAACCAAGTCCGGTCCGAAAAATGCGCCACAGACACCGCCGACGACGCAATGCGATGTGCCACAGAACGGCTCCCACTTGGCCACTTGCCTGCTCCGGTGTATACACCGCTATACTACTGTACAGCTGCAGCGCGCAGGACGAGATGCGTCGGCGGAGTTGCGAATCACCACCACCGGCCACCGGCCGCCGCCGCCGCTGCGGTCGAGCCTCAACGCTCCCGCGATCCCGCGGCCAGCGGCCTGCGGAGAACAGCGTCGCATTCCAACATTCCATATTCCAGGTTTCTTCGCACCTGAGTGAGGCATAGAGCGACGTATTTTTCGGACTGTGCCCGCCCCGCCCCCCGCCCCCCCCGCCGCCGTTAACGAGCCCGATCGGGTGCGTGTCTACTTCCCTGTACGCAAGATCCCAAGATATATCCCGAGGAGTGGCCGGGCTGGGCTTGCGGTGCTCTGGCTGACGTGCTGGCGCGCTGACGTCCTCGCGTGCTGATATGCAGAGGCGAGAACAAGCGCGAGCAGCGGTATGCACGTTCAGAGTGACTGCGGTCGTGGGCTTGGTCACTTGGTCACTAGGCTGCTTGGCCTGGGGTTGCGCGGGGCGGCCCAGCCGGGCGTTCCGACTCTGTAGAACCGTGCACAACTGTTCCGTGCTCCCAAGCGTGCGTGTGTGGTCCTGTGTTCCTGCAAAGCAGAACCCACGCTTGCAAGTTGGTGTGGGATGTGGAGCCAGCCGCTCTCGCAGCTCGTGCCTCTCGAAGTGCAAGGTGTTGGCTTTGTCAGAACGGTTGTAAGACCGGCGACCATCCGGCAAAGGGATCGGTCTTCCGGCATATTTTCGTGTTACCCTTTTGGCCCCCTTGTCCGAATGACTCGCTCTGGCGGCCGACACGACGACGAGATCCACCTTCTTCTCGTATCGCGCTGTACTGCAGCGCGGCGGGCACCACGCGGCAGACGGCGGAGCACGCAGGCAGGCAAACACACATTAACCGAGCTCTCTTCCGGATACTCAGTAAGGGGTCTCGGAGTCTTGTGTCTCCGCAGGGAGAGGGGCAGGTGGACGGGTACTCTCACACACCTTGCGCTGCAAATGTCAAGACGGAGGCGCCGGTGGTACAGACCCACGCGTGTGCATGGCCAAGAACGGTGGCCGTTGGACCGGCGGGACGCCCGGCTTAGCTGGTTCAGGCGCTGTGCGCGAAATATGCAACGTCCCCGGCCAAGAGACCAAAGGAGTTAGAAGTAGGCAAACCCGGTGAAACGGCGCCGTGCACCGGCTTTGACTCGTGTCCGGGGGGCTGGGGTGGTGCGACGCCGCACCATTTGTGTCGTATCGACGACGCAGACGTCCACACGAAGGGGTCGTGGGGGGACTTCGGTCAGTTGCTCTTATACCATCGCTGTTTACGACCAACCCAGGACCCATTGCCGTCTCTTCACGAACTGCGATTTCGGCACCTCGACGCCCCCATCGCTTCCTATCGTTGTGTTGACAATCGCTCCGTCCTTATCCCCCGAATTCAACCCGCCGACAGCAGCAGCAGCAGCTGTATATCAAGACACACCTTGAACGCTGTGCCCCAGACGGCAGAGCTCGTTCAGCTAGTCCCCGGCCGCACTATAAACCAACGCGTCACACGCGAAGACCAGGATAACGCTGGTACGCTGAGACACTGCTCTAAACTTGTTTCCACCGCCAACAAGCATCACCAACCCCAATGCCTACACGACTACAGCCCCTCTTCTTGGTCGTTGACGTGAGCCACAACCCCTCCGCCCCCCCCCCCCCCCCGACACACACACACACAGAACGGAGATCCCCACCGCACTCGGCGAGTTGGCCGAGACTGTCCACACACCGGACGTCGCTTTCTAGACCTTTCAGAAAAACACGGCCCACTGTCTCCTGAGGCCGACAGGGTGACACCACCCCCCGCCTGCCGCCGCCGCCCCGCCATGAAGGGGAACACCGTCGCTGACATTTGCAGGCTGGCGGGACCAAGACCGCCGCGGCCATTGCGGGCGCGGACGGGACAGTGTTTGGCGAGGGAGTTGCTGGCGGTGCCAACATGGCCGAGCTGGGCCTCGAGACGGCCGTGACAGAGTGCGTACCCCCCAGCCAGAAACCTGTAGATGAGATTACATCCGGGCCTGAGACATTACTTTGGGAGATCTGGATCTGACCTGGGCCACAGAATCCTGCGTGCCGTCAACGCCGCCGTCCTCGCCACCACTGGCGCTGCCAAGGATACAGCCTCTGCGTCCGTTGGCTCGGCAGCGCCATACGCATGTCCGCTCGAGTTCCAGGCTGCGTGGATCGGGGTACGTTACGAGCTGACTTGGGGGCGACTCGGACATGCTGACGCCAACCCTGCAGGCATCTGGTTGTGATTCGGATCTCGACGTCGAGCGGCTCACTGCGCGACTCGCGCCGGCCTTGTATGTACTGACTTTCGGCACTTGGCTCATCGACTGACCGCCTCCCAGCCGCAATGGCGTGACAGTCATGAACGACGCTCTGCTCTTATCGGTCCTCCTACGCCTCCGCAGCCAGAAGCAAGAATCCCGAGCGCCAGCACCAGAAGCAGCGTCAGCATCTGGCGTCAACGTCAACGTCGACGGCAACGGCAGTGGCAGCAGCACAGGAACGCCGTGGCTCGCGGCCGTTGTGGCTGGAACAGGGTCGATCGTGCTCGGCATTGACGGCCAGGCCGGCCAGTTCGGCAAACGTGGCGGCCACGGCTACCTGTTCGGCGACGTGGGCAGCGCGTACCACCTGGGTCTCGTCGCGATCCGCATGGCCGCCGACGACTATGACGAAGGGACCGAAGTGCCCGGCGGGCTCGCGGCGCTGTTGAGAAAGCGGTTTGGCGTGGACAGCACCGCAGATGTACCTGCACGTTGTGTGAGTGGAATAGAGCCGAGTGAGAGTGAGAGAGTGGGAATGGAATGGCGGCGTCAAACTGCTGGTGTGTGCTGACCGGTGACACAGCACGACGTGCCGCCCGACATGGACCCAGTCTCGGCCTCAAACGAGCGCAAGCTGCGCATAGCGGCCCTGTCCCCCGCCGTCCTCTCCCTGTCGGGGACGTGCCCGCTCGCCGCCCGCGTCGTGCGCGAGGTGGCCCGCGGCCTCGCCACCGACATTGCCTCAATTGCGCGTGCCGCTCAGAAATGGGGCCACAGTGCTGCCCGGGGTGGGCTGGCCATCACGGGCGGCCTCGGCGTCCAGCCGCTGTACGTCGCGGCCGTGGTCGCTGAGCTTGCAGAGCTCGGCGTGCGGTTCGAGTGGGTCGAGAGTGTGGAGGCTCCGGCTAGGCAGTGTGCTGTTGCGCTTGGCCAGTGTCACACGGTGTAGTAGAAGCAGCAGCACGACGGACATTAGGCCGTCAGAGAGGAATAGACACAGGGGAAGCAAGGAAGGAAGTGTGCGTTGTGTGGCATTAGGGGAGATGACGGAGGGATTACGGAACACCCGAATTGGAGTAGACGAATCAATGTACACACACCTTTAGTATATTCGCTGCCGTGAGCTTGCCGAGACACCCGTCCTTTTGACGTAGCCAAGGACAGCTGACCCCACATGTGTGTGAGCAGACGAGCGAAAGAGCACTCTCAAATGTGTCGATTTGTGTGTAAGACACTGAAAAGCGCCACACAGGACGACAAGTGAAACGGTCTAGAACGCAGATCATCGGCAGATAAATGCCCGAAAACTCCCAACTGACGTTTTCCCCGTTGGTGCGCCTGGTGTCGCACCGTGCCCTCAGCTCTGAATATCATATGTACCACACACGAGGCTGGTGAATGAGGTGGTGAATCTGCTGAGGATGTGGGATGTGGGACTGATGACGAGCATACATGACGTTTTGTCTGCGCCCCAATGAGTGCGGGCGCTAGTGGCGCGCGCTGTCTCGTCTCATATTGGATGGAGTGTTGCGTCTCGCGGACAGTGGGTGCTTTGGGGGGCAAGAGGGGGGGCAAACGAGGTGAGGCTCCCCCAGATTCGTCTCTTCCAATACATATAAGTGCTTCCTCACACACATTGGGACCCCCGTAAACGTCTGCCTCAGTACCACCACCACCACCGCGATGGTTTTTGATAGCGAGGAAACGGTTCAGTCGGGCAAGAAGAGCGAGGGGTTCCGGGTACAACGTGAGTGTGGCGGCGGATCCCCCCTGCAACCTAGACGTGTATCGCCACCCCGCCACCCAGCCGGTGGCATTACCCTTCCTGCGGCTCCTCGTCTATAGTACTGACTGGTCCAGAGAATGAGCACTTCCCAGTCGGTGCTCCCAACTTTGACGCCAACCGCGACTCGGGGTCCGAGACCGATGTCGAGCATGGTGCCACGGACGAAAACGCGCCACCCGAGTATCCCGGCTACTCGCTTCCCCACCGCCTGAGGGCACCACTTGCCGAGATGCTGGGCACATTTGTGTTGGTGCTGATGGGCCTCGGCTCCAACGTGTACGTCGTGGCCAGCCTCTTTCTCAAAACTAGGCACTGACAGCGCTCGCAGAAACGCATTCGTCAACTGGTCAAATGAATCCAACTACGTCGCATATACGTTCGGTTGGGGTGTCGGTCTGTTCCTCGCGCTCCTCATCTCCATCCCGTACGCTGGTGGCCACGTCAATCCGGCCATTACCATTTCGCAAGCCTTCTTCCGTGGGTTCGCATGGCGCATGGTGCCAATCTACATTGCGTCCCAGACTCTGGGCGCGTTCCTCGCCGCTGTGGCTCTCAACGGCGTCTTTTACAACCTCCTTGACAGCGTCGAGGGCGAGCCCGGTCTGCGGACGTTTGGCGAGGTCAACTCTACCGCGCAGTTCTTCATCGCCGTGCCCAGTGGTCATCTGTCCAATGTCTGTGAGTAGACTCAGTAGGGTAGAGGTACTGGACGGAAAAGCGAGTGGATGGCTGACACAACGCCAGCCACGGTCTTCTACGAGATCATCGGCGGCGCCATGCTCCTGCTCGGCGTCGCCGTTGTGTCGGACGACGAGGTCGCCGGCGACTGGAGCATGTGGGTCAAGAGCCTCGTCATGTATCTCACCCTCGTGGGCGTCAACGGCGCCATTGGCGTCAAGACGCCCCTTGCACTCAACCCCGCGCGCGACTTTGGCCCCCGTGTCGCGTGCTCGGCGTTCGGGTACCCGGCGCACATGTGGACGGACCGCAACGGGTACTGGTTCTACGGCGCGTGGGCAGGACCCATCCTGGGCGGTTTAATCGTCACTGCAATCTACGACTTGGCGGTGCGCAAGCGCGTGCAAGTGACCATTCCGTTTCTGGACCGCCGCCGCCGCCATCGTCGTCGTAGGACTGAACGGAATGACTGAAACCGGCCGACTCCTCCACCACACACATAACCTCTCCCTCACTGCCTTTCTTTCATGTGTTCGTTCCGGCCTTTTTCATACTCATATATACACAGAAATGTGCATTCATACACATACATTAGACCCCCATTCCACGCATCCGAGCCTGTAGTGTAGCAACGAGCGAATATGAGACGAGAGGAGTGGCGATGAATGAAGTGAAGCAGACATTAAGAGGTCGGCGCGTGCCAGCGGATCCACCTCTCATACATGCCGGCTCGCATACGTTTCTTGCGAGCCGTTATGCGTGGTGACCTTCAAAGAATCAGACTTTTGCGGTGAGTGGGGAGACGCGACCGTGAAGAATTTGTCGGACATTAATTATTGACTTTTTTTATGATTATTTATTCATCGTGGCTCTGCGCCTGGGCCTCCGACGTCTCACCAATCCTCCAGCCTGACGACTTCAACAACAGCGCTAACAGATTCACATGTGCAGACTACAGGGGATAGGTATACACAGTCATACTATACGATACTGTCCATACACGACTGGGTGGGCCTATATGAGAGTCTCGGCGTCGATGGGGGTACGCGCCACCTCGGTGTCATGCCAGCCTACGAGACCCCTCACTCTCTCTCCAACGGTAACAAGCGCCGGGGGTACTTCGCGGCCCCTCAGCAATCTCGTTCCGGTCTGAACAACATGGCCCGAGACCAGTATGGCCGCCACGATACCACCCACGCCCGACGACCCGAGATACTCCCACGTCGTGCGCGACCTTCCCCTTCCTTCACCATAGTACCGCACAGGGATTACCGTGGACATGGCCGTCCCGCCAGCTTGAAAGTGCATAACGCGGCCCCATTCGTCAATGTAAGCCGCGAACGCTGCTTGAGGGTTGCGTGCAGGCACGGAGCAGACGAACGCTGGCGTGGCATGGCTGATGGCCAGCGTGCGGATCTGGGTGAGCGCGTTGATGCCGATATCGAGCGAGGGGAATGCGGCGGGCACAATGAGGAGCGATGGCGTGGCTGACGCGGTCTGGGAGTGCAGGAGCGACGGGTGGAAGGTGTCCAGGCAGATGAGCGGGGAGACGGTGATGTTGCGCGCGGCCCAGTCGCGGTTGGGAATGGTGCTGGGTCTGAGTGGCGGATGAGGTCAATGCCAAATGAAGTGCGCCTCGCATCTGCTCACCGAGGGAGTGGTAATGACCATACGGGAGGAGACTGACGGTGCCGGTCAAGTGCGTAGGACTCGACAACTGTGGGGTTAGCGGCGTGGCAGTCATAACCCACTCACTAGGGAACAAGCGCTGCTTGGAATACTCTCCCATCACACCATCGCGACCAACCAGAACCATCTCGTTCAACCTGCTCTCCTGTGACCTGCTCTCCATGCCCACCGCCACGAGTGTGCCGTACTGCCTCCCAAGCTGCGCGGTGACGGTCTCGAGTACCTGGGTACGTTGCGCTTTGCCCTCGACCTGGAGCGCAGACTCGGGCCATACAACGATCCGATCGTGTCCGCCCAGCCGCTTGCTCTCACGGACTAAGGTGTCGACGTCGTGTGCGTGGGTCGGGCCGAGGACGCACCCGATTGAGAGGGGGGTGATCTCGCTCATGGGCGAGGACAGGGAGAGTGGCGCTGGAATCCAAGCGAGTGTGGAGAATGCGAGGACCGAGACGGCCGCGACTTTGGAGGCTCGGGTGATGGATGAGCTGATGCCGCGGGTAACCACCGCCTTGGTCACTGGGGGTTCCGCCTGCTCGACTTCGTCTTCCAGAACGATGAGTGGTGTAGGCGCGCGGGCCGTTACGGTGGGGAGCACCGCTCCAGAGTATGCCGCGGCGCTACGACCGACTTGGACGAGTGCATACGACACCGTCCCGAGAACAATGTCCACACCCGTCGGCCCCGCAACGCGCACAAGCAAGGCAGCCGGTGGGCATTCAACGAGTGGACTCGGCATACCCTGTTGTCAGCTGAGCCTTGGTTACAAACCTCTCAACTCACGTATCGTCCCAAAGGCGACAATCCCTCCCACACCCACCACGCCCCAGCCCACACGAGGCCAAAGCTCGTGGCTTCCCGCCATCCCCCAAACAAAGCCAGGCGCGACGACCGCCTTATGATGGTGAACGTGACCACGGGGAGCGATATGAAGGTGGCGAGGACAAGGGAGAAGAGTGCTTGGATCAGGATTGCCTGGGTCGTGGATGGGAGCAGGCCATGGATGGTCGGTAAAGACCGGAGGGTGGACGCTGCAGCCAGGATCGGGAGCGAGTGCTTGAGGAATCGGACAGTGGTGGTTGCGGCTGCGAGCTGGATGAGCAGCGGGAGCGTGACGAGGTTGAACAAGAGTTCGGGGTGGGAGGGGAGCGTGAGGAGCGCAGAGACGGCGACAGACTGTATGAGCATGCTTGCTGTTAGAGTGATGGAGAGGGAGCAAGGATTGTGAGATCAGCGGAGAAACATGAGAAGCAACCTTTGTTGATGCTGTCATGTCCGACGGGAACACATTGTAAGGCAGTCAAACCGGTCTCCTTTACATAGTGTGTTTTTGGGTCCCCTTGTAAACGCAGTATAAATCCATGATTGATGGCGTTGATACCGGTGCCATTGCCATAGTGTGTTTTTTGGTTCCCATGGTAACCGTGAGTGGCCGGTTGGGGAGAGCCGCCCCACAACCGGGTTTGGTGTTCGTGGCAGGCTGTCACGGATCGTCTTAGTGCTCACAACGACGTCAACGACATGGATGCTGGCCAGGTGTCCGTGTAGCAGGTGTGGACTGTGGTCGACCCCGCAACGGTGCTGCTGCACCCAACTCACTCGCCCTCACTCGCACTGTAGCCCAAGTACTACATCGGTGTTCCCACGGGCGCTCACAGGATCACAGGGCGAGCAGTTGACATGTATGCAGCTAGCTAGGTTTGCTGATGTGAGAGAGGGGACGATGTGTTGTGGGAAATTACGAGGGTTGGGAATCCAGGGAGAGCAGGGAAACGGCATTGGAAACGGTCGGCGTGTAGGTCGCCGGGGTTTTGCATGGGCGGCGCGCTGTTGGAATCCCCACGCGGTATAGACACCGTGGCAGCTATCTGTGCACCGCCGAGACGTCAACAGGAGCATGCTGTTTACTCGAGTCAAACAGTGTATAGTGTGTGTTTCCGGTGTTTCCAGCCTCTATCTCTGCGCGTGTTGACTCGAACCAACACGCGCGGGCGCCGACTGTTATCTGGTGCTTGCCCAGCACTGATCGCACTGACCGTCACCGCCTGCAGGATTGGGTATAGCGGCTGTCCGTCAGAGTAAATAATGTGCCTGGGGTGGCCGAGAGATAACACCGACCACAGCCTACAGGCGGTTTTCCGGGCCGGACCACCTGGGTCGTTTGGAGCCCCATTCATTGGAAAAACAAAGGAATTGGCCATGCCTGTCCCGTTGTGGCCAACACTCTCTCCCAAGCGCGCGACCGCAACCCCCCTCATCAGCCCCAGCCCCAGCCAGCCCCAGCCAGTATACATGTAGCCCCCTTGTGATCGTTTCTGGTATCCTCTTCCCCTCGCACCATTCACCTCTGCTCGTCATGTTCCGTCCAGCACGTCTCGGCTCGAGGGTGAGTGAGAGCCCCGCCCACCGCGCCATCAGTGAGAGAGCTCCCAGCTAACCTCCTCTCCAGGCAGTCTCTCGCGCGCAGCACATGGCTCGTGCTGCCCGGCCGCTTGTCCTCCCATCAGTGACCCAGTCTCCCACCTCAGCGGCAGCGCGCACTGCTGTGTCGGCACGCCGACACTTTTCCGACCTCGTTGGCGCCCAGCCTCCCATGCCGGCCCTCGACGTCTCCCAGCTGCCTCCATCACAGCGTCCTGGGGCCGAGCGACCGCGCGCAGAACACGCTGTCATCTCGACGTTTGACCTGTTCAGTATCGGTATCGGACCCAGCTCGAGCCACACTGTCGGTCCTATGCGGTGAGTGGAGCAACACAGCAAGAGCGTTTGTGCTAAGGACACGACCCACTCAGCGCCGGCAAGATCTTCACCTACTCCCTCCCAAAGGCCATGCACCCGCACATCCACACCTTGAAGGTGTCGCTGCACGGCTCGCTTGCGGCGACGGGTATGGGCCACATGACGCCACACGCCGTCCTCCTGGGCCTGATGGCCGAGGACCCCGAGACGGTCGAGGTGGGCAGGCTGGGACGCGTGCTGGAAGAGGTGCGGGCTGTGGGCCAGATCGACCTGGGCCTCGACGGCGGCGACCACCAGCGCGTCAAGTTCAACGTTGACCGTGACCTGGTGAGTTTTGAGAGTTACAGGAGCTGCATTAACTCTGCAGACATGGCACCTCAACCCCCTGCCGGCCCACCCTAACGGTCTGGTGTTCACCGTGTTTGACAAGGAAGGAAACATGCTCGCGACCAACCAGTACTTTAGCGTTGGCGGCGGGTTTGTTGTCAACAACGAGACGCAGACGGCCAACGAGAACATGTACTATCGCGACATTAAGCCGAGCGACGCCACGCCGTCGCGCCGCGACTACCAGAACGCCGACACGCAGCAGCACAAGGACAAGGACAAGACGGTGCCGGCCATTGCCGATGCGTTGAGCGGCGACAGCAGCAGCAGCAGCAGCGTCAGCCGCAGCGAGGGCGGCGCAGCACCGGACGTGGCCCACGAGACCAAGCCGCACGGCGGCGTGCCGCCGTACCTCTTTGCGACGGCCGAGGAGCTGTACACCATCTGCAAGGAGCACAACCTCACGATTGCGCAGGTGGTGTGGGAGAACGAGCGTGCGTTCCGCACCGACGCCGAGATTGAGGCGGGCCTCACGCGGCTGTGGGACGTCATGGACTCGTGTATCCGCACGGGCGTGACGAGCACCGAGCCCCGCCTGCCCGGTGGGCTCGAAGTGCGCCGCCGCGCACCGGGTCTGTACCGCCGCCTGCAGCAGGGCTTCTACCCGTCTGTCCCCGTACCCCACTCTGGCCCGTCATCGTCCGAGGGGGGCACCGCGCTCGAGTCGGCAGGCAGCCAGCTGCCCATCGGCCGCGCCGACCACCCGCTCAAGCTCGTGCCGCGCCACACGCGCCCCGTGTTCCCCGGCATCGAGTACCTGTCCTGCATGGCCATTGCCGTCAACGAGGTCAACGCCAGCGGCGGCCGCGTCGTCACGGCCCCGACCAACGGCGCCGCGGGCGTCATCCCCGCCACGCTCAAGTACGCGACCGAGTTCATCTCGACCGACGTGCGCCGCGACACCATGACGTTCCTCCTCACGGCGTCGGCGGTCGGCATGCTCTTCAAGCGCGGCGCGACCATCTCCGCCGCCGAGGGCGGGTGCATGGCCGAAGTGGGCGTCGCGTGCAGCATGGCCGCCGCGGGCCTGGCCGCCATCCTCGGCGCCGAGCCCAGCGTCATCCTCCAAGCGGCAGAGATTGGCATCGAGCACAACCTGGGGCTCACATGCGACCCCCTCGGCGGCCTGGTCCAGGTCCCGTGTATCGAGCGCAACAGCCTCGGCGCCGTAAAGGCCGTCACGGCCGCGCAGCTCGCCATGGCCGGGAGCGGCGAGCACACCGTGTCCCTGGACGAGGCGATCGAGGCGTGTCGCACAACGGCGATGGACATGCACTCACACTGTGGGTCCCATAAGTCATGGAACGCAGGCTGACCCAGCAGACAAGGAGACCTCGCTCGGCGGACTGGCAGCGACCGTCAAGATCCCCCTGTGTGAGTTTTCAAGTGTACGGTGTAAAACTGACCCCAGCCTCGCCCGCATGCTAGAGCGGCCCACACGACAGCGACAGGATGCGATGCATGGACTATGGTGGAAGGTACAATGTGGCGGAAGGGGAGAGTTGAAGCGAAAAAAGAGAGAGAGAGAGAGAGAGAAATAAACAAACAATGTACAATTATCTCTGTCTGGTGAGGGTGTTGCGTTTGAGACCCGAAAAAGAAGTGGGGAGAATTGAAGGGCGCAGCTAAAAGGAAAAAAAAAAGGACACTCGGTGGTCTGCCTGCCTAGTGCCCACTGCCGTTGCCGTTGACGTTGCCGTTGGCCTGCCTGGCGTTGAAAAAGTCACCCCACTCTTCGTCATCGAGGTCGCGCACAGACGAAAAGGGGATGGAGTCCCACACATCGCTGCCCAAAGCCGTGCTAGCCGGACGCGGAGCTGTCGAGCCTGCGACGCCGTGACTCGAAGATTCTACGCCCGGCCGCTGAAAATTCCGCTGGGGGACGAGACCGTCGCTTTCGTCTTCGTCGTCGTCCGAGTCGGACAGCGTGAGGTCAATGACGGCCGGGGCGGCTTGGGGCTGCGCCGAGCTCGAGGCGCGGAACGACGACGGCTGCGAGACGCCGCCGTTGGCGTGGTGGCCGTTGGGCTGGGCGAGGATGGGCATGTCGTCGTCGTCCGAGTCGGACAGAATCTCGATCGCGCGGCGCTTGCCCTTGTCGGGTGTACCCTGCATGGACGGCGAGCGGCTGCGCTTGAGGCTGACCGTCGTGGCGGCGGCGGCGGCGGTAGCAGCAGGCTTGGGCGCGGCATTCTTGGCGACCCATTCGGCGGTGCCATACTTTCCGTCGGCTGTGTGCCAGTCGCCGTTGGACTCGAGCGTCACCTCGTCGTAGTCGTCGGGAACAGCCGAGAGGATGCTTAAAAAGTAGCCGTCGCAGATGACCTCTTCAAACTTGAGCTCCTTGCTGCAGTGCGGGCAGAGCCATTGGGGGTGACTCTTGTTCGACTCGAGCCACCAGCGAGCGTCAAAGCACTGCAAGTGGCCGCACCTGATCGAGCGAATGGGCTTGGCGATGCGCATGCCAGAGAGTGGGTCCTTGAGCGACAGGGCTGAGCTGCCAACCTCGATGTCGTCGTCTTCTGCTGCAAGCTTGCGCACTGGATGTCAGTTGCAGGCAGGGGCGATCTCAACTCACGCTTCTCGCGCTCGGCAGCTGCGTTGGTCGGTGGCAAAGCCTCGAGCCTCGTTAACAGGTCTTCCATGGACGTCATTTCGCACACGACAAGCTGGAACCAGAATTTCTGCAAGGTCAGCGACCAGCCGCACACCTTGACCCACCTTTGAAAACTCCTTCTTCTTGCTGACGGGTGTGGGCCCGGTGTGGCTCATCGTCACCGTCGCCATGCGGCCAGGCATCATGACCAGCCCGCGCGGGCTCTTGTCGATATCAAGCGGTGGGGCACTGCCGGCCTTTCCGCGCAGGCCACGCTCTTTAAACGGCACGACCTGGTCGTCGAGTAACACGTCGGGGCTGGAAGGGTACTCGATGGGGATGGAGCGGTTGGTCACGGGCGGCGCGCCTGGGGGGGCGGCCAGGCCCTGTGGCCTGAACCATTCCGATGACGCGCAGAAGAGACGGATAGAGTATTGAGGTCGGCTTCGTGGGTCGCTCTTGCTCTTCTTGAGCAGTTCAATCACGTCGTTGGGCAGCTGGAAGTGCACCCTCTTCTCTCGCCTCGTGTTCGAGCTTTCCGACGACTGGATGTCTGATGGGGGTCAGCGTGCAATCCATCAGGGGCAGCTGGGTACTCACCTGGCAGCATCTCCATGTGGGACAGCGCCTTGATGGGTTTCCACATGGGGCTTTCCCTCCAGTCTTGCAGGATGTATTGGCCTGGCCGTCAGTTGAGGAGCAATGATGGGATTGTCAACTCACGAGGATGGCTGTACGCGTTGCTGGTGGCTCCCACTCCCTGCACCTGGTTCCAACCGCTAGTCCCCGCAGGGCGAGGCTGCGAGTATGCTAATGTAGGTTGACGTGATGAGGAGGGCGCAGTAAAGTTGGACGAAGACGGCACACCGCCAAACGTCGGCGGCGGCATGAACTCGAGCCCGCGATGGCGGGGGTTGTTGGCCGCAATCTGCTCGCACTCGCGACGGATGATGAGGTACGCGCGCTGGTTGTCGCTCTTCCTCAGCGTGTTGAACGCGGTGCGGATCCTGCAAAGTGTGTGTCAGCTACGGGAAACGAGAGGCGTGTGCGCGCGGTCTGTTGACATACTTGTCCACCAGGTCACTCTTGCGCTCCTGACTCTTGAGGTGGAGGTTGATGCCCGAGTGCACCGTCAACTTGTCGGCAAAGAGACGGAGCTTGAGGATCGTCTGCTTTGGAATGAACGAAGTGATAAAGTTCTAAAGGGGAGATGCAATCAGTGACAATGCTCTGGGGGAAGGAAGGCGAGGAAGGGAAAGCAGCGCGCGTTCACGAGCGCGAGGGACCAGGTCCGCCTTTGACCTTTGGATGTCTGTCGCCACCGTTTTGGGGGGCGGGCAAACGCGTGCGCGCAGCGACTGGGGAGGGCATACTCACGTTGTAGTCATCCCATACGCCTGCAGCCATGATGCCGACGACGGCGATGTGCCGGCTGGGAGGTGGGTGGGAGGTAGTGGTGGTGGAGAGTGTGTGGACGTGCTGCTGGTGGGTTTGACGGGCGGCCCGGAGATGAGTGGATTCAACAGGCAGAGGAAGACTTCCAAACACTTTGACCAGATTTGATCCCGCGCTGTAGATCACAGTGGAGGGATTTGCTGAAATGGAGGGATGGATGGTGGTTATGATGGCAGACAACAGGTTTCATAGACATCATCAATCATGCGTCGTACAAACTGTCCCTCGGCAGATCTCAGTAGTGCGGCTGGTATATATAGCTGTGGAGCGCAGCTGCAGCTTGACGCGGGTCGATCGAGGAAACCCCACATGGGCATGACCGTCACGGGCAGTCCGACGTCGATAGCGGATGGCGCACCCGCATACTCGAACCACGAGAGATGGACTGCATACACGGCGCACACGGCCTATATGTACGCTCCCAGGATGGCCGTCACCTGCCATCAAAGCTCCGCTATCGGTCAGACGCACAACACAAGCCATGATGGAACCGCTCCGCCCCGTACACCCAGTCCGGCGCACGCCTGGGGCGGCGATGGCGTAATAGCGTCCGGCTGCAGCACCACCTGGAGAGCAGCTCTGCAGTAGCGATGCCGCATGTGGTGAGGTGCACCCATGTAGCTTACGTCACGTATGTTGCGTACTGGGACGACGGATGGCGACCGACGTAGATGATCAGATCAGATAGTGGTGAGCTGACCACATCGGCACGCTCGTCTCGCTCCCGTTCTGTGCTGCTCGCCCTTTGTCTCCATCGGCGAGCAGATTACTGGCTGTCGGGTTACGGCCCTACTCGGCAAACAATGCCGCCGGCAACTGGAAGGCAAGGAGGCGCGAGCAACGTCGGGTCAGGTTTGGGTGTGCAGAGGAGCGAGAGCGCGCGAGGCATGGCCCATCGGACATGTCTGGCGCGAGACGCGAGAGCGCGACATGCGACTGCGACGGTGATATGCGACATGCTTGCTCCCAGTTATCGTGATCCTGTTAACCAAACGATCTTGTCGCGTGCCCGGTGTCTTTTGCATTCCAGTTGCATGCCTGGTGGCGTGGGGTGCGAGCGGGGTGCGAACGAGTAATAGTGGGCAAGACAGGGCGGAAGGCTGGTTACTGTGGCGGGGGACAGGCCGGACAGGAGATCGGGACGGCAAAATATGTACACGTCGTTCGCGCCAGTCAATGTACGAGCTGCCAGTTGGTTCAGATGCCTCAGAGGACCAGGAGGCAGTGTAGGTGACATACGGGCGATGTTATGCAAGTATGTAGCGAGAAAGACATGACCAGAAAGTATCATTTGTTACTGATCAGATCGCGCGGCGGACCGGAGCATAAGAGAGAGAGGATGGTGTGGGGCCAGGGAGGATTTCGAGGAACAGCCTGCCATTGCCGGTGCCAGAGAGGGGGGGCCCTTAGCGGTCACCACTTGGCCACTTGGCTTTCCCCCATCTGGCGGGACAGGTTTACAGCGGCCTCGCGCTGCCACGCCATGCGGCTACAGCCTGATCGCCTGATAGAGGCAAGAGGTCACCGTTTCAGGAGATGCAGCTGAAGGCAGCGTGCGCACTCGCGGGTGGGTGTGTTTTTGGTAGTGCATGCAGGTGAGATCAATCAGAGTTTTTCCTCGGCGTGTATGCTATCGCTCAAGCAAGAGATCACGCACGGAGACAAGGTGGATAATAGCAAGGGGTGGTCAAAAGGCAGCAGCACCACAGTGTGGACCCCCGAAAAGCAACGAGGGGGGCCCGGTGGTATTAGAGAGGGAGAGAGAGAGCATGGAAGAGAGACACACCACAAGGCACGACGGGGCGGATAGCCGACTGTGCACAAGGACAACGACGACGACGACCGCAGAGAGTGCTGCTGGCTGCTGCATCTAGGCGAGAGAGCACGCGATATGGCCGTCTGGTGTCTTTTTTCCCTTCCACCCTCTCTTGGCCCTTTGGGGGGGGACGCGCCAGTCGGACGGGAGGGCCGTTTATGCCGTCTGGCGGCCGTCTTGCGGGGTGCGACGGAGGAAACCGGACCGGCGAAATGGCGGGGGCAAAAGCTTCACCCGCGCGAGGCCGTTGGATTGGTCCGTTCGGCACAGACGTGCCGTCGACAGCGTCCCCTCGCCCAACCCGCCCAGGTGCCCCCGCCCCCCACGCAGTCCTTTTTCTATCAGCGTTTGCTCGCTTTTCTCTCTTTCTCCAACCTTCACCACTCTTTCAAGGTAAGCATCCAGGCAGCCAACCCCACCCACTCCCCCCTCCTGCACACTGCAGCAACACGCCTGCACACCACATCCGCATCCCTCGTCGCTACCTCGCTCGCGAACATGGGAGAACAATTTTTTTTCTCCTATCGAGTCCTCCACGTTGGCCCCATCGGAGATAGTGGAATGGCGCCAGCGGGCCCGCTTCTCACGCCAATCCGCTCCACAACACCCCATATCTACCCATCTCCTCATCTCTTGTTGGATCATCCACTAACCTTGTCCCTCTAGTAGTAAAAATGGCGGACGTTAAGAAGCCCAAGGACTTCCAGGCCTTTATGACCGACTTCCTCATGGGAGGTGTCTCGGCCGCGGTCGCTAAGACCGCTGCCGCCCCCATCGAGCGTGTCAAGCTCCTCGTCCAGAACCAGGACGAGATGTGAGTAGCTTTGTTTTTAAAAGCAGTGGTGCTGTCACTGACTTTTTTCCCTCCAGGATCAAGCAGGGCCGTCTCGCTACCCCCTACAAGGGCATCGTTGACTGCTTCCAGCGCACCTACGCTGAGGAGGGTATGGTCTCGCTCTGGCGCGGTAACACTGCCAACGTCATCCGTTACTTCCCCACCCAGGCTCTCAACTTCGCCTTCAAGGACTACTTCAAGTCCCTCTTCGGCTTCAAGAAGTCGGAGGGCTACTGGACCTGGTTCGCCGGTAACATCGCCTCGGTACGTTTTTCACACACCCCGGCGGATAGCCGAAATTTTTCCCTACCCAAAACCGAGTTTTCCCGCTAACAACCCCCTAGGGTGGTGCCGCCGGTGCCTCGTCGCTCCTCTTCGTCTACTCGCTCGACTACGCCCGTACCCGTCTCGCCAACGACAACAAGTCCGCCAAGTCGGGTGGCTCGCGTCAGTTCAACGGCCTGGTCGACGTCTACAAGAAGACCCTCGCCTCGGACGGTATCGCCGGTCTCTACCGTGGCTTCGTCCCGTCGGTTGTTGGTATCATCGTCTACCGTGGTCTCTACTTCGGTCTCTACGACTCGATCAAGCCCGTCGTCCTCGTCGGCCCCCTCGAGGGCAACTTCCTTGCCTCGTTCCTCCTCGGCTGGACTGTCACCACCGGTGCCGGTCTCGCTTCGTACCCCCTTGACACCATCCGTCGTCGTATGATGATGACCTCGGGTGCCAAGGTCCACTACAAGTCGATGTTCGACGCTGCCTCGCAGATCGTCGCCGCCGAGGGTGTCAAGTCGCTCTTCAAGGGTGCTGGCGCCAACATCCTCCGTGGTGTTGCCGGTGCCGGTGTCCTCTCGCTCTACGTAAGTTCTTTGGATGTTCTCCAGTCCCATGGATCTTTTCTGACGCTTTTCAGGACAAGATGCAGGAGCTCGTCTTCGGCAAGGTCTACAGCGGCGGCTCGGGATAAGCGTCTCGCGAACCCCCTCGTCATCCATAACCTCCTCCTCCCCCTCCGTATCGTCTCATTTAGTCCAATCTCCACCGGAGATGTTCCTGTGGGATATGCAGATATGTTGCGTAGAACACCAAACCCAGCTGCATTTACACTGTTATTCGGCCTCTCTGCATGCCTCTGGGACTAGCAGAATGGACGTGGGACGAGCAGAACACGAAAAACATGGTGTTGAAGACGTCCGAGTGGGTGATGGCATTGTTGATTTTGGATCCGCCACACTCATTTCGCCACATTGGGATCGGCGGTCCAGTCAACCACTGTCACAGTACCCAGGTGCACTGACCCCCTGCACACATACAGCATACATGCGTGCCAACTTGACCACTATCACTGGTTCAACTACACAGTTTGCCCTACATAGAGCAGACGACGTGCAAGCTATGGCCAAAGCGCCTGCCGTCGCCTCCCTCCACCCCGTTCGCCTCCGGCAGCACCAAGAAGAAGACCACCCACTACGACAACTTCGTTGACGATTTCTTAGCCGCCTTGGCTACGCCGGTCCTCGTTCCTCGCACCGGCTGCGTCGCTGCCGCGTTCCGCAACACTCTCAACAACATGTCCGCGGTCTGCGAATCACCGTTTTTCTTGGCCTTCTTGCCCGGCAACAAGTCCACAGTTGCTTGCGCCACTTTCACCTGGGACCCATCCTTCTCCAGCGGCCACCCCACGTGTCCCGCCATCTACTGCAGCACTCGTGAGGAAGCATTCTCGCAAGCCCGCCGATTTTGCATCTCATCACGTGTGGCAGGGGCTGTCTCCCTCCACGATTTGGAGGAGCGCTGCCTCGAGGCCATCGGCCAACATGTGAAGACGATTCCTGTCGACAGCGCCCTCAACGACCTCACTATGGCATGCAATGGCAACCTTCGACTTGTCATCCGCCACGACTCCAGCGAACGCCCCTTCACCTTTGATCCTTTGACGATGCGCCCGTCCTGGCCTGCCCAACTCGGATGCCAGCGTGTTTGCCATGGCGTCTTCCCAGGATCGTTCACGATGACCCCACTGAGCTTGTCCCCGCTCCCGAGCTTGTGTCGCTCGACCCCAAGGCCCTTGGCAAGGTGCGCCTGCTGAGGAGTGGTTTTGGCATCGACTTCCCCGAGGTCGACAACCCTCTCCCTGTGGAGCCGTACACCGTGAGACTCGCCCTCGCCTCTCCACTCTGTGACTGTCTCCGCCGCGATGACGGCGAGGTCGACCAAACCAGTGTCGCCAACTTCCTGGACGCCAACAAGACCCTCTTGTTGTCGCACTTCTCCAATGCCTGGGTGCGCTTCGACCTCCCCCCCAGCAGTCCCTCCGTCCAGATGGGCAGTTCACCCCCACCACCCTCTCACACCTTCCCCCCCTGCCCGGGTACCAGAACCCCCAGGTTTCGCAACTGATCAACTGATTCCGTCCGCGACCGGGTTTCGATCTCTTGCTCAAATCGAGCGCGGCGAGCTTTACTGCAAGAACCGATTCTACGACCCCAAGCGTGTTTCCTTCATCCAGCTCCGCGGCGACATTTGCGCCCTCAACTGCAAGCTTCCTGGCTTGTCGTGGACGACGACTCGGACCCACAGAGTCGCATCAAGTACGGGGTCGAAATCCACTCGGCCAAGCCCGACAATGACGAGCAGGAGTGGCACCAACTCCAGTTCGATGGTACTCCTGATTCTCCGCAACGATCACGATGTGCTTTCACCCAAGGCGGACGGGGTCGAAACGGGTGGAGACGGAGATGAGAATGGAACCAAGTCTGACGGCCAGGGCGCAAGGTCCAGCCGCTCGACCAGTATTAGTGACATGTATGTATTAGTGACATATACACACCTACGCTTCCAGCACCAGTCACAGATATGGCGACATGGTGGGAACGGGGAAATCGCATCAATGTGTAAACTCGGCGTAAATAAGGAAAATTGACGAAAATAGGTTGGTTGAGAGGGCGGCTCTGCGCTCTGATCCTCTGAACAGGCCCGAACAGGCATGGCATTTCGCGTGTGGTTCCCGGTAACCGTTCAGCCGCCAACAACCCTACACACCTATGTCGATCGGTCTTTGGAAGAAGCGCTCCCACGTCGCCAACCCTCAGCAATCAGCGGTGTGTGCTGAAGGGATACCCGCGGTCTTGTATCATCTGCAGCTCCACTTGACAACAGCGCTTCCTGTCGCCGAGTCCTCATGGCGATACGCCCCATAGGTGCATGGGTCAGACCGGTGAACGCACCAACGAGATCCGCAAGATTCCATGCACACGAGGGGCTGGGCTGGCCAGCAGCACGTCCACGCACGGTGTACAAGTCCTCCCAGGCAAGCTCGATTCGACGCGCCGCCGCCTTCAAGTCGTCGGACGGGTCGAGGAAGGGGGTGTAGGTGGTACGCACCTCCAACCCAGCGTATGTACCATGACCTCTACACTCTTTACCTTGCACCGCCGCGAACATGAGCGTGCTTCTGGCGCCGCCGTCTCCGACACACCTCCGACACAGACCTTCCCCTTGGCATAACGGTCAGACCTCGTAGTCCCTCCCCTCGTCTGGTCGCTCGGTTACGAGGTTCTTGCTGAATCGCTCATCAAGAAGCAACCTTGAGAAGCGAAACAATGGAAACGACCGGAGATGGACGCGCATGACACACTGCAAAGCAAAGGGTCTCTACGTAGCAGAATTGCGCCCGTCGTGCTATGTGCGCTGAGAAGCGACCAGAGCGGCCTGAGCTGGAGCGATAAAAGCGCGTGCCAAACCTCACGGGCTGTGCAGGCGATTGAGCTGTGCGCTGTGTCAAGGTGACTGCACATGGACCAAGGGGTACAGGGGAGGGCGCACTGCTCCACTGCTCCACTGCTCCACTACTCCACTGCTCCACTGATCCACTGATCCACCACTTCTGTCACGGTGCCATGAGGCCACGCACAAGCATGCTTCTCACGCTTCTCACACTTCACCCGCTTCACTTTAAAGTCTTGTCTCCTCTCCCTCTCCTCTCCCCCCCCAACTTCGCTTCGTTCCACAACCTCCCACTAACAGTCAACAACGACAAGCAACAACAACAACACTACCGTCACTCCCCCACACATTTCCCCCCAGCAACAATGCTACCCTTCATCGGGACAGTCGTTTCTTGCATGGTCACTCGCGTGGTCATCCTGATGGCTCTCTTTCTCCCTTTCGCTCTCGTCTCCTCCTATATCGCTGGCTCTCCCTCATCAATTGATAATTACGTCAAGGTGCGCTCCGGAGGGCCTTCCTCCGTCGCTACCTTTCGCCGCCACCTTCGCCTGCTCGCCAGCCGCTGGCACCACGCTGCTGCCCATGCCCCCCACCCCAGCCACTGTCTCCAAGCGTGAGTGAGGCTCCCGATACAACCTTCTCTCCGTCTATGTCCTGTCTCCAGTCTGCTCTGTCACGGAGGACTGTGCTTGCAGGGCAAGGCAACATTCGAATGTGGCGGTTGACTAACGCGTATTAGGTCCTCGAACGATTGCTTCGGTGCCGGAACACAGCTTCTCCTCGCCAACGGCAGGCTTATCAATGTTGAAGATGTCAAGGTTGACGACGATCTCCTCGGCCCTGACGGCACGGGAAGGCGAGTCACTGGTGTCCATTATGGTCGCCAGCGCATGTACCGTGTTCATCTTTCGTTCACGGGCAAGCCCTTGCTCGGACCGTCATTGGTGACCCCGCACAGGAGTCCCAGGGCATTGATGGCCGCCTGTCCGGCGTCTCGGTCAACTGCGACTCCTCGTTCGCAGCCCCCTCTATCAATGTCGACTTCGATATCGCCGATGACCCCCGCCAAGACGAACACGTCGACGCGGAAGCTGGTCAGCCGCGCTTCCAGTACCTGGTCATCCCCCCCGCGCCCGACCACATTGCCATCTCAATGTTGGCGAGCGTGTCGACGACCCCATGTGAGCTCAACGATGTCGACGTGGTCGACTCGGACGAGGGCGACGACGACGACGACGTCCCCGTCGCGTTACTCGCCCGCCACCTTCGCTACCTTCCACACTCCAACTACCTTATCAACTCGCGCGAGGCCCGCCTCGCCCTCCTCAGCGGCATCGTCGACGCATGCGGCAGCATCAGCGGCAAGAGGATCCGCCTCTACCGTGACCCCGTGTGGCCCGTCCCCGTCCGCGAGTTCATCATGGCCCTGGCATACTCGGCCGGCTTCATGGCCGAGTATCTGGAGTACGGAAAGAATGGATTTTACGACGACCCTGTGCGTATCTCCTTCGTTCAGCTCCGTGGCGACCTTTCCGTTCTCGACTGCAAGTTTGCCAATCTTCTCGCGGACGACGACTCGGACCCACAGAGTCGTATCAAGTACTGGGTCGAAATTCGGTCGGCCAAGCCCGAGGAGGACGAGCAGGAGTGGTACCAGCTGGAGCTTGACGGCAAAGGCCTCATGCTCCGCGACGACTACCTCGTGCTTGCCGCCAAGGCAAAGTCGGAGGCGGACGGGGTTGAGGCGGGTGGAGACGACATATCACTAGTTGAAATACCTAATCCTGGTCCATCGGCTGGACCTCGCCCTCGCCGCCAGACCAGCGACGACGGACGACGGAAACAAGTCTGGCGGCGAGGGCGAGGTCCAGCCGATGGACCAGGATTAGGTATTTCAACTAGTGATATATGCTCTGTACAACCAACCCACATGGCCACATGAGAAGGAGGTGCAACATACAACCCCCACATGCAAACATGTCTCCACCGCACGTTACAGACATGGCGACATAGTGGGCACGGAGAAATTGGAGCAACATGGCGACGCGTCGCAAATGGGGCACAGGTACGAAAATGGATTACCAGGTGGAATGAGGCGGGTTTCTGTTTGAGAGGACGGCTCCGATCCTCTGGCCTCTGGCCTCTGAGACTCTGGCCGCAGTGCTAGACTGCAACGTCCCGAAAAGAGATACGGATAGAAAAGTAACCTGAGCCCCCGCCCCCGCCGGAGCACTGTGCCATGCCAACCACTGGAACCGGGGGCAATGGAGAGCGCCAGAGCAATGGAGAACGTCAGACCCGTCGTCAAACCTTTTGGGAGCGAGAGTGAGGCAGGTCCACCCGCGCCCCTTCCCTTCAATCACGGTGTTGCTAAGCATTGATTGGGGACATGCTTCGACCATGGGAGTGTAACACTGTACAGGCCCCACGAGGCCGACTGTTTGAGCACGCGCACCTGCCACCCTCCTCGGAGAAATACCACATGTCCGTGGTTGTCCTTTTTTTCTCCCTTTTTTTCACACCTTTCCTCCTCAGCCACCACGGTACAGTATACCTTCATCAGCTCCGCGCTGCGTCGCTGTTCATTGTCCCAACGGAACAGTTGAGGATTTCCCCATTGTGATCCCCACGCACGGGCCCGTATTACGTTCTGGCCGCCGAGGCGGCCGCTCACTCACACCGAGGCCGCAGACTGACTCCGAGCCCGGCGGTCTTATTGAGGGTTGGGCAAGGTCTTATTGAGGGTTCGTTGTGATGCGAGACCCGACGGCACACCGAGCGGCACTGGCGCACTGGCGTTTTTTGCGGTGTCGCCGCGGCGTGCACCTAGAATTGTTTGCATGGCCACGCCGGCGCCCCCCGCCACGGGGGAGAGACCCGGATAATGGGAGTGCACCGTTGCCGACCACGCGGAGCAGGGTGGGTCCACGATGGGCGACAAAAGGACGAGGGTCCCGCATACCTACATACACATACACACACACACAGAGCACACGCAGTTGTGTGAGGCGTCCTACTGCGGCGAGGCATGCCTCGGATGAGTTTCAGACTTGCTCGCGGTCTGATAACGCAAGCAAAAAAGATGGCCAAGTAGTGGCCAGTTGCTTTCTGGCAGTGTTATTTTGGCACCTCGTGTCTTCTCCCACCTTTGCATCTTGCTTCTGTGCCCTCGAAGCGGAGCTCACCACCTCCTAATTCCCTAGACACAGTCCTTCCGCCCTCCCAGTTGAGCCTACGCACTCTCCTCTTCCCTCTCGATGGAGTTGTGATTCTACAGACGACAACGTGTGCGTAAAACTGTATACTTGGGTTCCGATCAGGGAATGACGGTATGATAAGGGTGTGGTCGAGGGATTCAATTTATTCAAGCTCGACCCAGAACTCGCTCCGCGGTAGCGCCACACAAAGGGTGTGCACAACGGCACCCGAACGGGCCGGCTTGGAACGGGCCGAATAGTGGGACCCTTGCTGAGGCATACGCTGGATCTACAGGCACACAGTGCAGAGGACTCTGCCTGGCAAGGGTGTTGGAATGTCTCAGACGCCGGACTGCACCCAAGTGAAGCACAACCGGGAGGAACGGACGACGACGACGACGACCACCACCACCAGCGGGGTGGCATGACTAACGACGGCAGGACTGACAACCAGGAGGACAGCCAGAAATAACTGTATAAAAGGCAGAGCTCTGACAGAAACTGACAAACCATCCCAACGACACCCACTCCAAAGACAATCAAACAATGCGTCTCCTCTTCTTTATCAACGCGCTCCTGCTTGCCTCTTTGTGCCAGGCCTTGCCTGTGGCTCCGGCTCCTTCCACCAACGCCGAGGCCTTCCGCCTGGGCCTCCCCCTCCCCCGTCCCCGTTCAGTTCTTCGTTGTAAGTTGACAAAACTGTTTTCGACCTTGAACCAAAAGCTGACAGACAGGCCCACCTGGTGGATGTGACCAAGAGACTCTGAGCCGCCACAACAACCAGAGGAAGCGCGCCGCCGCCGCCGTGTCGCCCACGACAACCACCTCGTCCCCGGCCGAGACTTCCTCGGCCAGTGTCTGTGCCTACGGCGAGAACCTCCAAAAGTACACGCCGGGCATTGCTGGCATCCTCGCTCCCCCCGTCTGCCAGATCGGAAACTACTGGTACCAGAGCGGCCAGCAGTACAACTTCCCCATCGACGCCATCAACCAGTCGTGCTACGTCCAGATGGACAAGTGCCAGCTGGCCGCCAACCAAGGAGGCAACGTCGAGCCCCTGACCGTGGCCAACTGCAACGGCTGGCAGATCCAGGCATGTCTTGCGCAGGCCCAGCAGACGGTCGCCTCGTTGTAGTCGGGTCACACATTCCGCCACAAACCGGAAATCAGCGGCCGCATGGCCGACAACGTCGACTGGATGGGTCTTTTGAGAGCACTGCGCGAGCGCCGCAGCTGTCGAGCTGCCAGGGGCTGGCAGAGCGCGACATCTCCATGCGTGCATGCACGTCCGCACGTTGCAGCTTCCCTGCGGCCTGATGGGCGTTGGGGCCAGCGCCAAAAAACCAGTCTCCGCAAAAACCAGACCCGAGTCGGTCGGAACCCCTATTTAGAACTGTAGATCGCTTCCCTCTTTGTCAGGGATTGCTATAGAGATGTACGAGGGCGGCCTGAGAGCCTTGTGATACCTACAACAAAAAGAGCAACATTGCCAGCAGCACGCACACACACATACACGAGTGCCCCTTTTGCGGACGCGGTGGACGTTGGCCATTCCCCTGTTTATGAATTGACATGTAGGGTACCCATCGCCGCCCGCAGTTTCGGAGGCTCGGAGGGCGGTTTCTGCACATATGTCTGGCGCTCTGGCATGTGTCTGGCGTCTGGGCCATGTCTCGACAGGTTGGGCGCTGCCTGTGCCGCAAAAACCACTACCGGGCGCACTGCTACTGTTCTACTGGTGCCACTGGACAAAGCTGGATTGCATCCGAGTAAGCTGCGGCGCACATCCGCGACCCAAAAATAACTGCAAAAGCCTCTATGGGGCGTTTTTCTTTCTGCACAGTGTGTGGTTTGAAGAAATTTGCCAGGCCAAGGCCATGTCGGATCAGAGGCCCACATGTGCTGCTCATATCACTCGTCCCCCATTCGGGCCCACGTACGTATACGGGCCCGACGGTATGCACGGCCCACGTCTTGTCTAGCATGGTGACGTGCGCGCGTGAGGGATCGACACGAGTACGAGGGAAGAACAGCCCAGAGAGACCCTGAGAGGCAGTGGGTACTGTACACCCTGTGCCACAGAGTAGAACATTGGAGGCGGTGAGAAAGGGCTTTTTACGGCTTGCAGCACCCGGAAGTGGCGCCGGGAATGGCGCCGGGCGGGCGGTGGCAAACAGATAACAGAGGGTATAGGGCACAGAGAATCAGCGGGGGCCGTTGGGATGCGAGTAAGAGGGCTCTCACCCATATCCACAAGCGACCATTAGTATGGAAGCGGAAACGTAATATTCCACCCGCTCGCTTATCCAGACGCCAGCGGCAGACGCCGCCCGCACACGCCACCAATTCAACAAGCTCGCGGAACTGAGCGTGCCCTACGTTCCCTTTGCAGTGGACCACGCGGTGGACGACCGGGTTTCTGCAATCCACAGCTCCATGTTGCTTTACTCGATCTACTAAGCCTCCCACTGGATCAAGCCGCCAACACTCATGTCGGCTCATTTTTTTTGTGTGTGATCTCTCAAAAGGCGTTCAAGGTATGTGCCCTACACGTACCTGCATGCGTCGTACTACCACTCGTCATTGGACAGCAAAAGGCCAATCCCATTTGCGTGGCTGACCAGCTCTACGCCGCCGAGGGCCTTTGACAGCCTCTGCCGCCTCGCTCAGCCGCTCAGGACTGGACGTAGACGGGACTGGGTGGCGGCGACATGTCGCCTTGTCTCGGTTCTCCCTTCTCCAGATGCACATGGCTAGCAAACGTGGTGTGCTATTGGAGAGACTAGCACGACAGCCACACTTGCTCCCACGTCTATAGAGCCGCCGCCATGCCCCCCCCCCCCCACCCCTTACTGAGAAACTGCAATCACCGGAGCACAGCTTGAACGAATGAAGAGAGCTGTGGGATGTTGCCTTTTCTTCCCACCACACGCCCCATTGTCACACAAAGGCGCCATGTTTATTCTCACTGACAAGCAATGCCCCCGTTAAAAGAGGTAAGACGAGTAGTGGCTGGCTGGACCTATTGCGAGACAGCACGCCTCGTTGGAGGCGTTGTCAACACCCATCTATCAGGCTTCCTCATGGCCACTTCCAGACGCATGTAGCTTACACTGAGAATTTACACCCGACAGACCCACTGCTGTGCATAGCGGTTCCCAGCTGGCGTCTCAAGCGCTTCCATGGATGTGCATTCAATGCAGCCGTGCAGTCCGAAATATGCCTCAGTGTCACGAAAGTGGAGGTTGGTGTGCCAGGCGGTCTCGCGTTTTGCCGCCGCGCCAGGGTGGTGTGACATCACACTCGGTTGACTGGACCGATCTCTACCCAAATTCAACAACAACCCCATCCACCCCTTTGCCCATTCTCCATCAGCACGCACCACGCAACGCGTCATGGCCCACTACCATGACATACTTGGAAACCGCCGGCAGCGGTGAAGACGACAATGGTGAAGACGACTTTGGCTCGGACATCCCTTACGACGACGAGCTCGAGGAGGCACTGCGCAAGGCCGAGACGAACGCGGCGGTTGTTGACATTGAAGACGCGGTAGCCATCTCGCCGCTCGAGCAGTTTAAGCGCGGCAACTACCTCTCCGTCTCGGACCTGGTGGGCACTGTGTGGTGTGAGGTGCAGTATGACTAGTGAGTGGTGGCTGTGATACACAGACAGCGCACATGTAACGAGCTGCTAAAACGCACACACCCCTCCAGTCGCCTCCGCACGCTCCCCTTCCTTCCTGTCGACAAGCGGCCCACCGTCATCACCAGCAAGCATGGAGCGGAGATTGCAGTCGACAAGGCCAAGGTGGAGGGTAAAGAGCGCATCCTGCGTCGCGGAGAGAAGATCCACAAGAGGCTCGAGAGGGAGATCCACCCGGAGACGGTCGTGGTCAAGACCGAGACGCGCGAGGATGCCTGGGGTCTGAGGTACGTAAAGGTGTGAGCCAATTTGGACGATTCTAACCTTGCCAGGATCATAAACATGCTGGCCTCGCTGGAGGCGCTCCTCACTCTCGGCGTGTGTCGCGAAATGCACGTTGCAGGGTTCGTCGACGACGTGTTCGTGCTCGGCATCATCGTGAGTAGCTTGAGCTCATGCGACGCGACAGCTAACATCCAGGACGAAATCTCCCGTGTGGCCATGGACGGTATCGACTCTGGCCCCGACTCCAAGCACTCGTCGCCCGCTCGTACCCGCTCGACGCGCCAGTCGTCGCTGGCAGAGTACTTTGGCGGGCCGCGGGCGCGCACGCACCGCCTGCGCGTCAGCGACAACAAGACCCGGGCCCATGCCACTGTCCCACAGGAAAAGGACAGTCTGTCCGGCCGCCTCCAAGTCATGGTCTACAAGGAGCTCCTTGATGCGCTTCTCGTCCCACGTAGCGAACCCGTGGCGGCCACTGAGGACGGAGGCACCACGCCTGCGTCCCTCCTGCCGACCGACAACGCTTCCGGGCTGTCAAGCCTGTTTGCGCGACTCGGTCTCGACGAGAACGCCCAGTTTACAGAAAAGTTTCTGCTGGACACCCGCCTCGTCGTGATCGGCAACGACCTGCGCTGGGGAGCAGGAGAGGCGCGTACCTTGGCCGAATTTGTGCCGGTCTGGGACCGATACGTTGTCGCCCTTGGCCTCGGCACGCCGCCAACACACGGCGGCAAGGCTGGGGACGGTATCACGGACGAGTCGCTCCAGCTGGTCTACCGCCGCGCAGCGGGGAAACGTCGCGAGAAGGGCGCCAGCGACAGGCGAAAGCGCCGCAAGGGCAAGCGGCGTGAGGTTGACGCCGAGGTGCCAGCCGACAGTGGGACGGAATCGGAACCCGAGAACGGGCCAAAGGCAGGGCTGGTGGACGACCTGCAGCTCGCCATCCAGCGTAGCCTCATGGACGTCGCTGGAGGCGCAGGAAGTGGGACCGCACATAGTCAACCAGACACCGAGGACGCCGACCTGCAGCGCGCTATCAAGATGAGTCTCGAGGAGTCTGCGCAACCCATCGAGGTGGACGATGAAGGCCAAGTGGTGGCCTCCACTGCTGAGCCCGAAGCTCAATCGCTCAGCGGCAGTCCTGTCGACGAACCCGCACAGCAGTCTGACGCGGCCGAGGTAGCATCATGCTCCCAAACTGTCCCTGTGGAACCACCCATCGACAGCTCCACAGTCGGCGGCACCGAAGACGCCGACCTTCAGCGTGCCCTTCAGCTCAGCCTTCAGGTCAACACACCCCCGGGCGAACCCTCCGGCGACGGCCTGGTAGTGCCATTGAACACGCGCTCCACACGCGCCCGGCCGGCGTCTCGCGTAAGTTTCAGCGGCGACACGGACAGCGAGCGTGAGCGTGAAGACGACCAGCTGGCATGGGCCATCGAGCTGTCAATGGGCACCCAGCCCGAGCCGGCGGTTGTCGAAGTACCGCTCCTGCGCCTGTCGCAGGAAGCCGCGTCGGGGTCGCAGCCACCACAGACGCCGTCCAAGGGGAAAGCCAAGTCGTCATCCGAGCCCCCCTCACCCAAATCCCCATCCAAGCCCAAGGAGGACACGGACAAGGACAAGGACAAGGACAAGGAGGACAAGAAGAAGCTTTCGGAAAAGTCTGGCGGTATCATCGGCACCATTACATTCTCTCACGACCGCGTGTACCTCGCCGACCACCTGCGTTCCGTCCTGGGCTACTGGAAGGGCGAGCGGGCACCGCAGGGTGTCGGGCCGGCAGACACGAAGCGCTGCGAGTGGTGCGAGTTTGAGGAAGGGTGCGAGTGGCGGTGAGTTGCTGGAGTGTTGGTGGGGGCACATGTGCTTACGTGCGTGCAGCATTGCAAAGGCGCAAGAGCACCGGATGCGATACTTTGCGAGCAGGAACAACTCGATGGCGATGTAGGGTGGGGGAGGAGCAGCTTGGCAAGTTTATAGCCAGGTGAGTCCAGCTTCGCGGTTTGCACGCGGTAGCTGACAGTGACAGTATACATATGTCTGGACGTTCTTGAACCCATAGCCTGACAAATTGTACCCATACCTCTCACGAGCTTCGATGTGTGCAACAGACACTTCCTTGACATGGCCTGGGACGAGCCCACGGCCACGGCCCGCGCCACATACCGCACACACTGTACGATGATGATTATGCATTTGCGTGAGTGAGAAAAGAGGAATCTAGAATGCAACATAAAAAACAAAGAGGTAGTAGCAGCAGCAGCAGACGTCGTGCTCGAGCACTGTTCACGCACGGCGTTCCTGCTTGGCAGCCTTCTTCTGCTTGTCCGCCTTTGCCTTTGCCTGGTCGGCACTGAGGGAACCATCAGCTTTAGTTAGGCACGGCCAACCAAGCTGGAGACGGGTCCGACTCACCGCTGCTTGTCGAGCGCCGCGCGGTCGCGCTCCTTCTTGTCCTGGGCGCCGCGTTTGGCCGCGTCGCGCTGCATGGCTGATGCCGCCGCGACTTTTTCCTTGTTGAGGTTTTGCCACTCGAGCGGGTCGTCGACTGGTGTAGGTAGCCGCGTGTCAGCCTTCCCTGTCCCATACCACATACTACACGACCACACTCCACACGCGCCACAGCCCCACTCACTCTCCTGCTTGCGGTGCTTCTTCTTCTTGCCGTCGAGCCTCAGAGCCTCCTCGACGAGCCGCCGGCGCTCGTCGGCCTTGCGCTTCTCCTCGGCCTCGAGCGCCGCCATGCCCTTTGGCGGCGCGCCGTCGCGCATCTGCAGCTCGGGCCCGCCGTCGACGTACGCGTACTGCCGGAGCAGCGCGGCCTTGCGCGCTGCCTTGAGCTCCTCGTCGGTCATGCTGGCGAGGATGGCCGCGGCGTCGACCTTGACGGGCGGGGCAGGCTGCGCGGCAGCCTCAGCTTCGGCGGCGGCGGCGGCGGCCGCGTCGTCTGCGGCCTTGAGGCGCTCCCACTCCGCGATGATTGAATCGAGGGCCTCGTCGAGGCCAGCGTCCGGGAGCACGCCCTGCCCAGCAGCGTCAGCGGGGTCAGGTATGGAGAGAGGTAGCGCACACTGTCACTCCTACACCCGGCACAGCACACTCACGTCCTCGACAACACCCTCCAGCATACCCTTCACGCCCTCGACCTTATCCTCGCGCTCCAGGTCTTCCTCCACAAAGCGCGCCATCATCTCGACCTGGTCGTCCGCGTGTGGTCAGCGAAATGAAATATGTAATTTGCCCGATCTTTCATGCGGCGGGCGGGCCACTCACATCGTCGGCGGGGACGGCGAGGCTCAGCCCCGCCATCTGGTCGCTGATGTACCGCTCCAGCGCGGCGCCCGAACCGTCCTCTGCCGCCATGGTTGTTGTGGTTGTTTGTTGTGATGTTGTTGTTGTTATCAATGTTGGCCCTCGCGGCCGCCAGAAACCCATCCATCCACACTCCACATCTCCAGAATCCACAATCGAGTCGAGCGGAACCAAAATGCCACCCACCTACCCACGGCGCCACCCCGGCGCGCTCAGCGCACGAGCGGCGACGGCGCGCGCGGCATCCACTGCTGGCCCTTCCACTTGAGGCTCGCGACTGCACAGTGCGTGTCGCGCGGGCGCGGCGTGTCGACGCGCCGGATGGCGATGCCGATACTGAGGGGGGACGGTTTCTTGGAGGTGGAACTGGCCTGGGCGAACGGGAGAGGAGACTTTGCGGTGGGTGTGTTGGGCCGGCTGGCGTTGTGGAGCGGCTGGGGCTGGGGTTGGAGTTGAGCCTTGGTGGTCTGGCTGACGGGTGGTGTCGTCTGGGAATTCGCCGCCGGCAGTGCTCGGACCGGTACCGGTGCGTGGTGGCACGTACACGGGCTGGCGTGGTCCCACGAGTCGGACGCGGAGAGCACGACGACGGGCGGGGACGCGGTGGTGGGCCAGAGTGGCCAGCGGGGCACGGACGTGGACATGGCGTGTGTGTTGAGTAAAGTGCACGCAAGGGCAGGTGAGGGGGAGAATGGGCTAGGCGAAGGCAAGGGTTGAGCAAGTATAGTGCACCCTCTCGCCACCCGTGAACTGCTGACTGCTGAAGGGCCTGAAATTGAGGGGGAGAGGCTCTCAACATGCCATGGTCATGAGTCTGCACGTGCTGCTGCGCTGGCTGCCACACTCCGTCGAACGTACGTGCGTGTGGTTGACGACACGTGATGCGGCCGTGCTGGCGCCGCATCCACAGCCGCCGGCAATGGAGCAAACGATCCACTAAACTACTAGTACTACACAAACTGCATACAGCATCGCTGGGCATAGGGGCATGTACATTCTACGTGACAGGTCGTTCGAGTTAGTCGGTGTTTGAGAGTTCTTTGACGCAGCGTTCGCGCGTGCCTGCGCGCGTGGTGGGTTGAAAATGCAGGGTTGTCGGCCTGGCTGGGGGGTACAGCCAGTGCGAGTGCTTGAGGAGTGAGCCCGCGATCCCGTCGAGGTCGATATAGGGATGTCCTTAGGCAGCGGCAGCAGAGCGGTTGCTCGTGCCAGTGCTCAAGACCAGACCCTCGTCAACCTCGGTGGACTCGTTGGCAACGTCGATGCCAGCACCGATATCGTCGAGGTCGGTACCCATGGCAGCAATCTGTTGGACGACGGCGTGCAGGTCTGGGCGGTCGTACTGCTCAGCGGCGCGACGGAGTTTTATAAGCTCGAGTGCAAGAGCACTGGAGTTGTCAGCATGGCTTCCAATCAAATGTCAAGTTCAAAGCTAAGCCACTCACCGAGCAATGCGGCGCGAGTTGTCGGCGTCTTGGGCGTGGGCGTCCACCTGGGCACGCATGTCGCGCACCTCGGCCTCGAACCGCGACGACGCAGCCGCGTGCTTGGCATTGACCTCGTCCACGAGGGTGACAACATGCTTGTGCTCGTCCCTGCTGGGTCAGTCTTATGGTGGAGAAACACACCCACGTTTGCTTGTTGACCAAAGCCATCACCTCGTCGCGCTTGACGCCCGCCGTCTCACGCTCCGCACGCATCTGATCGGCCATGCGGCTGACCTCGTTGCGGTATGCCTCGACCTCACGCTGCCAAACTGCACGGAGGGAGCGTACGCTGTCACGGAGAGCTTCTGCCTCTGCCTCTGCCTTGACGCGGGCCATAAACTCCTTTTCGACCCTTTCGCGCGCCTCGGCCTCGACCTCTTTGGAGCGTTGCTCAAACTCTTGCCGCTCAGTGGTGTACTGCTGGACGGTAGCCTCCGCAGTGCGAGCACGCGCAAGGACATCTGCATACGACGTCAGCAAACCATTGCTGCACCACACCTTGTTGTTGCAGGACTCACCCGTGACCATGCGTTCCTTGCGGTTGATGACATTGTTGAGCGCATCGGCCTCTGTTCGCATGCGATCCCGGGTCTCACGCAAGTCCTCGGTCCGGCTAGTGAGCTGTGTTTGCTGTCAGCTGGGAGTGTCATGTGGTTTTCCCAATCCCAAGGTTGTGGGTTGGAAACGTACGGTGCCTATCTCGTGGTGGCAGGCCCGGACCTCGGCTTTCGCCCTGTCGAGGTGTGCCTTTGTTTGTTCTAGCTCGGTCTGGAGCGCGTCAATCATCTTTGAGCTCTTCCCAGACGCGCCGAGAGACAGGCGGCCGGTCGTGGGGGACGTAGGATGTGGCCTGGATGTAGTGGGTGCGCGACGGCGGCTGTTGGGCGAGCGGGGGGTTTCGCCGTCGGGACGTGATGGGGTGTTGGTCGTTAATGTTTCGAGGTACTCTTCAGACAACGTCGGCGAGACGCCGCCCGCTCGTGTGATGGCATAGTTGTACTGAGACACGGCATGCGTCACAGTTGAACGAGGGATACCTGTTACCACAGTGTCAGCGATTGCCGGCGGCGGCGGCGGCAGCAGCAGCGGCAGCGGGGCGGGAGAAATGTATGGGAGACGGTAGAGGTGGAGGTGACGTACGCGAAAGGCTCATCCGCTTGTCTGCGCGGGACAACGGTGTTTCTTGCAGTGACAGCGGAACAGCAGACATTGGCGTGACGGGCGACGAGACAGAGGTTCCAGTTCGTCGACGAACGTCAAACGATCCAGACGAGCGAGACGTGGGGCGAGGGGCGTTGGGCAGAGCACGAGGTCGCTGCGGCTTGCTCAATGTCGACAAGGTCATGGCGCGCACTGTTTAGGTGTCAGGCGGGTGCGAAAGGGGAGCCTGGGGTTCAAGGCCAGTGCGAGCAGGTTTCACACTCATGTACTCACCTCGTTCCATGTCATCAAATTCGGCGGCCCCGTACGCGTCAACGTCGAAATGGGCAAATGCCCCATTATCGACGAGCGGCGAGCCAACGTCCGAGATGCTGTCCTGCATTCGTCTGTGGCTGTATCCAGAAGCCACACTGAGGGGAGTGCGTATGCTCCCTGCTGTGTGGTTAGCTCTGCCTTGGCTTTAAAGTGTGTGTTCTTCTCACCTTCGTCTCCGCTTGTATGGCTGCGAGCGCTCATGGCTGAGGTGCGTCGCCGATGGCCTCGCATCACTGGCGAGCCAGGGCCAGTTGAGCTGCGTACCGATTGCACCGAGCTGCGCTTCACGGGGACGGGGATGAACGAGACAGATTGGGACAGGCTGTGGCCTGGGGTGGCCGCAGTGTCGGTGGCAGCAGTGTCGTCCATGGTGGGCTGGGAAAGAGGTGTGTAAAGTTGAAACCCAGAAATGACAGTCGAGTGTGTTTCATGGGATGGGGCAGTGTGGGGGTGTGAAGTCGCGACTGACGGACGACGGGTATAGCCGCCGGGGCTAATCTCGCCACAAGCAAAAGCAAAATGGCAGTGTTCAAGGTGGCAGGCCAGCGAGCGGTCCAGAGATGGTAGAAAGTAAGAGGATCTGGACAATATGCTTCTTCTCATGCACACTCACAGCTCGCCATATGCACGTGCGGGGAGGCGCCCTCTTGCAGTGGCCACAGCGGAGAACAAGGGCTGCTGTATAGGCGATTAGGATTAGAGGCTTATCTCAGCTATAAAGGGGGAACGGATCACGTAATGAAACTGGCGGACTTTGAACCATCTCCGTCTTTGCCTGCTTTACGTAATTTAAAAGCGGCCCGCCACAAGCACAAACCTCCGGCCAACGCCGCTGCGCATGCGGGCGCGCGCGCGTTCCCTGGTGGGTGTGTTGCTCGTCGGTGGGCGGGTGGTGGTGTTCCCTTTGAGAGCGCTCATGAGTGCGTGCTCTCCATCCATCCATCTCCCAGCACCATGTCCGACCCTTCCGACGGTATGTCCAGCCTCGCTCCGCCCCGCTCTTCCCAACCCCCACGTACAATACACACGCTCGCGTCCCCAGCGGCAACGCCGGTCAGCGACAATGACTCGTCCTGGCTCGACAATCCAGCCTAGTCTTCCTTTTGACTGTCGTGTTTTTGCGTCTTCCTATTGCCTGTACACGCCCCACCTTGCGCCTAGCCATCGCATCCAGCAGCGTCTGTTGCTCCCCGCAGTGTCCACGCCAGAGCATCCCCTTTCACGACGACCCTCGTGTCCGCCATGAAGAGAGAGTGACAGAGAGAGAGATTCCGCCGTGTTTGCGTTTCATTCCCCACCCTGTGTCCGCTAGCACCGCGCAAACGTCTTGCCTTTTGCGCATCGTCTCGGCCGTGGCTGCATCCCATCTTGCAGCTGCATCGCCTGCTCTCTCTCCTCCCGCTCTTCCGCGCGCGTCCGCCTTTCCACCTCCACCTCCACCTCCCCCCGCCCGACTAACCGCCTGACACGCCGCAGTCTGGCAGAACAACAGCGACTCGACTCCCACGGCTCCCGCCAACGACACCTACTCGGGTGGCGAGCGCGAGCAGCGTGAGCGCTCGCCCCGCCGCGAGGACCGCGAGCAGCGTGAGCGTTCGCCTCGCCGTGACCGCAGCCGCTCGCCGGCCCCGCGCAACGGCGGCGGTGACCGCGACGGACCCCCTCCCCGTCGGTAAGTTTGACACAAACACTGGCTTTACCTCCGTGTGGGCAGGTGGGCTGATACCTGTATAGCGGCGGCGGCGGTGGTGGTGGTGGCGGCGGCCCTGTCGACCCCGCCGAGCAGAACACCGGTAACAACCTCCACGTCTCGGGTCTGTCGCGCTCGATCACCGACCGCCAGCTCGAGGACATCTTCAGCAAGGCCGGCAAGATCACCAAGGCCCAGATCATGTACGACCCCCACTCGCGTAAGTTTTGTCTTACAAGCCACTTTTCATTTCTTTTTTTCCACAAACTGACATGCCTGCCAGAGGAGTCGCGCGGCTTCGGCTTTGTCATGTTTGAGACTAACGAGGAGGCCGAGAACGCCATCACCACCTTCACCGGCACCACCGTCGAGGGCCGTGTCGTGACCGTCACCCACGCCAAGCGCTCGCGCGCCCGTACCCCCACCCCTGGTCGCTACCACGGTGTCAAGTTTGAGAACCGTGGCTTTGGCGGCCCCGGTGGTGGCGGTGGCGGCCGCTTCGGCGGTGGCTACGAGGACAGGCCCTACCAGCCCCGCTCGTACGACTCGCGCTACTCGGACCGCGGACCTCGCGGCCACGACGACCGCCGCGGTGGTGGTGGCTACGACGACCGTCGCGGTGGCGGCGGCTACGATGACCGCCGTGGTGGTGGTGGCTACGACGACCGCCGCGGCGGCGGTGGCTACGACGACTACCGTCGCCCCCCTCCCCCCGAGTGAGTACCTGGCAGCTGCTTCGCTTTGATTCTATTACTTTTTTATCGCGGAAAGAAACCCCTTGTGTGCCAACCTGATAGCGATTATTACAGGGAGCGCCGCTACGACGACCGCCGTGACGACCGCCCTCGCTACGACGACCGTCCCCGCTACGACGAGCGTCCCCGCTACTAGACGTAGACGTAGACGTACACGTACGCGTAGATGGTCTGCCCCAAGGTCTACCCAAAGGCTTGCCCCACGGCGCCTAAAACTCAAGTGTCCCGTGTGTGTGTTTGACGGTGAGAGGTGGTAGAGGCCGCGAGAGTGAGAAAAACAAAACAATGTGAATGAATGGAATGTGGTGCAGTTAACAGACCTTGTCCCGAGCCATGCTTCTGGTTAGTTTGTGTTCTGGTTGTTCTGGTTAGGTTCTGCTAACATGGCCCGGAGAAAACAGTGGAATGTGTGATGTGTGCAAAAGGGGGAAGAAGACGAGCTAGAGGGACAACTATATTTGGATGCTGGTTGGTGACTGCTTGCGTGGTGGGGTTTGGTGAAGAAAGGGATGGATATGGCATGGTGTATCGGTCGGTGTTGGGTAGGTGGGTGGGTGTTTGGGTGTGGTGTGTGTCGTCAAATGGTGTCATGGGTTCGTCATGCGGGTGGGAGGTGGTGTGGGTGGATCTCGACGTGCGTCTCGGACATGGCGAGGTGCTGTGGCGGAAGAGGCGGCACCGAGCTGCTGCGCCGGTGCATGGGCAGCGGCTCGGCCGCGAGCGCCGCCGCGACCGCGTTGGCGGGCTTGCCGCTGCCCTGCTTGCCGAACAGGCTCTCGAGCAGGCCGCTCGGCCGCCGCACAGGTGGCGGCATGGACACTTTACGCGACCGCAGCGCGTCGCCGTCCCTGTCCGCCTCAGTGTCCGTGTCCATGTCCTTGGGTGGGGCGGCGCTGTTGTCCCTGCGCTCGACGCTGCCTGGCCGCGCCGTGCCAGGCGTAGTGGGGAACCCGCGCGTCGCCGTCTTGCTGTCCTTTGCAGGCCGGCGCGAACGGGATGCCTGTGGCGTCGTGTCCGCCGCCGTCGCCGTCGTGCCGGGCCGGACAGTCGCCGACCTCCCGTCCCGCTCGGGCGTATATGCCTCCTTGGAGCGTGGCCGGCCGCGTTCCTCTTCCTCGTCGTGCAGGTCGAGCTCGTTATCGGACGCGGACGCGGAGCCGTTTCCGCTCGAGCCCGACGACGGAATCGCCAAGGCGCGCGTGACGGGAGACATGGGCATCATCTTCTCGTCCATGCTACCTGTGCGCGTGGCCGGCGGCGGGACGGCCGCCGCGAGCGCCGCAAAGAGCAGCTCGTACCCGCGCGGCTCGGTGAGGGTGAGCAGCACGCGCGGGGTGTGGGTCACGCGGTGGGACGACTGCGAGCGCTTGAAGCCTGGGCGGGGCGACGTCGGCGGCGAGATTTCGTTGGGCAGAGGCAAGAGCCGTGGCGACGCGAGGCCGCCGTTCCCGCTCCAGCGCGGGGACGTGGGCGCCTCGTCTGTTGTTGTGGGTGTCACTGTGCGGCTGAGCGGGGACGGGGCAGGGGTGCTGATGCGGAGATGGAGTTTGTGGTTGAGGTGTTGCGGGAGGAGCTCGTCGGCGGCCATGCCGAGACCCACGGGCTGGACAGCCTCCGCCGCATGGACTGGGGGCGGCACAGGCGTGGCGGAGCCATTGGGGTCCAGCTCGGCGGGAACCTCACCCTCTGGGAGGGGGACGAGCTCGCCGTCGGATGCCTTGCGTGACCTGCTGGACGCTCGGCTGGCATGGGTCCGCGAAGCGCTCGACGCGCGCGACCCGGGTCGGCTGGGTGCGCGACTGGGTGGGCGGCTCGGCGGGCGCGACGTCGACGACGGTGGGCGCTCGACATCGATCCGCAGCCATACCTGCTGACCCCAGCCCTTCTTCCCGCGCGTCGCTGGCCCAGGTGTTGGCGCTGGCGTCGACCCGCGCGCACTCGCAGGCGGTGGCACCGAGAACGATCGTGACGGTGGCGGTGTAGGTGTCTTCTTGCCCAGGCCAAACAGGCTCGCCACCCAGTCGCGAGCTGGCTCGGCACGGGGAGGGTTGGCGTCGGGTGCAGGTGGCATCCCCAGGGGGAGCACAAGCTGGAGTACCACGGGCTGGCTGTCAGGGACGTGGTGGTAGAGAATCCCTGCGCAGCGGAGGAGGTACTTGATGTAGCTGATGATACGTCGCTCCGGCTCGCCCGACGGGTTCCGCATGACGAGCGGGCCGCTGCTGTTGTGAGGCTCGAGGTAGAGCCTGAGGGTATACTTGACCTCGGAGGGGAGGAACGTGGTGGTCTTGAACGACCTGCTCGCCGTCGCAGCAGCGTGCGACTCTACCCGTGCCCTCATGACATCTCCCACGTCGTACGCCTTGAACGCCGCGATGCGTCGCTTAGCATCAATGTCGACGAACATCTTAAGCGCACGGCGAACTCGCGCCCAAGCATGTCTCTCGGCCGTCTGTTCGTCCGCGCTCAACGCTCGGCCGGCGTGTGGTCCGAGCGCGCGCCAAGGGGCGTCTGGGGGATACAACTCGTCGAGCTCTTGCAGCCTGTCGGCGGCGCGGTCGGCCATGATGTGTCGTGAGGTATGTGTTGGGCCGAGTGGGAAACGGACCTGCAAGAGAAGCGCAAGCATGGTGAGTGCGATGCACCAGATATCCACTTCGGGGCTGAGCAACATGTCAGTGCGGGTTGTTTGTGGCGGTCGGCGATCTGCAGCGAGCGAGCGTGCGTTCGCGTGTTCGTGCGCGCGATCACAACAGGATATACCACTCACCCATAGTATGTTACCTCGCCTGGACGGTGGTTGAGCGCGTTGACAATCTCGGGGCTCTGGGCACTGTCAGCTGTGGTGAACCACCGCTTTATCTTAGCTTACATGGAATGCGGGAGACCCGCAGCAGGTGGTGAGCTTTGGCTCGCTGGCTGAGAAGTGCGTTGCCAGTCCGAGATCTGGCGGGGTGTCAGCTATGGGAGAGCCACGCCAAATAGCTGCCATTTGCATGTCACACGTACCCAGTAGCAAGACATCGCCCGTGGCCACATCGACAAGGACATTATCGCCTTTGAGGTCGCGGTGGCAGACGCGGCCGGCATGCAGCCCGTCGCGGACGACCGATACGAGCTGGTCTAGAATCGCCGCCGCGCGGCTGGGAACCACGGGTCCCGGGTGCTTTGGCAGGGGCACACTTGTGGCCGCGCACTCCTCTGCGTGTCGCGTGAGCAAAAACTGGTGTCCCCGCGCGACTCCATTATCCTTATCGCGCAGGCGCTGGAGCGGCGCTGGCCGTTGGTGACGTACCGACGAGATAGAAGTGGCCTTCTGTCCTCACGAACCCGTCGACGCCTATCAGGCATGGGTGCGGCGCGAGGTGGGCGAGCAGGGTAGGTTCACGTAAGAGACGGGCCGCGATCAGTGGGTGGTGTGGGTACAGCGGGGTGTGCTTGAGTGCAAACTCGCGCTGGCCCGACGTGACCCGGTACACTGTGCTAAACTTGCCTCGCCCCAGGATGCCGCCGTCGGCCTTGCGCGTGTACGTATAGTCGGCGATACCGCGTGCAAGCAGGCTGTCGGGCGAGGGTGCGTTGGTGGGCTGGGTGGTACAGGCCGTCTGCTGGGGGGTCAGCCTGTTGGCCTGTGGGCATACACTACTATGATCCGGTGCGCCCTGGTGGAGGGGCAACATTGGCAAACCACCATGCGTGAGAGAGCGACGAGAGCTCGACGCGTCGCTTGCTCCTGCTGCCGACGCAACACTTATCGCAATGTCACTCACCAGTGCGTCCCATCGTGTGTCGTCTACCACTGGCGCGGTGCCATAGACGAACAGTGTACCGGCGCCCGGCGGGCCAGTCTCGTCTCGGTCTCGTTCGCGCGTGGGGGCCATTATGGCATGGCCTGTGTGTGTGGAGGTACGGGGATGAAGGCGGGGCGGGGGCCTGGTCCGTCTCGTCTGTCCCGTTCAGGCCGATGATGAGGAGGTGTGTGTGGGTGAAAGGTGTGGTTGGCTGTGGGAGGTTGGGTAGTGGAGGAGCGGTGGTAACGTGTTGGGATGATGGGTGTGGAGTGGGTGAGGGGGTTGTGGAGATGGGATTGAGCACGGGGCTTGGGTGGCGGGGAGGGTGGGGCGGGCTTGGCTGCGGGGGGCGGAGCGGAGGGGGTGTGATAGGCCAAGCAGATCGATGGCGGCAAGATGGCGGCAAGATGGGTGCGATGGGTGCGATGCGATGCAATATGCAGATGTGGTGGGGGGGTTTGTGTAAATGGATGGAAGCAAGGAGGGACGTAGAATGTAAATGCGGGAGGATGAGAGGGAAGACACAAAGGTGAATCAATACAACAGACCCGGGTGTCGAGTCGAGAGGCGCGTGAGGGATGCCTTGTTGCGTCACTAACTGTGCAGCGTCGTCTGCCTCTTTGTGTGTGTCTCTCTCCTCTAGTCCCCGGTTATCACTATCATCTCGTATCGCCCACATCCTTCTTGTTCCACCAAAGTCACACGGTCACTGCATAACCCCCCTTGTTCCCAGTCCCATGCCCCAATCTCCCATCGGCGCTAGAAGCCATTCCATTTTGCATCTGTGGCATGCATCCATGGGACCCATCCACACCACCAAAACCTCCCCCCTAACCACCCACACCCCTATCGGCAAACCTGGCTGTTAGCGACGGCAACGGCCGTACAGTGCCGACCGAGCCACACGCATCGGAACACCGCCCGCGTCTATAGCAAGCCCCCGCGCACACGCCTGCTACAACCGTGCAGCCCGTGAATTGTACCGGAACGAACGGGTGATGCCGTCCGCCCACGCCATTGGACACCCCCGCACACTGGCTGGGCCAGCTGGCCTGCCCCCCGCAGGGACCGCGAGGAATGCATTTTCCGATAGTGTGCGCAGCAGCAGCAAACCAAAACGACGCCGAGTGGCGAGTGGTTGAACGAGAAATAACAGCGAAAAGCCACCCGGGGAAGCCACCTGTATCACTGGACGGGCCAACGTTTCTGCGTGTGCTCGCCGCCCCCTCGGGGGCTAATCACATGCCGTGTAATCTCCAGCCAGTAACGGTGGTGGTGCGGCCGGCGCCCACGCGTGCCCCGGCCACGTTCCACCTCTCACATTGCAGAGATGCATCCCACGGCATGGCCCAGGCCTCGCCATCCAGATGCAAAAAGATGCATCCACAGCTATCTATTTTCCCGTCCAGCCCGCCCATTCGCTCCCCCACACCGGGCCACCGGGCCACACACCGCGCCAAGTCTTGTCAAGAAACCGCCACAACGGCCACAGCACTGTGCCAATCTATCACTCTGTTTTCATTCGTTGATGTGGCCTCCCCTCCCCCGGCCCCCGGCTTCCTCTACGGCCTAGGCCTCTACCCAATACAAAAAAAGGAAAAAGCGAAAAAAGGACAAAGGACAAAAAAATAAAAAATAAAAGGAAACACAGGCATGAGAGACACACACAGGAGAGAGAGACGAATAGGTGCAAGATTAGATTCTAGGTCTACACCTCGTTGGCCCGTATCCTCACGCCGGCCCCCGACCAGCTGCGCCGCACCCCCGCGCCCGCACTCCCCCAACCCCCTTACCCCCTCCTCTCTAACTCTAAAACTCGCGCGCTCGCCGCTCGCCTACTTGCTCCCCACCCACCCCTTGCGGCCGGCCCACCCGCCGTTGCCAGCGAGGTAGCGGTGTGCGAGCAGCTGCTCGGCCGTGGGCCTGTCGCCCTGCTCCTGCTCGAGACAGCGACGGACGAAATCCGCCGCGTCGCCCAGCGCGCCGCCGCCGTCGGGTTCGAGCCCCTCCATCGCGTGCGGGCCGCCACACCGCGCGTCGAGCGCCTCCTCGGCGCGCGATCCGGGCGCGAGCCCCACGAGCACCTCGTCGGGCAGGTCGGCGAACGGCGTCTCCCCCACGAGCAGCACGTACGCGACCGTCCCCAGCGCCCACACGTCCTGCTCTTTGCCGCCGTACATCTCGCCGCGCAGGATCTCGGGCGACGCATAGTGCAAGGTGCCCGAGAACGTGTCCCAGCGCTTTCCGGGGCGCCAGTGGGCCGCCGACCCAAAGTCGATGAGCTGGCACCGGCCGTCGCCGTCGAGAATGACGTTTTCATCCTTGATGTCGCGGTGCACAATGCCGTTGGCGTGCAGGAACCGCACAGAGTCGGTGAGCTGGCCCACGAGCGAGCGCACCTCGAACGGCTCCAGCCCCGCAGGCTGCGACTCGACGCGGTCAAACAGGTCCACTCCCGTACCGTAGCACGGCATCACGAGGTAGTAGAACTCGCGGTCCTCGAAAAAGTCGAGCAGCTTGCAAATGTTCGGGTGGCCCCGTTCGGGCAAGTGCTTGATCTCAGAGGCCAGGTACCGCTGCGTCGGGTTGGTGGTGGACGAGCTCGCGCCGCTGGCACCGCTGTCGGTGCGCGCGGGAGTCACAGACCGGGGTGTAAGGACGGACGACGTCGTCGCGCCAGACGAGCCGCCGGGGACGCCTCCTGGGGCAGAGTATCCGCCCGTGCTGGACCGCGACACCGGGTCAGACGCAGGCGCAGACGGCATCGGCGTCGAGTACGGCTCCACCGTCCCGTTGGCACTGCCATCCTCCTCGCCTGCATGGTGACGGAATGGGTCCCACGGGTGCGGCTTGGGCGGTCGGTTGTAAATGAGGTGGCGCAGTTGGTCCATGACGTGGACTGGGTTGGGCGTCAGCGACCGCTAACCTTCCATGTGCTTCAACTCACTCTCCACAGGGATGGGGCCCAGCACCTTGTGCTTTTTCCAGCAGTCGGCCAGGATTCGCGACTTGATAATGTACTTTATAATCACATCGTCCTGTACGCGCACCCGCACGTGTCAGCTGCGTCTCGTTTCACATCCTAAACCACGTTCTACTCACACCCACGGGCTGGCCATTGGCGCCCCTGACTTTTGCGCGCATCACCAGGCCGTATGCGCCCTTGCCGGCCTCCTTGAGGATCACATAGTCGTCAATGCCGTGCCCGCCAATACCGCCACCGGCAGCCGGCTCGGGCTCGTTGGTCGGCGACGGCGTCGCGCTGGGGCTGGGCACGCCCATGCTGGGCGCGTTGCTGAACGTGTGCTCCATGCCCGAGCCAGACAGCGGTGTCAGCGCGCGCTGCGCCAGCAGGCTGGGGCTCCGGAACGGCGAAAAGCTCTGCAGCAAATTGACGTTTTTGGGCGCCGCGCCACCGGACCCGCCTGCACCAACACCGTCTTTAAACACTGGCGATAAGGGGCTGAGACCGGGATACGTCGGGGGCTGGACCACGCGCCCCGCCACCAGCGAGATACGGTTGGTCGTGCGTCGACGCGGCGACCGGGGTGGTGAGGGCACCTCGACGTCCAGCGAGCCCCGGCGGGACGGGGCGCGGGAACGCGAAGACATCGACCGCGAGTACGTCCTTATCGCCTCGAACCGCTCGTTCTCAGTGTGCGGTGGCGGCGGGAACGCCGACTCGGTGGGCGACCCGTCGTCGGGCGATCCCAGGTTGACCTCTTGTAGCTGTATCGGCGAGGTCACCATGCCCACTTGGCCATCGGGGGACATGGTCCGCGGGGCAGGTGTTGTAGTGGTCGTCGACGGCCCAGACGATGGCCCAGAGAGCGGCTCAGAATGTAATGGCGATGGGCGGACGGGTGCGTTGGCAATTGAACTCTTGGCCTCGGGTGACAAGGGCAAGACATCGTCTTTGGGGGTGGCAATCTTGGGAGACGTCGGCGACTCGGACTTTGGTGACGTCTCGGGTGTCTGGACCTCTGACGGCGGCGGCGGTGGTGGCACATGCACGGTGCCAGACGTCAAACCGGGGGTCGAAAATGAGCTCCGCGAGTCGAGCCCGCTCCCGCTGCCAATCTCCACTATACCCCATGAACTTCGGAGGCCACCCGACTCGTCCTGGTTGCCCTCGGCAATCTCCTGGTCCACCATGCGGAACAGTCGTTCACGCTCCAGCTCGCGCTTGGTCTTTGGTCGTGCAGCCTCCTCTTCAAGCGAAGGGCGAGACCGCAGTCGCAGGGAATCGCGGCGGCCAAAGCTGTTAAACCGGTGCAGGCCACCGAGATCGTGAGCTTGGCTGTCGTCGTGGTCGCCGGCAACGCCGCCCATTTCCAGTGGTTGGTCCGGGTCGACAGAGCCAGACTCGGGCCATGGTACTGGCGCAGGTGTGATGAGCACCTGGTCAAACGTAGTCTGCAGCGGGGTGCCAGGGTCGATCGTTGTGGTCGGGACCGTTGGTGCTTCGTGACTCGCTTTGGCGTACTGGGCCTTTTCATCTGCTTCTTGCAGGACAATCTCTTTCGGGGGTCCCACCGTCGACGACCGGCCACTGAAGCGCCCGCTGGAGCGGCTGCTCCTCGACGATCCGCTCTCACTGTCGCTGGCGGGCAGATCCTCAATGTCGTCCCCTGTCAACCGGCGAACCTCCTTGAGTTCTCGCCACTCTTGGGTTGTCGGCGTCAGAATCACCATGGAATGGTGGCCCGTCAAGGGGTTCTCTCGCTCGACTTCGGGGCTGCTTTGCAAAGGAGCGTTGGGGAACGTGGGCGGAAGGTGCTGCTGAAGGAACCGCGAGTTGGGGGACAGGGACGCAGAGAGCGAGTTGGGAGACAGGCAAGACGTTGCCGACAGAGCCGTTGTGGGAGCCAGAGTCGTGGCTCCAGCAGGAAGCGTCTGGTTTCGCCGTAACAGGTTGCTGGGCGAGCCGCCTCGTCCTGGAGATGGAGAACGTGCAGTTGGCGATGCACTCAAATTGGAGCGAGTGGGAGACCCTGTTCGCGAGTGAATGTGGTGGTAGAAGCGTGCACTGCAAAAAAAAGTCAGATACGCCCCGTCTCCTTCTTGCTCTCTCTCTCACTCACCTGTTATCATAGTGACCACCGTGTTCGCTGTCCACATGTGGCTCGTCGGTGTACTGGTGGTGAGGGTGCAACGTGGGCCTGCTTTCACGGCCGTCGTCGCTAGGCACACTGTCCGCCGACGCACTGCGGTGAAAGCTCGGAGCCCGTGCAAGAACTGGGCTTGCGGCGGTCATGCTGAGGCCCATGGCCTGCAAGTCGCCCCAGCTCTTGTTCGGCGTCATGGCGCCTGGCCCACCAGAGTGTGCTCTCACCCGTGACATGATGACGCCGCTACGATGCCGCCGTGGAGAAGGGGGAGGGGGGATGCGGTGCGATGGTGTGTGGGCCGAGTCGACCATGGGGGACGCTGTCAGGTCGCCGGCATGGCCGGTGAGCGATGTGAGAATGGGCGGCGGCGGGCCTGATGATCGCCGGTGCTTCAAGGCAACATTGTGTGTTGGTGGTTGAAGATGGCTCTCGGCGCTGGTCGCGTCGTCGTTGCTGGCCGGCTGCTGCTGCTGCTGTTCCTGCTGTTGTTGCTGATGGTCGGATCGCGGTTCACCGAGAGCGAGACCGAGCCCTTCGCGCCCATTGTCTAGGGCCACCATGGGCGTGGTGAGCTCGAGCTGCGGGGTATCCAAGCCTGCAGATTCGCCGGGGGTGGTGTGGGTGGTTGGAGTGTTACACGGATGCGATGGGGCGAGAAAGAGTGTCGATGGAAGCGATGGCGGCGGCGAGGGCGGCGTCTATGTGGCCTGTGGAGTGTGCGATCCTGCGGCAAAGGCGTCAGTTGGGTTTCAAAAGGATCGTCACTCGGCGCGCGTAGGTTGGTAGCGGTGAGTGTGTGGAAATGTGGAGGTTTTGGGTGGGCACCACAGGCCCAGAACAGCGTCTCTAAACGACCCAATACACAACACACGTGCTGTGAACTGCACGCCAGCTGTGCTCAAAGCACCGGTCCTCACAGTAATGGTGGTGCACGGTAGGTGGGAAAGGGGGTAGAGTGGAGGGTGAAATGTGTCTCTTGCCAACGAAATGGGTGCGAGGATTGCAAGAACGGGCTCTTTTGAGTTGTGGGGGGAGGAGGGTGGCGCGCGTCTTTTGGGCCTGCAAATGCGGCTGCACTCACTACGCTGCGTTGCTATGTTTGGGGCCACACCTGTCGTGGGAAGAGGATACTGGCCAGTACGTTTGGGTGGCGAAAGTGGGGTGTTTGGATGATGGGGGGTTGAGGAGAACACGGGGGTGCTATTGCAAGTTTGCACGTTTGAGATGTCAGACGGCGCGGTATGTGGGAGAGTGGGTGGGGGTTGCGGGGTTGATTGGACTGGTGTGTGTGGTGAAGGGTGATGGCCCTGCTCCGACTCTGGAACTGTGGGAGGGACCACTGTGGCCTGTGGTTTGTCCCCTCGATCCCCCCGTCCTCGTACTCTTCGTCTTCTGTGCAGCCCTCATGCCTGCCTGCACGCTCGCGCCGTGTTGCATTCCCGTCTCTCCGCCAGGGACGACAACATGCAGCTACGGCGTGCGGTATTGAACGGGCCGAACCGACCTGATCGACACACCCACTCACCACAGCAGCATTCCTGCCCGCAAACTGCCTGCCTGCCATGACGAACGTCCCAGACGCCACTGACCCGTCCGGTCTCAGGTGCACGATCAGGTGCAGATGCAGGCAGGACGACGATGGAGCCATCTCACACCCAATGCATGCATGCATGCATGGCAGGATCACACCACACGCATCGCACGCCTAACCCCCTCGACAGGAACACCTCCCATCGCGCACTCCCTCCACCGCCAGCAAAAAAAAGATCCGCTGTTGCCGCCGGAGACGCGCGAGTGAGATCAGTGACGGCTGCGAGTGCACCAGCGTCCACCTGCATCATCATCACCGGCAACAACCACTCCGTATACTAGCACGGGAGCTCCTCGTCCCCACTCTACAGGCAGTAGACACGAATAGCTCGTGCATCGCTTGCAAAAAACAGGGCTGTCCGGATCGGAGCATCTGCGTCGCTCCTGGTTGCATCGCCCCCGTCTTCCGTCTTCCGTCTTCCTCGCGTCTCGGTATACCCCACCCACACCCCCCCACCCCCACACCCCACGAACTCTCGACAGCCATGTCGACCAAGAAGGCCCTCAAAGATATCCGTGCAAAGCTCTCGGCCAACGACTCGGAGACTGCACTGTATGACAGCAACCAACTGTTGCGTTCTATCGGCGACAAGGACCCAGACGCTCCAACAGTGTAGGTCAACCACTCGTCGTTTCTCCCTCTCGGGGCCTCGGCCCGGCTGCCCAACACGTATGTATGTCCCCCACAGCTGACACGCGCCAAGTCTTGCATACCGCGCCCTCGCACTCACCCACCTGGAGCGGACAGATGAGGCGGAGAAGGTCCGTCGCGTCGTCTTACCGCGCGCGCACGCGTTTGCTGACCTCTTCGCGCAGTCTTACCTCCACGCCCTTGGTCTCGCGCCGGGCCACCCCTTGGCTACGCCAGGTCTGAAGAAGCTCTATATCAAGCACAAGCAGTGGGACAAGCTGGGTCAGATCCTGGAACTGGCGGTCCAGGTCACCTATGACGAGTGGGTCCTACTTATCTTAGGGATAACAGCACATAAAAATAAAAATCCAGAGCACTGACCGCTGCTTAGAGGTGACGGAGACAAGCTGTCGGCTGCGCTTCAGGAGCTCGTCGAGCATCGCCTGCAACATGGCCCAGAGGACAAGGTAGGTGCCACTTGATGCCGCGCCCGATAGCACACACACAGGCACATGTTACTGACAAGGACACTAGCTGTATGATACGCTGCGCCTGCTCGTGCCGTCGTCGCCGCTCGTGCCCATGATTCAGGCCACGCCGATGCCTGTAGGCGGCTACGTGCCGCTGCCTGCGCCGACGTACCCTGTACCACCCAACCAGAAGCCACCCGCCATCCCGAGACCCCTGCCGCACGTCCATCACTTGGCAGGCTCGCTCGCGATTGTCCTCTACGTCTTGCTCCGCACCCAGGCCGAAATCCACACCGTGACAGAGACCAAAGTCAAGGCCGGGCGCATGCGTATCGGCGCAGGCACCGAGCGCGACGTCCGCCGCAAGGTCGACGGCGAGGTGCTCTCTGGTCCCCTCGGAGCCAGCATGGTCGATCTCCTCCGCGATGTGGCGTCCCATCCCTCGGTCGACGAGGCCGTGCGGCGCGACGTCGAAGTCCAGGAATTCAAATACTGGCGCAAGCTGGTCGGCGTTCTCTCGTGAGCTGAGGTTTTGTTTTGTCCAAAACATACAGCTAACACCACTCCCGCAGTGCCGCCAAGCCCGAGACCAAGGGCAAGCAGTCTGCCACAAAGCAGGCCCCTGCCACAAAGCAGCCTGCGGCCAAGACCAAGACCGACACCCTCTCGGCCAAGGTCGCTGCCAAGAACCCCAAGCTCCCGTCCAAGCCGAGCGAGCCTGCACCAGACAAGGCGGCCGGTACTGCCGTTCCGACGCTGTTCAAAGCGGTCGAAGTGCCACACATCACCAAGGCTGACGCTCTGGCGCGTGCCAACGGTCTGGCCGACGGCTTTGTCCTTCTCGGTGTTGGTGGTGCCGCCGAGGAGGCCTGGACGTGGGTCATTGAAGGCCGCAACGAACCCACTATCAACTATGACCTCGAGCTCTTGCACAAGTTTGCACACACCTTCCCCACGGCGCACCTCACCGACTTTATTGACGACTACTGCCGTCTGTTCAAGCTTCCCCTGCCAGAGCCCGATGAGGAGGATGCCGACTCGCCGAATGAGACTGCCGGTTCGGAAGACAAGGTCAAGTACAAGCGTCCTCGCAGGGGCAAGGGCAATAACCAGCATGTCAATGCCCGCGAACGCCGCAGGCAGCGCCGCGCTGCTGCCAAGCAGGAGGGCGAGCTCTCCGAGGACATTGACGAGGAGGAGCACGACGAGCTCGTTGCCTCCATGACGGTGAGCTAGCGGCTTGGCCTGCAGCTGACAATCAGAAACTCCTCGAGCGCCTGAACAAGTCTGTGTTTGCCCACCGCGTCATGGCCCGTGTTGCCATCCAGGAGGAAGACTGGGCCAACGCCATCTCGTACTCTGAAAAGGGCCGCAAGCTTACTCGCGAAATCGAGTCTGAGCGCGGTATCAAGCTTCCAGTCGTCCACACCTCGCTCGACGAAGCACTCGGCGTGGCTCTGGTCCCTTACTACCCTCCCAAGCACCACCAGCGTGCCTCGCGTCTTCTCACGGGCGTCCTCAAAGACCTCCCTGCCGACTATGAGGCGCGGTTCAACATGGGTGTCATTCTCCAGACGGCCAATAACTGGGCTGGCGCGCGCGAGCACTTCCAGACCCTCCTCGACCAGGGCGGCGAGGAAAAGGAAATGGTCGCGGCGCGCGAAGAGCTCGGCTGGTGTCTCGTCAACGAGGGCCAGCTCGCCGAGGGCCGCGATGTTCTTGAGGCTGTCGTCGAGATCCGTGACTCGCGCAAGGAGCAAGAGGGCAAGGACGACGAGGCGCCGCAGCGCGCACGCGCGTGGTGGCGCCTCGGCCGCACCGAGTGGATGATTGGCGACGACGAGAGCCGCACCAACGCCCAAGAGTGGTTCATGGCCTCGCTTCGCGCCGACGCGTCGTTTGCGCCCGCTTACACCGCCCTCGGCGTGTGCTACGCCGAGGCCGTCTCCCCGCCCGACACGGAACGCGCCCTCAAGTGCTTCCAAAAGGCGTTTGAGCTCGACGCGACCGAGACTGACGCGGCCCGCCGCCTGGCGTTTGGCTTTGCCGACGACGACGAGTGGGCGCTTGTCCGCGCCATCGCCACGCGTGTCATGGAGGGCGAGGGCGGCGTCGAGGGCGTCGCTGGCGGTGAAGTCATGAACGCTGCCGGCCGCTTTGCGCCAAAGAACGGCTGGGCCTGGAAGGCCCTTGGCTCGACTGAGATGGTGGGTATTTCTTTGTCATTCTGGACGGGTCTGACCCAGCAGCACTACAAAAACTACCAAAAGGCGATCAACGCTTACCAGATTGCGCTCCGCGCGGAGCCCGAGGATGCCAGCATGTGGCGCATGCTCGGTGACGCGTACGTCAAGTGCGGCCGCCACATTGCCGGCATCAAGGCTCTCCAGCACGCCCTCGAGCTCGAGCCCGACATGTGGATGGCGCACTACCACCTTGGCGAGGTACACATCCAGCTGGGCGCGTACGAGACTGCTATCGAGGCCTACAAGGCCGTCGAGGCGGCCACGCACGGTGCCGAGGTCGGCGTGACGGCCGCACTCGCAGAGGCCACCCTCGCTCTAGGCCGCCAAGCAGCTGCGGGTGGATTCCACGAGCGCTCGCGCCGTGGTTTCCACGAAGCCATCGAGTATGCTGCCCGTGTGCTCCAGTCTGGCCGTGCCCACCGCGCCTGGGCGTGGAAGCTCATTGGCGACGCTGCACTCGAGCTCGCGGAGCGCGAGGCTGACGCGTCGGAAATCGAGAGCACGGCCGCGGTCCTCCACCCCGTCCTCGAGCACCTGGTTGCCGACGACGACGACCGCCGTTCGGCCGTCGCAGGTCTGGGCCACGCTTCCAACCTCCTCCAGGCTGCCCCGGGTACGTACCACACGACCAAGGCTGCCATCTTTGCGCTTGCGTACCGCGCCCACCTGCTCAAGAACGAGATCCGTGTGGCCGACCGCGCGCTGTACGACCTCGGATGCGCCCTGCACTCGCTCGCCGTCAAGACTGCCGACGAGACAGAGCGCGCTGCCGCGACCAAGGCGGCCGTGTCTGCCATCCGCCTGGCGCTCGAGCGCGATGCCAGCGACGAACGTCTGTGGAACGCCCTCGGCGTGATCTGCTCCGCTGCCGGCCCCCAGCTCGCGCAGCACGCGTTTGTCGTCTCGCTCGAGTGCTACGCCAAAGACCCCATCGTCTGGACGAACCTGGGCTACCTGTACCTCCAGCTCAACGACCGCGACCTCGCCAACGAGTGCTTCCTCAAGTCGCAGACCATGGACCCAGACTATGCGCGCGCATGGTTTGGCCAGGGCGTGCTTGCCGCTCGTGACGGACAGCAGGAGCAGGCCGACAGCCTGTTCGCCCATGCCGTGACGCTGTCGGCGGGCTCGCTCCTCGAGGCCGACCTTGCGCTCGCGCTCGGCGCTCACGCGCGCTCCCTCAACCCCATGGCTCGCGACACGACCGCCCTGCACCAGCCGGCCTTTGCGCTCAAGCGGTACACCCACTCGCGTCCACGCGATGCCGCCGCGCAGCACGTGTACGCGCTCGTGTGCGAGCGCCTGGGCCTGGCCGATAACGCGGTCGCGGCGCTCGAGACGGCCGTCGAGCTCCTCGAGCAGGAGTTTGAGGCGTCAGAGTCGGCCGACACCGAGGCAAACTACACTGTCGCGCTCGCAAACCTCGGCCGTGTCCGCCTCGCCGCTGGCAAGTACACGGAGGCTCTCGAGTCGTATACCAACTGCGCCGAGCTTGCTGCCGGCAGCGCGGAGCCGCGCGTCGCTGCCCTCGTCGTCCAGGCTCGCCTGGGATCGGCGCTGGCCCATTTCTGGCTCCAGGACCTGGACGCGAGCCTCGAGGCGTTCCAGAGTGCCCTGGACGCGAGCAAGAACGACGACGCGCTCACTGACGAGCTGGTCGTGCTCCTTTCCCGCACGCTCTGGGGCGTGGGTGGCGAGGACGCGCGTGACGCTGCCAAGACGCATCTCATGGAATGGTGGGTCACCTAAGAAATCCTTTGACCCTTAGCTGACAATCTACAGCCTCGAGCACGAAGAACCGAGCGTCAAGGTCGTTGCCGCGCTGGGTGCCGTGGGCCTCGGGTCCGACGACACCGACCTCGTCGACGCCGCTGTCGCCGAGCTCGAGACTGTGCCGCCACCCCGCAAGCTGTTCCAGGACCCGCACGGCGCCGCCGACCTCGTGCTCTTCGCGCACGCCCTCATCAAGGGCGACGCCGACGGTGCGCTCGCCGTCTTCGAGGCAGCTGCCACGGCCAACCCGTACGCTGCCGGACCGCGCAACCGCCTCGCCAAGGCGTACGTTGCCGCAGGCAAGAGTGCCGAGGCCGCGGCGCTGCTCGCCGCCGTCCGTGAGCCCCTGGTCGCTGACGCGGCCGAGGCGGAGCGCGTGCGCGGCGTAGCGGCCACCCTCGAGGGCAGCGAGGACACGAGCGCGCTCCAGCGTGCTGTGCTGCTCACGCCATGGGACGCGGCCAGCTGGGAGGCGCTGGCGTGGGCCAAGCGTGCCGCCGTCGAGGTCGAGGCGGCCGAATAGCGTGTTCGCTAGTGGTTACAAAATGCATTTTGCTTCTCTTCTTGTCTACATGTCTCTACTACCCGCCACACTAAACCCGGAACACGACCGTATTCTTCTTGACGCTTGCGCCGCCTGCTGCCGCAAAACCGGTACCTGGAATGTCAGTTGAGAACAACCAGGTAGATCCCATAACTCACCCTCCCTGCCGAGGGCCAGCATGCCGCTCTCCTCCACCGGCTCCTCGCAGACGCAGCAGCGCTTGGCGGGCTTGACCATGGTGTCGGCACACGTCTTGCACACGACGTGTCCACACACGGCCTCGCCGTCATCCTTTTTGCTCTTCTTGTTCTTCTTGCTCTTCTTCGCCGACGGCTCGGTAGCTGCGGCGGCGGCGTCGCCCGTGTCCGTGTCCGTCACCTTTCTCGAACTCAACAGCACCGCGCCCGTGGCGTTACTCAGCTCCTTGGTGCAGCTCGGGCAGCTGGGCTTGCTGCGCTTGGCGTCGGGGTACGAGAAGATGACGGGGAGCAGGCCCTTGCGCGATGTCGGGTGCGCGAGGCCGCCGACATGGCACAGTGTCTGGAGCTTGACGCTGGCCAGGGGGCCGAGCGGCGCCTCGGGCGCGTTGGCGGGCAGCCAGAACGCGGCAATCTTGGCCTTGCGCGCCTCGCTGTCCTCGGCCAGGATCCGCGCCGCCGCCGCGTCCTCGGCCTCGCGCGCGATCCGGTCAATGTCGTCCTCGAGCTTGCCGGCCGACGGGCCCGGCGTCGTCGCTGTCAATTCTGGCGCCGACGACTCGCCGTTCTTGACAGCACCTGCGGCACCTGCGGCCCCCAGCGCGCGCCGCCGGGCAGCCGCGAGTCCCATTCCCTTTTCGAAATCCTCCACGACGCGCGCGCGCGCGGCCTCGCGCGCCTCGGCGCGCTTGCGCTCGTCGTCCCGCTCCCAAGCTGCCAGCTCGGCTTTTTGCGCCTCGATCCCGGCGCGCTGCGAGAGCAGGTCGGCAATGGCGCATTCGCGGCAGAAGACGTGGGCAGAGGGGCACGCGACGGCATTGTCCTCGGTGATCTGCGTGAGACACAGGTTGCAGTGGTCGAGGGGCTTCATGCTGTCGTTGCCTATCCGCCTGGCGGCGCCTTCCTTGCGCAGGAGCGAGCGCTCATAGTAGGTGAGGGTGGACTGGGTGGTGTTGTTCTTTGCGTCTGTGGGTAGAGAGTCAGTGTGATGGCCTCGGGGGATGGCATGGGGGGTGGACACGTACGTGAGCGTCCCATCGTGGTTGATTGTCCAGAAGGAAGGAGAGAGGCTGCGGCAGTTGCAAGTTATTGTCGCAAGTGGAGGAGATCGGGAATGAGCCTGACACTAGATAAACAGACGGGGGAGCCATTTGAAGTTTGTTACACTGATCAAATTCCTAATTAAAAAGTCGCCGTCCGTGTCAGGCTCACACCCCCATCGGCGTGCCTGCCAGATATCCATCCAGATCGTGCCATGGCGCGTGGTGGAAGTGGGGACAAAGCGCGTTCTGTTGGCCAACACCTTTGTTCAACAACATTTGTCCATATCTCGTCCAAAATGGTCTACGAAGCTACCGCCACCGCCCCGGTCAACATTGCCTGCATCAAGTGAGCTCTCATGTGCCTACCTACCCAGCTAACACTTTCAGGTACTGGGGCAAGCGCGACACCAAGCTCATCCTGCCGACCAACTCGTCGCTCTCGGTGACTCTTGACCAGGACCACCTCCGCTCGACCACCACTTCGCGCGCAGACGCTTCGTTTGAGGACGGCGACCGTCTCTGGCTGAACGGCAAGGAGGAGAGCATCAAGGAGGGCGGCCGTCTGTGGACCTGCATCAAGGAGCTCCGCGGCTGGCGCAAGGCTGAGGAGGACAAGAACGCCGAGCTCCCCAAGCTCGCTGCGCTCAACCTCCGTATCGCCTCGTACAACAACTTCCCCACTGCCGCTGGCCTTGCTTCGTCGGCTTCGGGTCTTGCCGCCCTCGTCGCTTCGCTCGCTGGCCTCTATGAGCTGCCCCAGTCCCCCTCGGAGCTGTCGCGCATCGCCCGCCAGGGTTCCGGCTCTGCGTGCCGTTCGCTCTTTGGCGGCTTTGTCGCTTGGCGTGAGGGCAAGGAGGCCGACGGCTCGGACTCGCTTGCCGAGGAGGTCGCCTCGCGCGAGCACTGGCCCGAGATGCAGGCTCTGATCTGTGTCGTCTCGGACGCCAAGAAGGGCACCTCGTCGACCGCCGGCATGCAGCACACCGTCGAGACTTCGCCTCTCCTCCAGGAGCGTCTGCGTGTCGTCCCCAAGCGCATGGACGACATCTCGGCCGCCATCAAGGCCCGCGACTTTGACGCGTTCGCCCGCCTCACCATGGCCGACTCGAACCAGTTCCACGCCGTCTGCCTCGACACTGCCCCTCCCATCTTCTACCTCAACGATGTGTCGCGCGCCATCATCGGCCTCGTCGAGGAGCTCAACCGCGCCCACCTCGCCAAGACTGGCCACCTCCTCGCCGCCTACACCTTTGACGCCGGACCCAACGCCGTCATCTACGCCCCCGAGGCGAACATGCCCACCATTGTCGCCGCCGTCAACCGCTTCTTCCCCCAGGCCGAGGCCTTCCCCGACCCCTTCAAGGTCGGCACCGCCGCCGCCCTCCCCGAGGGCTTTAGCGAGGGTGTCATCCGCATTGGCGGCTGGGAGAAGGGTGCCGTCAAGTCGCTCATCCACACCCGTGTCGGCGACGGCCCCCGCCGTCTTGGCCCCGAGGAGTCGCTTCTTGGCCCCGACGGTATCCCCAAGACTCTCGCTTAGGCGCATAGAGGTAATAGCATGCATATAGTTGGACCGGGATGTGTAGATTGCAGGTTGCAGGTTGCAGGTTGCAGGTTGCATCTTGATGGAGCGGCGGTGTGATGTGGAGAAGGTGGCTGCGGCGGAGTCTGGGACCGGAGGCAAGGCAGACCATCGCATTCACGACCCAATAGACACCTTTGAGCGGTGTATCCATGCATGCAGCAAGTCGAGAGGAGTCACTAGTGGGGCATACATATGCACTCGCACGAAGGCCCGCCGTCCACAGGCCACCGCGTTGCTGATGGCCTGACGGTGCCACCGTGGGGTGGTCATTTTGACCGCCACCAGGATTCTCTGGGCACCAACAAATCCAGGTCCCAAAGTGCACCAACATTCGCATCACAACTTTGGTCCTTTCACCTCATCCCTCCATCGTCCATCCACAAAACCCCTGCGATCAAGCAGCAGCGAGCCAGCATCGCCCACAGAAGCACTAGGGCGCCTCAACTGCGACTCGCATAACCACACGCAGGGGCCGGCTAAGAGCTTCCCACTCGCCCACAATGTCAACACTACTGCAACCCAAGACCGCCGTTCCGGTATGTCTGCTGGCTCGTCCAGGTCTCACCAGCTGACTCTTATTCCAGGCTGTGACTAGGATAGACGCTCACTACAGGGTACGTATCTTGCGGTGTCTCGTTCCCTCCTCCTGCTCACCGCCCCCCAGAAATTCCTAGCGACCCGATGGCTCGGCCTCGTCATCCGCGCTGCGGTCGTCACCTCCATCTCCCTCTTCCTTGTTCCGGGCCTCCTGCTCCGTATGTCTACATAACGTTGACATGGTCACTGACACCTAGGCTGGGACTACTCCTTGCTTTCGGCGTTTGCCACCTTCTTCGTCGCGGGCCCCGTTGTCTACCTCTCGAGCGTCCACCTCGTTCTCCGTGCTCGCCGCTCGTGGATCATTTGTGGGTTTTGAGTTGTAGAGCCTACTGACCCACCAGCGCCGCCCGTCCTCCCAGCAGGACCTTCCCCCACTGCTGTGCTCTTTGGCACCTTCTCGCCGCGCACACTCGTCCTCCTGGCCACGCACTGGGCGTTCGGCGCCGTGTTTGCCCTCGCCTTTGCGTTCGTCCTGAACGGGCGCTCATCGTCCGTGACGCTCGGATGGTTCAACCCTACCCCGCGCCACCCGTGGCACGGAAACGAGCGTCTCTGGTTCCTCGTGCTCGGCAACACGCTCTTCTTTGGCAGCATCGGTCTCCGTGACGTGCTCTCCGCGAGCCTCGGTCCCGTCTGGCCAAAGACCAGGGTGAGTAGCTGCGGTGTCGCGCGTAAAGCTAACCGTACAGCTCCGCTTCCCCGACGCTGTGAGCCGTTCCCTCAAGGCGTGCTTTACCGGATACCGCGCCGACAGCACGTTTGGTCACGATGCCTCGCTCGCGATGTCGTGGACGGCTGCATACACGCTTGTGTACGTTGCCTTCCGCGGATGGGCCTGGCGCTGGGCCGCGACCAACTTTGTCGTGATCCGCCCCTTCGTGATCAATTTCGCAAAGACCTCGCGCACCAACGTCACCTGGTCGCTGGGATGGTACCTCTTTGTGCTCCAGCTCACCTGCCTTCTCGCGCTCAAGCCGGCCGTCGCCGTCCTGAACGACTATCTCACCCAGCCGCTCAACTTTGCCTCGTTCACGAGCAAGTCGCCCCTGTCACCGGACCAGTACCTCCTCACGGCCCTCCAGTCCAAGGATGCCTTCCACATTGACCACACCATTGTCGAGATGCGCCGTCTCGCCCACTCGAAGGCCCGCCGTGCTGCCATCTTCGCTGACACCTCCAAGCCCGCACTCACCCACGAGCTGTGGCGTGCCCTCCTTCTCCAGCTGGGCGAAAGCTACTCGACCCTCGCCAACCGTGGCGACGCTCCCAAGGCCAAGCAGGCCGCAGCCCCGGTCGCCGCTGAGCCTGACGCGCACTCCATCGCCCTCAAGACGGGCGACATCTTCCGTCCCGCGCCCAAGCGTACGGGTATCCAGGCTATTGTCGGCACTGTGCTCGAGGGCGCGCCCCAGCCTACCCCTGCCCCCGTCCTCGCCGTGGCCGAATCAGCTCGTCGCGCCGAGGCCAACCTCTTCAAGAGCGTCGAGGCACCGGCCCACGCCGCCGAGGAGTGGGCCACCGGGACCCCCGTTCTCGGTCCTCTCGTCAGCGCGACCAAGCTCGTCACCGGCGGCTACGCACACTGGGCGGGCGCCGAGTGGGCGCGCCGCAACGTCTTTGCCGCGGTGCCCGAGTTTGACCGTCTCGCGGGCCTTATTGACAGTGAGTTGACGCCTGCTCTTCTCTGATCTTGGAAACTCACACACGCAGTCCTTACGACCCTCGCCGTCGCATCCGCCGACGAGGACACGTACGGCTACGTCCAGGCCGTGCTCCCGTCGACGCTGGAGGCCTTTGTCCGCCTGCGCGCCGCGGCACTCAAGCTCGGCACCGACCTCCTCAAGGACGCGGCCAAGGTCTCGCCCGACGCAGACGCCGACGTGCGCGCCCAGGTCGCGCGCGTCATTGACACTGTGGACGCCGGCGTGACCCGTATTGCCGAGCGGTTCGGAACGTCGCTCTCGGCGTTCAAGTTCCCCACCGAGATTGCGCAGGCCCTCACGGACATCTGCCGCTCAGAGTAGAAGGTTGTTGCGACAGCCACAGCCGACCACATCCCCCCCCCCCCCCCTCTCCCCCCCCCCCCCCCCCCTCTCTCTCTCCCTCTGCCCACTCTCCTGCTCCGTGCCCCCTCTCTCCATACTGCATCTATTGGAACCAATGAAAATTGCATGACAATGTCAAAACCCGTGGGATAGCAGGTGTGTGTTGTTTACAACCGCGCGATGCTGTGCGTTGCTGGAATTGCTGGAGCTGGGAAAGGGGGATTATCAAGATGCTGCTGTTGCGTTGTCGCCCGCCCGGCTCTGCCTCCGTCCCAGCTGGCTTCTGGTGGCGGGGCACTAATGGGCATAGCTGTTGACGATGCCGTTGCTCCCATTCGCGCCTGCGCCTGCGCCTGTGCCGGCCGCGTCGGCGTCGTACATTGGCCCGGTGGGGGTCTTGCACCTGAACAAGCGGACGTTGCCGGACGAGTCGTAGCCGCCGGCCGCCAGGACCATTTCGACCTGGGGCTCTTGTCAGCTTTGATATCGTGAAGGAGCAGCTGGCTGGCACTTACGGGGTGGAACACGAGGGACGCGGCGCTGGGCATGAAGCCCGCACGCGAGGGTCCGCCGTACGGTCCGCCATAAGCGGGCGCGAGGGCAATGTCAATGTTGGACAGGCGGCGGGGCTTCTCGGGGGTCGAAAAGCCCTGCACGACGAGACGCTGGCGTGTAGCCGTGGGTGTGGGTGCGGAGGTCCTGGGTAGGTTAGCACTGGAGACAAGTTCGATTACCTACGTGGCAAACACTGGTGCGCCAGAGTGGACGGCCAACGCCTGGAGACCTTGGGGCTGGACCGTGTGTTCGTACAGCGGCACATCGGGAGCACGCACATCCCAGATCCTCACGTCGCCATTCATGCTGCCAGTCACCAGCTCACGCTGGCCACCGCGCTGGAGGTGGACCGACTGGATCCAGGTGTGGTGCTTGCGCCACGTACGCAGCACGACGTTGGACGGGTCGTCGAGACGCTTGTCAAACAGGCGCACCACGCCGTCGCCGAATCCAGCCACAAACACGTTTCCGTCGGGCTCGTCAGAGGCAATGGCAGTCAGGTTGGAGCCTGCTTGGGTGGCAATGTCGCGCAGGTGGCGCTCGACAGTGGCGTCCCACAGTCGCACGACACGCATGTCGCCGCCTACCAGCAAGTGACCCTTCTGCTGCTCCCAGGCAGTGAGGACGCCACTGTGGTGGCCCACGGGGAAGATGTCCGACACGGCACGGAATGTGGATGCCAGCTCGGTCTCTCCCGGTTGGTCATAGTCGCGCCAGATACGGATACTGCCCTCGGCTGGGCTGGGTTAGCACAATGATACAAGCAAGGAGAAACCCACTAGATGCAGTCAACATCAGTGACGATGCCGTCTCGTTGATGAAATGGATGCTCGAGATGCTGCTTCCGGCCAGGTTTTGGTTGCTAAACTTGTTGACCTTTGTCCTCGCCTTCCAGTCCCAGATGCAAATCTTGTCCTCGTCGTCCGTGACGGCCAGCACGGGATCGTGCGCGTGGAACGCCAGCTGGAGGGGCCAGGCGTCGTTGTGCAGTGTACCGGCGTCCGTGTCCCATCGGTGGTGGGCGGCATAGTCTTCGTTGGAACGAGAACGCTCCACCTGGGTCTCGTTTCGCAGATGACGCCATGCTTGCTGGTTGTACGTCACGCTTCCGGGCTCTTCGTTGTCGGGGGCCTTCATCTGGGGCTCGCGGAAGTACTCGACCGCCCAGTCGAAGAAACCGCTGCGCAGGGGCACGACGTCATCCTTGACCTCCATGGCGACCATGCCGAGGCCAAGGTCGTTTGGTCGCGCAAGACCGTTGTTGTTCAGCTGACCATCGGCACCGCCGCCAGCCTGGGTACCCCTCAAACGACGGTGACGCAGGCGCTCCATGTCCTCTTCCACCAGCGCTTCGATGACAGAAACAGCCTGCACGGGGGGCTTGTCCATGCTGTGCTGCATGCGCGTGCCGAGGACACCCATGCCAGAACCACGCTGGGCACCCTCCGGGAGGATGAGCTCGTGGCTGGAGCCTGGGTAGGGCGACTTGTAGAACTGGGCGCCACTCTGGGCCACATCAATGTCGGTACGAGTCACAGGCTCCACGGGCGTGTCGGCGGGCTGTGGGGCCTCGGCGGGCAGCCAACCAGTCATGCTGGCCAGACTCCTGAGGGCACCTGCGACAGACGAGTTGCGCTTCAAGCTGCCAGATGGCGTGCCGGCGGGAGAGTTTTGTGAGGTGGCATATTGGCTGTGGCGGTCGGTGGTGGGCGTCCGAGGAACCTCGGGAGAGGAGGCCTGGGAGAAGCGGGGGCCGACCTTGGGCCTGTTGAGGCCCTTGAGAGCGGTGCCAGGGACCTGGTTGAACGCCGAACCAAGGAGAAGAGCCACGATGTAGTCGACGACAGTGGCGGCCATACCGGCCACCTCGGGGTGAGGGTCGACTGAGAGGTCGAGGAGGGTCTCAAACAGCGTCTTGAACGAGCTCAAGAGCGTGAGGTTGACCTGGTGCGCCTCGGGCGAGAGCGCCTCGGTCGATACCCAGTGCTCGAGGGCCTCAGCAACAATGTCGGCCTCGTCCTCTGAACCGGCGTTGGAACCGGCAAGTGCGGCCTCTTGCTCGTAGTAGCACCAGGCGGCCGCGACAAACCATCCGCGCCACTCGCGCACAATGCAGGAGATGACAACGACGAGCTCCTTGCGAACCATTGGGCTTGCGTCTTCCTTGACGGTCATCATGCACGCGTAGGCGAGCCCAGCCTCCACCTCGAGCTGCTGGTGCTCCGAAATGCCGAGCTGTGCGCCCATGCCGCCACCACCCTTGAGCTCAGCAGCGTCAATGGGAGCGCTCGAGGCGCCGAGGAAGGTGCCAAAGGCGTACAACGCAGCAGCACGAACTTCGACCGAGGTGTTGCGCAGAGTGGCCATCATGTGCTCTTGCCGTCCGTGCAACATACACATGGCCTTGCCCTCGTCGTTGTCGGCCCACATTTGAGCAATACACAAGAGACACCAGGTTCGCAGGAGCCAGTCGTCCTCTTGCAAGCGGGTCAGGCAATGGTCGAACACTTGGTACGACAGGCATGCGGTTTGTCCAGCACGGAAATTGCGACACAGCATGGCGAGAATAAAGGCACACATCGCGCGGTGCTCGTTGGCGTTGGGGATGACAAGCGGCTGGCCTGAGACAGGGTAAGGGGCGAGGATCTGCGCAAAGTAGTTGTAACCGTTCTCCTTGAGCAAGTCCATCTGGCACGACTTGTCGACGGCCAGAATACGGGCCCAGATGAAGATGAGGACGGGCTTGAGCTCGGCAGCTGGTGATTGCAGCAGCTTTTGGACGTAGGGGAAAATACCGATCGAGAGAGCCATGTTGACAGCCCACGGTCCCAGGTCCACAAACTGCGAGAGCAGGATAAGCGCCCTCAGTCGGTGAGCCTGAGAGAGTAACACCTGGAGGACGATGGGCAGCTGTTCAGGCTCCTTGCGCGTGACAGTTCCAGACAGCTTGCTGCTCTTGGCGCCGCCGCCGTGCTGAAGCCACACCTCGAAGGCCTGGAGGTGCTGAGCGAAGAAGAGGGACGGGCGGTAGGTGCTGAGAGGTGGGGCATTCGACTCGCCAGCCTCGCGCGCAGCCTCGAGGTCGAGAAGCTCGGGGAGCTGGGCCAAGCACCCGTCAACAGCGAGGTCCCAAGAATCCCACAGGGGGTGGTTGTGGGTGGAGGGAAGCTCTGGGTGGGACATGGGCGTGCAGTGGTAGGTCGTCATGATACGCTGAGCCAGCAAAAAGTTGCGGAACAGCGCGGCGACCAGAAGGTCCTGTCGGAACAGCCTCATAAAAGTGTCGCGAGGGAAGGAGAGCCAGGCAATGGTGTCGGTGACGGCAGTGAAGATCCATTGCAGCTCTCCGAGCGGCGTTCTCCTGTCCTTGAGGTCACCGGGGAGCTTCATCACCATGTCGACGGTCAACCGTGAGCGAGGGTCATCGCTTGAGCGGTTGAGGTTGCGCTTCAGGGGATCCTGTTGCACAAAGAAACGGAGCGCAGTCTCGATCGGCGACGTAAGACAGCAGGTGAAGAGGTCTGCTGGCAGATCGGGTGACATTGGCAGCACCTGGTTTGCTGCACAGGGTGCGAGGTGGATTGACTCGGAGAAGAGGGAGCCTGGGAAGTCGTTGCCGCCACCATTGGCAGTCTGAGCCGCGCGGAGCTCTTCGTCACGGCGCCGAGCGCTCTGCTTGAAGTTGGTGATAATGCTGCCGGCACCTGAACATTCCCAAACATAGATGCAGGGGCTGCGTCTGTTAGCGCTGGGTGTGATTCAAGAACTCACCTTCCGAGCCACTCTTGCAGGTCGACGAGGCTCACAGGGATATACTGCGTGTAGGCTAATGATGTCAGTTAAGCACCGTGACGTTCCGACGTACTCTTGTTGAACACCCAGATCTCTCCACCATTGGTGGGCTTTGGCACACCGTGGCCGTTGTAGTAGAAGAGGGTGCGCTCGTCACGCGCATTCTTGCGCAAGTTGACGCACACCTTTTTGGTTTCTTCAATGGACGGGTCTAACGACTGTTCAACATTGTCAGGCACTGGCTTCTCGCAACCAAGGTTAATGGACATACTGTCTTGTAGCGGACCTTGGGGTTGAGGGTCTCGAACTGGATCTGAAGGTCTGGAACGTCAGCTCACATCGAGTGACTCCAAGCTCACTTCTTCCTATAGCCTCTATCGCTTTATTGGAGGGAAGGGTTGAGGGGTCTACCCAACACTCGGTCTTTGCGCACGGATTGGTCTTTACAATATCGGGTGGGTCGACCCCAATGTTCAAGCACAGAAACAGGCCCGCGTTGACAGTCTTGAGTCGTGACCGCAGTCGCCACGGGAGAGCAGTCTCTTCGTCGGCCTTGTTCTTGCCCTTGCGGCCCATGTGTCGCTTGGCAGTCCAGAACTGGAACGCGGCAACGCTATCAACCTCGTCGTCCTCCATATCGCCGTCATGGTCGACGTCATGGTCGTACTCGTCATGCGGGTATGCCGGGTACGAGAGTTGTTGGGATGTCGAGGCCTCGTCCCTAATATACGGCAGGGAAGGCGGTTGAAGTGCGGCAGCCATTGTTGGACACACTCAAGATCGGGAGCGAGGTGGGGAAAGAGAGAGTGATGTGGGGGCGGTTGTCTAATGGGGGTGTGGGAGAGCAGTGAGCCGCTACCACGGAGCCCCTTTGGAGGAGGGTGTGAAGGGGTGTGAATGGTATTGTGTCGAGGGGCTAGTGGGTAGGAAAGAGGCCAGGCTGCTGGATGGAAGGTGGACGTGATGGATAATGGATAATGGAAGTGGTGCTCTTGGTGTCTGCCCCGATTCGAGAATGCCGTCCGTCACTGGATCCACTGGCCACTGGTGTCACTCAATGCCCATCCGGGCGTTGGAATCGACGGAAGCAATTCCACGTGGGCGGATCGCGCGCCACACCCCCCGATGACGCTTCTTTGGTCCACTCACCCCCTGGGCGTGTGTGCTCGCTCACAAGCCGTACTGAGACACCAACCACTCTCGACTTGAGTCCTCTCTTCACAGCTCCCTTCAAGCTACGTCTATCGGCCAGCAAGAGACTACAGGGAGCAAAACCACATCGCCCACCATGTCCGACGACGAGTTTATGATGGACGTGAGTACTGCAACGACAAATACAAGGCGCAAGACACAATGCTCACGCTGTGCAGGACGCGGCCGATGACGAGGTGAGCTGCGCTCTTGAGCTACAGCCAACAATCGGTCTGACACTATGCTTAGGAGTACGACTTTGACTACGATGACGACGACGATGAGGGCATGGACGATGAGGGTGGCGACGTCGAGAACCAGTACTACAAGGCCAAATGTGAGTGCCCGCCGATCAACCGCTCTTCCCTTCCCTCGCCTCGCTGCCCATACGCTTACACCCTTTACAGCTCTGAAGGAGGATGACCCAGAAGGAGCTCTCAAGGCTTTCCGTGCCATCGTTGACGACCAGTCCGACAAGGGCGAATGGTATGGACTGCTGTCGTGGATCAGCTGACCGCTTAGGGGCTTCAAGGCGCTCAAGCAAATGATGAAGATGAACTATTTGAACCTCAACCGCCCAGAGGAGGCTCTCAAGATCTACCGCGAGCTCCTTGGATACACCCAAGTGGGTAACGTTGAGTGAGCAGCAGCTGACCGTCCCAGACGGCCGTCACGAGGAACTATGCGGACAAGACCATCAACAACATTCTCGACTATGTCGGTGGCGAGGGCAAGGTGAGAGTTGCCGAGACAATCGATGCTAACAGCTCCCCAGCACGCGGCGATCTCTCCCAAGGTGTCCCTCGACACTCTCGAGGCATTCTACGAGGCCACCCGCATCGCTTGTGACGAGGCCAAGAATGAGGTGAGTCACGAGCATTGTTGACAAAGCTGACAATGGCAGCGTCTGTCGACCAAGTCCAACCTCAAGCTCGCCAAGCTCTGGCTTGACCGCAAGGAGTACGCCCGTCTTGCTCCTGTTCTCAAGGGACTGCATGCGACCTGCGAACCAGGTAGCGCTTCGTCGTCCTCAGATGACCAGACCAGGGGCTCTCTCCGTATGTTTTACACTGACGGGGCGTTCGCTGACTTGCCAAGTGCTTGAGCTGTACGCCATTGAGATTCAAATGTACAGCGACTTGAAGGAGAACCGCAAACTCAAGGTGGGCTGTGGATCCTAGCGCTATATCTAACCCGCAGGACATCTACAACGCGGCCATGACGGTGCGCAACGCCATCCCTCACCCGCGCATCATGGGTGTCATTCGCGAGTGTGGTGGCAAGATGTGGATGATGGAAAGTGAGTCCAAGAGCACAATGCGGTTGACTGACTCGCTCAGAATCATGGGACAAGGCGTCGACAGATCTGTTCGAGTCGTTCCGCATGTACGACGAGTCGGGCTCGCCTCAGCGTATCCAGGTCCTCAAGTACCTCGTCCTGACCTACATGCTCATGGGCAGCGAGATCAACCCCTTTGACTCTCAGGAGACCAAGCCGTGAGCTTTACGCGTGAAAGACCGAAGCTGACCAACAGATACAAGAACGACCCGCAGATTGTTGCCATGACCTCGCTCGTCTCTGCCTACCAGGCGCGTGACGTCAAGGAGGCTGAAAAGATTCTCAAGGGTGAGAGGTGTCGGCCGCTCGTCGATGGTACTGACTTCCTCAGTCAACAAGGCCACGATCACTGCCGACCCATTCATTCGCTTTTTCATTGACGATCTCCTCCGTTCACTTCGTACAGAGTACATTGTGGACATTATCAAGCCATACACGCGCATGAAGCTCGACTTTTTGGCAGAGGTACGTTGTTCTTCGCTGTCGGCAAGCTGACATGACAGACCCTGAGCCTCTCCAACAACGAGGTGGAGAGCCTCGTTGTGTCGCTCATCCTCGACGGCCGCATCAAGGCCAAGGTAGACCAGATCAACGGTATCATTGTCCTCGAGCGATTGTGAGTTTCCTTGTAGCAGCCGCGCTAACTCTCACAGCCACGCCGACTTGAACTCCCGCTATGCGGCTCTGGACAAGCTGTCTGGCGAGCTGAGTTCGCTCTCCTCGCGTATTGTCAAGGACAAGCTGGTTCGCGACGCTCCTCGCGGCTGGATGGGTTCCATGGAGGGCTTTGCATAAGTTGTAGATAGTGAGAGACCATGAGATGTACATAGATTAGTGTGAGACACCCAGAGTGCCAGAGTTGGAGGGCACCACCACATGCATTACTTGCCACGACCTGGCGGAGAAGAGAACGACAGCAACAGGGGGCCGTTGACGATAACTGAAATCGGCCGCCGCGGCGCGCGTCAAAGACGGAGACGGAAGTAAATCGCCAGGGGTTTCCGGTGTGGTCCACGTCCACCACCGTGTGCGGTGCGGCCACCGCGTCGTCGACTGTCCTCTCACTTGCAACAACGCGACACACACACACACACGACAGCACTCTCCACCCCCCCCCCCCCCCCCCCCCCCCCTTCACCGCGTGCTCGACCTTTCCTGCTAGGCAGCACTTGTCCAGGTCCCGCGGATAGTTGCCATGGCCTCTGAGGAACCCGACCACACAGCCGCACCAGTCTCGGCTGTTGTGGCCAGCGATTCGGTCGTCGTCGAGTCTCCCATTGACACGGCCGAGCAAGCGGCGCCAGTGCCAGTGACCGACGCGCCAGCAACACCAAGCACAGAAGAAAAACACCTTCCCGATGACCCACAACCCGAGGAAGCTACCCCAGTTACCCCCGAGCTCCCAGTGGAGCCTGTGGCTTCGGACTCACCGGCGGTTCCCTCGTCACCTTCAGAGGATCCACCTCCACCTCCGCCCAAACCCTTCGCCAGTCCGTCCAAGCCGACGCTGCCGGCTGGTATCGCTCTGGAAGCTCCCCCGCCTCCAGAGAGCCCTTTGGAGGACGCGGCGGCGACGCTGGAAGACGTCTCTATCAGCCAGGACGGGACTCCGGCGCGTTCTCCGAGTGTCAACGAGATGACAACCACCCCTGTGCGCCCATCGTCGTCCCAGGCCGCGCGACCCCAGCGTGCTCCTTCGGCCAGCATCTCGTCATCGCATTCGGGATCACCCATGCCGCGCCCATTGTCGGCTGTTCACACCGAGCGCTCACTAGCGGGCCACTCGCGCCGCTCCTCGACGTCGACCAGCATTTCGCTTTCCACCACTGTACACCCCGGTGCCGGCCCTCAACTGTCGGCTGTCCTTATCACCCCTCCTCTCCAGGTTCTCGTGTCAAGCAAGGAGGCTCGCAAGTCTGCATCCTTCCTCGCGGCCTCGCAGCGTGCTCTCGACCTCTGTCAGGGGAGTGGCGACGGCAGCAACGCGGCGTACCTGCACCCCCGTGAGATCTTTGAGCCGCTGCGCCTGGCCATCTCGAACCCACAGACGACTAGCGTGCCGATCTTGGTCACCTCGCTCGACCTTCTCGCCAAGCTCGTCTCTCACTCGTTCTTCTCCGAGCCCAACGGCCCTCCTCCGGGCATGTCTCCGCTCCCCGACCTGATCACCCACACCATCACGTTGTCCTACTCGGAGAGCTCGCCACCCCAAGTCGCTCTCCAGGTCGTCAAGGCGCTCATGGCCATTGTGCTTAGCACCGACCCTGGCATGCTCGTTCACCAGAGCAGTCTGCTCAAGGCCGTCCGCACAGTGTACAACGTCTTCCTCCTGTCCAACGACACCAACAACCAGATTGTTGCGCAGGGCGGTCTCACTCAGATGGTGCACCACGTGTTTGGTCGTGTTGTGCGTCCGGACGCTCGCGCCTCCAAGCGTGGTAGCGTGTTGATCAACGGTCGTTCCGCCACTCCCCTCCCTGAGGACGCGAGTGCGCCGCCTACTCCGGCAAACGACGGGCCCAAGATGACGTTGGCGAGCTTCAACGAGGCCAACCCGAACGACCATATCCCGACCGCTCCAGCCGCCCACTTACCGACCGACACGGTCTCCATTGCAGTTCCGAACGGCGACGCCCTGGACATTCCAGATGAGCAGAACGGACACGGTGACGGCGAGAATGGCGGCGACCTCGACATCCACGGACGTCCCATCCCTACCGAGGAGTTGTTCGTCAAGGACGCGTTCCTGGTCTTCCGTGCGCTGTGCAAGCTGAGCATGAAGGCCCTCGTTACAGAAAGCGAGCTTGACCTGCGCTCGCACGCCATGCGCTCCAAGCTCCTCTCGCTCCACCTCATCCTCACCATTCTCAAGTCGCACGCCGACCTCTTCACCAACCCCCTGGTCACGATCCCTTCCAACACCAGCGCGGAGAACACACCGTTCCTCCAGGCGACGAAGCAGTACCTGTGCCAGAGCCTGTCGCGTAACGCCGTCAGCCCTGTCAACCAGGTCTTTGAGCTCAGCACTGAGATCTTTTGGTGTGTCCTCCAGTCGATGCGTGCGCCGCTCAAGAAGGAGATTGAGGTGCTCCTCAACGAGATTTTCCTCCCCATTCTCGAGATGCGCCACTCGACTATCCGCCAGAAATCGCTCATCCTTGGCGTTTTCATCCGCCTTTGTCACGAACCCCAGGCCCTGGTCGAGATTTACATCAACTACGACTGCGACCGCGCCGCCCCCGAGAACATTTACGAAAAGCTTATGAACATTGTGTCCAAGATTGGTCAGACCCACTTTGCTCCCCCATCCAAGGAGGAGCTCCATCAGGGCTCGTCCAAGCAAAAGCAGTCGGGTTTATCGCACGGCCCATCGATCCCGCCCTCGCTGAGCACGATTGCTCTCGGCCACGAGCCGCCGCACTATGCCGGTCTCCCGCCCGAGATCAAGCTCCGTCGCCAGTCGCTCGAGTGTCTTGTTGCCGCCCTCAAGTCGCTCGCCGCCTGGTCGAGCTCGAGCTCAACTGCGCGTAATGCCGAGGATCCCAATGCTGCTCGCGCGAGTATGGACTTGGAGCGGCCAAACTCTATCAGCGCGTCGACTCTCGAGGTCAACGCCCCCACCCCATCTCGCGAAGGTGCTCGCAGCACCGTCTCCAACTTTGCGTCTGGCTCGGCCACCCCGGACGCTGGCGAGGACGACGTGACCAAGCTTGAGAGCGCCAAGCAGCGCAAGACGATGCTCTTGGACGGCATCAAGAAGTTTAACTTCAAGCCCAAGCGCGGTATCGAGTATCTGGTCCAGAACGGCTTCGTCCGCAGCCGTGCTCCCCAGGACGTTGCTCGTTTCCTCCTGGGCAACGAGGGCCTGTCCAAGGCCATGATCGGCGAGTACCTCGGCGAAGGCGACGAGGACAACGTTGCCATCATGCACGCCTTTGTCGACATGCTCGACTTTACCGGTGTCCGTTTCACCGCCGCGCTCCGCATGTTCCTTCAGACGTTCCGACTGCCCGGTGAGGCCCAGAAGATTGATCGCTTCATGCTCAAGTTTGCCGAACGCTACATGCACCAGAACCCGGGTCTCATGTTTGCCAATGCCGACACTGCGTACATTTTGGCCTTTTCGGTCATCATGCTCAACACCGACCAGCACAACAAGAACCTCAAGCAGAAGCGCATGACCAAGGCCGAGTTTGTCCGCAACAACAAGGGCATCAACGACGGTCAGGACCTCGGCGAGGATTTCCTTGGCGAGATTTACGACGAGATCCAGACCGACGAGATCAAGATGAAGGACGAGGTGGAGGCCGCTCCTCCTGCTGGTCTTGCGACCGTTGGCCGCGACTTGCAGCGCGAGGCATTCCTCGCCCGCTCGGAGAACATGGCCAGCAAGACCGAGGCCCTTCTCAAGGGCATGGCTCGTACGGAGCGCCGCCGCGGCGGACCCGACCACTACTATGCCGCCTCGCGCATCGAGCACGTCCGCTTCATGTTCGAGGTCGCGTGGATGCCCTTCCTTGCCGGTCTCTCGGGCCAGCTGCAGGAGACGGACGACATGGACGTTGTCGAGCTGTGCCTGGACGGCCTCCGCGCCGCTATCCGCATTGTCTGCCTGTTCGACATGGAGCTCGAGCGCAACGCGTTCGTCACCACCTTGGCCAAGTTTACCTTCCTCAACAACTTGACCGAGATGAAGCCCAAGAACATGGAGGCCATCAAGTGTCTCCTCGACATTGCGGTTACCGACGGCAACAACCTCAAGGCCAGCTGGAAGGATGTCCTCACTTGCGTCTCGCAGCTCGAGCGCATGCAGCTCATCTCCAACGGCATGGACGTTCCCGACCTCAACCGCCGCTCGTCTACTTCCAGCCGTCGCTCAGTCGCCAGCAAGCGTGACAAGAAGCGCCTGGATGACGAGCTGGCCGAGGAGTCGCGCTCGTCGCAGGTCACTGTCGCAGCCGACAAGGTGTTTTCGCTGTCCCAGAATCTCTCTGGTGTAAGTTGTTGGCCCGGTTCCGTATGATTTCCCAACTGACATTTTCCCAGTCCGCCATTGTCGACTTTGTGCAGGCGCTCAGTGAAGTGTCATGGGAGGAGATCCAGTCGACGGGCGCCTCCAACCGCCCGCGCATGTTCTCGCTGCAAAAGCTGGTCGAAATCTCGTACTACAACATGGGTCGTATCCGTCTCGAGTGGTCTGGCATGTGGAACATTCTCGGTGAACACTTCAACCAAGTCTGTTGCCACAACAACCCCAACGTCTCGTTCTTTGCCCTCGACGCCCTTCGCCAGCTGGCGATGAACTTTTTGCAAAAGGAGGAACTGTCTCACTTCCGCTTCCAAAAGGATTTCCTGCGGCCCTTCGAGTACACCATTGTGCACAACATGAACTCGGACGCCCGCGAAATGGTCCTCCAGTGTCTCCAGCAGATGATCCAGGCGCGCGTGCAGAACCTTCGTTCCGGTTGGCGTACCATGTTTGGCGTCTTTTCGGCCGCCTCCAAGGTCCTCACCGAGCGCGTGTGCAACTATGCGTTCGAGCTCGTGTCGCTCGTGTACCGCGAGCACTTTTCGCTCGTCGTGCGCTACGGCTCGTTTGCCGATCTCACCGGCTGCCTGACCGATTTCTGCAAGGTGTCCAAGTTCCAAAAGATTTCGCTCCAGTCGATCGAGATGGTCCGCGGCCTGGTACCCAAGATGCTCGAGAACCCAGAGTGTCTCATCCCGGCCCCTGGCGAGGCTGGCGCCAAGCTTGGTCCCTCGGACGACCCCATGATCAAGTACTGGCTGCCTGTTCTCAACGCATTCTTCGACATTATCATGACAGGCGAGGACCTCGAGGTGCGCCGTGTCGCGCTTGACTGTCTCTTCGAGACACTCAAGAAGCACGGTTCCAGCTTCAGTGTCGAATTCTGGAACGTCGTCTGCGAGCAGACCCTCTTCCCCATCTTTGGCGTCCTCCGTGCGAAGAACAACGACTTTAAGAGCGCCGAAGAGATGAGCGTTTGGCTTTCGACGACCCTCATCTCGGCTCTCCGCGACCTCGTCGACCTGTACACGTACTACTTTGACGTGCTCGAGCGCTACCTCGCTGGCCTCTTGGACATCCTCATTGCGTGCATTTGTCAGGAAAACGACACTCTGGCACGTATCGGTACAAGCTGCTTCCAGCAGCTCCTCGAGAGCAATGTCACCAAGCTCAGTGCTGAGAACTGGGAGATTATCGTGTCGGCCTTTGTGCAGCTCTTCCGCACCACCACGGCGTACCATCTGTTCGACCCTGTGCTCCACTCCGAGGTCTCGGCGCCTGCCGACTATGTGGACGAGGACGCGCCCTTCCACAAGTTTGTGGCTCCCGCCCCGCTCGAGGCTGTTCCCGACGACCCGCCCGCGCTCGGCCCGACCATTACGTACGCCGAGCAGCGTCGTATCTTCAAGCAGATCATCGTCAAGTGTGTCCTTCAGTTGCTCCTCATCGAGACGGCCGACGAGCTCCTGGAGAACAACGACGTGTACAACACCATCCCTGCCGAGCACCTGCTGCGGTTCATGGGTGTGCTTGACGACAGCTGGAGCTTTGCTCGCAAGTTCAACGCCAACAAGGACCTGCGTACCCGTCTCTGGAAGGTCGGCTTCATGAAGCAGCTCCCCAACTTGCTCAAGCAGGAGTCGAGCTCGGCAGCTACGCTCATCCACGTGCTTCTCCGAATGTACCGCGACCCCCGTGAGGCGCACAAGGCGCTCCGTGGCGGCGTCCTCGACCGACTCGTGCCCCTCGGCACTGAGATTACGCGCGACTTCATCGCCATTGACGAGCAAACCCAGCCCCGCAATGTTGCGGCATGGAGCCCTGTCGTCACGGAGATTGTCCAGGGAGCATGTGGCTTTGACCAGGCGGCAGTGAGTAACAGTTGTACCAGTCCCTTGCCTGTTTGCTGACTTTGCTTCCCCCCAGTTTGACGAGCACCTGCCTTTGCTCTATCCTCTTGTCACGGACCTGCTTCGCAGGGACGCGACCACCGACATGCGGAATGCCGCGCGGGAATTCTTTGTTCGTGCCGGACAACGCCTGCTTCCGATGCTTGCGGCGTCCCAGGTTGGGGATGCCGTGGCTGAACCACTGGCCGTGGAGGAGAAGGAGAACGGCGAGACTACCGCTTGAGAGGTAAATTAGGAACCATCTTCTTGTAAGCCGACGACAGAGACGAGAGGGGGGAGGGACAGAAAAAAGGGAGAGCCTGCAATAGAGGGCGATAATCGCACGCGGGCGTGTAATGGTAGCAATGCATTCACTGGCACTGGATCGGTGAGAGTTTGAGACAGTCTCGAGATGGCATGACTGAAGTAAACGGAATGTTGGTGGTGTTCGTCTCATGATTGAGATCTCGTGGCCGAGGAATGAGGTCATCGTGGTTGGAATGCCGATATCCGGCCCGGCATAACCACCGAGTGTTCTCAACACCACACCATCCACCGCCATGTGGGGAGCATCAAGTGTATACCTGGCTATAACGTGCGTTCCTTCGCCACCTGTATGTTCAGCGTTGACACTGTAGCCTCTTATCGTTCACGGTCGTCGCGCACCCGCACAACAAGCCGATGCAGCAGCCAATGGCGGTTCCCACAGGCCGTCTCCATGACACACCACCTCTGCCCAGCCCAGCGTCGCCGGCAGCGTTCGTGCCGCTTATCAGCGCTTCGCTAGAAGCCACTTACCATGACGTGCCAGTTCCTCCGCCAGAGGGCATGGAACTGTTTGAGCTCGCCGTGAGCGGGCCCGTGGGGGAGCGTGTCAACCTCGCGTTCTTTGCTGATGGATGTGAGTTTCGCGGCGCCAACAGACTGGGTCAACTGACATCTCCCCCCAAGACACCCTTACTGAGCGCGACAAGTTTGTGGAGGACGCGCGCAAGCTCACCGACGACATTGTGCGTACTGGCCCCATGGTCCACGTCGCCGACCTCGTCAACGTCTTCGGCGTGTTTGTGCCATCGGAAAAGGTACGTTTTGGCGAATCTCAAGCCTCCCCACAGCACCATAGCACTATGCTCATGTCGTAGTCCGGCCTGGGTCAAGACAAGCCGCTTGCCGGATCGCCGTTTGGCTTGTTCCGGTCTGGTTCGGAACTGCGTGGTGTGTACGTTGCGTTCCAGGACACTGCTCGCGCGGCGTGCAAGTACTGGAACGAGGCCGAGAAAGGCGGCTGCGACCAAGCGATTCTGCTCGGCAACGACGGGCTATACGGTGGCCTGGGTGGCGAGTTTACGTGAGTTGAGGGTCCTGCAATCACGACAGCTGACACGCAGGGTCATCACGGCGTCGCCCTTGAATGGACCACTGGTGCTGCGACACGAGTTGGGTCACAGCCTTATCCCCGTTGGAGAGGAGTATGAAGGAGGTACGTGGGGAGTAGGTTGAGGTGACTGACACTCAGGCTACGCCTACTTTGGTGCCAACTCGGACGAGGTGGAGAACCTCGACCAACTCAAGTGGGCACACCACCTCTCCGAGCCCAACAAGCTCCGCGTTGAGTCTGTCCACGTCCCGCTGCAGGCGTACCCATGGCACAACCTCGACGAGGGTCGTTGGTCAGCGACCTTCACGGCCAGCAACGTGACTGGCAAAAAGGGGACTACCGGGATGCTCCGCACCTCCTTGTCGTCTATCCCATACCCATCCCACGTCCGCATCACGCTTCAAGGCAAGGACCTTGACCTCAAGAGTGCCTTCCCTCCGGCACCATGGAAGGGCTCGTTTGACCGTCGCTGGCTGGAGGTGGCTCTGCCCCATGGTCTTGCCGAAGACATACCGTTCACCATTGTCGTTGAGCTCACCAAGGAAGGGCGCAAGGCCAAAGCTGGGCAAGGCGGCAAAATGGTCACCAGTGTGGAGATTATCGAGTATGGCAAGAACTGCAACGTTGAGCCGGGGTTCATTGGCGCTTTTCCAACGTACTCGGAGACTGGATCTGTGACGTTGCGACCTGTGAGCTGCAGCCCCGTTTGACCCAGCTCACAACAGACAAACGAAGGGTGCCTAATGCGCAACGTCAATTATCCAAGTGAGTTGACTCTCTGAGGCTGATAGTAGCTGATCGCAGACTTTTGCCTTGTATGTGCCGAAGCACTGAAGACGTCACTCGAGAACCGGATTGCACTGCAGCGTAGCAGTCATATGCAGGTGACGGCAGATTAGTAACTAGCGGCTTTCATTTCCGGTTTTGTTTAGGCGAAATACTTTGTTTGCCAGTGGTTTTGGACGTTCATTGATTACGCAGTGGCCGAAGTGAAATAATCACATTGACTTCCGCTATCGGCCGTCTTGAGAGTACACGCAACCGTTCGTACCCCATCCATCACCAATTCGCCGACCAACTCCTCCAACGAGCATAAACTCGACGTCTATGAACCCGGAGAACCCGTTTGGATGGGTCGTCTGCCAGCGCGACGGCATGTCAGCCCAACTTCTGAAACAGGCGCACGATTTGAGGCGAGTGTCGAACCACACGCTGGAGGAGAGACAATGGACTTGGGCAATCGACAAGGTTATCGACCCCGCTTTCAGCGCATCCATTCACAGCGGCATGCATATCAGCAACGGAACCATCAAAAGTCTGTGGAACGCCTCCGTCTCGCCAACGCTTCCAAAGTTTCAGGACGTTCCGATTCAGAAGCGACTTGTTGAGATTGTTAAGCGCAGCCGCGGTGCCAAGGTTAGTAGATCACTTTGCTTCGCCCCTAACTCCCATGACCAGCTCGACTCGCCTCGTAACATGATTGGCACCTACGTCCCAGACATGTTAGTTGTTCTGCGCATCGACTCCAAGCCGCCACAGTTCCCACACATTCTCGTATCTTTGGTCGGCGAGCTCAAGGTTACCCCCATCACATACTGAAACGACAAGCCCGTTGTTGTCGTCGATCTCAACGTGTTCCCCGAGTTGGATGGCGATCCATACTACGAATCCATCAGTCATGTTTCCTACGCACCGTCCCAAGGCGGCAGGGATCGTGCAACAGTACTGCAGCTGGATACCTACGTCAAATGGAGGGATTGTCTCGCCAAGGCCATCGTCTACCTCCTGTCGGGCCAAGAATACTGTGGAGCGTACCTCGCGTATGCCATGGTAGGTACGCGGTTCTCTCGATTGCTCTTTATGAAGAACAACATCCTTCTCGAGTGTAGTCGGGACTTTCTAGGAGGGCAGGCAAGCAAAGAGGTAGAGCTCGCCGCTTTTCTGCTGGATTCTGCCAACGTCGCCCATCTCCCATGGAACCTAGCACACCCGAGACTGCAAGCCCTGACGATGTCCTCTTCAACTGGCACGATGGTTCTGTTGATGCGCTTTTGGCGTTCACGCGGCTCGCCCACCGGATACTGGAGTCGCATGTGTTGGCAGCGGCAGACGGAGTATCCCCTCTTCGTCCACTGGTGGAGCCCGACCTTCAACATTGTCCAGTGCTCCGCTCATTCCTAGATGAGGCAATCGTCGATATCCAGAGGTCTAGCTGCGCGACCGCTGGTAATGACCCAGCCACCATCGACTGCGCGATCCGTGAAACCCGCGTCTTGCCGAAGCAGATACAACGCCGTCCGCCACGTAAAAACAAGGACAACGACAAGGACAAGGACAAGGACGAGGACACAACGGACGAGGATGTGGACAAGAAGGGAGACCAACACAAAGACAAAAAGCGGGTTAAAAAGCACGCCAAGCACACCCCGCGCGGTGGGAGTACCAGACGGCAGCCGTCTCGTGCCGCGAAGTCACATTCCTCCTCGACCACCCAAGCAGCGCACAATTCCCACACGACCAATATCGTCACTTGGGCGACAGAGGTTGCCACCGAGGCAAACAACCGCGCCGTCGACCAAAGCCCAGACATGCCCTACGAGTTGCGCACACCTCCACGCGACACTGTGCCTGTTGGTGGCGACACTCCTGGTGCCGATCTTGGTCGCCCCTTGATGGAATATCTCCTCGAACCTGGCGCGGCGCTCAAGCGCCGTGTCACTGAAATGACGACGTATACGATCAGTGGGCAAGTCCATGCAGCAGCGGACGAGTACGCGGACGTGTATGGGGGCGACGATGTGGTTTCGGACGCGGTGGACCCGAGGATGTACTTCCCCCATCCCCTGACGAGTTATTGGCGCTCATTGCTGACCTCGGCCACACCATAGTTCTCGTGCCGTCGGACCAGTTTAGCACCATCGTCGGTGAGATAGAGGCTAGCCTGCTCACTGCAGCCCCACCGTAGTCTCGTCAAAGAATGTAGTTTTAGACGCCGTATTATGTACCATGCCCATGTATTTTACCAGCAGAGGGCCCCTCATAACCGACCGCTAACGACGATTGGGTCGAGTGCTGCACAGGAACCAAGGGCTAACAGAAATTTCAAAGAAGCTGCAACTCGGCAGGGTGGAACACCAAAAATAGTAGACCAAGGCACGAGCTTGCATAGAGGACAGCATCCTGTAGCCTTGAGGCCTTTGGGAGCAGGTGAGGAGGTATGCAGATGTGTTCTACATTGGGTCCAGTTTCCGCTTGTCTGTGGGTAAACGGTGCGACATCCCCTATGATGGACAAGGGTGGATCTTACTCTGAGCCGTTCCATGTTTGCCACTCCCTGGCGGCTCTGCGTCTTACTTGCGAGACAGACCCTTTATCTGCAGCCCATGATGGAATCTGATAGCTAATGCATGGCAATATACCCAATGGAACCTAATAAATATTGATAAACACGAGAAAATATCTTTCTCTTAGTACTTCTCCTCGTCCTCGATCTTGTGGTTGGGCTGCTGGAGACCAGCCTGGCGAGCAGGGTCCGCAAACGAACGAATAGGCTCGTTAAGGTGGGAGAAGAACATGGGGAACATAATAGCGAAGACGAGACAGAGGGCGGCCACAGGGATGTAAGGCCAGATGAGGTAGGGGTCGGTGATGGCGGCCGAGCATCCGAGCGAGATGGCGGCGGAGATGGCAGACGAGAAGAGGCAGATGGCGTAAACGAGACCCTTCATGCGAGCAGGAGCACGGGTGTAGGCAAGCTCGTAGCCGGTGACCATGACGAAGAGCTCTCCGACGGCGGGGAGAGCGTACTGGGGAATGAGCCAGGCGAGCGAGACGGGCGAAACGTCGTCACACTCCGAAGCCTCCCAGCCACAGGGCGAAGTCTCGTAAATGCGCCACTGGACAATAGCACCGATGATCATGGTAAACATGCCGAGGAGGAAACCGATCGAGAGACGGGTCATGGGCTTGATGGGGTAGCCGATACGCTCGAAGAAGGGGTAGACGCCCCAGGTGAGGATGGGAGTGGCGACGATAATGGCAAGCGAGTTGAAGTTGTTCATGATGTCGTTGGGGATGCCGTTGAGAGTCATGCCGTTGGACATGTCGTTCAGCTGGTTACCAATACCACCGTCGGCAAGGATGAAGATGGGGGTAGCGGCAAAGACAACGACGGCCGAGCACGACTGGCGGAGCTCGTCAACGAACATGTCGTCCCAGAACACCTTGGACTCGTCGATGGTGCCGTCAACCTCACGCATGTGCGAGGGCTTGGCGAGGTTCCAGAACTGGTCACCGCCCTTGAGCATCTGCTTGAACGACGAGCGCTTGAAGAGGGTGACAAAGACCTTCCAGGCCTCGATGACGACCGAACCCTGGGGAGGAGCACGGTAGGTCTTCTTGTAGAGAGCAGCCAGGATGAAGGGGCAGAACATGTACACAATGCCGGGGAGGAGGAAGGCAAGCCAGAAGCCGACAAGACGCTCCGAGTACGAGGTGGCAATGGCGAAGAACGAGCCAATGTTGATGCACCAGTAGAAGATGAGGAGGTAGCGGGTGACAGTGGTGGCGGGGTCGACGATGACACGGTTGCCCTTCTTGTCGGTGACCACGACGGCCTTCTTGACGGGCGACTGGTCACAAAGCATGGGGCCGAGCGAGGCCTTGATGAAACCAGTGGCGAAGGACAGGATGAGGATGGCAATGATGAAGGCGGCAAAGGCGTGGCCGGTAGCAATGACCGAGGGGATGGCAGGGATGACGAGGAGGATGTGCGAGAGGACACCAATGGCGACACCGACACAGATGGTCTTGTAACGACCCCAGTAGGCGTCCGAGACGATACCGCCGAGGATGGGCACGACATAAGCCAGGAAGGTGAAGGTCGAACCAACAGCCGAGGCCGAGACAGAGCCCATACCGAGCGCACCGGCAGACTGGTTCACACCAGCGGCGCCCTTGGCGACAGCACCGGCGCCGTTACCGCCAGCGGGCAGGGGGTTCTTGATAAAGTTGGAGAAGATCTGCTGCGAACCAAAGTACGAAGCACGCTCGGCCAGCTCAATAAAGCACAGGCAGAAGGCGGAGAAGGCGAGCGGGGCAGGAACCCTGAGAGAGAATGGTTAGCCACCTGTACCATATGGTTTGTTCGCCCCCCCCACCCTCCACCAAAGCCGAGGGACTGCCACCACGCTGAAGACTCACTTCTTGAGGATGGAGAGCTCCTCCTCGGTGGGGTACTCCTCATTCTCATCGTCAGCGGCGCGGACCTCGGTGTCGTCGACGTTGCCGCCAAAGACGTGGGCGGACTTGTGGTCCTTGCCGAGCTCGTGCTCGTGGCTAGCAGGGAGGCCCGAAGCGGGCAGGGCGGCCGACTCAAAGTCGATCGTAGTTTCGTTGGCGTCTGGGTGGCAAGTCAGCAAGCTGCTGTGACAAGTAGCCGCGACATTCAAAGATGTCTATCTACCCGCTTGGAGAAGACTGCTGGCTGGTCAACCCTACTCACGGCTCATGTTGATTGTTGGGGGGCAAAGAGTTACCTCACGGCTCGCGGTTTTGTAGTACCCAGCTCCCTCGGTTCGGAAAGTCCCACCTCCGCATCGCCCGGCCGTTCTGCATGCGAATCGAGTCCGTATCTTGACCATGGCGTGACGGGCGAGCTACGCGGCCAATGATAGCATTGAGAATGCGTGCTCCCCTCCAGCTGCTCCGCTGCTGTGAGGCGGACGAGTGCATGCCTTCGCGTCGTGCCTCTGCGACGCAACTCAGAGCCTACTCGTTGCAACTACTGCGACGGACCGACACCACATGCTGCCAACAAAACAACCTGGATGTACCTGTGGTGACCCTCCCAGTTCCGAGCCCAACTATCCAGTCGCGAGGCGTTTCTGCCACCTGTGCCGAGCGACACACATGGGCAAAATCCAAGTTGTCCCTTTGATGATCGCTGTCCCTCGCAGCTTGGCGTAGGTATTTTGGTTGTCCAACGCTGCGTCCAGGGGATCCAACCGATATCCGCGCTGTGGCGGCCACACACGGTGTTCTGTATCCTCAGGCCTCAGGGTGACAAAGGGTTTCTCGAGGCGACACCATGCGTGCCAGTCGAGCGAACCCACATGGAGCATGCTTTCCAGACGTCCAGACCGGCGGCAGGCCTCGGCAACAGGCGGACCCGATACACGGGCTCCATACGCAGACTGCGCAGTCCGTACGGGCCGAGTCGTTTCGCGGCCACAACGCGGCGGCAGCGGCGGCGGCGAGGGGTCAGTACCGTGCGGTGGATCGGTGACTTGCGGCGCACACCATATTTTATCATGGCGCGTGACGCGGAATATCCTCAGAGAGGAGATTAGGAGGATTTTTTGGACTGAGCCACACGATCGGCCGAACTGCGGCGACGTCAGCTGCATGCGTCAGCTTTCAATCACGCAAGTGTCATAGAGCATGGTGTATGTACATGCATGTGGACATGAGATAGGCTACAACGATATACACAGGTAGCCAGGACGGGGAAAATAATAATGGCGGCTTCATCTCTCTCTCTCTCTCTCTCTCTCTCTCTCAGCAATCATAATCGGAGCATATCATATGTTTCACTTTTGGGACCTCACGCTAATTCACCAACCACCCGCGGGGTCGTCGGAAGGCTGAGCGTTGGACGGCTGCGAACGAGAACGAGGTTGGTTTGGGGGGCTTTCAGGGCGATGGTGGCTCTCGGCAACATGGTGCGCGTGGTGCTGCTCCATTGGAGGCGGACGGTCCGGCAGCTGTGAATAGTGGCCCTGTTGAGGGCGCGCCTGGCGGTCTTCGTTGCGGCGGTGATTGGCACCGCGCGAGTTACGTTGTTGGCCCAATTGACCATATGGAGGACCCACATGAGCCCCGCGCATGTTGCTATCATAACGCGGCTCAAACTGGGGGATTGGCATGGGGATGGTGGTGTTGGGAGGACTCATGAGCGGCCAATCCGCGTCGCTAGGTTCGGGGAATGCCGGCTGGTGGTTGAAGCGGGCTTGCCGATGAACACTACTGCCACGTTCATTGGCACCCATGCGGGGACCGGAAGGATAACGCTGCGGATACGGCTTCTTTGGGGGTGGAGGGAAGGAGCCATCGTAGTATGACGAGGACTGGGAGTGGGACGCAGCAGAGTCGTGACCACCAGTGGCGATAGGGAGCAGGGGGAGGGCCTCAACTGCTTGCGGGGTAGGGGGGGCAACTGGCTTGAGCTCTTGTTCAACAATGCCATTCTCCTCCCGCCATTGTTGCATGTCGCCAGGGTGATAGACAGGCGTGAACACACCATCCGCAAACTTGGCCTCGATGACACGAGGCTTGATCTTGTCAGACGCGGGGGTCTGAGTGCGAACAGGCGGAGGTGGCTGAGGGACGGTAACTGGACCAACGCTCGAACCACCGACTGGCGTCCCAATTGAAACTTGCGGCGCCATTTTGGCCGCAGATGGGGTCGTCGCGTCGGGGGGAGTTGTGGTCACACCGAGGCCTTGCGCAGGGTTGTCCTGCGTCGTGTTCGTGGGCATCGTGGCTACCGGCTGCTGCGGCATTGCCATCGTGGGGTAGAAGCCAAAAGGCCACACAAACTTAACGTTCAGCCTCGGCACTGCGGTCAAAACTCTATACTCACAGGCATAAGCACAGGCCTAGCTTCCTGGTTCTCCATGGATGCCGAAGCGGGGAAGTACATGGCCGGCAATGAAGGAGGTATCCACGACTGCTGCAGCATAAAGCCATGGGGATAACTCATGGGATAGCTCGTCGGGGCGGGAGGAGGCTGGGGCGTCTGCTGTCCGGGAGGAGGGTCGAGCTGCCGGCGATACTGACCGTACTGCGAGATCATCGAGGGGCTGAGCACACGGCCCGTAGAGTCGATAAATACGTCAAGAGTCTGAAGTCAGCTTTGAACCATTGCTGTTTTGCATACCTCGACACTCTCGGGGACCACCTTGCGCGTCTCGACCCTCAGAACGGAACCGAACGAAACAGCGCCATGCTAGCCGTTAGCAGTTGTCATGCACCCGAGCAACCTACCTCGCACTCGATGGCGGTCTTGGCAGCCTGAACGTCTTGGAAGAGGATACGACCGCTCCCGTATGTGGACCCTTCAGACCATTGGTTCATCTCAACTGAGAGGATCTTGCCGTACTCGCCAAACCTCTGGAGAAGGGTGTGGACTGTCTCTTGGTTGGCGAGGCCTCCGACGAAGAGGGCCGCATCGTCAAAGTAATAAGGGCGACCGTTGACCATCTGCTCCCTCAAGGGACGACCACGGTAGCTGAGGAGCGTGTGTTTGGTGATATGGGAGAGCGGCGGCTCGCTGGTTGGCAGACGCGGGGTTTCGACGACCGGCGGCGCCGTGACCGGAGTAGGTGGTGATGCCGTTGCCACCTCGTCCTCCTTGGCGGTCTGTTCCTGTGGCTCTGGCTCGGGATCAGCCACCGAGGCAGTGTCAAGTCCAGCAGCCTGCTGAGGTTCGTCTTGGCGAGGAGGGGGAATGACAGTGGCAAAGATTCCAGGCACAAATTGCAGTTGCTAGTTGGTTGCGTCAGTTCAGCTATAAGCGGCTCACCCACCTCAATCACGAGTCTAGCCTCCCAGACGGCTGCGACCGAGAACACCCAGCTGTCATGGTCGGGTCCAGGTGGGTCGATGTGTTGAACGTCGGTGAAGAATTCAACCAGTGCCGGGATGAACTGGACATAAGTTCGCATTCCCAGTGGGACAAGCCAGGCACTCACATCCTTTTCAGCTACGCGTCGACCAAGGTCAAAGTGGCGCAGGTAAATGGGGTCTTTGCCAGACTTCCACTTGCATTGTTGAAAGACGTCGTCCTTCCTCTCGTCTGTGATGACAGCCGCGCGATAAACCAGACCCTCACCGTTCTTGCGGGGCACGATGACGGGCATCGCCCAGACGGTAACGGATGGCGGCAGGGTCTGATAAGACCGACTGTCTCCGTGCGCGAGAGCGGGAGAAGCTGACCGGGAACGAGCATCATAGCGGCGGCCGACGACTTTGACAGACACCCTGATAAACTCGCTGTTGGGCCTGTGGTGCATGATTTGGAGGTCAATGTCTGCAAATGGGCTTCTGGTCGTTGACTGGTAGCGGGCGACCTGGTGCTTAGGGTCTGCCTTCATCTTCTCCACCGAGCTTTCGTCCTGACGATTAGTGTCGTCTCGTCTGATGTGGAAACTCACATGGAACACGACCACCCCCCTGTCAACACCCTCTGGATTAGGTCTGTCACTCAAGGGATTGCTACGTGTCAGTCTTGCCAATTGTGGATAACTTACACGAGGCGAATGCGGCCATAGGTGCCAAAGTGCTGCTTCATGAGATTGACAAAGACCGGCGTGCGGATAGTGAATGGCGTACTGTGTTTGTTTCAGCGCTTGTGGACTACAATCGTACTTACAAGACGGTGAAGCGTCGACTGGTAAATGCAGGGTTCCACATGGGGTGGCCCTCCTTCTTGTACCAGTGCTGAGTCTGACTGAGATGTGGGTCGGCGTCGAACGGGGCGGGTGGGACACGCCAGTGACTGGTGTTGTTCTGGCTCCTTGATGTTCTCGATGTACGACTGGGAGGACGCCAGTGAGGCCCAGCATGGTCGGGAGTAGGGGGATACGCTACCTCTGAGCCGGGTGGAGAGATGTTGAACAGCGAACTGCCGGGAGACACTTTGGCTGGGAGGGGGGAATGTATTGCCACCTCGGGAGAATCGACTGAAGCGGCGGAACTGGCACGCGAGCTGTGGTGCTCAGGCTCATCGTTATCTCCACTCTTCCGTGGGCGCTGGTGCTCCTCGAGAGCCTCGTCCTGCTGACCATCAAGAAGGCCATCTGGAAGTTTGGGAGAGAAAGCTTGAACGGACGAATCAGTCTCGACGTAGAACACCGTTATCGGCTTGGGTTGGCGAGGACCGGAGTTGGGACGAGACACCGCCGAGCTCTCATCGTCTGCGTCCTCTCCATTAGCAGGAACAGGAGTTGGCGGAGTCTCAGGAGGAGCGATGGGAGGGACTTTCTGGGCCCAACGCTGGAGACTGTTGGGCGCACTCCAGGCGTCTCCTTCGTCGGCAGCAGCACTGGCGACCACCTCCGCGGACAATTTGGGTGGCTGTGACGCTACCTGCTCAACAACGTCGTTGAAGCGGCCGTCGTCGGACGGGGGCCTACCCCAAACTCGAGGATGCGGTACGACGATCATGTTGGCTTCATTATTGACAACGCGACTCGGATTCCCGTCGTATCCGGTAGTGCGGTGAGTAGGGGGTCCATCCCAAGTCGGAACCTGGCTGGTTTGTTCGAGGACCGGTGAGGTTGGCGGAGGCTTTGGGACATTGTTGGTCGCCCAATTGGTCGCGTTGTCCCCCACAGACGGAGGGCGAGATACAGGCCTGACTAGTTGAGAAAGCGGAACCGCCTTGATCGAGTTGTCCTCCACGGAAAGAACAGGAGAAACTGCCCTAACAACCTCAGGAGGACAAGCAGAGGGGCTCTCTACCGAAGACGGGAGAGAAGGAGCAGGAGAAGAAGCTCTGGCGAGAAGAGAAGGAAGAATGTGTTTGGGCGAGTTGTCCTCCATAGAAGGAGCGGGGGAAGCAGCTCGGGCGGCGGAGGGAGCCTCAGCCAGGGGGTGTTCCTCAGCGAGTGGACTGACGGTGGTGGGCATGGATTCGGGTGCCTTGCGCGAGCGACGAGAGACAGCGGGGCCAGGCTGCACGGGCTCCGCCTCAGAAGGAGGCCGAGTAGAACGACGCGAGCTGCGTGTAGGAGCGCGAGGGTCGTCCTCGACGCGTTCAGTCGACTCTACGTGTCCACTGCGAGTGTCGTCCATCGAGTCGTGACGGTTGGTCTTGCGCACGCGACGAGAGGAGGGCGGGTGAATTTGAATCGGCTCTGCAGCAGCGACAGGCGAAGTGGGACCCGGAGGGCGCGGGCTGGGAGGACTTGCTCCCCAACCGCCGCCACTGGACAGCGAGCCGGGGCCAGGAGGAGGTGGAGGTGTGAAAGGGGTCTTTGCCGCACGCTCATCAGCACGCTGGCGCTTCACCGTCAGTCTTCCTCCATCATACGCCCCAAGGTGACGCACCGGTGGCTTGACCCTGCCTTCTCCGACACTGCTGTTGTCGCCGCGGCGACGAGTTGACTTCTGAGTGTCGGGAGTCTCGGAGCGTGAGGTAGGGATGAAGGATGCAGCTTGGGGGTTGAACTCGCTGAGCATGCGGCGTTGATGGGATGTCAAAGGCTGGGAGCTGCGCTGGCTCCGCGGGCTTTGGGACTGGGCGTGTGAGAACACGTACACGCCCCAGGGGGACAGACTCGGGGCGCTGCAGCGTCCGTAGCGAGGACACAAGAACTCACGGAGGCGGAATACGGGTTATGGTCAGACCACCCGTCAGGCCCGTCAGACATGGCTGGAGGGTGGGTGATGGGGAGGCAAGGAGAAGGTGAGGAGCGGAGGAGACTACTGAGAGGTTACTGTTTACAGAGAGGTAGATCTGGGATCTGGGGATGGTGGATGATGAGGGGTTGGAGGGTGAAAGGAATGGGAGGATGGTGAGGAGTGAGAGGATGGAGGGATGAGCAAACGAGAAGAAGATTGACAAGGGAAGGCTCTGTAAATGCACGCCAGGAGGGAAGACAAGGAGGGAAGGCAGATCGCTTGCACCAAAGACCCGCACGCGCAGGGGCTAGCCCCGTGCACCTCGCACACGACCAGCACTGGTGCCATTGCACACTGTTACCAAGTGATCACTTGGTAACGGCGTGAGTGGCCAAGAGTGGGCTTCTTAGCAATGGTGGGCGTGAAGCACAGGAGGATGCACCATGATCTTCATCGGCCGCGTGTAGGGCGTAGATGATGGCACCGCCCCCTGCGTGGTTGTGTGCGTCATTTCAGTTGAGGCCAAAAACGTCAAGAGCTCTCATCGGTTATCTCGGCGCCGCTCTGCCGATTTGTGAGCGTCAATACGTCAATAGCGGCTCCACAGTCTGTCCAGCTCTACCAACTATCCAGCTGGTAACCACCCACGGGGAACATGGATTGGAACACGAAAGAGATGCTCAGATAAGACTGTCTGTCGTAACGAGACTGGGCTTTCGACGTTGGTTCCGGTGGCTGATGGCATGGCTGGGCCGGGCGTTTTCCGACGGACAATGTCCGACGTATGGCCCAGCCGACGACGTTGTACTGTACTCCACTCGTTTTTTCGAAAAGTGGGATCGGAATCATCGATACGAGGCCAAGCACGGCACGTCAGTCCTACAGAGAAATGCATTAGTGTTCCAGACGCGGCGGAATGCAGTCTTCAATCAGAAATCGGAGCTCGCCAAACCCGCTGCTGACCTGCTGTGGCGCTGTGGCCTGTGGCCTGTGGGGTTCCGCGCGGAGTGACATGACACATGAGATGCCCAAGCCCCAGCGCGCCCAGTGTCCCAACCGATGTACCTCGACGAAACAAGCCGCGCACGCATCGGGACCTCAGCAAGTACGACTCTCAATGACACGCGTCTCGTGAAACGACATTAACGACACGAACGACCTCACGTGCAGGCTCCACTAACCAACTATGGCGGGATGTCGACTATGCAACAGACACCCCTTTACCGAGGCCCCTTTTAACAAACATAGGAAAACGCTGGGTGCCAGGCCCCATTGAACCCGGTTTCAAGACAATTCAGAACTCAGTTGGAGAAAGTTTACTTGAGCGAAGGGTGGAGAAGTGTTCCCGTTGAGTGCCAACATGAAAGCAAGAGCCATCGAAACCAATAGCCTTACAGCACTGAACGCCAACTGCCACAGTTGTCGCTGACCCGCCAAGCGGCCAAGCTGTGTCCATTCAAATGGGTTTTGCCCCCACATTGCTGTTTCCCAAGCCAGCTGGGCACCGCTGAAGTAACCAGATCTCAACGGCCTCGTAGTCCCTTGCTGTCATGACCTTGCCCTCATGACGGGGCCTGCGGATGGCACCCCATTTTGGAGGGCCAAATGAACCGAGCCGGACATCCAGCGCTGCACGGGTGCCTCCTGAAGCATATGTTGGACCGGCACACATCCCTGGACCCTCAGGCGGGCATTCTTGGGTCGCGGAGCTTTGCATAGTGGAGCCGCAACAACGGCTTCTAGGGGAGAACAAACTTAATAGAGCTATTCTTCCTCTCATGGTATGCACTTTTGTAAATTGTACGGCAGAGGCACAAGCACCGGACCAGGCCCGGCTGCTTTCGGGGCCCTCGGTACGCACGGCGCCTCCACCTGATGGAGTCGGCGACCATAGTCCACATTCAGTCGTTGGCTCTCTCTCTGTATGGAGTCTGTTTCCAGGACCCTGGCACCATAGCCAGTCTGGACCCGCGTCACCCCATACAAAGGGTAAGAACTGGCTCAGCTGATGAAGGATCAAGGATCAAAGGTGGGGAGGAGGCGTTGAACGGAACGCGAGTGTGACCATCCTTTTCTTCTGGTCCCCCCCTCTTCTGCTACTCTCCTGGGATACGCTGTACGTATGACCGTATTGTTGCCTGTCTGGCCGTACACGAACCCTGGCTTGTTCTCGACCGATATGCATGCTCCTCAACCCCAGTGACGCCTCCAAGTGCACGCTGTATGGTAGAGCCCCTTGGCTTGTTCCGTCGCCAAACCGCCGAGTCGCTCCGCTGGCCGCTGGCATCACGCCTCAAACGCAGCCACCACCCGGGCCACTCTGTTCAGTCTGATGGATGGGAGGCGAGAGGAACAGAGTATAACTGGCAGAACCCCGTTTTGTTCCCAAGTCTTCTTCATCCCCATCACTTCAGTTTCTTACCATTTCCTTCGCTATGCTTGCCTCGGTCGCTCTCCTTGTTCTCCCCCTCCTCGCTCCCCTCGCGGCCGCTGTTCCCTCCGAGGAGGCCAACGCGTACCACCTCGAGGCTCGTGCCACCCACTCCAAGACCGGATGGTACTCGTACGGCTGCTACTTTGGTAAGTAAAGTCCGCGCCCATGCGGGGCAAGGACCGGCCTGCCGATGTCTTCTTGCAGCGGCTGTAATGGCTAACGTTCCAATAGACTGCTACGACGGCATGAACCGTTACCTCCCCTACAAGGCCTACGCCGACGCCGGCAAGTGAGTCTCATTGAATACCCTATACATACATGCTTCCCGCGAAAGTGTGGCGTGGGTGGAATAGTCCGGTGGACCGCGGAACACTAACGATTCCAGCAACCCCGACAAGTGCACTGCCGCCTGCGCCGCCGCCGGCTACGCCTACGCTGGTCTCCAGTTCGTGAGTGGCACCACTGACTATGCATAGTAGAAAGAGCCAAACACGAGTGACTGTTTTACTGATACTTTTTTTCAGGGCCAGGAGTGCTGGTGTGGCAATGACGGTGGTGAGGGTCTTGGCCAGACCACCTCGTCCAAGGACTGCGGCATGCGCTGCAAGAACGGTGCGTCGTGTGGTGGCGGTTGCCGCAACAACATCTGGGGCAAGGAGAAGCCCAGCAACAACGGCAACGGCAACGGCAACGGCAAGGACCACAACAAGGGCAATGGCCACGGCCACGGCCACTAGGCTACTAGACGATCCAACGTCTCGTCTCCACTTTTTATTTCTCCCTTCTCTCTCCCGCTCCCCCCTCCCCCTCGCTGGCGAACAAGAACATTTGTCTCCTTGACGAAGACGATATATTCTGAGCGAACCTAGTTTACATAGGTCGCTATTCACTCTCATTTTGGTTGGTATGCAGTATATGGACTTTCAGACGTAGTTCTTTATTTTTATTTGGTCTCCTTGAGGTGTTGTCTCTCTTCTTCGTTTGTCCCCTTGAGAGTCACGAGTGCGAAGCCACGGACAGGTCGCGAGCTCGCGAGGATTGTACGAGCAGCGAGCAGCGACGCGTCGGGGCCTGCTGCCACATCCACCCAAACGGCCACCATGCGTTCCCATCCCGCGGCCAGCCGTGTGCACGGTCCTGGCAGAGCTGGATCTTGGCGCGCCATGACCCCTGCGGTGGGCAAGTTTTGATTCCGGCCAATTGATACTGCACTTTGAATAGCGGAATCAAATGCGCGCGGCTTTAACACACATCATTTGGTCCTTCGGCTCCTTGGACAAGTCTTTTTCGACAAGCTGGCCAGCTACAGATCCTCGAGTGACCGCTACTAACAACACCACCGACAACCTCCAACACATCTCGCCCACCATGCACCTTATGTACACCACCGACGACAAGGGAAACCGGTGAGTACAGCGCTTTGGCGAGAGTGATGTACAATGAAGCTGACTTTGTTTCAGCGTCTACACCCTCAAGGTTTGTGTCTTCTCCGATCGGTCCTTCCTCCCTTCGCAACTCGTGTGCGCACAGCCCTATGCTTCTCCAACTAGCCCAGCGTATCCACGCGCTTGCCCGGACAAGCGATGGTATGCTGGCACAATGTGGACGTGATGGATGGCCTACAGCGGCTGCGCGCGCCCGGCGCAAGAGAGGATGCCAAGAAACATGCAACTCGTCCGCTAACTCTACTACAGAAGGTCAACGCCGAGGGCAAGCCCACCAAGTCGGCTCACCCCGCCCGCTTCTCGCCCGACGACAAGTTCTCGCGTCACCGTGTCACCATCAAGAAGCGGTGAGTTTGACCACGATCCAGAGTGGCAACTGTCATACTGACTTGGCTCCCAGCTTCGGCATCCTCCCCACCCAGCTCCCCAGCAAGCCCCTCTAAAGGGCCCAGCCGGGAACGGGGCTAGAGAGACACTTGATGTTGTACGATACTAGATGAACGATACCGCAAAACACATCCTCCCGCTTTTTGACCTGATGTGCCGCGCTCGAAGCGTGCTGCTACAACTAATGCTAGTGTGGTTGCATTCAAAGTGAATCATAACGGGGCGTGATCTCCCATCTAAAAGTTATTGCCGACATCCCAGCCCAGCTCCTTTTGCCGCTGGTGCTCCTCTTCGGCCTTCTTGGGCCTGCTCTTGCCCATGGCAACAGATATCCGGCGCTCAACGCCGTTCTGCTCGCCATATGGCCGTCCAGCCTCGTTCCAGACCCCCTTGACCCTGTCGTGGATCTCTGGCACCCATTCGTCTAGTTTGAGCCAGTCTGGTCTGTCAGCTGGCAATTCATCTCCTGAGAATAACTCAGCTGGACTCACGGAACGCGACAGTGTTGACGGTGATATCCAGCTGGTTCCAGTCACCCATCATCCATCCGAGATCGATACGCTGCACGGGGTCTGTGGCTGGGTCAAGGGCACGCAGCCACTGGCCCGTCCTGGCGTCCTCGATCTTGACGGTGTGAGGCTCTGGCATGTTGGCCGAGCCGATCCAGGACACGAGCGGCCAGCTGAGAGCGTACGCCAGGCCGCGGAAGTAGTCGTTGAAATGGCCTGAACGACCGGCCGAGGTGCCCCAGTAGATGTTCTGGGCGCAGTCGAGGTCGCGGAAGTTGGAGATGAGGTTGGGCATGACGAAGACGGTCTGATTGGGAGCATTAGTGACAGCTGCAGATGCCGGTTTTTCGGTAGCCACTACTCACGTCGTCGTCTGCCTTCATGACGAACCGTGGGCGCCCCTTGAGAGGGCCGTCGCCTGCGTACTCTTTGGCCAGCCACTTGTAGTACTCGTGGGTCTTTCCAAAGTCAATGTTGTCGATAATCTGGACCGAGTCAGTCGGTGGACGACAGTGATAAGACCTACGTCAAGAAGCACAATGTCGTTGTGCTCGTTCATCTCCCGAATCAACTCCTCCAAGACCACTTCCCGTGATTTCCCCTTCTTCTTCTTCTTCGTTGTCGTTGTCGTGGTCTCTGGGTTCTCCGAGTTCTCTGGGTTCTCTGGGTCCGGTTCTTCGACATCATAAGGTGGCATGCCGATAATAAACTTGGTGGTAATGAGGTTGTCTGGGAAGTCGGGCAGGATGTGTTTGCGGTACCTATGTGGGTTAGCGCGGCTCGGGATTCATGCCCAACTCACAAGTCTCGCCTCCCCTTCCTCGCCGCAGTGGAGAAGATGCCAACGAACACCAGAGGGCCGGCATCGGGGCCCTCGAGAGACACGTCGCACCCTATCTCGTGCGGCTGCTTGCCAGAGAGCAGGGAAAAGTCTGGCTCCTCGAACGAGCGGTCCAGAGGTGGTGGTGGCGGTTCTTCCACTTCTGGCTCGACCTCTATCGAAGGGACAGCCGGTGGCACAGGCTGCACCGCCGCTGGGAGCTGTGCGAGACTGCTAGCCAACAAGGCGTTTGCGGCTTCATTGGATGTGGTGAGCCCCACGAGCACAAGACAGACGATCGCAAGGACCAAGCAGGTGGCGACGGTCCTTATCCGCCATACGGGGCGGATCACACTTCGCACTGCCGCGGGAATCGAGAGGGGGTGGCTAGGGGTGGAGCGCTGGGGTGCTCGAGACAGTGGGAGTGTCATGAGTGGTGGTACATAGGCAGTGATCAGCGGTTGGGTGGTCGCGTGAAGGTGTAGACGGCGCAAGGGCGTGCAAAGAACTGCGTAAGCAGGCCTTGTGGCGGTCGCGGGTCGGGCCAGTGGTGTGGTGTGGTGCTATACACAAAAGATGGACACAGTGGAGACGAATGAAGAGATGGACAACACGACGGACGCGATCCTAGACATCAGCCAGGACTGGGCGGGGGCTTGCACAGTACACACCTTGTGCTGCAAGCACAGACCTCCTGTACACATTCAGGACTGCAAACGGAGGCGCAAAAGTCGTCCCTCATCAGCTGGCCGCAAATATTTACGCACAAAAGCAACCTTACAAAATGCTAATGGGTGGAGTCAGAAAGCTCAAAATCTGATTAGGTTTGGAATACAGGAACGGCCAGCAATTTATTTTAACCCTGGGTGTGCTGCGCAAAAAACGCGAACAGACTGTTCCGTCCCTTATTGTCCACCGCACCTGTCCGCGTTGACATCATACACACTCGAAACACCCAGTCGCACCCAGCCAACAGCCAACAGCCATCAGCCCATCTCCAACACATTCGTCTCATCTCTCTCTACACGGTTCCAACCAAATGGCAGACCCACAGACTCTGCGTCAGCTCAAGATCAAGACCGGCGTGGTCAAGCGGTGAGTCGCGTTCTCTCCCCATTATACCCACATGCAGCCTCCTGACTCATGACTGACGGGTCACAGTCTCTTCAAGGAGGAGCAGATCTACCGCGAAGAGGTCGTTTCAGCCGGTGCTGTCCTCGACCGTCTGCGTGATGAGGGTGCCGACGGTGCGGACATTCGCAACGCTGTAAGTTTCCCTAGAATGCTCCACGTCTCGTCTTGCTACTATCCTTTGGCAGTGGTGCGGACCTGCAACGACAAAGTTGGTGGAAGGGGCGCGCATGGTGCCGTTGCTTGGCAAGCACAGGCCCGTGCGCCAGTACGCCGGCATACCCAACTCGGTCCCATGAGATAGACGATGACGGGCCGGCGTCGTGAATAACTCAAGCTGACGCAGTGACCCGACCTCTAGGAGCGCGTCATGAAGGACTCGGAGCAGATGATCCCCCGTACGCGCAAGCAGCTCGAGGAGGCCATGGTTGCTCTCGAGGATCTCGTCAACGCCCTCCACTCCGAGGCCGACGTGGCCGCGACACAAGAGTTCAAGGACGCGTTCAGCATTGTGCAGCAGGTCGAGACGGCGTGGAAGGGCGAAGGTAACTAGGGAAGGAAGACGGTAGAGAAGTATTTGTCACAATCACACAGTATGATACGACTTGTCATGTCCTGCTTGCTGCTCTTGACTGAGCAAAGCAGCGCGGCGCGTATCTTACTCTGTCGTCAGGCCATGTGAACTGATACCGTAGCCTTTAACGATTCCCCGGCTGTGATACCTTTGAGGGCAAGCTTGCATGAAGCTTTCAACATTGGATCGATGGTCGTTGAGGTGTCGACAGGCTTGGCTCCCGTCTCGACCTTCACACGGTCTTGATGCGTAACTTGGAACGTGGAACGTTGGTTGATTCCAAGGTGTCTCGAGGATACACGAGAAACACATAATGGGTGCCGAAAACGGGGGAAGGGATTGTGGCCGGCGATGATAGTGCGTTGTGCCAACCGGCAGAACACACACAGCGCCCCGTAACGAGTGGAGCCCGTTGCCCGTTAGGACAAGAAGGCTGGAATCGAGGGCACACCACGGTGGTCTAGATTGACATTGTATTCTTGGGCTACCGCTCTCGTGCCATGCTCGCAACTCGTGGCCAAAGACCATGGGGGACCCGATATGACATCCATTAACGTCAATTAGGATCGTGTGGAACCATTAGCAAGGCCTCGCTATCCCATTAGCCGCTGCCTCCGGCCCGGGCCGGCGCATGCCGCGTCGGATGGCCCTTGGAATAAATGAGAATAAAATGTCCCGAAACTAATCATTCTGTCTGGTTTGGAGTGTCACGTGACTTGCTCGCTTTGCAAACGGCTTGGGGATGGAGGGCTTTCCGTGTCAAACGGCTCTCACCACGGGCCGCCGACGTCCGCCCCGCCCCGCCAGCCGCACCACACGCCGTTGCCCGCTCCCTTCCTCCCCCCCTCGCTGCCGCCCTCGTCGAGCACAGTGATCATTTCACCACAGATATCATCCAACCTAGTTGTATCTCTTGCACAGACAACTAAAATGTTGCCCACCCTCCGCGCGACCTCCCTCCGCGCCGTCCGCAGTGCGGTGAGTACCCCCTCCATCCTCGCCCTCGTCACCACAAAATCCCCAACTGCCGGCGGCAACCGCACCCCACACTGAAACAAACTGACTTTGCCCCCCAGCCTCGCGCGCGTGCCCTCGTCCGTGGTCTCCAGACCGACGCCGACAAGAGCGAGCTCACTGGCCACGTCCCGGACAAGCACGATGAGCCTGTGAGTGCCCCACCTAGCGCAGAGCCGCCGCCAAAGCGCGCGGCTCCGTTGTCTGCGAAGGAGTGAGGGGCTGACGGCTTTCTTCCCAGTTCAGCATCCGTCTCCACGACGATAGCTTCCAGTCGTACAAGTGCGATGCCCCCTCGACCGAGATCTCTGTGACCAAGGGCGAGCTGCTGCACATGTACGACCAGATGGTGAGTGTTTTGCTTGACGTCAGAGAGAGATAGATACGCGCGCGCAAGTCGATGCGGCATGGGCGGCAATGGCACAATCGATGCCTTCGGGGTGTCCGATTCCCCGATCATGTTTATGTCGCGCCGCCGGCAACGGCGTGCCAAGGTTTCTGGCATGTCTCTCCTGCATGCTTGGGACCCCGCGATACGACTATATTGTGCATAGCTCGTGATCGAAGGTGCTGCTCGAGATCACCAGAAGGGTGCTCGTCGTCATTGAGCGACGTCGCCCCCCACAAAAGTTGAACTGGCGCGGAAATCACATCCCCAACCCGTCCCTTCACCTCACCTACTTCCGTCCATCCATGCCTTGCCTCTGCTCTTGACCTACATCTATCTCTCTCTGGCGCTCGTTGTCATTGTTCTCGGACATGCACTGACCATGACAGACCACCATGCGCAGGATGGAGCAGGCTGCCGACGCCCTCTACAAGGCCAAGCTTATCCGCGGTTTCTGTCACCTTGCCATCGGCCAGGAGGCCGTCTCCGTCGGCATGGAGCACGCCATCACCGAGAGCGACCGTGTCATTACCTCGTACCGTTGCCACACCTTTGCTGTCCTCCGTGGTGGTTCCATCAAGGGCGTGCTTGCTGAGCTCATGGGTGAGTTTTTGCGTCGAAGTGTTGCTACGGCTGGGATGGCGTCTGTCCCTGTCTGATCAGAATACGGGTCTGGTCGGAATCAGCAGACAAGCTATCGTGCACGACCTCTTGGTCTCCAGCTACCCCACTCGTGTGGGCAGCTGGCCATGCCCGTGGCAAAGCTTGCACCTCTACTGTCCTGCGTGACCATGCGCTAACTCATTCGCAGGTCGTGAGGCCGGTATGTCGCGCGGCAAGGGCGGTTCGATGCACATCTTCACCCCCTCGTTCTTCGGCGGTAACGGTATTGTCGGCGCCCAGGTCCCCCTCGGTGCTGGTATCGCCTTCGCCCAGAAGTACCTGAAGCAGCCGGCCTGTACCTTCGCCCTCTACGGTGACGGTGCTTCCAACCAGGGCCAGGTCTTCGAGGCCTACAACATGGCCAAGCTCTGGAACATCCCCTGCGTCTTTGTTTGCGAGAACAACAAGTACGGCATGGGTACCTCGGCTGAGCGTTCGTCGATGAACACCCAGTACTACACCCGTGGTGACCAGATTGCCGGTATCCAGGTTAACGGCATGGACATTCTCGCCGTCAAGAAGGCGTGCGAGTTTGCCAAGGAGTGGACTGTCTCGGGCAAGGGTCCCCTTGTCGTCGAGTTTGTCACCTACCGCTACGGTGGCCACTCGATGTCCGACCCCGGAACCACCTACCGTACCCGTGACGAGGTCCAGCAGATGCGTTCGACTCACGACCCCATCGCCGGCCTCAAGAAGTACATTCTCGACTGGGGAGTGGCCGACGAGTCGGCCCTCAAGGCCATGGACAAGAAGGCCAAGGAGGAGATTGCCCAGGCCGTCGAGGAGGCCAAGCAGTCGCCCATGCCCGGCCTCCACGAGTTCTGGACCGACATCTACTACGCCGGTTCCGAGCCCAAGCGCATGCGCGGCCGCGTGAAGGACGAGTTCCACGACTACAACTAATTGTCTCGCCAGCCCCCTTTATAGCAAAGCCCCGCCTCCCCCCCAACCCGCCTCCCCCCCCCACTCCCGCCCTCCTGCCACTATGCGGTAGGACTATACATACCCACTAGGTAGAGATGATTGGCGGATGTCACGCGTTCATTTAGAGCTACCAGTTTTACGAGTGCAGCCACTAACTGGATGCGAGGTCTGGTGACTGACCGAGGCGTGGGCACGTGAAAGCAAGTTATGAACGGTGCTGAACCACCGTCGTTCTTCATGCCTGATGAGCAGAGCAGTGGGGTCAGCACGCAAGGAATGGAGTCTGTCCACACGAATGTATCGGAGAAGCGGAAGATGTGGGTCAACACAGCACCACCTGGGGGTTCCAACATGGGGGCGGCGCCCCCTGTTGCACCAGAGCCCGAGAAACACGTAGAGAATCGTAAATCGAATTTACGAAACGCCTCTATGTGTTTCTCCGCAACGCCACCTGTCAACGAACTGACTACAGTACCGTTGACCTCGTCGCATTGGGCCATTGGGGTCAGATAACCTGGCGCATAACAGCGCACAGTGCGCAAGGAAACGCACCCTTGTCCGCTTCTGTGTAGGCAGGCGGACTGTGTATGCGGGACTGTGTCTGCGAGGGTACTGTGTATGCGTGCCCAGTTCGGAGAAGCGTTGCCAAAGCCACGCCAAGTCAAACAACAGAACACAGCCTTCCATGTACACACACACACACCACGGAAGAGGGGGGGCACGTAGTGGATCGGGGTTGGGGCTACATAATGTGACCTAGACCTGCCTGAGGTGTATATGTGTTCCAAGACATGTGGCAATCGGTATGCGCTTCGCTGGTGTCTGGTGGATCGAACAGATGGTGGATGTTGCGTCAGTCTGCCCAAATCCCAGTTCACAAACCCCAGTTCATAAACTCCCTGCGTGACTTTGTAACCTGAAAGCTGGATGCTGTTAGACAGTATAAACAGAAGGTTGGGGCGATGTACACGTGGCTACCATGTAGACAAACAACGTTACCTTGAGATCAGATAAAATCGGACAAAATATCGGCTACCGAGACAAACGCTGGCGATCTGGCGACATGAAACCTGGGGCGAGGTGGTTGGATGGCGCGTAACCGCGTGCCCAGACCTTGACTCCACAATACCACATGACGAGCGCCAAGAGAAGCTCGGGGCACGCATACATCCCTGGTGAAACCATGCACCGGAAGGAGTCTACCTCTCCAGCTGTGTATGGCTTCTCGGTTTCACGTATGCCAAGGCATCGGTGCCGCCCAGGCTCCGCTGCAGTGTCGCCTTTTTTCAAAGACCTTTGGAGATTGACCAAATTGAGGCCTGTGGTGACATACGCATGTCCAATAACTGTGTAGCGTCTCAGGTGCTACGTGGTCTCGACGTCCTCAAACGGAAGGCTAGGTCCGACTACGTCGTGTAGGGAGCTAGATGTGTGACGGCGTCCGTCATTGGTGGGAATCTGTACACACCATCTGTCGACGGGGTGTGGAGATGGGGCTGAAACCTCTGTCCCACCTCCTTCTTATGAAGAACCCGATGACCTTGAGACCTATATCTGCATAAGCTGTTGGCTGTCGCTGGAGGCAAACGACGCAATGCTGAACAGACCACCAATATTCCATCCCAACCACTGCGAGCACCCCGGCGGCATCAGTGTCACTCTCGAGGCGGACCGGGGTCCTCGGTACCGTATCTCCAAGGAGGATCTCACCAACGCGTCGCGCTTCTTCAAACATCTGTTCGAGACGGAGCACCTCGGCGCCGACAACGCCAGCGAGATCGTCATCCCCATTACGGGAGTCTCCAATACCGCGGTCCACTACTTCGCCGACGTCCTGGGCCATTGCATATCAGCAAGCGGGAACGAGTGGAATACACCGCCGACCCTCATGTACATCGACTGGCTGCTTTGTAAGGATCAAGGTCCAAGACGGCCCTTTTGGCACAGCCGCCTGAGTTCATTCAACTGTCGCTGGGACTGGCCCGCGGTGCTCTCGGCCGCGCACGACATCCTCACCATTGCGGACCGGTTCGACCTGTGGATCTCCCTCGAGCCACTCCTACAGCATGTGTGCATACGACGCATGCTCGCGGACAACCCGATTGTCGGATACACTCTGTTCCGACTGTACGCACGCGTCAAATGGCCCGACCGGCTGATATCGCCTTCGGACTGGTCGTTTCCGTTCCACTTGCTCTACTGGCGCGACCGTTCCGCCCACCACTGTATCCGCAAGGCGGGCGTCTCAAGGTCGGTCTGTCACTCGCCGCCGCCTTGTCCCCGGTGGTGTCTCGAGCTGCTGGAGGTAAAGGACGAGCAGGCACTAAAGGAGGTGAACGAGTGGCTGGCGGAGGAATGCGAAGGCTGGTGGTGCAGACTATGGCAGCGGTTGATATGAGGTAGTTTTATGTAACCCCCTGGTTCGAGGTTGGTTCAGTGACGGTGGTAGGTCACGGACGCAGGAGACACGCAGGACATGTTCGTGTATGGCAGTTGCGACTGCATCTGCAAAAAGACCAGAAAAATCACAAAAACCCAGGAAAAAAGTCCCGCTTGTGAGACACTGCCACAAACCAAGCGGTCCACCACCTACCGGTCCACCTACCGGGTCCTCGTCTGCGTCGTAAACATGCCTCCTTACCGGATCCAATTGACCGCCCCTCTATGACCTCGTCGACAATACGCCATGCACTCATAGCCTCAGAGCCCACATGGTGCCCAGTCCGGGTGGAAGTGGAGTGATAGCGCATACCAGCGGGGTCTCGGGGCTGAGAGGGTGGGCAGGTAGCCGCCCATCCGGGCACGCCGAGACCGACCTCCAGTGTGACATGTGAGGACTGGAACATGGCCGGGCCAACTCCACCATTCTGCGGTCTCAGCCTCGCGCGTCAGCGATCGAACATTCCATCCTTTCTCTCGAGGTCTGCTTGTGCTCTGCTCACACCACATCCCCCAGCCAGCCACGGGGCGTGCGCATACCCGGCAATGAGATCGTCCACAACCAAAACCCGTCCCAAACCCAAACCAAAAGGCGGCGCATACCTCCTCTCCTCTCCTCCTCGACCCGTCCGCTGTTCCCATGTCCCAGGCTCCAGGCGCCAGACTCGGATTTTTTGGAAAGCAAACACCTGCCGTGCACGGCCCAGCAGCCCAGCAGCCCGGCCGAGGCCCGCAGCGCAAAAATCGAAAAAAACAATGGTGACGGACGGTATGTCAGCTGGCTCACTTGACAAAAGAGTAGAGCGTCAACACAACGTTGCCGAGGTAGCCGGTACGTTGTGTTGTGGGCTGTGGGATGTGGGCTGTGGGCTGTGGGATGTGAGCTGTGGGCTATGGGCTAGACAGTGTGGCATGGCACGTCTGCCGGTCGGGTCGTCCGTCATGCCGCCGTGTCTTGTCCAACAACGTCGTCGTTGTTTCTTCGTTCCCGGCGTGTACCGGTGTTCGGCACCGTGTCACGTCTCTACTAGCCGCGGCTGAATTGAAGCCCAACGTGCCGTCGTGTTCTGTGCCAGGTTTGCCGGTGACATCGGCTGTCGAGTGGCCGCGAGTGGCATGTGGCATCTTTAGTATTGTTCGGTTGAGGGGCATGCTTGGTCAGCTCTCGGTACTGGGGGTGCCGCATGGAGACAGCTACTGTGACTAGTCCTATACGGTAGGTAATCGCACTCCTAGCGGTATTTTCTGATCACGCTCGCATTGCGCCGCTCTCTGTGCTATTTTGGTTTTTGTTGTCGTGTCATAATTTACTCAAGCGCTACGCGAGCGCCGAAATGTACATTGTGTGTTGGGGGATGTTCTCGATGGGTGAGTTGAGCTAGCTACTACACTACTACAGCTGTACTATATAAGCTTAATGATTGTCGACATCCATCTTCTCGTCCGGCACCTCGTCCTTGCTGTCGCGCTCGTGCCCGTCGTGCCCGTGCTCGTGTTCGTGTTCGCGCTCCTCCCTGTCCTCGGCGATCTCCTCCTTGAGCGCCGCTGGTGGGCTAGGCCGGGGACTGACGCTGGCGCTGGAAGTCTGCATGGGCGTGGCGCCACGGCTGGACCGTCCGACCGAGTGGGCGCGGGATGCACTCCGGCTGCCGCGGCCGCTGACTGCTCCGCTGGCAGGACCGGCCGAATGCGTTCCAGAGACAGCGCCAGAGGCCGGCGAGGGGGCCTTCCACATCCACGGCGAGTCCGGGTCGCGAGGGTACAGCTCGGTGACGAGGTGCGGGGACGCGGCAGCGGCGCCGGCGGCGACGTGCGGTGGAGATCCGTGTGCTGGGCTCGAATGGGAGTGGCTGCGACTGTGGCTGTGCGAGTGGGAGTGGGAGTGCGAGTGCGAGTTGGAATGGCTGTGGCCGTGATTGTGGTGGTGGTGGTGACCCGGCGGTGGCCATACTTCTGGGGTTGCACGCTGAATGAGGGATAGTGGCGTGACGAGAACGCCGGCGCGAGCGCGCGAGGGGTGGGCTTGGAGCGGGACGACGCGCGCAACTCCACGACCCGCAGTAGTCGCGATCACTGGAGCGGGGTATGGCTGGGCTCCGTGGACCTGTGATGCGTGGGCGTGGGCATGAGTATGGGTGTGCGTGATGTTGCCGTGACTCGTCGAGTTTGTCCAAGCAGGCGCTACACGGAGGACACCGCGTGTTCCACCGAGGACAGGTGCGTTGCGGGCATAGCGCGGATCAACAAAGCTGCCGGGTTGGCGGCGGCGTGCGGCGTTGGCAGCGAGGGCCGCTGCTGCAAAGGCCGAAGGTCCAGCGTGAGGGCGAGAAGCTGCACCAGCACCAGCTCCAGCGCCGGCGCCGGCTGGGTGGCCTCCAGACGCCGAGTGGTTGTGCGGGTTGGCATTGGAAGACGACACGGACGGGGCATCACAAGTCGACCCGGCTGTGCTCGTAGCCGATGGCGAGGGGGCGTCCGGCGACGCTGTGCCACGGGCGCTGCTCGTTGGGAACGACGTGCTGGCCGGCGACGGCGGGCGGCTGCGGTGTGCCAGTGGGTCGCCGTGCATGCCGCTGGACATCTGCCGGCTCATGCCAGCGTACCCCGATCCTGGTCCCGGATCGGGGGGGCGCAACTCGATCCCCGCCGACGCCGTCGCGAAACTCTTGACCACCGTGTCCGCCCAGCGGCGGCAGGCGAGCGGAGATGCCATCACGCACCTCGCGCACCTGGCCGGGGCCATCGCGGAGCTGGCCAAAGCCAAAGCCAGTCGGGGACGGTGGGCGAGACTTGCGCTTCTCCCAAGTGTCACGCGCCTCGGCGACAAAGACAGGCTCAGGCCAGCCAGACAGTGCGACCATGTACGGTGTCGGGTGCCGGACGGCGCCAAAGCTGCCTGCGCTGCTGCCGGGGGAGGTGTCGGCGGAGCCATGTCCGAACCCCATGCCGTTTCCGTTGGCGGGGGGACTGGGCGCCTTGGCCGTGCCGGGAATGGGCACGGGGCGCACGCTCAGCGGGGTCACGGGGTGGAACGTAGACCGCCGCGGGGACGTGATGGGCGGCATGGTTGAGCCGCGCCTGTTTCGTGACGCCGACGGGCGGCGAACGAGTCGGCGGCGACGGCGGCGCGGCGATCACCGGTGGGGTGGGGAGGGGAGGAGGGGGAGATGGACGGTCGCGGAGGCGGCGTCCGGGGGGATATCGACGGTGCGGAGATGCACCGCGGACTTGGCAAATGTTGTGGGGTTGTGTGTGATGGGCGATTTGGTGGCGAAACGGACGTTTCTCTGGGCGTGTGTTGGCTGCCGAAGAGGAGATAGCGAACACGAGCGGCGCCGAAGCTAAACTTTGGCCAGCAGTGGTGGTGGAGGTGGAGGAGATAAAATGGGTCCTATGCTTGCTGGACGGCGCACGACAGCGCCGACCAGACGCTTTGTGGTGGATGGAGAGGACGGGGAGGTGGTATGGATGGTGGTGTTGGTGGTGATGGCGGGGGAGAGAGTATGCACGTAAACGAAAGAGGGGGGAGGGGGGGGAGGGAGGGGAAGGAAGCAACCAAATGCAGGATCGGATGCGAGGGTTGCCGGCGGTTCTGACGCTGATGGAAAGGGTGTGCACACGGTGCGTGATTGCGATGGGGTGTGGCAACTTTGTGTTGGGGGACGATGGGGCGTGGGGATCGGCCCGAGAGCGTACCGAGACTGGAGACTTTTGATGGCGGCGGCGGCGGGTTGGACGGGGAACACGGAGTTGGCGGGAGTTGGCAGGGGGGAGGGAGAGGGGGGGAGGCGGTAGGTGCGTTAAACGAGACGAGCACACTAGTAAGTGGAGGGGGGAGAGAGGGATGTCTTGAAGAAGAAGAAGAAGGGGGGCTGCCTGTTGATGTATAGCTGCTGCACATGTGTAACAGCTAGGATGCTGGGGCGGTAGGGCCTGTTCTATGTCCCCAACGCCAAAATCCGAACACCCGCACGCGCGCAGACGCAGAGGAGGGGGCCAGAGGGGGCCAGAGGGCCCAACAAGGCAGCAAACGCGAACAAGAAACCGCCGGTAAGCAGTGCATCCGGGTGGGCGAACCGGTAAACAAAGCTGCCCGACCATCCCACCAAACGTCATGGAGCGACGCCTGTGGCCTGTGGATCTGGGCACTCGGACTGGCCCCTCGCATCCCGTGTACACGGCCGCACCAAACACATGACCCCCCCTCCTCCTCTCAGCCCTGCCACTCCACAAGCTCGTGCATACTCTGTTTACCGGTCCAATACAACACACCTTTTTCCTCCCGCCGTCGATAACCAAGCGCTGCCTCAAACAGGAACCAACGAGCGGACTCCCCGCGCACCACGGTACCACGGTGTAATCTGCTGCCGGGCGGGCACAGGGCGGCACCGAAAACTGAATTTGCTGTCTATTATTTTCGAATTCCCGGCTCGGGAACCGGTGCTCATCGCTGTTTTGCACCTCTTCAGCACCCCGAGGTCACCCAGCGGGCCGCTGGCCTGGGTCGCAGTCTCCATCTGAGCAAAGCGGCAACGCTTGGGTCGGCCGTCGGAGTATCCCTGCTGCCTTCTATCTCCTCCGAGCCGCCGCTGCTTTGCGCTGGGGGGGGGTATGGCATTCTGACTGAACATGAAGCTGCTGGATAAGGAAGGATAAGAGGGGTCGTCGATTGAACCGACCTGAAAGGGTTTGGCAAGGCCCCGAAGGGTACCCGTAGGTGTGTTGGAGCACGACTGGGCAGGGTGTGCGGCCAAGGGTGGATGGATGTGTGAGTGGGTGGGTGCGCCCGCAGCATCCCGCAACCTGGCCGGCCAGCGCAGCAGCGACGCAGAGACCGAGAGACCAAAGGGGCCAGTGGGTCAGTGAGCGACCCGACGTGCCGGAGGATGGTGCGGCAGATCCCAATGGCGGCGAGTGGTGGGCAGGACCTGCCTCGCTCCATTGATCCATTGGCCATTGATTGATCCATTGAGAGCAGATGCGGCATGTGGCAGTGTCATGGCCTAGGCCGCGCGCACCGGGTGTGTGTCGGTACTGTACGTGACCGGTGGACTTGGGGGACCCATCTGCACTACTGTTTTTGTGTTGGGGCAAACCTGTAACGACCATGTGCTGCTGTTGTTATCCAAGCGGCCAAGCACGAGAAAAGCTATATCCCTGTTCAGGAGTGCCGAGACGGGGAGAGGAGGCCAAGGTCGTGTTTTTCGGATCCTGTGTATTCCGCGCGCCGTTTCGCCAACAAATGCCACTCACCGTCCCCGCCGCCGCCGCTCCTCTCTTGCGCTCTCTTTGCGCGCACTCCTCGTCGCAGCGGGCAATATCAAGGGCACCCCCGCCGACGCCACTTGTGCTAAGGGAGTTTCTGTGGCGGCAGAGATGGGGTGGCGTCCCTTCGCCCCACACATCGTCATCAGGTCTCGGGGGGGAGGGGATATAACCGGTGTCCGTCGCTTGTGTTTTCTGACTCCCTCAATGCCCAGCGAAGGGTCGGCCAGAGCACGCACGTACAAGGTATGTGGCATATGCATTCTTGCGCATCTACTGCGAATATGGGTAGAGAAAAAAAGTGTGAGGGGCTGGGAGGGAGGTACAAAAACTCTGAATCTGTGGGGCCTCGTGCGCTAGACTTATGAAGGCACAACTCGAGCCGCACGAGCCAGCTTGTCGCGCCTGGCAGCACGCTCACGCCTCACGCCCGCCACAATGCTCAGTCCCAAGGCCACAATGCAGCCGAGCGCACTGATCTGGAACGCGGTGGTGAAGCATGCTGGACCGAGGAGGCACTCATGGGCGCGGTCCCCACCACCACCTCCTCCAGGCGCCACCGGGGCCGTCGCTGCCACAGCCGCAGCGGCAACGGCAGACCGGGGCGTCAAATGGCCGAGAACTGCCGCGGCACGTGTGTGCGAGCGGAGCAAGTTCACCCCGCTTGACACAATTCCCTCTGGTGCGCCCACACGGCCCACAGTGTTCGAGTCATACACCCGGCCTGAACGGTTCGGTCAGCTTGCTACCCGGGCCGGGGCCTGGAGCGAAGGAGAGGAGAGTAAGGAGGAGAGGGAGCCCAAACGGGGCGCTATACGGCAAGGAAGTAAAGGAAGCTGAGATGGAGGGATTCTGTCGGAGAAACAATCCTCCCTCCTCTCGAGGCGGCCTCGAGGACTGGCTTGCCCGCTATAAGAGTAGCCGGATTATCGATATTCCTCCATATGTTCTCAGGATGGACGCCAGGTGCAGGTGCGAACCACAGGAATGGGGATGTCACGCCCGGGATTACCACTTACCGAAGATGAGGTTGAATACGTTACCGCCAATGATGGGGGCGGTGGAGACGAATCCCCAATTACTGCTGAAGTACGCTGACGTCAACAATCATGCGCCTTGAATACAGTTTTGGTTTTCAAAGACCATCTGACCTCGCTGGGTCCAAACAGCCAGAGAGGCACGAAAACTCACTCATACCAAACCACTCCAGCACAAGCATGGGCATGACGTTGAAGAGGGTTCCGTAGGCCAGTCCCAAGGATGCAGAGACGAGCCACAGGTGGGCCACCTCTGTAGTGTTGAGCACGGCAATTTCGGAGCCAAGGAACATGAGCGCAACCAGTGGGAGGAACCAGATCTACAGGGGTGGGGTCGGTCAGCGCTGCCTAATTTCCTTTAGGGACGCGGTAATCAACCAGAGCCGGGTGGGCTGGGGGTGGAATGCTTGGAAACAGGCGCAAATGAATTTCCAAACCATCATTTTGTGGTTAATTTGCCCAAGCCTCCAGCCGCGGCAGTCCACCCAAGGGCTCTGGTTTACCAGTCCCCGAATCCCGGCCAATTACCCACGCGCTTGATACCAAAGCGGAGCTTGAGGGTATCCGACATGACGCCTGAGATGCCTGTCAGCCGGCTAGTTGCTGGCGAACACAAAAATGTTGTGGGGATGTTTGCGGTCTCTTGTGCAGCCGGCCGGCCCGGTGGGGACTAGCCACCACCACTATCGCGCTCGCACCACATGGAACGCAACATCCAACAACTCCGCTTGCGGTCAACTCACCACCGAGGATACGGCCGAGGCAGTTGAACACTGAAATGGTCGCCACCTGCCTTGCTTGGTATTCGGCTACCAGGTGCGAGTCATAGTCCCATCCGTCTCGGGCGAGAGCGAGCGTCACAGCCTGTCGTGTGAGCAGAACATTCGATAAAGTCTGACAGCAACAGTCATCACCCACGGCCACCAAACGGGCACACGCGAGTCACAGAAACGCCAAGAGAATGTGCGGCAGTTCCGTATTTCCGGCGCTCGTCGCCGGCTGCCACTACTACTCACGCCAACGTTGTTGATCCACTCGAGCCCCACTCCACAGAGAATCGCCAGGACGGCATAGATAATGTGGAAGTCCGTTTTCCGCATCGCTTCCAGCGGCGTGAAGTGGATCTGGGTCGGGGGGAGGGACACAGTCGAGTCGCTGCGGTTGTGGGGTGGTTTGCGAATGAGAGGGTCGGAGGCAGATGGTGAGTCGTCAAGGAGCTCGACGTCAAGCTCGGACGAACGACGACCAAAGACCTGGCCCTCGGCCGTGGCGCTGAGAGACACCTGGCGCGCGAGGGCACACTCCTGCTCGTCATCGAGTGGCTGGCCGTCGTGGACCTCGTGCTGGTCCTCGCTCTCCGGTGGCGGGTAGGGCTTGATGATAAAGCTGCCGATGAGGTGGGGTGCCGAGGTGCCAATGGAGAGGAGAAGCAGGAGACCGCCTGCTTCGCCGTGGAAGATGAAGTGGCCCAGCATGCTGAAGAGGAATGCGCTGAGGCCGAAACCGGCGAGCACGGCGCCAGTGTACGCTGCGCGCGAGCGGTCGGGGTAGCTCTTGGCGACGGCGTTCATGGCCGCTGTCAAGCCCGCGCTGCCGGCTGAACCAGTCATGAACATGAACAGCGCGAGGAGGAATATGAGCGGTCGGGCCGCGGGCTGGTCGGGTGCACTGCGGATCGGGAGGATACCATTGTAGAACGCGCGAACAGCTGTGTAGCCAACAAAGTTGAGAACAGAGGCACAGAGTAGCGGACTGTGGGGTTAGTGGTGTTCATGAATGGACGGCCAGCTGCTTGTGCCGCGAGAGCAGTTGAGAAACAGCGTCGACAACTGCGCTCGCCGCCGCGCCACAACCGCTGCGCATCCCGCATCCCCTCCCGGGCTCCCGTTCCACGAATGCTCACAGCTGCGGACCACGACGGTCGACGACAAGGCCCCAACTAACACGCGTCAGCTACACCCCCTTTTAAACTACCGTTGACGTACATGGGACCTGTAATATACATGCCAAGGTTACCGCCCAGGCCGATCAAGTTCGAGTCTGTCGACGTAATGTCGAGAGTCGAGGCGAGCTGCGGCGCGTAGCCTGTTTGTCAGTCTCAAGCTACACCAGGACAAGTGAAGCTCTGGCACTCTGATAAAGTAACAGACCCATCCTGCAGCCGCAAGGCTACATGAGCTGCCTCCAGCTTGACCTAGGCCACACCACCGAATTGCGGAGCAACTACCCACCAGAATAAACATAGTTGGAGCCGCTGCAATTGTGTCAGCTCAGTATTCCCTCCTACACATCCATATTTCCTCGTGGAACACGTACCTAGCAAGACCGACAACCACCGCCGTAATAAACATGCGCGTCCGCGCCGTGGGACTACCTTCGTCCATGTTACACGCGAGCGCGACGCGGATGCGGGCGCGCCGCAGGAGGGCAAGGGTGTTGTGGAGGGGCAGCGTGGAGGCGACCTGTTAAGCGGCGGCGGTCGGGCCTGCAGCTCGGGATGGGAGGGTTGTCAAAGGAAGGGGGTGGGAGGTGGAGAGGGGGGAGGGAGGGCGGCTGAAGGAGAAAGGAACGATGCAATGAGCGTGATGGATGATGGATGTTGAGATGAGCGCCGTCGCGTTGGCTGGGTTTGTGGGTGGCTCCCGATTGCGCGATAGCTTCTTGGGCGTCACCGGCCCGGCGATCGCCGTGGCTATAATTGGTTCCGTTGCCCGTCATATATAACGTCGCCCAGTAATATAAACCAAGATAACAAACGAGATCGTCGCCAAGCATATGTCTCTCTCCGTCAGAAATCACCTTCAGCATGGTTTGGTGCTCGACATGTCGACTGTCACCGACACCCATCTCTCACCCTGCATCGTACTCTAGCACTGCCCCGCCTGTGAATTCTCACCGCTCTTGTCGACCAGCCACCTGCAAGCCCAGGCTGGAGATGCACGGCCCCGCGGCGCCTTGGGCTGTTGTGGGAGAAGCATTGGATGAGACATTTCAGTCTGTGCGTCCACCCTCAAACGTCTCAGACTGCCGCCTCGATCGGGAGGGAAGAAGACATCGAGGCACATTGGAACAGGACGCCCATTGTTGAGTCCGCACGCATGCAGTGCAGCTCCAAGATCCAAGAGACGCGTTCTAACCAGGGGGCTGCTCTGCTCGAGTGCCGTGGCTCTTCCACCACCAGGTCCGGGCGCGCAAGCCAACCTTTAGGTGTGGATCTGCCCACGTATGTGTCAGGAAAGGACGAACGCGTTGGATGTCAGGTGGACGGACGCCCGGTGAGTGTGAGAGAGACTCCATGTTCTGGGAGGTCACAGCAGCAAGGGAGGACAATGGCGTGGTGACGGATGTACGGGGGGGGTCAAACGTGAGGTGACTCAACCCCCGTCTTCCTTGCTTCCCTCCTCACCTTCCCTCCTACCATCACCACTCATCCTATCTCGATTGTCTCCATCTCTCATCACACTTTTGCCGTCAAGAACAACGACAGTCTACCAACGTGCACACTGGGACAAAGCACTGTACGGACGCCACCCACGGACACACCGCCCCTCGCAAACCTCGGTAACGCGCCATCAGTCCACTCACCGCGTTCACTACTCTTATAAAAAACCAGCCGCGAATCTCATCACCACCCCGCCCATCAATCCCACACACCGATTGCATCCATCCCCCCCCCCCCCCCCTCCCCATCCACATACACACATTCGACCCGAGATCCGAGACAGCCGTTGCACTCCAGTATGGCCTATACGCAGCTCGGCCTGGCGATGGTGCCCGGCATGGGTGGCGAAATTCACCTGTACCCGCCGCCCTCGTACGCGACTCCGTACAGCCATGATGTCTTTGGCTCCAGCCCCTTTGCCGGTATGTGGGCCCCCAGCGGCCTCGGTGGTGGCATGCCCGGTCTTGCTACTGCTGGACCATTCGCGATGAGCCCATTTGGTAGCAGTCCCTTTGCCTTTGGTGGTGGCGGTCCCTTCCCAGGCCTTGGTCTCGGCATGAGCGGCCCTGTTCCTCTTGGTGGCATGGGCGCGTCTTCGTATGGCGCTCACCCGGCGTGGAACGGCTACGGCGGCGTTGGCACCCCTTACCCTGGGTGGGACATCAACCACCGCCCCAGCAAGGACGATGACGAGGACACCAAGCTCAACCCATACAAGCAAATGGCACGCCTCCAACACCCGTTCTTTGGTGCCTACGGTACCCCGTTTCCCATTCCTGCGGACGAAGAGGAATTCGCGCAGCAGATGGTCGTCCAGCTCCTCAACCCGGCTTCTCCTTGGAGCGGACACAACCAGGCGGCGCACAACGAGATGAGCCGCATCCTGGGTAACTCGTGAGTTATTACCTCGCTGGTCCTGGGCTGACAGCTAAGGGATCTGAAAAAAGCCGTCGTCCCCCTCATCCAGCGCGCATTGGAGTCGGGTGGCAAGTACGCTGCCTACGTAAGTTGTAATGACCCGGCACATGGAAACTGACAACCAGTGTCTCCCCTGGCTGCAGCACCTCAAGCCCGAGGACATGGGAGACATGGTCGAGCCGCTGGGCCACATTGCCGACCTGGGCGCCGACGACGCGTGGCACGACAACGACCCCTACCTCATCATGCACGCGCACTACCTCCACGCCGCGGCCAAGGCGGCGAGCGACAAGAAGGAGCGGGACAACTGGGACAAGTTTATCGATGTCCACGGCAACCCCCGCTGTGCTTGGCCCAAGCCACCCGAGCCCATCGGCTGGACCTTCCAGCAGGCGTTCCCCAAGTGGAACGGCGACCCGAAAAAGGTCCCCGACGGGTGGACCATGACCATCATCCCCAACCACCAGCTCGCCCAGATCCGCATGGGGTTCTAAACTGTTTCTGTATCCCTCTGTCGTCGGTTGTTTCCAAGTTGTGTAGTCAGTGTAGTCGGAAGTTTACCTCAGTACCTGTGTCTGAAGAGTTGAAATATGTACCCAGTCGCTTGTCCCCAGCGTTGTGACCATCCACCAAGCGACCTAACACTGTCCGCCCAAGCGACTTCCTTACTAAAACAGTCGTCACCACCAGGGGTGCCAATCCCTGAGGCGCCGTCTGGCAGTAAGCATGTTTTTGGATCCGCGCTGCCAAGATGTTCGCTAGTCGCATTGTACTGTACTGTACAGTACATGCACTCCGCAGGTCAACGGCACGGTAGCTTTGCAGCTTTGCAGGTGGTTCCTTGGCGGCGACACTGCTGGACGATCTACGCTCCCTTGCTGAAAAAAAAAAAAAAAAAAAAAAAAACGCCCTCAGAAGGCGGCCACTGATCCGCTGATCCCACTGACTGTTCCTGCTTGACGTCTCTGACTACTTGGAGCTGAGCATGGCCGCGGCAGCCACCATCCCCTTCCCTTACCTTGTAACCCGGCTCGTGGGAATGATCGCATTAGGTTTTCTGTAGCATTGAGCTGGACAAGCAGTAATGTAAAGAAGACCAGGGCTGTTATGCAGTCCAGACTTCATCCGCCACGGCACCCCTTTTCCTGGACCACGCCAGGGACGTGGAACGCCAGCACTGGAGGACACCGCGAGCCCATCGTGCCGCCGACAACCCACCACAATGAAGGTGCTCCCTCTCTGATCTCTACATCCTAGGAAGCATGGCTGAGAGATCGTCCTCCACGGTCGGTGAGAGTTTCGAGGGTAAGTGTGGCACTGCCTGTGACGACGGTCAGCACAGGACCTTCGGCACACACACCACAGACCTTGTTTCTGTTGAAGCGTCTTGTCTCGGATACCGCGTACCGCTGGGCTCTTCACAGCCGAATGAAATGTCATATGACATGCAGACCGGCTACTAGCTCCCCAGCTGGTCGTTTGGGGTCATTGTCTCGTAGCTGAAATTACATAAAACCCGTCAACACCACATGGCGTGGTACGCGCGATAACGAACTGTCCGTCTCGTAGCACGGCATGCGATAGCGCGCAGCCACACCGTCTCGGGCACCCAAGCCAATGGCTGCGGCCCGGGCGCCCCGCTTTCTCGTTTTTCCCGCCCCACAAGAAAGTGCTGGCGCAGCAAGGATTGCGGAACGCCACCGCGCGCGACTCGCTCGCCGTACGCCGTCCTGCTTTCTCGTTTTCCCAATGACAGCATTTGGGGATCGAGGCTCGTGCACTGCTCGCCCACTTTGCTCCGCACGCCACAGCTAGGCATGGGTAGCGTGATGGCTCTCCGCTAACTGCTGCGACGGTCCACCTGACGCATGAATGCCCGGTATCCGGGTTCGTTTTTCTGGAGATACGTGTTCTAGTAGCCGAACAATGTGCGGCATTCCCGAGCAGTATGCGGCGCCAGCGGGTAGGGCGTGTGCACACTTGCGGCAATGGGGAGTGGGATTGGGGCAGGTGGCGCAGAGCCCCATGCGGGGCTGCCGTCGTCAAGGCCGCGGCCACTTACCCAAGCCTCTTTGAGCAAGTCCAAAGTGGCATTTTCGTGTTCTTAAAGAATCCAAGAGTTCAAGGTTTAGGCTAGGCTGTCGGACCACGATGGAGACATGGGACGGAGGCCAGGATATGGCGGAGTAAGCAACCGTCATGACTAACTGCTCCTGCGCACAACGCGACCCAAGCGCCGCCACCACCGCCACAAACCCTCAGCTTGCCGCCGGAGGACCCTCTCCCTACCATTTCGCTTTGCATATGCTGCCCTACTTATAGATCAGTGCCCCATTTTCTGGGCCAATGGTCAGGGGAGAGGTATCGTATCGACACAGCAAGCGCGCGTAACAACCCCAGCCAGCACACGAACAAAGTGACAACCAGGAGAGACAATTCATCTCTGATCAGGGCGGGTAGTTGCCCGTCCACCGATCCACCGAGTGGCGTAAGGCGTCGACCTCGTTTCGTCTAGACCTGCTTTGTTGTTCTTGACTCTTGGGTCCATGGGGCTCTTGGGAAAGGGAGTTGTCGGTAAAGCAAACGCACATGCCGCCGGCGAACGTGTCGTTGGCCCGGAGGTGCTTGGGCGTGTCGGTAATGAATCGCCGAGACGTAGGGCCGATGACTTGCCGAAGATACGTGTGGTGCCCCATGTTGGATGACATTGGTGAGCTTGGCGTTGGCACCAGGGAAGGCGACAATTGTCCACTGCAACCCCCAAGCAGCGTCCGAATCGGAAAGGGTACACAAGGGTTTCGAACTGCAAACGCAGCAGCTGCGGCCCGAGTAGCCTCAGCTGCACACCGACAGAGCAGTAGTCTGTACACTTACGTCTCCCATTGGCGTGGTAAAAATAACACAAGCAGAGTGTCTTTCGCCCCGCCATTCGCCATTGCCGCAAGCCATAAGCCCCTCGTGCGGCATGTCCACAACGTCCACGCAGACGTGCAAATGGGCTACGGCCGCCGGCGTCTGATCACCATCCGGCTCCCCTCGGCCCTCGGGCTTGGCGCGAGCGCAATACCCGCGGAGCGGGCGTCCCCAAACCCATCATGGTGTGCTCTGCAAGCCGGAAGATGATCATGCCGAGAGGTCAAGAGTCAAGCCCCCCTCTCGCCGCAGTCAGCCAAACCCCAGGCGGGCAGTTACGCTATGGGCACCGGGAGTGTCCGCGCAGGGTGGAATCGATGGCGCTGCGGACCATCGGCGTATCTATTTCTCGTATCTCGCTACCGTGGGCAATTGAGGGGCCGACGGTGGTCCGCTCGTTCGGAATGCCGGCTATGGACGTGGGTCTGGACCGCGCTGATGAGGTGTTTCCCAAGCCTTACCCACGGCCGCTTTGTAGTTTATACAGGAACCTCCAAGTACAGTCCACAGGTAACACGCAAAGAGGCGAAATAATCACGAACAGGATGCGACAAGCCTCAGAGGACTGACCACACCCGCCACAAGGCTGAAGTACCAGCCATACCGTCACTCCTACTCTGAGGGCGTGTCATGACTGCCCAATTCCGTTAGCCTCCCATAGCACTCGACTGTATACGGTTGTGTAGTTGACGACTATCACCGCTTCCGGAGACACTCTCGGGATCTCTGGTCGTCAGATGACCTCCGTCTCGAAGGCGCTAAACCAGTGTGTCCCCGCGCTGTGAATGCCGTAGACTGTGAACGGTAGTCGGAGAGGCAGTGACACGAAGGAGTCAACGCGGCGCTGCACGATTACGCTTGCCATACGTCTGCCAAGACCGCTATCAAACACATCAAACACATATGTGTCTGCAGGAAAGCGAAGTGACAAAGGTGGGGTTTGTGGGAGTGGTAAAAGCCTGTACTCTGCGACATTCGGTTCTTGTTCGGTGAGAACGCCGTTGTCGCAAATCTCCCTTCATCGGCAGGGTCCATCAAGATGATGGAGCCTGGAAATGGACACGATCGTGACTCCCAATACCAAGACATGCTCGAAGGACGAATCGGTCGCATTGAACAGTTCTGCATAGACAAAACGAGCTAATAACGAACGCTCTCAGTAAGGTTTGTCGGAGGGACATCGTTGGTTTCAGTGTGTCTGTCTTTTCAAGTGCTCCGCGGGAGTTCGGATGTCTTACCCGTGTTTGGCAAGTCGTCTTGAGTTGGTTGCGTACAGCCTCGTCGCACCGCTGTATCCCTTGACTTGCGCACGTCTACGTTGTCCTCTTTCAGGTTAGTGCATCTTGTAACCTCACCGCGGAGGATTGCCTAGTACATACGTGCGGCCCAAGCTGATTACAGGAGTTCGAGCAAGACGGGAAGTGCATCATTTGCTGGAGTGTTCAGCCGACTGGGATGGGGATGTCTAGTTCCAGCGACTGACTGAGACCTGTCCTCAAAATGGGAATGGACTCTGGCCTTCTCGTGCTGCAACACAGCACAGCCGTAAAGACGCGGAGACACAATGTGGCAACCGGGTCGACAATGGCGATTGGCAGGTGGCTGGTAAAGCTGGCAGTTATTCTTCCAACCTGTACACATTCGATCCGAGAGATCTCGGGCGGATGCCGCCACATGGATTCTATCGTCAGGTCGAAGGTCATGGGGTCTGAATTCTTCTTCATGTGGAGCTATCTGCATGTCGTCGTCATGCTGTTGGCCACATCCTCGATCAAATGCTGAGATTCTGCGCCCCTCGGGCTGTACACACAGCCTTGGCATGCATAGCCAGTGTCCCGAAGAGCATTCCTCACTTCTGCTTAAGCCAAGGATGGAGCAGGCGATGAGCGGATACATATGTCAGGTGGCCAAGGAGGTGCGCGGATAACCGTATGAATTTGAGGGTCTGCGATGGACAGGTGGATAGCAGATTGTACATGACCGCAGAGGACCAAGGAGAATGACATTCCTCGCCTTCCGTTTTGTTTCGGGAAGGCAGGCCTGGACACCCAGAACGCAAGAGTCCCAGTGGCATAGCCGCTCCCAGGGATCTGGGGGATCTGGGCCGGACTTGGTCTGTAGCTATTAACAGCCGCTAGAATTGCACCCATCCCAGGCTTGTGAAAGTGGCACTGCAGACTGCAACCTGCCTGCACAGCGGATTGGGTTTGACATGCTTAACTACAGGATTCTGCAAAAGCACATCTGTCCTCCTTGGACTTCCCCTCTCCACACACAGCACTACGGTACATCAGAATGCGGAAGCTCACCATCCTATTCGCCGTGGTCGCAGCGTCATGGGCGGAGGCGCAATCACCGATAATGGCAGACTTCAACTACACGCTCAGCGCGGCCGACTTGCCGATGGACTTTGTCAACGGCTTGAGCAACATCTGGTCAGAGAACTGGACCGAGTCCACCCAAACGTTTCGACCCGGAGACCTTGGTCAGGGCGTGATAACCAAAAGCATCATCGCGTCCGACCCCATCTCGAACCCACCGGCTTTATATATCGCCTTTTGTGGCACAGGTATTGAGCTTGTGGGCAGCGTTACGTCTGCTTCGATAGGAATCACCACCGAGATGGACAGCAGTGCAAACCAAACTGCTACCCTTAATCAAGGTGACACCATTCTGTTCAGCGCATCTGGCCTTCCATACAGCTTCCATTTCCTCAGCATCTGGTTCACCAGCGGCAGTTGCAGCGTCCTCCAGGCCAATGTCATTTCGGCCTTTCAAACGTATGGCCTCTCGAGCGACCAGGCCCCGCTACGCACCGAAACAGTTGTCAGCGAGTCCGGGGACGTCAACCCCTTCTTTGGAACTACGGGGGATTGGTCGACACAACTTACGCTGGGCAACAGTCAGTGAAACCCCTTGCAATGAAGACTGAGCGCAGCCAGCTCCCAATACGATTGACTATCCGTATTTGCAAACCGGAGTCATCAACTCGACTCTCTCGTTTATTACTCCGCCTAATGCAACGTTCCTTTTCATCAACGGAACTGGCGAATACCTGGACCCTTGGGTTGGCATCTGGTCTGATCCGGTTTTCCCAAACACGCCGCCTTATGGGATCTGGGCCTCGGGGTCCCAATATTCGACTCCACGAATGCTATTCGCAACAAATCTCTATCCCAATCTCCTCTACAATGTGACGGTCACCCTAAGGTCGTTAACGCCTAACGCCCCAAAGGCTTATGTAGGGGTGCACGGTGCTACCTTTTACATGGCCAGGTAAAGATTAAAGTGCTAGGAACCCTTTGTTGACGACTCGTAGCGACATCAGTAATAATGAAACGACTGAAACCATTGGTTCGACTCCCACTTCGACATCGGGCCTGACTCCCACTCCGAACCCGAATCCGATTCCGACTTCGACTCCAACTCCAACTCCGACTCCGACTCCGAACCACAGCAATGTGGGGGCCATCGTGGGTGGAGTGGTGAGTACGACACAGCAGCCAACCTCTTACAGAACAGGTCGGCGGCGTCGTTGCAGCTGCCCTCTTTGGTGTTGCGGTGTGGTTCTTTGGATGCGGCGGCCGGAAACGGTTGGCCGAGTGAGTACTGATTTGGTCGTGCCTCAACCCACCCATGGAGAGCCATGAACTGATGCCTCTCAGGCGCAAGCGGGCTGCGGATCTTGATCCCAGCTTCATTGTTGACGACTCGGCTCCGGCAATGCAGGTTACCCCCTTCAGTGCACCTTTCCAGTACCGTGAGTTCCATGGTGTTCACGCCACCGCTAAATGTGCCACAGCAGTCACAGCCTCGAGCCAAGACGAGGAGATGTCCAAACATTTGTCGTATGTTTCACGCCACTGTATAAGGGCGACTTCTAACAAAACCAGCCCTGTACGCCGTATTTCAACAAACGACGAGACGGTACCGATACTCGACCGTTCAGTCTCGGGTGGTGGATCCAGTGGCGAATCCACGTCATCTGCTCACCAGTCTTGGAACACCAAAGCCGGTCAGGGACCTCGACACCATGAAAGTGAAATCGTCGAGGAAGAAGATGCTGGCCGTGTGGAAGGTGTTCACTTCGTTCCCCCGAGATACAATCCTCACTGGGTTGGGCAGAATCCTGGTTCTGCGGCTGAGGGTACTGAGGGTTCCACGGCAGGGGACTCTCGACAATAACCAGGCACCATGCCCCGACGTGAGATCAGCTTCTCGTCCTGTGTGTTCAAGCAATGTGGAGGGAGCAAGATGTGTCTTTGTTTTGTACGATGTGTCAGCAGTGCTTGCAGGTTGGAAAGTGTCAACAATATATATATATATATATATATTTATAAAATAAATCGTGTCTATAATCCCCTCAAACCCCAACCATCTTGACGTTGGACATCCCGAACGCCCGTAGTGTGGTAATGTTGATTGAGATGCAAAAATATTACATGTACACGATTCACATATAATTGTCATGCTTCCAGCAGCGACGGCCTAGGTCACAAAAGACGAGCCTCGTGCGGCCATGTCACTTGTGAGCTTCATTGCCACAAGCCTTTCACAACCATGTCTCCAATCGCTATGGCTTAGTGGGAAAGCGCCAGGCTCATATGATCGTGATCACCTGCACCTGGAGAGCCCTTGATCGAAACAAGGTGGCGATAAAACTTCTGTTTGTGGCATGTCCGTGACATGGAGCAAGCAGCTTTTTGGTAACGCCGAGTTCCACCCGACAGCAGGGGCTGGTAAACTTGGGAAACGAACTGATTTTACCTGAATTGTGACTGGTTATGGGGAACGCAGTGGTTTATAGCCCCATGAATACAGACGGAGTACGGTAATGCCAACCCTTGGAACTGTCATGGAACCCCCAAGGTCTGCTCACACTGCCCCTCTCTGAGGCACCCCGCATGTCTCTGTCTCTGGGGGCAATCTGTAATTGAAATAAGTTGAATCCGGTGCCACATTTCCAGAGGTGTTACATGACGCGACGCAGTCACGCCGTGGTGTATCCCTCTCCCGCCACATTGCTGAGGCACATCCGCGCACCCCGCAGCGCGCAGTGTCGTAATTTGGAGTCCTCCCCGACCATTCTTCACCATTCCTCACGCACCGTGGTTAACTGGGCCGACCCAGCATTTCAGTGGAGCAGCGAAGTAAACTCCGTTCGCCGCATGTACGCGGTTGCATGTTGTCACAGCGATCACAGCCGACGATCTGCCGTCGGGTTGGCACTTTTTATGGTGACCGGAACGAGAGGCCTGGCTCAATGAATGTGCCTTGTGTGCGCTTACGTCATGCTCTTGTAACCGCAACTGTGCTACCCCCACTTGCGCTCACAACTCTGCCTCTGCTGTGCCAACCCAAAACTCATGTGATGCTTGACCAGGCAGGCAGGGCACTGTGGCGTGACTAGGGTTGTAGGTGGGGTTTTGACAGTGTCATGAGCAAGGTGTAACACTTGTCAACACGGGGGGTACCTCTTTTCCAGATGTGCGGGCGAAACATGTCACCTTGTGCTTGTGCAAGCCAAGTGCTCCGTGTCGTGGACAGCCAGAAGTGGGCGGCAAGCTCAGATCCTTAATTGCCTTCAGACATTGCGGCCGCTGGAGAGGTGATCCGCGTGTGGTTTGCCACCACACGCTTGCCAGCCGAATTGGCGAGGCTATGGTACGCTTACGCACACCACCACCGGCCCATGTGGGCCCTGTGAGGCATGCAGATCGCAACTGGAAGCCGCACCGGGTTGAATCCAATGCGTGCGACGATCGCTGTACGACGATGAGCGGATGTGCGGATTTCGCGTTGCTGTTGGCCTGGCACCCATGTCTTGGTCCGCGGGTCCCAGTTTTGACTTCTGGGTCCTTCCTTCGGTTCACTGGACCCCGAAGCGATGGAAAGGTTGCCCCTCGCACGTGACGTCGACGTAGTGCCATGCGTGAGTGGACATCACGGCACTCCACTCCTCCGCACGCTGTTGCTGATGATACCGTTGTTCTGCTGCTCGGCCTCTCCGCACACCAATACTGACGGAAACGGCCAAGACAAACCGCGTCCGCCTCTCTCCGTCCCGCGAGAGCAATCGCGCGACGTCGACTATCAAATGCCCCACCCCAGCGCGTTCGGTTCCTCCTGACGTGCAGTAACTCGGGAGTCGTCAGCGCGCCAATATCCCCAACCCCAACTCCACTGAAAACAGAGAGGGTGGGGAGGAACATGGGGTCTACTGCAGGCCCAAACATCTGCAACGTTGCGCCGCCAAGACGATTCACTTTGGCGCTAACGGACAATATATGCCCACACGGGAAGGCGGAGATGAGGCATGAAGAGAAAAAAAGGAGTGAAAGAGAAGAGGAGGCGAATAGGCACGGGATGTAGGCAAGATACAAGACGACCCGCTTGGAACGTGCCCTTTCCGCTGGCCATCCGCGGCGAGCGCAACCATAAGGCCATGGGCCTGGGGAACTGAGCATTTGGGGACAACTCGTCAAATCACGAATTGGCGGGGAGAAGCAGCAGACCAAGGGGAGATTTCCTTTGTTGGCGGTAAGCGCGCAGGTACGATATCTACGGACGACGACTCGTCTGGCGGCGACCGACAAGAAACACAAAAAGGGGGCGCTTGACAGAATGGTCGATCTTCGGCAGAGGTCCATGGTGGTTACGCAAGAGGCCACACGACGTCTGGTCGTTGAAACATTCAGGTCCGGGCCGTCTGCTGGGTTGGGATCCAGCCTCAGGCCCAAAGGGCCTCGTGGGAGACAGCAGGAAAGTGAGAGGGTCAAGTAGGAAACCTGGGTTGCGTACGCTCATGTAACCGTGGATACTTCAAGCTCTTCCAACGCCACGGACCCAGGATCGGTTTAGGATCGCCCGTCTGTCGAACCTGTCGTCGTCACCCAGGCTCCAAATATAACACTTGCACAAGGAGGCCTTGGTGTGGTGGAGCTGAGACGTCTGACGATGTCCGTGCCCTCAGAACTCTCTCGCACTGTATGCGGATGAGTGGAGTCATGCCGATGGGCATGCCATAATGTGGCAGGTTATGGCTCAGTTGTCCCCTCGTTGTCGCTCGCCACCCAGTAGTTAGTTGCCCGAGTTAAAATGTGACGACCAACAATTGGGGCCGTTGGCAACAGAGAACCTCATTGATCATTGTCACGTTCACCTGGGATCCTTCGTTGACTCCTCGGGTCTCGCGTCGTCGGTTCCAAGGGAACAATTAGCCAAACCCACTCCACACCATGTAACGGCGTGCTGATCGGATGACGGCCTGCGCAAACACGACGGCTAAACTATCAGAAACTGTGTCATGCGGCTGACAGAGGCCAGACTGGGTCGCCTGGGCCCATTCCCTCTCTCTTTCATGCGGGCCGGGCGCGGACGGCAGAGCCGCTCGCGTTTGGGCATAAAGCCTACGGTCCTGCGGTCCTGGTGCCTCCTCCTCCACGGCGCACGGCACGCGGCACACGGCACTGGTTCATTGTGGCGTTTGCCGTGTGTCGTGTCTCGGACGTCTCGTGTCTCGGCGCTGGCTGCCGAACGAGCTGCCAACGCAGCAGAGGAATAATTAGAGTTTGACGTCCAGGGTTTGGGCACTTTTCTGACGCTGCACACTCTCCACAGTTTGGACCGACAGGGCAATTTCCACCGGAACCTTTGGGCGGGGAGAGCGCGGTACAGGGTGAGAGGAGGTTTGATTGTTGTCGCTTGCTCACTCAGTCGCCGACTGTGCCCAAGTGGACGGCTGTTGGTTTGGTCTCGATCCTCCCCGCTTGCGGCTTGCGGGATCCTCACGAGTGTGTTGGACAACCTGGGTCATGGAGTCGCGGACGGCAATGTTGCCGGCAATCGCAACTGGAGCGCAGGGTTTGAGACCCGAATTCTCGGCATTTTCACGACGACGAGGCTGATCAGCTTGCTATCCCTTCAGCTGGGCACCTGTTCTCCTGGCCCGTCTGGACCTCATACTGTCCCAGTACCATTCACGCTTCCCGCTTCTGGTCGTTCTTCGGGGGTTGGTCCCAAACTATGTACGGTGCCTCCTCTGCGCCACAACTGCGGGTGACGCGTCGAGTAGCTGTGACGCTCCGTCGAACCACACTGATGTACGCTGCGTCCTCAGCCTACGGGCGCCACATCTGTCGCGGACTGGTTGACAAGGCAAACGGCAAGGACGGCGACTGAGATTGAGACAGTACAGTGATCCAGTGACCCAGCGGTAAATAGACAAACGAGATATATTGTCAGCGGTGGATCAAATTGGGGTCTGACTGTAGAGGGCCGCACGAACGGGGTTGGTCCATCACGTTTGGCCTGCGACGTGTGTTGCAGCACGCGTTCGGTCCTCCATTCGGTTCTAAGATACGGCACAACGGCGCGACCTGGTTCCCGGGGTTCCACAGTAGCATGGTCCCACGGCTCAAGCACAGCAGTTGCTAACCTGCGGACGATAATTGTCTCATGGGAACGATATATCCAGTAGCCGTGTCTGTAAGTACGTACAGTAAGTAAGTACACACATTACGTCTGTTTTTTCTGCGTCGGTTGACGTCTAGGCTGAATGCCAGTTGACATGTCCTTTCACCGACGCGCACTGACCACGTTTACCCTTTGAGCTAGCAAATTCAAAGTAAGACCCAGAGATCCAGAGATCCCAGAGAATGTGTTGGCGCAGGGAAACAGACGCGATAACTCAATTGACCATGGTTTCCCGCGTCCGTAGACATTCTTTGGGTGCTCGCCTCGAGACGGGGGGCGTTGTTGAACAAGCGACGGGCATGAGGCGAGGCCGCCACCGTTTGTTGCTGCGCTTATTGAGTTTTCGGTTCCTGCACTAGCCTTTGTGCTAGTTTTTGGATTGTTTGATTGCAGAGTACAACTCGTCAGCCAAACGTGCCTGTGTGTGCGGGGGTTGCCTCGTATGAGTTGTAGTCGTTCGTCCAACAATGGGACGGTCTTGTTTGACGGAGTGAGCCCCGGGGGTTGGATCTGGTTCCGGACAGACAGTGTGAGGCGTGACGAGCGTGTGTGTACCCAGTATGTCGCAGCGTCTGGGGACGCAGGACGCCTTCCCAACGACGCATACTCCCCAGGACCAGTCCGAGACAATGCGAAATCCCGGCCCATCCACCGACACCGAGAGACATGCCCCGGGCCCCAGTTCGCCCGCGCAGCAGGCAAACGGTGGCATGGTGGCGGAGGAACAGAGCAGGGTGGGGGCATGCTTTTTTGGGCATGAGGCATGGAACGGCACCCGTTGTTTTGCACCCGGAACATTGAACCTTGAGCATACGGGCGTTTGACCCGAACGACCAGTTGGCCTGGCAACCCGAAGGCCATCCTATGTTGTGGCGCTGGAAGGCTGCCATTTGCTTGTGAAATACCATGCGATAGCGTCCGATTGCATAGATGTGGAGCTCTGAGACGGACACTCGTGAAGGTAATCTGACTTGAACGAGAAAAACGGGAAGCAACAAACGGGACGCCTGCGGTTGGGGGGTGGGGGGTTGTGGTGATCGCTGATGATGTTACCAACGAGCCCAAGACGTGGGATCTTCGGATGGGACCTTGCTGATTGACCCGGTTGCTTGGACGCGGATAGCTCTTAGGTCCGGAAGAGCAGAGGCGCAGAGGAGAGCGTGTTGTGCGGCAATTGCCATGCAGTAAGCCCCCCCCCCACTCTCACTGCTCCTCGCCACTCTCGGTCCTGCTGGCCGGTGGGGCGCGGGTGGCAGGCTCAGGCTCAGGGAGACGTGGTCGTCCCAAGCGGCCGGCATAGGGACCCAACTGTTTCCAGAAACATGAGGGGAGGGCTGGAAGGCTGGCATGCTGATGGCGTGTTTTTAAGTTGTCGCGTGTTCGCCTCCCTCCAGGACGCTGAATGCAGAACGCCGCGAAACCCTCGACCACATGTACACATGGGAAAAGCGACATGCAGAGACTGACGCGACGCACCACACCAACGGTCCTGAGCGTGCCTCTGGGAACACCACACATCAGGGGAAGGAGGTGCAGTACGTACCGTCTATTCTGTGAGTCGCAGAGAGAAACCCCCAACGTCCAGAGTACTTGTGTCAATTTAGTGATGCTTGGTGCCCTCTTGCCGCTGGCCGTCAGACGTGGCGTCTGGGCATCACGGTGGTGTATTGTCTCTTGCCCACGTTTGCCTCTCAAGATGCTCCTCCGTGGATCCGTGTATCTCAACCTCACAGGACGGAAAATGCCTACGTCCAAGGCTGGCAGGGTGGGTAAGAAAAAGGGGCAAAGGGAGGAGAGGAGGGAGGAGAATGTGTGGTTCCGATTCCGGCATCCCATCGCCCATCCCACGCTTCGCTGCCTGTTCCTTCCCCCCGCATCTCGGGGCCGAGTGGCATGATCCTGCACTGACGAGAGGTGTACGGAACGACAAGCGAGACCCCGTGAACGGGGACGAGAGACGCACATGGAGGCAGAAGGTGTGGGTGCGTGGCTGTTGCTGAGGTCCTCGACCGGCCGCACTCGCGTCATGTTGTCCCGACCCGCTCTCCTGGGTTTTCTCTTGGATACCCGCCAAAGTTGACTCTCATTAACTGTGCAATGGAACCAATGCAGCAAGCATGGCCGCAAAACCCGATGTTTGAGTAGAGTTTGGAGTGCCTGACGCCTAGGTTTTCCGCGGCGCCAGTCTTGCCCCCAGCCAGGTTCAATGGGTATCGCAGGCGGGTCGTGGAGCGTAACACATACACCACGTCGCGGGTTGGTTGGTGTCGTTGACACATGAGACGGTCTTTTTCTTATTCTTTTTACCTCCTTTTGAAGTGTCCACTCCCTGGCCCCCATTGCAAGCTGTCTCTTGTAGTAACAAGTTGTACTGTACACACGAGGTATGTGGCATATTGGGTTTACTCGGGTGGCGGCCTAGCGAGGATCGTCGTTTCCGTTTGCTGTGTGCTTGTTTTCTGCCTCGCAGGTTGTGCCGTCGCTCGACAGACGCGAGGACAGGGGTGGAGCAGGGACGGCAGAGGGGAGGTACTCGTCGTCGGGTGGCCGGGAAGCAAGGGGGCCATGACCTATGCAGGGTGCCGGCAAAGGGCCCAGCCAGCAAAGGCGCGGCAGCAGCGACAAAAGCTTAAGACCCCACATGCCGGGTTTTGTTCCATCTCTGGTCCCAGCGCCCTGGTGCGTCACAGTGTCTGTACCTTTGCGCGCGCAAGCCGTGTCTCTCTCTCTTTCTTTCTTTTTTGGCCGTGTCTTGTGTCAGTCGGCGCCGCGGCTCGTGAGCAGAGAGAGATCTGGAGCACAGTGGTACAGTGGCTTCGGGGCCTTAGTTTGGTAACGTTAGCGCTGCTGCAGAGAGACACCCGATCTTTTCAGTCGAACGCCGGCGCTCATGGACCAGGACTGGACCGAAAGCTTCTTTTGCTGTTGCCGTGAGACGCGCGCAACAGCAAAAGAAGGGAGAGAGAGGGGTCGAACAGGTGGCGCATGCCTGGCGCTGAGGCCGTCCTTTTCATGCTCTCCCTGTGCACTGGGTCTCGCTGCCTCCATCTGGAAAAGGGCCTGGTCCGCAGTCGTGCAGCAGGCAGAGCACCCAGGGTAGACCGCGAGAGAGAACAAACAGCCTGTAAACGACACGAATGGCGCATGTGGATGCGTGGGCGCCGGGGGGGGAGGGGAGGGGGGGATGGATGGATGGAGGGAAGAAGAGGGATACGCCACCGGGATATATAGAATCGGAGGGACTCCAGAGCGCGCGCCCGTAAAGTGACCCGCCCACCCGTCCACACTGCTGGAATCATCCTGTCCACCACCACCACCCAGTGTCCCTCATTCACATCACACATTGTACAACGGCAGCACACCCATCCCCCCACCCATCCCCATAAACGTCCCATTCACGACGGACAAGGGGAGGTCACACCGTCAAATCACTGGAACAAACACCACAACAGACAGAGTTAACACGCTCCCCCCCGTATCTGTTGGCACCGCGCGTTTCTTCGTGCCCATCAATCAACCAACCCATCGTTAAACCATCCTCCTTTCGTGTTCCCACCCACACACGTCGCCCTCTGTCCTTTAAACTCTTCTCGCCGTCTCTCCCATATCCGAGCGCACACGCGCCCTCTGTTTTGTGACAAGCAACACCGTCCTCTCTTCTGGCCCCATTGCCTGGTAAGTTTGTAGCCTGTGTTGTGTGCACGTTCAGTCCCAAAGGATCCCCAACCTCCCCCCGTCGCTGTGTATGGTGCGCCCGACGCTCCCTCCCACCGCCCGGGCGCCATTGCTGTAACCCGCAGCCTGTACCACTGTATAGCCCTTCGCCCCCTCCCGTGTGCGCTGAGCGCAGCGGCCTGCGGAGACAGCAGTGGCTGCAAGACTGGGTTTGCTTCGTGCCTCGTGTCCCCTCGTTGCTTTCTGTGCCGCCCATCCGATGCCTCGTGTCAGACGCCATCTGTCCCTCAACCGAACCGAAACAAGTTGTCTGTCTGTCTGTTGTTCCCATGTGCCGTGGGCAGCTACATTTTGACCATCCTCTCTTTATCACAACAACATCATGACACGACCACCAGCTGACACCCCTTCTCCTGTACAGGACAACACCGACCCAGACATGTCCTCCGCCGTCATGCCTCCCACACAGGTTGCTGAAGGGCGCGCTGACCGCGACCGTCGTGACCGCGACCGCGACTCCATCATCGGGCAGTCATCCGATGACGCTGCCGCCCGCACTCCTCGCTCCAGGCCGGCCCAGCCAGCTGCCGCTGCTGCTCGCCAACCATCCCCTCCCTCCTCGCTGTCTCGGTCTCGTGCCCCTCCTCTGTCGCCAAACGCTACCGCCGAGTCGTCGGGATCGTCCACCCGCTCCGCAGGCTCGGGCGGCAATGGTAACGCTACTGCTACGTCGTCTGCCGACCAGAAGAAGAAGACCAACGACAAGTGGGTCGAAAGCGTCGACTATGCGTACGAGTACGTCCCCGTCGCCCAGACGCGCGAGGGCAGGAAGAACATGTGAGTAATCTCCCCCCCCCCCCCCCCCCCCCCTTGGGCCCCCGCCTGGGAGCCCGGGAGCCTGGGCCGCCGCTGGATGATCGCGATTGCGAGACCCCAGAATCATCTCGGCGGCAACCCCGTTGCGTTGCGAATGTACCAGTACTGATCCTCCTCCTCCTCCGCTCTTCAAAACGTCCCAACAAATCGTCACGCCCATTCCCACACATACAGTTCCTATGAGCTCCTCATGCGCCAGCAGCCACTTCAAGCCCGTATGTGCGGGGTGGGTGAGAAGTGTGAGTGTTTCATACCAAACGACCTGTGTCCCCGTGTTGTTTTCCAGCTCACACGCCCTCTGCAGCGGACCGCCGCCCCGTTGATCCCACGCCAATCATTCAGCTCAAGGTCATGACCAGTGACGGCCAGGACGTGACTCCAGTCGACCCTCGTCACCGTGATGACAAGCCCCTCCGCCGCCAGAGTCCCGGAGGCGGTAACGACATGCTCTTCATGCAGAGTGAGTCAACAGCTAATTGGTCGTCTGCGCACGCGCATGCTGACATGAGACAGACCCCTACTACTTCCTGTTTGCCTGTCTCGTTGGTGGCGACGACCAGGATTCGGAGCTCCATGTCATCGACGACGGCCGTACTCGCTTCCTCACTGGCACTCCGGTGTCGTCGCTGTACCACCTGAAAGACATTGACAACAAGGACGCTGCCTTTTTCGTCTTCCCCGACCTGGGTGTCCGCAAGGAAGGACGCTACAAGCTCAAGCTCACGCTCTTTGAGATTGTCGACCAGGAAGTCTACTACTGCACCACCGTCCTCACGTCGACGTTCTCCGTCTACTCGGCTAAAAAGTTCCCGGGCATGTCCAAGGCAACCGAACTGTCGCGCGCGTTTGCAGAGCAAGGCTTAAAGATTCGTGTCCGCAAGGACCCTCGCCCTGCTGGCCGCAACAAGCCCAAACGCAAGAGCTCGGGGCAGTCTGAAGATGAGGACGTTGTCAAGCGTCCTCGCCATGCCCTCACCCACCCGGGCTACCCGATTGACGCGCGTGGTTACCCTCCCGAGCCCCACTATGCGACCTACCCGCCCCCACCCAACGGATACGCCTACCCACCGGGCTATGCGCAGATGCCTCCTCCTCCCCCTCCTCCGTTTGAGGGTTACCGCCCAGGCTCGGCCGGTGGTGCCCCCTCACCTCACCACGGGCACCCCAACGCTCCGCAAAACTACGGCGCCCAGCAGCCATACTACGCCCCAGGCTATGGGTACCAGCGCCCGCGACACTCCCTGCCTCCAAACTACGCCCCAGACCCGTATTATCCCCCAGGACCGCCACCTAATCAAGCGCCATACGACCCCCGCTGGGAGCGCGACCCTCGAGACATGCGCGACCCTCGCGACATGCGTGGTGGTGACCCGCGCGACCCCCGTGGTGACCCCCGCATCGACCCTCGTGAGATGCGAGACCCGCGCGACATGCGAGACCCGCGCGACATGCGTCCAGACCCCCGTGATATGAGAGACCCCCGTGATATGAGGGACCCGCGCGACATGCACGACCCCAGAGACATGCGCGGCGATCCCCGTGACATGCGTCCAGACCCACGCGACATGCGCGGTCCCGATCCTCGCGACATGTACGCTCACGACCCTCGTGGAGACCCCCGCGCCGACCCCCGCGCCGACCCACGAGACATGATGGACCCGAGGGACATGCGTGGTGACCCGAGGGACATGCGCGGTGACCCGAGGGACATGCGTGGTGACCCGCGCGACATGCGTCCAGACCCCCGTGATATGCGCGACCCGCGCGACATGCGTCCCGATCCTCGCGACATGCGTGTGGCTGACCCGCGCGACGTCCGTGTCGGCGACCCCCGTCAAATGTACTATCCCCGTGGGACGTCGCCTTACAACACTCCACCTAGGAGTGCTGGCTCGGCGATTCCCCCTCCTCCACTGCACACGATGGAGCGTCACCGTCCGACCACCGCCCCGGCCCGCGACCAGCGGGACCAGCGGGACCAGCGCCCTCCTCCGCCCTCGGCGCCGCCCGTCCGCTTACCCCCTCTGAGTTCTCGTGTGGACGCACCACCCAGCCTCGGTGGCGCGTACCCCCGTGACGCACGGGACCCGCGCGACGAGATGCCCATGTCTCGCCCCGGTTCTGGTTGGAGCGGCAGCGACAGTCGGAGCCGCAGCCACCCGGGAGAGCGCAGCCCCGGCACACCTGGGGGCGGTACCAAGCCCACTGGCAGGATGGGTGTTGGCCACCTTGTGGATTAGAGCAGCAGCAGCAGCAGCACAACGTTCAGCCAAGCGAAACGCCGGAAAAACAGAAGAAGTCCCGTTGTATCTCCTATGCATATTAGTTGACCCTTCGATGGGTGGTGGAGGCAGACGATGGATGTGGACCCGCTTCGGGCGGAGTTCCAGGCATGTAACGTTGAAACACCACTGTGGGAGCCAGTAAACTGGAGCCTCTGGGCGGCCGTTGGCCCGTGGCAATGGGTCATTGTGCCCCGACACAAGCGGACAGTGTACAGTGTGGAGGCAAGCATGCGACGTGTCTGACAAAGACAAACCCATTGCCACACATCCCAAATCCTGCCGTCCTGCCACTCCCTTATCGGCTATCGCCACTGTGCCTCGCTGCGAATCCGCAAGGACCGGGCCGTCGAGGACATGTCCCAGCCTTCCCACGGTGGCATCGGCAACCGGGTTGTGTATTACTGAACGCTGGTCCGATACGGTCGGGCCGGGCACTGGCGCACTGGCTATCGTCCACCGTTCGTCCACCTCCATCGGCATTCCCGCGACACACACCCCCACATTCAGTCGCGGCCCAGTGTGGGCAACGCGGTAGAGCGCGCGTACAGGCAGTCGTGGTTCTTGGGAAACGACCTCTCTGGCACACACGCATATCTTCTCGTTCGTGTGTGTGGGCGGCGTCGATCTCTTCCTCTTCAAACCGACACCGTTTCTGCCCGTCCTTTTTGTTGGACAGTCCAGATTGTTCACGCCCCCACTCTCATTCTCGATAACGCGTCAGGACCTGTTCGCCACTCACCGACTGTATCTCTCCATCTCTCCTCCATTCATACTCCCAGCCGCTATACACACCTGAACCACTTCTCAACGACCTGCCGCGATGGTTTTCGACGGCACATCCAGCGGCGCCGTCAACGGCAATGGCGTTGGTGAGTCACCTTCCTTGTCTCTGTTGTCTTCCTCCTATCGACGTCTCTGTGATCTCTCTGATATCCGACATCCTACCACCATCCACTACTCTCACACCTTGCACGCCACTGCCATCAATGATGAGGACGCTGGGGCGCGGACCCCCCCTTGCAGGGGGGGACTCCCATGGCGACAAGACCAGCTACATGCTAATCAATAATACTCCTCTGAACACACAACGCACCTCCCTCCCGTCGTCTTTCCTTTGCCTTGCCTTCCCGTTCCACACCGCTGACACAACCCTCAAAGCTTCCCTCCCCGCTGCCTCGACCACACTGTACCTCACTCCGATCGTCCACTCGCTGTCGCTGTCCAAACTCGAGATGGTGCCGCATGCCCTCGTTGCCGTCAGCGCTGGGCGCGTCGCTTGGGTCGAGCACTTGAAAGATAGGCAAGACCCCGCCGAGGCTGCTGAGAAGCACGGCATCGATTACGAGGCCGCGGACAAGGTCGTCGTGAGCGAGGGGTTCATGTGTCCCGGCTTTGTGGATACCCACACCGTGAGTCTGAATGTGTGCTCGTTCGGTTGGGGAGAGGCTGTTCGACACCGATATGGCCACACAGCCCATATCCGCAGCCGCGACGATATTGTAAACATTCTCTTGCTCGTTTTGCTAACGGCCATCGGCAGCACGCCCCCCAGTACCCCAACAACGGCCTCGGCGGCTCCCTCCAGCTCCTGGACTGGTTGGTGGAGCTCACGTTCCCCTTGGAGCAAGAGTATGACGATGCCGCGTACGCTGCCAAAGTGTACAAGGAGGTCGTGAGGCGCAACCTCGCTGTTGGAGTGAGTCTGTTGCGTGACGCAGGTGTGACATCCCGACCACGAACCGTATACCTGCGTCGCGGCGTCACCGCGAGATTGCCACTGACACCTTCTCCCAGACCACCACCGCATGCTACTACGGCACCCTCCATTCGACCACCACCCTTCTGGCCGACGCGTGCGCCGCAGCTGGCCAGCGCGCCCTCGTCGGCCGGTGCAGCATGGACACTGGGAGCGGGACGTACGTCGAGGCCTCGGCCGAGGAATCGATGGCGACCACCGACCTCTTTCTGCAGCACTTTGACACGCTCCCCTCTGAAGCCCAGCAGCTCGTCAAGCCGGTGCTCACGCCCCGCTTCGCGCTCAGCTGTACCTCGCAGCTCATGGCCGACCTGGGCAAGCTCGCCAACGAGCGCGACCTCGCTGTGCAGACGCACATCTGCGAGAACCCGACCGAGATTGCGCGCGTCAAAGAAGTGTTCCCCGCCATCTCGACCTATGCGGGCGTGTACGAGGCCCACGGCCTGTTGCGCAAGGGCACGATCCTCGCGCACGGCGTGCACCTCTCCGAGGCCGAGCGCGCCGTCATCCGCCGCAGCGGCGCGGGCATCTCGCACTGTCCCGGGTCCAACACCAACCTCAACTCGGGCGCGGCGCGCGTCCTCGCCATGCTCGAGGCGGGCATCCCGGTGGGCCTCGGCAGCGACTGCTCGGGCGGCTGCGAGATGGGTATCCTCCCGCAGCTGCGCAACGCCTCGACCGTGTCCCGCGTGCTCGCGTTCGAGGGCCAAACGGCACGCAGCCTGTCCACGGCCGAACTCTTCTTCCTCGCCACGCGCGGCGGCGCCGAGCTGTGCCGCTGGGACGACGTAGGCCACTTTGAGCCCGGCGCGCAGTTTGACGCGCTCTGGGTCCGGCCCAGGTCGCCTGGCATGTGGGTCGAAGGCGGCGAGGCCGTCGAGATGGTGTTTGAAAAGTGGCTGTGTTCCGGCGACGACAGGGACATTGGTGCAGTGTGGGTCAACGGCCGTCTCGTCTCGGGGGCGAGCCCCGTGGAGGCGTAGACGAGGAAGAGTATGTGCACGATAGAGCCGAGGCAAGGGAGCAAGGGAGCAAGGGAGCAAGGGACGGGGGACATGGTGGACCGACATGGTTGTACAACGCGTTGCCATTCTACATATCTAGACAACTCCCACTACAAATGCTAGAAATCATTCTCATGCTCATTCTCATTCTCATTCTCATTCTTAATCTCTCCCCCTCTCTCATCACGGGTCTCACATCTCAATAGTCTGCGGCCCGTAGCCTCGGCGTACGATCGGTCGGCGTCGCCCCGCCGTGCATGTGCGAGCCGTGCATGCCGTACGCATGTCGCGATCGCTCGCTTGACCCGCGCGACCCCGAGCCGCCGCCACCGCCCGTGATGCCCAGATCATCCATGGCCAGCTCATCCGCCTCGACGAGGGTACTCCGCCCCATGGCGGCCCAGTTGGCGTGGTTCTTGTTCTTATTGTTGCTGCTGCTGGTACTGTTCGTACTGACGCTTTGGCTCAGTTCGGCTCCTCGCCCAAGCGGTGAAGTCACGCGGCGTGGGCTGCCCGTCGAGGGCGAAGCGTACGCGTCGTACCGGAGCGCCGAGGCCGTCATGCTCGCCGACATGGGTGTGCTTGCGGGCGACGACGTGTCCCTCGATGGCGGCTTGGTCGCTTCGGCGTACACGATAAGGATGGCGTCGAGCACGTCGTTGAGCTGAGAAATGGGTTAGCCTGACCTCACGATAAATTGGCGACCCACAGCTCTCGATTTCGACCGCCTGACGACATCATCCACCATTCCCCGCTCGACAATCAGGGCAACCTCGGTACACCGCTTGACCATGTGTTTGATCGCTCCGGCCGCCTTGACGCGTTCCAGCGAGGCCAGAATGTCCGTCGCCAACGCGTCTCGCTGGGCCAAAGCGGTTCCAGAAAGCAGTGGGACGAGGGCGAGCACAATCAGTTCCTGTACCGACGCCGGCGAGTGGTCGAGGGCGGGCAGGAGGGCCGAGATGGTCGATTCCAGCTCTGAGCCTGGGTACTCGACCGCGACGGTCGTGAGGAGGACAGCGAGGGTCGAGTCTTGCGGGTCTTGAGCGAGTGACTCGGCGGCAGACTTGATAAAGGCCTGCCTGAAATCGTGGCTGGAACTCTGCAGGTCACCGAGGACGGTCTGCACGCCCTTGAGCCACACGCTGCTGTCCCCGCCGTCACGGAGGGCCTTGGAGATATCAGACACGCCGTCTGCAATCTGTGTGCCTTGCTCCGCGTCATCGAGCCCTTGGGCGAGAATGTCTGTCGTCTCGAGCGCCCGGCATGCCGCCTCCGTCCGGCCGTCGGCCACGCCATCTCGGCGAGATTTGCCACCCTCGACATCAGGCGCGAGAGGTACACCTTGGCCACTCCGGATGGCCTCGAGGTGGGACTGGAGTGTCATGAGGGGCAGGTTCCGGTCGACTTTGGCAAGGAGGCGAAGCGTCTCGCGCCGCAGAGTCGGATCGTTGCTGTCCACGCCACCCATGAGGGCGGCCATGTGTGCCTCCGTCAGGCCGTCCTGCCACGCCGCGGCTGGCAGGAGGCCAAAGCACCGCAGGGCAAGGATACGGTTGTTGGCGACGTCTGCCGGAGTCGGACCTCTGACCGCAGCGGGCGGGGTGGCCTTGCCCTTGCCCTTGTCGCGTTGGGGGAGGAGGAATTGCCGTAAATGGTTCATGAGGGTCTCGACTGCCGGTCCCAGTCGGCCGTCAATCTCGAACAGCGCAGCTGCGAGGGCACTCGTTTCGAACAGGCAGGCTGATAGCTGTTAGCTGGCGGTTGCATCCTACTAGCTTACCTCTTGCCCATTGCGACACGCCGGGTGTGGTGTGCAGCTCGACGGCCTCGGCCAGCAGGCTACGAGTCTGAGTGATGGCGTGCGACACGAGCTCGTCTCTGCTCTCGGCGTCGCCTTCTTCGTAATGCCTTGGGAGTGTCCTGACAATCGCGACCAGCGCACGGATAGCGGAGATCACCAGCGGGGAATCAGAGTCCATCCGCCTCGCCGCGGCCGCGAACACGCTGTCAAACTGGCGTTTCCGGCGCGCGGGGTCTGCCTCGCGTAGCCCAGACTGTGGAATACACTGTCAGCTGGACTACGACAAACACGCAAGGGTAGCTGGCTCACCTCGAGGGCCTGGGCGTATATCCTCAACACGGCAGCGAGAGCCGAGGGGTCGTCTTCATGTCTGATCCTCCTGGCAATCTCCTTTAGCGACAGGGGCCATGCGCGGCCGACCGACAGCGCCGAGATGGCCTGGATGGTCCGTTGGCGAATCGCGGGTCTGGCGGTGTGTGTCAGTTATGGACCCCATAAAGGAAAGCAAAGAAGGCGGTTGGTCTGACTATTCGCCTTCGCCAACCGCGGATGAAGGAAGGGCAAGGTTGACTCACTCGTCATGTTCCAGCAACCGCTTAGACACCAGCAACGGCACGACGGCAGGCGCGAGGTCGTGTCCTGGAAGGTGAACGATGGCATGCAGTGCCGCGAGGATATGTGCGTGTTCGTAGCTTGCCAGGTCCTGGTGAGTGTCAGTTATCGCAAAGAGGATGTAATATATACCTTTCGGATGGTGTTGACCAGCATCAAATGCAGCTCGTGGCCCGGCGGAAGGCGTTCGGAGAGGTACAGGTATCCTGCACGTCAGCTGTGAGCGATGCACATCTTTCAGCTGCCATCGTCGTCGGTACCGACATGGGCGCAACGGGTGTCCGAAGGCATAAAGCAACACCAGTATAACGGGCCACACTCACCTCGTCTGCGTTCCCTCATCGTCCGCCCGCCTTCGGCCAGGTGCAGGGCGGGCACGAGGGCGAACTCGAGGTCGAGCTTGGTGTGCGACGTCATCGCGCAGTTGAGGAGAATGATAAGAGTCTCTGCTATACGAGACTAGAACCCGCACGTCAGCTGCAGCTCCCCCCAGCTCCCCCCCAGTCCAGTCGCCAAGCGCGTTGGGTTGCTCACCGAGCTGGGATTGGTGGCCAACAGGTTCCGACAGCGCTCAACCTCCTGTATGACCGCTGCGTCCTCTGCCTGTGCGGACGCAGCACCGTCCAGCTTGACGAGGAGAGCATGGTGGGCGCGGGACGAGGCGAAGGACGTGAGGTATGGCGGTAGAGGCATTGTGTGTGGTGGTGTGAGCGGTGGTTGAGATTGAGTTGGGTGGCCAACACACGCGCCCCAGCCGCCCGCCAGCCAGCCTGCGCCGGATCGCCATCACCCGGCCTCCACCGATACGTCACAGTCGGTCCATCAAACCCCCCCTTGTCCGTCGGCGGTCATGCTCGGCTCAACATGTATCGCGTCATATGCCTCTGCAGCTGTTGGTCAAGATGCATGGCATTGTCCACATCACACTCGTACATTTCCTTCATCTCTATCTAACCCTTGTACACGTACGCGTCCTCGGTCTGGGGCTGGGTCTTGTCGTGCATGAGCGCCACAAGCTTCTGGAAGTCGGCGTCCGAGTCGATGTGGTTGAAATGCCACGATGGCCACTCAGTGTTGGCGGCCTGCTCGTCCTTGCGCCTTTGGCGCTGCTCGTTCTCGATGCGCGACTTTTCCTTGCCGGCAGTCTCATAGTCGCCCGAGCGGATGCCGTTGGCGACCTTGTACCACAGCTTGCGCGACTCCCACTCGCCCTGCTCGTCGACGGGCTTGACGGTCACCTCCTCCTTTGGCTCGTCGGCGTCGTAGAACACGGGGCCCTTGCTGCTGCCAATGTTCGAGATGCCAGTCCACTGGCCCTCGTACGTGTTGATGTGCTTGGAGCCCTTGGAGAGCACAGCCTTGTACGAGTGGGCCTTGCCCGAAAAGTAGCCCTTGCCCTTGTACTCGATGACGGCGCTGTAGTCGGTGCTGCTCTGGATCGCGCTCGTCTCGGTGAGCTCAATGTAGGGGGCACCCCACACGAGACCCTCAATGCGGAGCTTGGCTGGGGGCAGTGTAAGCAACAGATAGCAACAGGGGCGCTGCACTCACGAAGAGTGATGAGGAACTGCTCTTCGGGGCTGCCGTCCTTGGGCTTGACACGGAGGAGAGCGTGACCGGACTGCTTGACTGCGAATGTTTCAGCGTTAGTCACCGGAAGGTTGGCGCATACCGTTGATAGCCGTGCCAGAGAACGCCGTCTTCTGGCCAGAGTGGCCCTGGAGAACAACACCGGCCTTCTCGTTGGCGATGTAGCTGGAAGAATGTTAGCACAGGTTGTCGACTGATAAGGAGGGGCTCACTAGCCGGTCTGGACAACGTCAGCGGCAATACCACACACACATACACAAGCACAGCTCCACAAAACACTCACAATGGGAGGGTGGTGGGACACCTGCTCGGACACGAGGATGGTCTCGCCGCGGCCGTTCTCGTCAGGCCAGGTGCCGTAGAAGAGCTCGCCGAGGACGGGGTTGAGGGGCTTCTTCTCCGAACCCATCTTCTCGTTACGGGTCTTGGCGTCGTGTCAGCGTCGGGCTTCTCTGCGGGGCGCGGTCGGGGTCCGCTTGGCTTTGGCCGGGGGCCCTTGGCATGGGCAGCGGCCGCCGCCAGTAGCAAACACGCACAGTGTACTGGCCCTTGAGGGTAGCAATGAACCAGCGGAGGACAGACTCCATGCGCTCCTCGGCGGTGGTGCCCTCCGAGATGGTGGCAAAGAGCTCGGGGTGTTCACACCAGTAGGCCGGGAACTCGGTGAGCGACGTGGGCGACAGGATGACTGCGGGACAACATTCAAGCCATGGCGTGCCAGAGGACGATGGGACGCGGGATCCATTAGGTTAGGGGAGTGAGCGTGCAGGCAGAAGAAACAGCGTGTCAGCTTTCGAATGTGCGTTTGCCACACTGTTGACAAGGCAACTGCGCAGTGGCTCACAAGGGGGAGCGGTCATCGAGCTGAGGTCGCCCGTCATATGCGCCAGCGACTTGAGGAAGCTGGTCCATCCTGCCTTTTGGTCCTGGGGGACAGCGGCGTCTGCAGTCATAACGAAAGAAATAACAAGGTCGTGCGAGGTGTCGTGTGAGGAAGTAGGACAGGAGGATGTTGAGCGAATGTGGGGGAAGGGGGTTTATTCAGGTCAGCGCCGAAACCAATCTCCGAGAGGCTGTGTACGCACCGTCCGCAAGGACCGGAGTCGCAGTACCACTGGCGGACATAGTGTAGCGGGGGTGACGGGGGCGGTTGGGAAGGGACGTGTTCTTGTGGTCAGGGACGCTGGAGGGGCAAACGTCTGTGGTTGCGCAGGCGATCTGGTGGTGGTGGTGGTGGTGGTGTGTGGAGGCACTTGTCTGTAGCAATGTCGATGTGCCGAGAGGCAAGTGGTGGAAGCGAGCGGCAGTTGGAGAGATGGAGAGGATGCAAAGCGATGTGGAGAGAGAGAGAGAGAGGGTGCGAGACTGTCAAACGATAGATGGCTGTGTATGACGACGTGTGTTGACCCGTCTCTCTGCCTTTCAACCCCCGCACCGCACCCATCGCACCACTCTCTGGCCGCCCAAGATTATACTTCCGTGCCACTCCCGCACTTCCGCCTGTACGTGGGCACGGCAAACCCTCCAGAGCCCCAGCCCTGCTACGCCTGCTAAGGGTGCATCTACACTTTCGCCAACATGCTTTGCAGTAGTTGAACGCATGCATGTGGTTTGCATTCTCGCTGTTTCTTTGGATGTCTGTGAAATACGGCCGCGTCCGGGAGATTGGGTGGAGTATAATGGTTTTCTGGGGTTGGGGGGCGGCGACTAACCCACGCCTCCCGTAGTGCGTGTGACGTCATGGCGTCATTTTGGGTCATTGCAACCGAACAACCCCCGTGTAAGTACCAGTGTGGCAGCATGTGGGGAGAGCCAATGGCCCATTGATCCATGAGGTTCCAAGACATTCAAGCACCCACGTAACAGACAGATACACAGAGTTCACAGATGGCCCCAGGTGGGGGAGGGGAGTTAGGATGACGCAAAAATCAATAGAGCCCGTCCGTGCTTACATCTGCAAGAAGCGGCCTCCTCGCCCTATTTCAAGTCGAGGCAACGGAAGAGCCTAATAAACCTTTTTGAAACTAGCCCGTCAATTTATATTAATTGATCCTCGTCATTGGATCATTGGCGTTCAGTAGGACCGTCGTCAGCAAGCGTCAGCTATCACCACTGTACACTGCTCCACTGGTCTATACTGGCTTGAGACCATCCGGTTAATCCATACCAAGGACCCTTGTCAGACGCTGTACCGCTGTACCGATGTACCGCTGTCGTCTTCTCAAATTCCGCATACGCCCAAACCACATGGGAATCGTTTACGCGAGAGGTTGACAAGCACCAGGCCGAACGCGGCAGAGACGGTCGAATCCTCCTCCTTATGTTGGTCGCAAACGTCTCTGTCAAGTTCAACGCTCAAGAGTGTAAGACAATGAGAGATGTGTTCACCATCAACTCAACTTCGCTGGGTCATCGGGAATGAGAACGGTACCTCGGGACGTGCGATGTGAGACTGCTTTGTCCCCAGTGCCGCGGTTTAATTCCAGCACACGCGGTGAGGTTGCCATCATTGCATGTGGCCATTCCATATCGTTATCGTGTACCGAACAACCAGTGCTTGTCAACCGTCGCGATGACGCGAGGTTCGGTGTCTCGGTGTCTCGGTGTGTGCGTATGTGTGAGATTGAGACAAAAGGCCGTAGTACGAGGTTCAAACGCTGGGGGCAGTGAGGTGGGGTGTGGCGGCACATGTCTTTGCCAAGCAAGTCAAACGGTCGTGATGTCGTAAGACCCGTCTCGACGCCTGTCTTGTCCAGAACTGTATCGTTGGCTGCAACAATGAGTCGTCGGCTAATCATGCCGGGGTTACCTATCCGTCGGCCCATCCTTCCCTCCACGCGTCACCGGCGTCTGCTCTTCTGTGGCCACAGGGTTGTCAGGTGCAAATAGATACACTCGCGTAATTGGTATTGCTCGACAGATCCCGGGCCCATGGCGTACAGTACTGGACCGAGCGGTGGGCTTTAACGCATGGGCCCTTGTCACAGTGAAGAAGCGAAGGAGGAAGTTGGAGCGTCTGGGAGTGTGCCCACAAACAAAACTCAAGGTGCAAAGTCAAAGGCTGATGTGAGCCCCACAACATTTTTCGCGGCGTTTGAAACACATGACAAACGCACCTTGACTCCAAGGTTGTCACATCTCTCGGCCCCAGCTTGCATTGGCCTAACCCAAAGCTTGGGTTTTGGCTTACCCATGACACCGTGTTGTGGCTTACCATACGGGAAGCTGCGGGCGTGAAACGAAAAAACCGTTGCGCTGGATCGGTCTTCTGTTCGTCTATTCTGGATGCTCTCCCCGCTTAGGACGGTTCCGAAACAGTAGCAACCCGGCCTTTGCTTTGCTGTGGGTTTCCCTGTATTGCAATCATTAGGAGGATCGGGGGCAGGTGGATGCCGAACTTTGCTTTGAGGGCCCAAGTGGATGGTAGCAGCAGATCAGGACGGTGGCTCAGGCACACTGCCAACAGGTGCGGGTTGCTTGCTCTCTTGTCAGCACACGCATGTTGCTCACGTCCTATGTAAGTGCGGCGGCTCCAGAGCTCTGGCGGGCTCTAGAGGTTCACCCGAACCTTCGGATCGGGCTCTTTGGACCCCGCCCCTGCAGGTGCCGGTGTTCGGCACGATGCCGTGCTGAAGCCATGTCTTGCCGGCTTGCTTTTGCTTTTCAACTTTTGCCAGGCCGCTGTGGGTCTCACACCGTTTGTTCCCCCCCCCGCATGCCTCCGCATCAAGCCAATGATGCCGTCTGACCACTGTGTCTCTGACGTGCCCTCCAGGTTTGGCATTCGCTGTCCTGGAGTGACCTGGCCGAGAGACGGCGCAGCATTGTTGTATGAATGAGGCTCCGTCATGCACCACGGCCGCAGGTGGTTTGCGCCACCCGGTGAATGAAATTCGCCAGTCGGTCTGTAGTGACGCGCGGATCACGTTAACCCCACCCACACCCAGGACGCACGTCTTTGCTGCTGGGGCCATGACACCTTAAGCGCGCCGCTGCGTTGCAAAGACCGCTGTCTCCATAGGAACACAAACCCCCCTTTGCCATCGCCATCGCCCCACCCATCAGTGTAAACCCCACAACAGGGAGTCTACGTCGCTGCGTTCCATGAAGCCTTAACCGCCTTCTTGAAGCTTGATCAGCTGGATCTCATACGCCGGAGAGGGGCACAGCCGCCCTCGTGTCCTCATTATCGAACCAATCCTTGCTATAAAGCTCGACGTTCCCGTCCACCATCCCCTCCCATCCACATAGACCACACGTTTGAGCTCGCAGACCCCTCTCAGCTCATCGCCCAGAAACAACTCGGATATATCAGCCACTGGCCCCACTTGGCACCCACGGATCGAAACAACAACAACTCCTAAACAGCCCCAGTCCTCTTCCCAACCATGGGCTTCACTCCCGTACAGACCTTCCTCGGCGGCCTGCTGCTCCACATCAGCTCGAGCTCGCTGCTCACCGACACGGGCCGCGTCTTTGGTATCTCGTCTGTAGTTGACGGTGCCATCTACGGCGACCGTGCCCGGTGGCGTTGGGCGATCCTCGCAGGACTGGTGACGGGCCCCGCTGTCATCGCAGCAACAGGCCTCGCCGCCGCCATCCCCGATTCCGGAACGTGGGTGTACGCTGCACAGCCCGTCTCCCGCCTCGCACTGGCCGGTGCGCTCGTCGGCTTTGGCTCAAAGGTGAGTGAGGAGCAGTGACGAAGGCACGGGCACATGAACGACACATGAAAGGGGGTCGATGTGTCACGGCCCGTTGCCTCGTTGCGTCGCATGTGGAGTACGTCAGTTAAAACTGACTTTTTTTTTCTGCAGCTTGGGTCTGGTTGCACGTCTGGCCACTTTCTGTGCGGCATGTCCCGCCTGTCGCCACGCTCGGTGATCGCGACTTGCACGTTCATGCTCACGGCCGTCTTGACGGCCCGCTTCTTCCCGGCGCCCGTCAACGACACGCTGCCCGCCTACGCTCCCTCGTATCCTTCAGGCAACCAGCTCTTGGCCCTCTCGAGCGCCGTCATCGTCGCCATTCTTGCGCGTGATGCCCTCGCGGCGCTCCTCCCGAAACTCATGAGCTCGCGGACCGCACCGGAGCAAAGCGATGAGACGACCCCGTTAACCTCGGCCTCGTCGTCGACCGCGACCGCGACCTCGACCTCGACCTCGACGTCGTCGTCGTCGTGGCTCTGCTCCCTCCCGTACCTTCTCTCAGGGCTCACCTTCTCCCTCGGCCTCATGGTGTCGGGTATGGTCAACCCCCTCAAGGTCCTCGGCTTCCTGCGCTTCCCGCCACCACTCGACACCTTTGACCCGTCGCTGGGCATGATCGTCGCCGGTGCCGTCATTCCCAACGGAATCCACTGGTTTGCCCTCCGTCGCGCCCAGGAGAAGTCTGGCAAGGCCGCCGAGCCCCGTTTCTCCTGGGAATCATGGCAGGTGCCCTCGCGCACCCAGATTGACTGGCGTCTGCTCGTGGGTGCTGCCGTCTTTGGCATGGGATGGGGAACGGCCGGTGTCTGCCCCGGCCCCGCTATCGAGGCTGGCGGGTCGCTGCTCGTCGCTGCGTTCCAGGGCGCGGACGTGAACAGGGCGGCCACGGGGTGGGCGGCTTACGCCGTCAACATGCTCCTGGGTATGGGCGCCGTGCGCGTCCTGGACAAGGTGATTGCATAGATTGGGGAGGAAAGTGGACATTTTCTCTCTCCTACAGATAGACACACGCCGGCGGACGCCTTTTTGCATCCCTCGCATGCTCTTTTTTCCATGTACAACCACTTAATGTACGACATTGATGCAGTATAGTAGCGTCTGACTGTGTACGCATCAAGCTATGAGCGCAGGGGCAGTTCACAGCGACACGCTCACGTCGATGGGAGAGGTTGACCATCGTCAAACGGCCATGTCCGACGATAGCGGCCCTCGCCGCTCGGCCGTACCTCCGTGTCGTCATCGGTGGGCAATAATAACCTCTCTGCTATCAGCCATGGTGTGGCTTTAACAGTAGCGCTAAGCAACAGCTCTGCCATTGCCCACTCACTCACATCGCCCACACATGCGCTCCTCATCACCGACACCAGGCTGCTTCACCTTCCTCCGGCGCTCCAAGCAGGATGCAAGGCCCACGTCCCAAAGCGAGGTTCCAGCAACGAAGGGAGCTCAGTTGCCCGCACATGTTCCCCAGTCGGCGATCCACACCCCTCCGGCAAAGTATCAGCACTACGAGCCGTGTGGATGCGGCGACATGTCGCTGGGTCTCCACAACCTCAAGCTGGCGGACGCCGACCTGCCCCCTTACCGCGCGACAGAGCCGTTCTCCGCCGACGTAAGTCACGACCTCACTCTCCGGACGGTGTGCGGTGTCTGACTCGCAACTAAACACAGGTGCGCGAGACGATCCGTATCGCTATCGACGGGTACGCCCCGGCTCTTACCGAGCTCTCGCTTTATATCTGGGAACACCCCGAACTCGGCTTCCACGAGACCAAGGCCGCAGCCAAGCTCACGGCATACCTCGAGTCGGAAGGCTTCGACGTCGACCACAAGTACAAGGACCTGGAGACGAGCTTCAAGGCCACATACGTCCACGGCAGCGGTGGGCGCACGTTTGCGTTCAATTCCGAGTATGACGCTCTCCCAGGGATTGGGCATGCGTGTGGGCACAACCTAATTGCCGTGGCGGGTGTTGCCGGCTTACTTGGCATGCGGGCGGCGATGCAGAAGCACAATATCGAAGGGACGGTCACGCTCATCGGAACCCCTGCGGTGGGTACACCTGCGATTCGCTGAGGCTGACCCAGACAGGAGGAAGGTGGTGTCGGCAAGGGGATTCTTCTCGAGCGTGGAGGATGTAGGTCGCTGGACTGATGTCGATTTTGCTGAGCTGCTCGCAGACAAGGGCGTGGATGCGTGCATGATGATCCACCCGGGAGGCATGGAGGGTGCGACAGGCATGGGCGGTGTGGTGCCCACGCTCGCCATCCAGACCATCGAGGTCGAGTTCTTTGGACGCACGACGCACGCCGGCGCGGCACCCTGGGACGGTATCAATGCCCTTGACGCGGTCAACATTGCATACAGCTCCATCTCGGCCATGCGCCAGCAGATGCATACCACTGACCGCGTGCATGGCATCATTACGCACGGAGGCGACGCTCCCAACAGTAAGTGCACATTGTGGATGGCAGCACCATCTGACGCGGCCCTCAGTCATCCCGGACTACACGTCGATGCGATACTACGTCCGGTCGCAAAACGCAAAGGCCCTCGTCGTCCTCGTGGACAAGGTCAAGGCCATCTTTGACGCTGCAGGCCTCGCTACCGGGTGTAAAGTCAAGTACAAGACGGACCGCATGATGTACGACTTGCGCAACAACGAGCCGCTCGCGGACGAATTCGCCGCCGTCATGGCCGACGTGTACAACATCCCGACCAAGGTCGCCGTCACCGACTACAGCTTTGCCGGCGCGTCGACCGATTTCGGCAACGTCACGTATGCGCTCCCGGCCTGTCACCCGCACTATGGAATTCCGTTTGACGCCGGGCGCTCCAACCACACGCCCGAGTTTACGGAACGGTGCAGGAGCCCAGAGGCGTTTGACCTGACGTACAAGTTCGCTACGGGGATGGCTGCGACGGGCGCGAGGTTCTTGACTGATGCCAAGTGGGCCAAAGAGGCGACCAAGTGGTGGAAGGATGACATGGACAAGTAGATACGGGGAGTGACAATGAGGGGAATAACACGAGGGGAAGGTTATATGAACAAATAGCAAACAGATCCCGTGAGGAAACAACACGAGCTGTGAACGGCAACACTACATTTGATTATCCTTCCCAACGTAGTAAGGTTTCTACGAGCTTCTACTCTGACAACACCTCCTGGATGCCAGCCTTGACCTGTTCGACAAGGAACACGATCTCGTCCTCGGTAATGGTGTATGGAGGGCACAGCATGATGTGGTCTCCCTCCCAGCCGTCTGCACATCCAGAGCCATAGTACACGGCTGCCCCGCGCTCTAGCACGGCGTCGCCAATCTTGTCCGCCACCTTGTCCGCGTATGGGTACGGCTGTTTTGTCTCCTTGTCCTGCACGAGCTCGATGCCGATGAACAGACCGTTTCCACGCACACTGCCCACATGCGGGAGCGGGAGGACGCTCTCCTCAAGGAGGCGCACGAGCAGTTGGCCACGGAGACGACACTGTTCCACCAAGCCGTGTTTCTTGATGTAGTTGTACACTGCCAGGCCCGCGGCCGTGCCCATGCCCGAGCTCTGGAACGTGTACCCATTGACGAACGCGCCTGTCCCGCGGGCAAACACGTCCACCACAGCCGGAGCGACGAGCACGGCACTGAGCGGCGCGTACCCGCCACACAGACCCTTGCCGAGCGTCTGCACGTCGGGGCGCGCGTCGTCGCCGTCGCTGTTCGGGTCGGCGTCCCACTGCCACGCGTGCAGCTTGCCGCTGCGCCCGAGGCCACACATGATTTCGTCACAGCAGAAGAGGACGCCGTGCTTGCGGCACACAGCCTTCATGGCACGGATGTACCCTGGAACAAAGGGGACGCAACCCGCCGCAGCGCCCACAACTGAGAGGAATTGTCAGTTCAGAGCAACAACCAAGGTATGGGTTAGCTTACTTGGCTCCATGAAGAACGCGGCCACAGTGTCGGCACCCAGCTCGGTGATCTTGGCGTCGAGCTCGGCCGCCAGGCGGGCGACGTACGCGTCATCGCTGTCTCCGGCGTTCTTGAAGCGGTAGGCGTTGCACGGCGAGACGGCGTGGAACTCGGTGCTCAAGAGGGGCATAAAGTTCTTGCGGCGACGGTCATGGCGGCCGAGAGCGAGGGCTGCGGAGTGTCAGCTAAGAGGACGTACACGTGAGTCGAAGCTGAACTTACCACCAAGAGTGTTGCCATGGTAGCTGATCTCGCGCGCGATAAACTTGGTCCTCTCCGGCCGCCCGTTCTCGACGTGATACTGCCTACACAACTGGTTTCGTCAGTCCACGACCCTTTCAAGCCCACGAGGCCCCCAGAGCACACTCACCTTGATGGCCGTCTCCACGGCCTCGCTACCGCCCGTCAAGAAGATGGCCCTTCCAAAGCCGGCATCGTTGCACATCTGGCTCGCAAGGTCTTCGGCAGGCTGCATCCCGAACAGCGCGCTCGAGACGTACGGCAGCGTGCCCAGCTGGGCTGTGACCGCCTCGACAACTTCGGGCACGGCATGGCCAATCGAGACGACGGCAGCGCCGCCCGACGCGTCGAGAATCTTGGCCCCAGACGCAGTGTACAGGTAGTTGCCCTCGCCGCGGATGGCCATGGGCAGTCCCGTCTTGAGGGTGCGGTGGAAAACTGAAGACGGTGTGGTGCCAGAGCCGTTGGCGGCAGAGCTGGAGGCCTTGGCGGTGGTGGTGCCGGTGGCTGATGTGTTGGATTCCGCAGTCGCAGTCATAATGATTCCTGTGTCGGTGTGGGGGGAGACGAGCGAAGAGCGAAGACCCGTTGCTATTTAAGATGTACGCGAGAGCAACGACCTCACACCAGGTCGTCAATGTCTGACTCGGTTGTGGGCGGCTGGTCTGGCGGCCTGGTGGCCATGGGTGGGCAAACCCGGCCAAGACGTTCTCGGCCACATCCGGTGCCTGCCCTTATCACATCCACTTTGCCAATGCACGACCCACTATCCGCAAAAACGGGCTGGAAATCCGCAAAAAAGCAGACACTAGTCATACCAGAAACCAAATGAGCTGCCGCGAATGCGTATTTACGCGCCTCGACGAGCCGTGCTTTGGAACCGATTCAACCGGGTTAGTGTTGGTGCTCACGCGTCAAGACCGCGGTGCCAAGGATGGGGGGCTTGGTGGGCTGCATTTTCACACAACTCAAGCGTTGCACGCGAGCAGACACAAACGCCAAGACCAATTGCCTGCCGTGCGTACCGCGGCTCAGAAACGTTCTGCTTGGAGGGTATCGTCTCGAATAGTTGCATGGGGCGCGGGCGACTACCAATAAACTCCATCGTGGTTACCCACAGAGCCTAACCCGCCCAAGCTCATGTCGCCTGCAGCACCGCCAAAGTCGAGCGAGTCTGATTCTGCACCAGTTGTCAGCAAAGCATGTTGTGTAGGTATGTACGCACCCAAAGGGGGGTAGGGGAACCACGAGTCCAGGGAGAACACTGGGTCGATGAGGGCAGGCGTCCCCGTGCCAGTGCCCGCCATGGGCGGCATGTCATTCTTGAGGTGCTCGCTTCCATCAGCGCCAGTCGTCGCAAACAGCTGTTCGGCGTAGAAAAAGTCCAACGCAATGTTCTCGGGCGTGGTCCCCGTAGCACTCCCGACCAACATGTCGACAGCGTTTGCCGGCGAGAGGGCTGGCGTAGGGTGGGACCCCGACACGGGTAGGTATGGTTCGCGCTGGCCCCTGCTGTGCTTGTCCTCGGGGCCAGGATCAGGACCGGGCGAAGGGTTACGCGACGGCGCTTTGGAGCTGGGCGGGAGGAAGTGTCGACGACGCGCCTTGACAATGATTTCACGAAGCTGCTGGGCAAACTGGAATCCAGGGACCTGAGCGAGTCGTTTGGTGAGAGCCTCGAGGTCACGGCCAGTTTGGCGAATGTCGACCTCTTCCGGGATGAGGGACGTGAGACGGATAAGCATGCGCGCCGCAAAGGCGATGCCAACGTGTGTGTAGTAGTTGCCCTTGACAAAGTTTGATGCGTATGCTGATCCGCGGAGGGCCATGCCCACGAGCGTCTCGGCGGAACGGAGCGCATTGACCAGCAGAATGTGGCGCTTCTCGGAGAGGAGGGCAACGTCCCGCCTGGACCGGACTGAGTGGAGGATGCGCGAGTTGGTGTGGAGGCGAGCGTGTGAATACTGGCTCAGCAGCGACTCGCGCAAGATATTTGACCGTTGAACACCGGCGTCGACTGGTGTTGTTAGCAGGCATTCTTCCCATTTTAACTTACTGTAGTATGACTCCCAGTACTTGTACCATACGGCGTACGAGTTATCTGCCTGCTCAATGCGCTCGTCGAGGTTCTGCATCCTTGTGGCAGCAGCCCAGATTGAGAACGGTTGATGCATGGAGACTGAGGCGTTAGCTGGCACATGAAGACAACACGTACGCCTCAAAGTCAACAGCTCGCAAGTGGCAACGAGCCGGCTGTCCGTCTGGATGGCCAAGGGATGATCGAGAAACTTGCGGCCGTGTGAAAGTGTCTCTTCGGCAGCAAAGAGGGCTGGACGGCCAAGGTTGAAAGCCATCTCAAACTCGGATTTGTACAGCTGGTTGTTAGCTCTACCGCAGTATTCATCGAGCTACTCACTGCAAGCCAGCATCTCGCTCCGACAACCAAATGACGCTCGTCCTGAAGCTCTGCTGCGGTCTTGCCCGCTCCCATACCCGTCTCAGCGAGGAATGGCAGGCAGCGGTAGAGTCCCATATCCATGGCAATTCGCAGGGCGTGGCCACCGGGACGCCAGCTGGTGTCGCCCCAAGACGCAAGGATAACTGATGAGTTAGATTACTCCCGGGTCATCAAACTCACTCATTCCTTGGAGAACCTCGATACGGGCGACGGGGGTGAAGAGCGTGTGCATGCCAATCTTCTCGGCATGGTCCTTGAGCTTGTTCTGGAGGACACTCGGCTGTCCACCGGCATCTTCAATCTTTGCGCCCACATACATGAGCACCGTGACCGAAAACGGCGAACGTAAGAGGAGACTCTCCCAAGTGTCCACACCAGGCTCGAATATGGGGACATAGACGGCCGCGCCATCCATGAAGATTTGGAAGAGCTGCCTGCCCTTTGCTTCGGAGCAGAATCCTAGCTCGATTGGGTGCTTGAATGCATGGACGTGGTTGCCACGTTGGAGGAGTGGGTCACTGTTGCGCAAGCCATCGTCGCGGCGAGGTCGCTTCCGGCTCTCGGCGTCGACAGTAAAGTCGAAGGGCATTTGCTCCCGGCCACGGGCGTCCCGCTTCCTCGGAGGGCGGTCGTTCTCCTCCAAGTGTCCATCGGCCTTCAGACGCGCCGCCTCGGCGAGGCTCAGCATGTTGTTGTATATGATTGCGTGAGGCTCGAGGGGGTCATCGTCCTCGTCGTCCGAGGGCATCCCCGACTCTGCTTCTTGCAGATGCGCTGGAGAGGGTTCGTGCCGATGCGGCGTGCCCCGCGAGCTCCAAGGGCGCGACATGTCGTAGGCTTTGCCCGGGGACGTCCGGCCGCTGCCGTTGCTGTGCCCAGCATGCGCTTGCCGGATAGGGGGTGCAGCAGGTGCCTGCTTTATGGGCGAGTGCGGTGCCGAGGGCGACGCGTTGTTGTTCCAGAAGCCCCGTGACGAACTTGGAGCAGCTGGCGAGTCATGGGTCGAAAGTGGTGGCTCAAGCGCTGGGACACCAGTCCGGTGCGACGGTTCAGACTGGGGCGGGGCTGGTGTGGAGACTGGACGAGGAGTCGAAGCAGCTGCGGCGCGCTGGTACTGCAAGAGCTCCGCGAGGCTCGACTGGACCTCGGACATTTGCTCTTCGACAACCTTCAGGCGACTGCTGTTAGTCGACGATCCCGACAGAGCACCTACTCTTCAACCTTGGTGCCTTTGGACTTGCGCGGGCCGTCAAAGGTGCATGACTGTCTGCTGGCTCTGCATCGGTTGCAAGGCGGGTTCTCTTTACCGATACACTTCATCTTCATACGATGGCAGAAGTCCTGTATGTCAGTGGTTGTTGACAGGGAGTTCACGACATACACAGGCACCTAGAAAACGATCAGCAAGACAAACTTCACTGGCTGGTGCTGGTGCTCACGGTTCATCTTGGCAGCCTCATCACGCGAGCCGTCCGGGGACGCCGCCGAATCGGCCTTGTCGTCCATGATGGGAGACGGGGGTGTGGGGTACGATAATCAAGATTGGATGGCGGTGGAAGAGGTATATGTCTTGGTTGGCGTCGTGTGCGTGCGGGGGCGGGGTTGGGCGTCAGCCTTGGCTTGTTGGCACACCTTTGGCTGATCGTCCGGTTTGGTGCCTACAACTGGATCCAAAGCAAGGTTGTGGAGGTGAGTATCTTAGGGTTGCTAGATACCGTCTCCCAGTTGGCCCTGCTCGCTACCAGACGGCGTTTGCGCAATGTCGATGCTCCAGGCGAGTCCAGTTAGTGGGCTATGTCCGGTCCGGTGGCGGCCGGTCCTGGTGGAGAACTAATGACGTGTATATAGGCGCACAAAATGCGGTATTGAACCACGTGGCGGTGATAAGCGACGCGTCGAACGCGCGACAGGTCCAGGTCATGTTGAGCGTCTTGTTGTGATCACACACTCACAATCCAATTGACAACACGATGTCTGCCGACGATAGCACAAGACAAGAACTCATAAAGTGCTTCAAGGGCGCCGTGGCGGACCATCCAGAGGTCATGGCAGAGTGTACGTGTGCTATAAACCAAACCCCGTCGCTCACTCCCCAGGCCTGTCCATGGTTCGTGTCTACAACCTCACGCCTCAAGACTTGTACTTCAAGTATGAAGCCTTCCTCATGTCCCGCCCATCCGGCCTGCGCGCCAAACTGTCCAAGTTTACCCTGGACGTCGCACGCGAGCTTCGTAAGGAGGTGCAGCGCCAAAACCAAACCAAGGCTCTGGCTGCACAGTCGACCCCGAACGAGAAGCACGCCGCTGTGCGCAAGAAGGCCGGCGCGACGAACGGTGGTATGGGCGACTTGAGCGGGTTCCTCGACAACCTTGCGACTCCCGTCCGAAAGCCCAAGGCTAATGGCGCCACTCCGCATACTGGCTCGCGTCTCTCCAACACGGGTAACAATGTCAATCTCCCTTCGCCCTCGTTTGCTACGCCGTCGCGTACGCCGACAGGTCCCACCGCCTCGGCCAGTGCATACCGTCCCGGAGCTCCTGCAGGTCCCTCGCGTCTGGCGCCTCCAGATGGGACACCCTTGGGCAAGTCGGGTGGCGCCCCGTCGAGTCCTGTGAGCGGGTCCGAATCGCCACACATGCTTGTTCCTCCCCCGACCCAGCCCTTCCACCTGCGTCCCCAGCCCAACTCGCTTGTCGAGACGCTCAACACTCACCTCCCTTCTGGAGGCGGCGTCCCTGCGGGGACTTCCAGGCCACGCGTCGCCCTTTCATACACTGTCGACCCCAAGACGTTCGACTACCGTTACATGTTTGAGAAGATTTCGCAGCGATCCGAGTCGCTCGACGAGCAGATTGACGAGTTTGGTGAAGTCATCAAGGACGCCTATGGCCTGACCGAGCTCGGAGACCCGTCCTTGCCCTCGGATGATGACATTTACACTGTCGGTCGTGTCCTCGCTCCACCTACCGACACGCAAAAGGCCAACGTCACTGCGCTGTTCCTGCAGTCCAGTCGTGTACTTGGAAGCGGCAAGGTGGTGTCCCTCCGCTTTGCGCCAGCGCCTACGCTCAAGGTTCGCGGTGGTGCCGCCGGGGTGCGCGGGTTTGGCGTCTTCCCAGGCTGCCTCGTATGCGTCAAGGGACGCAACGGTGGTGGTGGCGTGTTTGTCGTTGACGAGGTCTTGATGGTGAGTTCTATAATTACGGATGTGAAGCTAACTCTCAGCCACCACCTGGGGCCATGCCAACCTCAGACCCTGTCGACCTCGTAGAGTACCAGCAAGGAGAAAAGCTCGGCGGCCTGCCCATGACGCTCCACGTCGCTGCGGGTCCTTATACTCTGGACGACGATTTGCGATACGATCCCCTGGACGCGTTGGTTGATGTGGTGGTGGCGGAGCGGCCCGACGCCCTCATTCTCCTGGGACCATTTGTCGACTCTGGCCACCCGCACATCCAGGCCGGCAAGATTTCCGTCACCCCAACTGAGCTCTTCCGTGAACAAGTGGCAGCGCGCATCGCGCGTATTAACGAAATGTCGCCAGCCACGCACGTCATTCTCATCCCGAGCGTGCGCGACCTCATCTCGGCCCATGCCGCGTTCCCGCAGGCCATGCTCGAAAGCACTGGTCTGGGTCTGAGCAAAAAAGTCAAGCTTCTGCCGAACCCGTGTACATTCTCCATCAACGAGGTTCTCATCTCATTGGCCTCCCCCGATGTTCTCTTCCACCTGCGCAAGGAAGAAGTGTTCCAGCGCGCTGAAGAGGCCGAGCCGGACCCGAAACTGCCCCTCGCCGCCAACCCCCAGGGAGACGCCATGGCCAACTTGGTCCGCCACGTCCTGGGCCAGCGCAATGTCTACCCACTCTTCCCCCCGCCCGAGGCGCACGCTGCCGAGGTCAACCTCGACGTCACCCACTGGGACATGGCGCGCCTCCCGACGGCCCCCGACATCTTGATCTTGCCCTCCAAGCTGAAGCATTTCTCCAAAATTGTCGATTCGACACTGGCCGTCAACCCTGGCCATCTGTCTCGCGCCCACTCTGCGGGCACGTTTGCCAAGATCACCGTTCACCCTACCAGGGGTGATGTGGATGCGGATATGGATGAGGATGGGATGGTTGAGCACCGCATTGATGAACGTGCGAGGAGTGAGGTTTGGCGTATTTAACGTGGGGGCTCTGTTTCTGGTGTGAGGATAAGTTGTGTAGATCCGCCCCATGCATCTTGCTGTACCCGAGAGGAGGGGGGTTGCGGACATCATACATCAACAAACGACGCAATCTCATCTATCTAGCATTCACTCTATCCATGGTCTTGGCGTACTGTCGTGTCGTCTGCTGCTCACTGCATACCTCCCACCGCATGAAATCCCACAATGTCAGGATACAGCAGACTCAGGTCCCAATTCAACAGGTCGAAATCTAGCGTTGCCGGTGGGGCGGGCACAACCGCATTGCCATGCCCTCCGACTACCCCTCCGACCTGCTCTGCCTCTCCTGCCATCAGTGGAGGTTGGTGGGCGTGTCGAGCCTCTGGCGGGAGGAGCCACCCCGACGAATACAGCGGGGAAAGGTTCATCAACCTTGTCGTTTCCTCCAGGACGAATTTAAACGGCTTGCCCATCCTGCGCACGCGCTGGTCGGCGAGGCCGAGGCGGCTGCCCTCGGTCATGTCGGATTGACCATACGCGGCAGCTACGAACTGAACCGAACGGTGGAGCGTCACGATGGCGTTGCACAACGACATGACGGTGTACATTGGCAAGATTGGGAGCGGGTCCGTGACTTCATTGTGGTGGACGGTCGGGCTGGTGAAAGACGGTGGTCGGGGACCCAGGCCAGCGTAGGTCGACGAGTTGGAGGAGCCAGTGTGACCATTGGCGTCGGCAAATCGAAGGGAGTCGCCGGAAGACGCGTTCGTGGGTAGCTCGCCGTCGCCGCAGACCATATCGAGCATTCGATTCATGATAGCAGGGAACTCTTTGAGGAGCTGAATCACGCCCTCTCGCTTGGTCCTGAGTGGTGAAGGGATCCAAAATGTCAAAGAAGCCAGTCTCAATCCGGCCGAGTATAGCATACACCGCGCATCGTTTCGGAGGCCCGGTGGGTTACTTGTGTCGCGAGTGTAGTTGTCTGCCCTTTGTAAAATCTCGTTCCACACCCTGTGGAGAGCGTGTACATTGTCCATTTCCGAGTCTTCGATGTGTTCGAGCTGCGACATGACGTGGTTGAACGGGAAGAACATTTCGATCAGCTCGGCTTCGCACCTCAAGTGCCTTGAGCAAGTTTCAATGTTGTCCCTATGTAAGATGGGCAGGCGGCGGGACACCAAAGGTGGGAAATGGGCCTTTTGACCAGAGGTCATGTGCAGTAACACGTAGCGGTTCACGACGGCGGCCCAGAGCTGTAGGCGCCAAAGGGCTTCGCCATACATTTCGAGGTTGAGCCTGTCGCCAAGCCGAAGCGTCCCTTCGACGACGCTGTCGAGACCCAGGCTCTGGCCTATGCTGTACGCGAGGGAGATAAGGCGAAGAGCTGTGGGCACCACTCTCGGGATGGACCTATCGTCGCCGTCGTCGCCGTTGTCGTCTTCGGGCTGAGCGGGGGCAAACGACAGAATGAGGAGAGCGAGAATGACATCGAGGCTGACACCGCCACCCATGGCGATAAGGATTGATTCATCGAGCAAAGGTGCAAATTGCGACGAATATGCCGATGGAACGTGGTGGAGGGCCGCGAGGAGAACAAAGCCGTGCGAAGGTACCGGCGTGGACACGGCCAAAAATGGTGGGAGGGGCAGCAAAGTGCTGATACGGGCCTTGAATCCATGCCAGGCTAATTCGACGTGTGAGGCAGGAACAATGCCCCTCATCACAGGGTGGGGGTACAGTCGTGTTCCGGCTATTGAGAAGATGGTCTCGTCGATGGTGTAGAGCATCGTCATGGCCAAGCGGAGGGGTCCGGCAGTCTCTAGAAACGCATCGCTACCTGGAGACTGCAGTGCAGCGTGCCCGCCGTTCCCGCGTCGATAGTTGGCCGTACCGATCCTCCTCTCCCGGTCCGTTTCGCGATCCTGTTCTTGCTCACGCTCACGCTCCGTCCGCTCGGTGCGCACCTGTATGTCCGCCAGTGCACTCTCGGTTCTTGCGACCCTCCGTTCGGCTTCGGCGAGCCGCACACGGAGCTCGTCGACCTCGTTGCTGTGCCAGTCAGGCACATTAGATCCAGACGGTGTAGGTGCATAGGTGCGGTGCTGGTAGGTCGGGCGAAGCGGGGAGAGTGCGCTTGTGTCGTGTGGGGAAGGGTGGAGCGAGTGGCGTGAAGGCGGCGGTGCAAGGTCGTTGTTTGAGCTAGAGGAGCCAGGGTCCATCGTATAGCTGGCACTGCCATTGCCATTGCTGCCGTTCATTGCCATTGATGGGGTCGTACGGTCCTGTTCGTTCCCGTTGGACAAGGACCCGCTGTTGGCCTCGAGCGCACTTGCTACAGCCGCGAGCGAACAGACACGGCCTCGGCGCCGGCAGAGCGAGCATCCCACGGACGTCACATCCTCGCATCGGGTCTTGGAGGTGACGCAGGTTGCACAGGCGCGAAATATCTTGGCTCTTTTCGCTGCTGGAGCGTTTGGTGGGGGGGAGGGAGTTCTGCGAGTCATGGTGGTTGGAGAAGAGTTAAAACGATAACACACAAATGGAAAGACCGAGGCGATGTATCCGGATCAGTGGAGAACGCGGAGGGGCAGTTCGGCATTCCCGCCGGCAACGCAAAGAAAGATTACGTAAGCAATTCCTGAACCGGGGGTGAGAGACCGAGTCTGTGCTGAGTTGCCGCTTCTGCATCGCAACGCTTTGGATGGTGACAGTGCACATGACATACGACTCAAAACTGACCTACACAACATGTTATCTATGTAACTACGGGAGAAGAAAGGCAAGTGGGGTGCATAAGGGAACGTGAAGGTTGAAAAGGGGGTGTGGTGATTGGCTGTGTGAAATGGCATTGGGAGGGTCGTTCGTTGGGGTTGGTTGAATTGTTCTTGTTTGAGCCGCTTGCGTCGGATTGGGAAATGCTTTTTATTAACTTTGAATGTGGTTTACTGCCTGACAACGAGCCAACCTAGTTCGTTGACAAAGCGCTGGCGGTGAGGCTGGAGGGCATCGCGGAACCCTTGGACGAGGGGGTTGCGCGCCGTGGGGGTGGGTGGAAGGGAAATGGGAGTCGCCCATGACGAGAGAGTTGCCATGGGGGCAACTTGTTGTTCAGGCTGGGCGGGCTCACGCGCGAGCGTTTCCAGACCATCGGCCCATGAGCTAACCATACTGGCCGGGTACATGCCGCCACGGTTGTTGACTTCGTTGGAAAGACCCCCGATCCACTGACCCCAACTGTCGAGCACCGAGCGCGCCACTTCAAGGAATGGGCGGGCCGCAGGGGGCGGTCCCTCAGGAACGAGTGCGAGGATCTGGAGAATGTGCGCAGTGAGGTCGTGAAGAAGGTGGTAGATCGTGTTGGGCTCAACAGACGACCCTGCTTCGGGGGGTGTGGTGAAAAACTTGAGATACGTCGACGCCGTCTTTGTGAATTGGCCGACCTGGTCCTCGGCGCGGTTCCAGCGTCGTGTGGCGACATAGCCGTCTTGGGGCTCCCACGATCCAGTAGCCTTGCCAATCTTGCTCACGATACGTTCCAGCGTCTCGAGACAGTTTTGAAGTGGTGGCTGTGGGATGCGGCCGAGGACACGCGGGGCGAGTGACGGGTTCTCGTTGAGAAGCTCGAGAAGGATCGGCAGGTGTGACGTAGCAGGGAACGAAGCTGTGGGGTGTAAGCGAACTGTCATGGACGCCTCGTTTGTCTTACCCAGCAGGAGGCCCAGATCAGGTCCGTCCGTCGTTGCCACGGCGCCCTCGTCTTCCTTGCGCAGACGCTTGCTGGCCTTTCCCGCAATCTTGCGGCGGTGGTCGTCGATATCGTCATCCACGTCCCTCCGCTTGGAGAGAGACGGCGACCCGAGCGGTGAGGGCGACGTGGATGGCGATGCCGATGCACGACGGGACCGTTTGGCGGAGGCATGCTGCATGGGTGTTGTTGGGGCGGGTGACGAGCGCGGCGGCGGGATCCGCTTGAGAGGGGTCATTGATGGCCCAGCGGTCGATGGGGAGGCGAGCGCACCAAAACCAAAGCCCGAGACGCCACTGGGACGCACACCACCGCCAAAACCTGGCGAGTGGTAAGGCTGGCCGAAACCAAAGCCCAGCGGCGACATGGTCGCCGGGGCGCCGAAGCCGATCATGTTGGGGGGTTGCTGGGTGAGAGGGTGGGCCATTGCGGAGCAAGGTGCGAGGAGTGCGTCTCTGCGGGCGGCGAATTGGGGGGTGCGGAGGAGTTGTTTGGTGTGGGTATGTGGAGTTTACAGCAGGAGGTACAGAATGGTGCGCAGAACGCTACGGTGCCGCGCCGCAGCGCGGTGAGCGGATGGGGGGGTGGGAGAGGGAGGAGGGAGGGAGAAATGGGTGACTGGGGTGGTTTGACAGAGGATGCGAAAGAGAAGGTCTCCGTCGCCGCCAGAAGGCATATGGCGCACGGGGGGCGGAATGACGAAAGCATCAGGCGAGCGGCGGGCGGCAAGATTGATACTCAAAGAATTGCAAATAAATAACACCTCATTATTTCAACATTCCATCTTCTGAACTGTCAAGGTGGATTCTGTCAAACCGAGTTGACCTCCATACTCCTTCTCGTGACACACGAGCAACACGCTCGACAACGAAAGCATAGGGCAGCGCTATCGCTTTATCGACGCGACCTGAAAACATAAGAGACATCCGGCATCATGACGACCGTTCAGAAGGTGCGGTCCTGCCACCCCCCGATCTCGTCGTGTTCTCTGGCTGACCTTTGCCCTCTCCTTCCCGACATCGGATCTGCGCTCCTCCTGGTCTTTAAACACTGCAGATTAAGGATATCGAGGAGGAGATGGCCAAGACGCAGAAGAACAAGGCCACCGAGTGAGTCTTTAGAGCTGCCACAAACCTCGAGCTGCAAGATAGCGCTGACGCTGTATAGGTACCATCTCGGTCAGCTGAAGGGTACGTCACACTGTTGATGACGGGCATAGGCCTTCTAGCTTGGACACGGGAGAGCTGGAGGAGATACGGCATGGTCTACAGGGCCCTCTCTGTCCGCTTGCAGAGCTGAAACCGCACCGCCACTTTCACTTCCACCACCATGCCCAATCCTCCGGCCATCGTCGTGTCGTCCTCCGGTCACCGTCGTATCGTCCGACCCATGCTCACCTGTCACAGCCAAGCTTGCCAAGCTGCGTCGCGAGCTTATCACGCCCTCGGGAAGCGGTGGTGGAGGTCCCGGTATTGGTTTCGATGTGGCAAGGTGAGTTGAACGGAGGAAGTGTGGCACTTGTGCCATCCGTCCGCGTTTTTGTTTCGACACCACTTTCGGACTTCAACATCGCCCTCTGGGATGTCTTCTGAGCACACAGAGCGCTGACAGCATGCAGGACTGGCGTAGCCAGCGTAGGCTTCATCGGGTGTGCGTTAACGCGGAAGCGATGCGTTGAAAGCGATGCGTGATGCGTGCTTCTGCAAGCTACACGTCGCGTGAACCGCCTGAACGGAAAATTGAGTGCTGACGGCCACAGTCCCCTCGGTCGTGCGTACGCTCGAGAGCTGCCTCTGGATTGGGATTCTAACTTGCTACAGGGAAAGTCGACTCTCATGTCTGGCCTGACGTGAGTCCCAAGACGCTTGGTCCCCAACGCTCCGCTAATAACGTCCAGCGGCACCGTCTCCGAGGCCGCCTCGTACGAGTTCACCACCCTCACTACTGTCCCTGGTACCATGACCTACAACGGTGCCCGTCTCCAGATCCTTGACTTGCCTGGTATTATTCAAGGAGCAAAGGACGGTAAGGGTCGTGGTAAGCAGGTCATTGCTGTTGCGCGCACTTGCAACCTGATCTTTATCGTTCTCGACGTCCTCAAGCCTCTTGTCGACCTCAAGATCCTGACCGACGAACTCGAGGGCTTTGGTATCCGTTTGAACAAGCAGCCCCCTAGGATCACTGTCAAGAAGAAGGAGACTGGTGGTATCCAGATCATCAACACTGTTCCGCTCACCAAGATCGACGCCGGCGAGATCAAGGCGGTTCTTCAGGAGTACCGCATGACCTCGTGTACCGTCACTATCCACGAGCCTGACGCGACCGTCGAGGACTTTATCGATGTTGTCGAGGGCAACCGTGTTTACGTGCCTGCAGTCGTTGTCCTCAACAAGATCGACGCCATCTCGATCGAGGAGATTGACCTGCTTTACAAGATTCCCAACTCGGTCCCCATTTCGTGTAAGTCCACCACCCTTGTCCGACCTCGCCAATCGTGCTGTCGCTATGGAGGCCCACACTGACATCCTCATAGCCAAGCTGTGGCTCAACATCGACGACGAGTTGAAGGAGGTCATGTGGAAGAAGCTCGACCTCGTCCGCGTTTACACCAAGCCCAAGGGCAAGCAGCCAGACTACACTCAGCCGGTTGTTCTGCGTCGAAGCAAGTGCACTGTCAGTGCTTTCTGTGACAGTATCCACAAAGACATCAAACGTGATTTCAAGAACGCCATGGTCTACGGAACGTCCGCCAAGCACTCGCGCGGTCAGAAGGTCGGCCTTGACCATGTTCTTGAGGATGAGGAGTGAGTGACACCGTTTTATCGCCGAACAGCAGCCCGCTAACTGCTTTCCCAGCATTATCACCCTCTTCAAGAAGTAGAGAGCATCAGTCGGGAGTCTGTGGCATGCAGATATTGTATTATGGCTGTGGTGTGGCGCCGAGTGGGTGTGCTCTCGAGGGTGGGAGTGAGCAATGGTGTACGGTGGCGGGTCTTGCACCAATGGGCACTAACTCTTTGGCAATGTATCCAATCGATCACCGGCGATGTCCTTGTACAGCTTGCAGCGATCCGGTGCATGGCATGCTTGATACATGCAAGCTCGAGGCCGCGAGACTGCTTCGTTGATTGAGGGGACTGGCTGGTGTAATTTGATCCCGCTCATGCCCACTCACGCGGCTGTCTTCGCGGAACCAAACAAGCAACCCGCCTCCCGCCTGCTTGCGTTTGGACCCAACAACGCTCCTCTTCGACCTTGACATTGTTCACCGCTCAGACCGCACAAGTTAAATGGAGACACAGGGGATTGAAGCGTAAGCTTGTCAGAGATACAGATATTGAGACACACGCTCACGCATACAGGCTGGAGCCCGGGCATTCCCGGTCCTTGCGCGATTTCGAGATCGGCCGGCCCCTGGGCAAAGGTGAGTTGGGACCGCTTTCTCTGCCCCTGTGAACGGGTCTCCTGACGAGCGTCTCCCGTAGGTCACTTTGGACGAGTATACCTTGCCCGCCTTAAGACTGCATCCTCCTTTATCGTCGCGCTCAAGTGCCTCGACCGCGCAGCTGTGGAGAAGAATCCCAATGTCGAGCGACAGGTTCGAAGGGAAATTGAGATCATGATGAACTTGCGGTGAGTCAGCTAGGGGGGGATCACTTCAGTGCTCAGCTGACACCAATATTCTATCCCCAGACACCCAAACATTGTGCGCTTGTACGACTACTTTGCCGATGAGAAGAACCTCTACCTCATGCTCGAGTTTGCAGGCAAGGGCGAGCTGTTCAAGCAGTTGGCCAAGCTCGGCCGGTTTAGCGAGCGCAGGAGTGCAAAGGTGGGTATCCATGGCACCATAAAGGCTGTCGCAGTCTATCAGGATTGCTGACTCCCGCCCCAGTACACCCGCCAAGTGTCCTATGGCCTTGCGTACTTGCATTCCAAGAACGTGATCCACCGCGACCTCAAGCCTGAGAACCTGCTCATTGGGCTGAATGGCGAACTCAAGATTGCTGATTTCGGGTGGAGCGTTTACTCGCCCGAGGAGAGGTGAGGAGCAGCTAACCACTGCGGACCGCTCTTTGGCTGACAAGACATCAGCCAAAGGACGATGTGCGGTACTCTGTCCTACGTGTCCCCCGAGATGGTTCTGGGGCAGCCGCACGGCAAGGCGATTGACATATGGGCCCTAGGTGTGCTGGCATACGAGATGGTGGTGGGCGAGGAGCCGTTTGCAGCGGACACCAGAACCGGACCACGACGTGGGTAACAAGCTCCTCGGTTATTGCTCACCCCTGCAGTGGTGCACCAGCGTATATGTCGCTGCGACGTGCAGTTCCCAGACTTTGTCACTCCTGTCGCACAGAGCTTCATTACCAGCGTGAGTCGAGCTTTCGGCGGTTGCCCCGTCGCTCACTATTCAGCTGCTCCGTCTCGTACCGACCGAGCGTATGCCGCTGGAACAAGTGCCCCACCACGAATGGATTGTGGCCAACTGCGGTGCTGCATGACCGGGCACAGGTGGTTTATATTGTGTTGTAAAATCGATATGCTTAATGTGCTTTGACGACGGACACAGTGCAGGGCTTGAGGATACGACTGTTGACCCTTCAAGTCAATATCCAGGACATGCACATATTGCGTCGCGCCAACCAGACGAGGCGATTGCGGCCTCGTAACTGGACAGAGGGTGTCGCTACAGACCACCCAAAAACCAAGGGGCCGTATCGACGACTTCCAAGTTTGGAGCGGACAAGCTGTGTACGACGTGCAGTAGTCGCTGAATCACTGTGTACCTGTGTGGTGTGACTTGAAAATGCAGGCAGGGCGATTTGCCGGATCGCCGGCCCAGTCGCCTGGACTGACGAAAGGGGGCGTATAACATCTCTCCAGCACCACCGCGTTGCCCATTTTGTTCCAAAACGATGTAAGATCTGATAGCAGCAAGCACGACTAACGTGGACCCATCCCATCTATGATATGGGTGTCTCGGCAGACTAGTCCTCGGGCCGTTCTGACGGACTGGTGCGGCTGCAAGGGTGTTTATTGTGGCAATGGGTCATGCAGTAGAGTGCGTGTGAAGAGCAATGAAGCAATGGCCAGATTGTGGTATACGTGCACGTCGCATAGAGTGTGAGATGCACCGTTGCACTTGTGGATAGATCCAACGCCTGGCGTGTGTGGGAAACCAAAATGTGCAGAGGGAAGGATCGTCGCGGGCGGAGGCAGGGGTCTCACCGTGCAGAAAGTCCAGTCAACTCCACGGTCGGCCACCAATTCCACCAAACTCTTGTCAACCATCCACTCCTTCATCCCAACCATCATGTCCATCCTATGGGCCAACACGATCCTCCACCTGGTCGTCCGTGAGAGCCTCCCTGTAGTCATCGCATGGCGTCTGGGCGGCACCTGCTCTCATGTCCTCCTGCTCATCTGGTACCTCTCGCGTCTGGCAACGACGATCTGGCCGTCAACTTCGCTCACGATCTGCTCTCCTCTGTGACCGAATGGGCGATTCTCATCACTACCCGCAACCTTGTTTGGATTGTACACCGTACAGCCATCGGATTGCTCTGGCTCATCGTGGTCGGCGCCAAGGGTGTTTTCGCAGTGATCAATGCGCTCGTTTGGCTTTGGGACTGGCTTCGGCACTGGTCCTTTCGAATCGTGCTTTACATGTGCTGTCAACCGTTTGTTCTCTGGGCCAATTCAATCCACGGTCACAGCAAGTGGTGGTAAGTGCTATTGTGGGGATGAAGCTGATGTCAAGGGAACAGTTCGTGTTTCTCGGATGCCACCTGGCCATCGCCAAAGGCCTACTCGACGGTATCATTCCTACCAGCAATTTCACACAAGCTACATACGAAGGCCATATGGACCAAGGTTTCCGGGCCGTGTGGTCAAGTTTCAACTCCCAACCGCCCTGCCGCTAGAGCTCGGGGTTCCGTTTCTCATCCTCCTCGCATTCCTTTCGCACCTGATCATGGTCAGCAACTCGATCCCGTGAGTGTGCTGCTCTCTTTGTTTTCCATGGAACGGCTATGACCGCACAGTCGCCACATCGTCGTCGTCGTCGCATACCTCACGTTCGAGCTGTGGATTGTTGCCGCCGCGAATAAAGCGATAAAGCTCGATCCCGTGCTCTATGCCACTGCCCTGGAGAGAATCCCAATTGCCAATTCACCCCAGACCACGGTCACAAACCGCTGTGTGGTATGCCTCGATGCCGAGGCTGTCATGGCCGTCTTCGATTGTGGTCATCTCGCACTCTGTGGAGGTCCACGTACGTGGCGCGTCTAGATTCAGTATGGACACTCATCCCTAGGCTGCTCTGGTTACGTCACGAAAACAAAGCGTTGTCCAATCTGCCGCGGCCAAATGTAAGGAGGCTCTGATTAACGCAGGCTCGCTGACCCATAGTACCAAGCTCCAACGGATCTATCCAGTTGGAACCTGAGCGTTGCCTCAAAAATCGGGAGCTTTTTTTCGCTATTTCTCGATTAAAATCACCTCTGGTCCTTGCCAAGAACCACTTGTGCATGTGTCTGCGGAGAGTGTAGGAAGGAGTGTTAATTGAGGGAGTTGAGTATTCCTGTTGATAGAGAGCATGCAGCCGAACCCGCGTACGCTGCGTCGTAAACGAGATTCGCGACTTGCGCCCTCGAGGGCGTCATGGTGGACCGGCGTCACCTTGCCGGTTGGGCAAGCTCTTCCTTTCTCACATTCCCACATCCTCTCAGTGAGCACCATGACTCCCCTCACCCTTCTGTTCCTCGCTGCCAGCTACTTCTTCTACTCCTGGGTCCTCGTTCTGGCCCCCTTTACCCCGCTCTTCCTGTCAATCACCGTCAAAATCGCTACCACCATCGCGTACGAAACGATCCGCACAGTTGCCAACCTCTTCCTTGGCGTAGTCGGGGGCGCCGGTTTTGCGTCCACCATGACTGGCCAACTCTTGCAAACTACCCTCACCATCCTTGGAACGGTACTGGTCGCTGTAATCAAAGCGGTGTGGACCATCGCTGTCGTTCTGGTGCACGCGGGCATCCATGTTCTCATTGAGGGTCCAAAGGTCCTCATTGGCGTTGGCGCGGCCGTCAACTGTACGATGGCCATCTGCCGCGATTCAATCGTCTCCACCCTATATCACTGTTTGGGCATAGTCGACACGACGTGTGACTTTATGTTTGTCACAGTTCCAGCTGCGGGCGTTGGCCTCATGGTTAGCCCGTTCAGCGCCTGGGCACAACTGGTAGGCGACGTCAAGGGTCGAAAGTAAGTGGCAAGCCGTCGGTCACCACTGACGAACCTGCAGCGAGCAACTCCTCCTCCTCGTCTTCAACTTTGTCGTAGCCCGCAGTTTGATCAACTTCTTCTGGCCACCTAGGAGCCTTGGAACATGGCGGATTCCCAGTAAGCGGCAGTGGTTTAAGCGATCAGGCGCTTACCTTGGTCCAGCGCCCGATGGCGAATTCCAGGATCTTGAAGCCGACCCGATGCGCCTTCGTGCTGTGCTGCGACTTTGGTGGCCGTTCTTGTCCCTCACCTTGGTTCTGTTCCGCAACTTCTTGGCAAGCAATTCTTACAAGTGTGTATTGGCCCTGGACTGGATATCGCAGCTGACGCTGTCAAGATGGCACCTTGCCGTCATCGCCGTGCCACTCGTCGTGGAACGCGTCACCATGACCGCCCTCGGTATCTTTTTGGAAGTGCTGTGCGCCGTACTTCTCGAACATGCGTCTCTAAACAATCCTGTCGGGCATCTCCGGGTTACAAATGGCGTGGACACAGGTCTTGTGGGAGGCACACAGGTAAGCCTTTCCACTGCGAGTCGTCTGACTGTGCAGCGTGACCCTAACTGTTGCGTCGTTTGCCAGGACCGCGAGGCCGTCTACGCCGTCATCAACTGTGGTCATCTCGCCCTGTGTCAAGGTATGCAGCCTCCCAAAGGCCCATGAAGCTGATCGCAGGATGCGCTGCTGGCGTCAGAGAGACTAGGGTGTGCCCAATTTGCCGCGGGTACATGTAAGTACAATGGCGAGTGGTTTGAACAACGGGCTGAACCCCGTGCAGCAAGAAGCTTCAACGGATTTACCACGTCGGGGGTTAGCCTTGTGTGACGCGGCAGTGCTTTCCTCGCTCATCGTTTGGATTGCTTGCACATATAACTGTGTAGAGGCGGATGCATGTGTCACTGGAGTATCCAACCTCCAAATCAGATCCAAGCAGTAACCTGCACACCAAACCTGTTCAAATGCTTCCTCGACGCGAATCCTCCACCTGTGTGCACGACCCTTCCCTCTCCATGTGATCTTCCTCCGCCTCACAAGGTGACTCAACCCTCTCCGCACTCTTTATTACTCCACACTTCCTCATGATACTCCTCCATTTTGTCCTCCTCCTCATCTTTCACGGTCTTTCTGGGATCTGGAAGTTCCTAGTCCTGTGCTACAGTGAGTGCAGGAGTGCACCGCTGCGTCCAGCTTCCCAGCTCACCATCTGCAAGATAGGCCATGGCTCGTCGTCGCCCGCCTGGCCACCGAGTACAACCTTTGGAACTTTGACACCACCAACATTGCCTACAGCATCGTCCGTATCATCCATACGATAGTCAAAGATACCGAGCATGAGGAACGCCAAGTCCATGTTCAACCCCACCCATTCCTTTTGCAGCTGCCATCCGTCCGTGAGGCCCTCAGACTCGCGGACCTCGTAACGCTTGGCAACCGCATCGCTCAGCGTCTCACCGGGTACGGCTGGGCCGTTGTCATTGTGGTCACCCTTGATGCCTGGTTGGTCCTCAAGTACTGCATTATCGATCGTTTACCGGACACAGACGCCAGAGGGCAACGTGAGTGGCAAGGCACTGTCCCCGCAACCTGACTGCTGACATGTGCCAGGGAACTTCTACCAAAAGGCGGCCAAGGGATTCATCTTCTTGATCAACATCACGTTTTTTAGCATCAGGATCTGTGCCGCGATCTTGAAGGACGATGCCGGAATATGGTGAGTGTGCGACGGTTTGCTCAAATGGCTGACGACAAGGGAGTACCTCGCCTTCTGCCTTTGGTTCAATACCCTCCTCCTTGGGTTTGATCCCCTTTGACTGTTACAATGGCATATGCAGCCTAGGCTGTCAGGAGATGCACAGGTGGACTACGTCTCAACACTCGGATCCCCAAGGCGGCCAAGGGGGGTCTGCCTCCTCGCGTTCTCCGTGCTCCAGCGGTCAGGGGCGAGAGGTACGCGTCGATGGGTGCAGGCATACTAAGGTAGCGGCCCTCGTGCAAGGCGCTTTGCTGACTTCACTTGGCCCCAAGAGATACCCAACATACGTGCATCTCGAAAGGATCGAAGTGAGGTTTCGTCCAGGTTGAGAGGGGCTGGACCCCCTTGATGGGAGGCATATCACTGCGATGGCATCGGTGTTTCAGGTCCACTGATGTTGCGGTCACTCCCATGCAATCAGCCGTCAACCACTCGGTGTGCTCTTGTCCGCTGCTTATATCTATCCCGTGTCACCAGCGGCTATTGCTCACACCTCACAATATGCCCTTCGTGGAAACGCTCATCCGTGTGGGACAGAAACCACTAGTGTTTCGGACCATCCTCGTCCTTTGGGGCATAGCGGTGGTGACGTTGCTGGGCCTTGCCTTCAGTACGTCGTCTAACTCCCCAGTTCCAACGCTGACCTCTGCCTAGGACACCCTTTGTTATCGTTTCAATGGCTCTTCAGCAACTACCAGGGTACCGGGGTTCATTACGCTTTCCAGATCGCCGATTGCGGCATGAAGGTATTCGGTCCAACGGTTCCGGATTACACCCTCAACATTGGTCTTCACCCGTTCCTCACCGACGTGCCTTCCATTCGCGACCTCCTGGGGATTAATAGGTGGGATGGAACGGTAGTCATGGTGGTTACTGCAGCCTCTTGGATGTGCCTCTGCCGTATTTTCAATGGCCTGAAGAGCACCCATGGTCCTGGGGTGTATGAAGGTCAGTAACGCCATTGTGGACTGCGATTGATGATGTCCCAGACCAGAAACTGCCCTCTTATTGCCTGTATTGGAGGCCCATGATGGTGGAGTTCATGGCTGGGCCACTGCTGTTGGTCACTTTACTGTACACCACAGCGTATATTGGGTTCTCCCTTGTCCGGGCAGGCGCCGGGATCTGGTGAGTGTCCTATTTGGAAATGTGAGCACTGACGAACAGGGATTACCTGGCATTCTTCTTGTGGTTCCTTGGCATTCTGTGCGGATGGACTCTCCTGCGGCGAGCAAAGTTCGTCAAATATGTGAAGTGAGGCGGCGATTGTGGTAGCCGAATCCGGCACCACGTAGCGGCCAGAACCACACCGCCAGCTCGGCGGCTAGCATGAGGTAGCAAGAGCAAAGGATTCATGTCAATCATATTAGAACGCTACAGTCAGCTACTGCATTCAACTTCTGCACTCACCCATTCCCGCCAGCCATGCCCCATCGATGATAACATTGGAGCCAGTCATGTACTGGTTCTGACGATGAGCTTACGGGGTCAAGTGTCAAAGAACTTACCACAATAAGGGCAATGATGCACTGAGCATAATCGATTGCGTTGCCGACACGCTTAAGAGGGATACCATACTTCTCGCGCCAGTGCTCGTCGTCACTCTGACGGTCTCCAAAATCGGCCACTGACATGCCCTGCCACGATCAGTCAAGACCCTTCCATGCGGACTCACTGATGGGAAGTAACCAGGGGAGATGGCGTTGACGCGGATACCAAGACCGCGACGAGAAAACTCAGTCGCATGCATGAGGCTGAGGTGAATCGTGGCGGCCTTGGAAGCGTTGTAGTTGAACTGGCCACGCTGGCTGGTGCGTGTGATGCCTGACAGCGATGCAATGTTGACAATGTTTCCTGGTTCGGGGAACCCGTGGTCCGTAGCCGCAGCAAGGAGAGGGAGGAACGCGGCAGTCATAAAATGAACAGCAGTGACGTGTGTGTCATACTCGCTGCCCCACGTTCCAAACGAGTCTTCCTCCAGGAGACACTTGGAGAGGCCCTCGGCGGTCTGCGGCACGTTGTCAATCTTTGGGGCGCTAAGACACACGCCGGCATCTACGTTGCTGGTTAGCCCTGGCAGATTATCTAGACGTACTGTTGACGAGTACGTTGATAAACTTCTCCTGGGCCGAAACGGCGTCCCGAAGGGCTAATGTCAGGTTGGCTTCACGAAGCGACGCTCACCGACGATGCTCTCTTTGCTGCCCAGGTCCGCCTGTATCGCAACAATCCTGCCGTTGCCCTTACGAGGTTTGAACTTGGCAGCCTCCTCAAGCGGCTCAAGGCGTCGGCCCGTAATGTAGACTGTGCATCCATTTTCCGCGAGCGCCGTCGCTGTGACGAGCCCAAGACCCGTGCCGCCCCCCGTTACTACTGGTCAGCTCACGCAGCCCATGACTCTGTCCCCAGCTCACCGACCGCGACGCGCCCGTCAACGCTGTACAAGTTTGCGACGTCGAGGGCGTCTGAGCCGGCGATGGACTTCTGCAGTGAGAGGGATGAGCTCATGGTGTTCTGGATGGGCAAGTCGTGACGAAGGTGTGTACAGCAGCAAGATACAACCGGTGTCGGGACAGTGGAATTATAGGTGCGTCATCATCCGCCATCCCCGCTTCGGAGACAGCCGTGGTGGCCAAAGGTCCGAACTGTCCGCTCATATCCCTCCGGCACGTTCTCAATTCTCGTACCGATGGGGATGGTACATACACGCCTGATATCAGCCGCTGGAGGCCGGTGCCCACTACGGAGCAAACTCACCGCCAACTTGCTTGAAGATGAGCTGGTAGCCTCCAGGCTTGACACGAAGGGAACCTTCTCCCAGCTGTTCGCGGCGGGGGTCTATGGTGGGCGGGCGTGGCAGCCTTTTAACTATGCGGGAGTTGGGTGGCGCACTTTGTCGCGTTTCTCCACAAGCTAAAAGAGAGCGGTGCACTGCCTTCACGACGCTCTTTCCACCTTCTGCCGCCCCCTACTCGTCCATTCACGTCTCTGGGATTCGTCGTCGTCACGAATCGCTTTTCATAAACACATCACATCGGACACTGTGTACCGTTGGGCGCAGGACCAACGGCAGAAAGTACCGGAGCATTTCGCCCGCGCTCTACTATCAAACCGACCAACTAGTGACGAATGAAGGTAGTTCAGCGATTCATAATATCAGCGTATGTACAAAATGAAAAGGGTTGAGATCAGATAAGATGATTTTCGAATCAAGATGTTTCCGAACAGTTGATGTTTCTTCGAGCTGGACGGCGCTAAACGTGCTCGTGCTTCTCATCCTCGTGCTTGGACATGGATTGCTTGCCCTCGCCTGCAAGCTCGGGAGGTGTCTGGGGGCCAAGATGGGTGTGGATGTCGTGGTCGCCAAAGAGGAGACCGATCTCCTCCAGGGACTTGTTCTTGGTCTCCGGGAAGAGGAGGTAACAGACGACGGCGTTGGTGAGGTTGGTCACGACGTATACCAAGAAGTATTTCCATCCAATCGCCTTGAATGCCAAAGGCGTCTGAAAGGGGAGTCAGCCAAGTGGGACAAGGTGTGGACTCGTGTGCACTCACGACTTGGCCGATGAGAACGTTGTTGAGCCAGTTGGAGGCAGTGGAGAGGGAAGTGCCGAGTGCGCGCATGTGCATGGGGAAGATTTCCGACTGGTAGATCCAAGAGACTGGGCCGAACGACCAACTGAAGGCGATAGAGAAGAAGAATACGCCAGCAATACCAGCAATACCCGTGGAACTGTTATTGTAAGTCGTTCCGTTGCGGGCAGCACTGTCGTATGGTTGCGACGTTCCAGCTTCCCACGCCATGGCCACAGCGCACATGACGGCGCCGATGATGAGCGGCCTGCGACGGCCGAGCCTGTCCACGATGAAGGTGATGAAGACAAAGGTGCAGACGACACCCCAAGCGCCAGAGATACCAGAAATGAGGAGGAGAGTGTGGCTCTTGAAACCCATCATGGCATAGATGGTAGGACTGTGGTGTTAGCTCCATGGATCGCTACAGCACGTACCCAAAGTAGTTGTTAACGTTCACGCCCGTCCACTGGCACATTGCTTGCACAAGACATCCACAGGCCGTACGGTGAAGGTTGGGCTTGTTGCGGACGAGATCCAGGTAGGAAGTGGTGACGTTCTTTTGTTCTGAGGGCGTTAGCGATCTGTTGAAGTTACCGAGTTTCGGTCAATTCGCCGATTCGCCGATAATCCGCCGGCTCCACCTACGCTCCCGCTCGCATACGTAAACGTCGGTACTCACCCCATTCAATCTGGGCCAACATGGTCTGAATCTCCATTTCCACAGTGTCGAGGTTGGCGGCCTTGCGTCCACCGTGGAGACGGATGAGGGTTGCACGAGCCTCATCGGTGCGACCCTTGGATGCGAGCCAACGGGGTGAGTAGGGGAGCACAAACATGCCCCTCGAATGGGTGTCAGCTGACGTGCGACACCTATGGTTCCGGAACGGAGTTGTGGAGCGAAACTTACACCAGGAGGAGTGCGGCCGGGACAATTTGGATAGCCAAGGGGACGCGGAACTGCGCAGTGCTCTTGAGGTAACCACAGCCGTAACCCACCCAGTTGGCGACGAAGAATCCCCACGAGATCATCATTTGGGTCCAGCCCGAGAGCAGTCCTCTAGCGTGGGGGGGTGAGATTTCCGCCTTGCCCAGTCAGCCACATGTTCAATCAGAAGCGGCAGAACCCACCTGGTAAACGGGCACAATCATACTCAGGATGCCAATGGCGAAGCCCGCGATCACGCGTCCGACAATGAGCATCGGGTAGTTGACTGCGGCGGCCTGGAGAACACAACCGACGATCGAGACGGTGGCGCCCATCTGGATGGTGCGTTTGCGTCCAATGCGGTCGGCAGTTTGTCCAGCAATGAGAGCACCGACTGCACGTTAGCAACTGTTCATTAGGTCTAGCACCACTCACAAAACGCTCCTCCAGCGAGCACGGAGACGATGGCTCCCGTAATGCTGTCCCACTGGGAATCATACTTGCCGCCGGGGTTCATGTAGTCGGTGAACTCGGTGTACGTCGACGAGATGACACTGGAGATGATACCCGAGTCGTATCCGAACAGGAAGGATCCGGTGGCGCTGACGTGAGCAAAACTCGGGCTTCTCCATACTCACGCTCCAATTGCTGCAACATAGTTGATCAGCGCGGGCTTGGTGTGCGCCCCATCAGCAACCGTTGTCATGGTTGATCTGGCGTGTCTGCGGTTGTGTGTATGTGTGGTGTTGTAGGTGTGTTGTGTTTGGAGCTGTCGACGCGTGATGTTGTGGGCGGGGTGTCGGTGGGCATAAGCTGCAGTTATATGGGTTTCACGCGAGCATCTGGCCATGCTCCAGGCACCACAGCCGGCATTTACCTGCCTTGGGTGCGTTCGCCATTCCATCCGACGGCGGAGCAACCGGGCGGGGTTCTGGTTTGCCGTGTGTGGGTTTTGCCCATGTGCTGAGAGCAACACGGAGGGCGGTGAGACTAGCCTGCTGGGCATCCGCAGTGCGCACCAGACTCTGCATTCTCCGCACCGTCGAGCCGCAGACAATGGCTGTTGTAATACATCAGCAACGTTGTGTCTAATACCTACGTGTCCCTGTAATCATTCAATTTGAATACCATTGCCCATCCACCGCAAGGGTGTGAGAACGACACATGGGTACTTCAGAGCAACACTGGCGCACAGATCACAAGATACTTTTGCTGCGCATGCACAGGTAATTGTGGGCCCCATTGGGGCCTTGTCCTAAGAGTTGGACCTGGTGCGCAGGTCTGCCCACAACAAGCCCTCAGCAGTACAGCAGTTCGGCAGGCAAACCGAGCGGTTGAACGGTCGGCACTACAGCAGGATAGCCAAGTGATCATGTGATGGTGCCCGCCTCAGTCACTCAGTTACGGGGCGTCGGCATGCTTTATCTAGATGAGGCCCGGTAGCGCAATTCCAACGGCAACACCCAGTTACCCCGTCATTTTAGGAGTGGCAGAGGTGGGTTTGGTGGGCGTCGATGTAACAGAGACCGCCTGACGCCTGCCAACGTCTTTGCGACGCGCAGCGGGCCAATTAAACGTGGGTTACATGCCTTCTCAGATCTCTCCCCAAAGCGGCGGTAGTTCTTGCGAGAGGCTGAAACAACCGCAAGCGACAGCACTTAGCACAAGACGCGGCGGGACATGCTCCCGTTGCACAGACCAACGTGGCTGAACGGCTGTAGCTCTTGAACGAGACTGCCGAGAAGTCGCCAGACAACGGCGAGTACGCGAGTGACATAATTTAGACAGCCCGGGCATGATCCCCATTCACGAGCTGCACATCCACGATCCACGATCCACGAACTGCACAAACCAAATTCGAAAGGCGAATGTGTTGGCAGTGGTCATGGAGATGGTCCGCACGGAGGACCCGCAATGCGAGAAGATCAAAAGATCGATGCATGGAGAGCAGTAAAAGCAACATCTAAAACGTCATGGAGGAGCTGATAGGACGAACTGTGCGGCGCCGTGCATGTCAGAGCCATCTCCGCACAATATTGCCGCATCAACAACAGTTGCGACGGGCAAATGGCCAAATGGATTGTGCACACATCCCGCATTCTTCACATTCGTGTTGTGGCGTCCGTTGTTCAGAGCAATCGTTGTTCACAGCAATATGGTATTTCCATGGGGTTGGAACTGTGAGCCGCTGCTTCCCGCTCCCCCAACACAGGGGAGGTTACAAGGGGATGGGAACGTCCATTAGTCGGTGTCCATGATCGATTGAGAGCTGGCTGATCAAAAGCACGTGTCGTGCGGGTTCACTATCGGCACCACTGACCGGCATAGTTTGAGCACTGTCACAAGATCAGGAGGTGGTGTAAATGCCTTGTGGTCATGTAGATCCGATATTCCGCCGCACACCAGACACGGGCGGCTGGCGGAGCCTTGGCGTGACCGTCTCAAAGTTCCCTTGCCACATCGTCCTACTGGCTCACCAGTCCTTTCAACACACTCATTGCGAGGCCTGGGGCACACTCACTGCAAGGCTTGGGGCACAATGCGGAGTGTCGATTATTCATGGCCCACCCACACATGGTATCAGTCTTGCTCAGTACCCTTGCCAGGTCGCGGTCACCGCCTTTCACCCTTCGTGCTGTCGGTCTCAGACTGATTCTACAAGTTGCATCGTGAAAGGGATAATTTACACAACAAAGACACCGGCAGCACCCATGCTGTTCTCGTTAGCTCGCTAGTTTCAAACATGTCCTAACGGTACTTACCCCGAACCAATGCACATGCTGGTGACAAGGATCTGCTTGTCCTGGGATCCCGACTCGGCCTTGCGACGGAGGATCTCCGAGACACCAGTGGCGACCTGGCGGACACCAGTAGCGCCAAGAGGGTGGCCAAGGGCAATGGCACCGCCATTGACGTTGACCTTGTTGATGTCGAGGCCGAGCTTCTCAACACTGTAGGCGTACATGGAGCCGAAGGCCTCGTTGATCTCGTACAGGTCGACGTCCTCGGTTGTCAGGCCGGTACGCTTGAGAACAGCGCTAGGAAAGTCAGCTAGATTTCATCGAGACTATAGCCTGCTGCACTCACGGGATAGCGGCGACGGGTCCGATACCCATCACGCGGGGGGTGACACCGACAACCGACGTGGCGAGGTGAGTGGCAAGGATGGGGAGGCCAAGCTCCTCGGCCTTGGAGCGGCGCATGAGGATGGCCATGGCAGCACCGTCAGTGACCTGGGACGAGTTGGGGCCAGTCGAGCGCTCATCACCCATGCCCTTGAACGCGGGCCTGGCCGACGTCAACTTGTCGGGAGTGAGACCCTTGCGGATGCCGTCGTCCTGAGACACAGTGATAGTCTCGCGGGCCGAGTTGGGGTCGGCGGGGTCGGAGAGAACAGTGGTCTCAATGGGAATGATCTCGTTGTCAAAGCGACCGGCCTTCTGGGCGGCCTCGGCACGGTTGTGCGACAACAGACCGTACTCGTCCTGCTTGGCACGCGAGACGTCGTACTCGAGAGCGAGCATCTCAGAGGTCCAGCCCATGGGCTTGGCACAGTCGAGCGAGGGGGGGTTGTTGAGGATGGCCTCCTCCTTGAAGACGGGGGTGGGGCGGGGGCTACCGTTAGTGGTCAAATGTCTGTTTTGGCAGAAATCGCCGGTCGACTCACTTGGTGGACATGCTCTCGTAACCGACAGCAAGACCAATGTCAATGTCGCCAGCACGGACCGAGTCCGAGACGTGACGGAGGGCCATCAGACCCGAACCGCAGAGACGGTTGATGGCCTGGGCAGGAGTCTCCTCGGGGAAACCAGCGGCAAGCGATGCAGCGCGGACCTCGTAGCATGGCGAAGGAGCGTGGCAGGTACCTGCAATGTCAGCATGCTGTCGATCATGCCTCCGGCGTCATCAAACTTGTCTCGAGCAGCGGTTGTGGTGCCCCAGAAGCGATTATGTGCCCGAGTATCCGGATCATCCCGTTCGCTTCGTTGGCTGGGGTCCGCCCGGCGCCGAACTCACCGGCAATGATGTCCTGAACCTGCTCTGGCTTCACGCCGCTCTCGGCCATACCAGCCTTGAGGAACTTGTACAGCAGGCCATCGGCCGAGGTGTCACGGAAACCACCCTTCTTGGCGCGAGTGAGAGGAGTACGGCGAGCAAACTAGTTGTGTTCAGTCAGCAACCGCAGTCGAACAGGCCTCCAGGCGCAGTCGGTTTACTCACGGTGATGACAACGTCGTCGGCCTTGGGCTTGACAACCTCAGCAACACGAGCCGAGGCGTAACCGCGGGCGCCAGACCTGCTAACGTTGAATGCACGAGCAAAGAGCATGGTGGTGGAATGGAGAGTGGTGGTGAGTAACGATGTCATCCCAACATTTAGGTCGTGGTCACTTGAGTGTATGGCTTTGGGCCCCACGTCCGGACGTCGGGTGTCCCGATGCCGGGGGGCCGCGGGACTCATGGCCGGAGGCCATTTCCATCCCCATTACCCTGCGGCATCTGCGACGGCCAGGAGCCCGCAATGCGTGGGCTCATGCAGAAGTAGAGGACGCGTCCGAAACCTTCCGAGCTCGCGAGCTACCGACGCTGCTGAGAAGATGCTGATCAAGATTAGACAGAGCTCATCGCAGATGACCGAAAACCGGAAATCACGAAAAAAAAAAAAACACTTTGGCACCGATATTCAGACACTTGTACATGATGCTGATTTACAATACGAAAAGAACTCGTATGTGGAATCTGTCCAGAGCAGCTTGGTGCAGCTCTGGGACTCTTTCTCTGGGTCGTCTCTCTGCTCCTCCCCTTTTCCTGCCTCCGATGCACTACAATGCCGTTTGCTGTCAATGTGGGTTTCCGCTTAAACGGCGATCTCCTTGACGTCGGGGCCGACCTCGAAGGCAGCGCCGGTCTTGGCCTTGACCTCCGCAAGGGTGGCTCCGGGCTGCAGCTCAACGAGGGTGAGCTTGCCGGCCACGCGGTCGACCTTGAAGACGGCGAGCTCGGTGATGATCATGCTGACACAGCGCGCACCGGTGAGGGGAAGCGAGCACTCCTGGACAATCTTGGGCTTGCCGTGCTTGTCGGTGTGGTCGGTACAGATGATGACAAGAGTGTTGTCAGGCGACGAGACGAGGTCCATCGCACCGCCCATACCCTTAACGAGCTTGCCGGGAATCATAAAGTTGGCAAGGTCACCCGCGGCCGAAACCTCCATGGCACCAAGAACCGAGACGTCAACGTGTCCACCGCGGATCATGGCAAAGGACTCGGACGAGTCAAAGGTAGAGGCACCAGGGACGAGGGTAACAGTCTCCTTGCCGGCGTTGATCATGTCAGCGTCGACCATCTGGCGCGTGGGCAGGGGGCCCATGCCGAGGAGACCGTTCTCGGACTGCAGCCAGATCTGGCGGCCCTCCGGAATGTAGTCGGGAATGAGGGTGGGGATTCCGATTCCGAGGTTGACGTAGAAGCCGTCCTGGAGCTCCTTGGCGGCGCGACGGACAATGTTCTCGCGCTTGGCACGGGCCTCACCGCTGCCAAGGGCGGCGGAAGTGTCAACGCCCTCCTCGGGCTTGGTGGTCACAAACTCGATCTCGCGAGGGGTCTCGGTCTTGATAACGCGGTCGACGTAGATGCCCTGCACGTGGATCTGGTTGGGGTCGAGCGCACCGACGGGGACAATCTCCTCAGCCTGTCAAGGGGAGTCAGTTGGTTCTTTCCACTACCAACGTGTTCTCCAGAACACTCACCTCGACAATGGTGATCTTGGCGCTACGAGCCATGGCGCTCGAGAAGTTGTTGGCAGTGTAGCGGAAGATGGCGTTACCGGCCTCGTCAACCTTCCAGGCGCGGATGAGGGCAATGTCACCCTTGATCGACTCCTCGAGAATGTACTCGCGGCCACCAAAGTTGCGGGTCTCGCGGGGCTTGGGGTACTCGACCACCTCACCGTCGGCGTTGTAGCGCATGGGAATGGTACCGAACTGGACGGGGGTGTTGTAGCCGGTGGGAGTGTAAAACGCGGGGACACCGGCACCTGCGGCACGGCAGCGCTCAGCAATAGTGCCCTGGGGAGTGAGCTCGAGAGCAACCTCTCCAGTGAGGTACATCTTCTCGAGCACCTTGTTGCTACGAACAAGTCAGCCTTCGCCCCTGGCATGGTATAGTTCAGTTGACTGAGCGCGTCTGGAATCGCCATAGACAGTTCCAGGACGCTCCAATACACCCCTCTTTTCACTACAACACCTAAAAACTCACGTGCCGAGGAATGATGCGATCATCTTGCTGATCTGCTTGGTCTCAAGGAGCTTGCCGAGACCCTTCATCTCGCCCCTGACGAGCGCACCGGCGTTGTTCGAGACACCAGTGAGGTTCTTGACATCGGTACGCTTGGAGAGGGCGTTGATCAGAGTGCTGGGAACACCGCACAAGCCGAAACCGCCAGAAAGCACAATGTCACCCGACTTGACGGCCTCGACGGCGGCCTCGGCGGACGGGTACACCTTGCTGGCGTTGCGGCGGGCCGAAGCCGAGAAGGCGCGGTGGGCGACTGCGCTCGCGAACGAGAGGCGCGAGAGGGATGAGCGAGCAAGCATGTTTGGGATGGGGAGGAGGGAGAGTGGATGGAGGAGAAGTTCAGAAAGCGAACGCTGAGACGTCACTCTATGGCATCCAACACACCTCAGGTGACAGTCGGCCAGCTAGAGTGAGAAGGTGCGGACGGCACTTCCGGCGCCGGGGTCGGTCGGTCGGCGGACCCGATCTCCCGGGCTTCCAACAATCGCGTTTGGCTGGTCAGGCGATGGAGGCGACGGGGTTCGGCCTTGTCCGATCCGTGATCCGTGACCTGTCTCGTCTTGGCCAAAAAGCAGTCACCTGTTCAGACGTTCTGAGCTGCCATTTCGGAGTCATCTGTCCTCCGTATCACTCCGTGTACAGGGCTGGCTTTGACCAGTCCCGTCATGTGAGGCTTTGAGGACAGTAGAAGTTGCCGACCACGACACTCTCAATATCGAGGTTGAGGTCAAAGCTCGCAAAAGTCAGACTTGGTCAATGCAGTGCCGCCGCCGTCCATGAGAGGGAGGTCACCCAACTTGTCAAGAGAACGGACTCGATCGTTGTCAGCGGCTGTGTCTGAGGCTGGGGGATTGATTCCGGACTGGGGGTGGGCGATGTCTCGTAAACTGGGCGCGATACTAGATCGACAACCCTGAGGTGAGCGTAGCAAGTCTGACAGTGTTCAAGTATGAGAGTTCAGAGGGTTTTAGCTGGCTGACATGGGAGGCCGGGATATGTGTAGGTGTACAAGATCTTGCCGTTGCACGGTTGGTTTTCAACAGGCCGTTTTCGACAGGGCTGTTGAGGCGGTTTTTGGGGGGGGGCAACGATTTGACACATGACGACTACGCATACAGCCACAAGACTGGCAACCTATGAACACATGCAGCCTTCAAAGCTGCTCGTATGACGGGAATGCGGCAAAGAGCGTATCCCAAGAGAACCCCTCCTCCAACGGCTGACCACTGCTGCCGCTGCCTCCCGTGAGGACGTCCCATTCGTTCCGCGGGGTGGCCACTTCATGGAAGAACGCACTGCCGTGGTTTGTGAGGTTTTGTATTTCGGTGGAGAACAGGTCGCCAAAGTCGAGAATCGACGCCGCGTCCTGGTACAGCTCGGCCGTGGCATCTTTACCACCTTCTCTCGCTTTGATGCTGGCATTGGTGAGACGAACAATTTCGTTGATCAACGACTCGATGTGGGCTGCCGCAGCCAACTCGGTTGCCAGACGCTCGATCACTTCGACTGCCTGCTGGAATCGGAGTCTGTAGGTAACGAACGAATTGCCAGGGTAACGGATCAGCAGCGTTGCCAGGACGATGATCGGGGAGAAGAGGATAGTGGGTGCGTGCGCCTTGAGATAATACGCTCGACTCCAGCTGGCCTCGAACGATGCGTGATAGATTGCCTCGACGACGGAGCACGCCAATTCGCCGCAGAGGTTGCCCACGCGGTCGTCAAACTGATTCTGGATAATCTGGCTGCGACGGAGTACGAGGCGGAGGTCCCACATGAGCTACAATCAGCTTGCTATACGCCAGGCCCAAGCTCACAGTTCTGATGATTAGACGTTGTTGCTTCTGGATAGGCGTCCTATCCTCCGCGTCCAGTGCTGTACCACATTCAAACTGGATGAGCCAGTGGTTGATATCTGCGTCCAGCGCGTCAACGAGCGCTGGCCGATCTTCGGCACTTGCCGTTGGACAAGCGATCTCATCCCATGCACGACCAGTAAACTTGGCGTAGGCAGTCAAGGCCCCCAGCCAAGGCTGCAAGGTGCTGGCCGACGACGGAGGGGGAAGTGTTTGGTCTAGATAGGCGTTCTGTCAACAGTCAGCTTGCGTAGCACATTGCGGTTGGATGAAGGCGCAGCTCAGCTCACCGAGTCGATAATGCCATCTGGTTGGGACATGTTGATGTCCCTGGTGTGCATGCCGTATGGCCTTCCGGACATGAAGGATAGACGTCGGTCAAGGCAGAATGAGACGTATAGGACGCGTTGGCGCATGTGGAGACGGAACGCCGACATCTTGGTCCAGTTGGCCGCATTGTTCACACCGTGCTGGTAGCAGAGTCTCGGAGCTCGGCCAATGGCGATGTAGGCGCTGTCGAGGTTGCCGCGGTGGGAGAGAAAAAGCGACTGATCATCAGTTCAGACGTCCGACAGACCAGTGGAACCTACTTGAAGAATAACAATTTGGATACCAGTCAGATCCCCACCGGCAGCTGGGATTTGGCGGCGACCGATGAGCTCCTGCGCCTGTCGAAACCACGCGTAGCCTTCAGCTTCCTGACCCTCCGCTCCAGGTGTTCGCTTGAATATGTCAACACAGGCGTAGAGGTTGAACAATAAGGCAAGGTACGGCCCAAGCGTGAACCGCAAAGCGGGTTCGCGTTCCGCCGCACTGGGGCCAAACGCGCGTTCGTAAATGGCACTGCTGCGTTGGCGGACGCCGTTCTCATTCAGGCATGGCAGGAAAGGGTTGATCTGAGTGAAGAAGAAGTCGAGGTAGTCGTCGTGTCGAGCATGCGTGGGCAAGAAACAGAGCACTGGTCCGCATCTGACACTCAGTGTTCGTCCAGGGGGAGGCTTTAGGCGAATCGTCCAAGAATCGGAGGGTGTGCGATCCATTGGACCAGGACCAAACCCGGGAGGCTGGAACGGCCCCACATCTGGATCGGGGGAACGGTGAAAACGACGTGTGAGAGATACACCTGTAGTCTCTAGCTCATCGGCGAGGATGGCGCCCAGCCCCTCGACTGGTTGAGTCAGAGCGGTGTGGGCTGGTGGATCAGTTCTGCTGGTGCAACGATAGAGAGGTAGCAGCACTCACCCGCATACGCATCGGGCTCAGGGCTAGGCATAGTTGAATGACCAGCCCCACCCCAGCTCTCCCGTGTCGCACGATGGCGGTCCTCAAGGGAGTAAGACGACGTTTCTGGGTACGCGTTCGAAGTGGTCGGATATCCAGATCCATGACGCCTACGTTCACGCTCATCGGGAGGAGAGAACCTGATACCGGCATTCCCCAAGGCCCTACTCATCATGGCTGTGTTGTGCTCAAGGCTGTCAAGTCTGTCCAGGAGCAGCGCGATGAGGTCGGGCTGCTGACCGCTGGAGCCAGTTGCGACCTGAGACGGGCGAGGGACGGCACCGGCGTCAACGGCGGTATTGGCGGGGACGGGGACGGGATTCCTTGGACGACGGGGTTTACCGTTCGGATCCTCATCAAGCAACGAACAGTGCTCCTTGCCTCGCACACAACGTTCGCACGGGCGCTCTCCTGTGCACTAACTCGCTTAGCTACGTTCGGCGCGGACCTCTCTCAGCGGTTAGACTCACACGCAGCTTCCGTCGACGACATTGCTCACTGCACCTGTCAGCAATCAAAGATGCTTCAAGCACAGGATTCAACCAAATAGTCAGATGGGCCATAGCCTTCGCGGTGCAGGCCATGGCCCTCGGCACCATCCACGGGATGAGTCGCGGCGATCAACAGCAGCGACCTACCATGCTCGCGGCGTATATTTCATGCGCTTAGCCTGTCGCTCGCCCCCAGCCGGCTGTTCAGCGCGACTGCTAGACGGAGCCGTCGCGGGAGGGTTGCGTCTCTCATCATAGTGTGGAGATGATGCTCGTGAAGACATGTTGTTGGTTGGAGAGTGATAGTGTAATGGACGCCGGAAACTCAAGAGAGTGGTGAATCCGACGGTTCCGAATCAGCTTACGTAAGCTGATTTTCCCTGTTGTTTACAAAGTTCGTTGGACGAGATCTCCAGATCGTGATATCGGGACCCGTGGTGGAGGATACAGGCGGCTTACATGTCTACAGGACATAGGTCAGACACCCCTCGCTGCCAGGCCCTTCACAGCCCCCTCTTGGAGTGGAACGTGGACGACAGCGAGGACCTTGACACGACCAGACGCCGCAGACGTGGCATCAGGACTCGTAAGGCCCATCCAGTCGACATCAGTCGAGCAGTCACCGAGGTATCCCGGGGCGACATCTCAGAGGTCGGGCAGGATGTCCTTCTGTTGAGCTTGGAGCATGGGGATGGGCTCGGTTACGATTGTGGACGTAATGTGGATCGCATGCTGCGTGTGGGTCCAGCAATTGTGGCAACGGGCAACGCCGACATTGTGGGGCAACGCATAATCGGAATCGGAAATAGTGCAGTGCCGAGGTCCTCGTATCGCCAGTGCGCCAGTGCGCCAGTGCAGACGCTGCATTAAAGGCTATGTTCCAACGCAGTGTACATGGCGACTATCAACACGCTCCAGATCATCACCGTCATACATCCTTATCTACAATGGTCTACAACGTTGGCGGTATCGAAGTGGTGAGTAGTTCGCCTCCGTCGTTGGAGCCTAACAGCCAGCTCCAGAGGCCGATCCTGGCTCCAGAGACCGACAACGGTCCTCCCAAGAACAAGTTCCACTACGAGGGTCTCCAAGAGACCTCGACTGTCCTGCCCAAGGGACATCAAAAGGTCCCAGGCGCGTCTGCTGCCGCGCCTTGCGACGTCCGCTTTGACCGCGACGTCAAAGTGGCGCTCCGTGATGGCACAAGGATTCGGGTCGATATCTTCCGCCCCGCAGACCTTCCCGCCGATGCCAAGATCCCTGCAATTGTCGCCTGGAGTCCTTATGGTAACCACGGTGTTGGATTCCCCAACCTCGAGTGTACGTGCCTCTGTTGGAGCCTCATGTTTGACCCCAGAACCCGGTAACTGACCGTCGCAGACCTTCCTTACCGCGCTTGTGTCCCCGAGAGCCGCCTTGTAAGTTGCTTTGAGAACAATGGGTGAAATCATGTCACTGATACGGATGGCCGTCGTCGACAGTCTGGTTATGAGAAGTTTGAAGGTCCTTGCCCGTACGATTTTGTGCCTCGCGGTTACGCGCTCGTGAACGCCGACTCTCGCGGCACTTGGGACTCTGAGGGCGACATGGTGTTCCCTGGAACACAAGAAGGTCGCGACGGTGCCGACCTGGTCGATTGGGTTGGTGAGCAGGAGTGGTGTAACGGCAAGGTTGGCATGGCCGGAAACTCGTGGCTTGCCCGGGCCATCTGGTTTGTAAGTGCTGCAATCACAGACATCGTTCTCGGAGCAAGCTCATTCCCTTCAGACGGCAGCACAGCAGCCCAAACACCTGGCTGCCATTGCCCCGTGGGAGGGTCTCTCGGACTTCTACCGCGAAACTGTGAGTGTTCATCAGAAGCGGCTTGTTCTGACCTCAGTTCTGCCGTGGTGGCGTTCCTCACACTGCGTTCTGGGCTGCCAACGGTAACAGCTTCCGCGGTAAGTAGTGATCGCATCTTTCTCAAGACTTGACTGACTCTCCAGGTCGTTCAAAGATGGAGGATCCTTTTTCAATGCTTGACAAGTACCCAACTGTGAACGCATACTGGGAGGACAAGCGTGCAGCTCAGGAAAACATCACCGTCCCCAGTTACACCCTGGCCTCGTACTCAACCATGCTTCACGTCTACGGAAGTGTCCGCGGATTCCGTGAGATCAACTGCCAGGACAAGTGGTGAGTGGTGTTTGGGATTGTCACGCGCCCCTGAGCTCACCCAACCAAGGCTCCGCTTCCACCCTTGGCAGGAGTGGTATGATCTGTATGCCCCGGCGGGTGTCGTGGACCTTGCAAAGTTCTTTGACAGGTACCTGAAGGGCGAGGACAACGGCTGGGAGTCGACTCCTCGCGTGCGTCTCGCGCTGCTGCGCATGGGTGACCAGGATCCCATTATCGGCCAAGAGGAGGAGGACTACCCAATTCCGCGTACACAGTACATCAAATACTACCTCAACAATACCACCAAGTCGCTTGACCTCTCTCCCCCTAACGAGTCTACCTCCCTGGAATACCTTTCCACGAGCGAAGGCATTCTCGGCTACGACATTAAATTCACCGATGCTACCCAACTGGCCGGTTACCCGAAACTTGAGCTGTATATCTCGTGTGACGGCCACGACGACATGGACGTGTTTGTGCAGCTGCGTAAACTTGACAAGGACGGTAAGGAGCTCAACCAGATCAACTACCCAATGCAGGAGCTTCAAAAGTTCGGCATTCAGAAGCGCGAAGACGTGTCATGGCTCAATATTGTGCGCCACCTGGGCCCAAGCGGTGTCCTGCGTGCCAGCCATCGCGAGATCGACGAGAGCAAATCGACACACTTTGACCCCTTCCACCCACACACCCGGGAGGACAAGATCAAGCGTGGCGAGATTGTCAAGCTCGAGATTGGCATCTGGCCCATGGGTATTGCTTTCGAGGCCGGGGAGGGGCTGAGGGTGTGCATTTCAGGCCACTCGCTTGTCCTTCCAGAGTACCCTGGTCTTACCCAAGACCAGTACAATGTCGGTACGTGGAAGATCCACACTGGTGGCGAGCAGGCGTCGTTTGTCCAAGTGCCCAAGATCTAGCTGTAAATGCCTAGAGTAGAGTAGATGCAACGTTGAAAGTGGCAAAGTACATTTTGAGCCGTGCCTCTAGATATCGGACACGCGAGACCGCGGTCGTCGGTTGATCGATAGTCCCAGATCCAAGAAACACAATATGACGCCCGACACCACCGGTCTATGTGTTGTATTGTGTCTCCTCGTGCCCCGAGAAACACACTGTTGTAGCAAATGCGCCGTTTCCTCGCCCCCATCCTCTGTGACTGCCGTCCAGGACAGGTGGGTCTCGCCCGTCACGTGACCGTTGCACGGAGGATCGAGGAGAGGGCCGAGAGACCATGTCTCCCTGTCCCCATGCTCCTTCCTCGACGTGGATCCGCTCCGCTTTCTCCTTCGCCCACATGTGACTGGTATCTACACCACAAATGTCCCTCTCATCTACCTCTAGTCCTCCACAGGCGCAAGGTGTTGGGAGTTGAGACATCTGTCGCCATACAAACCACCCGGCGGGCGCTTGGGGAACAGGGCGCAAGCCAACCACCATGGCATCACGCTGGAGTCTCAGGTCCTCAAACCAACCACTCCAACTGGCGGCGCTACCGCCCCTGCTTCTACCCGCGTCACCCATCATGGTAGTGTAGACCGCACGTCGCGGTATTGTGCCATCCTCGGCGACGACCAGCCTCTCGCCACTGTTCATTCCAACTTCCGGACATTGCCGCTATCATCAGGGACTCTTCCGGCACCGGCCCCACAAACACCGGCTCACTTGTTCGAACGGACTGGGCAGCCAAGCTTCAAGTCGTTGTGCCATCTCAACAGGCATAGACAATGGTAGCACTCCAGAATGTGGTTGTCGTAGGTGGCTCGTTTGTTGGCTGGGTAAGTTAGGCCGATCTTCTGCCTGAGCTCACCATTCCAGTCAACAGCCCAAAAGCTGGCTGCGGCACTGCCGGCAACGCACCGCGTCCTGCTTGTTGAGCCGCACACCCACTTCCACCACCTCTTCGCCTTTGTAAGCCCCCCACTCCCATCCCCGCGGCATAATACCATGTGCTGACCATGGTAGCCCAGATTTGCGGTTCTTCCAGGCGCAGAGCACAAAGGATTTGTACCATACACTGGCATCTTTAGCAAACTCGAGCGACACCGCGTAATTTGCGCACGCGCAGACCAGATCGGCGACAACAACACGCTCATTCTCGACCGAACATGGGACGAAACAGGTTCCCGCGAGCTGCCCTTTGCATACCTCGTCATCGCAACAGGATGCCAACTCACGCCCCCCGGTACCGTCCCGGCTGGTGTGGACGACAAGCTTGGTGGGGTCGCCTACTTCCAGGGCCTGCAGGCAGACGTCGCTGACGCACAACGCGTGTGCATCGTCGGCGGCGGAGCGGTAGGGCTACAACTGGCATTCGACCTCAAGGAGGTGTACCCATCCAAGGACGTGACAGTTGTGCACTCGCGTGCGCAGACCATGGTCCACTTCGACCCAGCACTCCATGAGATCGTCACTGCACGCTGCGCCGAGCTGGGCATTGACCTCGTCCTCGGGTCGCGAGCCGTTGTGCCGTCTGGAGGCTTCCCGTCGGGCGTGGGTTCAGCCAACGTCGTGCTGTTGGACGGCAGGCATGTTCCCTCCGACCTCGTGATTGTCGCCACTGGCCAGACTCCCAACAATGCCCTCGCTGCCGCAATTCCTGACGCGATCAACGAGGGTAATGGTTTCCTGCGCGTCCTGCCTACACTGCAGCTGGACGCTGAGAGTTTTGAGAACGTCTACGCCGTGGGTGACATTGCCGACACAGGATCGCACAAAGCAGCTCGCCCTGGAATGGAGCAGGCCAACATCGTCGTGAAGAACATTATGGGTGCAATTGGCGGCCACCAGCCCGCTGCAAGCTTTGAGAGAGCACCAGCGGCAATCCACATGACCCTTGGGCTTGTAAGTTGACCTGTTCTGAATAGAAACGCAACTGACCGCCGTACAGAGGAAGAACGTGTTGTTCGTCAACCCACCCAAGACTGGCGGCAAGCCGCGCATCGTACACCGCGAAGAGTGGGTCATAATACTGTTCTGCAGACGCCCAGCTAATGACAGCGGCCGTGATGACATGGGAGTCGAAAGGGTGTGGAAATCGCGTGGTGTGGACGTCACCGATGCCCAAGGTTTCTACCTATAGACCTTTGCACAGCTTGCATACAACTCATCATGTACAGACCCAGGTAGTGCCACTAGCCAATCGGTGGTGAGGGCTATCGTTGTTTACAATTCACCGCTGGTCACTACCCATATTGCGGCCATTCCAGTTAACGACCGAGGTGCTTGTCACCTCGGGAGTTGCGATACTGTCAAACCCGCGGGTTTCACGTTGTGTCGGATACACTTCCTCGTCGGCGATCTCAACAACGCCTGCGTCAGTCAGCATCGGCCACCGATACTAGATGCAGCTTGCGTGTTCCCCCCGGCTCGCGACACCCCATGGGTCTCCAAGGAGGCGCCCCTCGATGGTAGAGTTCTCCGCATTCCTGCTTGCCCGCGTTAACTCCTTGGGCCTATTGTAAGCGCATCAGGCCCGCATCTACCCCGCGTAGAGGTGGGCAAAGGGTCGGAAATGCACACGCTCGAGAGCGCTTCTCCTTTCTGCGGCGAGTGCTGAGAGTGCTGACCCACCAAAGGCTCGGAGGAGTCGTGCCGCGGTATGGAGCCGAGCTCCGAGCGGCAATCCCAATCTCTCCGGAAATCTACCCCGCCTTCAGGGGGGTGGACCTGACCGTCGTGGCCGTGGCGTCGTGTGCAGGCTGGCAAACGCAGCACCTACTGGCCCCCTGCTGACGTTCTGACTCGCTGGTGAGCGCACAGCTGCCCTGCAGACGACCAGTGCCGAGCACCTGAGTGGCATGGGCCCAGTGCCAGTGATTGGTGGGGCAGGGGGACCCACACTATAGGTAGCGGAATCCACACTAGTAGGCAACGGCATCCACACTGCGTACACCAACTTCGTGTGCGAAACGGCAGGTCGGAGAGTCCGTTCAACGACGATTATTGTACACGTCTGTGCGTATAGAACATACACTAATGATACGCGCGATGGGAGTTACGTGCGTCCCAAGTCGACTGCACAAGCTGCAAAGACACAGTCCTTGACGGTCCAAAAGGTCACCCCCCACATCTGCCCGGAGTCGTCGGCGCCGGAAGTGCCCAACTGGCGGGACGGAACAATGCCCCGACTGACCAGCCTATTGCGAGCCAGGGAGATGTTGCCGACCCCGGAGACCACATGCCCGGCCACGACAATGAAGGTGAAATGGCCGCATCACCGCAGCAGAGACGACCACGAACGGGTCTCTCTGCCGGCAGGCCTCGGTCGGTCATCTGACCCACACAGCGCGTCCCGAGAGGGCGGTGGGGGGGGGGCTACTACATATACGAGCTTTTCTCATCGACGTTTGGCCTTTTATCTGCCTCCACACGTCCCTCTTCTCACTCCACTTCCACTACTCCCCCAACAGCTCAATCCACAATGCCCAAGGTCTCTGACGTCCCCAACCTCGGCAAGGCTGTCGTCGACGCGCTCCAGCGTGGTGCCCCCGACATCGACCTCAACGACCTGCCCATCCTCCAGGACATGTCCGCCGACAGGCTCACTGAGAACGTCATTGCTATCAACTCGAACACCCCCGACCAGCGCCAGAAGTTTGTTCTCGAGCAGCTTGTCAAGCACGTCCACGCGTTTGCCAAGGAGGTCAACCTCACCACTGAGGAGTGGATGTGAGTTGCACGCGCGAGGGCCACTCTTGTGTGCTCCCGCACCTGCCTCCACGATGGACAATGACGCTGACGGGTTTCCCAGGGCTGGTATCAAGTTCCTCACCGCGACCGGCCAGATGTGCACCGACATTCGCCAGGAGTTCATTCTCCTCTCGGACATCTTTGGTCTGTCGGCTCTTGTCGACACCATCAACCACCCCAAGCCCGAGGGCGCTACCGAGGCCACTGTGCTCGGCCCCTTCTTCGTCGAGGACGCCAAGACCATCCAGATTGGCGAGGCCATCGCTTCGGATGGCAAGGGCGAGCACATGCTTGTCAAGGGCCGCGTGACCGACCTCCAGGGCAAGCCCGTGGCCAGGTGTCTCATTGAGACCTGGGAGACTGTGAGTAACGACAAGAGTCAGGAATTGGCCCAAGTGAACCGCCTGGCTGACTGATAATAGGACGAGGAGGGCTACTACGACACCCAGTACGGAGAGTTCGAGATGGACTGCCGTGGCCGTCTGTACACCGACGACGACGGCAACTACTCGTTCCGCTGCGTCAAGCCCGTCCCCTACCCCATCCCCAATGACGGCCCCGTCGGCAAGCTCCTGCGCTCGATGGACCGTCACGTCTTCCGCCCCTCGCACCTGCACATGATGTTCCAGAAGGAGGGCATGGAGGAGCTCATCACCTCGCTCTACTTTGAGAACGACATCTTCCTGACCTCGGACGCTGTCTTTGGTGTCAAGAGCTCGCTCGTCACCGACCCCAAGCTCATCGAGGACGAGGCCGTGGCCAAGTCGCACGGCTTCAAGAACGGCCCTTACTGGCACCTCGACCGCGACTTTGTCCTCATCACCACCGAGGAGTCCAAGGCCCAGATCGCCAAGGAGCGTGAGGAGCGTGCCAAGGAGGTTTCCGCTTAAGCAGCTTAATAAAGTGAAAAAAATCGCAGGCAGCGAGTTGTGGAGTGTAGTGATCATATTGTACGCATATGGAGAAGTGACATACACACAAGTGACAGAGCAGACTTGGTTTGGGGCACTGTGACTGGGTGAAATGCGACCTGCGTGGTTGGTCGCCTGGTGTGGCGACGGGAACTGACGGGATCGACGGTTAAACAGAGGGCTCCTAGCCTCTTTCTTAACCATGTCAATCGCCGTTTGCAGCTGACCACTACTGGCTACTCCTGGAGTGGTTCTTGGTGTGGACAGCGGAACCATGCGACCCCGCTCGTCACCATCGCTGCCACTGTGTACAGAGGGGACCACTCCGGGCTCATCCGAGTAACCCAAAAGTGAATAACGTGGCCCGGTGTCCGGATGAGAGATTTCCTAAGTAACGGCGGCCCTTGCCCTGGCGTCCGCCTCCGCATCTCGTGGCCGTTGGCCGTTGCGATTGCGATACGGTCACGACTTGCTTCAAACCCCAACGAGGCTACAGACAGGCCACAAAAGGCAACAGAGTCGAGCTGCACGTTTTGCATGGCCACAAAAGGCAACAGAGTCGAGCTGCACGTTTTGCATGACTCATATTGAACTTGAACTACCAACTTGTTTTTACTCCACTAGCACGTGGAACCTTGTTTGGGGGGGAAGAGCCAGCGGTGGCACCCCGCGACGGCCGTGGCGATTCACGACTGGCGACCACCGGCCTTGGCCATCGGCGCGGCGGGAACAGGCTGGGCGCCAGCGCCGGCGGCACACGCGGCCTGGGGACCGCTGGACTGCTGCTGCTGCTGCTGAGCCGGAGTCTGCTTAGGGGCAGGGGGAAGGCGGGCGGCCTGAGGCTGAAGCGGGGCCTGCTGCTGCTCCTCGTCATCGCTGTCCTCGTCGTCTTGCTGCTGAGCCTGGGCCTGAGGCTGGGACTGGCGCTGCTGGCTCTGCTGCTGCGGGACCTTGGCTTGCTGGCCCTGCTGCTGCTTCGGCTGGGGCTGTGCGTCGGCTCCGGCAGCGGCGGGCTGCGAGCGAGCCTGTGGGGGTAAGCGACTGGCAAACACGGGGTACGTGGTGAAGAGGAGGAATGAAGGAGGTGACCCTCGAGAGTAGAAAGTGAACGCACCTGGCTCTGGGAAGAAGTCTGCGCGGAAGGCATGGTGGTGCAGAGGCGGTGTTGAAGGAAGAGTGTGGCTAAGGTGGTGTAGTAAAGCGGGGGACTTGTGAGGATGGGGTCGAAGCTCCTGCTCGCTGTCCGACATATATATCCAACTCGTGCGGGTATTCAATGAGGGTGAATGCCCTCACGAGCCCACATGTCGCCCCACAGCTAACGTGGGTATGCGAGTTCAAGGAGCAGATCGTTGTTCACACCACACTGTCAATCGGTCACGCCAAGTTGGGTGCCACTCCGTTACGGCAGAGTCCCGTCCTAGCAACTTTGTGGTATTGTGCAGCCATGTAGCCCTGATGGAGGGTGAAGGCGTAGAGGTGGAGTGAGAGTTGTATACGTTGTGTACACACGTTACGCACTGGATCCTGTTCTGGTCATTTTTGGGGCGGTGTGTAGACTTGTGTGTACAACCCCATTCTGACGTTTGCCCGAAAGCTGCCCAGAACCGCAGAAATCAGGCTTGTGTCTGCTGTGAGTTTGAAAGCTACCAAGCCGATTCCTCTCATCCATTTGCCTGGCGACGACTCATTTCCCTGTGTGAGTGGAAATCGCATTCAGTGCCACACAGCCGTCGCGGGTGTTTCAATAATCTGCATTTGAGGTCATGCGCACCGCACTACTTCCGCGTCTTCAGTCGGTTGCAGGGAATCGTGTTTCGGGATGAGGTGTGGGTCGAGGGACGGCGTGGGACATGATGAAGGGGTCCGTCTTGACACGATGGCTCTCACTGCTGGGAACCGGCACCCGCCATTTGGCTGCCGACGGTGCTGATGAGAGGGGGGATATAGCCCGGTGGGCGCTCGCCCGAGCCAGCGCCGCCCATCTGGCTCCCGACCTCGCCTTGGACGACCTGGGTGTTGTGTGCGTGCTCGCCACCACCAGCTCCCGCCATCTCCTGGCCCATCGGGCCATGGCCCTCGGTACCGGTGGGGTGTTGCTGTTCGTGCTCGCCCGATCCGGCGCCACCCAGCTCACTGCCGATGTCACTGCCGACCTGGCCCTGTGTCATGTCAGTGTGTGCTGAGTATGGGGAGTAGGCGAACAAGTCTCGCACGCTGTATGAGAATGCTTACTTGATTGGAAAGGAGTGACATTTTGCACGAGTTGAAGGGAACGATGTGCGTTGACGTGGAGAGTTGTGTGGTAGACAGGAACTTGAAGGGCAGGGTCGGGCTAACGGAAGGATATGTGTGGTTTGTTGCGACTTTCGGGGGAGCGTTCAAGTGACAGGTAGATAGAGTCGATGGATAGCAATGGGGTAGATGTCAACGATGAAAATGCCTCGCACGAGGTCGGGATGAGTTTCGTTTATATATCAACGACCCCGTGTTTGCTCATGATGTCATTGACGTAACCGACAGGGCCCGAATCCGAAGCTTCAGAGATCGGAGCCCAGGCTTCCAACTGTTGCGTCATGGTCACTGAATGCAAGTGATATCGCTCTCGCTTGCAATGCGGAGGCGCGGAGGCGTATGTCATGGCCAAGGACATCCGCAGTGATGGGAGTACCCAGCCAGGGCGCGGCTTGTGTTTAAATGACACTGTCAGCTGGGAGCCGTTCCGATGCTCCCGATTGTGAGAGCGCGTACTCTTTCCTGCCCTGCAAGGTGTACGGTGTACGGCGTGATGAGAGGCTGTGTAGCGACACAGTTCAGCACGAGTGTTCAAAACACACTACGTCCCGTCCCACAGTCTTCGGAACAAAGATGTTGTGTTTTCATGTTTGCCAGCAAAACACACTCCAGCGTGATTATGGTGTTTCGTCAAAGAAGCCACTGGCCATTAGCTGGCCAGCTGCCAGCTGGTAGGCTATGGCGGCATGCCCCAGCACTTCAAGTGTTCCTCGAGAGTACAGTGCCCGGCGTAGTGGGAAATTAAAGGACCACACCGGGGCTGTGTGTGTGAACGTCACAATTCGCCCAGTGATCTCTCACCCTCGACTGGGCACTGTTGAGGCATCAAGTAGATACTGTGCCAGGTCCGACAGCTGTAGGTCATTTACACAACAGTAGTGGGAGATTGTTACTGGGAAAGAGAACACGTCAGCATCCAAAAACCGATGCAGTCATCCCGAAACTCACGCACACTGCTGCACGCCCAACGCCCGGCAATATGTCGCTGGTTCCCCATGGGCCGCTTCCCCTGTTGCAGAGACCACTCCACCGGTGGGCCGGTGAAGCAGCTTCATTGTCTAGTGAGCAAGTAAACATCGAGTTGGAGGTCCACAGCAGTACAGAAGGCGGTATGTACATCAGGCGGGCCAACAACGAACGATGGATCACGTGACACCGGGATTCTCGTTCTTGCACACACATGCTTCCACGCCCCCACAGATCACAGATCACAGAACTCACGTCAGCCAATGTTCTTCCTCTGCACTTGCTTATTACAGCTTACCAGCACCGCATCCTCCCATGTCATCCATTCGACTACTCCGTTCCACTACTCACGAAAGTGTCGTCCAGGACGTCGTCGAAACCCGTCCCAAGCCCGATATCGGCTTCATCCGAGCCGAATGCCGTCCGCGGCCGGCCGGCTGACTGCGCTGGCAGTAACCGATCGTCAGTCCCGTTAAAACATCTGTGACTGTTCTCCATCTCCATCCATATCCTCTACTACTCACCCCACGGTTGAAAGAATGAGCACCGCCATGGCAGTCGTCGACTCGAAAGCAATGGTTCCAGCGACCGCAGAGGACACAGCGTTCGCCAAGCATGTTCTCGCCCGCATGCCCATGTGTGGGCACTGGTCAGAATCGGTCGTCGCAGTGGAAGCGCTGCCGCTGCCCCCTATCAACAGTCGAGGAAGCCGCGATTCGGAGGGCTGGACCGCCGTCTACGAAATCACTGTGCAGCCAGGTGAGAATACCGCAGTGCCTTCAGTGTACTGACCGGCAGACATGATCAACGGTCTCGGCGGCATCCACGGTGCGGCGTCGGCATGGCTGGTCGACATGTTCACAGGGACCAGCGTCCGGCGTCTGGCCACGCCGACATTCCAGTCTGCAGGCCCCAGTGTCACGATTGATATGACCTACTACAGCGCAGCCATTGCGTGAGTTTCCCACAGACGGACCCGGTACTGACGACCCAGTGGCCAGGTTTTGCGTGTGGAGACAACAGTGGACAGGGTGGGCGGCCAGCTGTCAATGGTGCGATGCCTCGTGAGTGATAACGCGAGCTGTTTCCGCCGATTGGTACTGATGCTGCCGGCAGATCCTGGATAAGGAGACCGGCCGCCGCATTGCCTTCGGCATGCACACCATCATGCGTAACAAGGCGGGAGAGAAGGCCAAGGCCAAGTTGTAATATTGGAGCTGATGATAGATGTGACCGGTTGCCGTGTCTCTCGGTGCTGGCCGCACTGCGCCATTGGGTCATGCCGGCCGGAGACACTTCACATTATGGTTGTGCTGACGCTCTTGACTGCTGATAAACTACCTCAACGATCCGACACCTCGTACTGGGCGTCAAAAAGGGGGAGATTCATAGGAGGACAATACGAATGTGGGGGTCGGAATGCGAGGCGATCCAGTCGGTGCAGAGCACGCTGGCAGCAATGGAGCCAAATTGTACGCACTTGACCACAGAGTTGCACTTCTGACACCATCAGCCCAACTCTTGCTTCAAAACTACATCCCAAACCAGTACAATCTCTCATACACCCCGTGGCCTGCTTCTTGCAGAGCCCCTGCAGAATTCGTCCTTGCGCTTCCTTCTTCCATGTTTACCATCACTTCTTTCGGCGGTCATTGACGATATTCACCTTTACGTGTGCCCTTGCTGTCTTAAGCATTGGTGCTGTGGTGTTCGTGCTTCTCCCTGGCGTGAAGCTCCTCGACCGGCGCGTCGACGTGGTAATTCATGACCTGGGAGGTAGTGTGAGCACGAGGGGCTTGGATCCACTTTGGGAAACTCACATCGGACAGGTCGCCGATAAACCAACTGATCAGACAGGCAGCGGCTCCAAATGGAGCGGCAATGATGAAGACATAGCGGAAGCTGTCGGCGTTGGCCTGCAGAACCGCGGCCTTGCCTGCTTCAATGATTGTCAGGGTGATGCCGGGGATGGACTGAAGGGCCGATGTGTCACCGCCCAACATGTCGCCAACGAACTGCGAGACGTATTGGGGATCCAGACCAGCCTTGATGGCGGCCGCGGCGGTGTACGCCGGGAGCTTGACGGGCATCTCGGATGAGACTGCCGCACCAAAGATGGCTGTGAAGACCGACGCCGCCACCGCGCGGCTCGAAGTGAGGACGGCGGTGGCGGTCGCAATCAGGTGGTGCGGAACCGAGAGCTGGACCGCGGCGATCAGGAGAATCAGAGGACCAGCAAAACCGATACCAGCCAATCCGCTAAAGATGATGGCATTGGTGGATTGCAACGGCTGAACAGTTGCCAGGCCAGCTTGCTCGTCAGCAACACCGCCATAACACATCGGGACTCACCAACACCGGCAGTCAAAAGGGCAAAGCCGACAATGACGGGACTGCGGACGGTACGACGCTTTGAACTCCAGAATCCATAAATGACAGTGCAGACACTGGCCGCGACCCAGTAAGGCATCTGGCGCAGACTGGAAATGAATGGGTCTGTCGTGAAGATCGTTGTCCTGAACGATTAGGGGAGGAAACTAAACGGTCACTGCCAGCGACAAACTCACAACTGGGGATAAAAGATCATCACCGAGAACAAAAGGATTCCTTCGATGAAGATGAGAACGATGCAAACGGCGAAAGTGCGCCTCTTGAACAGCTGGTGGTGGAGAATACCGGTGCTGGTACCCTTCCATTCGTAGACAGCAAAGACAACGAGGAAGACAATACCAAGCACGAGTGGAACCAAAACGCGGTAATCGCCCCAAGGCCAGGGGTTGCCGCCAAGACTGAGACCTGCCAGAAGCAGTGTGAGAGCACACGTAAGCTGTATGTGTTGTCAGTGAACGTCAGAGTCACGTATCTAGAGACTAAACTCACGAGGAACATGCCAGGGAGATCAAGGCGGCTAATCTTTTGCTTCATCGTGAGGTTGTCGAGGAACGAGTGGCGTTTCGGAGGGCGATAGCCGACCAAAAGGCAAATCACCGTGGCACCCCACATGGCCGTTTGGATCCACTGTCACGAGGGGGTCAGCAAAACCAGTGGGCCAGTACGTCTCCATGTAGACCTTACGTAGAAGTTCCTCCAGCCGTTGTGTTCCGACTTCTTGGTCAAGGCACCAGTAATCCTGGACAAGTATAAGCCAGCTGGTCGCAGCTGTCCGCACAGTGATGACTCACAGAGGCGCACACAAGGAGCCGAGACTGCCAGCGACGTTTGCAAGCGACTGGGCGACTGCATCGCGATTAGTATGTGCCTGCTCAGTCCGTGAATGTAACAAGACTGACGTGGTCTCCATTTGCGGGGCAAAATCTATAACTTGGTTAATTCGTTCCCATAGCCCCTCCTACGTAGGAAACTCACCTCGGAGGGAATGGCAAATGCCAGGGGAGCAGCTGCAAACCCAATACCGATGAGGATTTGGCTTACAATGAGGCGGTAGATGTCCTTTGCTCCCGGTGCAATGGCGGCGCCGACGAGGGAGAACAAGCAAGAGACAATCAAAATGATCTTGCGAGCCTGGAATGTGTCTGAAGCGAAAGCCTACAATCGAGTTAAAACCTGAAGTGCTCCAACGAACGGTTGGTTACCCACAATTACGGGACCTCCAACCGCCTGCACGAGGGAGAGGGCATTAGGGACCCACTGCTGCTGGGCAGTAGCGTTGAGGTCTGTACCGATGTAGCTAAGCTGTGTGAGAACCAAGATCAGCCCTCTTCTGCTCTGGCGTAAGTGAATGATGACCCACCACGGACGGCGGGCCGTTCAAGGCAAAAACTTGGACATAATTGAGGACAAACAAGGCGGCGAGTGCCACGTATGTGCGAGCATGGAGCTCGGGCTCCTGGTCGTCGTTGTCATACTCCATGTCGAGAAAGGAGGCCGGTTCAGGCGAGCTGTCGGTCGCATCACCTTCGCGATGTTCAACCTCGGGCTTGTCGTCCCGGAACTTGGCGTCGTCTGCCGTAAGGGAATGGGTGACAGCCGACATGGTTGGGAAGCGTATGGAGAGGATGGAGGGGTTGTGGCGGGCTGAAGACAGTGCCACTCTGCCCGCCCTTTGATTTATACACACACTGGACAACGGACGGGGCAGAGCCAAGGTGTGCCGCGAGCATGTGCACTCGCCCACGTCTCAACGAGTGGCTTGCGTGGCTAGGAATGACCCACTCGTCAGCTCCCTATTACGGAACTACTTCCGGTGCCCCACACGATTTCGCCGTCGGCCCCTCACGCAGAACAGTCACGAGTGACAGAATACAAGGAGCCCCGACTGTTCCCCGGAGTCGTCCTATCCAATGGCCAAATGGGACGCTCAAAGTTTGTCGCAGGCGGAGGAATGATGCCACAATTTCGAAGCCACGAGACTGGAGATGTGGATTCAATGTGGGGCCAAACCCTGAACTGTGTGGCAACCAAGTCACACATGGTATCTGACCCTCCTACATATGCATGATCGCGCACCATTTTGTTCAAGTCTATACCATGTGCGATCTAAAACGAAATATTCGAAAGAATATCCCCAAGGGTGGCACCAATCCCCCATGGGGTGCACCGACGCAGCAGGAGGTTGCTCGCGGAACGCAGGCTAAGCCATGTCAGACAGGGCCACGTTTAACGTTCATACTCACCTGAACGTGTCCATGTGCTTTTCCTTGCCCTCGATAAAACCCGGTACTCGAACTACCCCTACCCCCTTAGCCAAGTAACGTTCCTGTGGTGTTTGAAGCATGTCGGATGGTACCGATCTCACTCCGTCGCCTCCTTTCGAAGCATCGCCGCTGATGAGATCGTATAGGTGCACGAGCCGTTCCCACTCAACCACTTTGAGGATATCAATGACTTCCGCTGGTTCAACAGGCAGGTGGACAAAGGAGCAGTAGCACAGGAGCACCACTGTGGCCTGAAAGATGACACTGTATGGCGTCAGCAACGGTGTCACAATGCCACGACAAGACTCACCGAGGAAGGAGAAACCCAAGGTCGTTCAAGTCCGTGGCACGGCTCAGAATGTGTCCGCAATGAAGGGTCGCAAGTCGTGCTGCGGGTGTTGTCACCCACGCTTGGACCTCAAGAAGACTGTCGGGTGAAGGACTGCCGGTTCGACCAGCAGCCTCTTCAATGAGGCTTGTTGGGGCGAGGCGGACGACCCACAGATAGTGCCAAAGTACCGCAAAGGACCGCTTGTGCGGCGCCACAGCGTCTCGTGGATTGCTCAGCGTGTGCAATATCCCAACGTCCTTGGCTAACGGCATGGTGTAGTCGAAAAAGCCAGAAAGCTCGCGAAGCGGCAGAGACTCTCCAAATGGTGTCTTTGCAAGCTGGCGAAGCATGTAACAGTGAACCAGGGCTTGCGAGAGGAGTACAGTTGGTTGGAAGATTTCCGGGGTGGCAGGCATGGTGGTGTCGTCTGGTACCTCTTGACCACGCTCCAGACGACCAAGCAGCGCTCTCCATGTCTCTGCGTCTTCCGCTTCAAAGAGGGCATCGCTGAAATGATCTGCCGGTGTCACTTCGGCCGAAATGAGACGTGCTACGCCGCTGTAAACTGTCGATTCCGCTCCTTGAATGGTTATACCCAAGGTGACGCTGAGAGATTGGTTAGATTTGCATCATAAAACACAGCACTCACCGCCTTAACGTCTCGTTGCGTGCCCATTGTTTCCATTTCCGTATCAACGTTGCCGAATCGACGTGTTCGATATCGTCATAAGACATGGGATTCGGTTTGATTTTGGTAAACAGGCCACTGCGTCGGGCCATGGTGCACAGCGGCTCGTGATACGTCTCCGCGGTGAGCATCTGCTTGGGCTGCCCGTAGAGGAAGCTGAAAGCTTGTCCAAGGATTGAGCTGATAATCACTTCGGCTCGCGTTCCCTCTAGGGCCATGTCAGTGTCCCTCTGTGTGGTGTTAGTGATGCTACGTCCAGCGAGGAAGCGAGACAGACACTGTGGGAGGGCTTACCGCTAGTACAGTTGAGAGATGCAGCCGCTGGTGAATCCATCGGCCACTATCCCGCGCGCTTTGTGTTCCGACAAACATGCAGCCAATGCTGCACATGCTAAGTAGCACATGCCACGAGGCGCGGTCACGGTGAAAGCTTGGCCTGTGAATGACGGGCAAAGTGGGGTGGAAGCAGCGAAAATAGAGGTGCAGGCAAACGTCGAGAAACTTCATTGACGGAATGACAGTGTCACGGTCCTGTGTGTTGATAGAAGCCTGTACTTAGCACCCAGTCAAGTTCCCAGGTACTCACATATTGACCGCGAAACTCCAGCTGGCCAACGACTTGTTCCGGCGATGTTAACTCGGGTGGTTGAGGAGACCCAGGGCGGCTTGACGAGTAGTCTGAACTGTGAGGAATGGTTACACCGGATTCCCAAGTGTCGGCAACTAGAATTGTACGCGTGTTGCTCGCAGAGCGCGCAGTGGCTGTTGATCGTGGTACGGACCTCGGTCCGTCCACTCCTGGATTGCTGTCCACAGGCGACCGTCCATGTTGGGCCTGGGGCCCTTGTGATTGCAGCAGCCATTCGGAGGTGTAAGGTTGCCTGGTTGTGTTCAACGACGAGTCACCTTGGGCGGTGCCATGTGAGGAAAAAGGTCGCGAGCTGGCCGGTTGTACGGAAACGTGACCTCCACCCAGACCAGTTGACTGATGTTCTGTGTCATTCGGAGTTGAGAACAGCGCAGCCAGGGCGCGGTCGCTCGCCAGGATTCCAGTATCTTGGTTCAACCATTCAGCGATCATGTCGTTGACCTCAGGGCCGGTCGAAGGGATGGCACTTGTGGGAAACGCGGAGAAGAATGACGACTGGGGCGAGATGCTGTTGGGCACTACGGCTTCCATAAGACCCATGTCCACAATACCGGTGGAAGTGGAAAGTAGTCCATTGCCCTGTTGCTCCCCGTACCAGCTGTGTACACCCATGGGGTTGGCGGCAAACGTCTCGGCGGAAGGGAACACATCGGTGGCTTGGCTGGCCGGGTCTGCGGGGTCCGCACCGTCGGACGAGTCGGCGGCGAACGTGGAACCAGTCCGTCGTCGTTTAGCGGAGTGCAGTGTGCGCTCATGTCTTTGGAGGGCATCGGTGCGAGCAAAGCCCTTGTTGCATACTGAGCAGCTGAACGGCTTTTCCTCTGCATGACTCCTGCTGTGTCGTATCAAGTGCGCTGTCTTGGTGAACGCCCTGCCGCATACCCCACATATCTTTGCGGGTGTCTCGTCGAGTCGGTCCATTGATATTGATGGGGGTGCGAGATGGTAATGAACAAGCGGAAGGATAAGAGGAAGGGAAGAGAGAAACGAGCTGATGTTGTGGGAGACAATGTGTGGTTGAGAGAATAAAGCTGTTGACAGCCCGTCACTTGACTCCACCACTGCCGTCGGCGCGGACACAAACCTGAAAGCCCCGGATCCTCCCCCCAGTCTTCGCTGCCGCACAAAGCCCTGCATATCGCACGCTGTGCATTCTGGCGCACCTGAGAGCCATGTGTTTTGGGGGAGCAGGGCCCCGGGAGAGCTGAGGACCCCAAGACGGCGCACAGGCTCGACGTAGCAACCGCCCCGGGAACATGAAGGCGCAAAAACGGAATTAGTTCCTCGATCTCGGAAATAAATAATCACAAACAAAAACAAACGGTCCATTGCACACGACAACCTTCTTTCATCACATGAACCGTCACTACTGAGCGCCCATCTTGGTACGGAGTTCTTGGACCAACTCGTCGACCTTGTCGGTGGTGACATGTCCAAAGACGTAGAAGTCGGGTCGGATAAGGACAACATGGTCCAATCCCATGCGGTTACCGAACCACGCATGGTACTCGCCGTGATAGTCCTGGCTCGACGAAATGGAGATACACTTGCCTCCCAGAACGTCGGTGAAGAACTGACGCGACTCGCGAGAGAGTTTACTATCCACTGAGCTGTCTCCCAGATTCAGCAAGACCCAACCGTAGCCGTGCACGGCATCAAACAACGGCTGGTCCTCGACACCCAGGAGCACCTTGAGCGGGCGCTGGAGCGACAGTTCACCCGCCTCCTTCTGGTCGGTCAGGATTCCCGGCTTTCCAAGAGGTGGGTTGTAAAGCTGAGGGGGTGCTTTGATGGTCAGTCCACGTCTCTTGAAATGCATTCTCACGGTTCTTGCGCAAGGCCGCGTGCATCTCCTTGGACTTGATGGGGTCTGTTTCGCAAACCACCTCACCGAGTTTCACCGAGTGGATCTGGACTCGTCAGCCGACGTCGTCACGGGAAGAAACCTACGGTGAGCCACTGTACGTGCTCAAGACGTTCCTTCCCATAACTGTTCAGGAGTGCCTCGGGCTTGGCAACTCCCGAGAGCATGAGCGGCAGCCTCCACGCCAACGCTCCGGCATCACGCAAGCCGGAGTTGAGGCCCTGACCCATGAAGGGTGGCATGAGGTGGAGGGCGTCACCTGCCAAGAGTACACGGCCCATGTTGGCTTCGTTTGCCCAGCGTGCACGGAAAGTGTAGATGACCTTGCGCTCGAGGTCGCAGTTGTCCTGGAGGGTTAGTGTCTGTAATCATCTTTGCATTCATCTCACCTTGTTAAAACCCCATGGTGCGAGCAACGGCCAGATCTTGTCATCCTGTAGCAGCTCCTCCTTCGTCTCGTTCTCCAGGCGCATGTACTCAAAGCGCTTGCGGCCGTGGCCCCCATTGACGATAGTGGTGGGACGCTTGGGATCGCATACTTGACAGCAGCCAATCTTTGCAACGCGAGGCGGGACGTATCCGTCGCGAAGCATCTGATTACGATGTTAGAGGACACAGCAGGGCTTGGGTAGGCAAGCAAAGACTCACCAGATCAACTACCAGCCAGTCGTTCTCGAAGTTGAGGTCGGTGGTGGGGAAACCCATCAGACGGCGCACAGTAGAGTTGGCTCCGTCACACCCAATCACATATGATGCGCTGATCTGAATGTGTGAGGCGCCGTTGGCGGTGGTATCAAGCTGTTGGGTGAAGTCGCGGTCCTCAATGGTCGTCATCCCTTGCTTCATGATGACAGCGTCAAGGGACACCTCTACCTTATCTCCCCGCTCGTGGAGGGCGGAAACGGCTGAACTCTGTCAATGGTGTATCCTAGCGGGGAGCAATGACTTACTGTAACCCCTGAGAACAGGGAGCTTGCGGTCAATGGCCGCTTTGTTGAAGACGGCTTCCAGCTCCGGCTGGCAGAATGCCACTTGGCTGGCAAAGCCAGAGCGCGTGGCCTCCTCGAAGAAGAGATCGACAACCACTGCACAGTGTCAGCCAAGTTGCAGTTGGATCAGACTATCCCGGATACCCACTCTTGAGATCGGCATCTCTCCAGAGGTAGTTGGTGCCGTTCTCACCGCCCTCGAAACAGATGTTCTGCAGGAACGGCTCCAGCTCCTTCGACAGGCCCAGGGTGCCGATGAGCCTACGAGACTCATGGTCCAGCGCAACAGCCCGGGGAAGAGGGTACAGAGCCTTCTGACGCTCAACAAGTTTGACGTTGATGCCCTTGGCCTGGAGCATGAGACCAAGTAGGAACCCGACAGGGCCAGCTCCGACAATCAAAACTTCACAGTCGTCGATGCTCATGGTAATGGCTTGCTGTTGGTTGGTGTGTATGGATGTTGAAGGTCATAAAACAAGACGTCCGTCGTGTGAGGCACAATTCATATACAAGAGGACACTTGGGCGCGCTCCGTGCTACACCCAAGTGGAATACGGACTCTCTTGTTGGCGGAACGCGTTGCCACAGGCCATTGTGCCCGGCCAAATGTGGAATCGACATGCCACACAAGGTACCGTGCCTGCCATGAACGAAACCAACTGGCCCCACAGTCGGAAATATCGCAATCAATATCGGCCCCACACGATCCCACATCGATGCCACATGCATCCCCTGGCAACCGACACGCTCCCACATCCATGCAGATGGTCCACAAGCTCCCTCACAGCCGATATGATACAAAAGATTGATACGGCGTGGCGTCGAAAAGATCAATCTCACCACCTCGCATCAGAATCGCCAACACACACTCATCCCATCACCATGACCGTCAACCACGTTTCCAACTCTCCCATCCGCATTGTGCGCCTGTCGCACATGTACTACAGGCACGCAGACCTCGCCCAGGCCAAGCAGTTCCTTGAGGACTTTGGCATGCACGTCGCCTACACCGAGAACGACGGCAAGAAACTCTATTTCGCTGGTGAAGGCCCCGAGGCTTATGTTTACATTGCCGAGCAGGTGAGGACTTTTCCCATGCCGCATTTCGGGTGCTGACTTTGTTGCAGGCCGAAAAGAGCGAATACATGGGCGGCGCGTTCCTTGTCGAGTCCAAGGAGGACCTTGAGCTCGCGACCAAGCTCATCCCGGGGGCTAGCAAGCTCCATGCCGCCGGACCTGCTGGTGGCTACCGTGTCACCTTCCAGGACCCAGATGGAAGCCCCGTCAACCTGGTTTGGGGCATCGAGGAGACGGGTCCCAACAAGTCTTCGATTTCGACTCCCGCCTCCAACCACCCACTCGACAAGCCGCGCCTGGGTACCTTTGTTAGGTACGACAAGCATGCCCCTTGCCCCGTCTTCAAGCTTGGTCACTTTGGTCTGTGAGTAGGACCCCTTTACGTCTGGGACCTAACATCTTATACTGACGACCGGCAGTCTTGTGACCGACTTCCAGCGCTCGTATGACTTCTTTACGAAGCACTTCAACATCATTCCCAGTGACTTCCTCACCAACGACGCAGGGGAGAAGGTTGCTGCCTTCTGCCGTATCGACCGCGGCGAGGAGTATGTCGACCACCACTCGTTCTTCTTCGAGGTGAACCACATCAGGACTGGCACCCACCACTGCTCCTTCGAGGTTCAGGACCCCGATGTTCAGGCTATTGGCCACCACGTGAGTACTCTTTGGGAGCACAAATTATGGCCCCGTGGCTGATACCCGCTAGCTTCTGGCCAAGAAGGGATACAACCAGGCCTGGGGCATGGGCCGCCACATTCTCGGCTCGCAGATGTTTGACTACTGGTTCACCCCTGACGACTTCCTCCTCGAGCACTACTCGGACAGTAAGTAGCGCCTGCCTTTGCGAGAGTGTGGGATTGTCACTGACCCAGATTAGGCGACCAGGTCAACTGCCACAACCCCCCGGGCACGCTCCTCCAGTGCGAGGAGACCATCGCCATCTATGGTCCCTCTATTCGTGAGTACTGCCGCCTAATGTTGGGATACCAACTGACACTCTACAGCGAAGGGTTTCGGTGATGCTATCCCCGTCATTTCGGGCAAGGGTCCCGCTGCTTAGACGCGCAGTGATAGCCTGGTTGTCATTTTTTAACGAAAACCTTGTAAAATTGAAAAAACGATGTGAAGATGCATGAAATGCTTATATTACTTTCAAGTTGCCGAGCTCAATCACCTTGTCATGGTCGTCTGTTATTACATACCATTGGTACACAGTCCTTGAGCATTCCTTATCCCGTGCTTTCAACTTGGCAGTTGCCATGGGATGCCATCCTTCTTGCGTTGGCTCCACTCCATAACACTCGCAGGATCAATTCGACGACCTTGCTATGGGGAGGGACTGCCCTTGTGGTCATGCATCCCGAAGAGACTATGGTGTATCTTGGCAATTGTGTTCACCACTGAAATGTGAGGAGATTGTTCAGGCGCGTCTTTACACCCGATTGTGGGTGACAGCCCAACCGCGGGTTATCCCCAACCTCTTGGCGTCATCGACCGTTTCTGCATACCTCCTGCTTCCGGTGCGGGGCAACGTGGGGCTTCATAGGTTACCACTGTGGGGTGGTGATGTTCTTGCCCACCTGCCCACCGGACGACGGCACCCACACACTGTCTCTTCCTGATCAATTTACCGAGATCTCCAGGAATGTGGGTGCCTTGTGGTTTCATCCACAATGTGGCCCCCACTCGGCCGTCCTGTCCCACATCACCCACATTTCCGAACCCACAATCGATAACGGCGAGTGGCTATCAGGTTGCTCGGCACGAGCGGAAACACCGGCCCGGAATTGGGTGTGTGATACTCAAATAGCTGGGCGGGATATGGTGCTGTAGGACCCATCCTCACTTTCAACTCATCACACTTCAATCAACATGACCAACTCGACCACCTGGACACGGCTTGTGCGCTACATTGGCCAGGACGGAGAGACCCGCCTGGGCCAGCCGGTGGACGCCTCTATCGACGTTGGACTCGCAGTCGCAGCGGGCCAGGACGTCGAGGTCTACATTATCGACGGCGACCTCTACACTGGACTGGTGTCAAGCAGGAAGGACGTGATCAAAAAGATTCTGTCCCCCGTTACACGCGAGCAGGTCGGCATCATTCGCTGTCTCGGGCTGAACTTTTTGGGTGGGTAGAATGCTCAACTCTCCGAACCGTATGCTGACTCTGTCGTCAGCTCACGCCAAGGAGGCCAAGATGCCAATCCCCAACGAGCCCATCATGTTCATCAAGCCCCGCACTGCCTTGACTGGCCCTGGCGAGATCCTCGTTGGCAAGGTCTCGCAGGACGACCAGCTCGACTTTGAGACCGAGCTTGCGATTGTCATTGGCAAGGACGCTCTCAACGTCAAGGAGGAGGACGCCCTCGACTACATTCTCGGCTTCACGTCGTCCAACGACGTCACATCGCGCAAGCTCCAGCTGGCCAACAACCAGTGGTGCATGGGCAAGGGTCTCGATGACTCGTGTCCCATTGGACCTGTTCTCGTCCGTCCCGGAGAGCTGGATCCCGACAACCTCGATTTTGAGGGTATCCTCTCGGGCGAGACCATGCAAAAGTCCAACACCGACGACATGATCTTCAGCTGCCGCCAGGCCCTCGCCTACCTCAGCCAGGGCACCACCCTCGAGCGGGGCTCGATCATCCAGATGGGCACTCCCATGGGTATCGGATGGGGTCGCAACCCCAAGCGCACCATCAAGGACGGCGAGGAGATGAAGATTTGGTACCAGGGTGCCGGTACGCTGGTTAACACTTTCAAGTATGTGTAGAGTACAAGTATGCAGGAGCGTCATCATGTCAAGTCTCAGCAGGGGCAGGTCAGTGGGATGCCGGCCAAAATGTGCTATGCAGAGGTATTCATATTCATCAACATACTCCTTCCCTTTTTCCTTCAGACAAACACACTGGGTGCACACTATACACTAGTTCTTGAGAATGTGGAGGGGGATAGCACCCAGGTTGCCGAAACGGACAGTCTTCGTCTGGGTGAAGGACTGAATGGCGTATGCGCCATTGAAACGTCCGTGACCAGAGTTCTTGTGACCGCCGTGAGGAATGGTGGGCTCGTCGTGGACAGAGCCGGAGTTGAGGTGCACCTGGACCGTTAGTCTATCGATCCGGTGTACTGGCTGGTAGCAACTCACTGCACCCGTCTCGAGGAGCTTGGCGATCGCGAGGCCTTCCATGATGTCGTTGGTGAAGATACTGGAGCTGAGCCCAAAGCCCGAACCGTTGCTGATCTCAATGGCGTCGGCTGCATCCTTCACCCGCACGATGGACACGTTGGGGCCGAAGGACTCGTCGTTGAACAGTTTCATCTAACCGTCAGCTGTGCTCTTGCCTCACACACGTACGTCAGGGGTCACACCGGTCATGACCGTGGCGGCAATCTTGGCCTCGTGGTCAGAGGGCTGGTGCTTGGTGAGGACCTTTGCACCCTGGGTTTCGTCAGCACCGCAGGACTGGAGCTGCTTACCTTGCTCAGAGCGTCGGCCCAGAGCTCCTTGGGCTTGCTAGCACCCGCGGCGTTGATCATCGAGAATTCGCCAAGGGCATCCACGTCCGAGTCGATCACACGCTGCATGACCTCGACGAAGCGATCGTAAACGTCCTGGTGAACGAGAGCAACCTCCGTGCTCATACCTTGACGTCAGCTACATGCGGGCTGTGAGGGTTGGACTTACAGATCTGGCCGCCGTGCGCGTTGGCGGCGAAGAGGATCTGGAGGTCAGCCACAGCGTGAACGGCTTCCACTTACATTGTTGACCGCAACCTCAAGGTCGGCACTAGGCATCACAATGGCGGGCGCCTTGCCGCCGAGTTCCAGAAGGATGGGCTTGCCAACCTTTCCGCAGAGTCCGGCTACGATACGGCCAACAGTCACGGAACCGGTAAAGTTGATCCTTCCTGTCAGCACACGATGACCGTTCGGTCACTTACATCCTGACATCAGGGTGGCTGATGGCCTGCTCCATACGCGCAGCGACGTTCTTGGCGTCAAACTGGACGAGGTTGAGGACACCGTCGGGGAGACCAGCCTCCTTGAAAAGCTTGGCGATGGCAAGACAGTATCCCGGCAGACGGTCGCTCGCCTTGCACAGCACCGTGTTTCCACACGCAATGGGGTACACGAGCGCACGCAAGGTGAGCGTAGCAGCGAAGTTGAATGGGGTAACTGATAGGACACAGCCATAAGGTTCGCGGAGGACGAGAGCGAGCGAGTTGTCTGCGGTGACGGGGATGTCACCCTTGATTTGAGTGCACTGGGCGCTGTTAGAGATTGCCTCCAGCTGATCATCTCGGCCACGCTTACGATTGACGCAGCCTCCCTGATGTGGGACAAGGCATATCCAAAATCCGACTCCATAATCACACCGCTGACGGGCGTCTCGGTCGAGTACAGGCGGAACAGCTCGTCCTTGGTATTGGCAAACAGCTGACGGAAGTCAGTTTTGAGGTGCGGCCCCGTTGGGGAGGGCAGTGACTCACATCGCCAAACTTGTTGAGCACATCACGACGCTGCCATGCTGGCGTGTCTGCCCAGCCTCGGAAGGCAGCCTTGTTGGAAGCAATGGCCGCGTTGCTGGCGTGGTCAGTGCTATTCCAGGGTCGCGACTACGCACAGAACGTCAGCGTCGGCAGCCGCGACGTTGGAGGACGCCTCGCGGGTAATGCCGTGGACGTTGGCAAAGGTGGTGCTGCTGTTGACCTCCTTTCCGTCAATCCAGAGTGGTACGGTGATAGCGTTCGTCATTGTTGCGATGAGAGAAGATGGGGACAGGAACAAGTGGCAACGGTGCCGCTTATGAAGGGGTCTCCAAACGGGTCCCCATGGTGCACCGGCCCCAAGACGTCCGGTGAGGCGGCGCTCCCTGACGGTTACTTACCGAGATGATGGACCGAATGTGGGGTGGATGCGGTCGCCTGCACTGCAAACGCAATTGCTGAGCTCTGTCGCATCCTGGGACCTTACTAATCCATGCGGCCTAGCGCCTACGTCGCCTCAATGCACTGCGTATCAAGGGCGAACGTGTACGAGCTGAAACGGACCATGTGTGCGTGGCACCGACCGGGTCCGCGGTCTCTATATTCACATGCCGCACAACGCCACTTTCCTCCTGTTGAGCAACCTCACGACAGATTTAGTCTCCCTCGATTCCTCCGACAACCCCACTTCGTGAATCTTGCGCTCCTGTGGATGCAGTGCATAGCACCTTTTAGCTAATTCGGTGACAAACGCCTCACGTGTTGACTCGCCTGATGCCCCATGTGCGCGGCCATGCGTGTACATATCTGCTGCCCTTTGCCCATGATCGGAGCTATTGTGAGGAAGATGCACGGAGAATGAATGACCTGATATGCCGGTCCACACGGAGGACGGACCTGTCTCCTCCGACCCCTCCGTGACCAGCACTGATCTCAAAGCTCCTTCGACAACAACGTCCATGACTCTGCGCACGCCAGGGCGTACTCTGTCGGAATGGCGGAGTCGTCTTCTGCCATCCTGATGGCTTCAAATTGCTCGAACACGACGTGCCCTGCGTGTCAGTCCCGAGATTGAGCTACTGCCACTCACCGCCATATCCAGTGTCAAGCAGGGCCCGCAGGCAGTCGACCACCCTGGCGCCGAGGTCGCCCTTTGGTCCGACCAGCCCAGCATCTCGACCGACCAGTGGAACGGAGCGAGAGCAGATCATCCAGGCAAACACGTCGCCCTGGGGTGGCTTGTTCTCAACAGTCCAAGCGTCAAACATGCTTCCCTTGCCCAATGGCTTCGTAACGTCAGGTGCGATGAGGTCTGAAATCTCGACGTAGAAGATCTTGTCCTTGGGCACAGCTCGTACACGTTCCAAGCAGGCCTGGACATCAGCGTCTCTCCATCCGTCGCCAGTGTGGACGTTGAAGCCGTAAGCTGGGGCCAGAGGCCAGTGGGAAACGTCCATGCAGAGTCCAAAATTGGGGTGATTCTGAAGTTAGCACTGTTACATGGCGCAGAACTATTCACGACTTGTTGAACAATCTTCCACGTGCGCTCCCAATCGTTGACATATGGCGAGAAACACAGAGCCTCGTACGCAAGCTTGACGGGCGGGCTCTGGCGCGCAGCAAGCTCTGCCATCCAGCGCAAGTCTGAAGCTATTTTGGCATCGTCGCCCTTGGCTTCGACCTTGTCGGCAGTGCCGACTTGCAGAATCTCGATACCCAGCTTGGACGTCAGGGGGAGCCACCGCTCGACACGTCTGCGAGCCCATGCCTCTCTGGCCGAACCGGCCTCCCAAGCATCACATTGCTGGAATGGCTGAAGCATAGTCATCGTGAGGCCGTATTTGGCTGCGAGGGTCTTGCAGTCCTCGGCGCTGTCGTAAAGTGCTTGCCAGGTGACATTGTCTGCGGCGTCGGGCTCCGAGTTTTCGGCCCAGTCTGGAGGGTACACGCTCTTGGCGGGTATCCTGTGCCAAGTGTTACAGACCCCTCCCAGCCACTAGACTCACAGCCCAGGGTTTCGCTCCTTGACCCAAGCAACGTAGTTGTGATAGCCAATCTCGACATTCTTGAAGCCAGCATCACACAGAGCAGCAAACTTGCTTTCCAGAGTGTGGCATGGGCTCATCCCCATCGAGGCAGTAGCAACACCAACGGGCAGGGTGGCGAGTGAATGACGCTGGGGTTGGTTTGCGATCATGATGGGTGCCGGTGAGACATCGTGGTTGTGTCTCGGCTACTTATGACGCGAGTGAAAAGGACGGATGCCGAACGTATCCCCGGCAATGAGCGGGTTACTGAATGTATGGAGGTATGTCGCAGTTGACCCCGTGTTTTGACCGAGCTCTCCCACCCGCCCAAGCCACGGCAATGCGGGGCCGGACACAAAGCTTATGCCAGGACAGTTGACCTACATGCCGTAGCAGTTTACACATCTTCTCGTCTAGTGGACAGTTCTTTGCTGCTGTGGACGACTGTCGGTCGGATCCGACCCCAACATGAGCCCGGCGGGACAGTCGTTGCCCATCTGTGACACACGTGCCGCCTATTGACCATGTCCGGGTGTAGGACAATCCCTCGTATTTACGTACAAGAATGGTATAGAGCAACGACACTGTAGTGACCCAACCTGGCGGTTCACGACGTGAGGTTGGCTGAGGTCCGCGCCTCGGTAAAACTGCCACACCTCCACCGCTCCACCTCCACCCATCAGTCAGCGTTGCAGCTTCATAAGAGGCGGACAGGAGGCGGACAAGACGTCACCTGGTCCATGATGCATAAGCAACATGGAAATTAACAGCGTAGCCGGACAGCAAGTAAGGTTTCATGCTCATGGTATAAGTTGCACGTCTCCTGGGGGTCGCGAAGAGCTGTCCTTGAGAAGTCCACTTCCCCATCGCCACTTGTTTACAGTCGCAGACCTTTCTCGGTCGATACTGCATCTACCCTCACGATCGGCCCCTTGCTACCAACTTCAGTTCCAGACAGTTGTGTATGGACGATCATACTCCAGGAACGTTCCCCCGGTCCGGCTCCACGGTGGCCGACTCCACAGCATCTGTGTCACTTGGCCAAAAGACAGTGGTGGGCTGCCGCTGGTCTGTCGGGGCCGGTTGTTGTGAGACTGTGCCAAGTTCACTGCCAATGTTCGGTTAGGTGCAATCAAACGGAAGACCCCAACATGTATGCCCACCAGTGGACTGCTGTTGTTGTCACCTCGCTTCGACATGTGGCCCTCGGTCAATATGGCCATTTGATATCCTCCCTACGACGGAAATCCGGGCCACCCGGGCCATCGGCGGCCCGCCCGGGTTCCTCGAGGTCTGCTCAGCTTCAGCGTTTGGGGCTAGGTTGACGTCAATTGATACCTTGGGAGGGCAGGGTCCCCACTGACACATGGACAAGATTGCGCCAACCAGGATAGTTTGATTATGTTCTCCAGGAGCCATGAGGAGGTGACAACTCGGTCAATATGGATCGACCGAGAATTTCGGTGGGGCCCTAGGAGGGGATTCGGGGTGATTTCATGGGCCCCCATCACGCGCTGCCGGACTGGACCCTGCGTTTCCCGGGCTGTTCTTGTGGCGTTGATCTGAATGCTAGGGAAGTGTTGGAGCGCAGAAGAGATAAAAAGACACCATGGTAAGGTGACGCTCTTCACTCCCCACTGCCAACGCAACAGCTACATTCCAACCATGGTAGAGCCCGTCACAAACATTGCCCCCGGCGAGAAGGTCTATGGCGACATCGAAGTGGAGATGGTGGAGGACAACAAGGGCGGCCTCACCCACGTCGCGCACTTGGTCGTGAGTGTTGAATTGCCCACGGTAGCTGACGACAGGACGAAGATGTGACTCGCGCCGAGGCCGGCGACAAGGTCACCAAGTCGTTCATTTTCCTCGTCACCATTGCCGGTCTCTCTGGTATCTTGTTCGGTTACGACACTGGTATCATCGGCTCGGCGTTGCCCATGGTCGGCGCCGATCTTGGTCACGAACTGTCCTACGTCGAGCAGGAGATCATCACCGCCGGCTGCACTATTGGTGCCATCTTTGGCGGTCTCATTCTCGGTGCCATGGCCGACAAATGGGGTCGCAAGTGGTGTCTTGTGATTGCGGACATTGGGTAGGTCGAGTTGTCGGTTGTTCCTTCTAACAAGATAGATTCACTCTCGGCGCTATCATCATGTGCACCAGCTACTCGGTGGCCCAGATGATCGTCGGTCGTCTCGTTCTCGGCGTCGGTGTCGGTGGTGCCTCGGCTGTCGCGCCTCTCTATCTGTCAGAGCTGGCTCCCACTGCCGTCCGTGGCCGCACAGTCGGAACCTATGGTTTCTTCGTTCCCTTCGGACAATTTGTGTCCACGGCCATCGGCACCGGATTCCAGGCAGGTGTACCCAACCACATCAGCTGGCGTGTTCTCTGTGAGTCGAGTCCCAGGCGACGCATTCTGACCACCACCAACAGTCGGTCTTGGCGCCGTACCCTCGATTCTCCAACTTGTCCTCATGCACTGGCTTCCCGAGTCGCCGCGTGTTCTCATTCTTTGGGGCAAAAAGGAACAGGCCCGCGAGACCATTGCCAAGTACGTCTCCTTCCCACCTTGCGCTATGCATGGCATGCTCACACCTCCCAGGATCTACAAGGGCGCCCCGGACGCAGTTATCGACTTTAAGCTGCGTGTGGCAGTCCACACCGTCGACGAATCCACCCGCCTCACCAGCCAGCACACCCCGTGGCAGATGACCAAGCTTCTGTGGACCCACAAGCCCTACCGACGCGCTCTCATCGCTGTATGCGGCGTGCAGATGTTCGGGCAGCTCACTGGATTCAACACACTTCTGTATTACTCTTCCAGGCTCTTCGGCCTCCTTGGACTGAAGAACTCGGCAGCAGGTGGTCTCATTCCTGCCGGTTGCAACACCCTTTTCATTTTCATCGGAATGACCCTCGTCGACAAGGTCGGTCGCCGCGGCCTCCTCATGCGTGTCGCCCCTGGAATGATTGCGGGCCTTCTGTGGGCTGTAGTGGCCTTCTACTTTATGACCAAGGACACTGGTGGCCAGCTTGTCGAAGGCTACGCCTACTCCACCATGAGTAAGTCGGCACGAATTTGCCGGAAAATCGCCGAAATATCCGCCACATCCTGTTTTACCAACTGCGAATACTGACTCTATTCACAGACGTTGGCCTTGTTATTGGCGCAATCATCCTCTTTGTCTGCAGCTTTGGAGCTACGTATGCGCACATCTGCTGGTACCAGTCCGAGTTCCTCCCGCTCGAGATCCGCGCCACGGGATCGGCCATTGCCACCACCGCCAACTGGGTGCCCAACCTCGTCATCGCCGTGGCGTTCCTTACCCAGCTCGAGACACTCACCCCTGCTGGAACGTACGGTCTCTACCTGGGCTTCGTCATCTGTGGCTATATTTTCGCCTATTACTGCTACCCCGAGACGAGTGAGTCGACCGCCACAGGGAAAGAAAACGGGGAAACAATGAAGCTGATACAGTCGCAGAGGGTCTGTCTATCGACGAGACAAACCTTATCTTCCAGGACGGCTTTGGTGTCAAGAAGGCCAGCGAGATGCTCAAGGACAAGAAGGCGCTGCTGGCGGAGATGAGGGAGCAGGAAGCGCTCGTGAACGCTTAAGGTTTTGGTTGTGGGGGTCTGTCCTCCTGGTAGCGCATTTGTTGGAAGTAGGAAGCCAATGTCATAAAGGTCACGAAGCCACCAGATGCATTTGTGGCAGGCATGAACGAAAACTCTTGCAGGCCTCTTGGCCAGTCTGAGCAGCAGCAAAGCACTGCTACCCACACCCACCACACCCTCGCCACCAGCCCATGCACGGTGGCTTGAGAAGCACCGTGGAAATGTGGGTGGCGGCGGAAGCAGCCGCGCTTCCCAAAAAAAAACCACAGGCCGCGCGGCGATCACGGCGAATATCCGGAGATGACGCCGTACTCGACGTCATCCGATGCTTCTCGACACACAGAGAGCCCCACTGATGGGACGCTGCAGGTGACCACCGCAAAACCAGGCGACGGTCGTCCTGCTCTCGTGCATCGCACATATCTCACCAAATGCTCTCGACCTTGACGCTACCACCCGAATATGACAATCTCCCGCTCACGACACGCCTGTGGCTCCAGTCCAGAGTACGCGATCCGGCCAGACCACACAAGATGATCGCTGCTGGCCAGACGCGGCCCGTCACGGTGGCCACCGTCCGCATCGCGCTGGACCTCGCCTGGCTGATGGCTCCACGTTGCTGGCAGGCGATCATGAACCCCGACTGCAAGGAGATCAGGCGGTGGGTGGCTGCGCATGTGGCCTCGCTGGTGGTGGAAGCGGTCGTGCCCGCTGCACAGTGAGTGATGGGGGTTGATCGGTGGCGAAAGTGAGGCAGACGCTTATCACCCAGACTGTGGGCGACCAGCCGGTTGCTCGACCTTGCGGAGCGTTCGCTGTCGACGGGAGAGCCGGCAGAGTGGGGGCCGGCTCTGTACGCCGGCGCACTGGTCATGTTCTTCAAGGTGTTCACCCAGTACATGACGCCGTACTTTAGCATGGCTGAGACTATGGTCATTGTGAGTGCACATGGACGCTAGCTGCTCTGACACGACCATGCAGGATGAAGCCAAGATCAAAGTGGAAAAGTCTTTCTTTCGCCTGCAGCTGCGCACGACGATGGAGCAGTCTGCCGACCCCGTCCACTCCGGACTGATGACCGAAGCGTCCGTCCACGCTGGTCTCGGATACATGGCGACGGGCAGGACCCTCAACCACAACCTCACGCACATGAGCAATAAGATCCAGGCTGTCGGTCAGCTGTTCTCCTTCTTCATTTCGCTGGGCACGCAACTGTTTGTGGTGATCCACATCCTCCAAACCAACGGCAGCGCGATGGTCAACACAGTGTTCATTGTGTTGTTCACGCTGCCTGTCGTGGTCAAGCTGTGGACCATCCAATCAGACCACATGGTGCATCGCGGATGGAACCCCAACAACTCCACGTACATGGGGTCGGCCCTTCGAGACGTGATCAGCGGACCCAGTCGGCGAGACGAGGTAGCGCTCTTCGGGCTGGACAAGTGGTTGCTGGGGATCTGGGAACAGGCCCAAAAGGATAACAACAGGGATCGATGGGAGGCCAACGACGCGCGACTTCGGCATGGCGCAGGCCTCATGGTCCTCACCAGTGCCCTGCAGAACGGTGTATTGGTGAGCACACACTCCCAAGACGGCTGTGTGCTGACCCGGTGCAGATTCTCCTCGCCACCCGTGTCCTCGGGACGAACAGCTCTCTCGCATCGCTTACACTGCTCCAAACGGCGATCATGACATTCTCGCGGGACATTGAGCGGGCGTTCCGGCACGCCCGGCGGGTGATGGACATTGTCATCATCCTCGCAGCCTATTTCGGCGCCATCGACAACGAGAAGGCTGCACCGGACGGAACTGTTGATTACGAGAAACGCCGCACCGCAGGCGGGATGAGCATCGAGGTGCGTGACCTCAGCGTCACCTATCCGAAGAGCGACAAGGCAGCCGTGCACGGCATCAACCTCAAGATCGACGCCGGCGAGACGCTCGCCATTGTCGGCTTCAACGGCGGCGGCAAGACGACGCTTGTCAAGGCCATCATGGGCCTGGTGCCGTTTTCGGGCGAGGTGCTCGTGAACGACATGTCGACGGCACAGTACCGACGCGCAACGCTGTACCAGCGAATCACGGGCATCTTTCAAAACTTTTCAAAGTACCCTCTCACTCTGCGTGACAACATTGGAGCGGGCAATGTCGACGCCCTCCGTCGCGGCGACGACGAGGTCCTCCAGCAAGCGGTGGAGCGCGGTGGTGCCCAGCATGTGGTCGAGCGGACGTCTCTCGACTCGTTGTTGAGCTACACCGAGGCCGGTTCCGAGAGCCACTTCCGCCGGGCGATGCAGGACCAAGAGGGCGACAGCGAGAGTGAGAGCGAGGATGACGACGCCGAGAACGCCGGTCCCAACGGAAAGGACACCAAGAAGACCAACGGAACCGCCACGGTTGACGACAAGAAGGAGTTGGATGGGAACAGGAACGGCAACGGCAACGACAACGACAAGGCCGCCCCCAAGAATGGCAATGGCAAGACTGGCCGCAAGCCCAAGAGGACCAAGACGGGCAGGATGCCCTTCTGGATGCTGCTCAAGTATCTCTCGGGCGGGGAATGGCAGCGCATCGCGCTCGCACGAGCGTTTATGCGGACGGACCCGGACCTGGTGGTCTTTGACGAGCCGACGTCCGCGCTCGATCCGCGCGCCGAGGCCGAGCTGTTCGACCGCCTGCACTCGCTGGGAACCACGTGTACGACCATCTTCATATCACACGGGTTCGGCAATGTGCGGCGCGCGGACAAGATTGCGTTCATGGACGACGGAGTGAGTTGCAACTACTACATATCGCTCGGGACGGGGGATGCTGACCGTGTGCAAGACTATCAAGGAGTACGGGACCCACGACGAGCTCATGGCCCTTGGCGGCAAGTATGCCGAGCTGTTCGCCCTGCAGCGCGACAGGTTCGGGTTCGATGGCGACAAGACGTCGTCGTCCGGCAGGCAGTCGCCCAAGAGTGAGGTGGATAAGGATGAGAATGTCAGCGTTGTAAGCCCATAGAGCTGTGGCAGGTATGCAAAGTGGCCCAGTGTCGTCTGATTTGGCAGCGAAAGGGGACGCAGTTGGCCACCACGCCGTCGACAAGCATCACTGAGACACGTTCATCACTCCACAAAGTACACAAAGACTTGGTTGCATGAATGGAGGACTATGGCCACCACACAGTATACGACAATGGTCACGACGTAGCCGTCCGCCTCGGTTGGGCGAGGGCTTCTGACTGGTTGCGATGGAGTGGACATATGTGTGTGGCGCTTTTCGGGGGACTTCTGAACAGGTTCGAGTTGATGCACATGTGGGGGTGGACTGGGCTGGATCACTTGATTGGCTTGGTGGAGTGGAGTAAGGGTGGGTGTGTTACGAGCAGGCTTACATCTGCTCTCGTTGTGGTGTTCCGCTGCGTCTGCATGGTGTCCCTCTACGACCCTCCCCATGAAAAGGTTGGGCGAAGGCGAGGGCGAGACGGCAGGATCCGAGGTGGGGAGCTTACAGGAGGTCCACGAGGGCCGGATGGGAATACTGATGCTTCTCGAGGACAGAGAGGGCGAGTATGAGCGAGTAGAGGTTCTGGACCGAGTCGCGGGGCGTCGAGAGGCCGTCGCGGTGGATGGCGTGGGAGACGGCAATCTCGCCCGTCTTGCGGTGGAACACGATCGAGCGCTCGAGGTTGGAGAGAACGACGAAGCGGACCATGGGTTCCTTGCGGTACGCGTCCTTTGCGAAGCGTGTCCACACCTGGGCACCGTTAGCAAAGGAACAGGTCGTAGGGGTATGGAATGGCTCACCTGGCCAAGGAGGGCGAGGGCGTCGTAGTGGAGACACGAATCGGTCGACTTCTCGCAGATGACACGGCCGCGCGACGAGTCGTACGCAGTGCCAATCTTGACCACGGCAAGGATGGCGTCCATGAGCTCGTTGGAGACGACAGTGGTGGGGTGGAGGTCAAGGACGACGGCCGACGAGCCACCGACGCGGCACTCGAGGGACGCACTGTGGCCGCCACAAGGAGGCGAGGTGACGGTCCAGAGACGCTGGCCATCGAGACACTTGTTGCGAGGCGTGTCCTCGAGGAGGGCGGCGTTAATGCTCAGAAGGAGCGTGCCGTACACGATGCACTGGAGAGCGTGGTAGCCGTCCAGACGGTCGACGGCGATGAGCTGGCGCGCAGTGAGAATCTTGGCTCCCGCCGAGCCGTCGGTGAAGAGCGAAGGGTGGACGCCCTCGGCAAGGTATGCCAGAAGGTTGTGGTGGAGCTCGTCACGGATCAGGCGACTGTTGTAGGCAAAGGCGAGAGGGAGGTTCTTGTCCTCGGCGGGGCAGCATGAGATGGGAGGGTGGGGCGCGCAAGTGTACTGGACGCTGGGAAAGGCGAGCGCGTTGAGGTGGTCAAGGAGGATAGAGACGTCGTGGCAGACGGCAGGGGCCGCGATGGAGCACTCGACACGGCAACCGCAGCTAGAGCTGCTGCTGCTGTGGGAGCTGCAAGTGCAGATGGACTGGTGAGCGCAGCCGTGACCGCACTCCTTGGTGATGATCTGGATACCGGGCATGGTGAGTATTCTTGTGGTGAGTGTGGAAGAGTGAGCAAGAGAGAGAGAGAGAGAGAGAGAGAGAGAGAGAGAGCACGACAGAAAGGACGACGACCAGCCGAGGGGCATGTGAACTAGTGTTGTCTGTGTGGTCGTCGCCAAGACATCGACAGCGGTGCCCGCACGGTGCTACTCGCAGCCCTCGTCATGGTATGGGCATTGTTGTAAGGATCGTAGGACAGAACGACGGCGCGCACAAGGTCGGTGGCGCAGGCATGGACCGCCTGGCCGAGGCCATAACGCAGCTCAGGACGAACAGGTGGTGCGAAGTGTTCTTCCGTTGGCCACAAGCATTCACACTACTGCTTGTCACACAGCGATGAGTGGAACATCGGGGTGAGCTGATCTAGTGATCTGTCAATGCCGACAACATGGCGTTGGGATCCGATCAGATGGTCCCCTACCGCAGCTTCGCAGATCGCAGAGTTGTCCGACGTCTGCCCGTTAGCGGTGACCTATGACTGGGCTTCAGGGGGCACTCAGGTCTGTAGGGAGCGTCTCTGTGTCTGTGGTCCGTGGGAGAACGAGGCTTGTTTCTTGGTGAAGGCCAGTGACTGGAACTTCGTTCCGGTTCCCATTCTCGGGCCGTGACTGCACGGTGTGTGATATGTGTAATCTGCCAGTGGTCAGTGAAGAACCCAACGACGTTCTCGCACCCCGTAGCTCCTGGTGTCTAGTGTGTTTCTCTGGAACATTCGGCTATCACCGCCAATCGCATGGTCGGCCCGAGCCGTGCAGGGAAGTGTGGCACCGGCACATAGCGCAGAGGGCCCTTTGCTCAAACCCACATGCACCCTCGCTTGGACAACGTTAGACGATATTGACGACGTGTCCATCTCAGCTCCGTCTACATCGGCTGGACTTGCGACCTCGTCTGCGTTGGCGAAGTTGGCTGAACTGTGGGCACGCAGAGGCCGATTAAACACCGGGCAGCACCGATCGGCTGGGGCGTGGCAGTCGCCATGTGGCGGATGATACAACAGTACAACAGTCGCGATGACTTTGTCACCTATCCAAAATCCGAAGCAGACATATCCATGCAAGCACATCTTGTGTCCCCTGGCTCCACTACAGTCGCCAGTGGATGTGTGCGAGTGCATGTGTGCGAGTGGCCGGCCGGGTCTGGTTTGCGGGGCATAAATGACATTGTACACTGAATCAAGCTACTGAGCAACTCTACGAGCAACTCTACACCTACGAGAGAACCTACATGACCTCCTGCTACATTTAAATGGGCCAGGGCATGGTCTGGGTAAGGTTGTTGTGAACTGCCTTTACTTGGGTATAAGCTTCGAGTCCATAAGTTCCCAGCTCGCGGCCGATACCCGACTGCTTGAAGCCGCCGAAGGGAACACCGGCGTGGAGGAGAGCAGCCTGGTTGACCCAGACGGTGCCGGCGTCGAGCGCGGCCGACACACGGGTAGCCTGGCGGGTGTCGTTGGTGAAGACGGCGGCGGCGAGACCAAAGGTGGTGTTGTTGGCGAGCTCGAGAGCGTCGGCCTCGTCCTTGAAGGGAGCAACGACAACGACGGGGCCGAAGATCTCCTCCTGGACGACCTTCATGTTGGGGGTGACGTCGGCAAGGATAGTGGGCTCGACGAAGAAGCCGCCGTTGGACTGGGGCCACTTCTGGCCACCGGTGACGACACGGGCACCCTCGGAGCGGCCCGACTCGATGTAGTTGATGACCTTGTCGCGCTGGCCGGCCGAGATGAGGGGACCGAACGAGGTCTTCTCGTCCGAGGGGAGACCGATGGCGCAGGCCTCGGCACGCTTCTTCAGGGCAGCGAGGTACTTCTCGTAGATGCTCTCCTGAACGTAGACCTGGAAATGTCAGTCGCTATTTCCAACGCCATAAGGGACTCAGTCTACTCACACGCGACGAAGCACAGCAGTCCTGGCCCGAGTTGAAGTAGATACCAAGGGCAGTCCAGTCGGCGGCCTCCTCAATGTCCGACGAGTCAAAGACAAGAAGGGGGGACTTGCCGCCCAGCTCAAGGGTAACCTTCTTGAGGTTGGACTCGGCAGCGGCGATCGAGATGCGGCGGCCAGTAGCAACAGAGCCAGTGAAGGCGACCTTGTCAATGTCGAGGTGACGGGAGATGGCGTCACCGGTGGTGGCACCGAGACCCTGTACGAGGTTGAGGACACCAGGAGGGAAACCGGCCTCAATGGCAAGGTCGCAGAAGACACCGGCGGTGAGGGGAGTGAGCTCCGAGGGCTTCATGACAATGGTGCAGCCGGCAGCGAGAGCGGGGGCGACCTTCCAGAAGAACCTGATCGAAAGTTAGACACCAGCGCGGGGACCAGGAAACACAGAAAGACGTACATCAAGGAGGGGTAGTTCCAGGGGATACTGCAAACGTCAGCCAGAGCATCGACAACTATGGGAAGCAACTCACATCTGACCACAGACACCGATAGGCTGGTGGAGGGTGTAGCAGAACTTCTCCTCGCCAAACGAGTCGATGGTCTGGCCAAAGACCTTGTCAGCGATACCGGCGTAGTAGCGCAGGCAAGCAACGGAGTCGGCGATGTCGGCGTCACGAGCGATACGGATACCCTTGCCCGAGTTGAGGCTGGCGCAATGTCAGCAGCTGCAGGAATGCCTAGAGCAGGCGGATGGCCTTATCGGACGTCACTCACGACTCGAGGGCGGCAATCTTCTCAGCATCACGCTCAATGAGGTCGGCGTACTTGAGGAGAGCGGTCTGGCGGACAGTGGCGGCGACCTTGGTGCCCCAGACAGTCTTAAAGGCGTGGCGAGCGGCCTTGACGGCCTTGTCGACGTCCTCCTTGGAGGCGTGCGCCACGTCGGCGAGCTTCTCGCCAGTCGCGGGGTTGACGCACGAGAAGGTCTCGCCGCCCGAGGGAGCGACCCACTCGTTGTTACTGACGTCAGTTGGACGGCCAGGGAACAATGGTCCACACTCACATGAAGAGGCCGGTGGGGACAGCGAGCTCGCCGTGCCCGGGAACGTTGAGCTTGGTAGTGTAGGACATTGTTGGTTTTGGAAAAGAGGTGTTGGATGTGGGAAGAGACGGTGACTGCCGGCCCAGCAGGTACTTATGAGGTCACGACATCTCAGTTCAGGCTGCACACGGTGCGCGCTTCTGGGCGCTTGCGATTGCCGACCTGAACTGGCGGTGGGCACTCCAATCAGGCGCGACAGTCTAGCCGGCGACCACGGGTCTCTGCCCAGGGAGCGCCGCCTGCCCAGCCATTCAGGCATTAGAGTTTATCCAGGCTCTGCCCACCTCGTCTGCAGCCTCGTCTCCGTCGTCTCCCTGCAGTCACCATTGGCTGGTTATCTGCATTGGCGACTTTCACGAGTGATGCAAGGACCGTTGGCGACGGTTGTGGGAACAATAACGGAGGGGGGCATGATGTCCGTTTACCCGTCGCAGTTGGGCTTTGCTGTTGAGATGATGGAGGATGAGCAAGCCATCGTTCGGCAGAGATTACGATTGCGGGGAACCAGGAGGCAACGTCTAAACACGCTGGAGCATAGACGACGCAGACGAGCGCAAGGGTGCTGGGGAAGTAGATTAGTCTCGTCAAGCGCGATAAGAGGGGAGGAAGAAGGAGGTAGCCATATGGTTCACAGGTACACATGATTCAAGGTCGATGTAGAGAGATATCAAGATGTCAGGCAAAGATGCACTGGCTCTAGGGCATATGGATGGTCGATGATGGTCCATTAGAGACTGGGCCAGCTATACAGATAATTGTTCAGATAATTGCTAATCTGCCAATTAGCAGCTTAGCAGAGTGTTCATCCGAGAACCGAGAAAAATCAACGCGCTGTTCGACACCTTTCACCGTCCATGATATCAACACCGCACAGCGCTAAGAAGCTACCAGGTACCAGGCTGTACTGGTCCCCTCTCCCCGCGGAGTGTCTATGAGTTCCGGCGCTTAACAATCGCCAGTCGAGAATGTAAGCTTTCGTCGAAATGGCCGAGTACACGGCATCCATCATTCCTCGCAAGCTCGCAGCAGCCCAGGTTGGGACACCGAGTGACGCGCCCAGCCATGGATTTCCACCTGAACCCCAGTTGCGGCCGTATATTGAAGCCTTGGTCATCACTCAACTGGCCTCGTCATCCACTCGCACCAGAACTTGTCGGACACCAAAATGTTTGCTGTCGGATTTCGGGCCCGCTATATCTCGCACACGGCCCGGCGACGCACAGCACACCGGTAACCTCTTGGGTCGTCTCGCAATCAATCGCAGCCGTTTAGATCAGGTGGGCAAGGTTGGGGCGGACCATCTTGGATCCAGGCTCTGCGGCAATAAGGACACAAGACGCCGCAACAGCCATTTAGCTTTGCTCATGGGTTGTCGGGCCCGAGTTGAATTGACGTTGACGGCCCGTCTGCAGTCTGTGCAAGGGGTAGCTCCTGTCGGCCACAGTCACCAAGGAGGGGAAGACGTACCGGATATGCACCTCCTCCCCCATGGCGCCCCATTGTGCCAAGACGCAGCAGCCGCAGCAACCCTAGTACCCCAGAACCGAAGAGAAGGTTACGAAGCTCGCATGCCACAGTCAACTGCGTTGTCGGCGGCATGGTGGTCAACGCAAGAGCTGAATAACTCGGATTGTCAACTATATGTGTGTGGGTCATTCGGATTTGGTTGACGTTAGATCAGAGATACGAGAACTGATCAAGACGTCTACACCCCGTTCCGCTCATGAAACTCTCCGGGCCAGACGCAGTGACGGTGGGTCGTGTCGTCGAGCCAAGCCTCCCGGGATGATTCAGTCGGCTTTTTGCGATCTAGAAATAGACACAGACAGAGTACATGCCGGCGGCCAACGGCATGTTGCTCCTCATCGACTGTGGAGGCAAGATGACATGTCCAGGTTGACAGCGGAATGGAACCACCCCCCCAGAACGCCTCCCGAACATGGGGTGTGCGGGGAAGTCACTCAGCCGCTGAGGTAATTACCGCAAAAACCAGCTGCGCTTTGCGATGTGGAGCTTGTTCTTTGCGCGGCTGTATGAGGGCACAGACGAGGAACGAGCACAACTGTAACGACAATGACCTCCTGCAGTTCGCATCGCGACTGCGCGTGGCTGTGGAATACGGTGCAGATCACCGCTCTGTCGAGATTCGACATAAGCTTTGGTAGGCCGCGTCATCCGCAAGTCACCGCAAACACTGTCATCGTTGGTCTCTGTTTCTTCAGCCAACCTTATACAGTCTGCGCATCCCAAGGGGTTAACAGCAGGATATGTTGACAACCGATGTGGACCCTGCGACCCGCGCAGCTAGTGATCTTGGACTGCGACCGTGCGCAGCTGTAGTGATGGTATAAGATCGCTCGCTCCAGCAGCTTGGGCACTCCTCAGGCCTCGACAACTTTCGACAACCTTCGACAACCATGACCATCGCCTTCACTCTGGCGGCAGCGGCTGGAGCCGTGCTGGCTAACGCCATGCCGGCACCTCGTGCGGCCTCGCTCGACACTCTTTGCACTTCATCCAGTGTCGCCGGACTTTTGCCTTATGACGCCATCCTTGGCGTGACCATTGTCAACTCGACCGTCGGCGTCAACACGGGCACGTACAACAGCAGCGGTACCCAGTACTCTTACTGCAACGTCACGTTCCAGTACGAACATGATGGTGTCTCCGACGCCGACGTCTGGGTGCAGTACATTCTCCCGGACCCCAGCACCTTCAAGAACCGCTACCTCTCGACCGGCGGTGGCGGCAACGCTATCAACTCGGGTGTGCCTACCAACGGCCTCGCTTACGGCGCTGTTGGCGGTCGTACTGATGGTAAGTCGTGACAACCCTTGTGAGATGATACATGTAAAACTGACACAGGCACCAGGTGGCTTTGGCGGTTTCGACGCCGAGTTTGACACCGACGGGGTCGACGTCCTTGCCAACGGCACTGTTAACATCTGGGTCATCAAACTCTTCGGTTACCTTGCCCACCATGAGATGGCCGTCCTCGGCAAGCAGCTCACTCGCAACTTCTACAGCCTGGATGCCACTATCAGCACTGAGGTCACCAGCGGCGACGGAACCACCAACTACGTTAACACGACCTCCACTGAGACCAACGGCACCCGTCTCTACTCGTACTACCAGGCATGCTCTGAGGGTGGTCGTGAGGGCTGGTCGCAGCTCCAGCGTTTCGGTGACCAGTTTGACGGTGCCGTCGTTGGTGCCCCTGCCTTCCGTTACGCCCACCAGCAGGCTAACCACATGTTCTCGGCTGTTGTCGAGCAGACCCTCGACTACGTCCCTCCTCCTTGCGAGCTTGAGGCGATCGTCACCGCCATCATCGACGCCTGCGACCCTCTTGATGGCCGTACCGACGGTGTTATTTCGCGCTCCGACCTCTGCCTTCTCAACTTCAACCTGACCTCCGTCATTGGCACTTCGTACTACTGTGCTGCCAGTACGGCCAGCTCCGGCATGGGTGGCAATGGTGGCGGTTCTTCCGCCCCCGAGCAGTCGGGCAACGTCTCCGCGCTGGGTGTTGAGGTCGCTCAGACTATCCTTGACGGCCTCCACGACTCGAACGGCAACAAGGCTTATCTTTCGTGGGCCATTGGAGCCTCGTTCGCCGACGCCACTTCATCGACCTACAACAACGCGACCGGCAAGTGGGAGCTCCCCGACATTGGCATCGCTGCCACCTGGATCGGTCGTGTGCTCCTTGGTCTCCAGGAGACGGACATGTCCCTCACCGGTATCGACTATGACCAGATTGTCGACTGGATGTACTACGGCTGGCAGAACTACTTTGACACTCTCCACACCACCTGGCCCGACCTCTCCCCCCTCAACAATGCCGGCGGCAAGGTCATTCACTACCACGGTGAGGCCGACAACTCGGTTCCCGTTGGCTCGTCGGTTCACTACTACGAGACCGTCGCCAGCACCATGTACCCCAGCCTGAACTACACCGAGGCCCACACCGCCCTCGCCGAGTGGTACCGCCTCTACCTCATCCCTGGTGCCGCTCACTGCGCCACCAACTCGCTCCAGCCCAACGGCCCCTGGCCCACCGACATGCTCTCCCAGGTCATCTCGTGGGTCGAGGATGGTGTCGTCCCCACGACGCTCAGCGCCAACGTCACCGAGGGCGACTTTATCGGCTCGCAGGACATCTGCGCCTGGCCTCTCCGCCCTTACTGGAACAGCAACACCTCCATGGTCTGCCAGTACGACCAGGCTAGCATCGACACGTGGCAGTACACCTTCCCCGCGTTCAAACTCCCCGTCTGGTAAACCCCCAGGCGACTTTTATAATTGACCCTTGAAGTCAAACCGAAGAAGAGAAGTGAATGCAATATCAGTGATGCTGCTGTCAAATGAAGCTGGGGAGTTTGGAGCCCAGCATGCACTAGCTCTGGCTCGTACATCATCTTCATAGAGACGTACATGCACAACCCATGTCTTCGCCAGACCCCAAAGTGAGGGCTTGGAAGGAATGTGGCGGGAGCGCGGGTGAGACGGTATCCTGGGCGAGTGTGTGGTGTCAGTCATCGTCCAGTTGAGGAAAGGGCGCTATTGCAATGTGGTCGATGGCAAGGCAACGCCATGATCCGCAAAGAGGACCTAGTTGGTACCCAGGTCAAAGCTGCTAGAGCCAAAACCGCTGGAACAACCGTCGCGCTCCCCCTTTCTGCAAGTGTGTCGCGCATGCACTTTGTGTAGTGGTCGACGTTTGGTCCGCCGTGCTCGAACTGTCTCTCTTTAGGGCATGACATACAAGTCTGAGTCCGACATGCATGTCATCGGCCTGGTTGTGCAAGTGAACCGTCGTGGGGTGAAAGGGTTAGTGTCGGCCGAGACTGACGAGCTCACGAGGTCCTGTCCTCTGTTCCCCTTCGTCTGCTGCTTCCTCCTCCTTCCGTGGGCCCTTGGCCAACACACCACAGACCGCATCCTCTTCCTCCCTGGATATCATCCCCCTTGTCTTGCCTTACTTGCAATCGTCAAGAACATTGCACAACAAGCATCGCACTTCCAGAAGAAGGACTCACCGTCAGAACGTCACCAGTCAATTCCGAGCTTCCATTCCGAGCATCGCTGACTTGCCCCATCACGTGACCGTCCCGGACCTCCTATTGACCGAACGCGCGCAGTAACCTTCACCCCACTTCCATCCCTCATCGCATGTTATAATAATGTCTCGACGTCGCTCCTCAACGCCACCAACCGACTCTTCAGACGACATGGCCGGCCCCGCTTCCAAGCTCAAGCTCTCTCCTAGGCTGAAGGCGCTCATCGCTCTGCCCTCGGCGCGCGGTTCAGCGATCCCAGCCCCACCCCTGGCTAAGACTCGCGCTATCCTGGACCGCATCCGCACCGCCGGCGAGGCAGGCGGTGTCGGCCGCGACACCTGGATCTCGCTGTCCACTGCGACCCTCTTCACCGTCAACTCTCCCGAGTCCATCTGCCAGCTCTACGACTATGCCACCGAGGGCAACGAGCTCCCGTCCAACATCTTGACTGCGGCTGTAAGTTAACCGAGAAATGCACTTGGGACGACTCGGCATCGGCTAAAGCCGAGACGTGGTGGATGGTGATGCTGACGAACAGATCATGCGCGAGACCGGCCTCAAGTGCATTACGTTTGGAGGAGTGAGTGATGAGCTGTGCTGAAGAGGTCAGGAGGTTGTATGCTGACTGTGCAGGTGCCCAGGGTAAGCTTACAAACCACGTCTGCGGGAGGTCAACTAATAGCCAGGCAATCAACAACCTCAATGCTCTCCGTGCCCACCTTCCCGAGAATGTCGTTGACGGTCTGTCGAAGAAGCCCGTGAGGTGAGTCTGCCCACCGGCTTTCAGTGAACATGATAGCAACCTCGGCATTGCATCAATACCGACGAACTGACTCGTTCTCAGGGAACCTCACGACATTCCTGCTCTGTACCAGCGTGGCCGCAACCTCTGGGACGGCATCTACGAGCCTCACGCGCAGAAGCTCGTTGACAAGCTTGGCGACTCGCACCCCGACATGCCAGTGCACATTCTCAACTCTCACTACGGCCCCCTGCTCTCCGACCCTGTTGGCCACGTTGGGGACAACGACTTCCGCCTGGGTCGCCTCCTCACGTCCGTCATTGCCATTGCAGCCCTCCGCGCTCAGACTGGTGTTGGACCCCAGGTCACATCGCACGTCTTTGGCCTCAAGAAGGCCGTCCTCCCTGACGGCGGCGCGGATGGACGCGAGATCCAGGGCCAGGACTGGCTCGTGTCAGACGACGGTGTGAGGTGGCTGATTGAAAGTGTCGACGAGCTCAGTGCCGAGGTGCGTGGCGACAACGTCCAGTAGAGTGATCCAGCTTCCAGTAATGGACCAAAAGAGATAAGAAGTGAAGTGGACTATCATGGGGGCGATCAGTGTTTGTGCTGGGAATAGAAACCGTCCATGCATGTTTTGTGTTTGTACAGTACGTGGCCCCTGTCAGAACAGCTAACTTCTGATACGCCAGTCCTCGTCCTCACCTCCTCATCACTCGTCAGTTCCCAGAAGTCGTCCACACGTGCGCACGTGTCCCCTGCACCTTCACATGCCTCACACAGTCTTACCCATTAGCTGGACGGGACGGCTTCGGTATTGCGGTCGCGGCCACCCGTCTTCATTGTTGCTCGGAGAACGCTACCCCACATTCCTGTCCAGCTCCCCCCACAACCCCCGAAAGGCAGGCTGCGAGCCTGTGTCTCTGCGGGCGGGCCGCTTGACCGGACGCCGTTGCCATGACCACAAAGGGAGGGGCCACTGGCGGCGTGGATGGCTGCGGCTCAGTCCGTGGACCAAACCCACCACACACGAAAACAAAGCCCACAGGCAAAAAGCAATAACACAGGCTCAAAGCTGTTGCCATCAACACAGGATTTCGGTGTCCTTGCATGCTCACTGCAGTCCGTCGCCGCCGGCTGGATGCAACACCCCGCAACCCCACATCGCTTGTCCGGAGTCGGTAGATGCCCCGGCGGGAGTTGTGTCCGAGAGATGGGAATAAGTCGGGTTTTCTGGGGACGGATGAAAGGTCCCCCGCATTTACTCCAGCCGATCCAGGCCCCAACGTTCAGCAGACAAGACACGGTGGTGTCCAGACGAGTCAGTGGCCAGTGGCCAGCAGCTTGCCTTGCCCCAGCATGAAGGCCTGTGGTCGTGTTGCAGACCATGATGCGGGGCCATGTCGTTCTTTGCTGCGGGGTAGACGGCGGCATTCAATGACAACAGTTTTCCCGATGACGACGTGCCTTCTTACCGTCTCTGGATCGCATGCCCCCATTTGGCCGCGCTCCAAGCCGCAAACCCAGACCCCCGCTGTACGTTGTCACCCCGGCCTCCACAAGCGCCTGACCCGCCTGGTCCCCCAAGCCTCCCATCCGATACGCCAGGATCGCCAGCATTCAACGTGGGCAAGCGAAACAGGCGGCCGGAGGCGTATTTCAGCGGCGTGGAGGCCTCTATCGATACCGAGTTGCGATACCGAGGGTGGTGACTCGGCATTCCCAGGTCACTGATTGCCTTTCGGATATCGCTTTCAACCTCTCAACTCACCACCGAATGCCGTCTTCGTTTGCTGTGTCCAACGAGTCGTGTTGTTCCAGCAGTGATGAATGCCCCACAGTGCCTCGTACGTTCATGACGTCGCTTGCCCCGGTTGGTTCGCCCCAACCCCAGGGACTACGTGATTCAGTGGAACCATACCCCGCTCCGCAACATAAAAAAGTCGGTGGTTAGGACCATCTAGTTTGTCCGACCACCACCCCGCCAACCACCTGTCTACGAGCCCCAGTTCACCGCTTTCTTAGCCCCCGCACGTAGGTCGGTCGGACACTCCACAGGCCCCGAAGCTTGTCCCCGCGCGGTTGACTGATACTGATACATAGAAAACGTAGACCTCTTCCCCTTCTTCCGAACTTCATCCCCCCCCACTCTCCTTCTCATCCACCACCATGTTCGCCTCGATCCGTACCCTCTCGACGCGCGCTCTCCCCCGCGCTGCGGCTTCGCGTGTCGTCGTCGCCCGCGCCACCATTGCCGCCCGCGCCTACCACCCCGTCCCCGCTACCCCTGCTGGCTTCTCTGGCCTCGAGTCCGTTCCCGGCAAGGTCGAGAACGTGGGCACCCCCGTCAACGTCAAGACCGGCGCTGAGGGCGGCAAGCTCTACGCCTCGGCTGAGGAGGCCATTGCCGACCTCAAGTCGGGCTCGCTCGTCCTCTCCGCTGGTTTCGGTCTCTGCGGTACCGCCGAGACCATCATCGCCGCTATCCACGCCCGCCCTGACATTACCGACCTCACTGTTGTCTCGAACAACGCCGGCAACGTCGGTGCTGGTGGTCTTTGTAAGTGGAGTCGGGAGATAAAGCAAGGCACAGTCCGCTGATACCCTCCGCAGCGCCCCTTATCGCTACCAAGCAGATCAAGAAGATGATCCTCTCTTACGTCGGCACCAACAAGGCCCTCCAGGACGCCTACATTGGCGGTGAGGTCGCCATGGAGCTCAACCCCCAGGGTACCATTGCCGAGCGTCTCCGTGCCGCCGGTGCCGGTATGCCCGGTTTCTACACCCGTACCGGCGCTGGTACCAACGTCGAGACCGGTGGCATCCCCATCAAGTGGTCCAAGCCCGACGCCGAGGGCAAGCAGAAGGTTATCGTCCCCGGTAACAAGAAGGAGGTCCGCGAGTTTGACGGCAAGCGCTACATCTTCGAGCCCTCAATCCACGGTGACGTCGCCATCCTCCGCGCCTGGAAGGTTGACAAGGCCGGTAACTGTGTCTTCCGTTACACCACCAAGGCCTTCGCCACCCTCGTCGCCAAGGCCGCCAAGGTTGCCATCGTCGAGGCTGAGAACATTGTCGAGATTGGCGAGATCTCGCCCATGGACGTCGACCTTCCCGGTATCTACATCGACCGTATCGTCCCCGCCACCGTCGAGAAGAAGATCGAGCTCGTCACCCTCACCGAGGAGCACGCCTCGTCCGAGGACGCCGGCTCGAACAAGTCTGCCGCTCAGCTCAAGCGCGAGAAGATCGCCCAGCGTGCCGCCAAGGAGCTCAAGGACGGCTACTACTGCAACCTCGGTGTCGGCATGCCCGTCCTCGCCGCCAACTACCTGCCCCCCGGTGTCAACGTCTGGCTCCAGTCTGAGAACGGTATCCTCGGTATGGGCCGCTACCCCACCAAGGAGGAGCTCGACGCCGACGTCATCAACGCCGGCAAGGAGACCGTCACCCTCGTCCCCGGTGCCTCGACCTTTGACTCGTCCGAGTCGTTCACCATGATCCGTGGTGGCCACGTCAACGTCTCCATCCTCGGCGCTATGGAGGTCTCGGCTACCGGTGACCTGGCCAACTTCATGGTGAGTAGTTTAAAGCGAAATACACCCGCCTGGGCGGAACATCGCGAGATTGACCTTTTTTCGTCTTCCTCTCGCTGACAACCTTCAGATTCCTGGCAAGCTTGTCAAGGGTATGGGTGGCGCTATGGACCTGGTCTCTAGCCCGGAGACGACTTCTATTGGTAAGCATCACTCTGGAAGACACGGAGAGACCTCAAACGACGAAAGAGATGTTGGGTGGCACCTGTTGAAAGTTCCACAAATCTCCGGTCTCCTTTGCCGTGTTTAGTCTTCTCCAGTCTTATCTTGCACGTACAGCTTGCTAACACCCGTACAGTTGTCGTTACCGACCACACCGACAAGTACGGCAACCCCAAGGTCAAGCAGGAGTGCTCGCTCCCGCTCACCGGCAAGGGTGTCGTTTCGCGCATCATCACCAACCTTGCCGTCTTCGACGTTGACCGTGAGGGCGGCTCTGGCCTCACCCTTGTCGAGATTGCCAAGGAGTCGTCGCTCGAGGAGATCAAGGAGAAGACCGGCGCCACCTTCAAGGTCGCCGAGAACCTCGGCAGCTTCTAAGTTTCTATCAAAAGCGCTTCACCATGAAGCGATAATACCAAAACTTGAAGACGTTGGCGAGTGTACAGTTAGGAGAAGGGTCATTGCATTGCATTTGTAGAGCATCAGATGAAGAGTATCGGATAGAACAGAAGACCAGCCGCGTGTGAGGATACCGAGATTGCGTTGGGAGTGGACGAGCCATTGGGTGCTCTGGCTAGTGGGTGTATGAGGTGGAGTTGTTCCACCTCCGCATACAATGACGACCATAAACAACATACGATTTTTGACTGGGCACACCCTTTCTCCAACTTTCGCTCATTGCACCGCCTCGGCCGCCCTCCCATGGCCCATCCGTACTTGACGTTATTATATGGGCTCTTTACATCGATGTTCTTGCCATCCTTAGGCCGCATTGTCCTTCCCAAGTCCCTTCAGACGTTGAGGCCTAACACCCTCCCACCACCGCTCTTCTGGGCGGGAGAAGGCCAGCTCTGCCGAGATTGGACAAGTTTCTGGCCGGGGCGAGGGATGGCTCATGAGAGGTCCATATGACTGGCTTGGTCAGTAGGTGCCCACGATTCCCGACTTCAGAGAGCGGTTTCTCACAGTCGAAGTACATCTAGAAGCCGTGTCCAGTTGCCGCGGATGTATTTGCTGTTTGGGATGGCTAGCGCTGAGAACCTCATTGCATTGAACTGGCACGCCGAGCATCCTGAGCATAGGCCTGGCCGCAGAGAGGGGCGTAGGAGGGGGGCCCATAAGCCGGGTGGCGATCCACAAGTACAGTCAACCACGATCAACCACTCTTCCTCGTTTCAACACTTCTTCATTCTCGTCTCTCATTCTTCATCCTCGCCACCTCTTGACATCCACCCCCTGTTCCTAACTCCTCGGTCGCGGGGGGACTGCCAAGCCCACACGATCCCTCTTCGCCTTGCCACAGCGCTGTGAGTCGCTTGTGTACACGTTTGCCCAGCATCATGAGCCGTCGCGTCGTCTACACAAGTAAACTAACTCTAGCAGCACAGTATCCGTCATTCAATCTCCATCTTCCTCAGCAACAACCAGACCCCGTCACCACCGGCCACCGGTTGGGTTGGATTGGATCAACAACCCACCTATCCCTACTCTTAACTCCAAGGCTCACATCGAGACATCCTCCTTCCCTCAATCCCATTTCCGCCTTCCCTTCATATATCCTCCTCAACAATGCCCGCTGACCGCTTGCACAGTGTGAGCGATGAGGGATCTAGTAGAGGAGGGTTGACTGCCCCCACAACCATTTCCAGCCGCCGGTCGTCGTTGAGGTCGGCCGTCTCAGCCGCCTCGGCGGCCTCCGCCAACTCGCTTTTCGAGCAACTGTCCTCCGCCATGTCCCCTGCAATGCCCAAGAAACGCATTCCCAAAAATGTAGCTGACTGTGAGCGTCGACCCTCTATCAGTGTCACTACTCCGGCCGATCAGGACTATGCCATCGCCATGTTCGACGAGGCCATGGAGCACATGAACAAGAACAACATCTTCCCCGAGGGTGTCCGCAGTGTTGCGTCCTTTGACGACTGGCGTCGCATTCACGGCACCTTCCCCGTCGAGGTATCCAAGCAGTATCTCAACTACTTCGCATCCACTAGCCGTGATGCTTTGGGCAACCTTTCCCACGTCAACGTCGTAATCGGTCTGTGGCACGCCTTCTGCGCCGCTTGGAAACGAATCTCGGGGAAGAAACTGCCCAACTACATTCTCAACGACGGTATCGACTGGTGCAACAGCATACAGGGAGTCATCCAGCTTCCCAACCATTCACCACAGCGTGCTTACATGCACCGCGAAGCCCTCCAGGCCCTCTCATTTGAGATCTGGAAGGAAAAGTATCCCCTTTCACTCCGCGAGCGGGTCTCCATGACTACCTTCCTTGCCCTAGGAATCGAGACCGGTGTGAAGGGTGGCTCCATCCTCATGCCCAAGGCTTCATACATCAAGCAACTTCAACTTCAAGCCCAGGGCCAGTCAATCCTTGGCCGTATCGACCGACAGGCATCCCGTCACCTCACCATCGGCTCATGCTACGGCAACTTTGTCATCCATGTGATCAAACGGTTACCAATTAATGGCATGCTGGGCCCGAACCTGCTTGTCGGTTACTACACCCCCACCTGGGCCAAGGAACGCACTGGGAAGCCTGCAATTTCCAAGGACGAAGCCAATCGCCGTCGCAAGCTCAAGCGTTCTCGTCGTCCCAAGTCCCACGTCATTGGTCACCAACCAGTGCTGAGTCAGGACGCACTGGTCCTCGTGCTCATCTCACTTGTACTGGATGGCGGCCTCACCGTCGAGCAACTCGATGAGGTTTTGCATCCCAGGTTTGTTGGTGACAAAACCTGGGTCACATTCGAGGTTCCTGAAGCCTAGTGAGTCTGGGCTGCGCCACACTTATCTGACACGTCCTCAGCCGTTCACTCCCGGTGTTTTTGCAGACCGATGGTAAACCTATCTCGACCCCATGGATGACTCGTCGTCTGGAGAAGATGTCCCTGGAGCTCGGCTTCCAGCGTCTCACCACCGCCATGCGTTTCCGTCACGCCCATGCCCAACCTTTCAAGTCTCACAAAGGTGGGTCCATCTGGCCAGACTCAGAGAGAGGACAATAATTCAACTTACCCACAGTCGCGGTCAATGATATCCCTCACCTCGTCAACCTTCTCAAGGAAGCCAGGGGACGTGGCAATGATGTCGCGTCTATTGAAGAATGTGGATACATGTATGTGACCTCTCAATAGCCTTGAGCTGACCCACAGTCAGCCAGAAGACCAAACCATCGCAGAGGCCCTGGAAGCTTTGAAGGAATGGACCCTCGTGGATCTCTCAACTCCGACGAATCTCAACAATGAGCAGATTGACAACGTGCGACAGGCTAGTGAGTGGACTGTGCATCTGTAACAAAACCTAACACACCAGCCGCCGCTCGCAATGCTCAACTGGAGGCCGCCAGGCAGGACCCCACTGCCACTGATGAAGTCGTCAGGGACTTTGAGTGGATTTACCATGCGGCGAGTAGGCAAGCATTCCGTGCTGTGCTTCTTCAATCTCGAGAGGAGTACTTCAAGGCTAGGCCGGACGACTGGAAGACCACTCGGGTCACTGACGTGTATGTATCGCAGTCAAGCCTGAGCTCCGCACTGTAGCCACTGACCACCCGCCCAGCGACGACCCCAGTCAGGCATATGGCAAGTGGGATGAGTGGCGCCTTGCTCTCACCGGGCTCTCGTCCGATGCCTCAGCCCTCTTAAAGCTGCTCCAGCTCGCTCAGAGGGCCCGCAACTTTGACGCCCCCCAAGTGAACCCCTTCTATGACCTTTTCGATGACAGCAGCGACCGTCGCTACGAGTGTGGCTACATTTGGGACTCTGATCCTGAGGCCGATGACGATGTGGAGACTGAGGGAGAGAGCGAGACGGACGGGGAATAGAGAGGGACACTGAACACTCATGCGCGAGACGGATTTGGGCCGACCTTATATAGCGTATCGCGAACACCAGCACTGCACATAGCTTCCATACCCGCTGCTAGTTCAAACTCATGTTAAAAAACAACACCTGTGAATAACGTTTGGGTACATTGTTCAACAGGCCCGCTGCCAAACTGTACCGTCTCTTTCTCTCCGCCCCATTTCAGTAGAGTCTCCAGTCTTTGAGATACCAGATTCGGCCGCGGCTGCGCCTCACGCTCGCACCCAGCAGGCTAATGAGTGTAAGTAATCTCGCCTTGGACAGCACACGCCGCTCATGCCCACTCACGGGTCGAACGAAAAGGAAATGGGCCTGTCGCGCGATGGTGAATCGCCAATGACCTGTGCGGCCAGGAGGAGCAGTGCAGCAATGTCAGGGTACCTCTCGCGGTCCTCGGTACACAGCCCATAGGGGGAGTGCACAATCTCCCAGCCACCGCCGCGCATGGATGTCGTCCACGCCGCATCCCACATGGCCGCCGACTTGAGTTTCTGGCCCAGAAGAAGGTACTTGAACACGGCCTCCTTGGTGGGCTTGGTGCCGAGCTCCTTGGGGAAATCGGGCGCGCTGGACTCGACATGGCGCGTGAACAGGTCGCGGATCGGGCGGGATACGGCATAGCGCGTCAACATGCCGTTGAGGGATTCGACGTGGGACAGCTTGAGCTTGAGGGTCTTGTTGGCGAAGCGGGGGTGGCCGACATGCATGAGTCGGAGGAGGAGCGCCACGGTCTCGGGGAGTTCTTGGAGCCTGAGGGTGGTGGGCTTGTCCTTGAGGAGGGTGTCAAAGGTCGAGCTGGATCAAGTCAGCAAAAAGCTGGCACATAGGTGACCACCAACGGGACCCACCTTGACAGCATGAGGATGTTGGAGTTGACTTGAAAGGCCACTTTACCCTCGGGCCCACGACAAGTGATGGTCAGGTCTCCCTCATTGTTGAAGTCGGGGTGGAAGTTGTCCTTGATGGTCAGACTGCGGACAGAGGCTTGGCAGTCCGCAACGGAGGTTGAGAGGGAGCTCCCACGTCCGCTGCTGTGCTGTGCGCCCTTTGTGCTCAGGCTGTGAACCGACAGCCTGGAATCTCCCGCGACGGTTGAGAGGGAGGTGTCGCGGCGGCTACGGTCTGCGCCCTTGGTGCTCGCACTGACGCCGGAGGCTTGCCCGTCCTCTAGCTTGCGCACCAAGGCTCGACACTCGGCCCACGTCGCGGAGGATATCTCGCGGCTGCTACCATGCGTGCTCTTGCTGGTGGAGCTGAGGGTCGAGGATCGACGGTCTCCGGCGATGGTTGAGACGGAGGAGGCCGCACGGCTGCGGACTGAGGAGTGGGAGTCTCCGGCGATAGAGATTGAGGTCTCACGGCGGCTGCGGTGCGAGCCCTTGCCGTTCGGACTGAGGACCGAGGACTGACGGGTCTCGGCGATGGTGGAGATGGATGTCTCGCGGCGGTCGCGGGGCATGCTGTCTTCTGTGTCAATGCAAGAAGTGGTCAAGTGGGCAAAGTGACGAACGGTTAGTGTGTGTCGGTGGGAAGCACATCTGGATGCGGTGCCGAGGCGCAGGGGAGGAGCCGCATGGGGGAAGTTGAGTCACTTTGCCGTCCAGAGCCGGATCGGTAAGGTGCCTAGCGCAATCTCGGAAATTGGCCGGTTTGATAACCTGTCGCCTCCCACAGTGGGGTGGTATTGGTCGCAAGAGGCAGATGTATCAGTCCCTAAGAGCTTGGGCTGTAAAAGCACCAGGATTCTGGGCACGACAGATTGAGGCCACACGGGAGACGACAGCTACGCAGCATGGAGTTCAGGCCTGTGGCGAGAGGCACGACTTGCAGCAAATGTCAATAAAGCCCCTAGTAAATCGATATTGCACCGGTCGTGGCTTCTCTGAGAGACCATATTCATCAAAACGTAATAACCATTGCCTTCCGACATCCTCACTACTGTGGCAACAACCAAGTCCTTTTCTTTCAAACTGCCCGTCTCGCCGTCACCTCTGCAGCCCTGCGCCACGCGCCACGCCGCCTATCCTTACTCGGTATCCTTGTGGACACCAACCTCGCCAAACTGCTCCTCGGTGTCAATGACGTAGTCACGGAAGTCGCGAGCCTTGACACCCTTGGAGAAGAGAATGTCGAGGTCCTCAAAGGTCTTGCCACTTGTCTCGGGGAGACGGAAGTAGGACCAGATAATGACGAGGACGATGAAGAAGGAGGGAATGAACGCAGCCTTGCCCTTGAGGTTGGCCTCGGTCGGGTTGAGGATGTACGGTGAGACGATGGTGTTGATGATGGTGATGATGTACTGGAGACCACGAGCGATACCGATAGTCTTCTGACGGATCTGGGCCGAAGGCGTCTCTGCGGCGATGACGAACGCGACAGGACCCACGGACCAGCCGTAGCCAAAGAACCAGAGGATCAGGACTGAACCCTGTGCCCATTGGATGGCAGGCGTCTGCTTGACGCAAGCGAGGATTCCGACACACAGCATGGTGGGAAGCATCCAGAAGAGACCGGACATCCAGATCGTGTAGCGCTTGAAGCGCTGCTGGAGGGGCATGGCGAGGAGGGTGCCGAAACCGGCGACGCCGTACGTGCCGAGAGTGAGCTTGAAGGCGTCGGCAGTGGCCATGCCGGCCTGCTTGAAGAGGTAGGTCTGGTAACCCTGCACAACAAATCCAACAAGGGCCTGTGCGCACCACGCGACAATGGCAATCTCGGTGCGGCGGCGGTCGACACCCTTGAAGCAGTCGCCGTACGAGGTACCGAAATCAAGGTTCTTCTCGAGGTTGACAGTGTGCTGGATGAGGGCGCAGGCGTCCTCGTGGTTGACGTCCTTGGTCGAGAGGCGAGCGAGCGACTTGACTGCATCCTCGTTGCGACCGCGACGGACGAGCCACCAGGGGGACTCTGGGGCAAAGTACGCGCCAATGAAGAGCCACAGAGGGAAGATCCACTGGAGGGCAAGAGGAATCTTCCAGCCCCACTCCGAGGTGTTGCTCTGCAGACCTGTGAGGACACCAGCGCCCATGATGTGACCGATAACCCAACACATGTTGACATAGGTGGGTCCGTAGTGGCGGAGGGCGAGGGGGAGTACCTCGACAGCGTAGGCGGCTTTGGTCTGTCAGTAGAGTTTCATGAGAGCGCGAACACGGAATAACTCACGCGCAATGACATTGAGGCATCCAAACGGGATACCACAGAGGAGCTGCCCGGCAAGAAGCATACCAGCATTCTTGGCGTCAAAGCTCAGAGTGAAGAGGCCAGTGAGAAGGACCAGGGAGACCATGATCACCTTGCGGTCTGTGGTATGTCAGTGGGTTGGCTGAAGAGATGCTGGATGCCAACTCACGCCCAAAGCGGTCAACGACGAAACCGTTGATGTAGATACCGACGACGATGCCAGCCACTGAGGCGACACTGAGAGCAGTCTGCCACCGAGCAGGGACCGAGTAGGTGCCATTAGGGAGCTTCTCGCCAAAACGCTTGCTGAACGTGGGGTAGGCGTAGAACGAATTGAGCTTGAAAGACAGTGTCAGCAAGGGTTCTTCCAACGTGTCCCCACGGGGTGGCTCGAACCACCAACAAACTCACCAGAATGGTGGCGTACGACTCCATGACGATGTTCATAGAAACGATGAAGGAACAGAACAGGGCGCTCTTGTACCAGCGGAACGCCTGTCCAAGAGTCATGCTCTCCTCGGCCGCTTTGCCGCGCATGGCAGCGGCGACGAGAGCCTCATCCTGGTAGTCGGCGTGGTGTTCGTCGTGGGCCAAGGTCGCGGCGACTTCCTTCTCTGGAAGCGTGGTCATGGTTGCAGGTGATGTGGTGGGGTAGGGGGCTGAGCCAAGCTGTGAGAAGACGGGGGATCGTCGTCCCTGCTGACGTACCATTTATATCGTCTTCAAGTTGTTTTCATCTCCCATCCGCCTCGGCTCCAGGAATCAATCGAGGACGCGGAGGAACCTGTGGACGGAATACGGCGCGCATAAGCCGTCACCTGACTCGGTGTGCTCACCAAGCAGCGGCGAGTTGGCCGGTGGAGAGCAGCAATGTGAGATGCCTCTCGAGCGGTGGAGCAGGACGGGCTCCCGGGTACATGGGGTGACGGCGAAGCCCCCGGGGATACGACTGGGAGATTCTCGGATGAACAGAATGGGGAAAGGTGGGCAGGGACGATGCCAACTGAGGGGATTCGTTGTCGGAACTTGAGTTTTGGGATGAGTCTTTAAGTTGGACTTCGTACTTCGAGATGAGGAGGGGAGAGGAGTTCGAGATCATGGCAGTGGGTTTCTTTATATTCCAGATCGTCGTCTTCAAGCAATTAACCTAGACCACTGAAGTCGAAGCCGACGCTGATAATGATACAACGACAACGCCCAAGCGAGGCGTTCGGCAACTCTGTTCACGGACCTGGCGCTGCACAGGGTGTGACCAGGGGTGCTGCACTACGCAGTATCTTCCCTGCTCTACATTTGCACTGAGGTGTGGGGCGCCGTACAGTAAAACGACGTCGTGCAATGGCACCATCTAGGCATCATCAGTGCACTCTGTGTCGCCAAAACGCAGCCTTCTCGCGATTCTTGTTCGACATCCGTTTCGCACTTTTCGTTTGGTTATCTTTCGCGGCGGGACCCCCCCCCCCCCCCCCCCCAACTCGCACCGTTTGCACAAGCACGTCCCGAAGGTTTCACGAATACCGTCCACAATGGTTCACGCGGTCTCGGACAGGTCTTGGCATGGTTTGAATGCCGTCCTGTGCGGAGAACACGCGACTCGCGATAGTGGCCCCACGGGTTTCTGGGGATTTCACGAATAATTGTCGAGAATTCCTTATGTATTCGAGGAGGGCTGTCAGCAGCTTGAATACAGGCGTGCGCGGGGCCGAGGTGGAAAGAGCGGGCTCCACCTTTGGCCCCACAGTGTTATGGGGTTTTCACGAATAACTCTGCCCAGAATTGCTCATGCAGTTATCCGATCTCGGATGAGTTCTTGATTGCCGGCGTGTGTTCCGCAGATAGAACATCCAACCGGAGCAATGCCTGCTCCACAGGCATGCGACTGCTGTGCCCCTGAATCTTGGGTGAGCCAATTGCGCACAGGACCCACAGTCCGAGAGTCCTGTGGTGGACGCTGGTCTCATGCGGCGTCGTGCTCTTCTCCATGTCAGGCATTGTTGAGCAACGTTTGTCAACACCAAACAACCGTTTCGGACCGACGGAGAAAACTCGGTGTTTTCCATTAGCCACGGACAAGGCCGACAAGTGGGCTTCCATAACCCATGTTCACGGCAACGGGCTCCACTTGGTTCTTCGTTTACAACGCCAAGCTGACCAGATCATCTCGAATACCAACGGGGCAGACGCAGCCGCAGTCGGCACACACGCCGCTCGCGTCATCGATAAAGTGGAACGAACCGTGACTTTATACTTCAACTCGTTCTCATCCACCTCCCTTCCACAGCTGTGCCGATACCTCTCACACCATCGCGACCATGACGTCCTCCCGCCCCAACATCATCTTCATCATGTCGTGAGCCAGCTGTCAGGGCCATGAGCTCACCCGCACAGTGATGACCACGCTGCCAAAGCCATCGGGTGCTACGGCGCTGGCATCAACAAGACACCGAACCTGGACCGCATTGCCGAGGAGGGCGTCAAGTTCAACCACTGCTATGTGACCAACGTGAGTTCTTGCCTTCTACAAAACGTGAGCTGACCAACAGTCCATCTGCACTCCCTCCCGCGCGACCATTCTCACTGGAACCCACAACCACACCAACCTCGTGAGCTAGCTGATCCTTGCGCCGCCCTGCAGAGGGGTGACAGCTGACAGTCAGGTGCACACCCTCGACTCGAAGATCGACAAGCTGTTGCCCAACGTCGCCAAGCAGCTCCGTGCCCATGGAAACTACCAGACTGGCATGGTCGGCAAATGGCATCTGGGCGAGGGCAAGGCGCACCAGCCGTCCGGCTTTGACTACTGGGACATTGTGCCCGGCCAGGGCCAGTACTTTGATCCAATGTTCATCACCGAGAAGGGCATGAACAAGGAGCACGGATACGCGACCGACATTATCACGGACAAGGCAATGAACTGGATCTCCAAGCGCGACAAGGAGCGTCCCTTCTTTATGCAGGTGCACCACAAGGCGCCCCACCGTTCGTGGGAGTGTCACCCCAAGCACCGTGACCTCTACAAGGAGGACATTAAGCTTCCCGAGACGTTCACGGACGACTACAAGACCCGCGCAAAGGCGGCCTCGGTCGCCAAGATGAAGGTGACCATGGACATGACCTACTTCGACCTCGGACTGGCGCAGCCCGAGGGTGGTTCGGAGGTCGGCGAGCCTCTGGCGCCTGGGTACTGGATGATTTCCGACCGCCGCATCCCCTTCCCCGAGGACGTGACCAAGATGCGGCCCTTGATCGACAAGGAGACGGGCGAGAGCTTTACCTTTAAGACTCAGGAGGAGCTCGCCAAATTCAAGTACCAGCGCTACATGCAGCGCTACTTGCGCACAGTGCAGTCGATTGATGACAACGTGGGCCGCCTGCTCGACTTCTTGGACGCCGAGGGTCTTGCGGACAACACCATGGTTCTGTATACTTCAGACCAGGGCTTCTTCCTCGGCGAGCACGGCTGGTTTGACAAGCGTTTCATCTACGAGGAGTCTTTCCAGATGCCTCTGATGGTCCGCTGCCCCGGGCTCATCAAGCCCGGTACCGTCTGCAACGACATTGTCTCCAACGTCGACTTTGCGCCCACATGGCTCGAGTACGCCGGTCTCCGCAAGCCAACGTACATGCAGGGCGACTCGTTCCTCCCGTCCCTCAAGGGCGAGGACTACCAAAGCCCCGACCAGGTCGCGTACCACCGCTACTGGATGCACGCCGAGGAGTTCCACAACGCTTATGTGAGCTCAAAGCCCTTCTGGAGATGGACCAACAGCTGACATCCAGGCCCACTACGGTATCCGCGGACGCCGGTACAAGCTCATCTTCTGGTACAACGAGGGCCTCGGCCTGCCTGGCACCGGCCCCGACGACCCGGAGCAGGAGTGGGAGCTGTTCGACTGCGACGAGGACCCGCTCGAGCTCTTCAACCTCTGGGGCAACGATGGCGCCGACCTTGCGGACGTGCGCGAGAAGATGGTCCGGCTCCTCGAGGCCAAGATGGAGGAGATTGGCGACATCCCAGCGCACCCCATTGGCCTGCCTGCCGACAGGCTCAAGGAGATGTACGTCCCCGGCGCCAACATCTCAGCGCGCGCACAGGCGCACAACATGTAGACTACCTCCATCACATCTAGTTCAGTTTTATTTTGCGCTTGTATGGAAGAACGCGGATTTGGGATGCCACATTATTCACAGCAACATCAGCACTACTGTACTAGGCTTGGGCAACCACTCAGGTCCACAGTGTCCAATGCCGGTCGTGCCTCGTGCAGATTTCCAACTGAACCACCTCATATATCCGCCGGGCTGGTGTTTGGCCAGTTGCACAACGGCGGGGGCGAACGGTGCTCCGGTGGCTTACATGGCCTTCTCGGATGAGCGTTGTGGCGTTTATGAAAGCTGCCCAGTCCCCGGTGACACACGGCTCAACTCTGCGTGATCGGCTGCGGACGATCTTATCTGGGTATTCTATGACCTCGTTTCAGGGGGGGGGGGGGGGGAGGTTTTGCTGGCTGCACAGAGCCTACCCAAGGAAAGCCTGCAACGAAAATGTTTTGCTTTCGAGGTCAGTCCCGTTTGATACACCAACCCGCTGGATGCCGGCCCCGGCTGGCAGCCTCCTGGTAGCTCTCTCGCTCGCGCCTGCAGATGTTAAAGGTAGCGAGCAGTGACGCGAACCTTCGCACTGGGTCTCCCGCGAACTTTGCCGGAAGCAAGATCTGGCGAGGACCTCGGCACCCTTGGCGGCCCTTGAGACGACGTCACGGCCGCGGCCGGTTAAGGCTGGGTGTTATTTACGTCTTGGCGTCAGCTTGCTAGGGTCATAACTCAGAGAAAAATTCACGAGGCTGACCTGGCTGGGGCTGACGATCGCTGGATCGCTGATCGGGCGTGGTTGCGCTGAGAACTCTTGTCATTTGACATGTGTGGCACTCGACAACAACCAGTGGAAATAATTCTGTCTAAACGTTCGTGTTTGGATCGTGTGACCATGATACCGTGTAGCTCCCAATTTCTAGATCTACAGATCTCGTGAGTTTAACCCTCTCTGCCAAGGCCCGTCGCTGCGGGCCATTGGGTGCGATAGCAAAGCATGCTGCTGAACTCTGGGCATGGTTATCGTCGTGGATGTTCCGACGGGAAAACTCGACCGCCACAGGTCCGTGAACAGTACCAGGTCACACCTAGATGGTCTTACGTAACCTGTATTTCGGATAAATACTAAAAGATATACATAAAACTAATGCCACGGGACGAGCGGGGCGGCCCTAATGCGGGCTAAAGTGGACGTAATGCATCAGAGTATGTTGCCCCACCTAATGGGTGGCCCCGCGCGCTCCCGCGGTGACAATCGAGGAACTGGGACTGGTCCTGGCTGAGAGGACGACGACGACGACGGCCGCGGGCGGGGACAGGCCGTGCAGAGGACGAAAGGATTAGAAGGAGGCTGCCACTGGCCACTGGGCGTGCTTGTAAAGGGAATGGGGGGGCCACAAAATGAGCAATGGCGCCAAAACGCGGGAAATCTACAGTACAACCGCCACCATTGTACCCACCAGCGACCAGAGACACCCGGCCCAGCCGCGCGCACCCCCACACTGGGCACATTCCTAAGCTCGTAGGCATATTGTGTCTCATCTCCGTCTTGCTCCCATCCGCAACACACACACCCATCCACAGCCTCTAGATTACCCAATCCACCACCACAACCACCTCGTTCCTCCTCCACCATGGGCGCAGACCAGAAGCCCTTCTCAGAAGGGCCAGCGCAACAAGAGCCTTCCAGTGGCAAGGCCCCCAGAAGCTGGGTGCCCCGCGCATGCGACCGCTGTACGTTTTGCCGCCAATCCACCACCACGTTTAGATTGCTGACAATTGCGACACAGGTCGTAAACGCAAGGCTCGATGTGGTACGTCAAAGCTGCAAACCTCCTCCCATCCCAGGACATGGACGCTAACGATGACGCAGACCAACAAGTACCGTGTCGCAACTGCGCCGAGGCCAGTGTGACCTGTACCCACGACGCGCCAGTCCTCAAGCGTGGTCCTAGACCAAAGTGCGTTTTCTTTTGCGGAGGGAAGTCGGCCCACCTCGGCATCTTGTGCCCTTGCTTGTCTTGACCCATGCCATACGTCAGCCACTGACATCCACCAGGCCACGCAACCGTGACGTCGAGAGTCGTCTGCGCAACCTCGAAAGCCTGCTGGCCAGCATCTCCAATGGCGGATCGTCGGCTGCGATTTCCTTGTCGCGTCGCGAGCTCGACCAGATCCGCGTTGCAGCTCACATTACGCCTGGCCCAGACACCTCACCTTCCTCGGACGAGACTAGACCCACATCTGCCTCGGCGCAGCAGACTTGGGCTGCTGGCCAGACGCCAGCCGTGGATGCTGTGGGAACTCCGGGCTCGGTCGTCGCCGCGACGCCGTCCACTGTTCCGGCTCCCCTTGCAGCAGCTTCTCAACCCGACGTGGACAACTATGTCCCGTCCATCGTCTTTGACCCCTTTGGCGTCCCCACACCTTCGCAATCCCTCCCAGACATGAGCGCCAACCCCCAGCTGCAGCAGACCATGTACGACCCCGCGGCGGCTGTCCCGGCCTACAACCCCTCGGGCGGCGTGAGAAGCCCCGTCGCGAGCAAGGGCCAGGACCTGCTCTACCGCGACGCCGAGGGCCAGACCAAGTGGCTCGGTCCGTCCAGCGGCATGCCGTTGCTTGACCGCCTCAAGGTCAATGGCCAGCAGCAGTGGAACCCTCCTCTGGACGACAATGGCAACGCCTTGACCGACGAGTGGATGTCCTTGTCCAACGCCATTGGTGTCGACGTTGAGCACACGACGCTAGAGGAGTTTGCCACCTCGGGTGGCCCTCCCACGGCTGCGGTGTCTCCCTCGAGCTCGAACGACGACTTTTTGTGGGAGCGCGTCACCAACGTTATCCCTCCAGACCTCATCGACGCGCTCGTCAGGTCGTACTTTACCATCAGTCACCTTTGTGAGTTACATCTCACGCCAATGTGATGACTGACCCCGCAGTGTGGCCGATTCTCCACGCGCCGACGTTTATGCAGTCGTACGTGTCGGCGGACCACCGCAAGAACCCCTCTTTCGTCTCCCTCGTCCTCTCCATCTGCTCCTTGTCGTCCCGCTACACCCCGGACGCGCGTCTGCGCGCCACGACGGCGACTGGCAACATTCTCGCCCTGGACCTCATTGCTCTCGCCAAGGAGGTCATTTCGTCGACTGCCGCCGAGCGCTCCGACCTCTACCTCGTACAGGCGCTCTTCAACCTCGCAGTTGTGCAGGAGGGTACAGCCAGGACGAACCAGCTCTGGTGGTACCTCAGCCAGGCCGTCAGCATTGCCATGGACATGGGTCTCCACCGCCGCAAGGACGAGTACCACTTCACCGCTGTCGACTTGGAAGAGCAGAAGCGCACGCTCTGGGCGCTGTACTGCCAGACCGTGCAGGCGAGCTGCACGTACGGTCGTCCTTCCATGCTCCGCCTCCAGGACATTGAGCTGGACGAGCCGGCAGCTGTTGACGACGTCTACATCTCCGTGGACAGGGGCATTGGCACCCAGCCTCCAGACCGCCCCTCAGTCATGGCCGGCTTTGTCGCTGGTGTCCGCCTCCACATGATCCTTGAGAGGACGATCCGGCGCGTCAACCACGTTGTGCGCGAAGCCGACGAGACCAACCCCTCGTTCATCGACCTCGTGTCGTCGGTTTCGCCTCGCACGTTCCGTGTCGAGGACGAGCTCGAGCTCCTCCCTCACATCACCGATGGCCTCGTTGGCGACTGGTCCTTCTCACCCTCGACCGTGTCCGACTCGGACAGCGTCCGCTTCTTCCAGCGCACCCGTGTCTTCACTCTGCAGCAGTTTGTCCGCCTCCTCTCCGCGCGCCAGCGCTTCACCGAGATGCTCGGCTCGGACGCTTCCAGCGGCAACGCCGAGGAGCAGCCCCTGCTGCAGCAAATCACCCAGTCGGCCCTGGGCATTATCGGCACGTACTCGATCATCGACACCCAGGCGCGTCTCGACTACTTTGGCGCCCACGCCATCTCGCAGCTCACCCAGGCTGGCGCAGGGCTCATCGGCGTCATCCTGCACGTCCGGTCGGCCACGTTGCCGGGCAGCGACAGCGTGCTCCAGGTCGCGCTGCAGGGTCTTTGCGCGAGCATCCTCGTGCTCAGGAAACTTGGCCAGCGGGTAAGTTGTGTATGACACAAAAGTCGGAAGCTGTGAGCTAACAAAAACCGCAGCGCCCAGCGGGAAACCGTTCTGCCGAGCTTCTCCTCGAATTCGCCCGTGCCTGCCGTATTGCCATCCCCGGCCTGCCCGGAGACGCACCAACGCCCAGCAACGTCGAGGTGCCAATGCTGCGTGCGCTGCCGCGCCGGTCCAACTCGACCACTGGACCGCGTCCCGACCAGTCGCTCAGCCAGGCCCAGTTTGACGAGTGGCTCGGCATCGCCCTGCAAGGTACTGGCGACGTGTGGATGGGTCCGCCAGACCAGGCGTCCTTCACTCCCGACCCGGGAGCGGGCTACGTGCAGGTGTAGGTACGGCGGCGGTGGCGGGTGAATGACGCATGCGCAGAGTGTGAAGGAGGATGGAGAGTCGACGGACGCTAGGTGTAATAGTAGTGTACGTATACCAGTGTCACGATCTGGCCACAATCGTAATGGAATCTTGTATGCGTGGACTGTGTGGACGAGCTGGACATTCGTTGTCGCGACTCTTGTCCAGTCGGACGGCGACTGACATTTTCCGTTGTGACTGTGACAGTTCGGCCCAAAAATTCAATGATAGGCGAGGCGCGAGGGGAGGTTGTGGCGACTGAAATCTGTTTTCAGCCGAACTTGACGCGGCGACCAACCCCATCGCGCGCCCCAGATCGCCCAAAAATACGCGAAAGTCAAGTCTTGACAATCTGAAACCCAACGACGCAAAGATGTCAGCTGCCGCGGACGACCGCGTGCAAAGTGGTCTAAATAGCAGGCATATCCCGAACTCGACAGTCGTGTCCCGTGCAAGCTTCGTCAACTCACTGGAACACAGCAAGCTGGAAACTGGATTTGATTCTCAGGAATGAAGCCGCAACGAAGCCGGGACGAGAGCGGAGTTGGCGGTCGACGGTTAATTATTGATTAGATTTCTGCCGGCATTCCATTTTGCGTGTCTTTGCACCGTGGGCCGCGGGGACACCGTGGTACTGTGGTACCGTGAGTCCTGCCAGGCTTTGTACTGGGCTGGAATACGTCGCACGATGTGAAGAAGGATAGGAGGGTCTCGACCCTTGGACAGCTTGAGGCAGACGAGCGTTCTGGCCGCCACAAGCCTCTCAGTCGTCACAGGCAAGAAGTCTAGTCACTGCATAGCATTCTTTGGCTGTACTAATCACTACCGTTTTGTTTCTCGGACACACCCGCAGACGACATTGCATGGGGTTTCTGACGCACGAGTGTGCTTGCCTACGAGCGAGGACGAGGAGGTATGCCGGGTGAGATCCGGCTCGCGCGAGCCGATGCCGAGCCACAGTTCTGATGGTCTGCCCAAGCCACCTCCCCAGGTCATATAATATCATTGTTTGGGCCATGATCAGAACCCATTCACACTTTCACATACTGCAAGACATACATTGTAGGCTACAAGAGTGGTGAGGGCGGAAAAGAAGTCATGGGCGGTGATTAGTCGACGGCTCGCGCGAATCGATCGAAAACCTCGTCCGGCTCGCGCGAGCCGCCACAACCCATCCCACAACCCGTCCCATTGCACAAGCCGGGCAGGTCACTGAATACGCATCCTGCATGCTGCTGTACATGGCCTTATTCGAGAAGGACCATGCAACCATTCCCTCAAACACACCCAAAGACACCGTTCCAGAGCGTTCGCTCGTGGACGAGTGACTGGTCATCGCTCAGCTCGCGCGAGCCGGAAGAGGTTTACGGCGAGCCGTAGCGCGCCACATTGAGCTGTGCGTCTGCGACCACCACTCCCGACAAACCACTGCATATCATTGTGTTTTGCTATAATCACAAGCACTTTGCTGCTGCCAGAGACGCACATCCTCCCTCCCTTCCAATCCCACTGCGCTCACTCAATACCGACGCCGCTGCCACCGACGTTCTCCGCGTCCACGCCCTTGACGCTGCCGGTGGGCGGCGGCTCGCAAAACTCCTCCACGACCGTGCGCTCGGGATCCCACACCCCGGCGGTCCAGTACACGTCGTCCCTGACGCGCGCCCACGCGGCCTCGAGCGACGGGTAGCGCAGGAGCATGACGCTGCCGCCCATGGGCTGGACGCCCTCGGGGAAGAGGTTGGGCGTGGTGCGCAGCGCCGAGGTGGGCGGCGGGAGGATGGCGCGGCCAAACTCTGTAAGAGAAAGAGAAGAGAAGAGAATACGGTCAGTCGGGGTGTTGTCTCTACGCTCACTGGTAGTGTGCACTGCTGTTGTGGACGTACCCGCGCGGCCGGCCTGCTGGTCTACCTTGAACTCTGCAAAGTGCTGGGCGCGGACCTTGAGCCGCGTCTCGACGACGGTCGGGCCGATGCGGTCGGGGCAGTATGCGAGGAACAGCGAGGTGCGGGGCTTGGGCGGCATGATTGCTGGCTGTGCTGGTATCCGTGGACTGAGTGTGGAGGTGGTGTTGTTGGCGTTACGCGTGGAGAGTTGCAATGACGCTGACGCTGGTTGGTGTAAAGCCGGCCGAGTCTGGCGGCTGAGGTCCGAGACCGAGAGGAGAATGAAGACGGCGCTGTGGTGTGTGGGCTATCGCTCAAACGCAGGGGTGCAGTGGCGTTTACTTGTCAATGTGTGTTCCGCTCCGCGAGTGTAACAGCGTGGGCCAGATGGCGAGCGAACGGAGAGGCCGGTGGTGATGAGTAAGATTGCACAAAGTGACAATGTGGGCCCCGTGGGATTTGGTGAGATCCGATTCGAGCGCAACGGTCGGTTACATCTCGGGCTCTTTTGCCCACCTGCAACGTTCATCCGCGCCCATGTGCCATATGGGACAGAGCTTGGAGGCGCCTCGATAGCAACAATGGGAGGTTCTGGCAAAAGAGGTTACACGCGGTACAGCGCTTGTTGGTGGCTGTGTATCGTTTGTTCATGCGTGGAGCGCATGGACACGATATCATGGAAGACTCGAGAAACGAAACGAAACCGCGTGTCACCTCGCAAGGTCCGAAACGGTTGTTATCTCGTCCCGAGCCACGGCTGCTGTCAGTTGACGAGTTTCGCAGGTGGCCGTCCACCGTGGCCCATCTCGTACTGCACCATCCCGCTGCTAATCACGGCCACTCCCCCTGCATTCCTCCGGGTATATCGCTACTGACGCAGATACGACTCGATCCAGAAGAGCCCTGTTGTTATGGAGCAAATGTACGGCGCCGGATCCTTCTCAAACTTCTTACCTTTGCTTCTCCTCCACCTCCACCCCCACTCATGCCTTCTTGTTGGCCGCAGCGTGGCTCGCGTTGATCTCACGCACGGCCCAGGGGATGATGAGACCGGCACCGGGGCCGGCAAGCGCCGAGATGCCCACGATGGGCACGAGGGCGACGAGCGAGCCGGACGTGAAGACCACGAGCGAGGCAACGGTGGCAGTGACAAAGACAAAGTCCCACACGAAGAGGAGGTGGGCGCCGTACGAGAGCGGGGCGAGGAGCGGGGCCGGGTTGACGAGGAACACGTCCTTGATGTCCAGGCCGTTGGGGTCGAGGACCGTGCCCTTGACGAGCGCGACGTGACCCTGTACGGACGCGGCGGTGCCGAGGGCCGCAATGATGACAATGGCCGGGATGCGGGTGTGCTTGTGTCCCAGGCCGACGGCGCGGAGGATGGGCGGGAGCACGAGGGCGAGCGCGCAGGTGTATACGGGGAAAGGCTGCCAGATGGACAGCGCGCGGTACGACCAGTTGGTGGACACGACGTGCGCAAACGTGCCGTTGAAGGTGACCAAGGTGGCCACGAGCGCTGTCCAGATGTACTCGGCCGCAGGCGGGGCGACGGGCCCGTCGCCGCTCGACAGGGCCGAGAAGATCATCTGCAAGGGGGTGCTGCACCCCGCGGCGATGAGCTGGCCGAGAAGGAGGAAGAAGGAGCTCGCGCGCGCGAGCGTGCCGGTGACCACATTGGCGCGACGGTACTGGGGCCTGAACCCTTCGTACGTCGACATGAGGACCGTGCAGAAGAAGACGGCGCCAAAGGTCTTCATGAACAGGACGGCCGCGGGCGACTCATTAGACGAGATGAAGATCGAGTTGAGGACGCAGTTGATCTGGTCAAGCTTGGGGCCCAGCCATGGGTAGTGCTCGAACCCAGGCTTGGCGAAGCAGGCGGCGCTCTGCAGAACGGGGCCGTGGGCCTTGTACGCCTGCGACTTGAGCACTGGGGTGTGTGTGTGTGGTCAGTGTTGTGTACGTCCGTGTCCATCTCTATCCTCACTCACCCATGGGGCCGTGGATGATCTTCCATGACGCGCCGAAGAGGGCGGTGAAGTATGCCGCGCGGAGGAGGCCCATTGTTGTTGTTGTTGTGGAAAAAAGTTGTCTGTGTGTGCGTGTGTTATGTGTGGGGCGAATGACGTCGGCGGTCGATTGATGACGGCAAAGGGGGGCTCCAAGCTGCGAGGAGTGCGTGTGCGTGTGTGGGGGAATCGACTTGCCCCAGTCCTGGAAGGAATGGAATGCACAGAGTGGATCGCTGGTGGATGGCCAGTATGTCGGTGGATGCGAGAGGGAGAGAGACGTGGCAATGGACAAGAAACGCTGGAATGCATGCGGGGGGCCACGGGGGTTCTGGCGTCGTTTGCTAGAGCGGTCAGAGTGACCCAGCGCTCGCCGTCGACCGGGCGGCCATATTGCCATTCGGGCACGGGCACTGCGGATAAATCAATCATTAAGGCGCGGGCTAGGTGGTATATCTCCGTCCGTGGATGTGGCAGAGTGGCACGAGTAGTGGTCGGGGGACTGGCGCAGAGAAGAAAGAGTAGGGGTTCTGATCCTGCATGCAACAAGTAGGTAGTTTACATGCGAAAAGTGTGGCGATGGTCCGCGTTGAAGCCGCCCTGAACACATATTGGCACGGCCTCCAGTTGCACAGTTGCGTCAGCAATACGGACGCTGCTGACGCTGAGCCAAGGAACAGCGCACTGGTGGCAGGTGGGCTCTGTCAGTGGGCAGGGCACAGTGTCACTCCAACAAAGAAAGAAGAGCAGGCAGTCGAGTCGTCTGACTGTAGGCGACATAAAAACAACCGCGAAGCGCCACACCATCGCGCTGCATAGTCGCTCCGACTGAACCCCAATCGCATCCCCACCGACCTTCCACCAGCCATTGGCCCCACAGGTTCCGCGCATCCCCATAGCCCCATATCTCTCACGATCTCTCGGCCCGGCGTGACTGTCCGAGCCCCACGCTTCAACAACAAACGAACAACGACAGCAGCAGCAAGAATCGGCCCGGGACCGCGCCGCGCCGGTACCGGGTGGTTCTATCGGGGAAGGGTGCGTGCGTGCGGTACGGCGCCGGCGCGGTCCCGGGGCCGACATTGACATTTTTGGTACATTGGTATTGACATTGACGCTCGTGCTCACATGGGCGCCGCGGCACAAGGGACACGACGGTACCCCTCGTGGCCTTGCCTCGTCGCATGCACGCACGCACGCACATGGCCATGCGCGGAGTACCCCGCTGCCCGCTGCCCGCTGCCTGCTGCTTGCTGCCCGCCGGTCGATCCTCGCGTCCAGGATTAGACCACACATGCCATCTGGCCAACCACGACGTATTGGTCCGCTCTCTCGCCCCTTTGTTTGTGTGGCGTGATGTTGGCGTGAGGAGTGGGGTATCAGCCCGGGGTAATGAGGTCAAGTACCAATGCGGGACAGACGCCTTCATCCCCCCCCCCCCCCCCCGCCCGCGCGTGGCGTGCATTGCGTGTCGCTCATGGTGCTTTAATAGACACGATTGTGAATGTATCTGTCATAGCCGGTGGCTGCTCGTGTTCCGGCAAGCCAGTTGCAGTGTGTACCCGGGCGTCCGCCTGTCCATGTTTTTCACAATTTTCGTGCCAGGCATTGTCTCTGGTCTGTGCCACTTGGTGTCGTGGCGTCTGCTGGTACCCGCAGAAAAATCCTGGGAATCCTGATTGCCCCCCCCCCCCCACCTGCCAGGCCTGCCACCTGATATCTCGTGAATGGCTATCCTGAGAACAGATCTACGCCTAATCTGCGTCTCCCTGTGATACCACACCCCGTGCGGAGTACCGGAGTGCCGTCGACCTCGTCGCTCGGGGCGGACTTGTCGCTTGCGGACATATGCACACACTGTCATCTCCAATCGCCGAGTCCGCTTATCCCGCTCTGAACTCCGGCACCGGCTCTCACCATCTCACTGGCCACGGCCGTACGATCCCAGAGTTCACACGCGGCTCGCGGGGCTCGGCACCACGGCATTACGCCGAGGAGGCCAGACGGGTGGGGGGCGGGGGGCACACCATAGAGTCGCCGAGAAACGCGCCGAGAAACGATAAGCGGCCCTCCCGACAGCTGACAGCCCAGTAAGATGCGGCCCGGGCAGAAGTGTCTAGAAGGTGGCTGTGGCTCGGCGGCGTAGTAGGCACGCGGTCCCACGCCGTGTTCGCGCGCGCGTGCACGCCGCGGCCAGTGCCACTGGCCAGTAGTGGGTACACGGTCGCAAGATACTCCAAGAATACGTGATCGTGTTTGGACTTGTTTGAGGCTCACGGCATGAACCTGTGGCACCTGTGGCCATCTGCACTGCTGATCGGGGAATGTCTTGTGCGCCGCGTGCATGTCGCGCTGTGGCGTGATGTGAAAGGAAATCGGTAAGCGACCTGGCTGGACTGGATCCCTGGGCGATCGTGGCAGGCAGTGGCAACGATCAGGACAATATCGAACCCACCCGCCATGCCCCCCCAGGCTCAGGTTAGGTTTCCAAGCCCGTTGAAAGCGCGAAACTGTGTCATGGACCGATAATGACCGAATGACCGATGAGCTTGCACGCTTTCCGCCATCCACCTTCCAATCCGACCTACAGTACTTACTCCCCTCCCTGTCTAGGCCTCGGTCTCGCAGCGGTGTTCGCTTGACGCTTAGCTTCCAAACTTATTTCTTCTTAGTGGCTGTATTTATTAGACCGAGACCGAGATGCCCGATGTCTCAGAGTGTCTCAACCGTGACAACCCCCGTCGCCAGGCCGACTAGCTGCATGGCGCCGTTCGTTCGTTGCCTCCGTCCGTCGGTCGTCCGCCGTCCGTCGTACGGCATCGGGCTCGGGAGCACGCGGTGGCGGTGGACTGGCGCCGCGCGCAGCACCTGCGTTGTTCCATTTTCGTCTCTTTTCTCACCCTCACCCTCGCTGGCCCCTCCAGGCGTCGGTTGGGGCTGGCCATTGCGCTGCTGCTGTTGCTGCTGCTGCCGTCGGCAGGACGGAACGTGGATGGACGACGTCACCGACGTGCATGTCATCCCAGTCGTCAGTGGCCAGTGGGAGCGGGGGGGAGGCGGGGAAACTGCGGCTGAATCGTGCGAAAATAAAGGGCAAAAAAAGGAGAGGAAAGGAGACAGGAAAAGACACACAGGGGTGTGGCCGGTGTGGGCAGTTGTGGCGAGCGAGGGAAACCTGTATGCAAGGGCACATGTGGCGAGTGGCACGATACGATACGATATCCGACATCCATGCGCGGGTCTTGCACCGCACGCAGATGAGAGCATGCCCCATGCCCAGACAAGAGACCAGACCAGACCCCCCGCCATGCCGCCACCGCCCACTTCCTGCAGCAGCACATGTGTCGTTGATCCGTGCAGGCAACGGCAGGCAGGCGTGCAACGGCGTGCGCGTGCGCGTGCGCGTCCAAAAACGTGCGGCGTGCGGCGTGCGGCGTGCGTCCCGTCTCCTGCCGCCTGCATTCCACGTTCTGGCGCAGATCACACCGACGCAAAACCCATCCCAGCCCTCTCACCTCACCCTCAGCTCACCCTCAGCTCACCCTTTGTGTGAGATGGGGGTGTGGCAAGGACAAACGTTCGAGCTGGTGGAACGCACACGATTAATGCCGAGTTTAGCATCAAGGGGCACCCCCTATACCTACCTACCTACGCTTCACCCTCACCCAGTCGGCGTCCTGATCATGACAGCGTCTCGGCTCAACGGCAGATCTCTGGCTCTGGCTCTGGCTCAGCCGTGCTCACAAACGACACCACAGTACCACAGGCAACACGAGCACGCGAATGGCACTGGACTATATGGCACATGCAGCCGTTCGGACATGCTCGGACAGGACAGCGGGACAGAGGCACAGACGACCTCACCGGTACGGTTTCGCTTGCCCAAGCACCCCCCTTTGGCCCCGGCCACCCCCGAGAGATCTGGCCCAGTCGGCCAGTCACTTTAGCGCTGCAATCTTCGATTTCGTGGCGGTTCTTGGCTCTTGGCCTCTTGGCGAAAAAAGTGTGCCCCGATGGGGGTGCGCGCGGGGGTGGGCTGGACGGTGGGGGGCACAGTGTGGCCGCAGTGGGTCTGTGGCTGTGTGGGCTGCCACTATGCATTATGACTTGTGTTCTCGCCCCCCGATGACCACCACCACTTGTAGCACGCACACACGCACGCACGCACGGTCACCGGCGTACCGGCGGCCACTGACAGTTACTTGGTCCGCCCCCGGGGCCCTGCGGCATGGACTGGCCGCTCCCTCATCCAGCCGCCGGCTCACGAACTGAACGGGGTCCCCGAGGCATAGGTGCCCCATGTCTCTCTCCCCCCGTCATCGTCGTACTTTCGTCACGCGTTCTTTGCACTAGTGGTACGCATCTATATTCATAAACCAGGAGGAAATACACCAATCTCACTCACTCGCGCGCGCTCCCGTGAGCGCGCTCTCACTCTATCTATGTAATCAAAAAAAAAGTGTCCGCGCTGGCCCGCAGCCCGATCTGATCCTAACATTTTGTTGTTGTTGTACTTCTCATTGTCGTGTTTAAGCCTGGCCATCGAGTTCCATGAGGTGCACGGGACTCGGGCCACGGGAGAAGCTAGGAAGACTGGGCTTGGAGTCCTGGTTACGGACGCCAAGGGGCGGCAGACGGTTGTTGGGCGAACTCGACGACTGGTTGTTGTTGATGACGCTCTTGGGGGACGGGTTTGACGACGACGCGGTCGTGTCCGAGCCGCGGAACATGGGGGTCATGCCAAACGCTGCGCGGACGCTGTGGGCGATCTGCGAGTGCGTCGAGTGCGAAGTCGAGTGGACCGGTGACGACGAGCGCGAGCCCACAGGGCTGCCGTGCGCCGAGCCTGCCGACAGCGAGTACGAGACTGAGGGAACCGACGAGAACGAGGCCGAGCTGTTGGGAAGTGGGAGCATACGGTCTGAAGCTGGAGGAGGAGGGGGGATCGCAGACGAGTTGAGAATCTCCTCAACCGACTTGTGAGGAGGCTCGGGGAGCTTGGGCGGCGACATGCGCGACTTTGTGGCGTGGACATGAGGCGAGCTGGGCATCGAGCTGTGCGATCCCGGGTGGTGGTGGACGTGGTGGTGGTGGTGCGTTCCGTAAGGGTGCGAACGGTTCTTGGCATCACGGGCAGTGTGCGATCCGTGACCGTGACGGCCAGAGGACGCGCTGTGGCCATCGACAGGCGACGTAGCACGCGAGCCAACGGGGCTCACGACGGCCGAGACGGGAGCGGTAGCGGCGTTGCGGCCGGCAAAGAGGCTCATGCCGCGCATACCAGCCAACACGGGGCTGGTCTGCGCAAACTCGGGCGCCGAGCCAACGTGGTGGCTGCTGTGGCCGCCCTCCTCGTCGGACGAGTCGTCAGTCTCGGGGCTGGCAGCGCGCGAGACGTCAGCCGAGGGAGCAAGCGAAGCGTGCGACGAGCGGTGGCTGTGCATGTTGACTGGGTAAGGGTTGAGCTGGTGGTGACGGCTCGTCGACTTGTGGTGGTGTGAGCGGCTGCCGCTGTTGCTGCTAGGCTGGCTGCTCGAGGTCTGCTTGGACTGGTGCTGCTGCTGGAGACGGGCAAGCTGCTGTTGCAAGTTGGCGTGGTGCAGGTGGTACGAGTTGCCCTGGCCACTGCTGCCGCCAAGCTTGGTGAGGTCCTCGCTCGAGCCAACGTTGGAACGGTCCTTGGGGGTCGACGAGTTGCTCGAGTGGTGGCCGTCATTGTTGCCCGAGCCGCCGTGAGGGGCGCCGCCGGCGCTGTGGCCGTTGTGGCCGCCGTTGCCATGCGAGCCGCCGAGACAGTTGGGGCAAGCAGCAGTCTGGCGCGCGACCTTGAGACGCTTGCGGTAGCTCTTGTGGCAGTCTTCGTGGCAGCAAGTAGGAGGAACAAGGTAGGTGGGGTCGGCAAGCGTGCCGGCGGGCACGGCTGGGTGGTTGGCAGTAGCCGGCTGGGGGGCGGAAACGGGGAATACAATCTGGCCGCCACTGGCGGTGGTGCCCGAGGAGGGGGCCTGGTTGAAACGGTCACGCTCACTCGAGAAGCCGTAAGCAGCCCCACCGCCCCCCACGTTGGAGGGGGTGGCGTTGCCGGGGCTGCCACCATTACTCTTACGACCGGCACCAGCGGCAATCTGGCGGTGGCGAAGCTCATACTCTGCACGACGGAAGGCCTCGTGACGCTCAAGCTCATACAGCTGGTCGGACGCCGCCGCAGCGAGCGCCGAAATGTCGTTCATACCACCCGAAGCGCTGCCGCCGCCGTTGCCCATGGGCAGAGCGGGAAGGTAGGGGTTCGAGTAGTCGTGGCGGTCAAAGTCCATGCCGTACGAGGGGCCAAGGTGGGGAAGGTGGCCGCCGCGGCGGTCCTCCATGTCATGCTAAAGTTGTTGTCAATATGGGATCACCAGCGCGAAAAAAAATAACACGTACGTCGTCATCCTCGTGCCTCGACTTGATCTTTGAACCATTCTCAGCGGCGGGAGGAAGGTGGATGCGGGCGTGGCGAGTCAACTCATCCGAACGCGAGAAACGCTTGTCACAGCCTGGGTGGGTGCACGCGTGAGGCTTTTCGCCAGTGTGGGTGCGAATATGGCGAGTCTAACGGGCACGCGTCAGCCAAAACAAAACGTTCCACCGGAGGACGGAGAAGAACCGGCGGCCGAGTCGGGGACTGCGGGCGCGGTTTGCTATGAGAAAAAAAGACCTACCTGGTGCTCCAAACGGTAGAATGCACGGTCACAGAGGGGGCACTTGTATGGACGGGGGATCTTGCTCTTGTCCATGTTAAGAGCGGCATCGGTGAGGGCCTTGACGGCCGGGTCGTTGGGATCCAAACGGCCGGTGATGGGGTCGGGGATGGGGGTGGGGAGAGATGCGAGGGGGTTCTCTTCGGCGGATGCCATGGTGACGGGCTGTTGGGACATGGTGAGCTACTAGATGTGGATGGCTACGGCCCGTTTGTGAATTGTTGTGGCTAGAAGAATGAAAGTCGTCCAGTCCCAGGGAGAGGAGGGGGGGCGGAGGACGTGGCGCGGGTTAAGGGGGGGAGGAAGGGATGGTGCGGACACAGATAAGGCCGTGCCGGGGGAACGACGTTGTTGGTGCGAGGCCGAGGATCGAGTGCGAGAGCGTCGATGGGCTCTACGGTCGGGATGTGGTAGTGGTGGTGATGGGGAGACTAGAGAGGGGGAGATGGATGGAGGAAGAGACAAACCCAAGTGGACGGGGGTTGTCGGGTGGACCTGGAGGCGGGGCGCCTTGGTGGTGGGGGAACACGGGGGAAGACGCGCGTGCTCTGTGACTCAGAGAAGCCGAGCGGAGTGAGTGAGGGGCGCAATTTTGGGTGGAGATGGCGACGGGGGCGCGGGCGGGCTGTGCCGCGGGGGTGACGGGGGGGTGGGGGGGGGGGGAGTGGGTGTGCGTGGGAGGCAAGTGTTTGTGTAGAGGAGGGTGGTGTGGAGGATGGATGGATGGATGTGGAGTTGGAGTGTTGTTGGGATGGGGGATGGACAGGTGGCAAAGAGTGGGGAGATGTGGAGAGAGAAGGAAAAAGAGAGATTTGAGCGAGCTGACAAGACTTGCAAGAATTCAAAGGGGGACAGAAGGGGGGGGGCCAACGGGGAATAACAACAGAGAGAGCTGTCGCTGGGCTGGGCAGCGCTGGCTGGCTGGCCATGGCTGGCTGGCTGGCTGGCGAACGAGAGCAACGCGGGCACAAGGCGGCTACCGTCGGGGTTCCCAACACAACCTGCATTCAGGGACGGGGGGCAGTGGCAAACGGCACCACACCCAAGGCGGCAGCCGCAATCAGTGTGTGTGTCTCACACACACACACACGGCACTTCGGCCGCGGGCAAGAGGCCCCGCTCGGTACAGAAACCGCTGCCTGGGTGAAATTTTACCCCGCCCGCCCCCGCTCCAATCGCCCGCCGCCCCCTCTGGTCAACGCGTCATGGGCGGCCGAGCGCCGTGCAACTGCGTATACGCAGCCCCCCCCAGGCCACCCACGTGCACCCAGAGCCCCACATATCCCACATTTTGCATATCGTCAGCAAAAAGAGGACACGGAGGACACGGAGGCTATTCCGAAATACACACTAGACGCCCACGACTCGACCCACACTCCCCCATTCAGCCGAACATAATGCGTTCTGGAGAGGACGGAGAAACACGTGACCAACAGTGGGGAAATACACGCCTTTAACCCAACAGAGAGGCAGCATTGATAACGGGCTTCGTTACGTAACACAATGTCACCCCCACCTCCACGAATCCGAAAGTCGACCCTCCTCTCCTCCCCTCCGCCACGCGAGCGCGCGCGACTGAGCTTGGCTGGCCCCTCTCCACGGACATCACGGCGACGCCATCCTAATTCCTGCAATACGATCCTGTTGATTCATTCAACCCCCTCACCACCCCACCCCCCCTCCCCCACTACCATGTCCTCCCAGGAGCAGGCCACGGCCACTGTGCTTCAGGCCCTCCAGGCCCTCTACCACGACCCAGACAATGCCGCAAAGAAGCGCGCAAACGAGTGGCTCGAGGAGTTTCAGCACAGCGTAAGTGTCATGGACCAACTTACACACACAACACAGATAGCGCATCCCACTAACGTTCTCTTCAGGTCGAGGCATGGCAGACGGCTCACACCCTCCTCACATCGGCAGACGCCCCGCTCGAGGGCCGTCTGTTCTCGGCTCAGACGCTGAGGGCAAAGGTAGGCAGCTCGATATGGATAGCACCGCAGGCACAACTCTCTGCTCACACCCACCAGATCCTCTACGACCTCTCGCAGGTGCCGCGCGAGTCACTGCCTTCGCTGCGAGACAGCCTCCTCGCCGCACTCGGCCCCTTGGTACAGCCCGGTGCACCTGCTGGCTCACGCGCCGTCCTGACCCAGCTGTCGCTTGCGCTCGCCGACCTCGCACTGCAGATGCCAGAGTGGACCAATGTTGTGCAGGGCATGATCGATCAGTTTGGCAACGACCCGGCAACGGTGGTCGTCCTCTTACGCTTCCTGGGATCGTTGGCAGAGGAGTCGCTCAACCCCCGCCTACCTGTGCCAGTGTGTACCACCAACCCACATCTTCGAGTATCATAACTGACAATGACGCACAGCCCGAGGGATCCAACGTCTACGATGCGCTCGTCAGTGGGTCCGCCGAAAAGGTCATTGGTATCCTGTCCATGTACATCCAGGCGTCTGGTGAGTTGGACGATTCCTTGATGATGTGCTAACTCTCAGGCATTACTACGCAGATCCAGACCGAGATCTTTGAGACAGTGCGCAGCTGGTTGAGGGCGGGCGAGTTCCCCGTTAGCGTGGTTGCCCAGAGCCCCCTGTTCGCCGCCATGTTCAATGCGCTCGAGCCCGACACCTTGTTCGACTCGGCGGTGGACGTCATCTGCGACCTCGTCCACGAGACACAGGAAATTCAGGACAACATGGACGTGGTCGAGATGATCCTCCCTCGCCTCATTGCGCTCCGTCCCAAGCTGGACGAGTACACCGACGACCCAGACAGGATACGCGGATACTGCCGCATGTTCTCCGAGGCCGGCGAGTGCTACCGCGACGTTATCAAGATGCACCCGCGCGAGTCGCTTCCCCTCGTCGAAGCCATCATGGTCTGCACGGCGTACCCGGACCTGGACATTGTGCCCATCACGTTCCAGTTCTGGTGGCTGCTCTCGTCCATTGTCAACCGCTCCTCGGGCCTCCAGGGCGAGGAGAACTGGATGCCTTACTTTGCCATCTTTGAGACCCTCCAGACGACCATTATCGGTCACCTCCACTTTCCCCCAGACGATGAAAAGCAGACGGCTCAGGAGCGTGACGAGTTCCGCACGTTCCGTCACCGCATGGGCGACACTCTCAAGGACTGCTGTAAGGTCCTCGGTGCCCCCACGTGCCTGCGCAAGTCGTACGAGCTGGTCATTGCCGCCATGGCCAAGCCCAACCCATCGTGGCAGGAGATTGAGGCGCCGCTCTTCTCGATGCGCTCGATGGGCGCCGAGGTCGACCCGGATGACGACGAGGTCATGCCCCACGTCATGGAGCTCCTGCCCAAGCTCCCGGACCACCCGCGCATTCGCTACGCCGCCATCCTCGTCATTTCGCGCTACACACAGTGGATCGACAGGCATCCCCAAAACCTCGCGTTCCAGCTCCAGTACATTTCGGCTGGGTTTGACATGGCCGAGGACGAGGTCTCGGCCGCCGCGGCTCAGGCCATGAAGTTTATGTGCCAGGACTGCAACCGTCACCTCGTCCCCTTCCTCCCGCAGCTGCACACGTTTGTCACCACGGTCGGCGAAAAGCTGGACCAGCACGACATGGTCGAGGTGTGCGAGGCCATTGCCTATGTCATCTCGTCGCTGCCCGCCGCCGAGGCCGCCACGGCCCTGCAGCAGTTCTGCCAGCCCCTCATCGCCGGCATCCAGATGGTCGCCAACGCACCCGAGGAGGCTCCCAAGCAGACGTTGCAAAAAGTCGCCGACGCCCTCGAGCAGATCGACTCGTACCTCGCCGTCGTGCGCACCCTCGACCCAGTCCCCGAGTCGTGCTTTGCCACTGCCGCGAGCGTGTATGCCGTCATTGACACCCTGCTCGCGCGCTACGCAAGCCTGTACTACATTTCCGAGCGCGTGGGATCCATCCTCCGCCGCGGCCTCACGTTCTTCCCCGAGGCAGCACTCCAGCCTGTGCTCCAGCCCGTTCTGGCCCGCATGGCCAGCTCGTTTGCCGAGACGGGCTACGCCTCGTACCTGTGGATCACGGGCAAGGTCGCGACCAAGTTTGGCGACTCTGCCCGTCGTCCCGGCGGCGAAAACCTCGCTGCGCTCCTGACAGGCGCGTTTGAGAGCGTCACAAACTCGCTCGCAAAGCTCCTCCAGGTCCAGACGGCCACCGAGATTGCCGACGTCATGGACGACTATGTCCACTGCTTTATGGCGTTTATCAACGCCGTGCCCCAAAACACCCTCGCCTCGCCGGCCATCCAGCTGGCCGTGTCGCACACCCTCGCGGCGCTCATGTGCCCGGCCCCCCAGACCGTGCTCGTGTGTCTGGACATGCTGGCGCTGCTCGCCCAGCGCGCGACGCACACGCAGTTCCACGCCCTCCTCCAGCCCGCATTCGCGACGTACGCGAAACCCATCCTCGCCCTCGTGCTCCCCGGCATCGTCCAGGGCTTCCCCGAAGACGGCTTCGACCAGGTCCCCGTCATCCTCCAGGCGACCGTCACCTCCATCCCCGCCGCAGACGCCGAGGCGTATGCGACCGAGGCGCTGGCGGGCATCCCTGGAAACGCACTGCCAAACTCTGAAAAGGAAAAGTTTATCGCCGAGCTGAGGGCGTACATTGCCGCGCCGGCCGGGTCGGACCGGCTCAAGAGCGCGCTCCTCAACCTCCTCCGTGCGGCCAGGCGCGCGCGCGAGCGCGGTAGGCAGTCGCGCAAGTCGCTCGGCGCGGTCTAGGCGCGAGGAGCGAGGAGCGCCCCGCAAGGGGCGTGACGACGCGAGAGCCGGGCGCGTCGTCGCGGTCACTGCATCCTTTCTGGTGGGGGAGGATGGAACCGGTGGACGCAGACGTGGACGGAGGAGGGAGGAGGAAGGAAGGAAGGAAGGAGAATGGCTTTCACGAGACGAGACGAGAACGAACCCCACCCCCCCACCCCAACCAGCATCCATCCCCATTGGAATAAGTAGCATTGTTTTTCATTGTCTTGATCTAGGACGGGTTTAGGCAGCCCATGCATATAACTCGGTAGTGCGAGGTGCTCTTTTTAAGAAACAAACGACGAAAAAGTAACATGCACAGAACCTGGCCGTTACAGGACGAGGAAGAGAGGCGTGTCGTGGTGGGCTGGCAGGGTGGCAGAGACTGACGGCGGGGGGGGGTCAAGTGTCGGACCAGATATTGTTTAGCAGCTACGTTGGGGCTGTCCATGTCCAATATTTTATGGTGTGTGTATATCAGTGAGGCTCTGTTGGTTGTTGCGTTCGCCTGCTACATCACTTATCAACGAGCGGTGAATGGCACACAGGTCTGCCAAAGCAGCCATCGCGTCCGCTTACCTCGCACTCTCCTGTCGCCACCAACAAATCGATATATTGGACAATTAATTGGGGACCCCTCAAGACACACAGGTGGTTCTGACTTTTGACATCGAAGACATGCGCTGTGCTGAACAGGCGACGAACGAAGTAGTGGTGGAGCAGAAAACAGTGGTTGAAATTGAATCTTTTATTTAATACGCTGTTACCGATGTCATTTTGTTTGTTCTTTCCTTTTCCTCGTACTGTCCCATCCGACTTGGATCCCAGGCATGTACACTGTACCGTGTCCCCCTGGGACACAGAAAATTTATAGGGGCTAAATGAGGCAAGCATGCACAGCACGTGTGTACATGTGCTCGCCAAGAAGGGACATGAAGTTGGAATGGAGAATGTCGACCAAGGATACCTGATCTTTTTTCGCTTGTCCACCCACCACCTTTCTGGTCCGTCGGCCGCACTGACCCGTAAGAACACGACTGATTCTGAGCCAAGCTCCGCATCAATGGCCCTTTCAATCTCTATCGAGCTACCATGCACGACGAGTACAGCCTCGTTGGGTGCGTGTGCAGTTGTGGGAACGAACCGCCGTACACATGGGACGAATGTGGCATCTGCGGAATATTGTAGGAGTGTGGATGGGTTGGCTCTCTCTCTCGCCCTCATTCTGCTGCACCCTATCCTCTACCTCCCCCCGTCCAATGGCGGCCGTTAGCACTTGCTGCGGCAATATAACATGTAGAATGCGTTTTATCCCAAGGGGTAGACCCAACTTGGCAAGTCCAAACTCGTGCGGCAGACGTCAAGATTTATCACCGCCCTGTGGCACTTGCCCAAGCACCTGTAAACCACGATATACGTGCAAATCTGCTACTGCAGAACGTGAACAGTCAACACATGGACTTCACGGTATCCCAGAACACCGCGCCAACGCTCACCACAGCGCGATTCGGCGCGAGAGTGACCGTCACCGACCACAATCCAGCGCCAAGATCACTCAACATCGCCGGTCGCGTGGCCAAATGGTACGGCGTCTGACTACGATTCAGCATCTGTTATCAGGAGATCGCGGGTTCGATCCCCGTCGTGACCTTTTTGGAGGTCTCCGGAGCATGCTGGGTCGCTGTAGAAGCGTTGGATGAAGAGGAGAATGAGTTGGGAAGCGTGTGGATGGTGTTGAACGGTGGATGTTTCATGGGCAGGGGCGATCTGGGTGTTATGTGGCACTTTGGGATTTACCGAAGCGCAGGCACTAACTCGTACTAGCTTCTACCACACCCGCCCATCTGCTGCGCTGCTGGCAGTTCCTCGCCTCCTGGCCACCTGGCCCACACTCGTAGCCGGAGACCGACCATAAATAACGCTCCCCGCTGCGCCCCTTCCCCCCATGGTGCTCACTGGTACCGTCCAGCGCCTACTCGGCAACTGCCACAGAGGCCGAGAAGAGGCACCGGGAGGCAGCGAGAAGACTAGCTGACCTCTTGCACTACTCCCAGCTCTCGAAACCCGGCGACTGCAAGACCCACCACAACCGGCACAACCCCCCCTGTAAGCCACTTTGGTCTCTTGTATCTATCGATTAACCTATGCATGCTCTATGCGATGCGACCGCCCTCCCGCGCCGTCCTGCCTTGCTTCCTTGCTTCCTTCCTTCCCTCCCAGATCTCGCCCTCCCGCCCGTCACTGCCCTCTCTCACGCACACACATCTTAGGCGTCAATCTCCTCGACCCAAGAGCCCTTGGTGTCGACGTCGAGGACCTTCCAGTCGACCTCGATGTTCTCGGTCTTGAATATCCGCACAATCTCGGCGGCGATCGACTCAAAGTTGTCGGTCGCGAGGGCGAGGATGGTGGGGCCGGCGCCGGACAGGCAGATGCCGAGGAGACCAGGGTGGCTGGTGTACGTGAGCTCGGAGAGGATGGTCTGGAGACCGGGGATCTGGGGGGACGATGGTTAGTTGTGCTGGCGGGTAACTTTAAAACAGCGCGATACGCACAAGGGGCACACGGTACGGCTGGTGGATGCGGTCTTTCATGGCCTCGTAGATGAGCTCGGCGTCGGGGGGCGAGCGGGCGAGCGCGGTGGTGAGCACGGCGAGACGCTGGAGGTTGAACACCTGAGCGGGTTAGTTTCGCAACCATATACAATAACCCACCATGTCCTTGCGCGAGTAGGTCTCGGGGAGGACACCACGCGACTTGGCGGTAGCGAGCTCGAAGCGGGGCATGACGGCGATAGCCTTGATCTCAGGCGCCCAGCCAAAGCGGACGTAGTGGCCAATACCACCTGGAGCCTGGGGAGGGTTGGGTCCCCAGTCGGGTCCGGCGTCGGGAGGGAACTCTGGGAGGACCTCGGCGAGGGGCACGGCGGCGGCCTTGATGTCGTCCTCGCTCAGCTCGCGGAGGTACGAGCCGACAAAGCCACCGACGAGGGCGGCAGTGACGTTGTCAGGGTGACGCTCGACCATGAGGGCATAGTCGAGGAGGCGGGCAGTGGGGAACTTGAAGCCGCCAAGCAGGTCGCCGAGGAGGACACCGGCAATGACAGCGGCACCCGACGAGCCGAGGCCACGGCCAAAGGGAATCTCGTTGTGCGCGTGGATGTGGACGCCGCGGGGGAAGGCGGTGATGCCGTTGGCACGGAGAACGTACAGAGCCACACGGGTCAGGAGGTTCTTGTAAGGCGAGAGGGGGACGTTGGCCGAGTCGAGGCCAGAGTACTCGATCGTGGGGTTGACATCGCCAGTGCCGTCGCTGGGGATCGACACGTCCAGCGTGAGCGACAGCGAAAGCGCAATGCCGCAGACGTCAAAGCCTGGGCCGACGTTGGCGGTGGTAGCCGGGACGTGGATCTTGTACTTCCTGACAGACATGGCGACGGCGTAGAGGACGGTGGTGGTGGTGTTGGAGGAAAAAGTCAAGAACAAAAGTGCCCAAGAATAAGAATGAGCACGCACTCACCCGCAGGCCACCCGTCCGCGAACCCACCGATAACCGCGCCGCCCCGGAAGAAAACGACTCGACGGCGTGACCGCGGCGCTGGGGCGGTTGGCTCCAGGCTCCTCTTTAACGAGGACAATGCACCCAAAACAGCCAATTGGCCTGGACGAAACGGACCCCGCAACGGACCCCTCTGCCTCGCATTGTGCATGTGAAGGGTTCTGCATGCGTGGGTCTGGGCTCCTTCAAGTTGTCTCGGCCTGCCAACAGTTGGTCAACAAATGAACTTTACTTCTTCGCGACCCATTACCTTCCAACGCTAATGAGATCTGTAATAAGATTAACCCAGATTACCCTATATTATTTCCTTGCGTATATTTTGATATTTATCCCAGTTGATCCACCATCCGCCGCTCGCCATCCATCTAACACTTGATCGACAGTACACGCCAGAGTTAACAACAACTCCATCCAACCCAACCATCCCACTCGGCCAGCTCGAGGTCGACAGCGCGACGCGCAAACAGCACACCCCAAACGCGAATTTAGTTTCGCAACAGCAGGCCTGGCGGCGAGAAACGGGACACAAAGTCGAAAGAAGCAGCAAACATGTCGGGCCGCAAGGTGATGGTTCAGGTAAGTTGATCCCAGCGTCTAGACAGCTGGTGAGCGCAGTGCTAATGGACAGCCCATCAACATTCTCTTTACCTTCCTCCAAAAGGTGCGTATCGAACACGCCTGCCGCAGGTTGAAACCCGAGTCCCGGTGGCGTAGCTGACATCATTGCCTTTCTCGTTTCCTCACGCGATCTTTCACTCGTGCAGCACCAGCGCATCTCGATCTGGCTGTACGACAACACCGAGTTCCGCATTGACGCCTACATCATTGTACGTCTTTTGCAGCTGAGGGGAAAACTGCGGATCCTAGCTGACGTCCAGGGCTTTGACGAGTTTATGAACGTTGTCCTCGACGAGGCCGAGGAGGTGTACGACTGCTCGGCCAAGCCCGGCAAGGAGGTCAAGCCTCGCAGGTCATTAGGTGAGTTGGCACTGGGAGGCAGGCGTATCGAGGCACCATGTAACTGGATCGCCGGCTCCTCCCGTCCGTCGACAACTGGCGCTGACACTTGACCAGGACGTATTCTCCTCAAGGGAGACAACATTACCCTCGTGCAGCCCGTCCAGGCATGAGCGCGAGAAGCAGGTGCTGACCGCGCGGCGGTTGGCGGGTAGACTTGGTACGCGGCCGGAGTATGCATGGCTCGTGTGCATATATCTATTATGACCCCCTCAGCTGCAGGACTGTTGTTGAGACTGTGGACGATCAACTGACGACGTGTGACGGTCTTGTATTTAGTGCGGGGCGCAAATAGTCCAGTCAACCACCCGCATTCCGCCGTCTCGTCTTTCTTCCGTTCGTCTCACTCTTCTCCATCACCCATATCTCGCCATCCCTCGTGCACCCACCTGGACCCACGGCCCCAGTTGTCCAGATAACCACAATGGTGAGCTCCTCCCCTTCCTAAGGCGTTCACTGATGCAGCCAGGCGGACAACAAGGACGCCGGTCCCGGGCCGCGATCAGGTGTGCCTCCGTCTAATCCCCCCCAAGAATGACGGCCTCTCCAACCCTGCCACGACTTCCATGACTGCCAACAAGAAGGACAAGCAGAATGAGGACAAGCTCCTCCAAGACTCCCCTTTCCAGCTGTCAAAGGAGTCCTCGCAACGTCTCTTCTCGTGCCAGCACATTCTCGACAGCATCCTCTGCTACGCCGACCCCGCCACCCAGGTCGGGTGCATGCGCGCCAACTACCCCTTGTTCCTCGCGGCCGGCAGAGCGCTCTACCACACCGTCGCCATCAATGGCGATAACATGGCCTCGTTCCTCCTCGGCTCGCGGAGCGGCGCAGACGCCGATGAAATGACCGACTGCCCTTTCCTGGCAGGCTCGCCCGTCAGGTGCAGGAAGCATATGAAAAAAGAGGAAGACGAGGAAGACGAGGAAGAGGAAGAAGAGAGCGAACCATCCCTAACCGGCAACTCTGAGCTCAACAAGGTCGAGGCCTCCCTCGCGACCACCGAGGATGGCGAAGAGGCGTCCCCATCGTTCAAGGAAACGCTGCTTTCGTTTGTCCGCGTCCTCACCGTGGGAAGCCACCACGCCTGCGTTTGCCACACCTACGAAGAAGCTGCGGAGCTCTTTACCGGCCTGGATATTCTTCGCATCGTCCCGGATTCCATTGACATATTCACCCTCGCTCTGACTTGCGACGGTAACATGCACCCGTGCCCATTCTTCACCAACCTCTGGCCTCGCAAGATTGTCCTTCGTAACATGGACGTGTACGGCGCCCCTGTGCCCCCACATGGCGAAAGCGAATGGGAGGTGCCCACTGTCGAAGAGGTCGTATACGTCTTCCCGACCGATGGCCGGGCTTACAACGACGGTGCTGGCTTTATGCTTCTGGGACTTGGTGATCTCTTTCCCAATGCCAAATCGTTCAAAATCGTCTTCTATTCGCATTGGGAAAGCTGGGACAACAGTCACTCCTTCACCATTGCCCTCTGCGGAGACCCCAGGCTTGACCCAGACATGGTCGTCTATCCTATCAGCAGCATTGCGCACTATCAAGATACGCAGTACACGGTCTGTGGTCTCGAATCTCTCTCGCTGAGCGACAACGGTGACATTGCTGGCACGTTTCAGCGCTTCTACCCTCGTGTCCAGCTCGACCGGCCTCGCCTCGTTCAGCTCATCCGCGACGAACTCCGCACCAGTGCTTTGCAAATCGCCCTTACGGAGGACGTCCTCGAGTCTCCCGACTTTTCAGAGCACATCCAGTACCAGTCGATGGACGAATATCTCGCAGACACCGAAGGGCGCCGCGGCGAGATCAATGCCGACGACTGAGCAGCCAGCCATGACCATGGGCGGAAGGAGACAGAAGCGCGCAGACAGCAGTCAAGGTGACTTGTAGTTACATTCCATGCATGTGTATACGGAGAGGTTTATCACAGAGTTTCCAGAGCAACCTCAACCCCTTCTCCGCAGCAACTTGTCAGAATGCATGAGCGAGCTCGACGCAGATGCTGCTCCCATGTAAGGAACCATGTCACGTGAGTGGTTGCGAAGCGATCCGTCCCTGGTGCACGAGGAGATTACGATTACGATTTCAGACGCGTTTGTTGTCTCCTACCTCCACTCTTACCCCCAGCCCCCAGCACGCATACCAGTGTCGTCCTGTGTTACTCTTTCCCAGACAGTCCTACGAGAACCTCCGACTGCACGCTGCGCGATAGACACACCATGGTACTGTCCCTGTCCCCCACATCTTCGGCCATCGCTAACGCGCGCAGGCTCCGCTAGGAAAGAAGCTGAAGACGTCTCACCCACCTCCGCCAGCGGCGCCGTCAACAGAGCTGTCTGGTCGCCTCTTTGCGTGTCCGCACATTCTGGAAAGCATCGTCTCGTATGCGACACGCAGCACTCAGGTGACCTGCCTGCGCGTCAACTATGCGCTGCAGCTGGCTGCAGGGAGGCATGTCTACCACACTGTCAGTGTGCATCGCCACAGCTTTCTGCCGTTCATGCGCGGTGCCTTTGTCGGCACCTCGCGGCCAGAGGTGATCGACTGTCCCATGCTTTTGGACACTGGCAGGTGCCGCAAGTACCGGAAGAGGTACGATGAAGATGGCGTGGTGGACGCGTATGGCGACTCGGCAGACGACCGGATCCTGGACCCGTTGTTTTCCGAGATGCTGGCCGAGGGGGGTGAGAACGTCGATGAAGAGGAAGAGGAAGAGGACGAGGAAGAGGACGAGGACGAGGAAGAGGAAGACGCGCACGATTACGAGTACGAAGACAACGCGCTTGGGGTGATGGACGACACGCGCCGCCGTCCGGTATCCAAGATCGTCGAGCAGGTCCAAGTGACCAACAGCTCCAAGCCCACGACCAACTTCAAGGCCAAGCTGCTCTCGTACGTGCGCGTCCTCACTATCCGAAACCACCACGCATGCCAGTGCCACACATACGGCGCCGATGCCGCCAAGCTCTTTACGGGGCTCGACACGCTGCGCACTGCGCCCGAGTACGTCGAGACCGTCAAGCTCATGCCCGTGTGCGACGGCGACCGCCACCTGTGCCCGTTTTTCACCAACCTCGCGCCACGCAAGGTCGTCATCCGTAACATTGACTGCACGGGTGCACCTCTCCCACCATGGCGGGAACACGAGTGGAAGATGCCGGCGACCTTGGAAGAAGTCGTCTTCTTCCTGCCGACCAATGGCTGGCGGTACATTGCCGAATTTGAGGAGCTGGGAACGGACCTGTTCCGCCTCGGGGCCGTGTTCGAAACGGCCCCCGCTGTCAAGGTCGTGTTCTACTCGCACTGGGAGACGTGGATGAAAGGGTATGGCAAAGGCGGGGACAAGATCTACGTCGACCCCGATTTCGTCATCTACACGGTCCGCTACATGGCGCAGTTTGACCGTACGCGCAAAGTGTACGGGCTGGAGACGATCCACTGGGCGCAAAGGGGCGAAATGGTCGACGTGTTCCGGCGCCACAGGCCACACGAGCACCTGGACAATACCCGGCTGTGCAAGCTTGTTCGCGACGAGCTGCGGACGGGCGACCTGGCGATTGCCATGCAGGAGAATGACGGCACGTTGGAGCTGCACGAGTTGCCAGACGTCATTGAGTATGGCACGCTCAAGGAATACATGGCCGACGAGGAGGGTCGCCGCCACGAGATCAACGCCGACGACTAGAGCAGAGTACTGTAGGTGTGCGACGCTTGGGCGTGCCACACGATATATCCTGTATCCAACGCACGACGTGTATATCATATCTATCCCTGTAGAAAGATCCACATATATCACACTCATTAACCCCCCTCTCCCTGCTCATCAATAACAACGCTTATAACGACACAGGAGTGAATTGTTCCTTAATGCTCAGAACAAGGTTTCATCTCGTCTCGTCTTGCTGCGGACGTTTGTTTACCTGAGCCCTGGGGGAGGACAGAAGGCTTGTACCGAAAATACCAAAACCTCGAGCTCCACATCGTACGGTGGCATGGTTTGTGGAGTATAGGGTACAGCTGGTGCAGTGGGTACAGAGTATACAGTTCGCCTGTCCCTACATTCGTCTGTACCATAAACCCGCCTGTCCTCGCCCTTGTTTTTTACTACACTCCTTCTAAACTCCACTCCCAAACTCATTTTGCCACCTACTACTCCACCTGCCACCTGGCACCTGCCACCTGCTCCCCGTCTTCTGTATCTCGGGTCCGAACTCGTCCGAGTTACACGGAAACAGCCTCGGGGCCCACGAGCACGGCGGCGTACGACCTGCGGGGCACGTACTCCCACTCGTCCCACTCGTCGTGTGGCTGCGGCTGCTGGTTTGGGTGTGAGGGTGGTTGTGGCGGTGCCGCCATTGTCGGAGTTGGGGCGGCGGTCCACAGGCTGGTGAACCACCATCGCGTCGGGGGCCGCACGGCGGGAACAGGGACAGGGACAGGCGGAGGAGGAGAAGTCACGCGCTCGATGAGCTCGATGGACTCGGCGTCCCAGTCCGAGTCCGAGGAGATGATCTCGAGGCTTGCCGCGTCAACTGGCCGGGGTGGCGGGTCCGCGACTCGAGGGGGACGCGGAGGCCGGGGCGGGCGGGGTGGACGGGGCAGGCGAGGGCTGGGACTGGGGAGGGTGTCCACCACGCGCACGCCGCTTACGGGCGTAGAGGACGTGGCGCCGCTGGGGATGAGGTCAAAGTCGGCATACTCGACAGGCGCACAGTCGACGAGCGGGTCGGCCTTGCCCCAGTTACGCCGGCCCGGGTGGATGTGGTTAGAGTAGACCTCCTTGTGGCGGAGAATCGGGCGGTGGTGGCGGTTGCGGTTGGCGTTTGTGGGGGTTGGAACAGTGGGTGCGGGGCGTGTGCCGAGGTCGCAGTGTTCAGCAGGGAGGACGTCCTTCAGCGCCGCGGGGTCGTACGGCTCCCACCCTTCGTCCCATACCACCATACCAGTGGGCGGCGGGGCCATGACCTTGATGCCGCTCACGGGGCTCGTGGGCCGCGCACCGGAGGGGATGAGGTCAAAGTCGCTGTACGCAACCGTGTCGTCGACGACGTATCCGATGGACGGCTTGTGCGCGACCGTCTTGTAGAGCCCCCGCATGCGGCAGCGGTGGCGGACACGCGTGGCCGAGGCGTCGTAGGTGGTAGAAGGGTTGGACGGTCCAGGCATGCGTCAAGTTGGCGTCGGCGTCGCCGTCGGTATTAGTGCAGCCAAGCACTAGGGGCCTGATTTTGGGCTTGGGATTGCGCGTCTTGCTTGATAGGGGGTCCTTAAAGCCGCGTCCACCTCTCAGACGACGATCACCGGGAGTGAAGAGGTGCCCCGGGTGTCGGTGCGTGTCGAGACTGTGGCGGAAGGTGTATCGGTGTGGCGCCGCGGGGTCGGTTGTACGGCTGGGCGACTGCCTACGGCAAAGAATGTGGGGAAAGAGCACGAGATGTGCGTGTGAACCGCCCGATCTTGTACCCGTACGGCCTCGCGGGTGGCGACAGGCCAGCATCGCCTGCGGATCGCCGGGGTATCTATTGCACACCGGCATCGCATCGAGTCGTGTCGTTCGGCACCGATACGAAAAGAAACCGTTCACAACGGAGCACAATCGAGTCGTGCGGCCACGGCGGCATGTCCACATGACTGGACTTTGCCACTGGCCACTCACTGGGCCACTGTCTGCATCCCAAGCTGGCGTCTGTCCGACGGAGGTACGGGGCACTGGTTCGAGGCTGATACGCTGATGACGTCTGGACGTCTGGCAGCCAGCGGGCCGGCGGGACGCGCTGGCGCGTGCGCTCGGCATGTCCCGTACATAGATTGTACATTGCACAGCGTCGGAAAATGCAGCAATGTACACTGCGAGTTAAGAGCCGAGCGACAGGGCGGTGCCGATCACTTGTTATCCCGGACGCGACTGTTTTTGCCACCCGTGGCGGTGTTTAATCGCCACTGAGAGATGAAACCCACCTACCACACAGCCCACAATATCCATAGTTTTACAAACGTGGTCGTTGATCGTGGTCGTCATTGTTGGTCGCTGTCGTTGTCGTTACGGCCGCGGGAGCATGGTGTGGGGGGGGGGGGGGGGGGGGGGGGGCATGTCCGATGCATCGTGACTCCAGAACGACCAGCCATGTACTTGTGTGCAGTACCGCCCACCTGGACCTAGACGCCTAGCCCAATGGCGTACGGTACGGTGCCCTTCGTGCCATGGCAGAACGCCCGCCCGCGCGCGCCGCCCATTCAATGCTCGAATGACGAGGAACGTGGCCAATTGTGTCTGTGTACAGTAACGGTACCTGCCTCCATTTCATCGGCATCGACGCCGTTTTCCCCGTTATCCGCATTTCCGTTCAGCTGGATCTGATCTTGTCATGTTGTCATGTGGACGTGGGCCGAGGTGGGCCGGTGCCCAGGTGGGCCGGTGGACAGATGCCAAGCCATGCGGGGTGGATGGCTCGAGGAATGAGAGTAAGCCAATTGACGCCAGCGAGAACAAAATCAGTCGCGGTGGGCAACAATAGCAATGAGTATGTAGCACGCTTCACGGGTTCACGGGTGGGCACGGCCGTGAGGCCGTGAGGGCTTTTCCTGGTGGACAGGTGATAAATTGGGCAGTGCATAGCGGTGCTGGAATGGAAATGGAAAGGGGGGAAAATGGGAAACGAGCAAATGGCGAACAGGGCGATGTTGAAAGCGTCATAGAGGTACAACATATACAAGGGGCGTTTGTGTGTTTGTGTGCGTGTGTGGTGCAGACTTGTGTGTATGTGTGTTGGAGATCGTGGGTCGTGGACGTTGACGTAGGGCATTGGGCGTTGGGCGTTGGTGAGTTGTTGTTGTGTATGCTTTCTCTTCTAGCCAGCAAAGAAAGAAAAAAATGTGACAGGGGGGTTCGTGTTTGCAGTCTTTAGATATCGTCAAAATCAAGGAAGCGCTCCTCGGTGTCCAACACGGCGATGGGGACCCGGGTTCCGTGTGTGGGGTGGTAGTGGTGCGGAGGAAACATCTTTGCGTGGAGGGTGTTGGTCGAGCTTGCGTTCATGCTGTCGCGCCTCTCGCGGATGGAGATGCTGCTTCCGCGCCGCGAACGGATGGTGGTGGTGCTGTAGGTGTTGTACGTGTACATGTCATTTGAGGGCTTGCGCTCAGGCAGCGGCGGGCGATGGTGAACAGCAGCAGTCATCGCCGGTGGGAGGACTGTCGGTCGGCGGTCAGGGTGGCGTGCCGGGCGTTCGGGAGGCACTGGCAAGTCGAGAACGTTCTGCTGGCGCTCTTGGAGGGCAAACGGGGGGCCCAGGGCAAGCGACTCGACACTGTTTGTGGGGCTTCCGGCGTCCGTGTCGCTGCTGCCATTGTCGCTCATGAGACTGCCAGGACTCGAGACAAGGACCGGCGACAAGAGTGGCTCGAGGAAGCTGGTTGGCCGTGACCGCCCGCCAGCGGGCACATCTGTCGCGACGGCCATGTGGAGCTGTGGCGGCTGGCGCAGTCGTGATGTAGTGGGGCGCGATGATCGAGGCGTTGGCTCTGCAATGAGGATGAGTCCGTCCGGGAACGAATGCGTATGCTTGTGTGTGAGGTGAGGGGACTGGCGGTAGCGGCGCGTTGGGGTTGGGGAGAGAGGCACCGTGCCGCCAGCACCGTGGCTTGAGGTGGTGGGCGTCGAGCTGCCTGGGGTCTCGAGGCGTCCGGGCGGACCCATCGGTGTTCCGTGGCCGGGCGTCCCACAGGTCGATCGAGGTGTGGCTGGCGGAGACTTGGTGGTGGCGCCGAGCTGCGGTGATTGAGCCGAGCTCAGACTAGCGCCGAGGGACCGCGGAGGCTCTGCTGCTGCTGCGGCTACGGCTGCGGCGCTCGCCTTGCTCATGCTTGCCTTGCTCAATGTTCGGAGACGTGCGCGCAGGCTCTCGGCAGGAGTGGAAGTCGAGTTTGCCCGTGACAGCCGGCTAGGTGGTGAGATGACCGGCTCGGCAGCCCACGTTGCGAGAACGGCCAGCTCCGAGATTGATGTGCTTGCTGTCATGGAGGGAGAGGTGGCTCGCTCCAGCGTAAAACCGCCGCTGCTTCCGTTGATGGAGCTGATGGACCCGTTTCTGGAGCGCGCGCGAGACGAGAACGAAATGGACGATCGGTGTGAGCGTGTGGGTGGAGCAATGGTGCTGGCCGTGGTCAAGGTCGATGCGTTGGACTGGCGCCGCTGGCGCTCGCCCCCGTGCAGGCTCTGCGTGCGATGGACGACGCTCGGCTCCAACCAGCTGCTCCGGCGATCTGCGCCTGGGAAGAGTGATGCGGGTGGGGCCAGACGGTCACGGTGCTCGCCGTCCTCGTCGAGCGTGGGCAACGAAGCACAAGATGCAGACGTCGGGGCGTTGCGGCTCTCGCCAAACGTGCGGGAGCGCTGCAAGGGAGGTGCAGTTGATGGCAGGACGGGTGCGACGCTCTGGCTGCGGCGGTGGCCACTGCCCGAGTCTGGGCGACTGGGACGTGCTGGTGGTGCCAGTGGGCCGGCCCCCCATGTGGTGTGGCCGAGGAGAGGCGAGGTGGGCTCGGAAGGGGGCCGGTGCTCACGACTTGCATCAAGGGGAGAGTCGGTGTGAGGGTGGGCTGTTGGGGAGAATGGTGGCAAGGGGCCTGACTGGGCAAACAGGATACGAGCATCACCCATGGACAATGGTCGTTGTCGCCGCCGCCGCGGTGAAGGGGATGAAGGACATGAGGACGCTGGGGCCGCAACTGAAGCGCGCGAGCTGGGACGTGAAGGTGGATAGAAGACGGGTGGTGATGTGTCGAGGAGCTCGTAGACGCTCTGCGGAAGCGAGGGCAGGCTCGGCAGGCTCGGGAGTGTGAACCCGCCGACCATAACAAGGGGGGGCCCAGGAGATGTGGGTGGTGCGAGAGGGGGTTGCAAGTGGTGCGAGAGAGTTGTTGTTGAACAACAAGATTTGTTTTTGCGGGGGACCGGGGGGAGAAGGGGTGCAGGAGGGGGAGGGTGTTGATGAAAAAGGAAACCAAAAGTTTGTGGACTCGAGCGCACGACTTGGAGGAGGTCCCAGCGTAGCGAGGTGTAAATGGCGGCACAGGACAAGTGGGGGGACGTGCAGATGGGTGGCTTTGGGAGGCGGTCGACGGCGTCCAGCGCGTAACAACCGACGTCTTACCGCATCGAGCGGTGATGGGGGGAGGTGATGGAACTAGCGGGTGGTGGTGGCTCTCGAGCCCCCGTGTTTGTAATGTCCCTGCCAGGGGGAGGTGTGAGCTGGTGCACTGGCGCACTGGTCGAGTAACCGGAGACAAGTGTGACAAGGGTGTGTTCTTGGGCCGAAAAGATGGACGGAGGAATGGGGGGAATGGGGAACAAGGGACGAGATGAGATCACAAGGGAAGGTGGAATGAGACGAGGACGAGGAGGAGTAGAGGATGACCAAGGGGGAGAGTGGTCGGGGGAGGAGAAAGGAAGCCAACGAAAAGGAAGGTGGGGTTGTGTGTGTGTGGGTGTGTGTGTGTGGGTGCACTGTGTGGTTGGGGAGACCGTGGATGGTTGTTGTTGTGTGGGGGGCAAGTGGATCTCTCTGGCTCTCTTTGCTTTTGAGCACGGGGTCGTCGTCTATGGTGGTCTCTCTGACGGTCGAGTCTCAAGCCTTTACGCGCGGCCGGGGGTGGCGACAAGTGTGTTAAATAGGTTTGGGTCACGGGGTGGTGGCTGCAGTGGATGGTGGTGGTGGTGCTGGTGGTGCTGGGTGGTTGTAAGCGGTGGGTCGGGTGGGTGGTAGGGGCGGGGACGGGGGGCGGGCAACGAGCTGTGGTGTGCATACGTGCATCCATCAGCCGCCTCCTCTGCGCTGCTGCTGCTCTGGCCGTAGTGGCGCGCGCAGGGGTCTTGCTCTTTCCTTTGCTGGTCATGAACTGGGCAGCTTTTGTTGGTGCAATGGACAGGACATATCAGCGAGGGTGATCGTGAAGGGTGAAGAGGGGTAGCGGCGCGGCATGACGACGACGACGACGGGCAATGGAGATTTCTTGTTTGGTTCTTCCCATCCGACAGACGCTATACAAAGTACTCAAGTCATATGCCTCGTAGATCATGCGCCTTCTGGCACCTCTGGCCCGCCTTACCGCGCTCAATGAATCAATGGGTCCATGCACCACCATGCATGACACGGGGGAACAGCTGACGTCTCCAATGTCTCATGCACATGTGCAGAGGGCAGTGTGGAGCACCGCCCAATTCAATGGAGCCTGCCTCTCTTCTTCGGAATATGGAGAGGGGGGCTATGAATGGCGGGTACTCACCACTCGCTCACTCTCCTGCTCGCCTGTTGCTCGGATCGAGGTACAAGGCAAGGGGGGGCAACCCGGCAACGACACCGCCGTCGCTGCGTTCCATGTCGTCACATCCGTCGCGTCTCAAAAAGCTGGAACACCAAAGCGCACACACAGTGACAGAGGACAAGACCAGAGCGTCGTCGTGCGTGGCTGGCTCCCGGGATCCCTGCGGCCTGCGGCACGCTGCACGGATGGCGCAGCCAGTGTGCGATGGCTAGGCGCAGACCGCAGCCGTTCACCGCCTGTAGCCCGTAGAGAACCGCAGAGCCTGTGCAGCTGGGGGGTACATGTGCGTGCAGACGCGCAGACGTCGTCCCCTGTACGATGGGACGAGTCCAACGGCGGTTGCTCGTCCAACATGACCTGCGTCACTCCCTGTTGCCCTCTCCGTTCTCCTCGTTTGGGGGCGGTGCGCGCCGGCGTCTCCCAGTTCTCTCCCTGGTGGTCTGTTCAGTTAGGCTCGCCGATTGTGCATCTCCGTCCACAAGCGCAGGGATGTGTGCAAAGGGATCCAGTCCGAGATCGGATCGCAAGAGAGCACGGCGCACAGGGCGGGCCGCACACCCAAAAGAGGGGGGGCAGGGGAGAGGGAAAGAAAAAGCAGCCGCGTCGGAGCCTGCGCCATTGTCCTGATCGGGTCATGGGCGGTCGTCGCAGGACACACCAAGCGTCAGGTCTTGTTCAGGTTTCCACACCATAGCGCATCATAGCTCCCATCGGGTCCAGGCTCGCCTGTGTGCTCGTCTGCCATGTACCCTGTATACATGTCCTACAAACCTCATCTCATGCGGCTGTAAGGGGGCCAGAAACGGGCAGAGTGTCGTCGGCGCAAACAGCGCAGCCCGGATGGAACCCACCCGTTCTGTCTCTGTACCTCTGTAACATGACGCTTGTGCCAGCGGCCGGCGCCCAGCTTCCGCAACCCCTTGCACACCATCACTCTCCCACACCATACCCCGCCCAGTCCCTAAACCCGTACTCTCGGCTACGCGCTCGCCCAACCGGCTGGGGCTCGTACATGAGCGAGCGTGTAAGCGTGAGTGCCACTACTCCCGCACACGCACGGGGACGTCCCCGTGGCGTCTACCTGCCATCAACGCCAGTAACGGCTGCACCTGCACCAGAGCAGCCACCCATCAAGGGCAACCGACAGAGACTACATGAACTGTCCTCTTGTCCTTGTCGTTGTCTCGGTATGTAGATCTGCACAGCTACAGGATTCCAGTACCGAACGGCGGCGTGCACGCAGGAACCCGGGCCCCGGCGTGGAACGTGGAACGTGGAACGCAGAGCAGGTGGGCAGGTGGGGCAGGTGGTGGACGGGGTGTGTGTGCCGGTCTTCCACTCTTCTGCACCCGACGAACCGCGTTCGATATATCACATGTAGAATCCAGGACACTGGCAAGGGGGGTTTGCAGGTGCCGACGATGGGGAGAGCACGGACGCGGGTAATGTTCTCGTCCATCCGGTCCCGCGGACGAGGCCGAGAACAGTTCAGTTCGGGTGGGCGGGTGACAGCATGGCAGCGCACTCTTCGTACTCCCTCGACCCCTCGGATGAGGTCATGCGGTCATGACGGACAGGCCGCGTCTCATGTCTGCACACCTCGGACGTGCAGGTTGCAGGTTACGAGTCACAACCCCGTTACGAGAGTGGGTTCTTACCCCCTCTCCACCCACCATTGTGGCGTATCGCGTGCCATGAGGTGTACAGCACGTGTATCTTGTCGACTCCGCGTCCACACCCCTGTGGCCTGTGGCACAGTGGGCAGTGGCGATGGCGACATGGTGGAATAGGGGAGACACACGGGTGGCAAAATGACAGACAGGCATGGTCGACCGTAGTGGTGGTCGCGGTGGGTGTCACAGGTCCTCAGACATGCAGACACCATCGCCAGGCAGCCTCGTTGACATTGCATGTATTTCACCGGTGGCCCGTGTCTGGTGCCCGAGATCCCACCCGGCCCGGTGCCGTGGTGGCTCTCTAGTGGCTCACGTCAATGTCAGTGCCGGGTCTGGTGTTCCAGCTCCGTAAACGCAGGCGACGCATGGCTTTGGTTCTCTCGGACGCGCCATCGTGTCGATCTCGGACCGTATTTCCGTCCGCTGCCACCACCCAACTCCCCCACTTGCTTTCTCGACAGACATCTAGACATTGCAGCTCGACAACGTGTTGGTGTTGTTCGTGTTAGTGTGGTATGCGTCCCACGTTCCAGATTCCACATTCCACCGCGCGTGCCGCGGCTCGCCATCGTTTTGTCACTCCCGCCCGGCTCGCCACACCCAGTGTCGTCGTCCCAGCAACACAAGGGTGCATGCTCGAGGTCGAGAGGGAGGAGTGGCTGGTATGCGTCCCCGGGTATCCCATCCCGTCTGTGGACCGTCCAGACATCAGTACTGTCGTCAGTTGTGCTGTCACGTTGGGTCAAGGTTGCTACATCGCTTCTACGCTTCATCTCCTTCTCTCCATCGCTGCCGCCCCCTCCCCCCCCCACTGCACGCTCCGCTGGGGCTCCGCTTAGGCTCCGCTTAGAGCTTACTGGCCAGCTCGCGCGCCTCGTCGCCGTGCACAAGCACACATGGTCCACCGAGCACGATGCGGTCGGAGAGGTTGTGTTCCTTGATAAAGGCCTCGATCTCGTCGCTCTCGGCGCCGGGCTGGAGCCAGACCGAGTTGGGCTCCTTGGCGGCGTTGCGCGGCGAGGGGAACAGGTCCTTGAGCATCGTGATGCCCACCTTGGGCGAGATGATGAACGAGAGGGACGTGTTGGGGAGGTCGGGCAGGTCGGTCTGGAGCGTCAGCTGGGGACTGGGGACTGGCCACTGGCCACTGGAGACAGGGAAAGGACATGACGGAGAGTCACAAGCGGGCATCTCCGGTCCACGCCCCCCTCCTGCTTCCCGCACACCACACGGCTCTACTCACCACCTTCTCGACGACCTTGAGGCCCTCGATGGGCTTCGAGTTGTCAAACTTGTCCGACGCAGGGCGCACGGGCGTCACGGGCATCTTGCGCTCCTGGTACCAGCGGAGAACCTGGTGGGTCAGCTTGGGAGGTAGGGAAATGGAAGCTGCGGTCGTGCGGCGGGGTCTCCGGCCGGTGGCGGGCTCCTTTCACAACGGTACACCACCGCATCGTACAGTCCCCCAACGCACTCGCCCGCAGGCATCCGCGACACACACCTTGTTGTCAAACTTGGCCGGGTCCTGGATGACGCGGCCGACGACCGCGTACCGCTGCGCAGCCATGAAGCGCTTGGCAGTGGCGGGGATGATCTTGATGGTGTGGGGGTCGACGTGGCCCATTGTGGAGAGTAGCTGGTGGAGTTGGGGGGTGAGTTGGGGGGTTGGTGAGTGATGGAGTGGAAGGAAGGAGAATGGATGCACGAGAGGTGGATGGATGTGTGTTGGCCGCCAGTCGCCGGCGCGCGCGTCAGCCGGGTGGTCGGCTAACCGGCTCGGACCTCGGCTCGACGCTGCCTGCGCTGTCAGTGGATTCCGAATGGCCATTACGATGGTCATGACGGTCTCAAGAAGGATGTCACACCCGGCAGCATACATGAGAGCTTGGAAGTCTCTCTTTGGTCTGTGATCTGTGAGTATGCATGCCGAGTCCGGTTGCTGTTGAGGTGGGTCCAAAGGAAATGTGGATGAAGGCAGGACTCGACGTCATCACCTCCTCACGTCGATCCCGGGGCCTCAAACGACCACAACCTGACTGGTTGAAGGTACTGTCAGGCTTATCGATACGCATGCGACGGGCGACCACCAAGATGATCCATTCATGGTCTTCTCTGTCTACCACGTTGGCCACGGTCCGATCTAGACGCCTGTAGCTACGAGCACCGCGCTTGCACCATACCCAACCGCCCTCGTCCAACCTCACTTCCTCGGCTGGCGGGGGTCGCTCATCGCCTTACTGTCCCAGACCGACCTCGACCCGCCCTTTCCACCCTCGATGAGCAGTGTCTTCTCGGCACTGAAAAGGTTGCCCGCATCAGCACCCCGCTACCACGACTAACCCCCGCTCGCAACGCCAGTTCCACTCACAAGGGATAAGTACAAATGTCCATGGCCTCCCTCGTCCCGCCGACGAGATACGTGCACCCCTCCGGCCCGGCCTTGAAGCCATGCGCATACAGGCCCTCCCCAGGCCCGCCCGGGAAGCCGATAAAGTCGCCCACGGCAGCGGGGACCGTCTCGAGCGGCAGGTTGTGCGGCACCGTCGGCGTCGTGGAGGCGACCGAACAGCCCTCGGGCGGCGGCTGCATGTTGGCGGGCGTGAGGAGGAGGTCGCCGGATCCCGAGATGATGTACATCCACTCTGTCTCGTGCATGTGGTGGTGGATCTCCTGTGACGGGGATTCGTCAGCTATCGTTGTACAGCTAGCTGAGAGGTCCCGGCACGTACGGTCGACTCGCCGTTGGCGGGCAGGACGTTCAAGTGTACACCTGTTGCGCGCCCGAGTCCCGCTGGATGTGTCAGTGGAGTGCATGCTGCATCCATGTACCCACCCATGTCTGACATGGACGCTTGCTTGAACGAGACGCGAGGGTTTAGAAAGTGCCCATGTTCAGTGAGGGCCGCTTGGATGTCGGCGGCCTTCACGAGCGGGTTGCGGTAGGTTGTGGTCGTCGATGGGACAGGCGGGGATGACATGCTTGCTGGTTGGTGCTGAGTGGGCTTGCGGAGTGAGTATGTAGACAAGTGAGGAAGGAACGGACAAAGCTGAAGACTGAAGAGAAAAGGTCAGGAGGTCATGGATCATGGACCGGCGCGGCTGTGATCTAACGGTGTATTTGTGGACTGGGTGACTGGATCTTTGTGGACCTCCGGACCAGGCCGCCGCCTGGCTTCTCGGCACCGAGATCGGAGACGCAACACACGTTCATACCGCAGCGAGCCCTACTGTACACCACCAAAATGAAAGCTTCTACTCCTCATCGTCCTCCTCGGCAACGTCCGCGAGCGCATGGGCCTCGTCGGCAGTGGCCGTGAAGAACGCCTCGCCGCCGCTCTCCTCGTGCGAGAGCAGCGTCTTGCCCTCGGTCGGGTACGTGATCACGTCGACGTTCTTCCTGTCGCCGCCGAGGAGGTAGTGGATGTCCTCGTTGCCAGCGCGCAGCTTGTGCGCCCAGCGGGTACCCGTCGTGCCCGCGGGGAAGCCCGCAAAGTCGCCCGTCTTGACGGGGACCTCCTCAATGAGGACGGCGCCGGCCTGGGGCGGGCGCAGGTCGTCGCTCCGGTGTCCGGCGGGGCGGGCGAGCACGAGTGTGCCCGAGCCCGCGAGGATGTAGATCCACTCGCTCTCGGCCAGGTGGCTGTGGAGAACGGTGCTCTCGCGGCCGGCGGGGAGGACTACGCGGTGGATACCCATGCCCGTCGCGTCCATGCCAGCTAGTCGTGGCCCGTCAGCATTTCGCATTCCGCATGTACGTGCTAGAGAGGATGCACTCACCGAGGTCAGAGATACACGACTGGCGGCGGATCGCCTGCTTGTTCATAAAGTGGACGCGGTCCTCCATGTCCTCCTCAATCTCCTCGGCGGTGACGACGGGCCAGTTGGGCTCCTCGTCGTCGGCGCTGGGACCGGCGTGCGAATGGCCGTGGTCATGGTGGCCACCGCACTGGCTGTGGTCGTGGTCGTCGTGCGAGTGGTCCTCAACGGCCGAGGCCTTTCCCTTTCCCTTGGAGCTGGAGCTGGACATGGTGTTGTGTTGGAGAGTTAATGAAGGTGGAGAAACGCTAACCAGCGAGAATTAAAATATGGATGGACACCGATGACGCAAAAATGTTTGGTGCGTTTGGTGGAGGTTCACCGGATGAACCCTCCAATCTGCATGTACACACATTACAACTGGCGGTATACGTGCGCCTCACTTCGTCTGTGGGTGTTGATGTAATACAGGTGTCTCAAGATATGTATCCTTGTTGCGCTACTTCTTCTTGCTAGGCGACTTGAAAAAGCTCGTGATGGACGGTTGCTGTCGTCAGCGACACTGTGGCTCACACAGGTACTCACTCCCTTGGACTCCTCCTTTGGCTGTTGGCGAACAACCTTTGTCTGCCTGCCGCCTCGAGGAGGATCTTGAATCTCGCGCTTCCTCTTCCCTGGTGTATCCGTCTGAGAGGCAGTCGGCTTGACCTCGTCTTCGTCATCGTCCACAACAACGACTTGGGGAGCGTCCTTCCTTGGTGGCTTGACATCAGCCTTGGATTCCGGTTTGGGCTTGCTCTCTGTAGGCGTTTCGGCCACTGGCTTGATGTCCTCCTTGACGTGGTCATGCTCGAGCTTGGCTTTGGCCTTGACGGGCGAGGCCGCTTGCTTCTGGAAGAACGACTTGATGCCGTCTTTGCGTTCTGCGACGGGCAGGATGTAGTTTTGCTCGCTGTGGCCAATCTTGCCAACCTCGGGGACGACAGGGTAGCTTCTGTGTGAGCTGAGAGCAGAACCATCTCCCAACTCACCTTGCAAGACCCGTAAAACTATGCAGAAGATCGGCTGTACCTCCCTTACCATCCTTCCATCCCTGTGGCGGCTCGCCCAAATCCAACCAGCGTGCAATCTCATCCTGGTCCGTGAGAACACAGGGCATGCGGTCATGCAGCCACGCAATGTCCTTGGCTGGCGTGGTAGTGAGGATTGTAAATGTAGAAAGCGGCACCGGGTTGCCCGTAGGGTACGGTTCGCGGTCGTCGCCTTCCTTGGGCACAAACTTGGACGGCACAGGAGCAGAGTACGTTACTTGGTCCCACAGTCCCGCAAAGAAGAGAATGGGCGGCGCGCTGGCGGTGTCGTTGTCGTGTAGGGGAAGACGCGTAAAGTGGGCCACCTTTGTGGTACCCTTCTTCTGCCACTCGTAGTATCCCTGGGCCGGGATCACGCAACGCTTGTATCCCTTGAGCGCGTGCCACATGCCACCGGAAGAGGGGTCGCTGATGTCAGCTCAATACATTTCTGCGAGCCGTACATGAGTGCCTCGCTGCGTGCGTTGATCGTGTTGAGCGGGCCCGTCGGTGGGAACTTGGTCCAGTGGGGAATGAGACCCCACTGCCTGTGGCGGGTTAGGTTAGACTGGAGTCTCTCACCCACATTGTCTCCATCATAACATCTCCGGTTGATGGGTCACGGCGTACCACAGGTGCACGCTGTCGGGGTGCAATGTTGTAGCTGTTGTCAGCTGGCCATTCACATTACTCGTGGAGCTCACCTGGGCCAAAAGTCCTGTTCGCGTTCCCACTTGATACCCTCCTCCTTGGCGACAGGCATGCACGGGTTGGCCTTGCTCTCCCTTTCAAGCTGCATGTGCGAGCTGGATGCGGCGTCTTGCGAACTCGAAGCCTCGGCAGTGTCCAAGGACGGATCCTGGCCGCCCGCGCCTCCGCCTCGAAGACGTTGAGGACCGCGTCCGTGACCTCCCCCGCCGCCACCCCTCACTCGCGCGCCATCGGGGCCCCCATCGCGTCTGCCGGGGAAAAGACGCGCATACTGGTCTTGCAGTCCTTCGAGAAAGTCGATATGGGCAGCGCCGAGAGCGTATCGTCCGCACATGATCGTTGTTGTCGATGTTGTTGTGAACGAGAGGGTCGTGGTGAAGTGCTCGAGTCCAGTCAACCTCAACCCATATGGTCGCACTAATGACGGCATCGAAAATGGAGATTGGGGGATGTCCATTTTGATTAGCGTTTGTCAATCAATATCCATTAAGCAACACCTAACTGTTGTTTTCGTCGTCCATTTCCTCTCGCTACTCTTCTCCAAAAGGCAGGTAGGAGCACATATACCGCTCCCCAGCCTCCTCGGTGATACCCATGCCGCAACGCAAGGCATTCCCCACCACTCCGCCGCCACCAGACCCAGACCGGCCGTTCGAGGTCGGGCGAGTCTACCTCGTCGTCCGCGCCAGTGGCCCACCGCGTATGTAGTCTGGTATAACGGCCCCTCCCGCACTTGGCTGACCTGCAGGCCCTGCGACTGTGCTCAACTCGCGTGTGGGCAGGCTTGGAAAACGCGAGGCATACATCTCGTTTACGGGCGAAGACAAGCGCCTCGACGCATGGGTGCCCTCCTCGGCTCTTGGCGATGAGGTCGCTGCTGCTGGCCCAAGCAGACTCCCAGCTTTGAATGGAGGGGTAGGTGAAAGCCTACAGGATGATATCTAACCTCTCAGGACCCCGGACCAAGCACGAGTGTCAACGGCCGCGCCAACTCGGCCCCTGCTCCGACCTCTGAGCGCTCGACCCCGGAACGCGAGCATGCAATCGTCACCCGCGTTCGCAACTTTGAAGACGTCCGTTTTGGCGAGTACCTCGTGCGAACATGGTACTATTCACCGTACCCGATGCCTATCGATACAGCTGGAGGTGTAAATGGGGGTGCTGGCGCAGGCTCGTCTACTGCTGCAGCCGCGTCGCCGGCGCTGGCGCCCGAGTCCAAGCGCGGCGGGCGGAAACGCAAGGAGGCTCCCGCTGCTGATGAAAAGGAGCGCCAGCGCCTGGGACCGCGCACGACGAGTGATGTGCTGTCCGTCGGCGTGGGCAAGGGTGGAGAAGGCGCTCGTGGCCGACTCTGGGTCTGTGATGTGAGCTAGGATTGTGTTGATTTGAGCTGACATCCAGCTGTGCTTCAAGTATATGCGCACACGGGCAGGATGGGACATGCACTCGGTGGGTCTCCTTCACACTCTATGTGCCTCGTCTAACCCAGCAGTCATCATGCTCGATGCTCCAGCCGCCAGGCAGGAGAGTGTACCAGCGTGGCAGCTACACCATTTGGGAAATCGACGGCGCGCAGGCCACTCTCTACTGCCAGAACCTGAGCCTGTTTGGCAAGCTGTTCATAGACCATAAAGTGAGTGCAGTGGCTGTAAAGACCCGCTAACCCTCCCAGTCCGTCTTCTTCCACGTGAGCTTCAATTTGCTCACTCCAAGCTAACGACCAGGTGGAGAACTTTCTCTTCTACGTCATCTGCGACGCTGCGACGTCGAAACGAGATCAGGTCATGGCATTCTTCTCAAAGGTGGGTCTCTTCTTACTCTGTGGGTTCTAACCCGCCCAGGAGAAGTTTTCGTATGACGACTACAACTTGGCGTGTATCGTCACCTTCCCTCCCCACCAGAACCGAGGTTTTGGCAAGCTGCTCATCGAGTTCAGTAAGTGGTGCTTATAGTACGTCTCTGACACCACACAGGCTACTACCTCACTCGGCACCCCTCGACGCGTCCCGCCTCTGGCTCGCCAGGTACACCTGAACGCCCTCTGTCAGACCTCGGCCTGAAGGGATACATGGCATACTGGGTCGCGGTCGTGCTCCGTGTTTGCCGCTCTCTTCTCGCCGAGGGGGACTCGGCACCGACGCCGACCGTCACGCCCAAGAAGCCCGCGTCGACAGAAGGCCGTTCCCTGCGTGTCCGCAAGCGCGCGTCGCAGGCCCCTGACGACAAGGTTGTCGTCAATGGTGTTGGTGGGTGCCCAAGCCTTGTGGCAGCTCTGGCTAACCCATTCAGACCTCGCCAAGCGACCAGACCCCACTCATTCTGGTCACTACGCCATCATCACTACCGTTGCGACTCTGGCTCGTGCCTGCCATCTGCGGACCGACGATGTGCAGCTCGTCCTAGCAGAACTTGGGTTCCTGCGATACAGACGACATGTGCCGCCTGAACCCAAGGACCACGCCGATGGAGAAGACGAGACTGAAGCAGACAAAGTGGAGGAGGAGCTGGGAGAGTGGCAGGACATCGAGGTTGTTATCACGCGTGAGAGTGTGGATGAGATGTGGGCCAAGTGGCGCGTCCGCGAGCACGGTGTGCTCGAGGAAAAGTATGTGCTGCTCTAGGCCATGTTTTATAGTTTTCTGGGTTCATGCATGGCGCATGCTGTTCATACCATTTTGTAAACCCATTAAGGAAGCGTTCCCCAGCAGCATTAGACGCTTGTGTAGTCTGGGATAAATTCCGAAAACAATTCGGGCCAAATATTCCTCCACCCCTCTCCTGCCATGATCACAGCGTCGAGGTCGAACCCATCCACAACATCACCAACCCACGACCTTTACCAACCCACGACCTTTACCAACCGCCGACCCATCCCGCATCCACCACAATGGCGGAGACAGCTGCCGGACCCTCTCGCGCAGCGACCGTGCAGGACGAGACCGACGATGTCGCCATGAACGGCGCCGGTGCTGGCCCCAGCACGGCCAACAGCAACGGCAATGGCGTCAAGAACGAGGTCGATGGCGACGAGGCAGAGGGGGAGGGGTTGGGAGAGGACGGGTTGCCACGTAACGCGTGTGCGACGCTGTACCTCCACAACCTGAACGAGAAGGTCCGGATACCTGGTATGTGTTTACCGCCCTGCCGCCGTGTTGGTGCTGGCGAGCTCCGGTTGTGACGCGCGAGGTCAATCGGCGTCACTGTGCTCATCGCGCATCTGGACACCGAGGGCGCCTGCACCTCCACACATGGCTGTGCCATCTCTTCTATGCCTGTGACGTCCAGCTGACAACTTGCAGTCATGAAGGAGACCCTCGCGTCGCTCTTCAAGCCCTACCGCCCCATTACTCCCATTGTCGCCCACCGCAACACGCGGATGCGCGGACAGGCGTTTGTGAGCTTTCACGACAAGGCAAGCGCGGAGAAGGCGCGTAGCGACGTCAACGAGTTCCCCCTGTATGGCAAGCCCATCGTGAGTAGTTCTGTTCTTCGGCACCGGTTGGTAAAGGAGGGGAGGTACCTCCAGCGATGGGAACTACCTCGTCCTCTTTCACCACACCGCGCCCACGAGATAAGTGTAGAGAAGAGCACAGCTAATCTCCCAGATCATCTCGTATGCCAAGACTAGGTCAGACGCGGTGATCGTCGCCGAGGACGGAGAGGAGGCGCTGGAGGAGTGGAAGAAGGTCCGGCTGGAGGACAAGAGTGGGTTCCCTCGTCGTGATGTTCGCTAACCCAACAGAGGTGAAAAGGAGGACAAATCCTATTCGCCTGAAGGCGCGCGCAAAGCAAAAGGCTGGCGGTGAGTGCCAAGCAGACAGCATGACCAGACCCCAGGCTGACAACTTTTTTAGACGACGGCGAGGCCCCCGCGGCCAAGAAGCCGCGCATGCAGATGCCAGACGAGTACCTGCCACCCAACAACGTCCTGTTTGTCCAGAACCTGCCCGAGGGAACCACGCAGGACGACCTGCGCGACGTCTTCGAGCAGCACGCCGGTCTCCTCGAGATCCGTACCATCCCGGCCAAGCGCGACATTGCGTTCATCGAGTTTGCAGACGAGGCGACGGCCATGGTGGCCAAGGACGCCCTGCACAACTTTAAGATCGATGGCGAGACCAAGATGAAGGTGAGTGACATAAAGCTTAGCTAAAGTAGCATTGCAGACATAGCTGACAGTTCGTCTCCAGGTCACGTACGCGAGGAAGTAGACTGGTTCCCAAATGTATTGTTTCTAGGCACCCTGCTGGCTGTGATGCGTCGGGGTACTGACTTACTGACAATGGATGCGACACTGTTGCACTCAAAGGCTAGTTGCTCTTGTGTTTCAACACACGGGTTTGAGTGTTTGTGTATGTTGCACACAGTGCATGGCACGGCGTCGACGCAACGGGAGCGTGGTTTCACCGAGGGAAGTGAATGGCTGCCTGCTCTGAGCGGCTGCGTAGTGCTTTGCCACGGGTAATGTGCAGCGACAGCACTGCAGCGCAACGATTCAGCAATACGAGCTGCCTCGAGGTTGGGCTTGATCGCGTGAGCTTTGCTCCATGGACATTGAGAGAAGAGGAGCCCAACAGTGCGCGGATGATAAAAAGAAAATGAGGTTGTTGCTAGCCTGAAGCTGTTTCCCACCACACCTTCCTCCCATGTCATCCAGTCCTCCTCTCCCCACGGTGCACGAGGGTGACACGTACACATGATGGGCTATGCTCACGCACCTCACGCGTGCACCCTGCCTCCTAAGCTCCTTGCGAGTGCAAACCAAGGGTCGTTGACGGATAACGACCGTGGGAGAACCGACTCGTCATTGTCGCCACCCGCGAGCCGTCGATGGGTTCATCCGAAGCATGCCTGGACGCGTCTGTTGCTTCCTCCATCTCACTCACTAGCATATCCCAACACACACATATACCGGGCGTGATGCCGTCGCCTCCGGAGAACTCCCTCCTCAACCTACTCAACCCCTATGCGTCGGTGGTACGCAGCGTAACCGCCGCTGGGGATCGCGATGACGACAGCGGCGATACCAGCACCGCGCCGCCCGACTCGCCATCCGCCGTCCTCCTCCGCGAGCTGCAGTCGGCCTCGAGCGATAACAACCCCAAGGGCTCTGGGGTTGGTGTTGGTGGCCAGCTAATGTCTCGCGGCAGGTCCCGTGCAAGCGGCACCGGCGCGTCCCCGCCCCTGTCCCCGACGCCCAAGCCAGGCCGTTCGGCTTCGTCGTCGTCGACCTCTGGTCCCTCCCCCGCCTCGGCGTCCGCTTCGGGAGGCTCGTCCATCCCCGCAGCCATCCGTCCATCACATCTCCTGGAGGATAGCAGCAGCGACGACGAGGGGCCTCCCGCATCGCTCATGTTCGATGCCGGGCAGCAGACGCCAACGCGTCAGTCCCCCAGGGGTCATGGTGCTCCCACCGCTGGCCTCCCAGCCGGTGGACTTGCCTTGCCGCCCCGCTGGGCAAAGGGCAAGGACACGAGTCGCTCTCCGGGTCCCTTCCGTCGCCGGCCTTCAAGCACGAGCAGTAGTACGCAGTCGCCCACGTCGCCTGGTCGACCGGCCGATGTTCTACCCGCGCTGGCCGCGATCCCAGCCATCCCCATGATCAGCGGCACATCTACCGAGTCGTCCTCCCACTCTCCTACTACAAGCACTGATACTGAGGAGCTCGTAGCAGACACGCACCCGCTCGTGCAGCCGCGCAGGATATCGCAGCTGCCGCCAGAGTCTCCTCCGACCCCAGGCCCCAGCTCGGCCCGCACTCGTACCAAGGGCAAGCACAAGTATCACGCCCTTGGGACCGATGAGCGGCGTCGGAGCAGTGGCAGCCGGGACAGGCAGCCGAGTGTCCGTAGGGCCGGTCTTAGCGGGTACAACAAGGCGCTGTGGAAGTGGGTCAACGTGGTCGACCTCGACGGGTTCCTTCAGGAGGTGAGCTGCAGCAGCCCCGTCCACAGCTGACAACAGGTGTATGGCTACTACAAGGGCAAGGGGATATGGTGTATTGCGCTCGCGCGCGTGCTCAACCTCCTCACTACGTTCTTCGTTATTGGCTTTTCCACTTTCCTCACTTCGTGTATCGACTATGGCAAGCTGGCCAGGACGGTCGCCGGTCCCAACGACATTGCGCGCTTGGACGACGTGCTGATCCCCCAGTGCGTGACACGCGGGTCGTTTGCGCACATGCTCTTCATCCTCTCGGTGACCGTGTTCTACATCTTCCAACTCGTCACATTTGTGCTTTCCCTCCCGGGCCTGCTGCACATGTACAGGTTCTACACATACCTCCTCGGGGTTCCAGACGTAAGCTCTCTGAACGTATCCGTAGCTGACGCCAGGCGGACATTCAAACCATGCCGTGGCCCGAGGTAGTCCGCCTCGTGGGGGAGATCAAAGACCAGAACCCAGTCACTTCCCTTTCCAATGGTCAGGCCACGGCGTTGGCCGACATGGTAGGGCAAGACGCTGCCAAGTCTGCCCATGCAAAGCTTGACGCTCACGACATTGCCAACCGTATCCTCCGACAGGAGAACTACCTCATCGCTCTGTTTAACAAGGACCTTCTCGATCTCCGTGTCCGTCTCCCGGTCCCGCGCCAGGTCGTCCATCTCGTTCCTCCCGGGCTGCTCACGGGCCCACCCCACGGTGGCCTCCCGCGTAACCAACCCGAGGGAAGACAGTATATCACGTTTGGCGGCAACGGTCTCACCAAAGTGCTCGAGTGGAACCTCCGATTCTGTCTCATGGGATACCTCTTTGACCGTCGTGGACAGGTCCGCAAGGAGGTCGTTCGCGACAAGGGAAGAAAAGATCTGGTCGAAGAGTGCGTTACTACTCGGGGCATTGCTAACGCTCAGGCTGCGGAAACGCTTCATCTTCATGGGCGTGGTCAACGCGCTCTTTGCGCCGTTCATTGTCCCATATCTCCTTATCTACTCGTTCTTCCGTTACTTTGAGGTGGGTCGATAGTTCTTGATGAAACTGACCCATCAGGAATATCACAAGAACCCGTCATATATTGGGAGCAGGCAGTATACACCGTACGCCCAGTGGCGATTCCGCGAGTTCAACGAGCTCCCACACCTCTTTGAACGCCGTCTCGACCAAAGCTACCCTGTGGCCAAGGAGTACATTGACCAGTTCCCCAAGGAGCGGACGGCGTTGATTATGCGGTGAGCTTTGCCGCAGATCACACAGCTGACAAGCCAGATTCGTCGCGTTCATCGCTGGTTCGTTTGCGGCCGTCCTGCTCGCCGCCTCGCTCATCGACCCGGACCTCTTCCTCCACTTTGAGATTACCCCTCACCGTACTGTCCTCTTCTACCTCGGTCTCTTTGGTTCCATCCTCGCCATCGCGCGTGGTATGGTCCCCGAGGAGAACTTTGTGTTCGACCCAGAGTACCTCATGCGCGAGCTGGTGCGATACACGCACTACCTCCCGAACGAGTGGAAGGGCAAGCTCCACTCGCAGAAGGTGAGCTCACCACCCTCCGCTGAATACGAAGCTGACATTCAGGTGCATGGCGAGTTTGGCCAGTTGTTCCAGCTCAAGGTCGCCATCTTTGCGCGTGAGATTCTCTCGGTCGTCCTCACGCCGTTCATCCTATGGTTCTCGCTGCCCGCGTGCTCTGGTGCCATTATCGACTTTTTCCGCGAGTTTACCGTCCACGTCGACGGCGTCGGGTACGTCTGCTCCTTTGCCGTGTTCGACTTCCACCGCCACGGTGCCGTTGGTGCTGAGGGTGCTGCCGCCGCCGCTGCCGCCGCTACAACAGCCGGTGCGCCGCCCTCGCCCATTGTACGGAGGCGGGATGTCCTCCGCCGTCTCCCCGTGGTCCAGACTCCGCAGCACCCGCACCAGCCAAACTACATGTCCAACGAGCACAAGATGGAAAAGTCGTTTTTGCACTTCAAGGCCACGCACCCGGACTGGCAGCCGAGCGACCCCAGCTCGTCCGTCTTCCTCGATCGCCTCATGGCGCACCACGACGCGCCCGCCGCTCGGTCCTCGCATGGGACTCACGCAGTCCACGGCCACATTGCTGGGTCAGTGTACGCCGGCGGCCGAGGTCTGGGGCTGGGCCTGCAGCTGGGCGGACGACCGCTGGACCTGTCCGCCTCGCCTGGCGAGGACGTGGCTGGCGCCGGCTCCCGCGCACCGGGAAGCAGGTGGTTCCAGCCCGCCGACCTGGCTCCCATGGCCGAGGCGGAGGGCGAGGAGTGTGAGCTTGACGGCGACGGCGAGGCCGAGGCGATGGGGTGGAACCGCCACATCGAGGAGGAAGAGGAGGACGAGGGGCAGGATAGGGGCCTGTTGAGGGACGCGGGGGACATTCTGAGGCAGGTCATGAACAGGTAGAGTGAGAGAGAGAGTGAGAGAGAGAAAGGGTGGTTGTTAAAGTGATACACATTTGCATGAATACAGTTAGTTGTGGAGTTTTAGGGCTGGTGTTTGTCTGGTCAGTCAGTTGCCGGGTGAGCGTCGCATGGGTAGCTCAGCTGTAGACTCTCTTTTGTCCAACTCTGTCCTGCTCGCTTCCTGCCGTGCCTACGCACCATGCATGTTGTACAACTGCGGGCACGCCCGCTGTCGAGAGGGAAGAGAATTATGGCCAAGGACGCGCATACCACCCCCACACCGCACACCTCGTCCCCGCCCGCATCCATTGCTCCCTCTACTGACGCAGCCCATCAAGAGGAAAAAGAGTCGCGGGGTGGGGACAATGATGGGCCCACAGGGGGATGTCAAAATCCAAAAAAAACAGTCTCGTCGTCGTCCGTCGATCGTCGTCCTTCCACTCTTCCTGCTACTGTCCCGGGGAGGCGACACTTAGTTGCCCGAGAGCGCGCGCACGACCTTGGCGGCAATGTGCAGGAAGAAGATGGAGGCGATGAACGAGAGCGCGAGGACAATGACGACGAAGGGGTCACTGTGGGACGTGTCAGCTGGTGTGCGACCAAGACAAGTCATCTCGGTAAGTGATGGAGGGGACGAGGAGCAAGTCGCGGCTGAGTAGCGGGGGGCCTCCACACAGCCGCAGACGCACCCACGGCCTCCCACCTCCCAAGAGTCACCGTCCCACTCACACCTTGAGGCCGGCGTCACCCGAGTCGGTGTAGAGCTTCATCATGGTGTTGCTCGAGCCACCGGCACCGGCGGCACGGGCCGACGAGGGACGCGGGGCGGCGGGGGCACGACGCCTGCAAGTCGAACCGAAGCGCGGAGACGATAATGACCAGGCGAGGAGCGGTTGGCATTTTACGTGAGCAGAAAACGCAAGGAAAAGGGTGTGAGGTGCGTTAGGCAGACAGATACACGCCGTGGTATGGGGGAAAGGGAACAACTGTCAGCACATGGAATCCCAAAGCGCAAAGTCAACAATCCCGGTACGCACCTGACGGCGTTGGCACCGTGGGGGCGCGCGACCTGGTACGCGGAGCCGGCAGCGGCGGCGGGGGGCGAGGAGGGGCGCTTGACGTCGGCCTGGGGTGTGAGCAGGTGGTTCTTTTGACGTGTGGAGTAAAGGAAGCGGGAACCTCCAGTTGTCCAGCCCGAGCTGAGGACAGCCGGAGCTGGAGAACATCGAAAGACCAGGTGGTGGGCACCGAGTCATGGAGATGGCGCACATGACCTGGAGTTCCCCATCTCGACTCGCTGCCCTCCATGTTGTCTTGCTGGCTGGCGTCACACTCACCATGTTGGATGTGTTGGAGATGGGCTGTGGAAGATGGTCGAGGTGGACACGTTAATGGACACCGCGAGGTGTCGCTTGACCCCCCGGCCAGGACGTGGAACGAGGCCCAGCCGAAAGCGGGAGTAAACCCCACACTGAGGCCCCGGGAGCAATGTCGCGTGTCAGTTTGTAATGTGTGTAATTTGTCCAAATGGGTCTGATTTGACTTATTAGGAATCGCGTGGGCCGGGTAGCCGGCGGTGGGCGCGACGAGGGCCCGCCGGTGGAGGCCGAAGGTGCGCGATCCGAACCCAACGGATGACGTGCGAGCGACGGTCGCTGACGATAGCAAACGGGCCTGTAACTTGTTGCTGCTTCTTCTACTGTATAACCCCCCTTCTCTTCCTTTCTTGCCCATCATTCCTTCTCCTCGTCTTCTTCGCCCTCTCGCGTCCCACATCTCGCTCTCGCGCCGCTCACTGTCTACCAAAATGTCAGACGTCTACTCTCTCTCCGTGAGTCACCTTGCTCCCAACCCTTTCCACGAGCAGCCAGCTGTTGCTGCATAGTCCCTCCAGCTGGTTGACCAAGCCCACCCGCAACCATGACCATCTGATGCCCTCCCTCACCGTGTCCACCACACTAACGCTCCACCCTTCAGGCCGCCACCGCCAAGGGCCCCATCCCCTTTGAGCAGTTCAAGGACAAGGCCCTCCTGATCGTCAACGTCGCGTCCAAGTGTGGCCTTACCCCGCAGTACAAGGACCTCCAGGCTCTTCAGGACAAGAACGAGGGCAAGCTCCAGATCATCGGCGTGAGTAGACTGGTCCAGCGAGTGGTCACAGGTGTGGTTACAGGTGTGGTTACAGGTGTGGTTACAGGTGTGGTTACAGGTGTGGTATGGTATGGGGTGTGGTGTGCGAATACCTGGCGTGTGTGGGAGAGGCTGTGCGCTGGAGCTGAACGGTAACGGCCATGTCAGCTCGCACGCCAACTGCCTCTTTCACGGATGTGGTTTGAAGCAAGGCGGGAGGGTTGTTGACCCAGAGCTGGGCGGAACTCAGCTGTCAGCTCGCAGGAGTCTGGCCGACCCACTCCCTTGCCCCTTTCGTTGTCTCTTTGTGCTCTCACAGCTGTGTGTTTCCGATCTTTCAGCTGACGGGCCCAGTTCCCTTGCAACCAGTTCAAGGCCCAGGAGCCCGGTACCGACGAGTAAGCTAAAGGGGCCTGCAGTCTACAACCCACAAGCTGACATGCGCCGCAAGTGAGATCCTCAGCTTCTGCCAGGTCAACTACGGTGTTACCTTCCCTATTGCCAAGAAGGTGAGTTCACGATCCTGCCGTGGCGTGGTGGGAGGACAGGTGACGGTGAGGGGTGTGGGCGGCTTGCGGGATTATACCATGTCCATGCGGACGTGGTACGAATGCTGTCAAGTAACGCACGTGGACCCAGCCGTCTCTGAACCGCTAGCCCAGTGTCCCCTACCTGCTCCCTCCCCACTTGCCCCCTCTACCTGCTATCAGTTGAGGGTTTCCGATGACCGTAACTGACACATCTCCCAGGGCGACGTGAACGGCGCCGACACCCAGCCCATCTACCAGTACCTCAAGGCGCACGCCGAGCCCCCCGTGGAGGACATTGACTGGGTAAGTCGCCCCGCCAGCACGAGCACGAGTTGAGCTCGGTGGCTGCGCCTCCCGGTCTAGGAATCACAGCCATTTGCGTCTCCTTGTCCCCGTCCTCGTCCTCGTACTGGGACTTGACTGACACGTGTCTCCAGAACTTCTCCAAGTTCCTCATCAAGAACGGCAAGGTCCAGTGGTTCCCCGCCCGCTCGACCAAGGTCGTGAGTTGGCTTTTCGTGCTTTCCTAGGATCAAGCTAACAGTGGGTTTTTTAGGCCGACGTCGAGGCTGCGCTCTAGATATATGCGCGGTAGATCTCGGAGGAGCAGCTCGACATAAGAGAAAAAAAATGCAGAAAAAGTGCGAAGAGCAGCATGTGGGAGGTTGGATACCCTGGTGTGGAGTACTGTATCGTAAAGTACGACTGATGACACTGACCCACCTTGGGCTGATGAGAGTAACCCAGTCAGGAGCCAGAGGCATCAATATGGACAGGATTGGGATATTCCAGTCAGAACGACAGACGGCTCGACGAGGTGGCCGTGTGGGCGTGGTTTCGGCAGCGCAACTGTGTCTGCGACTGGGAGAGCAGGTGTTGCCGATCATTGGGACAGTATCCGAACTCAGCGCGCTACGACAAGCCCATACAGTTCTTCTTTCTCTCGCCCAATGTGGTGGTCAATTTCGACGCGTCGTCCGATACAAGCCAGGCCCCCGCTGTCCGAAACCGCGCCTTCAACCGAACAAGCTCGGCATCAAACATCAACAACAAATAACATAATAACACCAAACAAAAACGACAGCAATTGACATAAGCGGCGTCGCACCTTTTTTACTGCGAAAGGAACAACGAACGACAGGCGCGGCCTCGTTCTCGTTGGCCGCTCGTCCTTGGCCTGGCAGTGTGAGTGTGCTCTGCGGCCGGTTGGCCGCGCCGTTGCCTTGGCCTATGCCCTATGCCACGAGCCTCGCGCCCGGTTCACGTCCACGGCCACGGATCACATTATCGATCCCCACCACCCCATGCCACGCCGACCAGAGTCTACGAAACCTACTTGCTCAGACACGCGCTCCGGGCGTCGATTTTCCTGGAAAATCTCGTCATCTACGCGTGTGCGCGCGCGGTGACAGAACAGTAGTGGACATGTTCCAATCAGGAGATATATCCCGATGTGGCGATGGATGTGGATGTGGATTATGGGCCGGGATGCAGAAAAAAGGTCCACAAGGGCCATGCCGTGGCCGTACCGATCTGGCAGGGGCGGCACCAATGAACGCCGAGAACAGAGAGAAGAATAACGTAGCGTCACAGGTGGACGCGCCTGAGGTGCTTGGTGCTTGATGGCCGGGCGACCAGGACGCGTCACGGGCGAGAGCGAACCGTTGCAAAATAAAACGTAAAACAGGGTGTTTGGGCACGATGCCATGTTCCTTCCTCGACGTTCCCGAAACGCGCGGGCTCCACTGGACGTTACAGTACGTCCACAAGCAGTCTCGTATTTCTGCATCGTACCGTATCACGGGCTAGGGCAGTGACCAAATGGCCTCTCCCATCGGTGGTTATATCGGATCCTACGGTTGGACGGATATCCCGAGCCAGCGGGGGCGGCTGGGCGCGGTGATCGGAGCCACCAACGCGACAGGGCGTGCTGCCATTCCGCCACACACGCCCCGACGGGTTTGTTTATGCTTTGCTTTGCTTTGTGAGATGAGATGAACGGGCTCCACCGGTTCCAGAATTCCAGGCAAGGCGACAAGAATCACGACGGACACGACACACGGGAAGCCGGCCGGCGCGGCCGGCATGTCGCGACGGATGGTACGGAGGCTATCTGGACTTTTTTTTGTGAGAGCATGTGGGCGCGCCACCGTCTGTTGTTGTTGCCAAAAAAAGAGGACAAGGTTCAGCGAAATGAGCGATCGTCGAGGCGGGTCCCGGCGGCTGTCGAACCGGCTGGACATGTTGGACAATGCAGATTGCAGAGGCGCAGAGGGTCCATCAGGCATAATAAGTCGGGGGCTATACGGCAGCGGTATGGCACTGTATGGGCAGCGTATGGCAGAGTATGAAGTGACTGGCAGGCTGGGTGGGTGTGGCTCGTCTCGTGGGATGGTCACGCGGCAATGAACGAACGCGTGCCTGTGAGTGTCGTTGTCGTATGATCTCCTGTGGGATCTCCCTGGGGTCGGTTGATCCGTGGGGTCTCGACCAGCCGGTCAGCGTGTGGGTGGGTGGTCAGTGACGAGTGTTACCTGGACTGGCCATGACAGACCCGCTGTGGCCACCCAGCGGTACGATGAGTGCAGTGCACACTCACTGGGATCACTGGGCCGAGCCACAAGCCACCAGACACGAGCCACGAATCCCGCTGACGGCTGCTGGCTGCTGCTGGTGACAACGTCGACCAACCTCGTGTGTCCGCGTGATGCCATGCAGAGTACCCACTTGCGTATGCCGTGAGAGCCACCTTACCGAGCAGCGGAGAGTTTGCACGACTGAGCCTCTTTATTGCATTGCGGTGTGACATGGAGTGTGAGATGTGCCAAGCAAGGCCCGTCGGAGAGAGAGCAGACCTTGCCACTCAAACTCTGTTCACGGCCGTCGGGGCCGTCAAGTGGAGGGAGGGGGAGTGCAGATGGGCGCAGAGGCTTCAGAGAGAGGACTGCAGCGGTTCCCCGCGGTCTTGTGCCGGCAGGCAACGACAAGTGGCCAACAGCCAAGTTTGCCACGCGAAAGGATGATGGGCCGTAAAAGTGTGAGATGGGCCAGCTGCCTTGATGCGCAAACCACCAGATTGGAAACATGCAACAGGTTACAGGCTCTTTGCGATGATGCAGAGGCGTTTAAGGCCTTTACCATGCCGTCGTGCCAGCTAGGTATTGTGTGTGTGGGGGAGAGCCACCTTTTGCTCGCATCACCCCAGCCACGAGGCCACCAGGCCACAGGGCCCACGGATCACTAGGAACAACGTCTGAACGTCTGAACGTGGGACCGGGCCGTCAACGCGCGCGTCAACGTAAAAAGGACACAGGCACTGCTCCGGTGGCCCGGTGGGCGGTCAGAGAGTGCGTAACGCCTCGCCCCTTAGGGCCGCCGCCTCTGGCTGTGAGCAGTGGGAGGGGGCAAGAGAGAGGGGGGGGGGGCTTGACAACATGGCGACGACACATGGAGAACGAAGGACGATGGACCCCGGGGGGGTATGGGTGTGTATTGCACTGCCCCCCCTCCCAAGCTGAAATACACATAGAGGATGGGCCGGCTGGGGGAACAGGACCGCGTTGTGTTGTTCTCTCTCTGTGTCGCGGTCTGTCTGGTGGCGTCGGCACGGTGAAAGCCTAAATAATGACGTGTAGTGGAGTTAAAATTGCCGTGTTTGGCAATTTGAGGGTTTGGGAGCGTGTGTGATAGTGGCTGAGGGGGTGAGGTGTGTGTGTGTGTCGGCAGGCGGCGGGGGGGCTGGGCTGGGGTGCGCTGCCAGAGGGAACGTCCTGGGGGCGGGGGAGGGGGAGAGGAGAGAGAGCGAGTGCTGGGCTGTGCCCCCCCCGGCCGCCTGGCTCGCTGCCATACCACCCAGCGCGGTCTCTGGTCCCCCGCGCGCCAGTCATCAACAACAGCCCATACAACCCCCTCTTCATCCCATCTCTGATCACACCCACACACCCCCAACCACACCCACACTCGTTTGACCACCACCTCGTCCTCCTTCACTCCCGGCACCTCGTCCTCTTCATCCACCGCTCCCCACTGCACAAACCAGTGCACAACGCCCCCCTTGCACCCCTCTCCCCGCGCTCATTTCGTTCTCTACCGCCCGCCCGCCAGCCCCCGCGTGTTTAGTGTGACCTGGACCCCTCTTCTTGGTGAGTTTTCGCCGTGGGCGGCGATGAAAAAGAGTGCAAATGGTCGAAAGAGAGCAAAGACACAAACAAGTGTGGTGATGGAGGACCAAGGGTTGGGCAGCGACGGGTGCAGAGCAGGTGGGGATGGATGTGCGCCAACCTTCCATGCCTGTCAAACCAAAGCAGGTTGTGTGACAACAAAACGGTGGACGCTTGCCTGAAGGGGCAGCATCCCTTTGTCTCTGTCTCTCCATTTTTCCTAGGTTGGATGCTTCCTTCCTGGAAGAGGAAACATGAGAACGTTTCGTCGCATCCATTCATTCAATGGGCCGCAAACGATCCCATCAAAGGGTAGCGCGAGCCTGGGATGCTCGTCATCTGGTGGACGGGGGGTCCTCACAACTGCCCAGTTGGGCGGCATCGCACCCACACACCCACTGGTGGTGGCCGCTTGCAGCCACCATCATGTCTCTGCATCTGCATCTGCATCGTCCATCCGTCTCCCTCCTGCACTCGCGGCCATGCGTTGAGAGAGGTGTCCCGCGCCGGTGGGGGATGCTGCGTGCCAGTCGTCCTCCCCCCCCGGGCACCGCCGTTGGGCGACCTCACCGTCCGCATCCGGGCTCCCTGGCACGATGCCGTTCCTCCCACTTTTTTGTTTGTCAACATTGCCATTTGCATCCATCCCAGCACCACCACCACTCCCACTCGACCCAGCATCGCATGCTGCACCGTCACCTTGCACACGCATCCGGAATGCAAAGCAAACGCTGACACTGTCCCTTCCTTGCATGTTTATCAATCCAACTGTCCTCGCACATTCATTTTCCTCCCCGCAACCCTCGCTCGTGTCAACGCCATCGTCTTCCCTGCACCGCGCGCGCACGCCCATCGGCTTTTCCAAACCTCCATCATCTCCCCCCCAACCTTGACGCATCGCTATCATCTTCCCCCTGTTTAACACTGGCGATCCACACTACGTCGCCCCCCCCACCACACCTTCCTCCACACTCCGCCTACTAGTTCTACCCGCGCGGTCGTAGCCGCCTGCCTCTGCCCAACCCCGTCCGTCGTCCACCGCAACGTAAGTCCCACTCGGGCGCAACCCACCTCTTTGCTTCTCGTCGGTGCGTGTTAGGCCAGTCTCTCCCTCCATCGTGGGGCGCGCTACACTTGCTTCTGAGATCACCGCAAGGCCAAGTGAGCAAGCGCCCCACGGCGACTGGAACGACGCCGAGGCGACGATTCACCGTCGATCTCAGAGAACGAGCTACCAACGCCGCCCCGAGGAAGCCTCCCAGGCAATCATCCATGCTTACTCCCCCCTTGGCCACAGCTTCTTGAACCCCCCTTTGTCTCGAACAACACGGGCGACATCGACGGCAAAAGCGGCGCGGCCAGATCAACTCGGCAGAACCACCATCACTTCTGAAGGTCTCACCACTCCTGCGTTCTCATCACCGCCTCCTGTCACTCCTTGCTCCAGCTCGAATCCTCCTCCCGAGAGAGACCTTGCGCTCTCACACCTCTCCCGTCTGCTGAACCCACTACCAAACGTGGATGGCGCTCACGGTCTCGCCCTACGCGACCCGCCTCACGCCGGACTCGCTTAGCCTCGCTGCAGCCCAGAACTCTCCGCTGCGTAACCCCAACATGGCTCGCAATGTTAGCATCAACATGGATGGCATGCCCGACTACGCAAACGACCCAGACCAGCATGTCGACACTCTAGACATGGACATGGTCGCCGACTTTGGCGACGGTCTCGGTGTTGACATGCACTTTGGGCACGGCGACGACTCGAAGCCTTTGATCGGTGAGTAACTGTTTTGGTCTCCCTTGTTGTTTTTCGTCCGACGCAGACGCTTCGTGCTGACACCCGTCCTCCAGACACAGAGCTTCAAAAGCACAGTGCCGACGCCACCGCTTCCTCCTCTGCCATGCCCCCTCCTTCTACAAACCCGACCGTGGACGACATGTTCCACAGTGAAACCGGTCTCGACGGCGGTAGCGATGACGACGACGACTCGCCCGTCCCACAAGCAAAGCGCCGCCGAGAGACCCAGGACGTGCCCGGCGGATTCACCTACGTCGACAAGGACGGTGGCGAGTCGGGCCGTCGCAAGATTAGGATCGAGTACATTACCGACAAGTCGCGTCGGCATATTACCTTTAGCAAGCGCAAGGCCGGTATCATGAAGAAGGTGAGCTTTCCACCCCTTGTATCTTGCACGCGTTCGTTTTCCGCTGACACACACCCGAGGCGTACGAATTGTCTATCCTTACCGGCACCCAGGTGCTCCTCCTGGTCGTCTCGGAAACCGGTCTCGTTTACACCTTCACCACAACCAAGCTCCAGCCGCTCGTCTCCAAAGCCGAGGGCAAGAACCTCATTCAGGTAAGTTGATCTTGCACCATGGGACACTACAGGGAGTGTACTAACTGCCATTACAGGCCTGTCTGAATGCGCCTGACGGTGTTGGACCCGACGGTCAGCCGGCCGGTGGACCGATCGCCCCTACCAAGGGCAAGAACGGCGGCCTGTCGATTAGGCCCCACAAGTTGACGGCCGAGGCGTCCAAGGCCATGATCGCGACGGCTGCGCAGGTTGCCGGTGCCACACCAGATGAGGCTCTCGCCCACGCCACCGCCCAGGCCAAGGCCGTCGCGTCGCTCGGAAACGGTAACCCCCAGAACAGGCCAAAGAAGCGCTTGCCATCCAAGAAGCGCACGGCGTCGCAGCACTCGCTCAACGCCGACATGCCTCAGGCTGCCCCCGAGATGATCCCTCCCGTGCCGCCCATCCCCGAGATGCACCGTCAGCCGTCGCCGTCGGCTCACATGTTGCCACAGCACGGCCAGCCCCAACCACCCCCCAACCCCCTCCAGTCGCCGTTGAGTGCTGGCTACCACATTCCCTCCGAGTACCAGCACCCTCACCCCCACGGCGTGCCTTCCCCGACCTACGGCTACCCGCCTACCCCCACAGGCGACTATGGCGCAACCACCGCCATGCCTGGATACGCGTACCCGCAAGGTCCCCAGGGGTTCTTGGTCCACCCAGGCATGTACCAGGGAAACCCACAAGCCCAGCCCCAGCCTCAAGGCGAACCTCGACGCATGATGCCTGGTCCTGACGGTGGCATGCGTATGGGCATGTGATCCTCCTTTTGCCACCAGCCCCCACTTTTTTTTTTCCGTCAACATGACATCAAACCAGCGCGCCAGCCCTCACCAACTTGCTTTCTTCGTCATTCACCTGTGCGCCGCATCACACTTGCCCGTCGGCACCGTCCGTGCCGCCACCAAGGGCTCGCCCCCCTTTTTTTTTCTGTTACCTCCTCCTTATTCTTCATCATTCCCCGGGGACACATTAGTATTGTTTTTTCCACCCAAGTCGAGAGAGAAGCCCAAGCCCATGAGTCAAAGAGAACAAGTACAAGTTTTTTACCTTTTCCTATTCCCTATTCCCTATTCCCTTTCTTCTTCTTCCTCTACCACCAAGCCAAACCCACCCACCCATCACCCACAGACACACCTAAGTTCCACCCTCCCCAAGTCGTCGCCCCCGTCGGCGTCGACGACCCCACCCCCCACCGGGGGCCTGTCGTGGACGCCGGTCGCCGGCGAGCCCGGTTTTGCGAGAATTGTAGTTTATACCCCCGCCGATACCTTTTTAGTAGCACTCCACCCCCCCATAGTGAGATGAAGCCATCCGAGCTCTGGAGCTCCGTAATAAAAACAAAACAACAAAAAAAAGGACCACGCACAGGATGCTGCTTTACGCCGCGCCCGTGCCCCTTACTGCTTGCGAAGATTGACCGGCGGTCATCTGCGAGCGTGGGGAGTTTGGGATGGGGTGGATGGAGGGGGAGAGCGCCCCCTCCGACAATTATGTACTGATTGGTTTGGGACTCGTGCAATGGTCCACCCCGTCCAGCAAGCGGCACTGTCTAGTGTTTGTGTGTGTCGCCTGTCCTACAATCCTTGAAGTCATTCTCCGCGAGCAGAGGCCCCAATCTCGCCGTCAGCACGGTCGCTTCCCGTCCCCCAAGTCGCCACACCGCCTCCATGCTCGTGCCACATCAGGAGACTCTACAACCATACATTCTCCACCTGTCCGTTCGCGCATTCTCATTCCTCCCTCGCTCCTTCCAGAGCCGTGCAAAAATATGCAAAGTGCATGCGCTTCGTCTTCTGATGTACATCCGTCTCGGCCTCTCGTCCAGGACACTCCTCGCTCGCTCGTTTCTACAGAGGGGGGGCGTAAACGCACGCCACCCCCCGTCCTCTTCGCTCTGTATCTACTGCCCCGCGCCTCCCGGAGCCGCCCCGGCACCACCAGACGCACCGCCGCCCGCGCTCGCCCGCCGTCCTGTGCCCCGTCCGCGGGCCGCGCCGCCTCCGCGGGCACGCTTGGCCGCACGCGCAGGTGTCGCTCCAGCTCCAGCGCCAGCTGCAGCCCCGGCGGCGGCCGCGCCAGCCGCAGGCGCAGCGGCGTCGCCTTGGCCTTGCAGACGGCTGAGAATGTCCGTTCCGGCCGCGTCGTCGTCGGGAGCCGGGCGCTTGACGCTTGTGCCCGCCGCTGCGGCAGAACCGGCCTCGGTCGCCGTGGTCGTGGTTGCACCGGCTAATGTGGCGTTGACGGCGTTGAGCACGGCGTTGCCGCCTCGTGCGACCGGAGCAGCACCGCGGCCTCTCACGGCCGTGCCGCGTCCGCGTCCGCGTGTCGCGCCGCCGCGAACGGACACTGTCGTAGGAGTTGCGGTCGCGTCGGTGGGGGTTGGGGTCGTGGCTGGCGGATGTGCGTCCTTGGTCTCCGTGGCTGGAGCCGCGGCGGTGGGAACGACCACGGTGGTGGGCTTTGCGGGCAAAGTCTTTGCGGGAAGCTTGAATGGAGCGGCAGCAGCAGACAGCGGCACAGCGGCAGGTGTTGTAGAGGTAGCAGGTGCGGCGCCGCCCTCAGCCTGCTTGAGCTTGGCCTCGAGGCTCTCCTTTTGCCTCTCCAACGTCTTGCGCGAAATATCGGCGGTGCGGATCTGGCGTTCCAGAACCTTGACCTTCTTCTCGAGCTCGGCGACCTTGGCTGTGTCGGCACTGGCGTCACCGTTGGTGGCGGGAACAGCGGCACGGGCCTCGGCCAGCTGTTTGTCGAATGCAGTCTTGAGCTCGGCCTCCTTGGCTGCCACGGCGGCTGTAACAACAGTCTCGTCGGTTTGAGGAGCTGCAGCCGTGGCGGTGGCGAGAGACGCATCGTACTCGGTCTTGAGCTCGGCCTCACGCTTGGACACGGCTGCAGTGACAGCCTCGTCAATCGCGGCCTGGCCAGCACCTTCGCCGCCGGTACTGGTTGAGGCCGCCTCAATCTTGGCCTTGAGGTCGGCCACCTCCTTTTCGAGTTCGGCGATGCGGGCGTCCAGGGCAGCCTTCTCCGCGGCAAGAGCCTTGCTCTTGTTGTTGAGAGCGGCGTTGACGCGGTTGACCTTGCGGACATCCGTCTCGTACTGCTCCTCCTTCTCGGCAAGCTTCTTGGTCAGGTCGTCGACCTGGGCCTGCAGTTCGCTGTCGGCGGGAATAGCAGCAGCGGCGTCGGCTGCAGAAGTGGCTGCGGTAGTAACGTTGGCATCCGCCTTGGCAGTCTCGAGGTCCTTCTCCGCCTGGGCGAGACGGGTCTGGAGCGAGTCGCGTTCCGCGGTAATGACAGCAAGTTGCGCCTGGTCTGCGGCAGGGGCAGCGACTGGAACAGCAGCAGCCGCCGCCACGGTAGCAGTTGCGGCAGCGGCAGCGGCATCGGCTTGGCTCTTGGCGAGCTCGGACTGGAGACGCTGCACGGTGCCGTCCTTCAGCTGGCTGGCGCGGTCCGACTCCTCGATCTTCTTCTCGAGCTCCGTAACCTTGCCTGTCTTCTCGTCCAGCTGCGCTTTGATGGCCGCGACCTCGGCCTCCTTCTCAGCGACAGCGGCCTGGTGGGCAGTGGCGGCCTCGGTGGCGTCCGTGTCCTGCTTCTGCGAGCGGCGCTGCCAGTTGAGCCCGATGCGCTTGGCGTTAGCAACCTGCTCCGTCAGGGTTGCGATCTCGGTCGTCTTGGTGGCGACAACCGCCTCGGCAGCCTCCTTCTCGGCGCGAATCGAAGCCGTCTCGGTGGCAATGCGGGTGTCGGCTTCAGCAACGCGGCGCTAATGTCAGCTACGTTACCAGAGCCACCAGCTTACCTCTGCGGCACGGGTTGCCTCGCGCGCCTCGTCAACCTGGGCACGAAGAGTGGTACTGGTGGGTCAGCCGTGCACAACGCAAGATGGACCCACGCTTCGCGCTGGAGATCCTCGATACGGCGTTCCAGCTTGGTGCGCTCCTCGGAGCGGGCACGGTCAGACTCCGTGGTGACGCTGTCCATGTTGCTCATCAGATACTTGAGGTGAGCACGCTCCTGCTGAACCTGGGCAAAGTCGGCCTCCCGGCGCGATGCGACGCTCTCCCACTGCTCCTTCTCGGCGCGCAGGAGGGAGGATTCGTCTCGCAGGCGCGCCTCGGCTGCCTTGTGCGTGGCCACCTCCTCGAGGGCCTGGCGACGCTCGAGCTGGGTCTGGCTGACCTGGCCTTGGAGCTGGCGAACCTGGGCCTCGAGTGAGACATACTCATTCTTCTGGAGGGCGTGGGTCTCGGCAAGGATACGGTGTTGTTCTGAGAGAGGATTAGCTTCTACGTGTAACACGATAACTCACCTTCAAGGAGGGTGGCACGGGCCTCAGCCTTGGCCTTTTCCACCTCGGCGACACCAGCAGCCTCGCTCTTCTCACGAGCCAGTGCCTTGGCATCGGCGACGTCTGCGTCGGCCTTGACGCGGACAATGTCAAGCTCGGCCTGGAGGGACGAAATGGCTTCGGCACTCTCGTCGTTGGTGGCCTCGATGCCCTGGGCGACAGTTCCGTTGGACCAGCGGAGGCCCTCACCGCGGGCAAGGAGCTTGGAGAAGAAGTCGCGCTCGCGAGTGACCTCGGTAATCTTGGCCTCAGTCTCCAGCAGGCGGGTGCGCATCGTCATCAACGCCTCGGTCGCCTGGTCAAGGGCTGCGCCGTCGTCGTCGGTTTCCACACGCTCCACCTCGCGCTTGTTGAGACGAGACTGCAGGGCACGCGTGACCTTGAGCAGGTCGGCGTTCTGCTTCTGGAGCTCGCGCAGAGACTTGAACTCGAGTAGCCTGTCGGTGATGAAGTCGCCGTCGTGGAGGGTGGTCGAATCGTCAATTTGAACATAGGCCAGGCTAGGGTCGTCGCGGATCGCAATCTCGCGCACGAGCTTCTGGCACTGCAAGTTGCGGTCGTGCAGCTGAGACTCGAGCGACTCGACCTCGTCGGTGTGGTGCTTGGCTGCCGCCTCAAGAGCCTTGACGCGGGTTTCAAACTTTTCGCGAGCAGAAATGGCAGTGGCAAGCTCGCCTGCAAGGTCGTTGGAGCGGCTAATGGCCTCCTCCCACTCGGCGCGCTGCTGATCAAGAATAGGGCGCTGAAAAGGTCAGCTCCTGCCAGACATAGCCACAACTCACGCGTTCTTCCATATCCCTGCTAATCTCGTCAAGGACACCTTCCAAGTGCTCGACCTGCTCCGCCTTCTCGCGAAGCTTGGTCTCCATGATCGCGTAGTCGGTGTAGAACTGGGTATAGGACTTGCCGCTCTCGCGCTGTCGGCTGGCAAGCGCTGCCGCTGGGCTAACGTCGGACGTGTTGCCGTTGGCGATGTTGAGGTTTTCAATGACGACCTTGTAGTCGTCCACCCGCTTCTCGGCGACCTTGCGCGCATGCTCATCGCGCTGTCGCCTCTCGTCCCAGATACGCTCCTGCTCAGACATGGTCTCGGACATGCTTTCCAGCTCCGCCTCGCGGTCGGCCACGGTCACACGAGCCTCGGCACCGCGCTTGGCGAGCAGTCGGTTCTCCTCGCGGAGACGGTCAAGCTCCAGGCGGTGACCAGCCCTTGATGACGCTGCCGTTGATGAGAGGGATGAAATCTGGGCAGTGGCCTCGGCAAGACGACGAGACTGCTCTTCGTAGGTTCGCTGGAGGGCGATGTACTTGGACTCGAACGATGTGAGACGCATTTGAACAGTCTCGTTCTCCTGTTGCAGATCGGACAGCTGGCCTTGCACGCCAGCGCGGTAGACACCAAACCTCGCTTCGGCATCGGTTGCCGACTTGGTCAGGTTGGCGACCTCGTTGCGTGCATTCTGCAAAGCCTGGACACTGCGCTCCTGGTTAAACTGGTTGTCAGCTGTGTCTGTCTAGGTATCACTAGCTCACCTTGGCCGAGTCGGCGGCCATCTTCAGCTCGGACACCTCGACATCGAGATGGGCGACCTTCTGGGAAGCCTCGGACGCCCTCTGGCGGGAACTGTATGCGTCCTCTGTATGGGCGTTAGTACGACAATTCCCGATTCACAGCTCAGGAGACTCACTCGTAGCGTGCGTGGCCTTCTGCCCCAGTCGCTGAATCTCGTCGACGAGCTCGCGCTTCTCCCGTTCGGCGGCCTGTCACATCAGCTCTGACTTTAATACAGCAGAGGGTCAACTGACCTCAATCCGGCTCTGAATGACACTGAGCTCAGAATTAGACTGCAGAAGCGAAGATTGAAGCGAGCCGAGCTGTGTGCGAAGCTGGTTGGTGGTCGAAACTGCACATTGCGTCAGTGGGCCCCCTTCCTCAGTCTCATCCTCCGTGAGCCAGTAAACTTGACGTACCAGCTCCATCACGCTCAACAGCAACGACATCCTTGTCCTTCTTGAGCTTCTCGACCTCGGCGTCGCGGGCCTTGAGGGTTGCTTGCAGATCGGCGACGGCTTGCTCACGCTCGACCTCGGCGAGTAGGTCGGCCGGAAGCGAGGTTGATGAGCCCGCTGTCGCTTGAACGGCGACAGTTGCGCCCGTGGCAGCGGGCACGGGGTCGATGGGTGGATCCGCCGACATGTCAGACAAGGTGTGAGTCCCCTTGTCTAGGGATGATGGGAGGATGCAAGAGGGATGGTGGATTGGAGCAAGGTGTAGTGGATTGGGATCAGTTGCGTCCCAAAGGCGCGAGTGAAGGCAACTGCCGGAACAGTGCCAGGGACGGGGCACGCCAACGGAAGCAATTTTGGGTGGTAATTAGAAAAGTAAACAAACAATGTTAGCCTCCCATTATGTATTGTTTTCTAATGTCCCATTTGAATCGTCTGCAAGGCCTCTGAAACGCGTGTCGATCTCAAAAGTCGGGTCATCGCACGGACAAAAGCGACGGCCACATTGCGTCTCGCTTTCAACCCATATCCGTTCCAATGCCTCTGCCAGCAGACACCTCAGCACCAGGAGGGCCCTCTGGATCCTCGTCGGCGACCCCCACCGACACCGTCGACAAGCTTGTCCCCAAGCTTGAGCAGCTCGGCAATGATGACGAGGAGGACGGCGACGACGCGTCTGATGACGAGGCCGACGACGTGAACGACGCCGGCGCACCGGGTGCCGGCGGTGATGCGGCCGCCAAGAAGAAGAAGAACAAGAAGAAGAAGAAAAAGTCCAAGGGCAAGGCTGCCGACACTGCGTACGTTTGTTTGCCCATGTCGGGCCATGTGCTGCTATCTATGTGTGAGCTGACCACATTAGCCCTGTCGACCCTCAGCAGGATCTCATCAACGTTGTGCGCGATAACATGGCCGCCGGTGACTCCAATCGCGTGTCTAATGGTATGTGGATGTACCCCTCTTCTATCGGTGCTCGTGGCTGACCTTATAACCAGACGACATTCGCAAGGCACTGCAGGCCATGGATCTCATGAAGTTGCTCGAGGCCCAGGGCAACCCGTCCAACAGCAAGGCGTTGGGCGAGCACAAGGTCAGTACCGTAGTCACGAATACCGTAGTCACGAATTAGCTGACAACGCCGTAGTTCTGGAAGACCCAGCCTGTCCCCCAGACCGAGGGCAGCGAGTACAAGGAGGGACCTATCGATGAGCCCAAGACTCCGGCAGATGTCCGCCAGGAGCCCCTGGCTCTCCCCGCCGGCTTTGTGTGGAGCACCATGGACGTTAAGAATGAGGAGCAGGTGGGTGTCAAGTGCTAGTCAGCAGTGCTGACCTATCAGATGCTTGAGGTTCACACACTCCTGACGGAGAACTATGTCGAGGACGACGACGCCATGTTTCGCTTCCGCTATACCAAGGAGTTCCTTCTCTGGTGAGATCGGTTGCAGCGCCCGGACCACCGTGCTAACCGTGCAGGGCTCTTACCCCTCCCGGATACGAGGAGGAGTGGCACATTGGTGTCCGTGTGCAGAAGACTGGCAAGCTTGTCGGCTTCATTTCGGGTATCAAGATTGAAATCCGCGCGCGCGAGAAGTGAGTTATAAATACGCCTTCGCCGTCTAACTCTCAGAACCTTTGACTCTGCTGAGATCAACTTCCTCTGTGTGCACAAGAAGCTGCGGTCCAAGCGCCTGGCTCCCGTGCTCATCAAGGAGGTCACTCGTCGTGTCAACCTGACCAACATCTGGCAGGCCATCTACACCGCCGGTGTCGTTATCCCCACCCCCTTTGCCACTTGCCGCTACTACCACCGTAACCTTAACCCTCCCAAGCTCGTCGACATTGGCTTCTCCCCTCTGCCCCGTGGTCAGACCATTGCCCGTCTTGTCCGCCAGTACGCCGTCGGCACTGCCACTTCGACCCCTGGCTTCCGCGAGATGGTTGCCGACGACGTGCCCCAGGTCGCCACGCTGCTGCGCCGCTACCTCGCCCGCTTCCCCATCATGCAGACCTTTAGCAAGGACGAGGACGTCATGCACTGGTTCATCTCGGGTCTCGGCCGCGAGGAGAATGGCAAGCGTGTCGAGCAGGTTGTCTGGGCCTATGTTGTTGAGGTGGGTTGAAACGCTCGTCTCTTCTGCAAGCTGACCCAGCAGGACCCCACGACCCACGAGATCACCGACATGGTCTCTTTCTACTGTCTCCCGTCCACCATCATGCAGCACCCCAAGCACGATGTCCTGAATGCCGCATACATGTACTACTACGCTTCCGATGTTGTCTTCTCGGCTGGTGGTTCGGGCGAGGACAGCGACCAGCACAAGGTCAAGGTCGAGGAGCGTCTCAACGCCCTTATCCGTGACCTTATGGTTATGGCGCAGACGGTAAGCGTGCGCCAGTTTGATCAAGCTGACAGCAGAACGGCTTTGACGTTCTCAACGCGCTCACCCTCATGGACAACAACATGTTCCTTAACCAGCAACAGGTGAGATTTATGTTTGACGGGCTCTATCTAACACACAACAGTTCGGTCCCGGTGACGGTTATCTCGTATGTATTGTAACCAACCCTGATGAGCCTGCTAACCACGACTATTTGCGTAAACGTTCCAGAACTGTGAGTTTTCGCGGTCTTCTTGACAAAAAAACTGACGACAGACTATCTTTACAACTGGTCCACTGCACCTATTGATGGCGGTCTCAACACGACCGCGAAGAGGGAGGGCTCTGGTGTGGGCGTTGTTATGCTTTAGACGTAGGACCCATCAGTACTGCATTCGACTCGTGCATGCAATGGCTAGGATAGACTGTGGATTTGGTGCCCAGTGGCCAGTGGACGATATTTGCCACCGCGCCACCGCCACTTGGTCACGTGGTTTTCGCGTGGTCACCGAGAGATTTTGTGAGCGGATGGTCCACTTGTGCACACCATCCATCCCACCGATACATTTGTTGCTGCTGCAAGTTCTTGCTACAACACACACCCAAAACCGTCTTCGGCAATGGCGTCCACAGCCCTGCCGGCGTTCGGCACGCAGCTCGCAAATGTGCGTCGCCTGACCTCTTCAAACCAGGCCCACCAGGCCAAGCCTGCAAAGCTCCTCAGCGCCATCGAGGCCACCATCTCCGCCTCCCTCCCCGGCTCGTCCCTCCCCCACTCGGCTACCGCCTACTTTTCGGCCCTCCTGCAATGCCTCGAGAAGGCATGCTCGGACGAGATTGGCGCCGACGAGACTGGCGAGGAGATTGCTGAGACTGAGAAGATGGACGGTGGCGCTCTCATCCCCGCCACCCTCTACCTCCTTGCCATTGTCGTCCCCGAGACCCCCGCGCAGGTCGTGCTCTCCAAGCTCTCCCCCCTCCTTGAGAACCTCCTCCCTCTCTACCAGAACGCCCTCCCCTTCCCTCCTGCTCTTCGCAGCCTCCTCCAGATTGTCACTGCGGTCACTCTCTTCGCCACCCCTCAGCTCCTTGGCAGCTCGCCTCTCCTCAAGCGCGCTTGGAGCTACCTCCTCGAGCTCAACCTCGACCCCCGTCCAAAGGTCCGCCACCTTGCCCAGGAGGGTGTTCGCAAGGTTCTCACCACTCCCGTTCCCCCTCGTGTCACCCCCGGCGCTCACCCTTTCCTCCCCCGCACCCGCGACTGGGTCACCAATGCCCTCGAGGACGAGCTCAAGAGCGGCACCTCGAAGAGCAAGAAGGCCCGCTTCGCCGGCGCCGAGGAGGACTCGGATGGCAAGAAGGCCATCTGGGTCGTCCAGGGCCTCCGTGGCTGGGTTGCCGTGTGGGGTGACGAGCAGCTCTCCAAGCTGTGCTCGCTCCTGCTCTCGCTCCCGCCCCACCCCCACCTCACCAGCCAGGTGTACTCGCTCCTCGCTCACCTCCTCACCCCTCCTCCCGCGGACAGCACTGGCGCCAAGCCCACTGTCCTCATCAACCTCCCGACCATCATTGACTCGCTCCTCTCGTCGGTCCCCGAGCTCGCCTCGCCCGACATCCCTGCCTACCTCTCGGCTCTGAGGAATGCTCTGATCAAGATGGCTCTCCAGGACCCTGCCAACCTGCCCGCCTACTTGCCCCGTGCCTTTAAGTTGATGTTCAGCGACACCCTTCTTGCCGCCTCGGCTTCGTCGGCCGTGTGCACCGCTGCTGCCGATGCCATCTCGTCGGGTATTGTCCGCTTCTGCATCACCGACGAGGCTATCCTCTCGACCATCTCGTACATGCGCCACGGTAGCCACCTCCCTGGTGCTCGCAAGAAGCAGAAGACTCCCTTCCTCACCCGTCTCCTTGGTGCCCTCACCGAGGCCCTCGACGCTCATGCGCTGCGCATGCCCTACCTCCTCACTATCCTGGCCGCTCTTGTGTCCCGTCTCCGCATTCGTGTGGCCACCGGCACCAACGACCCCAAGATCGACGCTGCTGGTATTGCGCCCACCGCCGCCGAGGAGCTTCTCCTTCCCCTCGTTCGTGAGATCGGAGACTTGCGCCACAACAAGTCGTTTGAGGCCAAGGACAAGGTCGACGATGTTGTCGGCATGGCTATCGAGGTTATCGGTGTCGAGGGCGTCCTCAACGTTCTTCCCCTCAACATTGAGCCCGATGGAACTGGCCGCACCCCTCAGCCTGGTCGTGCTCACCTCCTCCCCCTCATCCGCGCTCGCACCACCAACGACTCGCTTGCCTTCTTTGCCAACTACTTCCGCCCTCTCTCCGAGCGCCTGTTCGAGCGCAAGGTCGCGGCAGAGGACGCTGACAAGGTCGCCGAGGCCAAGATTTGGGAGGTTATCGTTGGCCAGATCTGGGACTGTCTTCCCGGTTTCTGCGAGATGCCCCGCGACCTCAAGGATGGCCTCAGCACTCCTTTCCTGTCGCTCATCACCAACCTCCTCTACACTCAGCCCTTGCTCCTCAACCCTCTGCTCCGCTCGCTCCTCCAGCTCATCAACTCGACCAAGCAGCTGATGAACTCTGCCACCGACGCTGAGGTTCTGCGCAAGCAGTTTGGTATTGACCAGGAGGCGGCCAAGGCCAACCTTGTTGTCCTCCAGGGCCTTGCCAAGGACATGGTTTCGGTCCTCCTCAACGTCTTCTCCAAGCTCCCCCGCGAGCAGCGTGGAATGGTCTCGGACGTCATTGGCGCCTGGGTCAGCATCATGGAGGAGAAGGACATTATCGAGACGTACACCACCGTCACCACCCATCTTTCGGCCAACCTCGGCAACTCGGCCGCCCCCGTCCCCGGTGCTTCGCCCATCTCGCACACCATGCTGGACCTTCTTATCGTCTTTGTGCCTCACCTGCCTGCTGCCCAGAGCGCGTCGCTCTTTGCCGCCACGTCCACCAAGGACCTGCTCGAGCACAACGACGCCACTGTCCAGAAGAAGAGCTACCGTGTCCTCAAGCGTCTGCTCGAGGGCGGCAAGCTCGGAGACACCTCTTCGTCGGGTGACAAGCTCGAGAAGTTTGTCGAGCAGCTCAACGAGGTGGCTTCCAACGTCGGCCCCGGTGCCCAGCGTGACCGTCTCCAGCTTCTCTCGACCCTCGTCGACGCCATCCCCCGCGACCGCCTCCACCTCATCCCCGAGCTCCTGTCCGAGGCTGTGCTCGGCACCAAGGAGGTCAACGAGAAGGCTCGCGACGCCGGCTACGACCTCCTCGTTGTCATGGGCCACAAGATGTCCCAGGGTGGTGAGGTCAAGCAGGCCGCTGGTGAGAACGATGAAGGCGAGGCCATGGCTGAGGCCACTGTCGCCGCCAGTGCCGAGGAGTACATCACCATGGTTGCTGCCGGTCTGACTGGTGAGACCCCTCACATGATCTCGGCCTCGATCAACGCCCTTTCGCGTCTCCTGTTCGAGTTCAAGGAGGACATTTCCACCGAGCTCATCTCGGAGCTTGTCGCCACTGTTGTCGTGTTTGTTGCCTCGAAGAACCGTGAGATTGTCAAGTCGGCCCTTGGTTTCATCAAGGTTGCTGTTGTCGCTCTCCCCGTCGACGCCGTTGAGCCCCACCTCAACACCCTCGTCCCGGCCCTCCTTGGCTGGGTCCACGACCACAAGAACCACTTCAAGTCCAAGACTGTCCACATCTTTGAGCGCATGATCCGCAAGTTTGGCTTTGACACCGTGTACAAGCACGCCCCCGAGGGCGGTGAGCGCAAGGTGCTCGAGAACATTCGCCGCCGCAAGGAGCGCGCCAAGAAGAAGAAGAATGCCGCCGGCGACGACGACGAGATGGACGGTGGCGCTAGCCGCCCCAAGTCGAGCAGCGGCAACGCCTTTGACGACATTCTGTACAACTCGGACTCGGACCTTGAGAGTGACGGCGAGAAGGACGACAGGCCCATCAAGCCCCTGTCCAAGCGCCAGAAGAAGGCCGCTGCCGCCGCCGCTGCCGACGCCGCGTACATCCGCAACGAGGGCGACGAGCCCATGGACCTGCTCTCGCGCTCGATCGCTGGCGGCGTCACTCGTGCCAACCCGGCCGACGATCGCAAGCGCAAGCCCGGACAGGACGCCGTCCACTTCAAGACTGACAAGTCTGGCCGTATGGTCATTGAGGACGAGAACGCGGGTGCCGACGGTGACGAGGGCATGGGCGGTGGCGCCGACGCTGCCGCTGGTGCCGGCAACGCCTACCTCGCCGCCATGGCCGGTGTGGACGGTGCCACCCGCGGTGCGAGCGGTGGGCTCAAGTTCAACAAGAACACGAAGCGCTCGCGTGCCGAGGAGCGCGAGGCCGAGGCCATGGATCTTGACGAGCTCATTGGCGACAAGCCCAAGAACCTCAAGAAGAAGAAGACGGCCGCGCCTGCCAAGCTTGGCGAGGAGTTCCGTCCCAAGCGCGCCGGAGGCGACATCAAGAAGGTCGGCGGCCCCGACCCATACTCGTATGTCCCCATCGGACAGGCTGCCCAGCGCAAGGGCGGCAAGGGCAACAGCCGTGTCAACCTCACCAACAAGAAGAAGGGCAGCCGTGCGTAAAAAGTGGACGGCACAGCGTCTTGTGTGCACATACGGATAGATTGGTTACCTGGCATTGTGATATCTCATGTTATACTTGGACAACGAACACAGGGGAGGAGATACAGATGGGAGATACAGTTGCATCGGACCATGTCCTGCTCACTAAACGAGTGGCTTATGGCGCATTTGACTCTTTACTCGAGCGAACCGTAGTCGGTAGCGATGGTAGGAGGTCTTTACATCTGTCAGCGAGCGCGTGAGTGCGCCACCGACCTACTGGGTCTTGGCAAGGGTCCTCTTGAGTCCCTCTTCCTCGCTCTTGTCCAGCAGCCGGCAGAGGATGTATCCCGGCGCGACGAATCCGACCGTGACCAGCGCGCCGTGGACCAAGTAATCCGTCGGGTGGCCGAGCGTCGCCACAAACTTCATGGGACTGAGCCAGGGCGAGAGGTTGAGGAACAAGGCGCCGTGCACGAGAAGCGTCCACTTGATGTCGACGCTACGGCGCGAGAAGATGAACGCAGCGAGACCGAGGCAGACGGCACTGAACACGCCCTCGTACACCCACGACATGGTGAGGAAGCGGCCCCACCATCCCCAGCCGAAATGTTTCTCGGAATAAGGGTACGCGGCCAGGTCGAGGTTGTGGAACGGGACGTCGCCGAGCCAGTGGGAGAAGACGGCCAGGGCCGAGATGAGCGCGAGGCCCTCGGGCGCGCTCGTGCCGTACTTGCTCTTCATCATGACGGCCCACACTGCCGACAAGATGACAGCCATGAGCAGCGAGTGGTCCCAGTCCACAAAGACCAGGTCAAAGAACAGGTACGGCCCCGCGGCGGGGTTGGGCCGGACGTGGTCGATGCCCAGCATCACCAGCACGCCGTCGATAATGTCCAGCCATCCCACGCCAAAGATGATGGGCAGCGAGGGCGTGTTGGGGCACAGCGCCTTGATGAGGACGCCGCCGGCAAAGTGACCAACGTACATTGTGTTGCGAGACGTCTTCAGGTGGTAGGGTAGGATGGGAGTATGGGAGTAAAAGACTGGGACGATAAAGCGACAGTTGAATATTAGGATCTCGGGAACCAGAGTGACGTCGGTGGAGTAAGCCCTCGATGTGACGCGTTTGTCTTTCAGTCGCGCGCACGTGAATCAACAGGTGAAAGCGCGAAGAAGAAAAAAAAAAGGTCTGGTGTAGGTGGAGAAGCTGGCTGCAATGTACGGACCACAATGCTTAAGTACTCGACTCCTGTACACCCGTCTCTACTGCCCCGCGGTCACACACACACCTTCAGGTCATCTTCACCTTCAGGTCAACCTCACTTGTCGGTCACCTGTGACCGCGTCTCGGCTCGCCGACCCGAACAGTCGTCCTTCAGCAGGAGCTCCGACGCCGAGGCCGAAGTCTGCGCAGACAATCGCCGATGAGCAGCACGCGGCACACAGCGGTCCCAGGGATGCTTGCGTACCAGTTGGGAACGACAGGCAACGGATGAGCCCCGCCACACAGTGTGACTTGCTGGTGACTGCCAAAGTGACGTCATGACCATCGACGTCCGCGTTCTTCGCTGATCGCTGATCCATGATAATGGGGCAATCACATTTTCCGTGTGTACATTTGCGATCCAGCGCGTATTAAATGGCTACCCGTTATCTCGTGATTCACAACGACGAGGTTATGCCTCGCTCTGGCTAGCAGGGGGGAGGTCTAGGTCGTAGAAGAGGGTCTTGGTGTGGTCGTGAGGGTCGTCGCTTGTCGCTGGATCATGTCAGCTGATGTGAACATTCACAGCTCACACACACACCACTTAGGCCTCCTCGAGCTCGCGGGCGACACGGTGGTCCAAGTTGCGGAGGAAGACGACTTCCTTCAGGAGCACCTCGTTACGGGCCGCGAGCTCGCTGTTGCGCGCCAGGAGCTCCTTGATACGCGTCTTGCACTCGTCCACTGTCGTGACGGCCTCTTCGTCCCACTCGCCGACGCCGACTGCGGTCGCGCCGACCTGTAGGAACATGTTAGCTCGTCAGAATGCAAGCGAGGTGTTTGACGTTTGACTTACCAGTTTGACAATACGCCACAGACGGAGGACGACGAGCAGACCAGCCAGCTCGCGCTCCTTGCCCTTGAGAATGACCTCGAGGGTGATGGTGAGGATAATGACGATGGCATCGAAGAGGTGCAGGACATAGTCTGTGGGGGTGGTGTCAGAATAGCACATCAGGGACGAGGATGGCGGCGGTGGCTACGCGGTGGCTTGCAAGACTCACGAGGGACAGGCTTCTTCTTGGTGCTCAAGCCAAAGAACTGGGGGCCAAACGCGTAAAGCGACATGGGAATTTCGATGAAGAAGAGGAAATCGATGAGGAGGGAGAAGAGGGCAAGACGCTCCAGCCACTCGGGGGCCTCATCCTTCTCACCGCCCTCGCAGTTTGGGTTGAGGATGTCTGCAAGAAGCGTCAGCTAAGCTGGATGAACGTGCCAATACCAGCTGAAGCGTACTCCAGGCAAGGTCCATGAGCACGAAGACAGCATCGATGGCAATCTGGTGTCAGCTTTCTAGTGGCTTAATCTAGCTCACAAGTGTAAGGAGGAAGCGGTGGGTACGCTTGCTCTCGAGGAGCTCTCCGACTTTGTGGTGCCAATCCTCGCTTGTCTCCTCCTCACGGACGTGAGTGGATGCTGATGGGAGGAGGGGGGCCGTTTTCTGCCATTGCGTAGATGGGGGAAGGCTGTCACGGTGGGAGTATAGGTGCAAGAGAAAGAGACGACGGTGGAGATGTGAGCTCTGTGGGTGAGAGAGACAGGCAGACGCGATCCCGCCGCGTGACATGAGGAGGGTACGGATTGGATCACCTCCACCAGACGACAGCCAGGAATAGACTGTCACTCTCTCCGTCCGCAGCAAGTGGCACTTGTTGCACAACGTACTGCAAAGTGGCGCGTCGAATACTCATGGTCACAGCATGGCTAGAGCAGCAAGAGGAAGATACAGACGCTGTTCATCGGCCTTTTAGCTTGTCTGATGATATCCGACGACGCAGGCAATTCGGCACCACGGAGGTTGGCACACTGATTCTGGGCGGCATGCGCATACCATTCCGACCCCCACATCGGCTTGCTTGGTTCTTGTGGGTGACCGCTGATCCACTGACGACAATGGCGCAACCAGACACGGGCCACGGACATATGGACAATCGGCGCCAACGTCGGCTAGGCCGCGGAGACCGGCACCCCCCCGTCGTGCTAGAGACCCAAGGTCGGGGACAGTCGTGGCGAGTACAGAGACGACGAGGTCGACCTTGGTTGGAACAACCTGCGTGTGCTTTGGGCGAGGCCTCCAAACATCTGTTATCATCCCTGTGTCATAGCCAGCCATCATCAGGTACAGTACTTGCCGAGATGGAGATACCCGTATCAGCAGAGAAGCGGGCCCGCCACATGCATCATCACTTCTCTCGTCCCTTGTCTGCAACCCTGCGTTGAGCGTGGCGTCGACGTCTACGCAGGCTGGGGCATGTGCCCAGCCAATGCCGTCCACACTGACACAAATCGCTCAGACGTTAAGCATGATCGCACCCGGACGAGGGCGAGCGCGGCCGGTACCTCCCCATAGACGGAAGCGAGTTCACCAAAGACTCACAAGGTCGCGGTGAGGATCACCATGGCCAAAGAGTATCTGCCACATTTTGAATTTCGTCTGCTATCTGTCATCTACGTTATCTGTCATCTACGATGTATGAAGTGTGGGGTGCTAATGATTCACGTGGGATCGTCAAAACTGCCAAACGCAGGTCGTGAGAAACTCCCACTGAAGCCGCATACCGACGGGGTGGTTTGTCTCCTTGGGTGTACCACAGCTGGGCATGCGTTGTCGTTCTTGAATGGAATTTCCGGGCCACAGTGGTCAGTTCACCGACCCTGTTCCGATTTGCACCAGTCGTTCGTGCATCGGCTCAACTGGCCAACATCGCTGTGGTTCTCTTACCTCTTGTCCTTGCGATCTCACTGGCCCTAGCTGCCCCCGGCCCTCGCTGCTGCATGGTGTGGCACATTGAACTGGTTTCCTCGGCCGCGGAAAACGGGACCAGATCCGTTCATGATGAAAAATAACCGAATGGGGAAATTGTCCTGAGCGGTGGAGCCGACGCCCGCTGGGCACGGCCGGATCGCCCATATTCCATGTCTTACAACTTTTTCTGTAATGAATTCTTTTTCGATATCCCACTGCTGAGCTAATCCCAGGCGCTCCATCGGCTTCGAGAGACCGTGAGACATTACAATCAGGGTCATGCTCTTGCCCTCTGGCCCTAGAACGATAAGGGTTGTCTTAGGACGGACCACTCTGTCGCCGCCTCTCCCAGGCTAATGGCAGTCTGAAAACTGGTTAGGCGACACACCGGGCAACCGGGGCCTGCGTATCCACTGCATGCTTGGGTCGTCAGTGTCCGTCCTCGCCCGTGGACAACGTCTGTCTGCTCAGTCAGCCTCTAACACCCCTCCTCTCACTCCTGGTCCTTCCGGCCATTCCGTGCATGCTTCTCGCGCCTCTTGGGCTGCCATCCTCATAGCAGGAAGATTCTCCTTCAGACCGATGACGCATGCAACAGTCACCACACCCAGTCGATGCGAGCCGCGTCCGAACATGTCTGGCGTACGGGCAGAGGCCACAAAGGGCGGCAGACGACGGACGGACGGGCGAACAACGGACGTAGCCATTGCGAGTCGTTTTGCTGACCGACGAGGTGAGAAGTTGACGCTGACGGTACTGACCCTCGCACACATAAAAGAAGACGGGCTGCGTCGCTTCTCAGACACCATCACACCACATCCTCACATCCACATCACTCCTCTGGAGCACCACTGCCACTCTACTACAACCCTCACCCACCCAACCCCACCTAACACTCTAGTCACAATGGCTCAAACTGGTGAGTATTCTCGCCACTGTGGCACCTGTACCTGGGAATCGAAACTGACTTGTCCGCAGAGGAGAAGCCCGCCCCCACCACCCGCCTGGGTCTCACGTTCTCGACCACCCGCCAGACCCTCTTCGTGGCCTTCTTCACCTTCTTCTGCGCTATCGACCTCTCCCTCCTGGGTCTCGTCTCGGAGCAGATCCACAAGTATGGCAACGACTGGACCTCGTACCCCAACGGCATGTTCTACCACGCTCTCGGTCTTGCTCTCTTCGCCACCATCTTCTACCTGATCTTCGGTCTCTGCCACTGGGCCCTGGGCCACGCCCTCATCCTCTTCTGCTTCTTCTCCGCTGGTGTCATGTTCGGTACCGTCGCGGGTATCCTCACCGCTACCCCCTTCGGCCACGGTCTCCAGTGCGGCAACCCCGTCGACTCGTTCCCTCTCCAGTACCAGCCCTTCGTTAACGAGTGCTCGCGCATCACCGCCATTGTCGGTCTCTCGTGGACCATGTTCGGTCTCTGCGTCATCGGCTTCTTCTGGTTCTTCTTCGACAAGTTCTCCCTCCAGTCGCGCCGTGCCAACGTCTACGAGCCCTACGTCGACCTCGAGGCCGCCAACAAGCCCCTCGACCTCCACAAGCACTAAGTGGATTGCCATCCTTGGAGCAAAGCGATTCGTCGGTTCGACCACAGTATCAAGTCGGTCGGTCGCAAGCCCAGCCCAGCCGACCACCACATTCTTCACGGGCTTCCGGTGACGGTAGCCCCACCATAGCATACTTGCATCCTAATACACACATGCATTCTATAATTGCCTGTACCCCTTGTCGCGCCGCACATACAGTCTACTCACCACTGATTAAACAAACACGCGCGCCCAAGCATCGGTTGTAGAACCAGCGACGCCGGTTTTTCGTCGACGATGTGCCACACCAGTGTGTATTCCTCGGCGGAGTGGACGCCGAGTGAGGGTGCTTATCCTCTTGCTCCACAGGGCGAAGATAAACGGTCTTGGGGCCGCAGATTGGTGAGGCGGTGCAGATTGTACCTGGCCATCTGGTATGCAGTGTACAGGCATAGGCTGCAATTGTGAGTGGATGCGGCCATCCCTAGCTGGCCGTGTAGGAACTGCACACAAACAGTGGACGAAGGGCGTCCCCACCAACACCAGTCGCCGTGGTACGGCCAGAGGAGAACACGTCGGTAGACCCTTGGTCCAGTACATGTGCGGCCTATCTGTGTGCGCTCTCCAAAGTGAAAGTACATAGACAGAGATTTGAGCTTGACAGCAGCTCCGTCACGTCTCTGAGGGTGCACTGACATCCTCGTCAACACTGCACCTTCCCTCGCACCTTGAGCCTTAGAGACCACATGGCTGCTGCCTAAGGAGTCCCCCAGTACCGCGAGAAGGCGTGTATGTAGATAGATGCATGCCAGTCGAGTAACGTCGGTTACGACGAGAGTACTGCCACAAGTGTGCGGCTGGCGAGCTCAGAAACCTACACGACACATTTTCGGACAAGGCCGCAATAGACGGCCACAACGAGGCTCGAGGTATTGACACCGCTAGTGGCCACATCCGACACAAATGAGCAGCGAGCAGATCTGGCAGCGACGTCCAGGCGGGGTCAGGCGAGTCTGTGATCTGCGAGTACCCATCCCCAGATCCTGTCTAGCGGGGCGGGGTACAGCCGTCCTGAGCCCCCAAGGCGTAGCGGTTGGAATAATCTGAATGGCTGTGCTTCTGCAAACCTCCCGACACTGCGCGCCCAGCCTATTTGAGTCACTCCGTGTCGGTGAGTTGAGACGCCTGCAACATGGGTCTGTGCGCTCTGTGCGTGTGTATGCTGGTCGCTTTGTCACGGGACGTCCCACCAGGCCACCAGACTCCTGCATGGGATCATATGCGACCGACTGCCGAATCTTGTCTCTACGAACGAACAGGTGCTGCTCCGAAGACGATCACTGTACCACTGTGCCTCAACAGAAAACGCGTTGCTTAGTATATTCGGGTGAGTGGGAGGAGTCGTCAGTGTAAGTACAGTGTCTATTAGGATGGCGGAGCATGCCGGGGCCTGCACACTACGAACGGCCTGCGTCCATGAGTGAGATGCGAATATGTCCAACGTCAAGTGTACAGCGTGCAGAACAGCATCTGTTAACCCCCAGCTCTGCTGTGGATCTCGTCCAGGACAAAGCTTGAAGACACAACAGTTAAAAGCACCCGCGTATCCTGTTGTCAGACAACATCCGAGTTGCATGGCGTTGAGACCACACCATCACATCGTATTCCACATTTGAAGCTTTTCCTAATGCCGTCGATGGCTGCGGCCGTGGTGGTTGCGTGACGCGCCGCCATATGACTGGAGATGGCGCAATCACTGCGGATCCGACGGTGCCGACTCGTAAACATACCATGGGCAGAGTCCGAATCGGAGAGACTGTGTTTTTTTGGCATTGGGGGGGGGAGAGAAGGCTGTCAGTTAGAGCTGTCCTGGACACCGCTGGCACTGCTTTCATGTATTAGGAGTTGCTGAGTGGGACATGTGGATGCATGCTTGCATCTGTACAGCGACGTAAGCTCTTGGGGGAGACGTGGATGCAGGCATTGAAGAGCTGCGGAGGTTGCCGAGTGCCGAATATCCGAATGATGTTATTCGCCGGTGGCCGCTGAATCCGCCGCCCAAGGCTTGTCATCTTGGGGCCGATTCCGAACATCGTTTGGCCATCGTACTCTCCTCACATCACGCGCGACTCATGAATTAGGACTCGCCACCTCAACATTTGGAGTACTCTCGACACCCACTGTACCATATTAAACCGACTTGGGGGCGACACAGAGGGTTTGTTACCTCACCGCCCCCCTCCTGCTCCAACCATCTCACCAACCCCCATGACGACCCCATATAACTCTCTCACAACACCCCCCACCCCTCACGTCCCCGCTTCGCCCAGCGATCTCCGAGGTTCGCTCGTGTCGACAGCACCTGGTTCGCCTCCACTATCCTCCTCTGACGGCAGCATGACTGACAGCCTAGCAACGCTGGCTCCTGTTCAGCACCAGCAGCCAGAGTATGACAATGGCTCGTCATCCGCCCATCCAACAACCCACCATGCGCCATACGCGTACGAGAAGCGGCCGCGTGGCGTTCTTGCTTACCTCGCGTATGCAGCACTGCACACCCCGCCGTCATTCTTTGCCATCAACATGGGAACGGGCATCGTCTCGATCCTCTTGCACAACTTTCCATACCCCGCCCGCTGGCTCCAATACCTCGGCACCATTGTCTTTGTGCTCAATGTGGTCATCTTCGTGGCGCTCTTTTCCGCGACGATTGCCCGCTACTGTATCTGGAGCGGCGTATTCATGATCACAGCCAAGCATAACCTGAACAGCATGTTCTGGGGCACTTTCCCCATGGGCTTTGTGACGATTGTCGTGAGTTGTGCCTACTCAAAGTGACTTGTTACCACAACTGACATTCACAGAACATGATCGCCATTGTCTGCGTTCCCGCCTGGGGCAGCAAGTGGGCCTCCCTTGCGCTCGGCCTGTGGTGGATCGACATTGCCGTCGCTGTGCTGGTCAACTTTGGCACCGTCTTCCTGTTGTTCACAAAACAGCACCAAACAGAACTATCCGTGTCACCGGCCTGGCTCCTGCCTGTTGTCTCGACCGTCGTCGCGGCCGCGTCCGGGTCCATCGTCGCACAGTCCCTCATGCCCTTCAACCCAAACCTTGCGCGTGCGACACTGCTCGCGTCGTATGTCATCTGGGGGACAGGTGTGCCGCTTGCGTTCATGGTCATCACCATCGTCGTGTATCGTATGGCGCTCCACGGCCCGCCACCACACACGCTTCTCGCGTCCGTGTTCCTCCCTCTCGGTCCCTGTGCGCAAGGCGCGTTTGGTATCGTCAACATGGGAGTGACCGCGCGCCAGCTGGCCTACGAACACAGCACGCCAATCATTCCCGGGATGGCACTCGAGGCATCCCTGCACATTGCAGACGCAATGTACGCTGGCGGTATCGTTGCAGGCCTTATCCTCTGGGGTCTCGCATTGCTCTGGTACACCCTCGGTATCGCTCTGTTCCTTGACGGATGGAGGAAGGACTGGTCGCTCCTGGGCACCGGCAAGTTTACTGTGGGCTATTGGTCCCTCACTTTCCCTATTGGGTGAGTACCTCGTGCTTCCTGGGTGAGGGTGTGTGGAGCAACTGTTCTTCTTCTAGAACCTGAGCTCCACCCCCTTTCCCACTTTTGGAGCGTCGTCATTAGCGCCTTACTCGTACTGACTGTTTCGTTCAGAGTCTTTTCCACTGCGTCATTAGCCCTAGGCACTGAACTGCAGTCGACGGCGTTCAAGGTCATTGCCGCCTTCCTGGCAGTCCAAGTGGTGCTGCACTGGATCTTTGTTTCAGTTGGCACCTTGTGGACCTTCCGCGACGGCACGTTGTTCTCGTCTCAAAAGTTTGAGACAGAGGACGCGCCCCACATTGGCCAGCGCTGGCACCGCGAGGACTGGCCCAAGACCCATACGTCCGATATTGAAGCGAGGCCCGGCAAGCAGGCAACCGAGGTGGCGTGCGAGATCCCATAAGGAGTCGGAAGATCCTTTGCTGCGCAACAATAACGCATTGATCCTAATCCTGAGTGACGGTACAGTGTAGACGAAACCGGACGACAATAATACATCCCGCCACAGCATGACCGCATGATCGTCACGCGCCCATCGGCAAACATCCAGCAGCTCCAGCTCCCGCATCGCATTACATTTTTTTTTGTCCACACTACTATACAACAACAACACCACGTTCCAGCCTTTTAAACCATAGCACGGCACGGACCTTCTCGTTCCTGTATCAGCATCTGTACTTTTCTGCATGCCGTTCTCTTCGTTTCCACGACCACTTCTGGATCACTAGTACTGTACTGGTACCACCCATTGGGGTCTCCTAGAGCCGGGGTATCGATCGGTTCTGTCCCTTCTGGCCTCTGGGCTCCACTTTTCCAACCGGCTGCCAGTAATTGGGCCCTGACATGCTCCACCTAACCCCCGCAACTGAGATTGCGGAGTGGAGCTTGGATTCCGGTACTAAGCGCTGCGACGGCGGTTAGACAACCCCCCACATTGGTTCTGTCTGGAACACAACAACCACCCCAGAGATCGCCCACCAGTGACAGCGCGTGGTGTCACTAATTGTAGTGGGCAGTGGACAGCATGATAGCACGGACGGAACAAGGATGCCGCATGGACCAAACCGGGTGGCAAGCGATCGCTGCGACAAGAACCCAGCAGAATGATAACGTACACTGACGGCAGAAGGTGGCATGAGAAGCGGGCGCTGGCGCGCAGTTATGTCCATGTCTTGTGGAATGCGCACAGGCAGACAGAGCACACTCCGGCGGACGGACCTCAGCCTCGTTACCTAGTAACTGTAACTGTACAGTACATTGTTCTCTTGCGTGCTTGTTGGTGTGTCGGCTGAAAATTTATGCGTCCCAAATTAAGGCAGTTCTTCTCGAGAAACCCACAGTGGGGTCCGCGTCCACCTTTGCCTTGCACCTAACCCCCCTCGTCGTCCAGCTCCGTCGCTCCACAACGAGAGATCCCGCAATCCTCACCCCCTCCGCGGTCCCCGCGGGGTCCGGCCTGTTCGGCATTGGTGCAATTGGCCAACAGCGCTGCAGCCAAGCTCATGAGCTCATGATCGCGTGCAACCGCAACCAACTTAGACGCAGCGACGATTGGCACTTCCTGCGGGTCTGCTGGCCCCCCACGACCACCACCGGAGCCCGCTAGATTGCAAAAGGAACGGCAGCACCAGTGCTGTAAAAATAGTGCGACGTCCGCTTGGCGCCGTGTGGGGGTCTGGTTTGTTTCCCAATGCGGCCATTGTACTGCGGCGGGTGTCTGTGATAGGGGGGTTTGGGAGGCACAACGTGGGGACACATGGGACAGGGCACAGGAGCACTCTGGCGTTCTGGGAGTTGGGGGGGCCTGGAGCGTGGTCCTTTTTGTTGAGACCAAGGAAACGGCTGCTGTTACCCAACGGATTGCCTGTTGTGCTGCGATTGCCCGGTGGGATATCCCGCCCATGGCCGTCCCCGGCATGCCCATTCGGTTTTTGACAGGCACCGGTGGATGGTGGGGAGCATGTGATGCAGGTGGCACCATGTGGATCCACTTTTTTTGTCTCCCGCGCCGCTCGTCCATCCGATATCCGCCCAGTTCAGTGGCCCACCGCGGTGTGTGGCGCTCGCTGTGGTTGGCGCTTGGTGGTGGTGGCCGGTGTCGTGTGGCCAACGGAGCTAGCCAGAGCTACCAATGGTGCAACCAGGTGCAAAATGCCTGCTGGAGGCACTGACCATGGTCCCCTGGCTACAAAAGCCAGACTAGCTTGGCTCCCACATTTTCTTCCCCCAAACACATTACATCACGACCATCCAGTGAGTTGAAAAGAGGACTCGCGTCCACCATAACGTGTGGCTGACGTCTTGAAGATCACAATATGGCCGGTCTCGACCACGGCAACGCCATGCCCGCGGCAATCGCCCTCGCCGCCCAAGACGAGGAGCGTGCGTCCCGCAACCCCTCGCGCGCAGCCTCACTCCACGCTAGCAAGGACGAGAAGAACGTCAACGCCCAATACTCTGTCGGGCCTGCCGCCGCCATCGAGTATGGCCACCTTCCCGGCGAGCCCCTCGTCTACGACGACCCGCACGAGGGCGATGAGTTCCCCACCGAGGAGGAGCGCCACACTCTCCCCCGCCAGCCCGACCGCCTCCCATGGGCTGCGTACCTGATCGCCTATGTTGAGCTTGCCGAGCGTTTCTCATACTACGGCTGCACTGTCGTCTTCACCAACTTTATCCAGAGGCCCCTACCCCCCGGATCGCGCACTGGTGCTGGTGGCGCGGACGGCCAGTCTGGTGCTCTCGGTATGGGCCAGCGCGCCTCGACCGGTATTACCACCTTCAACTCGTTCTGGGTTTACGTGACCCCGCTCTTTGGTGCCTACATTGCCGACAAGTACTGGGGCCGTTACAAGACCATCTGCGTTTCCGTCGCCATTGCCCTCGTCGGCCACGTCCTCCTTGTCATCTCGGCCATCCCCGGTGTCATTGACCACTCGCAGGGTGGCATTGCCTGCTTTATCATTGCCATCATCGTCATGGGATGCGGTACCGGTGGCTTTAAGAGTAACATTTCGCCACTTGTCGCCGAACAGTACCGCAAGACCAAGCTGTTTATCCGCACCGACAAGAACGGTAACCGCCAGATCATCGACCCCGTCCTCACCGCCTCGCGTATTTACATGTACTTTTACCTGTTCATCAACATCGGTGCTCTGGTCGGCCAGATCGGCATGGTCTACGCCGAAAAGTACGTTGGCTTCTGGCTCGCCTTCCTCCTGCCGACCATCTTCTTCTGCACGGCTCCCATCGTCCTCTTCCTCGGCTACCGCATGTACTACAAGACCCCGCCCCAGGGCTCGGTTCTCAGCGGTGCCATGCACGTCTTCATGTACGCGGCCAAGGGCAAGTGGACTCTCAACCCCTTCAAGCTCGCCCGCAACTTTGGCGCCAAGGAGTTCTTTGACACGGCCAAGCCCTCGCACGTCCTTGCCACCACTGGCAGCACCCCCAAGTGGATGACCTTTGACGACCGCTGGGTCGACGAAGTCCGCCGTGGATTCAAGGCCTGCAACGTCTTCCTCTGGTTCCCCATCTACTGGCTCACCTACAACCAGATCAACAACAACCTCACCTCGCAGGCTGCCACCATGGACACCCACGGTCTTCCCAACGACGTCCTGTCCAACCTCGACCCCTTCGCGCTCATCATCCTTATCCCCATCTGTGACATGTTCGTGTACCCCTTCCTCCGCAAGATGGGTATCAACTTCACTCCCATCAAGAAGATCACCTTTGGCTTCTTCTTTGGCTCCGCCGCCATGGTTTGGGCTGCCGTTGTTCAGCACTACATCTACAAGACTAACCCCTGTGGCTACGAGGCCTCGACCTGCGAGGACGCCGACGGCAACGTCCTCACCTCGAACCTCAACGTCTGGATTCAGTCTGGCTCGTACGTCCTCATCGCCATCTCGGAGATTCTCGCCTCCATCACCGGTCTCGAGTACGCTTTCACAAAGGCCCCAAAGAACATGCGTTCGCTGGTCATGGCCATGTTCCTCTTCATGTCGGCCATCTCCTCGGCCCTCGGCGAGGCCTTTGTCTCGCTCTCGAACGACCCCCTTCTTGTCTGGAACTACGGCGCCATGGCTGTCCTCGCCTTCTTCGCTGCCATCGGCTTCTGGTTCTCGTACCGCCACCTCGACGCCGAGGAGGACGACCTCAACCAGCTCGAGACCGGTGACCTCCACGCCGACGAGCACCAGGGCCAGTTCACCGAGAAGCAGGCGCACGCACTCGACCAGTCGACCTCGCGCCAGGAGGAGCAGCACGTTGCTCAGCTGTAAAGAGTGTGCCACACTTATATTTGCTTGGCCTAGTTTTTTTCAAAGTGTGTGGGGAGTACGAGAGGTTCTGTAGCGTTGTCATATGAATGGAGAAGTGAAGTCTACTGTTGTTGCAGTCCCAAGTCCAGTGATCCAGTGACCATTGCACGTCGTTGTCGCAGGACACGGGTGATGATCAGTCAACCTCGGATATCGATCTCGGAGCCATTCGACGCCTGGCGCCATTTGGGCATATCACGGCTACTTTTGCCGCTGGCCGCTGGGATATGAGCTAGGACACTCGTTTTGGCCTCGACCTGCGATCTGTAGGTGTGCAGGTCGAGACCATGCGTCAGCCATGGGATGCATGAGACAGCGTCGTCTACAGCAGGCCCCTCGACCCCAGCCCCGCCGGTGAACCGAGACATTGAGCCTCGGACAAGAAAGTACGAAATTGTCCCGTCTCCAACGAACACACCATGCATGGAGAGAACTCCGCTCAGAACGACCGTTGTGTGTTTCTCGAGGTTTCCGCCGGCAAGCCACCTGTGCACACTCTTTTTCCCGCCTGAGGGCCTGAGGAATGCCGGGAGGCATTGTGGAATGGGTCAAAGTGGTCACAGTCCGGACCAGCGAGTGCGGAGCGTGTCATGATCCGCCCCTGTCGTGTCTGGACGAGAGTCGTCGTCCTTGTGGTTGCTAGAAGCTCCCTTCCATGAGACTGATGTTCGCGATTCGACTTCCGTACGTGAAGCATGGTTGGCATTCTTGCATTGCTCTGCATTCTTGCTTCCCACCTTGTTGCGTCATCGTTCCCACCGTACAAACTGGGCCGACACAAACGGTTGTGTGTAGTCGTCCATTCGTGATCGCTTGTCGTTGGAGCGCGAGTCCACTTCTGCATGGACCTGCTTCCCTGCTGATCCTGATCTGCTGAGGAGGCCACTGCGGCCGTGTGATGCCTTCTGGTATCTCAAGCGCCACATGCTGAGATATGCACTTGGGCAAGCATACTCGGGGGCGTACAGCATCCCGCTAGCCACTCGGACCCTGCCTGTCAGTCTCGAAGCCGCCGGCAACTATATATACTCTCACTGCTGCTGTTGCTGTTCTTTACGACAGCCACAGTGCATAGCCCTCGCCTGTGTCCAACGGCATCCTCTCGTCGGTGCCGTTTGGAGTCTGGGAAACGTGGGCCGCATCGTGACTCCCATCGTACCGACCCCGTGATGCCGGACGCGGTGACGCCTGAAACTGATGACATGAGGAATGTTGCCTGCTTGACGGAGCGCTTGGAGAGCTGGATGGCCCAGACCAAATTGCTTAATGGCACGGCCATTGGCGTGCCACACCGCCGAGCCATCGTGGATGGGTCGACGCGTCCCCCATCGCCACGTATCGGTGTATGCATGAGACATTGGAGCGCTTCCATACATGAATAGGACTACGTCTTCCGACGAGGTCCATTCAACAGTGCCTCGTTCTTTTCACCTCTGCCATCCCAGTACCGGACAGTCGTGGTACAATGGGCGGTTCGGGCCTGTCTGGCCAAGCATGTCTGGGGTCGGTTATCCACCTGACGGCCCCGTGTCACCCCGGTTCGTGCATTCGCGCATTCGCGCACATGGAGCTGCGTTTCCTGACCATCCTGACAAGCAGTCATTGTCGATGTGCGTCTGACGCCACACTTGGACTGGTCAGGCCATTGATGATCTCATTAACAGCGGCTCTTTCACACCTCGCTCACTCGTGACCTCGCCTTGAGGATCTCAAGGTCTTCTGTGGTTCCACCAGGATGAGCAAAGGGGCCGACGAGAGGGCGACAAGAGTGGCGACGTCGCGCTCATCCAGACGGTATAAAGTGTGTGTCGTCTTTCCGAGACCTGTTTGTCACCCCCTGCGAGAGCTTCTTCCCATCGCCCAATTATACAGGCTCTACCTGACTACTACCACCCCACTCTTCACCCACCCACCTCATACACCTATTTGTCGTCAACATGGTCGTCCCGCGTATCCTCACACCGCTCGACGTCAACCCTCCGACGGGTGCCGTGCAACACATCACGGTTAGAGGCTCAGACTGGCTCTGGGCGGTATTCTGCATCTTCATTGTGTTTGACCTGGGCTTTATGGCGTGGATGCTCTGTGTCCCCCGTGGCAAGCGTCTTTTCCACCAGATTGCTGTTGTGAGTGGACGTCTGTCTACCTGAGCAGTTGAGAGGACGATGAGAGTACAACTGACCGGCGCCACGCAGATGATCCTCACCCTTACCGCGCTCACGTACTTCTCCCAAGCATCCAACCTCGGGTGGACGGTCACTCGCACACAGTTTGGCCACTACACCGTGGCCGGGACTTGGCGTCAGATCTGGTGGTGCCGCGTGAGTACATGTAACAAATATGGCTTCTGACAGTCGCCACAGTACGTCAACTGGATTCTCACCCTCCCGCTCCTCTTGGTCGAAATCACGCTCGCCTCGGCTCTGCCCTTGTCCGACATTGTCATCCTGGCGTTTGCCGGTGGGTTTATCTGGGCGAACTTGCTTGTCGGTGCCCTCGTCCAGTCGTCGTACAAGTGGGGCTACTACACCTTTGCATGTGTGTCGATGCTTTACATGTGGTGGGTCCTCATCATGCCGGCGCGCAAGAGCGCCAAGGTCCTTAGAGGCGACTACCACATCATTGCCACCGTATCGGCCGTGTGGATCTCCTTCATGTACGCCCTTTACGCCGTCTGCTGGGCGTGCTGCGAGGGTGCAAACGTCGTCAGCAACGACTCGGAGATGGTGTGGTACGGCATCCTCGACATTCTCACGAAACCCTGTTTCCTCTTCTACTTCCTTGCCGCGCTCACCGACTGCGACTTGGCCGTCCTCCAGCTCAACTCGGGCAAGTACACTGAGTCGGGTATCAACCGCAGCACAGCCGCGACCGGCGAGGTCGTCGGCGATGTGGAGAAGAGTCGCGAGCCGGCCGTGGAGAGCCCTCCTCTCACCAAGTCCTTCCCCGGGCGTGGCCAGCACGACGTCATCCCCGACACGGCCGACACGACTGTCCCCACTGAGCAGCCGACGACGGTCACTACGCCGCCTGCCACGGCAGCCCAGCACACCGAACCCCGCTACTCTGGCGCGACCCTCGAGGGCGATGTCGGCCACCACTAATTCGGAGCTCTTCTCCATAGCTTGAACTGCCAACCAACACCCAAAGTGCCACCCTGAGATCCAAGCAAGACCTAGCCAAGCCGATAATCTACTGTAATAGTTTTGGTGTGGTAGAAAACAAGCTGTGGCAGATACACCAAATTGCTCGACAGGTCGTCCCTGCCGGCCTGCCGGCGATAGTCTGCTGCAACGGTAAACCACAATCCAAGTTCTATAATTCGGTTGCAGCCGTATGCAATCTATCCTTGTGCAAAGTCAGCTCGCACGCAACTGCAGAATGTCGGACGTTCGGTGCTCGCGGCAAGTTGGTATGTCGTCGCCGAGGGAGCAGAGACCCGGTGAAGAGCGCGTCCGTGTTCGAATGTTTGCAAATGACATTCAAATGGGCTATACTGATGTAAGTACTTGTGGCTGCTGTGCTGGTTCTCTCTCGCCTGTGGACAATGGGGCGTCAAACTGAAGGGTGTTTGGTGGGGGGGAGGGGGGGGTGGGCGTATCGTATCAGGAAGCTCTAGTGGGCAGCGAAGACGGCACCAAACGCAGTCCAGATCCAACCGCGGTAGAGCGCCTGCCAGCCCTCCTCGTCGATGATCTTGCGCACGGCATCCACAAAGCCGAGGTAGGGCTCGGTGGTGGGGCGGAGGCCGACGACGTCCTCCTCGGTACCGGCGAAGCGGAGGCCCTCGGGGGCACCTCCGTCTGGGTCCTCGATGGACACCTCGCCAATGTTGGGCTGGACCGAGAGCTTGGTCTGGATGACCTCGAGCGGGGTGAGCCACGTTGCCGAGAGAGCCTGGAAGATGTACCACACGACAATCTTCCAGGCGCTAATGTCCTCTAGGGTCTTGGACGAGCCCATGAAGAGCCACCTCATGGTGCCGGCGATAATGACGACGGCGGCCGAGCGGAGCAAGACGGCGACGAGAAGACCGGGGGACGTGTACAGCGACGTTGGGCGGGCAAGCTCGTGAGGCGACAGCAGGACGAGCAGTGATTCGCGAGGGTTGTTGGTCAGGCGGTAAGGCGTAATAACAGAACGGTTCACGATGACGGCCATGGGCAGCGACACGAGCGAGAGGATCAAGAAGAAGATGCCCATGCGGATACCGCCCTCGGCCGGCACGGTGTAGGTGCCCTTGGGTCCACGCTTGGCAGAGCCACCAACGAAGATGACAGACGAAATCGTAATGACGAGCATGAACGCGAACATGGCGTACGCGCCTGAAAACAAAGGGTCAGCCATCGGCGGCTTCCCGTTATCGTGATTGTGAAACTCACCCTTGTAGATACCGTACCAGCCCTCGAGGCGCTTGGTGCGCTTGAGCGTATCGATCATGCCTGTCAGGCGGGGTCCGACACTGTGTCTTTGTTAGCTGCTGCCACACTCCCACAGCAGGAAGCAAATGTAGCACAGCTCGCCAGTAGCCGCAGCAGCAGCAGCAGCAGCAGTTGGGCTGCGGGCGGTTGCGCAGCCGCGACTCACTGGTTGTCAGTCCCGTCAAACCCGACTGCGCGGGGATTGTAGTTTGCGCGCAAACGGATGAGCGCGCCAGCAAATGGCATCATGACCAGCACAGTAAACACCATACTGAAGCTGGCGATGCAGATCGCCACCAAGGTGGTGACGAAGAGGTTGGCCATGGCGAGCGGATGGAGCTTTGTGACCGCCTTGTCGCAGGGGTTCTGTGGGCGCTAGGCTGGAGAGGGGGAGCGCGTGCAGAGAAAGGAGGCGTGGATAGAAGGGTGTGTGTGTGTGTGTGTGTGTCTCCCAACGGGATTGAAAGGATGGAGAAAAGTAGAACAAGAGCAATGTCAAGAGTTGGACGACGAGCGACGACGAGATGGACGACGCGACGTCAGCGTTGCGACTACTGTCCCTCCCTTTCCCTGGTGTGGCCATCATCATCGCCCCCCACGCCCCTCCCGCCCGCAGTCGGACGAGCCCGCGTCACTGTCTCGAGCGGAAGTATAATATATATATATCGCGTCTGAGAGAGAGATTTGTTATACAGTATATATTGAATTGGTTTGTCGAGTAGGCAAATACAAAAATGGGTTCATTTGTATTACCCCCAATTAGGTTTTTCCCCCTTTCGCCACCTCGTCCCGCCACCGCCCGGCTTCCAGCTCACCGGTCTGTTCAATTCAAGCAAAGCGGAGAGAGAGCCACAGGCCACGGGCCAAGCCACAACCCACGTCCGACAAGCGGAGAGACGCCGTGGGGAGAGAGAGAGAGAGAGAGAGAGAGAGAGAGAGAGAGAGAGAGAGACCTCTCTGCCTTTGTGGGGGGGGGGGGGGGGGGTAAATTGCCCATCGCAGAGATCCCAGATCCCAGAGTGTGCCCCCGCGCTCTCACTGCATAGACCACAGACACCACTAAAGAGGGAGTGTTGGGGGGCGATTGATTACAGCTTGGCGGAGGTAGCCGGTGGGGGCGCCAGTGGCGCCAGTGGCCAGTGGTGGCCCGGCGTCGTCCCTGTTTATCCGGCAGCGAGCGCCGTACTTTGGACGCGGCCTTTTGCCCATTGCATCTTCTTTCTCCCCTTTCATGGATCATTACACACACATCTATTGCCACACACACACACACACAATCCATCTGCACCACCACTCACCCATACGACTCGGCTCCCCTCTTGCTGACCATGCAAGAGGATGACCCCCACCGCGTCCTCGCACGCAACGCAGCTTGTCACCAATGCAGACGTCGCAAGCTCGTAAGTCGGTCAACGGGCAATTGCCATCTGTTGCAATCTTCCCCCACGGAGCACCGCGGACCATATGCTCTGGTGCCTTCCATACCTTTGGTTTGGGCACTGGCCGGGTCGCAACAACAACCCATCCTTTCAGATTGCACCGCGCCGACGAAGAGACACTGATACCCCGTGCCAGAAATGCGATGCGATAAAGCCAACCTGCGGCAACTGTCTCAAGCCGCGGCAACGAGGACCTATCAAGTATGAACCTCCAGAGCCGTGTACTTGGGATGAGTACCGCGACCCCAGTGCGCGAGCGCTGCGGAAACGCGAGACCAAGCGCCAGAGGAGTGAGCACGAGGCCGCTCATCTGGTCAAGGAGGAGCCAGCGGGTCCTTCACCCATGACGTCCGACTGGTCCCATGGGGGCCCCCTCCTGGCAGCACGCGCCGACGTCAACGAGATGTGTATGTCCCAAACCCCCACTGCTGTATCAAACAACATTCTAACCCTCTCAGACGCTCAGTCTAGCAACCATGTTGACAGACAACCGCCCCCCCGCTACGTGCAAATACCGGACACGGCTCCATTGGCCGACGGTCATCTAGGGCCCGACGCTGGGCAGTGGAATGGGAGCGTCCCGCACATCCAGCCCCCAGCGCCGGTCGGGCAGCCAACAGACTACCCCGCGATGGACCGACCTCCAACGTTTGATCAGGCTTATGGCGAACTGGTGTGGTCCGAGTAAGTCTTGGATGAACGCGACCAATGTTTATGGAAGGTTGTTGACCTCAATTCAGCTGGCCCCGGGAGCTGCCCGTGTTGGACGTCGTGCAGGTGAGGTGATATTTCGTGAACGGCACTGACCTCGCACAGCACATTCTGACCGTCTTCTTTGACCGTGTACCCACCATCCCAAAGATGTTCCACAGGGCGACGTTCTTTGCCAACTTGGCGCTACCCCCCAAACGGCCAGAGTTCCCCGTGAGTGCAAAGGCTCGCGGACTCGGCTCTGACCTCTCCACAGTCGGCGATGCTGCTACATGGCATTCTCGCAGCCACGGCCCCTTACCTGTCACCGGAAGCGCTCGCGTCGCGTGCGTACTTTCCATCCGGCTGTTCAATGAACACTGTCGTGCACCCGACATTCGGCAACGTTGGGGATGCAGGAGCGTTGCCTGCTGGCATGGGTGTCACAGCGCTGAGTGATGGGACACCTGTGGGACGCTTCCAGACGTACCACCGACGGAAATCCGTCGACAGCCTGTCTTCTCAGGTCCATCTCGGCAACATGATAGAAACCGCTCAGACGATGGCTCTGGCAACATACATGGACCTGATGAACGGCAACCTGGTCGACACCTGGATGGAGGGATCTTCCGCTGTGCGAATGGTCATCCCCTTGCACCTAAACCTCTCTTCACGTGAGCCTAGCGTTTTGGAGTTTCGAGTGGTGTGGCTGACTGCCCTATAGTTGCACCCAAGGACCCGATGGACCGCAACCCCGTGATGTTGCCGCCAGCAAGATCGGCCCTGGAACAGGCGCAACACGACCGCACTTGGTGGTGAGTCCCTCCCTTCAAATGTGTACATACTGTATATTGGCTAACGTCCACAGGATGATCTACCTTATGGAAAAGTTCAGCACGTGCGGCATGCAATGGCCTGGTTGCCTTCCAGATAGCGAAATCACCGTGGAGCTACCAGTGTCCCAGGCGATCTTTGAGCAGGGGACTGACAACCTGGTCGGCGTCCAAACATTGGACGCGCCAGAGTTTTATTCTCAACGTGAGCTACTCCTCGCCCGCCACTTTACTAACTCGCCAGACTTACCCCAACATGTCGACAGCTTTGTTTTCCTGATCAAAGCCATGCGACTTTACACCTCGACTAGCACATTCAGCCGTCACTACGGTCGAGGAACACACACGTACGCTCGATACCTGGCCGACCCTCGACTGCGAGCATGTCTCGCAGACATCAACTCGTTCCGCATGAGCTACCCAATGGACATGCGCCGACCCACTCGTATGGAAAATGGGCGTGAGATGGTGGACCCAGATCTTGTAACGGCGATTGGCTTTACCCATTCCTCGGTGCTCAACCTTGGCGAGCCGCTCGTCACTCACACGACATGGTCGGATGACGCAGCCAAAATGGTGCTCTCTGCTGTGCGCGCCATCCTGTCCTTGACGTATGACCTCAACGCTACTAGCTACGACATTACATTGCTGCCGACCATTGCGTGTCTCATGTGGACACTGTCATGTCGCTGCCTCATCCGGTTCATCACTGCGGCGCGTTTGTCAAATGACCCAGTGTCATCGGCCATCTTCGAGTCCGAGTTCCAGGTCTTCATGTACGTATCCACGCATCGCTGTGACGAGACTGACCCTTCCAGCGACACTTTGGCGAGGTTCTCACAGCGTCATCCCCTTGCAGCTCGTCACCACGCCCGCATGCTCAGCCTCCGCGCCGCAGCAAACATTGAGCAACGGCCGGGCCTGATCAAGCTCAACCTCACCCAGGATGATGTCCTTGACCCCCGCTTTGAGAGCAAAGAGAAGCGCGCCGCCGGCTTTGCGCAGTCGCCAAAGGCCGCGTACGTCTCCGAGATCACCCCAGGTTCAGGTGGACCGTCCCCATCGTCCTCGTCCTCGATCGGCCTCCACGTCCCATCGAGCCTGGACCAGCTGCGTAACACGTCGGCAGCGTACGTCGGATCAACACCTCCAACAGCCTCGCCCCTCCCAAACGTGCCTGTTGGACATACCCAGCCCATCTATGCTGCACCGATGGTACCGCCAGGCCCTCAACCACAGGCCCACGCGTACCCCCAGGCGCAACAGCAGCAGCAACAGCAGCAGCAGCAGCTACAACAGCAACAGCCGCTGCCACTGGCGGCCGCCGTCCCAGCCCTCTACGGTACATACACTGGCGTCGATTCCGGCCTTGGCCTCAACATGGGCCCGAACGCTACCGCTACCGCGCCCGCGCCCGCGCCGGCCCACAACCCAAACCTCCCGGGCTTCTACCACGGGGCGCTGGAAGGTGCTGAAATCAGCTCGTACTCGTTTGACATGGACGCCATGGCGTTGCTGGTGGAGAATAACGCGCTGAACGGCATGTCGTTTGATGGTACCGAGTTTGCTGGGTTCACCCTGGGCTAGAGGACGAACGGACGAGGGGACGAGTGGGGAGAGGGGAGAGGGGAGAGGGGGGAGAGGGGCTGGGAGGAGCGATACGAAGGGTCTGTGCATGGCGATGCGCACGAGGACATCAAGAGTTGTAACACGCCTTTTTTTTTGTGTAGTAATTAGAAGCCCACCGCGGCGAGCTCATCGATGTAGCAGTGTGAGCTTACCTGGTGGCCGTGATTGTTGAAGACGGCCGCCGTAATCTTCGTACAGCGCCGCTTCTACGCACAGTTCCCGGTGGCCAGTGGCAGGCAGCCCCGGTGCCGAATCTCCACAGCGGTCAGACTGACGACCTGCGGCTCCACCGTCTTTGACTGTGGAACACAACATACACCCTGCACGCAGAGCGGCAAGCGAGTGAGTGTTCTGACGCAACGCGCCTGAAGGCGACTGGCAGGTAGGCGGGGGTTGGTAGGTTCTAGGGAAGTGCATCTTCTTACTCTACTACTACTACTACCTCTGCTCTGCGCGTCGTGCGCGTCGTCCTCTACCTCGTCTATATTAATATTAGACCTTGACCTCGGCCACCAGCGCCTCGCCCTTGGCGCCGGCAATGGCGTTGCTGACGCAGAGGTCGCCCATGGCGGCCCTGGTGTCCATGTCGGCGGATCCCTGCGTGTTCGTCAGTGCGAGTTCAGTGAGGACGCGGGCAGGGGAGGGATGTGTGCCCCCCTCTCCACCTATCTATTCCAACTCACCATGTGGGGGATGACGACACAGCGCGAGTTGAGGACGAGGGGGTGGTCGGGAGCGACGTGGGGCTCGCCAGTGATGACGTCCAGGCCCGCACCGTAGATCTCGCCGGCGTCGAGGGCGGCGTTGAGGTCCTCGCTGTTGACGATGGGGCCCTGTGGACGCTGTCAGCAACATGTCGTTTGGGGACTTCTAGTCCTATCCACTCTACTCACGCGAGCGGCGTTGACGAGGATGGCCGACTTCTTCATCTTCTTGAGGAACGCAGCGTTGACAAGGTCGGTGGTCGAGGGGTTGAGCGAGCACAGGACAATCACGACGTCGCTCTTCTCGGCCACCTCGTCGACCTCGGCGCGACGCACGGTCGTGCCCCAGCGCTTGGAGAAGTCGGCGTCGAGCTGCGCCTGGTTGTCGCGGGCACGCGACGAGTTGTACAGGATGGTAGGCGGGGCGGTCTTGGAGGTGAACGCGAGGAGGCGGTCGACGACGACCTCGGAGATGCGGCCAAAGCCCAAGAAGCCAATGGTGAGGTTGGGGTGGCCGATGTTGGGGCCGCACATGACGAAGGGGGCCCAGGGGAGCTTGGGCCACTGGAGTGCGTTAGCAAGAGGTATGGAGCGTGCACAAGGGGTGAGGAGCGGAGCCGTTGGCTTGTGCTTGTCGTTCATGACACAGCACTACCCCCCACAGACCCGAAACGCGAGAATGACACTCACGCCACCGCTCTTGATAAGGTCGATACCCTCCTGGACACGACGCATAGTCATGAGCACGAGCATGGTGGTAATGTCGGCCACCGAGTCGGAGAGCACACCGGGGGTGTGGCCAATCTTGATACCGCGGGCGTTGGCACCCTTGACGTCGATGTGGTCTGCGGCCCGTCAGTCCTGCGCTCACCATACTCGCGCGCGCAAAAAAACCACTCACCAAAGCCGACCGAGAAGGTGCTAACAGTCTTCAAGTTGGGGTTGCAGGCGTTCAGGAACTCCTCGTCGACCTTGTCGCTGCCCTGGCCGTGCATGAGGCAGACGGAAATGACATCGGGGTTGGCAATGTTCTCGAGGACCCAGGCGCGGGTGGGCTCGGCGTCGACGGGGTTGACGATGAGGTCAAAGCCCGAGGCCTCGAGCTTGGCCATGGCTGCGGGGCCGACGTTGCGGGTACTGTGTAGAATGTCAGCTTCAGCTCGCGATGGAACCCCAGTAGCTGTCTGGTCCAAGCCAACGTGTGCCAGCTAACGACGACTTGGGTAGCTGGCTGCTGAGCAGGACCGACAGCAGAACAAAAACACGTACACAAGGATGGAGGGCATGGTGGATAGAGATCTAACGGATAACTGGCGGAGGAGCGGGCGAAGATGCAGGACGGTAGCAAGGGCAAGCAGATGTGTGAGTGTGAGTGTAAAAGAGAGTCAAAAGCGACTTAAGGATGCTGTGGGGGGAGGGGGAGTCACTGCAGAGCAACGTACTGGAAAGAGCGTGTTGAGCCGCCATTATCCGGCTGCCGGCCGGTCGGTCCGGCGGTCCGAGGCTGCGCGGAGGCAAAAGCCTTGGGTCTGCTGCCTGCGTCATCTTTGTGCGCAGCGCGTTAAAGGGTTAGCGTTTGGGGGGTACAAGCATATAGAGCGGATGTTGTGGACAGCATATAAGTTGGATATTGACGAGGACGCGCCTGTACGCTGGATCTGGTGCAGCGGTGTGGCCAACGAACGCACATGGGTTGAGCGGTGGGCTTCATCACAGCCAGTGCCTTGCAACTGATTAAAAAGCACAGGAACATCATGTGTGTAAACATCGGGAATCGTATTGACACGCTACGGGATTGGAATGACGAGGTTTACGCGGTCGTTGTGTGGTTTCTCTCTTGTCTGCTGGCGTTTACTGGTTGACTGCTGAATTGCGACTCTGGAGCTCTCTCGGGGTTGTTGTACAGGTTGCACGGGCACGCACTCCCCTACTTCCTGGTGACCTTGGTCCACTCGCCGACGGTCGTCCAGCCATCGGCGTTGGGCTGCGCAGCCTTCTTGGTCGGGGACGAAGGTGTTGGTACGGCTGCAGAGGTCTGGCTCTGCTTCTTGGCCGCGCCGGGGATGTGACGCTCCTTGACTGGGAGAGCGCCGTTGGCCTTGGGGAAGCCGGTGGTGGTCTTGGGCAGGCCGTTGAGGGCAGCACGAGGAGACTTGTTGTTTGAGCTCCTACGTCCACGTCCGTGGGTCTTGATCTCAATCTTGTCCTTGTCTTCGGAGCGGCGACGCTGAGGAGAGGTCTGACCTCCGTTACTGGGCTTGCGTGGAAAGGTGGCAGCGGGTGGCGCAGTGGTGGTTGCGTTCGGCGACGCCGGTAACGACTCCCACTCGATCCCAAGCACAGGAGAGTGCGCCGCGCCATTGGTACCGGACGAGCGACGCATCATACCCGGGGCAGGTGGTGGAGTCGCGGCCGTCATGAGAGAAGTGGTGCTTCCGGTCGTTGTGCGAGACAGCGTCGGTAACTCGGTAGGCGTCTGGTGGTCGGGCGTGGCTGGCAGCTCGAGCGACAGAGTAGTGGCGACATCGTCGTCAAACTCGAAGGACGGAGGCGGGAGCTGGCATTCTTCCCACACGCGCTTGTGGAGAATGGCCGAGTGGATAAAGTCGATGTGGGTGAGACTCGACTTCTTGGAGTCTGAGACACGCCACTCGCCCTTGCCGAGACGGCCCAGCCAGCGAAGGACACGGAAGTTGGGAAGACGGCGTAAGAATTTGCGAAAGTCGCGCGGGTCGACCAAGGTGGGGTCACCTTCGGCCTCTGCCACGCGCTCGGCAAGGAAGGGAGGCAGGTCGAGGTCGTCCTTGTCCTTTTTGCTCTTCTTCGACTTGGCCTTTGGTGCGTAGGAACTGTACTTGGGGTCACTTGTGATGGACAGTTCGACAAGGTCGGGCACGTGCCCAAACGCGGTGGACATTGAGACGACTTCCACAACGGCTGCCTTGATCGCAATCTGGAGCTTTTGGATACGAGGACAGGCCACAAGGATCTCTTCAAGATCAGTTGTGGTCATCTCCCACCAGTCCAGACACAACTCTTCAAGTCCATCCCCTTCTGCCTTGATTGCCTCGAGGAGCTCGGACGGCAGTGGCGTAAAGCGGTGAGTGGCCAGCTGCTTGGGCACCACGACTGTCGAGGGAGGGAATGGGAGAGCGGCAACCGGGTGGACCAGGCGGAGCACGCTAAACTTCTTCAGTTGGCTAAACGGCACCTCATGGATAGAGGCAAGGTGATCCAAGACCCAACTTGTACGTTAGTATAACCCTTGACGCGGCACTCACGAGTGGTGGGATCCAACTTCCGAGATTTCCACCTCGAGGCTGTGGAACGTGGCGGGCCAGTTGTCAATCTGCGCCCATGGGTTACGACCAAGTCGGCCTTGCAGTGAGCTCGCGTCCGCGTCAGAGTGCACCCACCTTCGATATCATGCAAGCGCAGGCTCTCCAGAGCTGAGCATTCTTCGATGATGGTCCGGAGACAATCGGCATTGAACTTGAGTCCAGAAGTGGCAAGTGTGAGGTGCTTCAGGCTACGAAGGGAGCCATAGGAGCCAATTGCCTCGCACAGTCTCGGATCCAGAAAGTGTGTGGACAGGGAGAGTGTGTGGAGCTTTGGGGGACCGACCGAGTCCAGGATCTGAAGATGTGTGCCCAGTGACCTTGCCTGAAGAGTTAGCGACCTCCGCACACATCCCAACTCACGCCTGGACCACTGAGGCCATCGAGACGAAGCTCCTCCAGGTCTTCCCAGGCGGGACCGAGGGCCAGTCCCCACATGCCAATAGCACGGGCGCGACCATTGGGTCCTTCACATTCTGGTGCAAAGTCGAAACCGGGAGGCACAGCCTGCTGTGGGTCCATGGTGATGCGCGGGTACGTTGGTGGGGCCTCAACATGCGCTGGGTGCGGTGGCGGGTAGCAGATTGACAGACGACGCAGGTTTGTCAGGGAGGCGATGGACTGTTGCATCATGTCAGCAAAACGGCGGCTAGATAAACACCGACTCACCTTCCACAGAGGTCCTCCCACGCCGAAGCCGGTGTCCCACACCAGCTCTTCGATACCGGACAGGTGGTCAATGAGGTTGGATGCAAACTCCCAAGCTTCCACCCTGTCCGACGACCGGGTGACGTCGTTGACAGAGGAGGGCGTGTGCGAGGGGCAAGGGTGTCGGAAGTGGAGCACACGGACATGCGCAGCATAGGCGGGGTTTCTGTTCGTCGTGAGCTTACTGCACAACGTATATGCACTGGGTGCAACTGACCGGAGCACAGTGAGGAGCTGGGCCTTCATGCAGTTGCCTCGGCAGCACAGACGTCCGTTTGCCGCCGATGTGAGGGACTCTTGTCCGAGCGTTCCGGCGACGGCCACCTCCACTTCAAGTTCGCGGTAGACGACCTCGCATGTCTTGTGGAACACGTCCGAGTTTCCAGACATGAGAAGCGGTCCTGCGGTCGCGGGGTACGCGGCGACTACGTGGGGAAGGACTCCTGGAGCGAGCATCAGTGTCTGTGCGGTGTTGTGCGGGCTGTCAAAAGGAGGCAAGGCAGACAGGGCGTCACCGCCGCGATGCCAGTCTCCTTTTCCATACACGACTACGTACTGAGCAATGGGATGACTGGCGGTGGTGGTGCTAGGTCAGCTGGGCCGCCTGCAAGCGTGGACGGTGGGCCATCGCTGGCCATGGCGACGAATGGCTTGGGGTCAACTGGTCGCCAAAGGAGGGGTGTGGGGAGGGGACTCGTGAGGTGTTATCGGAGGGTGGTTGTGTTGCGCCAAATGGAGTGGATGCGAGGAAGGAAGGAGAGATGTTGTTGTGGGGTTGGGGGTGCGAGGTGGGGGGTGGAGAGACGGAAAGAGAGAGAGAGAGAGATGTTGTGTGTATGTGACGTGTGAGTGAGTCGACTGGAGCCGTTGTGTGTGTGGTTGACTGTGTGGCCTGCACGCCGTGGGCACGCGCACTCGCGCCGATCGTGTTGATCAAAGGCTATGGCTCCGTCTCGGCTCCGGAGACAGCAAACGACAGGTCTATTGTCTTTGTGTGGTTTCTCTCTCTCTCTCGTGACAGTGATGGACTGATGGGTGTGTGTAAGCGTGTAGAGAGTGACAGCAACGTGCATGCATCACGCTCGCGTCGGTGATGTGTGTGCTCCAGTCCCCGCTCGGCCAAGCGTGGAACCACTTGGCGCCATTGACGGTGTTGCATGCAACAATCCTCCCTCGCCCATACGGCCCTTACGCTTGTTCTGCACGTGATGGGCAAGCCGCAGCGCCGCAGCTACAGCAGAGTGGCATGCTCTGCGCTTTCAGTGCGGACAAGAGGAAGGAACAAAGATGAGGCGGAGCCAGAAAATGGTGAGACACTCCGAGCACACACAACCTATTTAGTACCCATCATCGACATTGTCGTCATCATCATCACTTGACCTCTGGTGGCGAAAACAACGACAGAGTGGCACACCTCCACCGGCCACCCCACGAGAAAACCAACACTATTTATTGATGCCCCCCTCGTTAAAAACATATGACGTGTTATTTATATTTGGGTATCACCGCAGCCGGCGTTATATTGCCGATGCCTCTGCCGTCGGCGACTCGGCGTCGATCCTTGTCCATCTCGGCCCGACGTTCACCAACCACACACCCCACCACCACTGCTCGCCGTTGCCCACTTGACGTCTCTTCTCACTAGTAGGCTATTGCATACGTTCTCCGTGATCGGCTCCGGTCGGCCGCCTAAAGAAGCATCTAACTTCATCGAAAGCTTGACGGCCCGTCCGGCCCGTTTCATCAACACCGGTGGGCTAAGCCATGCTAAACGAAATGACAACCCAAGTTACCGCATGACGCAAAGCGAATGGCTGTTCAAGGCCGTGGTATAACTAGGCAAGAGGCGAGCAACGGTTCCTGCCCACCGCTCACTATTTACCTTACATGCTCCCACTCACACTCCTGACACTAGCGCTGTCGTCACTTGTGGCGGCTGCGCCATCGGCTCGCGGCTCCTCATCCAAGATCAAGATGACGACCAACGAGCGCGACGTCTTCGACACTGCCATGACCATCAACGACTGGGCTTGGGACTCGGCGACGGGATGGGTGGCATCCAGCGCCGACGGAGTAAGTACTGGCTGGACCTCTCCCCTTGATGTACTACCACTAAACTCTCCAGGGCCACTCGAGCACCCGCTTCACCGCCTGGTATGTCCCTGGTCTCCTGTACCGCAACGGCAAGGGAGATGTCGACCGCGCCGTCACCGCTATCAAAAACATGTGAGCTACTTGAACCTTTTCAAAGCTAACCTTCAGTATCAGCATGCAGTTCACCAGCCCTGCGGACAACGGCACGGCGTGGTATGGCGACTACAAGCTGTCTGCCGACATTCCGCCCCCCAACCCAGACACCTTTCCGGCTGCCATCTATGTGGGTAGTGCAACGGGTCGGGAACTGGCTAACCCATATAGGCTTCATACGACCCCAACTGGTCTTTCTTCGTCGGCCTGCAGTTTGTCCAGATCATCTCAGAGTTTGAGCAGCTGCTGCCTGCCGACCTGGTGAGCCAGATGGTCAACTCGACGTACCTGGCCGCACGTCAGCTGATGACCCGCGTGGGATACGACGGCGACAACCTGGTCACGGCGTACACCAACCCCGCTATTGGCCGCGCCCTCATCGTCGAGTGGACGGGCCATCGCCTGAACGACGCCAACCTCACCGCTGCGGGGCAGCAATACGCCAAGGACGTTTACGACCTGTTCACTGCGGACGGACACAACACCCTGGGAGAGTACAATGTGCCGAGTGAGTGACATACCCGCGGCGCGCGCTATTATTGACGCAGCAAAGCCTACTACGGCATTGACGTGCTTGGGCTGTGCCAGTGGATCCGCCACGCTCCCGCCAACTCGTCCCTGCCTACCTGGGGCAAGTACATTCTCGAGAACCTCTGGGCCGACATTGGCGAGCACTACAACTACGGACTGAAGAACATGGTCGGCCCTTACGACAGGATCTACCACCGCAACATGCTCGTGGATGACAGCATCATCACCATCTGGTTCTGGATGCTGCTCGGTCGCGACAAGGCTCCCGTCGCTCCCAAGGGTATGGAGTCGACCATCTATGACATGCACCAGGGTAAGCTCCACGTCCTCCCCCGTGCCATGCTGACACCCAGGCGCGGCGTTCGCTCTTCTAGGCGAGACCCTCCGCGGCGTCATCCCCTCCTCGGCGCTGGCGGCGCTCACCACGCCCGTGACCGAGGACCGCAACTTGACCCGCGGTATCCGTGTGTCGCTGCACAACGACACGACGCGCTGGAACACGGCCTGGGTGTCGCCCAACGTCATGGCTGGCGGCCAAAAGGTGGCAGAACTGTACAACCGCGGGTCGCAGTTCGCGCCGATGATCGCGCACTGGAAGTCGGGCGACACGAGCGACGCCCAGCGCCCCTACGTCTCGTTCTTCCAGCTGTACGCGACGGCAAGCACGATCGATGCCGTCGTCACCCCATGGCACATTAGCGTGGCGTACCCCAACACGACGCAGGCGGGCACCGACGTCTTCCAGTTCCTCATCGGCGACATTCCCACGCCATACTGGGCCGCAGGCAACAATGTAGGTTGTGCTTGCGCACGGCGGTCCAGCAAACTGCGGGTATAGGAGCTAACAGGAGCAGATGGACGGGTTCAGTAACCTCCCCTGCTTGAACGTGACGGTCACGACCACGGGCCTGAACGGCACAGTGGTCAAGGGCAAGTACGAGTCGTTCACCATCCAGAGCAACAATCGTGAGTTGAAGGACGTCTGAGCGCGGCCGTTGCTGACAGAAACCAGTGTGGTCCGTCTCGTACTATGTCGACCCGAGTTACGCCGGCACCCCTTCGGTCGAGTTTGATCTCCAGTACACCTGTGAGAGCGGTCAGATCTAGGAGGGGTGAGGGTGAGGCGGATGGGATGGGGGTCGTAGTAACTAATCAGGAGGGTTACAAGAACAACAAAATGCAGAAGGTTGGTTATCGGGAACCGAGCAAGGCGGCGATTGCTCTCCCTGCGGAATATGCATGTCATAGTGGACGGTGAAACATGTTCTACAGGCATCAGACGGCAGGGCATACGAGGCTTCTCTGATCTCTGGGCATACGCGGCTGGTCTGGAGTTGTGGCATCCTCAAACCCATGGGAGACGTGGCCCGTCAATTAACATTCTCCGGAGTAGAGTCGGTCAGCTGGACGTAAACAAGGCCATTGCCTTTCCAGCCGCAGAGGTAAGGGCCGTCAGCACGCGTTAGGTCACCGCGTGCACAGGTTATCGTTCAGGCCGAGCCCGAAGCCTGCGCAGACAGATCGTTCTCGGTCCCCGTCCACCTCGTCCACCTTCGCCCTCACTGCAAGTCCCTGGACACACATAGGTGGCATGGTCCACCGCCCAACGCCCGCCGCCGCCGCCGCCGCCGACGTACATGGCCGTCGTGGACTGTTCTTCTCAACTTGCCGAGCGTTGACAAAGCAGAGCGCACCCGGCGGAATGGTCTCTGCTGGCTAAACGCGCCACGGACGTCATTTTTTCTGCCTTTACTGACCGATGGGGTGCAACGATGATCCGCGGCGTCGCCTGACGTGTGTGAGGAGTGTGACTTCCCATCACTCAGCGGCCGCCCCCCGCCGATGCGAATCGCCGTCGGGCTTAAACAGGGAAAAGGGATATTGGATATCCGCTCGGGGGTGGTGGACAATATTACGGCCGCGGCACTATGCTAATGGAGGTTGGGGTCTCATAACCTACACTTGTTAATTAATATTCGGCTTGCTAATGACAGCGGCGAGATTTTCCGCACCCTTTAGGTTCTTTGGGGGGCGAGATTTTCCGCACCCTTTAGGTCTTGTCCCCCAAAGAACCTAATGTGTGGCGTTGCAGCGTTGCTTGGCACGGATAATTGGCACACCACTTACGCTTTGGACGGAATTGACCGTATATTTTTGGGTAGGGTGCCTGCTCCACCGGCCGCACGCGGCCGATCGGCGGGCAAGCCTGCACCAAAATTATGATATGGCGGCGGCTCAGGAGAGGGTTTGAGAGGGTTGATGGGTGCCCAGAATCTGCGAGCAAAGCTAGGACCTGCAGCTTTCTTGCTGGACAATGCCCTGGAGCCGGCATTGCCGTTAGGGCAAGCACACCTGCCGCGCCCGCCATCGAGAACCGGGGAGCACAGCTCAACGGCCCAACGGCCGCACCTCGGCCTCGGGGCTCGTTTTTCTCTTTTTCAGGCGCGGAACCGGCCGCCGCCATGTGTTGCATCTGGGCGGCGGCCGCTTTCACGTCATCGAAGTCGCAAAGGTTGCTGTCACGCCCACCTCGGGCCAAAATGCTCCAGACCAACAAAACCCCATTATCGCCCCATCGTTTCGCTCATTCTTCTCCACAACTCCATTTTTCTGATCCCCAAGCGCTCACCTCGACGCTGCCTTCTTAATACTCTCTCGACCCCGACCGTTTTTTTATTCTTTTCGTCAAGCCCCCACATCTCCTCTCCAACCCTTCCTTCCTATCAGCCACTCCCCCCAGCACAATCCGCAGCCAGGTCCACAAACGACCTTCACCTCTCACTCACACCCCTCACCTCCCCCCAAGACATCCCGTCACAGTGAGTGTTTGTGATTGATTTTTTACCCGACACCGGGCTATAACCAAAGAAGACGCCACTGACAACCCAATAGATGTCTCAGACCTCCGAGGAGACGGTTTACGCCGGCCTCGTGGATGGCAAGTCTGCCTCCGAGTTGACTCTCAAGAAGCGTCCATGGAGGCGCTACGTTACACCCTTTGAGACCATTCTTGCCGGTCCTTACAAGGGCAGCGGCACAGATGCCGACCCATACATTATCGACTGGCTCATGGATGACCCCGAGGACCCCCAGCGCTGGCCCAACGCGTGGAAGTGGGGCCAGGTCTGCGTGACCTCGTTTGCCACTCTTGCCGTTGCCCTGTCATCGTCGGCCTACTCGGGCGCCATCAAGTCGCTCATGATGCACTTCGGAAAGGGCGCTCTTTTCTGGACTGCTGGTGTTTCTCTCTTCGTTGTTGGTTTCGCCTTTGGCCCCCTGTTCTGGGCTCCAGCCTCCGAGGTCTACGGCCGCCGCAGGATCTACATCATCTCATACATCTTCCTCACTCTCTGGCAGGCCGTCACTGTCGCGTCGCCCAACCCGGCCTCCGTTCTCGTCTTCCGCTGCCTCGCTGGCCTCTTTGGCTCGTCGCCACTGGCCAACGCCGGCGGTACCGTGTCGGACATTCTGGACGCCAAGCAGATGGGTCTCGGTATGGCCCTCTTCTCGGTCGCTCCCTTCCTTGGCCCCGCTCTCGGTCCCATCACAGGTGGTTTCCTTGGTGACGCCGCCGGCTGGCGCTGGGTTGAGGGCTTCCTCGCCATCTTCTGCGCTGCCGTTCTCATTGTCATCTTCCTCCTTTCGTGCGAGACCTACGCGCCCAAGCTTCTCCGTGACCGCGCCAACACCCTCTCCAAGGCGACGGGCAAGGTCTACCGCTTCCGCGCCGACGCCGTCAAGCCCTTCTCCGCTCGCGCCCTCTTCAAGGCCTCGCTCGTCCGCCCCTGGAAGTTCCTCTTCCTCGAGCCCATCGTGCTCATCCTTTCGCTCTACATCGCCATCATTTACGGTATCCTATACCTCAACTTTGCCGCCTACCCTATCATCTTTGAGCAGAACCGCGGCTGGTCGACCGGTATCGAGGGTCTTGCCTTCCTGGGTATTATGATCGGTGCCCTGATGTCCGTCGCTGTCACCATCTTCTTCACCAACCCCCGCTACATCAAGACCATCACCGCCCGTGGCCACCCTCTTCCCGAGGACCGTCTCCCCCCTGCCATGTGGGGTGGTATCGTCATTGTCATCGGTCTCGCCGGCTTTGCCGCCACCAACGGCCCCAACGTCCACTGGATCGCCCCCATCATCTTTGGCATTCCCTTCGGCATGGGCATGGTCGTCCTCTTCCTGTCGTGCATGGGCTACCTCGTCGACGTCTACACTGTGTACGCCGCATCGGTCCTCGCTGCCAACTCGGTCCTCCGTTCGCTCTTCGGTGCCGCCTTCCCCCTCTTCACCTCGGACATGTACAAGGCTCTCGGTATCCACTGGGCCGCTGCTCTGCCCGGTTTCCTTGCTCTCGCCTGCCTGCCCTTCCCATGTGAGTGTTTCTGGACGGAGGTGTTTTGGGGGGGGTTTCTGAGATTTGTTGTTCTTTTTTGTTCAACGGATCGACGAAACCTCCACGCCTCTACTCAATTCTTCTTCACAAAGACAACCTGCTGACGTGCATAGTCCTGTTCTACAAGTACGGCGCTGCCTTGCGTCAAAAGTGCAAGCTCGCAGCGGAAGCTGCCGAGCTCTTCGCCCAGGTCATGGCTGCTCGCAAGGCTGCCCTCGGTGGCGGCGCTGCCGACACCGAGAAGGGTCCCGTCCAGGCCATGGAGCCGGAGGAGGAGGACCCGGCCTACGGCAACCCCGAGATCTACGACCTGGAGCGCAGCATCTCCATGACAGAGGAGATTGCCTCGCCAGAGATCCGCCCGGTGCACCGTACCCTCACGAACATGTCGAGGGTGTCGCGTTCGTAAAAGGCTTCCGCCGCTCATCTCATCCACTAGACAAGGTGCCACACCACAGCGGGCCGCTGCCATCGTAGGCATCCATTATAGACTACACCATAGCATATCATGCATAATACACCATACAGCTTTCAACGGTTGCTTGTTGTCTCCTCTCCGCGTTACATGGCTCTCTACGCTCAAGTCGACACGTCAGAGTGGCTGAGTCTCCTTGTTCTGGCCGTCCGTGCGATGCGTAGTGCTCATTGTGCGGGTGAATTACAACGGGGACTGAAGAACAATCAGAAGAAGAACGGATACTGGTTGTTGTAAAGGTAACGCGATTTGGGCTCTGTGCGCGCAAGATTAGCCTCTAGCCAGTAGTGGTTCGGTGGTTCGCATAAATCTATGCCAGTAGCGTAACGTCGGACCGTGAAGGGAGAAGATTGTATGCGCTGTGTGAAGCGCAAAGTGAGTTACAGGGAAAGTTGGCTGCTGCCATTGGAAAATGCTATGCTGAGACGTCCTGCAGATGGACGTCCAAGTGACAAGTTATACTTCTGATATCCATGTCTCTCCCACCGCTCACCCTGGCGGGGGTCCAGTCTATGTGGGTCATAACGGCTACACCTCGGTCTTGTGCATCTTGAGCGCCTGTTCGATTGTTTTCCGACGCTGCTCGAACAAGTTGACAGACCGCAAAGCCTTCATGATCTCTGGGCCGGCTCGCTCGGGCGTTCCACAGTCGAACGGCGGCTCGGGCGCGTACTCCATGTACAGCTGGGTGGTTTGGGCGAGCTCGTCGCCCTCGAGGTGGGCCATGACGGCCAGGGCAAAGTCGATGCCGGCCGTCCCGCCCGCCCCTGTGATGAGGTTGCCGTCCCGGACCACGCGCGACTTGACTGGCTCGGCGCCCAGGGACGCGAGGAGAGCGTGGAATGCCCAGTGTGTCGTCGCCTTTTTACCGCGTAGCAGGCCAGCCACGCCGAGGACGAGCGAGCCGGAACACACGGCCGTGACGAGCTCGACCTCGCTGGCCCTCTGCCGCACAAACTCGATGGCGTCTTCCTGCAAGAGCACCTCGCCGATGCCGATGCCGCCTGGAACCACGAGCATGTCGAGCTTGGGGCACGTCTCGTACGTGGATGTCGGGAGCATGTACATGCCGCTGCTTGCCATGACGGGGTCGAGGGTCCTGGAGACGAGGTGCAGGGCCGTGTGCGGCAGGGCGGCGAGAATGTCGTACGGCCCCGTCAGGTCCAGGAGCTGTATGTTGGGGAAGACCAGAAAGCCGATGGAGCGGGACATGGTGGGCGAGTGAAGGAGAAGCAGGGGGGAAGTGAAGTGACTGGAAGGATGGATAAATGACAAGAAGGCGACAGTGTGGCCTGTGGAACGGCTCTGCTGCCCATTGGGTTGGCTGGCAGGCTGGCAGTCACCGGGAACATGTGGACCGAAAACCGATCAACATGGTGTGCCTTTTTCGTCGGCGGCGATCTGGCTCTAAGATCACCACGGGCAGCTGCGCAGCTCCTGATCTCTCTCACGATCTCACTTGACCATTTGATAGCTTTGGCCTGGACGTCCTGGAGGCCTCCGGCCTCGACATTCCTATAAGGCTGTCTCAGTGCGTTGTGCATCGACGGGCGTAGAGCGTCCCGCGATCCTAAAGTCCGCATGCCCGCGAGGAAGATCCACACCTGTTAACGAGCTCTCTAAACCCGCTCGGCGGCTATAGCAATCTGGGCATTTGGCGGGACAGACGAGACATGCACGACAGGTCTGGACAGGACCGACACATACAAACTCCCCCAGCCACGCTCCGTCTTTCAAGAAACACACAACGAGTGTTCAAAGATCGTTGACAACCCCCATAGGGTGTTTTTCACCAAAACCACACACCGTCCCAAGTCCCCGAGAAACACACAACGGCAAAGTCAGCGGCTCCTCTGAAATGGTGCAGTGTGTTTCTCGACAATGCCACAGTATGCGGTACCATCGGAACCCTCAGATCCTGCAACCAAACAGCGCATTGCACGGCAATGCATCTTTGCCAACTGGCCAACTACATATATATTCACCGGCTTTGCGGCTATTAGATCAGACCGTAGCCAGCGGTGCTGATGACGGCCTTGGCGACATCGGCAGTGGTGGCCGAGGCGATGTTCTTGCCCGAGAAGTTCGAGAGGAAGTCGGTGTCGGTGCCGGTAAGGGTGCCCGACGAGCCGAAGGCGTTGGCAACACAGGCGCGGCCGAGGTAGGTGGTGCACGCGCTGCTGGCGCCGGCGAGGAGCTTACCCGAGATGGGCGACTCGGCGGGGGTGACGACGTTCTGGAAGACGCTGCCCTCGACGAGGACCATGGCGCCCGATCCGATCTCAAAGGCGTGGCCGTCGTTGTCGTACCAGTAGTTGTTGACGGCGTGGAGGAGGGTGTTGCCGCCGACCTTGGGCGAACGGCCGTTGGTGTGGTAGATGAGGTTGCCCTTGAGGGTGACGGTCTAGGGACAGTGTGTCAGTACGTTGCAGCCAAAAACGCCTTGATTTTTAAACTCACGTCCTGCGAGCCAGTGAAGTACAGGCCCCAGTAAGCGTAGCCGTCGCAGTAGGCCGAGTAGCTGGTAACACCGTTGATCTTGCTGTTGGAGATGGTCACGCGGCCACTAGCAGAGTTGCCGAGGACGATGTGCTGGCGACCAATGAGCGAGGTGGTGACGCGGTCGATCCAGATCATGTCGGTGCCGTCAAGGGTGATGGCATCACCGCCCCAGACGTACTTGGGGTTGATGTCGGTGATCCAGATGTTCTGGATGATAATGTTGCTGACGCCGGAAACCATGCGGAGACCCTTGCCCTTGATGACACCCGTGGTGCCGACACCGATAAGCGACTTGTTCGACTTGACAGTGATACCGAGGGTACCGGCATTGTCGTAAGTGACCGAGACCGAAGGCGAGCTGGACTCGTAGTTGTCGCACCAGCTGTTGGCGTTGATAGCCTCCTGGCACGCCGAGCCAGTGCCCCAGGGAGCACAGCCAGTGGCGGTGGTGGTGCCCTCAGTGCCGGTGAAGTCGAAGGTCTTGGTGAGGACAATGACGCGGGCAGACGAGTCACCGAGGTAGCTGACAAGCTCCGAGGTGGTGGAGGGGTACACGGCCGTGGCGGAACCACCACCAGTGACGCCCTTGGCGAAGCCCTCGGCGGAACCGTAGACGCTAACGGCAGAGGCGGTGTGCGCGAGCACGGCCAGGGCGCTGGAGACGAACGAGACAGTCTTCATTGTAGGAAGACGTTTGGATGAGAGAGAGTGAGAGTGGGATGGGTCTTTTCTTACACCTCCAGCTCACGCTTTAAGTATGTCTGTACGACGGTGGTCCGTGTCATCTCGTTATGGACCCCACATTCCCACCTTGAGGGTGCGAAGTGGAAGACGTTTCGTCTTCCTTCAGAACGTCCCATTGAGGAATGACGTCGCAAAAGGTTGCCGGCCCGGACGAGGTTGGTGGCGGTGGCTCGAAACGTCTGGGCAAAACACGGACCTGAGGGGTGTGGCGCTCGACACAGTAGTGGTACAGTGCGATCAGCGCGTTTTCACTACCAGGACCAGGTCCGTATCGTGTTGCAAGATCCAGGTCCTGTGTCGAGGCCTCGCCACTAACAGTTCTGCACGGGCCGCAAGGCGGACCGCCAGCGTCAGTGCCACCTGCGGTGGCCTCAATGATGGTGTGCGTGCTGATGCCCACCTGCGCCGGTTCGAAAAGTTCCCGATAGAATAGGGGGTCCCATGCTAGCTGGTTGTGCATGCATGACTGCGGTCGTGGTTTTAAGTTTTGACGTGCTTTACCGAGACTTCGTGTGCCTGCCCCAGGTCGATGGGGAAGGTGGATGAGGATGCACCTGCACTGCGCAAGGTCAATGGGGATGGACATACACATGCAGTTGACTGAAACGTGTGTCAACATGTTCTTACACTCGCACACTGACAGTGTCAATGGGTGGTGGATTGCGTCGCTTGACCCTTCATTAAGCGACGCAAAACGTTCTGTCCCTTAGCAGCTGAGATCTAGGACTGGGGGGGGGGGGGGGGGACTGCTAGGACTTGAACGTTGACCACGTGAGTCACAATAGGTCACCTCAAACTCACAGCAGTGTGTACGGTGCGACGCGAAGAACCGCGCAAGGAGAAGAACCTCGTTTCCAACCTTCCAATCCTGCTGTGAGAAACTAGCGTTACTTATTGCCGTGTTCAAGAACCCGAACCGCAGAGGAAAGCACAGGCTGACACGGTGGATTTTGCGGCCCGCCGCCACTGCGGTGCTGTGCATCTTGCCCTTGGCGCGAAGGCTGAACCACGCAGGTGGAGGTCAGTCGGTATGTATACGCTTTGGCCCATCAAACATGGGCCCCGCTTTATTGTACCGGACGCAGGGGTTTGCGTCTGCCAAGAGCACTAGTATAGCATGCGTCAGGTGACGGGCTCGAGGGATGACAACGGCTGCGATCTGTCCGTCAGTGTGTTCAGCAATGTCCTCCGCCCAGACCTCGCCTGCGTCAGTGGCTGCCCATCGTCCTCACTCGCCTGCACACAACTGACAGCTACATGTGACTATCGTACAGAAGGGTGGTTGAACTGGTGAGCCTCTTTTGTCACGTCTAAGCGTTGGGGTCAGCAAGAGCCTTCATCTTGCGAGGCGGGTTCCACATCTTGCCCTTGATCCTCTTCGTCCAGGCGCGCTTGTAGTCGTCCAAAAACTTGTAGTGCCACGAGTGGCTGACAATGTCTCCAGGACAGAAGAACCACAGCTTGGGGTCGGCCATGCGGCGCAAGAAATCGTAGCGGATGAGACCTGTACGCGGGTCCTTGTTTGGAGGATTGGATACCCAACCCCAAGGGGGCGGAGTGCGAGGGTCGCAATAGGCCGGTTTGGTAAGCTGCTGGCCATCGGGTTTGGCTGGCGCACGGCAGTTCGGGGCCGAAGGAAGGTTATACTGACGCTGTCAGATAAAAGGACTAAAAACAAGAGGTCCAACGACCAAACAACTCACCATGACCTCGCCAGTGAGCACATCGTCGTCGTACCATGCCTCAATCTCCGAACGCGGCATGTTGGTGATACCAGCTGTGAGTGTCTCAACCTAAATGGACCGAGTCAGCGACTTGAAAGTGGTGTAGTGTTCGATTCCAGGTCTAACTTACAAGAGGCCAGCTAAAGCCGGTGACCATGCCCGTCATGTGGGCGTGGAACGCAGGCCAACGGTTCAGCGACGTGCCGAGGTAGATGGGGTCTTGCGGGTTCAGTGTGACCAGGACGTCGAGGAACTTGGGCAGGTTGAGAATGGACTGGGGGAGGAAGGGTGTCAATAGATGCCTCGCCATTGGATGGGGGGGGTGTTTCCCTACTCACGTCATCGTCGACCTTGAACAAATACTGGCCTGGACGGCCACCGTCCTCACCAGCTCCGACTGCACGGATCCAGTTGAGGAGCTTGCCCTCACGAAGGTTCTCGCCGTTCTTGAGCTTGAGACGAATGAGGTCGCCGTGCTTTTTCTGTTCCTCGTCGATGATGGCCTCCATCTGCTCGTTGACCGTTCCATCCTTGTTTTGTGCGTGACCAAGGACAAACTTGACCTCGACGAGGTGGCGGTACGCCGGAGGCAGCTGATCCAGGACGGTCAAGCTGCGAATGAGGTGACGTTTCTGGCGCGCTTCCTCGGTGACGGTGGAGAAGATGTTGAGCTTGGCGATGACGGGGCTGATGAGCAGGCCCTCTTTGTTGTACACGGGCGCGGAGAGGGTAGGAGCTTGGAAGGTGCCCATCCAAGGGGCTTCATAGATATCTGGGAACCAACGAGGTGGGTTCTCACAGCAAGGGGTCCAGTCGCCAATGGGGACAATGTGAGCGAGGGCCGGGTGCCACGAGATGGCATAGTTCCAGAACCACCTTCCAAAGTCCTTGTGATGGACGAGACGGTCAAAGGTGAAAAGGCAGATGGCGAGCCATAGGCCGACGACAACGAGGAGGGCCTGCTTGGGATGCCGCCGCAGCCTTAAGCGTGCGCTCATGTATAGCTGTCTGCGATCCGACCTCATCATGGTGGGGGCTGGTGGGCGGGGGTGGTGGAGGGGAGTGATGAGAGTGGAGAGGACGGACGATGGAGAGATATGAGGAGCCGGAGCATGGGCTGCTTGTGCGCTGTAGTTGGGGGAGGGGGAAGGTGTGTGGGTGCGGTTGCAAAGTGCGGGTTGGGAGTACAGGAGTCGTGTGTCCTCTGCCGCGGTGTGCTGTGCATTTGGCGGCTCTTCCAAGCGTCCCAAGTCGTTGACGGCACGCGTCCGGCAAGTACGGGAGAGCGTACGGAGAGCGAGTACGGAACGCCAGTGCGCGCGCAAACATATGGGCGTGCAAGCGCAGGCTTGGCTCAGGGGAGGAGGGAAGGGACCCATCGACCCACACGTCATTTCCACGCGCACTTCCGGCGGCGTCGCGGCGCAGGCGGCGTACAGCGGCGTCGACACCAGCACAGCTATGGGGCGCGTTTGGGCGACGAGCACGCCCATTTCAGCCGCGCCAAGCCTTGCCATGCCTTGCCATGCCTGCAAATGCCTGCAATGCTTTGCCTGCCATATGCCTGACGCTTTTGTACCCCCCCTGATTTCCCCCTGACATATGCATACTCGTAGTGGACTGGGAGCGCCACATTCTTCAATCCTTGTTGACAAACAGGCCCACGCTGTTGCTCAGGCGACCAGAACGTAAAGTGTCTAGAGATCCAGAGATCCAGTCGTGAAGCCAGACCATTTTTTGATACCACCAACCAACTCCCTCCCCCACAGTACCACAGTCTATAGTCTTTCCGCAGCCGCGCAGCTATACGCAGCAGCAATCCGCAGCCATGCAACCCGTCGGAGGTGATGAGGTGATGAGGTGACACTGACACGACAGTCGCTCCCTGCAAAAGTGTTCAGGTGTTGGATACGCCCGCCGGAGACCACAAAGAGCCAGGGGAGGGGCAAATGGCGGAGAGAGCAAAAGGGTGTTTCAAGGGCAGTCCCGTAGGTGTGGTGGATGTTGGCGTTGCTGGTCATCTGCATACCCATCATGCAAAACCCATATCAGAATCCACGCCCACGCGGGGCGGGGGGCCACCTGTCCTATAGCCTATCACTCTGCGGCCTGCGGAGTGCCAAGTGCGGCTGAGGGAATGGCTGGGTGTACCGGGGCTACTCCGAACTGTCGGCGCTGTCTGATGGACAGACCCCATACCACCACCGCCGCAGCAGTGCGCGGACGGCCTCATGGAGAGAGCACGGGGGGCACGGGAGATCTGCGAACATGCATATAGAGCGCGCGATCCAATGGGAGTCGCCCCCTGCCCGCATGCACGTCCCCAGACATTACATCCCGATGACCCCTTGAGGCATGGGGTGGGGTGCACGGGAACGTAAAAGAGTTTATTTATTGGCACCTCGCTACTGTACCACAGCGTGCCAGAGTGGCAGCCAATGCGACACCAAAGGGCTATACATAGATCTATGTTGTGACTGAGCCATATGCGAACTCGCTTCATGCGTCCATTAGCAGCAATGCCACTGCAGGCGGCCTACGGCCGAGACTCGTGGTGCTAGCTCGTCGGCGCTCCTTGGCAGGCACACCGCTCGTCTAGGTCGGATAAGTGAGCGAGCATGAACAACCTTTGTCCTACTCCCAGTTGTGCCAGTAGTGCGCGCCAGCACGCCAGTGCACGGTCCACTCACGGCCTGACCTGCCAAGCGACCCTGGTTCATGCAATAGTGCCCATACAGGCCCTGTTTGCAGGCATGGCCACTACGCGTACGTCTGGTGTCGTCACGTTTGCCGTCTTGCTCTAAACGACCGAAAAGCACAAAATTCACCAGAAAGCAAGGTCGCAAGTGGTCGTTTCGTAAAAAGTGGCGGCCCCCAGTGTTCCCTGTCGATTTCAACGAAGGGGTGCCACCGGCAACCGCCTCCACCCGCCGACCGCTATAGATGTGGTTGGAAGACGCCGTGTCCTGCGATGAGGTGTGGGACGTCTACAAGAAGCTCACTGCATCTTCCTTCCCACGGATGGTGTTGAGCGCTGCCTGCGGACGAAAAGCATCCGGGTTTCAACGTACCACCATCTGGCCAATCTGGCCGTCTTCCCGACCTCCAGGCACCCGTTCCGTTGCTCATGAGAGTGCGGTTGTGGCAACATCAAACCCCGCCGGAAGGCTGTGTTTGTCTGTTCTTGCCGATTACCAAATGCCTCACCTCATGCATCGTGGGTACAGAATACTGACGTCTACATTGCACCATCACTCATTCGCACTTCTCGAGCATATATACCTGCCTTGCGCTCGCTTGTGCTTCCCCTGCGCTTCCATCATGGCCGGCGTCCAGCACCTGCATCAGCCACCACCTTTTGAAAGCTTGGACAAGCTCATCGATGGACGCGTCACGTGGTCGCTTGCGGGGCTGTCCCTCTACTCTCTCGCCCAACTTGCACTCGGACAGCTGACGCCCATACCCAACCTCGTCGGTCTCGTCGCATGGCCCACCATTGGCGCGCTGCACTACTACAAACAAAAAGTGGCAAACGACCGCAAGGGCGCTTTCGCCGCCGGCCTGTTGTCCACCCCGGGATCTCCCAGGGAACACGAACACCGAACCGCGTTTATCAGGTTTACCAGTGTGGTCAATGCCGCCGTCATGGTGCTGACCGCTGGCTCCCTGTACGCGCTCGACAAGGAGACTGCCGCGCCCTTCATCTCAGTGATCGTTGCGTCCGTCCTCGGCTCGTTCTTCGTCTTCACGGTCATTGGTCAATTGCGGGAGGGCCTGTACAATGTGGTGCAGGATCGCGACGCGGGTACTTCTTCTAGAGGTACAGACTCCAGTGATCCAGCTCCCGGCGCTCTTGGGTCGTTCTTTACCAAGTGGTTGAACAAGCCCGCCCTTCACAACCGAGTGGCCAAGTTTCGGCGGTTCATTGCCCGTCCCGGCATGTGGGAGGTGGTGGCTGGAGCCCTCTACGTGTGTATCCGACGAACAAGGGGCTCAGCAGTCGCCGCCTTGATGCTCAATGTCGCCGCGGTTATCCGACAGCGGCGCAAGGCCACCGCCGCGGAGGAGTTTGAGGAGGACGAGGACATTCCGGCGGCAGAAGCAGGCTCGCCTACAAAGTCAAGGCATCCGCTCTCCGACTACCCCGCCATGCCCGCCAAGGCGGATCTTCTCCACAAAGAGTTGTAACAATGTGTCACATAGTAGCAGTCTGTATACCGGCAATGTAGTTCGTGCTCACCAGCAGGTGTTCATCCTCGCGCTTTGACTGAGTCTCGGTCAATTGTTAGCCCGTTGGACCTTTCCTTCGGTCAATTAGCGGATATGGGGGAGGGCATATTCAAACTAATTCGTCTGACCACAGGAATCACGGCGGGCTCGGGCAATCCAACGTTACCTGTGGCTCTTCAGGTCAATTTGGGGACCAAGGCTCCAGCATAGTTCCACAAAAGCATACCTCACAAAACCCTCCCTGGTGGTAGATGAGGATCAAAATTGGGCGTCTCAGGAGGTGGAGAGGAGAGTCATGACACCCAGTTCAAGCGATCTACCGCCCAACGCAACATGCACCATGGTTTGAATATCTGCTATCTGTCTGCGCAGGCACCAAGTTTGATATGTAGGTGTCTCCGTTATGAGACGTGCGTGCATCTGACATTCGGGGTTTTGTGGCGGGACAACATATTGCCAAAACAGGTTACATATTTCACTACTCCATTCTATCTCTCCTTTCTTACTTCTTGAACGGACGAAGGGTGAATCCAAAGTCGGTCTCCTTGGCAGCAAGGAGGTACTTGGGAAGCACGCCAGGTCCACAGCTTCCGGTGCCGATGCCGTTCAGGCCATAGTCGACGTTGAGCCACACATTGTCGCCGGCAACAAGGTCAGGTGTGTGCTTGGCGGCATGGAGCTCCTCTGACGTCCAGCGGCGGGCCGTGAGAGCAAAGTCGGGGTGTCCTTCGACACGGAGACCCGCCTGGCCGCTCTCATCCGTCACCTCGGCCCAACGCACCTCGGCACGGCTACCGTTCTCCTGAGGGTAGACGTAGGGCGTCTGCATCTCGTCGATTGACAGCGCGTACTGTCCCACACGGGCGGCCGTGTGCGTGTCGGCATAAGCCTCTCCGGGACCGAGACCGAACCACTCGACGCGCGAGAGCCCCTTGGGGAGTCCAAAGCGCACACCGAGGCGGGGAAGCGCAAGTGCGCTCCAGTCCCCGCGCGGCGTGACGTGTAGGTCGAGGCGGAGGGCCTCGCCGTCGGGGGAGGTCCAGCGATACACGGCCTCGAGGGAGCGGCCATAGATGGCAGGAGCAGCTACAGTCTTGACGACAAGCGCACCGCCCTCGATGGCGGCAGAGTTGACGCGGTAGAGGACACGGTCGAGACCGGCCGCGAGCCAGTTTTTGCCGTTCCAGGTGCCCGGGGTGCAGTGCGGGCCGACATCATTGTCCGTCATTGCGCGCCAAATGTCCACACGAGCGAGGGAGACGTCAAGGTCGCCAAACTTGACGAGCTGGCCCTTGCTGTCAAAGGTGCCGGCGCCGACAGTGTAGCCCTTGCTTCCCTCGACGACCTGAACAGCTCCAGCGGTAACACCGTTGATGGCATCGCTCTTGTCAGAGAGGAGGAACTGGGCCCACGCAAGCTCGTGGCCCTCGTCGGCCCACACAGTCTTGGCCTTGAGGTTGGCCGAAACCTGGAGCCAAGCCTCGCCATGGCCGTTGATCGTGGGGACACCGAGCTCGACAGCTACAGTCTCACCAGCGGCGATGGTGGGCACCTCGATCTGTCCCTGGTCGATAACCTTGCCATTCTGTTCCACCCGCCAGGCGAAGGCCAGATCGGACAGGTCTGCAAAGTCGCGGCCGTTCCGGATCCACACCTTGCCGCCCTCAAAGCTGATTTTGACTGGCTCAATGACCTTTTTGAACTCGATCAGACCAGGGGTAGGCGTACGGTCTGGGAACAGGAGGCCGTCGCAGACAAAGTTGCTGTCGTGAGTCTGCTCGCCAAAGTCACCGCCGTACTTGTAATACTTGGTGCCGTCTGCGGCAATGGCAGGCAGGCCGTGGTCGATCCACTCCCAGATGAAACCTCCTTGGCAGCGAGGGTACTTTTCAAAGAGCTCCTGGTACTCGGACAGACCCCCGGGACCGTTTCCCATGGCATGGGCATACTCGCAGAGAATGAAGGGGAGCTGGCGGCGTTTGGCGTCCAGCTCGGGGTCGTCAAGGGGCACCTCCTTGTGCTGACCGATGAGGTCGACCTCGGCCTGGACAGCGTACATGCGCGAGTACATGTCGGTGTACTTGCATGAGCGGTCACCCTCGTAGTGGATGGGACGGGACGAGTCGCGGGAGCGCACCCAGTCGGCCATCTTGCCAATGTTCTTGCCCACACCGGCCTCGTTACCCATGGACCAGATGATGATGGATGGATGGTTCTTGTCACGCTCGACCATACGCCCGACGCGGTTGAGGAGCGCAGAGATCCACCCCTCGTCGTCACTGTCTACAGGGTTCCCCTCCCAACCAACAAAGTCGAAGCCGTGTGTCTCGAGATCACACTCGTCAATGACCCAGAGGCCATACTCGTCACAGAGAGACAGGAAGTAAGGGTGGGGAGGGTAGTGGCTGGTACGGACGGCGTTGACATTGTGGCTCTTCATCAACAGCACGTCCTTGAGCATGGTTGCACGGTCGACCAGGCGGCCAGACTCGGGCTGGAACTCGTGGCGGTTCACTCCCTTGAACAGGACGCGCTGGCCATTGACCTTGATCTGACTGTCCTCGATGCGGACGCTGCGGAAACCAACGCGCAGGGGAACCTTCTCCCCGGCCGTGGTGAGAGTTCCATCGTACAGGCGCGGAGTCTCAGCGGTCCAGGGGGAGACCTTGGGGATCTTAACCTCCGCACCGGTGGCTGTGTCGATGCTGAGCTCGGGAATAGTTACGCGGCCAGAGGGATCGCAGTCGACCTTGAGGGTAGCAGAGCCGTCCTTTTCATCGTATGAAACATGCACAAAGTAGTCGACCACGCTGTCCTTGGGACGGTGTAGCAGGGTCACCTCGCGGAACTGGGGTCAGCTGCTGGTTCACGTAATCTATGTAGCTCACAATTCCTGGCATGAACCACTGGTCCTGGTCCTCGAGATACGTCGCGGCCGACCACTGGTGAACGCGGACGGCGAGCACATTGTCCTTTGATTTGAGAACCGAGGTCGCGTCAAACTCGACCGGAAGGCGACTACCGGTGGAGTAGCCAAGCTCGGTGCCGTTGACAAACACCTTGGCCCAGCTCTCCACGCCATCAAAGCGTACCAGCGATTTGCCGTCGCCAAGGTCCCAACCAGCAGGAAGGTCAAACGTCACGCGGTAGTCGCCAGTGGGGTTCTCGTCGGGAACGTGAGGAGGGTCCACAACAAAGGGATAGTTGATGTTCTGGTACGCGGGCAGGCCGTACTTGCCGTCGCCCTGGAGGACCCAGTGCGAGGGGACGGGGATCGTGTCCCACTTTTGGTCGTCAAACTTGGGCTCGACAAACGACTCGTCGCCGGCGACAATCACAGACGGGGAGAAGTGGAAGCGCCAGTCACCGTTGAGCGACAGCTTGGCAGCATCAGAGTCCACATTCCACGATCGAGGTGACTCTGCGCCCCTCCATGGACGCGGGTCCTCGTACTCGGCAGGGTGGAACACAGTCATCTCGGTGGGAAGGGGTAGACAGCTGAGAGCTATACTGGGAATTTGGAAGCTGTAAGGCCAGTTGAGAGTGATGAGATGAACCACAGCAGCTGAGAGCGTGTGCCGATCAGATCTGGCCGGGATAATCCACGGACATTGCTGCGTTAGCAGCAAAGATGTACCGAGTCGCTGTATAATGGTACCGCACCCTGATGACAGGATTGGCGTTATCGCATCTACAAGATTCCCGTTCGAACACGTGGCTCACCCCCTCCGCTCGGTATAATGGTCGAGCCGGGGCTGAGTGTCAACCATGTGAAGAGGTGGATGGAAAGCGGATGACAGCCTTGGCACCGCGGATGTCTGGATGTCTCGTTGTTGGTCCTGATATCGGCATTTTCGCCGAGATGTACGGTACATATACGGGGCCCGCTGCGGGGGGCGTTGTCGATCGGGCCCCACTCACCCACCCAGCATGTGGGTTGTGGCAGGCGGTTGGCGATTTGTGCATGCACTGGAAGTCGGGACATGACAGGAGGAACTGGTAATGGAACAAGCAGCATGCACCTGTTCCCGAGTCCCCTCAACGGTCCCATGAGGATGTGGGGGAGCAAGGCAAGAAAAAGATGGATTAATGTTCACAAAATGCTGAAAAATACTGGGAGAAGGAGTGCTCGGCCGTATGGCGCTCTCTTCGCCAAAGAAGACAATAATCTTGGAAATCCCGATCCTTCACAGCCTTGCCCTTGCCTGAAACCCTCCACGGAGTCGGCCGCAGTGGTAAAGGAAGACCTTAGCTGTCTGTGGCGGTTCAAAGATGGCCCGATAAATAAATGACAACCCTCGGGCCGTGATTGTCTCCTCCCCTTGGTCATTGATCATTGGAGACGGAGAGGCACCTAGGCTAATAGAGTCATGTGACTGGCCGTACCATGTGCACACTCCAAGCCTTTGATGATGATGGATCAGTGGCGGACAATTGATTCACCGTCACCACGGTGAGTGGAGGTAAAGAGGCACCGAGCGGGTAGTGCGGCCCGTCGGGCCGCTGTCCAGTTAGTCTCTGGCGGCCCTCGCAATCTTGGCATACCGTGGCCCTCGCGATCTTGGCATACCGGTGTTGCGTCCATCAAGCATACTCGGGCGTGTGTCGGCATCGCCCGCCGTGGCATCTCACCATTTCCCACAGCGACGAACGGGAATATGGGGCCATTATTTCCACTCGACACACCCAGAGGTGAAATCAGTGGCCGCACGGTAGTGCTACATGCGCACTCTCTCGGTGTAGCTCAAGGTCCCTTATCCGAGTCACATGGCATAATTGTGCCATCTATACCGGGGCAGCTGGCTTGATGTCGGTATAGATGGGCTCCATGGGGCATGATTACGCCGAGGTGGGGTCTGCGGTACTCCGCTGAGGACTCCACAAGGCCCCGACAAAGATGGGACATTCAAAAGGAATGAACAGGATGTTGAAAGAAGGAGTTCGTTCCCAACAACATTGACAACAACACGCATCGCCACCATGTCTGAGAAGGAGAAGCAAGACATCAGCGCAGCCCACTACGAGGAGGCTGAGCCGAATGTCCTCGAGGAGGGCAAGCCCAAGTGGAAGGCCAACAACCAGCTGGACGACGCCGCCCGTATCCTCGCCGAGGCGGGTCACCACGAGTTCGATGCCGCCGACAAGAAGCGCGTTCTTCGCAAGATCGACCTCTACGTGTGCATTCCCATGTGTATCATGTACCTCTGCCAACAGGTGAGTTTTGGTTTTGCGATGGATATCCGTCTAGTTCCCGATCCGACATAGCCGCGGGCCGTTTAATGCCCGCGCGCTGGTACTTTGCGGCCCCGTCTAGCACCGTCACTGGTCATATGCATGCTGACCTTCCTCGAGCTCGACAAGTCATCTATGGGCTACGCAGCGGTATTTGACCTGCAAACTGCGACGCACCTCCACGGCACGCAGTACTCATGGCTCACCTCGGTTGTTTAGTGAGTGGCTTGCGGATCTATTTTTGTTGGATGCCGATATACCCACGACTCGTCCGCCTCTGACCACCTATGGTACCTATGGGGCATTGCTAACGCTTCAGCCTCGCCCAGTTCTTTACCCAGCCTCTCTCGGCCTACGCTCTGATTGCGTTCCCGGTCAAGTGGTGGATTCTCTTCAACTTTGCGGCATGGTCGATCACCACCATCTGCACCGCTGCGGCGACCAACTTCATTGGACTGTTGATGGCCCGCCTCTTCCTCGGCATCTTCGAGGCTACCATCCTTCCCTCGTTCATCTTCATCACGCAGATGTGGTACACTCGCCGTGAACACGCCTACCGCACCACAGCATACCAGTTTGCCAACTCGATGGCCGCCATCATCGGTCCCCTGGTTACCTATGGTGTTGGTCACGCCTCCACCGCCCACATCAGGGCGTACCAGGCTATTTTCATCACCATTGGCCTTATCTCGCTCGCCTTTGTGCCAGTCGTCTACTTCCTCCTCCCCAGCTCACCCACGACTGCCCCCTTCCTTAACAGCGGCAACGACCGTCTGATCGCCCTGGAGCGTATCCGTGAGAACCAGACTGGTACAAAGAGCAGCAAGTGGAAGTGGAACCAGTGCCGTGAAGCCTTCTGCGACCCAAAGACCTACATGTGGGGTCTCATGTACTTCCTCATGTCGGCCCCCACCGGTGGTCTCGGTTCGTTTGGCGCTCTTATCATCAAGGGCCTGGGCTTCTCTTCCTTCACCGCCATCCTCATGCAGATGCCCACTGGTGTTCTTGGAATGGTCTGCAGTAAGTACCGAAGAGTTAGAGGAGAGTTCTTTCGCTGACATATTCCAGTGGTGTTCTGGACATGGGTCGTGAACAAGATCAAGCTCCGTTGGCCGGTCGTTACCTTCTCTCTCGTATTCCCGATCATCGGCGCGGCTCTTCTTACACAGTACAGTGAGTTTCTGGCTGCAAACAGCGCTGACCGGTTCTCAGCCAGCGCCAACATCCCTCAAATGATGTTCGGATACTACGTGATCTTCGTTGCCACCGTTCCCCAGATCATGTACTCGTGGGCCAACATTAACGCCTCGGGTAGTACCAAGCGTGTGGTTACCACTGCCATTATGTTCTGTGAGTTCAATGAGGTTGTCAAGGGACGTTAGGCGGTAAAACAAGAAAAAGAAAAGAAAACTCGAAGTGCCACACTTTTTCCAATTGTACTTTTCTTTGCTTCCTTCGCCTTCCTGCATCTGAAACTACTTGCTAACGCCTTACACAGGCTGCATGTGCTGCGGAAACATCATTGGCCCTCAGGGTGAGTATCTAAACGCATAGGGAGATCCAGAGTTGACCTCTTTCCAGTGTACCTTGCTCGCGAGGCTCCCCACTACCACACCGGTCTCTACTTCGCCATGGGCTGCTGGGCCCTGCACTCGATCGTCGGTGCCCTCATGGCCGTGTACCTCAAGGCTCTTAACCGCAAGCAGGAGGCTCGACGTGTTGCTCTCGGTCTTCCCGCCAAGCTCAAGGACATTTCCATCATGGACATGGACGAGGCCGACGCGTACCGCGCCGAGCTCTTCCAGCAGCTTCGTGAGGCCGGCGGCATCGACTCTGATGCGCTTTACGCCAACTCGTTTGAGGACATGACAGACTTTGAGAACCCCATGTTCATTTACGTGCTGTAAGAGTGTAGAGCGAGTTTGTACAAGGGAAGGAAACAAGGAGTATTATGGGTTGAAAAGGGATGCAAGGATTGTGCAACGCCACGGATCCCCAGTGGTAAAGCTGGAATGCGTGATGTCCACTGTCCTTGAGCTCTATTGGTGTAGGTGGACCAAGAGGAAGAGGTATAATAGAACGAAGAACAGAATGGACGTTAGCGACAGACGCTTCCGTGGATCAGCGCCTGGCGACTGCAGTGTCCGTTCGTTCATGTCGGCGACAAACACTGAAATGTGGCAGCTTCCGGTAGACAAAGGTCACCGCCATGCAGTCCATCTTCGTACTTCCATGTGCATGCATTCTCGCCATGCGGGGGGGGAGTGGGAGTGGCAGGCTGGCTACTTGTAGATGATGTCAGCAGTCAGCTCTTCCGCAGCGCCGTCAGTTGGTAGCTCAGCATGTGGGGGGAGACAGCCCCGGTCGAACGAAGCGAATCGGACACTTTGCATTTGATTGGATAGTATGTACATAGGTAGGCTGCAACTGTACGCCACGGCCATGTATGTACAGTACGCCAGCCATTTATTCTTTCTTTCTTCTCCGACTCGACTAACAGGGCCTTCGGTCACATCAATTCAGATGCTCAGAAGTTGAGGGGGCCAACAATGCCAAGCTGAGAGAGAGCGGAAATGGCACCCTCCTCACCCATTTCCTCGGCGATCATGCCATTCTCGAGACGGAACACAGTCGTGCCCGAGAAGACCATCTTCTTGCCGGTGGCGGTCTCCTTGAAGTTGCCGTAGACCATCGAGGGGCCAGGGACGGGACCGGTGTGGGTACCGCCGCCCTCCCAGCGGCCGGCGACGAAGTCGCCCTCCGGAGTGTTCTCGGCGATGAGCGGGCCAACAGCCCAGAAAGTGAGGTCGGGGAAGCCCTCGCTGAAGTTGGTCCTGAAGGCCTTGGCGTTGGTGCGGCCAGTCTGATTATTAGCATGCACGTCGATCACGCGTAGAAGGCTACTGAAGGCTACTCACGGTAGTACCATGGAGAGGGTAGTGCATGACATAGTTGGGGAGGCAAACCTCGTCGACCTGAACGATTAGCGCCCTTCATCGGCTATCTACCCACAATGTCGGCGTTGCCCTTGGCCCAGTACTCGGTGAAGTACTTGAGGATGACTGCCTTGTTCATTTCAGGAGTGAAGGCTGCGGCGGCCTTGGCGATGGTGGCGGTAGTGGACATGGTTGGAGGGAAGATGAAAGTGTTTGTTGGTGGAGAGCTGGGCGATTGGAGGTGGTTGGAGGTGGTGTGGAAGACTGCCGACAGATACTGCCTCTCCCGACGTTATATACCATGCATGGCTTAGTTGAGTCCAGTTGACGTGGACGATGCCATGTGAATGCTTATGATGGCCGTTAACGTTGCAAGCAACCCTACCACCTTGACAGCAACGGGATCAGAAAGGAGATGTGAGACACCACTCTGATCGCAACCGCCTGACATCTTATCGTGCACACTCTGATCGCAACGGCCGATGGGTTGCCACACGCCACTCTGATCGCAACCACCTGCGGACCGCCGCACGTCACTCTGACCGCAACCACCTGCGGCCGGTGGACTCACACACCACTCTGATCGCAACCTACCAGGCTCTGAACGCAACCTCAGTCACTCTGAACGCAACTTGACCTAGCACCGATTCTGGCTTCGCAGGGTTTCACCTTGGCTTGGATTGAGTTGTGTATTTGTTGTCTTTTGAAGGAACAGCTACGTCAGGCGCGTCAGGGGTCCATTACCACGTTTGGCATTTACTTCCGCTCGGTGGGTTTCTTAGATAATCGGTTGTTTCGCCCAGCATCGCCCCCGGAGACAGATCCATCACTCGACACACCACTCAACAACCCAATCCTGCATTCCTTCCTACATGTCCTCCTCCTCTCTCGTCTTCCAGAGGCTTTAACAGCCTGCAATCAGCCATTGTCGGCTAGCTGTATTACCTGTACACGACCCTACCACTTCTCGCAGGTACGAGTGCACATTACGGACGTCAGAGTCGGAACCCCCCCGACTGATGATGGCATGATGGAAAGTGTGACCTCGTGGGAACTGGCCAACAGAAGTAACCAACCAAGCATCGTCCCGCCTCAACCTTGCCAGCCAGCCCAGCCACTCCTTCTTTGCTGATCACGCTTCCATTACGATCACATGCTCTCTCCCCCACTCGCACTCCCCGCGTGGCCTCGGTTGGGCCCGGGCGGCCGACAGATGTCGGGGGCCCTTACCGACTTCGGTGAGGCTGCCGCGACGCTCCTGAGTGCACACCCTCTTCCCACATGTAGCCACCCACCATCTTGTGAAACAGGACAACCGTCGAGCTTGTTCTTCATCCGGCCACTGAACCGACGTCCATACAGCTACAGCCGACGTTGTTTGCCGCACAATGTCAGGCACCTACACAGAACCTGTGCGCAGCAGCAGGCACTTCTCGGCCTCCTTCCGGGGTCGACGTCATTTTGGTCATCAAGCCTGTCTTGGCGTTGCGCCAGTGTGGCTAGGGCAGCTCGTTCCTCTCCGAACCAGCTGATATTCTCACCCATCCAAGTGCCTACAAAAGGCATGGCGCGATAAACTGAGAAGCCCCAGACAGCAACTCAACATGATTCAAAAGGTTCTCCTCTTGGGTCTTGCCGCTTCGACGGCGCTGGCAAAGCCCATTGTCCACCCACAGGCCATCCACAGACGTGACGATGTCACCATCATCCCGTCGGCCGTCAACCACACCGGAGATGTCGACGCTTGTCAAGGTTACACACTGGGCTCGATCCAGGCCACCAACACTGGTGTCGACGGTGTGCTCACTCTGAAGGGAGATTGCAATGCCTATGGTCCCGACTACGAGACCCTCAAGCTCACCGTCCGTTACGAGACAGCCGACCGTCTCCGCGTTCACATTGCCGATTCCGAGGGCAAGGCTCACGTTGTACCGGACGATGTGACAAGCAACGGCTGGCCCAAGATTGGCGACACTGCTGTGTCGAGCCAGAAGAGCAACCTCGAGTTTAAGTACACCGAGGACCCGTTCACCTTCCAGGTCATTCGCAAGTCGGACAAGCATGTCATCTTCGACACAACGGATAGCCCTCTGATCTTTGAGGAGCAGTACCTTCGAATCCGCTCCAAGCTCGCCGAGGGTTCCAACCTGCAGGGTCTTGGTCAACACAACGACAACTTCACGTGAGCTTCCTTGTGTTGAAGAGAACTGACAGCAGCCTCCCCATTACCGAGGCCAACTACACCCGTACTCTCTGGTCTCGCGATGCCTACGGTGTTCCCAGCCACACCAACCTCTACGGAAACCATCCGTTCTATGTCAACCAGCACGTGGGCAAGAACCCCTCGGCTTCCGGCACCTACCTCCTGAACTCGCACGGCATGGACGTCATCTTCCCCAACAACGGTACAGAGGTTGAGTTCAACGCCCTGGGTGGTATTGCGGACCTCTTCTTCTTCAACGGCCCTTCCCCGGCCGAGGTGGCCAAGCAGGCTTCCCAGGTCTGGGGTCCTTCCAAGGAGGTTCCTTACTGGGCTCTTGGCTACCACAGCTGTCGTTATGGTTACATTGACATTGCCGAGGTCGCCGAGGTTATTGCCAACTACTCGGCTGCTGGCATCCCCTTGCAGACCCAGTGGATGGACATTGACTACATGTACGACCGGTGGATCATGACCCTCGACCCTGACCGCTTCGGCCTCGAGAAGGTCCGCTACGTTATCGACAAGCTCCACGACACGAACCGTGACTTCATGTAGGTTTCATCTGCCGGTGGCGGCGCTAACGTGGGCAGTGTCATGGTTGACCCCGCCACCTTCTCCGGTACCCCAAACCAGACTACCGACACCTACGAGACTTTCAACAGTGGTGTGGAGGAGGACATCTTCCTCAAGCTCACCAACGGTGACCTCTACGAAGGTGTCGTGTGGCCGGGCCCCACCGTCTTCCCCGACTGGACGCACCAGAATGCGCAGTCGTGGTGGAACTCTGAGTTTGCAAAGTTCTTCGACCCCGCTACTGGTGTCGACGTGTCCGGTATCTGGCTTGACATGAACGAGCCTGGTGAGTACTTTTGATGCTTCTCTGGTTTACTGTCGCTCACGCAACCCACAGCCAACTTCCTCCCTTACGTGCGTAACAGACGAGGACCACCTCCACCTTGGGGCCCCTTGCATACCTCTACCTTAACCGCACTGACCATCATCCCAGCTCGAGGCCAACGTGTATCGCATCTCCAACGAGCGTATCTCGCCTCCTGTTCGCCGTCTACCCCGTCTGATCCCCCGTGAGATTCCTGGCTTCCCCGCCTTTGTCGCCGGCCAGAACATTTCCGCTTCCTTCGGCAACGACACGGGTAGCTCGGATGCCGCTCGCCGCTCCCTCCCTCAGCACACACTCAATGCCCGTCTCAGCGGCGCTGTCGACACTCTGGACGACTACCTGAGCCCCGAGCTTGACAACCAGTGGCTCTACCCTCCTTAGTGAGTGATACCTACCAGACTGGTGGTAGCAGGCGCTAACGTTTCCTCAGCCAGATTGACGACCGCCGCTCGGCCCCCTCTGAGAGCGACAGCACTCAGGGTAGGAAGAACATTTCCGACTACACAGCCCGTACCGACGTTGTCCAGGCCAACGGTGCCCGCATCTACGACGAACACAACCTCTACGGCTCTCGCCATGCCATTGTCACCCGCAACGCCCTTGTCGAGCGCTACCCGGCCAAGCGTCCCTTCACCGTCGCTCGCTCCTCGTTCTCGGGTACCCCCTCGGCTCTCTGGCTCGGTGACAACCTCTCCACGTGGGACCTCTACATTGCTACTATCAGGCAGATGCTCCAGTTTACTGCCGTGGCTGGTGTCGGCGTGATTGGCGCTGATACTTGCGGCTTTGGTGGTAACACCACCGAGACCCTGTGTGCACGCTGGACTTGGCTCGGTGCTTTCAACACCTTCTACCGCAACCACAATGGCGACGACAGCATCTCGCAAGAGTCATACCGCTGGAACCTTACCACCATCGCCGCTCGCGCTTCGGGCCGCGTGCGTCTCGAGCTCCTCGACTACACCTACACCATGATCCACCAGCACTCCAAGGACGGCAGCCCAACCATGTATCCGCTCTCGTGGCTCCACCCCACCGAGGCCAACACAGTCCACATTGAGACCCAGTTCTACTACGGTCCCAGCCTCCTCATCTCACCTGTTGTCAACGAGAACGCCACCAGCGTCGACGTCCACATTCCCAAGGACGTCTACTACGACTACTTCACTTACAAGACCATCCAGGGTAAGGGTGCCCAGGTGACCCTCACGGACGTCGGCTACGACACCATGCCCGTCTACATCCGTGGCGGCTCAATTCTCCCCTTGCGCAACGGCAACTCGTACACCACCGGCGAGAACCAGCAGCTCCCCTTCAAGCTCGTTGTTGCCCCAGGTGCGGACGGTACCGCCACAGGCTCGCTCTACCTCGACGATGGCGAGAGTCTCGACGTCGGTGACGCGTACTCCGAAATCACCTTCCAGTACGACGGCAAGCAGATCAAGATCGACGGCAAGTTTGGCTACAACTCGACGCCCAAGATTGAGACCATTGTGATTGCAGGCCAGCACAGCAAGAAGACCGGCAAGGTCGACGGCAAGGCGTGCAGCTCCAAGTTTGACAAGAACAGCGGCATCACCACCCTCAGTGGCCTCAGCATCTCGCTCAACGAGGCCTCGACTGTCAAGCTGGAGTAAAGGGGTGGCAAGAAGTACATCATAATAGTGTGAACATTTCCCAAACGTGTCTGGAAAGATGCTGGGGGACATTATGCAAATCGATTGAGGCGACCAAGGCATTCCTGCATAGGATGCGGATGGAAAAGTATGGTACCGGTTCTGACCTATTGGGCCGACCAAATTACCGGCCGACGGCCATCCTGCTCGTGTCGCAGTATCAGATCCGGTGCGGTCTGAATCATCCGCGCTCCACGATTAGTTAAGACATCGAACTCTAGTGTTGACGTTAGTCCAGTATTGATCATCAAGAGGCGGTGTTGGAGCATTGTAAGGTTGTGCACATGACTGGACTCGTGACACCATGACGCGCAGTTGTCACTGCCAAGACATTGTAGAGGATCCCAGTACTGACACCAAGAGCCATTGCTGGGGATCCGGTCGTAGTTAGGCGGAGAGTCCCATGTGTCACGCCTCGTTTTAAGCATATCAAGGCTGTGCAGACACATGCTCAGCGTTGCGGTTGATGTTAGCCACCGTCAAGATACACTCGAGAATGGCCACCGCTGGGACCTATTTCAGAGACCCATCGCTCTGTTCTTGGGGCCAACGCCCCATCAACTGCTCTACATTATGCTCCTCACCAACCTCGTCTTATTTGCATCTCTCTTCGGGGCAGTGCTCGCTGTCGTTCCTCCCGCCCAGCCTGCAATCAACGTTCAAGTTCATCCCAACGGCAGGAGCCACCTCTGTCTCGCCGCTGCCAGTGCCACGGAAGGAGGAGCCACGTTCCTCCGGGGCTGCAGGGGTGGCGACGACACAATGGCCCAGTGGACGGTCTCCAACAGGACGACATACCTGCGTCTGACGGGCACTCAATGGTGCCTCAGCATTGGCACCGATTTTGGAGCCGGGTACCAACCGTATAATGGCGATACGGACATGGTCCTCGCCAAGTGCCCCACTTCGGGTATCCCTGGCCCTCTAGCGTCGTTCCCAGGCCAGACATGGATATATGGCGGTAGTGGAACGAGTTCTCAGGACTGCCACTTCAGAATGGTCCACAGTGGCTACAGTGAGTCAACCGCCACGGGTGGTTCAGCATGGCTGACAATGCTATTTTAGCTGGCCCCGAGTACTGCCTCGACAACAAGGATGGCGCCAACAGGAAGACGCAGATCTGGGAGTGCCATGACCCCAGTCACAGCGACAACAATAATCAGAGATGGACCGTGACTCCCCTCTGAAGGAGGGTAACACAATTATGACACGGACAGTCAAGCGGAAACTGTAGCTGTGGTGTTATGTTGATGACCTCTGTAGTTGAAAGACAATCTTGAGGGAGTCTGATGTGATACAGCAATTCTCGCAAGAGTGCCTCCCACCACTGCAAGACGTTTGTCAGGCATGGATCGCTGAAACAGATTTGGTGCAATGCAGCGCGGCACCAAAGTGATAATACTCGGTAAATGGTAACATATCACCTGCCCTTTGTCTCCCGCAACCGGCTTCGCAGGGGTACACACATTCAGACTCACTTGTAACGACCCCAAATCCTGACTCATGAGTCGCGAGATCTATGGCATTCGCACCGCTCCATATGGCCGCGGCGGACGGGGGGCTGGTGGGCTTGCCGCCTTCGGCGGAGGAAGGAGACAGTGATCAGTGACCGAGCAGGCAATATCAACTCCTGAGCCATCTCTTCCACAGAGCGTCATGTCCCCCAAGAAAGTGCAAAGTGTCAGGAGGCGGCTCTTACACCCTCTATATTGCGTCTTGAGGGCGTCGATATGGCCGTGTTGCCTCTGGACAGCAGCTGCAGCAATGCCTGGCGACGAAAACGGACGGAAAGTTCCGACCTCCTCCATATCTTCCCCCGACCTATGTGGCCTTCCAGCGATGAATTCGCCCCCATTCCCAACTTAAACTAGTGGTCCGCATGCAGCAGCACCTCCTTGGCCAACATTTCTACTCGTCCATGTCGTTCCAGTCGATGCACAGGCAAAAGAGTAGGCTATGCCCTCACTGGAGACAGGATTCGAACCTGCGCGCCTTTCGGCATTTGATCACATGAACTCATCAATTCAAGTCAAACTCGTTAACCACTCCGACACTCCAGTGTGGATGTGCTTCAAAACTATCCCGTGCTGACGGTTGTGACGTTTGAAAACGATGCAGATGTGTATGAGCTGAAAGAGGAGGCAAGAAAAGGTATCTAACGTTTTTTCGGCATTTTTTTTTTGGGATCGGGAGACAAAACATGTTCTGTTCCAGTTACGACAACGTAAATAGCACCTCGCGATGCGCCTCTGTCCGCTACTAGCAGAGATGTGATACTTTTGACCTTGGGGCAATTCTGTGGACAGAATCGAACGGATGAGGGCAGAGGGTAATCAGGTCCAGCACGCGGCCGATTTTCTTTTTTTCCGAAAAACGTCCGTTAGCCTTGGCACTCCGGGATCCAGGACATGTCTCTCGCAATCACTGCTCCACCAACACACCCAGCTGTCAAATACACCCATACCATGGTACCATGGCTTGAATCCACTCCAATACCGCTCCCACCGTGTGGCCGATGCCAGGAGGTATAGTCCCCCGCAACAGGGGCCCACGAGAGTGTCACAGACGGTCCTAATGTGTGAACCGTCGGCAAGGCGTCTAGCCAGGCCTGGACTAGTGTGCACCTGTATCGACGATTATGGTCACAGATAACGCATTTTAAGTGTTGACCATATATTAAGCCGCTAGCTCGCATACGTTACACGTCACTCCTGGTCAAACCAGAGACTGTGTCATCCCCGGTTGTTCAACGGACCTCTCTCAAGCTTGCATGCCGTCGCCGTGACCTGAGAAAGTCTAGACGGGGCGCAAGACAAGACACACCTGGTGGACGACAAGCAACACTGGTACACTGGGGCCAACGGGGTTGCTGACACTTCCACACACGCTCCCCTTTATGCGACGGAACTGGGTTGCACCCCATTTTATGCTGACTCCAATAATGATTTCCAAGTCCGCTGTCGAATGATCAAACGTCCCCGACTCGCGTGGCATGTCTTATTCTTTACAGGATTTCAGAGCGTAAATTGAGGGATACATCCCCGATATACCGATACGACGGTGGTGTGGATAGGTTCAAGGCGATATATATGCGCCTCGGAGCATTGGATTGTTGCTCTGAGCATTGTCCTCCGGCGATCCGGTGACCAACGACTGGGCCTCTCTGTTTCACAGACTACGGGCCACTCGAGAACCCCATTGCCTCTGGCTAGTTTGTCCAAGCTCGACATGGACCATTCCGCACACGTCGTGAAGTGCAAAGGCTTGTGTCAACCCCCTGTGCCCCGGTGCTGTCGACCGCAAGCCCCTCCCGCGGCCTGCGGGATTATGGATAAAAACCGCGCCCTTGTGCGCGAGTGTGGCTCTTGATGCTTGAGCCTGCAAGCCTGTGTGGGTGGCAACGTGGCGGTGCCGAGGCTCCCATAGGGCGCAGGAGGGGTGAGTCAACCGCACGCTTCTCAACGCCCGTCACCGCGTCGCCAGTTCGCGCGCACAGCCCAAACATGCCCCAAACACCGCTCGTTCTTCTTTCTTCTCTTTCATCCACCTCATCACTTACATCCACCATACTACCTCCACACACCACACCTACATGCAGTATCGCAACATCCTTCCCGATGGCAGCATCGCTGAGGGTGACAAGGCTGGCGAGAAGATGATTGTAAGGTGGCAACTCTACGACCGAACGAGGTTGAAGGCAGCCAAGGAGGCGCTGGAGTCGCAGGAGGTGGACCGACTTGTCACCTTCATCAACAAGATGCGCAGGGTGGCTGGTGAGCATGATCTCCTCGCGGGCGAGCTGGACGCGGTGGCGGTGAGTGAGCAATGCCGACGGACGCGTTTGCTGACCTGTCAAGCTGTCGGGTATGGAGCAGGAGCTCTTCACTCTCGCATTAGACCCGCTCGGTGCACCCATTCCTTCGGCCTTTGAACGCGTCGCTACCATCGACACTGGCGACAAAACCGACACAACGAGTCCCAAGAACGGCATGAGCTCGAGAGAGCGCTCCAAGGTGGAGTACATCGTGGAGTACTACATTCGCCAAACAGCCTTTGAGCCCAGTGAACTGCTCGGGATCCTCACGGAAGCCTGTCGCCTCTTCTCAGGTGAGTAACATTGGACACCCACCCATCTACATGTCCCCCTCTCCGTTTGCCAGCGTCGTGCACTCACAGTGCTTACTCGCTGTAGCCGTCACGCCTCACTTGAAAGTGATGATCCGCGATCTTGAGCAGCACATCAAGCACAAGACCGAGACCGTCTGGCTCCGCTATGCTGGTACAACTGGCAACGACCCCGCCCAGCGTGCCACCTCGGACCTCAACTCCGCGCGTCATCTTTGGAGCAACGTCATGAGCTTGGTCGAGGGGAAGACGGTCGAGGTGTGGCGCTGGACCTGTGAGTACCGCTGCACTGGTACTCTGCTCACAATACAGTGCCGATCACTGAGTCAATAACCTCCTACGAGCACCGGGCTCGGATGGAGCTCCAGGCAATTGAAAGGGCTCTGATCGCGTCCATGTACCCTCGCTGCCTAAACTCGGCCCCGGGCGGATCTCGTGCCATCCCCGACCTCTCACGCCTTCCTCCTGGAACCCCCCTCCCCCCCGGCGACCATGATCCCGGCCTCGACGAGATCAATGTCAAAATCACCCAGTTGATCGTAGACATGGCCGCCCAGTGGGAGAGTGGGGGCGCGACTAAGATCCACCCACAAGCGTTGGAGACTGTCGTTCAGGCGGCGAAGGTGCGCAGAACAGATGGCGGGCATGTTGTCCTCTGCCGAGTTGCCAAGGACATTACCCATGAAGCTTTCCATTATCGGCGCGATGGCTTGGACTACCACGGCAGGTTGGCGGGTCCCGGTCCGGCTCTAGGTGTTCTCTTGAAGCTGCATGCGCACGCCGCGCCCACTGCCGACACTCTGTCCTGGGAAGAGATTGTCTCGATACTGGGCCCTTTCATCGACCTCTGGAGTGTATGTCTCGAGCACAAGGACATCATTTCGGCTGTGGGGTGGCTGTGGGAGTACCTTCGGATCGTGCGACCCCTGGTTGTGGATGTGCAGTCCGCCAAGGTGTCCAACCTCCTCTTGACCAATGTCTTCGCCCATGTCCAGCGCAACTCCGCGGGAGGCTGGACATGCCCGCCCATTGAGGACGACGACTGGGAGGACATTTACCCCGAGCGATGGATGTTCTGCGTCGGCGAAATCATCCTTATCAACATCGACGAGGATACGTTTGCCCTGGCCGTTATGTCGGTGAGTCTTGATGGCCGAAGAGCTGCGCTGACGGTAGTCCCATACGGGCCGCAACAAGTACAACCCGGTGATCAATGAGAAGCTCGTCCTGCTGCAAGGCACGACAGATGCCATCTGCCAGCAACTCGTTATTGAGGTCACGCACTGGGCCCAGGCCAACCCACACGGCCGTCCAACCCCCGACGAGTTCATGGAGATGCGACAGTCTGTGCTCGACAAGAACCTGGACCCCGTGAAGCTTCGTGACGCTCAGCAGCAAGAGCTGCACGTTGATATATTCTGGCTCAATCAACGCCGCCAGCTGGGCAGCACCACCCGTGGTACCCGCACGGCGCTGGCCCCCGCCGCCGTGTCCCAGAAGCTCCGCGCGATGGCTCTGGCCGCGAAGGCAACTCGCATGTTGGGTTTCGGCCCCAAGTCTTCTCCGGCACGTCTGGAGCAGTGCGAGTCCTTTCTTGTCGCCGACAAGAAGGTCCGGGCCCGCGGTGTCACCGTCAAGATGCACCGCAGCTATCGCCCCGACCATGCCAAGACGGACGAGGAGTTCCGCGCGTGGTGGCTCTCGCAGGGAGGGTACCGACATGCTCCTCGCGGCCAGCCACAAGGGCGGCGACGACCATGCGACGAGAAACATGACCAAGGAGGAGCTGGACGGCCACATTGAGCGTTGCTTTGGAGCCAACCTCAAGATGAGGAGGTCGCTGGAGACGGCTTACTTTCCCCAGTCTGTCACTTCTGAGACTGCAGTCAACGTGAAGGCGACCGAGAAGACTGTGGGCACCAAACTCACGCTTCTCGACTGCTCGAAGTGTGGCCGCAGCTCGATCGGCAAGGCTATGTGGACACACCAGTGCCCAGACGTGCAAGATGCGCTCAAGTTCCGCCCCGAGAGCGTCGATAGGGCGTCTTTCACCTTTGCCTCGAGGCGTTCGACATGCTCGATGTCGACGAGGCGAAGGTCGTGGAGTGGGGACTCGAGGTGGTCATGACAGGCGACGTGTGGGCGCGGCTCCGTGCAGGTGGCGACCTCCACCACCACGGCTTCGCCGCGGTCATCGGTGACACCAACCTCGATGTCCCGGTTATCGTCGCCCCAGGGTCCACGGGCCGCTGGGTCATGATCAACTGTCTTGCCCGATTGTTCCAGGCCACGGCTGGCCGCCTGCCCCACCTCGACAGCATCGAGCTCGACAAGAAGGGCATCAGCGCCCTCGTCAAGGCCATGGAGCAGGGCAAGCCGCTCGAGTCGTTCGAGTGCACCCACGAAGCGTGTGTCTGGGCGACTGTCGCCGGGCGGCGAGAACCACTACTGCGTGGACAGCGGTGGCGGCAGGTTCGAGCCGGTCGGTCGCGGGGGTCAGACGATTGTTCGCAAGAAGAAGAGCATCCCGTCCGGCCAAGTGGTCTCCGCCTTCAGCGAGCTTCCTGTCCAGTGGAAGTGGGGCCTCCTGAACGCCTACTTCATGCACGGTGACGAGGAGATGACGATCGAGCTGTTCATGTTTGCAACATCTCCTGCTCCAGCCCCAACCACGATTCTTGACGCTGACGCCTCCACAGCCTTGTCGTCCACCAACCCCACCACCGCAGGCAAACGTGGTCGAGGGTCCGCATCCACTGAGACTGGCACCCAGCTCAAGAAGACTCGCACTGCTGGTCCCACTAGTGCCTCGCATACCCTCAGCAAGACCCCAGCAACCGCATATCCGGACGCGGCCCCAGGTGGCAGCCGCAGCAGCAGCGCGACGCCGCCACTGCCACATCAGCCGCCTGCCACCGTGTCCACCTTTGCACTCCCCCGCTCCGCCCCCGCTCACTCGTTGTGCCTCCCGCTCCTCCCTCCAGGACGGTTTTTGGCCCTACCACAGCTCAGCCCGCTGCCAGTCCCAGAGTCGCATTGCCACGCCCACCTCTCCAAGTGCCACCCGCGTCGACACCTGGCGCACACGCGCCACCACGACCGGTTGATTCCGGGCTCGTGCCGAGGCACTTCCCAAACCCGCAGACTGTGTTGCCTCCCCGTCCCGGAGACCCACCCCCACGAGCTTTTTGGGCGTACAGCAACGTAAGGCCCAAGAACCACCGCAGGCCAGCACTCCCCGCCTCACCCTCAGCGTCCGCGTCGAGTACCGCCCGCCCCAAACCGGGCGCCACCCCTGTGCCCAAGTGAGAACGATCAGCCACCCTCGAGATACGTATCGGAGACCCGCTCGTCCCCATGCCGCTCCGTGTCCCATGAGCTCCCTTTCTCCAGTTTTTCCTCCTCCTCAGGCCACACGAGCCCCACCGCCAGCCGTTTCGGCATACACTACCACCACAACTATGTCGAGGAGCTGGCCGAAACAAGGAAGAGGCCAAGGAGAGCAATCGCGTGCCGATGACCTCCGCCCATGAGAGCGGCCTTTTGGATGTCTCGTGTACGAAGAAGCCGGTGGGCAATACGCTTAGACAGAATAGATGCATGAGCAGGCGCAGATCAAGGACTTGATATCGCGCACCTGGATGCGGTGTACCATGCGAGTTTCGTGGCATGGGCCTGGTTCCTTTGACATCTTGTCAGTGACCAGAAGTGGGTAAACTCCTCTAAACAACCACAACCACGAGATCCAGAGAGCCAGAGACTAAAGGGGAACAAAATAAAATAAAATCAGATAAAACCTCCGTCTTTAACTGTTGCCCAATCCAGCCAGCTCAATGTGTGTTCAGACGAAAATGAAAGCATGCGCGTCCAGTAATTCACCTATATACATATCTATAGGTGGGTTGTAGGAGAGCATTAGAGGCTCGGAACAGATTGAAGTGTGTGGAATCGTTGCGGACGAAATGCGTCTGGACGCAACAGATTCAGAGGAGGCGCCACTTCGTCCCATTTCTCAGTGACCACTGCGCCGTCCCAACGCTGCCTCAACCCTCTCTCGCGCCATCGTGCCCGCTCTCGCTCACCTCACTCACTGCACTCTAACCATGCATTAACGCAGTCTCCTACTACATGTATCCAAGGTACACTGTCCATCATCTGTAAACATCCTGTTAAAAACATGCTACAATCGTATCCCTCTCTCTCTCTCTCTCTCTCGCTCTCTCGCTCCACCCCGGCGCCCGTTCTGCTCTTTTAGATCCATCCACACAAGTTGACTCTCTTTACGCACAACCTCAAAAACCTCCTCCATCCAACCTCTACGCACACCCCACAGCTCCCGCCGGTTTACCGGCTTAGCTCCACAGGGGGAAATCGGCCGGCACATCCAACGCGTTCCAGCTCGTAGTGTTGATGTTGCTGAGCCCGCCTTCCTCGTCCATGAGGAAGGAGAAGATGTCAAAGTTGGCCGTGGGGTCCACTGCACCAGTGCCGTCTGCGCCGGTAAGGCCGTTGGCCGCGGGGGTTCCGGCCGCGCCGCCGTTGGCGCCGATGACGCCGTTGAGCTGGAGCTCGGCCATGATGGCGTTGCCGTTGCCGCTGGGCCCGCCGGGGACCATGGCCGTTGACGCGGCGGTGCCGGCCTCGGTGCCGAGCCAGGCGCCTGCGACGCCGGCGAGGTTGGGCGTGTTGCCTGCCGACGAGGAGACTTGGGCCGCGATACCGTAGGGTCCAAACGACTGGAACGCGGCTGGTGGCAGGCCCGAGGCCGGGTTGATGCCTGCCTGACCGGGGTTGATGGGCGTGGAGAATGGTGCGGCGTGTTCGGTGCTGCCGAGCATGTTGGCCTTGTTCTGTTTGGTCTTGGCGCCGTTGGTGTACTCGGACAGCTTGACGTGGGAGGAGACTGGGTTGAGGAACAGGTTGTCCAGGAGGGTGAGCTCGTATGGCAAGGTTGTGGGCGGGAGTGGAGCCGGGAAGGATGCGTCCGACGGCAAAGGGTCATCGCGAGATGACGACACGGGGGTGCCGAGAGACCCAAAGCGGGCGCCACCGACAGCGCCGGGGACACTGCCAGGAGCATTGCTGGCGACCTTGGGGTTCATCTTGGAGAGCTGCTCGATGATGGCCTGCGAGACATTGCGCATCGTGTCGTGGCACGCGGAAGCCGAGGGGACGCGAGGGGACAAGTACTCGAGGACAGCGAGACACGACTCAATGTCCATCATGGCCTCGTCCAAAGTGGGCACGCCTGCGCCGCCACCCAGGGAGTACAGGTTGAAAAAGGCATACAGGAACGAGAGGCCTGCCATAAAGCTGAAATGAGACGTCATCCAGAGCCACGAGATGCGGTTGTTGAGCTGCATGCGGCGGTAGATGCGGATAATGTAGCTTGACGAGGCCAGGACAGTCGCAAGAGCCGGCCGGCTAGGCTTCGGGTTGCCGCGCGAGGGGCGGAAGAGCAAGAGACACGAGTTGTGGAACGAGATCGCGTAGCCTTCCGACGAGACGGTGCCACGGGGTTCGGGCGAGGACGCGAGCCAGTTCTTGAGACGCTCAAACATGTCGTCAAACCATTCGGGCTTGGGCTTGGGCATGCCGTTGACACCGTACGTGTTGCTGAGAATCTCAGACTGCAGCTCGCGGAGCTTGACAGTGTGCACAAACACGGCCTTGTATGCACAAGGTTCGCCGACGAGGTTGACCGACTGGCCGGCATGGATGTCGACGTCGTGCTGCAGCGCAGGCATGGGCACGTGGATGAAGCCATCGGGAATACTGGGGGGTCGGCCAAGCGACTGCGCAAGGAGGCGGTCCATCTTGTACGTGATCCAGAACAGACGACGGCGCATGTCAATCTCGAGGTTGTCGAGCGACTCGGCTTGCGAGTTGTGCTCGTTGTGGAAGCCCAGGTCGACACAGGTACGCGACGCGAGACCAACGAGGAACCAGATGGAGCCCTTGTCTGGGTTGAGGAGCGAGTACCAGACCAAAAGCAGGATGGCCTGGAGGCCAATATATGACTGGGCCTCGAACACTGCATCGAGGTGCTTGAGGGCCTCGGCGTGGAACGCCTCGGAGCAGGTACGCAGCTCATCTGGGGGGTCGACAAAGCGCGAGCTGGCCATTGTACTCAGTGCGAGCACCATCATGACGACAAACACATCCGACTCGTCCACATCCGAGCCCTCACGCATGCGCGAGATCTGTTTGCCCAGAGTCGGGATGTGGATAATGGGCGCAGTCACGCCCACAAAGTCGACGTAGGCAGCCACAAGACGCTCCACGGCCGGCTGGGGAGGCAGGGGAGGGACCTGGAAGCGACGGCGAGAGCGGCCCTTGGTCGAGCCAGCAACGGAGCGCTCCGAGGGGGGACCACGGGCACTGCTGGGGATGGGAGCGTGGGCTGAACGCGGTGTGAGAATGTTTTCGGGGGAGGCGTGGTTGTGGTACTCTTCCGAGTGGTCGCCACCGTTGTGTGCGGGCGAGTCCTTGCCCATTGCCGAGCCGCGGTCACTGGGCGACTCGCCGGCGCGGACAGAGCCAGTGACGCTCGGGGTGCCGTTGTTGCCCAGCAGTGAAGTGTTGGGCAGGGCGTGTCCGGTACGCAGGGCCGCATCCTGGACCATGCGGGTGAGAGACGTTGCCGCCGACGCGGTGGCGGTAATGGGGTTGGACCGTCCGGTGCTGCTTGAGATGACGGGCGAATGTGGGCTATCGAGAACCGGGGGTCCGGGGGGGAACGGATAGTCGCTCATGCGCCTGTTGCTGGTGGCAGGCGAGTCCCACGGTGAGCGCATGGGAGGTTCGCCTTCTGGGCCCTGGAGCGCCGGATCGATGGCCAGGTCGCCACCGCGACCCACAAACGATGCGACGGCCACGGACGCATTGGAAGCAATCTCGCGCTTTTGCCGCCCGATAGGATCACTGCCCGTCGACGTGAGTGCAGTCACCTGTGCACGCAGCGAGGCGACTTCTTGCTCGAGAGAATGCAGGTAGCTTAATGCTGGTCAGCCACTGGTCTCGTCCGGGTTCCGTGCCTCCTCTGCTACGCTAGCTGCGCTCTTCTTTTTGCGAGACCTCGCCGCAAGCAGATGCAACAAACGGACACATTCAACTCACTTTCTCGACACGTTGGTCTTTGAGATGGCGTCAAAGCCAATGCACTCGACCTTGGCCCTCTCACACGCCGAGCAGGCCGGCAACTTGCCGTCGCATTTTTGTTTGCGACTGCGACAGCGCGTACATGACGAAATGGCACGGGCAACCTTGTACTGCGGTTGTTCTGGTAGGGGGGACGCTGCCTGGGAAGGGGATGGTTTTGAGCGGCCGCCACTGGTGGGCGGGGCCGGTTGCGAAAAGGTGGACCCCGACGATGTTGGAGGGTATGGGGCAAAGTGGTTGGAGGTGTCTGACGACGTGCGCCTGGCGGTTGGCGCCTTCATGGTGGATGATGTCGGTTGACGGAGAAGAGCGATGGGCGGCGGCAAGAGAATGCCGGGAAAAGAAGAAGGGAACGGCGTGGGGGAGGGGTTTGTGCAATGAAGTGGCCGGGAAAGGGGTTGTTCTTCTCGACGAGGGGGGTGAGGTAGTGGGGCGACCAGGAGGGAGGACTCGCTGTGTCTATCGACTGTGCAGTCGAACGGTGCGAGGATGGAGACGCACGCGGGGGGTGGATGGGCCTTGCACACTCGTTCAAGGACGGGGGGGACTGTGTGACAAGAGAGAGTCGACCGCCGTTGCCCCCAATTGCCGACTAGAATCCACGGCCAGCGCCGAGGAAGGGAAAGAAGGGATGCGGCATGCCTATTTAATGTTACGTAAAACTATTGGCCACGCCTATTTAACAGCGCCTAGATTCTCAGGGTTGACTCACCTCGCGACGCGTCTCTCGCGTCATGAAGAAGATCAACTTTGGCCAGTCCAGTCATCAACAAACATCTCTTCCTCCATTGTCAACTTCACATCCATAATGAGTGAGTGGGCGAGCCTACTTGCCTCCTACTAACTCCAGGCGACAACCCTTACTACGGCGGCGGCGGTGGCGGCGGATACATGGCCGGCGGCGGCTCGCCCTTCGGCGGCGGCAGCCAGGACTCGCCTGGTGGCAAGAAGGTGAGCTCTCAACGACGGCAAGGCCTGCTATACTGACGACCTAGAACCGCAACAACCAGGCCCTCCGCCCCGTTACCATCAAGCAGATCCTCGAGGCCACCCAGGTCCACCCGGACTCTGACTACCAGATTGACGGCGTCGACGTCGGGACTGTGAGCAGCCTCGTTGTCTCCTGTTCCCTTGGCGCCCAAACTGACACACTTTACAGGTCCAGCTTGTCGGAAACGTGCACAACCAATCCACGACTGCCACCAACGTCTCGTACGACATTGGCGACGGAACGGGCTACATCGACGTGAGGCAGTGGCTGGACACCGCCGACGACGAGGCCGGCAAGATGGACGGCATCATGCAGGACAAATATGTTGTCGTTACGGGCAACATCAAGGTGTTTGGCGGCAAGCGTCACGTCTCGGCGCAGAACATTCGCAGTGTCGAGAACCACGACGAGGTCTACCACCACTTCCTCAAGGCCCTCCAGGTCTCCCTCTCGTTCCGCAACCCGAGTGGTGTGAGTGCAGCTGAGACCGAGTCGGTCTTTTGAGCAGTTGACGAATGCTGACGCAATGACTCTCTCCTCCTGGAACCTTCCAACTGCCCAATTGCTTTCTCCCACGTTGGCTCGTCCTGTTGCGACCTCGGCTTATTTCCTTTGCCTCATCTTCTACACCGTTCCCTTTTCTTTCCTACTCCTAGGTTGCCGGCGGTGCTGCTGCTGCTGGCGCGACCCACAACGACTATGCCGGCGGTGCCTCGGCGTCCCCCGCTGGAGCCGACTTTTCGCACCTCCCTGCCCTGCAACGCAAGATCATGGCCATCGTGTCCGCCGAGGACCACGACGACGGCATGCACGTCTCGGCTGTGGGCAAGCTGTGTCTCCCTACCGATGGCGAGGAGGTCATGAACGCCATTGAGAACCTCATGGGCGAAGGTCTGCTGTTCTCGACGATTGATGACCTTGTGAGTTGTGTCTCCTGACGAGTGTGGCCGGTTGCCCAAGGAGCAGTGCTGACACCAACTGCAGCACATCAAGGCCGCGTAAAGGCGAGCATATGTTGCTAGAGGAAAAGAGAGAAGGTTGAGACATTGAGGACTGCCAGTATTTGTGTCCTGGCAATGTACATGTATCCAGCTATGTGTCCGTTTGCGTCATCTGCGTCACCTTGCCGACTTGCGCGCGCATACATACATGACTGCACATGCGCATGCCTGCTCGCGGCGACCACGGCTGTGGACGGGTGTGTGTGTGGGTCCTGGGCAGACATGGGCGATCAGTGCAGCCTGGGCGGGCCGGCAGCGCTACAAAGTACGCTTCTACTGCGCGGGCAATGTGTGAGCCGAGCAACGGCCAAACCGTACGCACCGTTGTGGCGTCGCTCGCACATTGACAGGCAGGACAGCTCTCTCCCTCGAGTTCCCTCTCTCTGTACCTCTGTCCGCGCGCGACTGAATGCGCCAAGTCTAAAATACATGCCCCCCAGGCATCATCCCGGGATCCCGGTAGTGCCATTCCACCCCTGTTTCCCTTTCAGTGGCACACCAGCACCGAACGCGCGAACGCGCCTCGCGTCGCGCGTACGCCAGTGGCCAGTGGCCAGTGGGCAGGGCCCAAAATTCAATGTTCCTGTGCCAGCCAGGGACTGGGCCATCCCATACTGGAAAGCCTTTTCTGACCGTTTTTCCTGTGCCATTTGCATGCATGTTGCTTGCTGTTGCCGAGTGCCCGCACACCACGCCCTGGAACTTCCTTTGTGCCGTGCTGCATATCTGCATCGTGCTGCTATACAGTCCTCATCTCACTCACTCTCTCTCTTTGCTGTCAACTCGTATCCCCCCATCTCCGCTCGACAGAGCACACACCCCCTCTTCAACCGTCACCCCCGACCTCGACGCCCCCCAAGCCTCCCCGCCGCTAATCTTGGCTCGCTCTCTCCCGCCTCACCCCGTTTCCCCCATCTCTCTATCCGCGTTCTCACATCAACACAACCGCAACTCTCAACCCCCTCTCCACTACCACCCACTCCTCCTCCTCCTCCTCTCCTACCACCCACCTTTCTGTTCACAATGAGGGGCGAACACTGTATCGCGGGCGCGAGCATCCTCACGTTCATGGCCATGATCCTCCTGGTCTTTGCCAACATTGGCCAGATCAGCTCGGGCGCCGTCACCAACGGCCTGCACCTCGTCGAGGTCAACGTTGCTGCGTGAGTACATGAAAGTCGGAGACCGGGGGAGTCTGGGCCTGGCCTGCAGCGGATGGAGGCCACGAAAACAAGGCAGTGTCACACGGAGAGGTTCTACAGCTAGACCACCCGCAAATGCGCAACGGTCTGGCGCTAGTTTGCAAACGGCAAACGGCTAGCAGCCTTAGATGATGACCTGCTCAAGGGTCACGTTGAGGAGGACTTGGCAATCGCACACCGGTGCGCGATCACCGTCCCCCTTACCACCCCCCCTTGCCACCCCCCTTGTAGCTTGTTGATCCCTGTCCGAGCTCGCTATTTTCGACGTGACGCTGACCCAGCGCGCACAGCTTTGGCTCCGCCGTTCTCTCCGCCAACAAGCAGTCGAGCGGCCTGTACAACACCAAGAACACTGTCATGGGCGCCTCGACTGGTCTGCGCCAGTACTACCGTTGGGGCATTTACGGTGAGTGGTGATGGCCATGTGTGGAATTTGCAGAGCATAGAGCATCCGGACATGCTTCTTCGCAAGGCGATGTTTGTGTACAATCAATCACGTTGTTGGCGTCTTGGCAGTCCCATTGCGCCACCATTTTCCAGACCGGTGGCGGTATGGCAACGTGTTGCTTCCACCTGTGCACCTGCCAATGTTCCCGTTTGCTGACCCGTAACAGGCGCGTGCGGCTACCAGAAGGACAACTCGGGCATCTGCAACTCGACCCAGTTCGCGTACCCCTTTGAGCCCCTCGCCACGCTCATCTCCGACGCCCCCACCTCGCCCACCAACTACAAGACCATTATCAACTCGATCATCCCCAGCACGGCCTCGGCGTTCAAGAACAACGGCTGGAACCACTCGCTGTCCGTCGTCGGTTCGGCGCTCATCTTCATTGGCAGTATCCTGACCCTCCTGTCGTTTATCACGGGTCTCGTCAAGCACCGCCTGTCCTTCTTCGTGGCTGCCGTCTCGAGCGGTCTCTCGGCCTTCTTCCTCATGGTCGGCGCCGCGATCTGGACCTCGATCATCTCAAAGGACAGCTGGCTCAAGCAGGTCAAGGTCCAGGGCAGCGTCGCGCTCGGTATCACCGTCACCGCCGGTCCTGCACTCTGTAAGTTGCCCCAGCACACCAGTTGTGGCTCGCTCGTGGAAGACGATAGCTGACACGCGGCACAGACCTCACTTGGGTGTCCTTTGTCTTTGTCGCCCTGTCGGTCGCGCCGTACGTCATCTCGTGCTGCACGTTCCGCAAGTAAGCGCCACAACACACACGAGACGAGGACGGGACGGTGAGGCGGTGAGGCGGCGGCGATGAGGCGAGGAGCTGGAGCCAGAACCGCGTTCATGCACGAGAACCGGGGCTCGTCCGCCGTCGAGACGCCGTGCAGCCCTGCGTCAGCTGCATCCGGCTCTCGATGCGCGAGGACGACACTTTATGGAGAACAGACCCAATCTGCGATCTGTGGCGGACTTTATTTCTCCCCATTTTTCCTTTTCTTTCGATTCCTGGGCCGAGGTGGGTGTCGGTTGTGTACCTCCGCCTACCTGGCCAAACCATAGATTTTGTGCCTTCTTGTTTCTTTTTCTGGGGATACCGCTTGATGTATGAGACGATGCGATCCGATGCTCGCGTGCTGGCCAAGGCTTTGCTTTGACTTCACAACTACTGACGCCATTTGAACGCAGTGGGTGCGCAGTGCCGCGGAGCGACGATCACTTGCCTGCCTGGCCCTCGCAGTTCGCGTCACCGTGCCCAGGTCACGACTGCGCACGTTCACCCTTGCCGCATGCTAGAGATCTAGAGAACCCTTCAGCCAAGACTATCGGTTACATTGTATACAGTGTTTCTATGATCTACAGTCGCAGCGCAATGGGAGGAGCCGTCCGTGTCCCGACTGCGCCGCCATCGCTCCTCGACATCGGCAACCTCTCGTTGCCTCCTGTGGCCCTCTCTCGCCCTCGTGCTCTAGAACACCTCCACCTCCTGCTCGGCCCCACAGTCACACCTCTGCACCTGGATAGTCTCGCCCTCGGCGCCGTCCACAATCTCGACGTCCTCGTAGTTGTGCACGTGTTCGGCCTCCTGGCGACGCTGGTACTGGTTGTTGCGGGTACGTTTGCGGAGACTGGATAGTGGCGGTTGTCAGCTTTGGATAGAAATCTCAGAACAACTGGTGCGCGCCACGAGCTACAAGAGCCGAAGACGGATGACTAGCTCGGCACGCCGCGTCACTTACTCTCGCAGGCCCGCCTCAAACTTTGCCTCGCGCTTGCGCTTCTTAAACTCTTCTCTGCGCGCCCACTCCTCGTCCAGGCCCTTTTCGCCGCCCCACTTGTCCCACGCGACTTGCTCGACCTGGAAACGGAGGAAGAGCATCATGTTGGAGTACGTGCTCGCGTGGGGGTTCGGTTTGAGCAGGTGCGGCAGGAGGTCAATGTCCTTGAGTTCTGGCTCGGTGAGGAGGTAGTCCTGTGAATGAGTGGTCAGCTCGAGCCAAAGGGACATGGCCAGCTGGCAGTGCCAATTCGAGAGGACGTCACAGCTTTGCTCGAAACTGGTGCTGAGCTGTCGCAGTCGACATCCCACACGCCACTCTGCTCACCTCCTTGCACTCTGTCTTTGTCAAAAGACTGTACTTTTCCGGCTTCTCCTTCTTGCACTTGTTGCACACCTTGACGTCGAACACCTTGAGGAACTGGTGGTCGATCTCGAGCGAGTTACATACGGAACAGCGGGGCGACGAGTCGGGGAAGATTGCTGGCGGGGGCGTACGGTCAGCAACGGCGTCCAGTCCCGTCGTCACGACCCATCCCAGCATCCCAGCTCATCTGCCTCAGGCAAGTAAACCATAGCTGGACTGGGACAGGTCATTATACTCACGCGGCTCCTCTCCCTCGCGCATCATCTGCCTCTCGCGCTGCTTCTCGCGCGCGAGCTCCACCACGCTCTTGATCCGGTCCCCTTCCTCGTCTTCGGCTGTGAGGAAGCCGCCGCGCGAATTATGCAGCTTGCTCAGGTCGTACTCAAAGTACTTGCCCAGGCGCGGGTCGCGCCGCATGGGGTCGCTGCCGTCCTCTGTCGCGGCGTCCGCCTGCGCCGCGACCATGTTGCGCGCCGTGGTCGGGACTGCGGCGGGCTTGTGTACCAGAGGGTGTGCATTGGCCGACGAGGAGGAGGAAGGGGTCGGAGCCGGAGCGCTGAGTTTTGCTTTTGCCTTGAGGCGGTTGAGCGCTGCAAGACGGGCTTGGGCGGGGTTGAGGTCGGACATTGTGGGATGGAGAGAGATGAACATGGAGATGGAGGTGAGTCATGCGTTGAGCGTTTTGGGTGGCGAAATTGCCTCCGCACAAAAACAACCTTTGGGTGTGGCATCCGCTCTCCCTTCTCGTTCCGCTTGCTGCCATAACAAAACATACTGCATCTACATTACCACATCCCTTTACGCTAAAACAACAGGTCATCCTGGGCACCCGCGCCACGAGGCTTCGGCGCATCGTTACTGTATCCGCCGCCACCAAGGAGGTCGAGGTCGCCGAGGGCAGAGTACGGGTCGTCTGGCGAAATCGGCGATGTGGGCTGCGACGAGCCGCCGCGGGCCGCACCGTTGTCGTTGCCGTTGGACGCCGCCGGGCGAGGGGGCATGTTGGGCGCAGACGAGGACGCGCCGCCACCACCACCACCACCACCACCACCGGAAGACGAGGCTGTGCGCGGCGTAAAGTTCAGACCGCGAGCCGAGACGAGGTGCCTGCGCGAAGACGAGTTGAGAGCTGGCGAGTCGGGCAAGTACCGCGGCTTGGCGGTACGGATGAACGTCTCGGGGTTCTTGTGGTAGATGCTTCCCAGGGTACCGGTGTGCATCAACAGCTGGTCGAGCATGCCCTTGTCCATGCGGTCGGTCTCCGTCGAAATGACAGGCTTGTCGGTGAGGACAATGTCGCGCGCGGCGGCCGGGTTGGACGTGAGCAGACGCCAGTACATGAAACCACGGTCTCTCAGGTCGGGGTTCTCGGCCTCCTCGGTCGCGAGCTTGAGCACCTTGGGGAGCAGTTCTGTTGCTGCGGTTGGGCGACGGATGAAGAGCTTGACAGTAGCGGTGAGGAGGGCGAGCTGGACCTCCGCCGGCTCCTCGCGGAACGAAAACATGAAATCGTCCAGCAACTCGTCCGAGTTTTCGATACGGTCGGCATACTGGCCCAAGATCCAGATCATGGCTGCCTTGGCCTCGGGCTCGTCGAGGACGTCGAGGTTTTCGCACAGCGTGCCAATGACACTCTCGTACTGGTTGGGGTAACGGCGGAAAATGTCCTTGATCACAACAATGGCCTCCTGGACCACATACGAGATCTTGGTCTTCATGAGGTCCAGAAGAGCCATGACACACTGGTCCGAGGCGGCGGAGATCTTGATGGCCAGACGGCCGATCGAGCGGACGGCCTTGCGCACAAAGTCGACGTCAACCTCGGACGCATACTCCTTGAGCTCGGCAAGGACCTCAGTGACATTCTCCTCGCGCGTGAGGCGGTACATGATCTCGAGCTTGGCGAGCTTGACGTAGATGGGGTCGTTGTACTTGCAGAAGAAGACCTTGACCTCGTTCTGGAGAATAGCCGGGCGGCGCTGGATGATGAGCAGAATGTTGCGCAGGCCCACATATTGCACCTCGGATCCGCTCGACAGCAAAGTCACAAGCGGGGGGCCCATCTTGCGCTCGAGCACGCGGATGAGGCTCTCGTCCTCCATGTAGTTCATGAGGTAGAGGATCACCTTGATGGTCGTGAGCACCACGGCCGAGTTGGCGTGCTGCAGGCGAACGGAAATACGCTCCGCGAGCGTCTCGGCGTCGAGCGTCGTCTGCGGGATAAAGCTCAGGAGCGAGTCGAGAATGTAGATCTGACCCCACTCGGAACACTCTCCCAAGGCGGCAACGAGCTTGCCCGCAACAGTCGCGTTGAGGCGGAGGGTAATGTCCGTGGACCGGTCCGAGATCTCCACCAACGCGGCAACGGCATTCGCGACCACAGTCGGGTTGTGGTCTGCCAGCAAGTCGCGGAGCATGGCCACAAAGTTTTCGCGCTCAATCGTCTTCTTGCCATAGTCGCTCGCGTAGAGCTTGGCGACCGCAATGGCTGCCGTCTTGCGCACGTACGGATCCTGGTCCTCGAGGGCATGTCGTAGCGGGTCCACCAGTGACTGGATCACATTTGGCAACGGGATAGAGGACATGGTTCGGATCGCAAGACCACGGATGAGGGGGTTACGGTCCGCGCAGTCCGAGAGGAAGCCACCCAGGGCGTGCGCGACGTCTTCTGGCCGCGACCGGCCGTAGTTGACGAGGTAGAGGTACACCACTGGGCACTGTCAGCAATGGAACGGACATGCTCCCAAACCTACTCTTCTTGATCTCCAGGACCTGAATCTGCATGCACTGCACCATGTCGGGGAACAGGGGCGACACTGTGTATGTGTTAGGCTGGCTGCATCCATGCAGAGCGACCCACTGTCATTGCCCATGGTCATGTTGGCAACAATCTTCTTGAGCGCCGTCTTCTTGCGTGCAAAGCCCTTGTCCTTTTTGTCTCCCGAGTTGCGCAGCTCATCGCGCAGGTCGGCAATCTTGCCACGGGCTTGGGAGGATGTTAGTAACAGACACCACCGTTGGTTGGAACCCACTGAAGAGCTTTGCGTCGGCCATGTTGTTGGCGGGTCACGGCGTGTGCCTCGGGTGTCTGCTGCCGGGGCTGTGAGGGTAGTCTACGCTACGCTGCGCGCGTGCAGTGTGGGTAGTGGGTAAGGGCGAGCCGGGTGGTCGTGGGTGATCGTGAGCGTGGGTGTTCGTGAGCCGGATGGATAAGAAATGGTGTGTCAACGTCGACGTTGTTGCGATGTGCGTCGTGTCTCCCCGCGTCACCGCCGTGCGCGCGCAGAGGGCGGCCGGTCAAGGCCAAGGCACGGACCGCTCCGCCTGGGGAGACGGAGGGGGAAGGGGGCCAATTTGGTTCCGTCGGCTTTCTCCTCTCACCCCTCCTTCCCATCTTGCCGGGCCAGTCGTCATTCTCGACTTTTGTCAGCTACTCTTCATACACAAATGTCCCTCCGTCTCTCCCTCAGCGCCCTCCGTGCACCGCTGGCACGCGCACAGCTCGCCTCCTCAAGCAGGACCTACGCCACCCGCGTCCAGCCTGCGGGCATGGGCGAGGGTGAGCGTGGTATTTGGGACAAGCTCAACTCCCGGTTCCCGGGCACCAGGCTCGAGGTTCAGGACGTTTCCGGTGAGTCACTTCGTCGACAAGACACATGTGCGCTAGAGCTGATCGATCCAGGCGGCTGCGGCTCGTTCTACGCCATCTCAATATCGAGCCCCGAGTTCAAGGGCTTGTCAATGATCAAGCAGCAGCGACTTGTCAACGACTGCCTCAAGGAGGACATCAAGGGTATCCATGGGCTACAGGTTTGTATTTTTTAACTCCCCTTGGGAGCACAAACGACGAGAGAGATATGGAGAGACTGACGGCCTCTAGCTCAAGACCATCGTGGAGGACGCCGAGTAGTCTAATATGCATTGAAAATGTATCGATTCAGGACCACAGATGTTTTTAATCAGTCGCGATGGGAGTACCTGTCTCGGGAGTGCCCTCGGGGGTGTCCTCGGCGTTGGCAGCAGCGGCACCGTTGGCAGCCGACTTGGACTTTTTCTTCTTGTTCTTCTTCTTGGGCGAGGGGCGAGTAAGCATCTCGGCACCAGTCTCAGTGATGAGGATGGTCTCCTCAAACTGGGCCGAACGCTGGCCGTCAAGGGTGACGGCAGTCCAGTCGTCGCGCCAGTGGTCGAGGTTGGCGGTACCCATGTTGATCATGGGCTCAATAGTGAACACCTGGCCAGCCTCCATGCGACCGGGGGTCTTCGAGTTGGCGTAGTGGACAATGTTGGGGTTGCAGTGGAAGAGGTTGTGGATACCGTGGCCAGTGTACCTGCGGACAATCGAGTAGCCGAGAGGCTTGATAATCTCCTCAATCTTGTTACCGATCTCGCGGTAAGGGACACCAGGCTTGCAGATGGCAATGGCCTCCTCCATCGACTTCTTGGTAGCAGCGATGAGGTCGAGCGACTCTTGGTCGCACTTGCCGACGGGGTAGGTGGCGTTCAGGTCGCCGTGGAAACCACCGTGGAACAGAGTCACGTCGAGGTTGACAATGTCGCCGTCCTGCAGGGGACGAGCGTCGGGGATACCGTGGCAGATAACCTCGTTGACCGAAGTACAGATCGACTTGGGGAACTTGGCGTAGTTGAGCGGGGAAGGGTACGAGTCGCGCTCAATGCACGCCTCGTGACAAATGCGGTCAAGCTCGTCGGTCGTCACGCCGACCTTGATGTGCGACGCGACAATGTCCAGAACCTCGCGAGCAAGGCGGCACACCCTGCGCATGCCGTCGATCTCCTCCTTGTTCAGAATCTTGACACCGCGCTCGCGCACGGCCTCACACGCAGACGCGCCCTGGGCTACACAAAGTCAGTCGCCATGTCAGACAAGAACCAAGAACCTACGGTGGTCGGCGTAGTCTGGGCGGGGAATGTGGGAGGGCACCACACGGCGCTCCGACAGGGGGTAGACGGGACGCAGGGTACCAGTGAACGCATAGTTGCGCATGTTGGCAGGGATGGTGCTGCTCTCTGTAACCCTAAGTCAGCACAGGAAGATATGTTTGTTGCCACCACGTACTGCTCTCCTCGCTCTCGGCCGCAATCTTGACGATGTTGTGGATCATCTTGTGCTTGCCCTAGATCGTTAGTGACGTGCAAAGTGCTTTTCAAGGACATACCCCTGCAAATGGTCAGCTCCTATGCCATGCCGCGAACCATCAGACCAAGAACTCACAGTTGGACTTGAAGCAGTCCTGGTCGCAGAAAAAGCTACCATTGATGCCCAGCCTGTCTGTCAGCATTCAGGTAGCGGCACCAGCTCACTTCTTGCAGTTGGGGCACTCGAGGCGCGAGGCCTCCTTGACCGAACAGCCGGCGCAGGTGATCATTGTTGGCGGTATATGATGGTGGCAAAGAACAAAGAGGTTGAATGGCGCTCGCTTGCCCTCGGATCATGGCCGACAAAGAAGAGCAACCCCAAGTCACGTGCAAGGCACGGGCGATGCACGATTAGGATGACCCGAGTGATTGATATAGCAGAAATTGATTTTCAAATTGGCTTTCAAATTCGGGAGTTGACTGACACGATGGGGGGTTGTGGCAAGTGGATTTGACGCCATTGTCTCCCCGACTGAGAACGAGGGGCAACATGCTGCACAGGATGTCTTCACACAGTTCACAGCGTCTGGACGTACCGCTGACAATCTCAAGGAGCACTCGGCTTTCGCCGCTCTCCTCGACTGGTCATTACAAAAATACGTGTAATGAACATTAGGAATTCACTCTAATTCGTGAGGGGTGGTTGAGTGGCTCAACAAATGACGTCGTTGTCACCCGCAAGTTGACACCACAACGTCCCACTCTGCCAGCCATGATCTGCACCGTCGCGAGCCTGGACCACCTTGTCCTCACCGTCCGCTCAATCCCAGCCACAATCGCATTCTACCAGCGACTCGGTATGCGCCACGAGACTTTCAGCCCACCCCTCACGCCAACTCTTGTCCGGCATGCGCTCCTTTTCGGCCCCAGCAAGATCAATCTCCACGAGTCGGGAAACGAGTTTGAGCCCAAAGCTGCCAACGTTATGCCAGGCAGTGCAGACATCTGCCTCCTCGTCAACGAGGATGTGGAAGTTGTGAGGGAGAACTTGGTCAAGGAAGGGGTGGAGGTGCTCGAGGGCGGTGGGGTCGTCCCGAGGACTGGCGCCAGGGGGAAGATTAGGAGCGTGTATGTGAGGGACCCAGACGGTAACCTTGTCGAGTGAGTGGGGTTTGCTATGGCGGGGACCGAGGTTGTAAGCTAAACCTCAGGCTGTCAAACTACGCGGGTCAAGCGGCGGCTTGAAGTCATCCAACATCATCAACAGCAGGTCTCCCATTCATGCTCGTTTGACTGCGTTCCTGATGAACACCCTAATCACTTGTCCTTTATCCGCATTCCGTTCATCCATTCTGAGCTGCTGTGGTTTTAATCCCCATGGTACAATGTAGATGGGATATGTGTTCTGTCAGTCTTGTGGGCTTGTGGACAGGACACATAAAATGGGAGCCATGTCGCCCAGCTCCGACCCACGTCAACGAGAAGTGATGTTGTCATGGGGCCGCAGAGAGCCTCTACCACGTAGTACAAACCCCTACCTCACCCATCCATCTGCACCACAACGACCTGAGCGGGCCGCAACACCGTCTTCCTAATCATCCACCCATCACTCGAGACCTCTACAATCTCCCCGGGCACAGGTTCGCCCCCGTCGGCCCGCTTGGGCGCGTCGGCCGGGGCCACCTGGGCCGTCGCTTCGTGTCTCTTGGGGTTAAACGTGCTGCCCAGTACGTCGCGCATCGGGTGGACCTCGTAGTGCTCCAGCGTCTGGACGAGGGCCTTATTCGTGAGCTCGATTCCGGCGTAAAAGTTGGCCAGGGGAGTAGCCGGGTCAATGGGCTGAGGGACGTCGGCGAGTGCCTTGCTGAACACGTCCACGGTGGAGAGCAGGTCGCGCGCGAATCCCGCAATGGCAGTGTCGCCTGCTTTGGCCTTGCCTTCTTGGATGCGACGGACGGCCGTCTGGTAATCGGCACGCATGTATTGCATTTCTTTCTGGCGGCATGAGCACAGGCGGCAAGGTTGAAGCAGGTAGGGGTGACTCACCGTCAAGTCTGCGATTTTGGCTTCGAGCTCGGCGATCCTCTTGAGATTCTTTTCCTTTTCGGCAGCCTTGGGGTCCTTGGGCGGCTCCTTTGGAAGTTCTTTTCTGGCGTCTTTGTTGGTCTCCGCATCCTTTCCCTCGCCCTTCTTCTCATCCTTTGTGTCGGTCGAGTTACACCTCACACCGACGAGTCGGGTGATGACAGGGAAGCCGCCACGCGCCACCACCGCCACGGGGGCCACACGCCGCGTTGAGGGCGACCACAGCGAGCGAGCGATGCTACGAGGGAACATGTTAGAGCGAAATAGTGTGGGATGCAATGAGCAGAACGATAAGAGGGCGCTAGTTGTGAGTGTCTATTTGATCGTGAGAGACGAAATGACGTCGAAGCAGGCTTGCGACGCTTGCAGAGCATACGGAAATAACCGAGAACATGTCCTCCTTTACTGGCACGGTGACTTTCTAGCATTATCGATGTAGTTAAGGTGAGGATGGTGCCCTACGCGCTTGTTCTGTGCTGGGTTATGTTTACAGCCATTACGGTCAGGCAATTTTTATGGATTAGGTGGTTTCGATATGTCGTTGATCAATAGGCCGACCGAAGGTCGGGCGCCATGGAGGTTCATGGTTGGACAGACCCACCAATGACTCCGCCATTCCTAGGACTGGGATCGCAATACGGGGATCTCGTCAACACTGGGATGTCTGATTATAACCATCCTCAAAGACATAGTCTGTCGTTATCCCTCTTCACGCAAAAGCCGCCACCTCAAGACAGCGGTTGTAGAGTTGACCTCAGGACTCTTGACACATGTAAACGGCCACAAATGTTGACCGTAGGGCTAGCAGCTCGCCCAACGTGTCATGGGCCTCGGAAGTACACAACAAACTAGAAGTCGGTTTGCTGACTCTTTAAGCAGGGTACAAACTTCATGGCCCTCCCTTCGTGGCCCTTCTGTTCTGTATAGGTGGGATCGTAATCATCCATCATGCCGTACGCAGTGCCGTGGCGTCCAACCTTTATGTACAACGGCAGGACTTTACGCAATCAGGTAGCGGCGGCAGCGGTACGGGACCTTGGGCGGATCTGCGGGCCATGGTTTGTGGCATTATTGTGGACTAACTCTCCCCGCCGACCGAACAGTGGTACAGTGACGAGGAGGCTAGTTGGTGTACGTCAGTGTTGACAAAGTGCGGTACCGAGCAGTGGCGTGTGGCGCTGTTTGGGTTGTTTGTGTTTGTGTTTGTGTTGAAGCCTTCTAGAAACCAGTCTCCGTTCTTACTAAAAACCAGTCTTGCCCTGAATATTAGAAACAGGAAGGTAATAAAAGGTAATCGAGTCACAATGTCATTAGAAAAGCAATTTGTGATGGCGGATTGGTCAAATCTGATTGTACATGCATAAAATCGCATTGATTTATTTATTTCCTTTGGTTCTATGGAATTCCAGAAGGATAGAGCATCTCCGATAAGCGGGAGCGATGTAGAGACAGAGTTGCAGTGCATTGAATAACAGCAGTATAGTTAGTTACACGGAGAGTGGGAGAGTGTTGTGACGCGCGCCTCGGGACCAAAAAGCTCATTTTACGTAATGCTAATGTGCATCCGCTAATGACCTTTCTAATGACCACTGGACATCATTAACTTTAATCAGAGTCTTGCTTCTAATGTGCCGAGAGAGACTGGTTTTTAGTACGAACGGAGACTAGTTTCAGCCTGCAGCGAGGATATGGTAGTTACGCTCGACTGCCATCCAGAATATTACAGGACCGCCACCTTCCATATTATCGACAATCGCTACTCGAATGGTTTGCGCGGTTTCCGAGCAAAACCCCCATCCGATGACGCTAATCACACTGAGCCCTGTCGTTCGAATCCGAGGCCCGACAATCGAGGGCCACGAATGGCTATCCGGGAATGCGGGCAGTTGTTGATCAAAGCTGAGGATGCGACAGACCATTATCGACACGAGTAGCGACCGCGGCGAATGGCGATGAGAGAAAGGTGCCTTTAAGGGTTCGAATCTTCGAACCCGCCCACTTATTGAGTCACGCCCCACTGGCCACTGGATTTGGGGCCCACGGGCAATATCAGTTGTTTTTTCTTATCAGCGGTTCAGATGTAGTCGGATACACCTTCACAGCGGGAGATGCCCAGAACACGTGATGATCGTGGCAGAGTGGCAAGTGTGGCTGTGGTGGTATGTCGATGCTCACCCTCTTTGGACCACTGCCTCAAGGCCGCCCGTGGGGCAACCGGATCAATATCACTGCCGCCAGCATCGCCTCTGCTGCCTTGTCATGCGGACACCACATTAGTCTTGTCTACATACTGAGGCTTCGGCACCTGATAGTCCAGCACCGCTCCAACCATGAGGCAGCCGCTTTTAGCTATTGGTACATACAGAGTTACAGAGGCCATGCTATGGATGTATGGTACACGTACACAGGATCTATCCTACGTACAATTGCGCTGCCTTTGCTGATGGTACACGATCTCAAGGGAGTCCAAGATGTAGATGCTTCCTCTGTCTTCGACCTCCTCTCGCTTCCTTCCTTTCTCGAACATGGTCCTCTCGGCCTGGGCCCTCCTCGCCACACTCTGTGACACCCCTAAGCCCTCTCTTCGGACTCGCACTCGGGCTCTGGCGTACCCGGTGGCGGGGGCTCATGCACGCCGTGGCGCTTGAGGTCCTCGCGCATTTCGAGAAAGACGCGCTTGCGAACGCGCAGCATGCGCCTGTTGAGGTCCCAAAGGGCGAGGAGGGTGATCATGATGGTGACACCAAGACTGAGTGGGTTAGCTTGAGGTACCGACAGCGAACCCACACTACATCGCTCAGGATGCGGTCCTCGTCGCCGGCCTTTTCGTCCGTGACAACCACGCCTACGTATACGGCGATGAGCTGCTTAGGTAGCGACAGGAGAAGCGCGGAGATGAAGCGTGGATACTGTTTGTCAGCTATGCACCGTTCTGTCGCGATCCAGCAAGCTTACGTCCAAGCCGCAGACCGCAAAGATGACCTGCGGGGTTAGCATGAACCGCTGAAGCAACCACTCACAGTTGATACATGTGTTGGCACAGCACTGAGCCGCACCAGCCAGGCCACGAACAGGCCGCCTTCCTCGATGACGCGGCTCAGGCAGGCATAGTTGAGGCTCTGGCGGGAGAAGCGGCTTGCCCGTTTGCGGCAGCATGTGCGGAACACGCTGTCGTGGGAGTCAGTCGTGGTCTAGTTTGAATGAGTGAGAAACCCACGTAAAGCTGGCCAGCTCGCCAATAAGCGTACCGGCGGCAACGATGGCGCTGCCGCGCTTGAAGCCCCACACCAGCCCCGTGAGTAACAGGACAATCTCGTTTCCAAACAGAGGAGGAAAGGATAGGACGGCGATGACGCCAATAGGCACAATCCAACCAAACGGCACGCCGCGCACATCGTAGACAAAGGGCATGAGATGGTGAATTATCTGCGGGAAAGCAATGTCAACAATCAAGCCACGTTTTGTTTTTTGGGTGTCACGGCGTCAGGCCGGTGTGACTGAATGGTCGACCAGCCGCCGGCTTTCCCACTCTCTCAAGAGATGTTTGACTCACCTGTCGATGGAAGACTGCGACAAGGCTCACGCCCACCATGAGCAGCAGTCCCAGAGCATACCAGCCGATCCACTCCCGCCTGATCCAGAAGCGCCAGTTACTTGCGCGGTCCCATGTGAGGAGGCCGCGCTCGTACTCTCGCCTCTCGGCAGCGGTGAGCTCGTCGAGGTCTTCGTCGTCTGCCTGTGTCCGGCTTGTACGATGCTGGTGGGAGAGCAGTGGTGTGCGCGATCCGCCACCGGGGCTGCTCGAGCGGGAGGTTGCAGAGGAGCTGAAGCCTGAGAGACCAGACACCCCCGACATGCCCGAGCAGTAGAAGTCGCTCTCGTCGGATGCCGGTACTGTCTTGACTATTGCCCCGTAGTCTTTTGTCATTGTTGAGACTTTGGGCGGGGGAGTGTTTGGTCGATTGAGAGTGGGCGGCGGTCGCAAGTGTGCGGGGGGAGGGGGGGGGCGAGGGGCTGACTGTTGGGTGGGGTTGGGGCGGAAAGGTGCAAACGCAAGCTATAGGCGGGACACTGGGGCGCGGTGAGAGTAGTTGGCGGTATATGTAGTTGTGTAGGGTGCGATGTGGTGATATAGGCGTTTGAGACGAGACAGGTTGCAAGTGTGGGGCAGTGTAATGAGTGAAGACGCAAGCGGCGGTGTGTTGGTTTTGGGTGGGGAGGCAACAGCCGGTGCATTTCAGGGCCATTGGGTGGTCCAATGTTCGCCACCCAATGATCGAGCCAGGCGGCCAACTCCGGGCCTGAGTGAGCCGCGCGGGTTGGCAGTGGCTGGTCGCCACCCAAACGGCCAAAACCAGGATCCTGCTCTCATGTGAGAGCCATGAGAGGGACGTTTTGCACCTTTGCACGCACGCGAGCGGACGCGTCTCGCGCGTCTTTGGTGCAGACATGAGTCGAATGTATCCTGTTCCCTGGGACGCGGTGGACCGTGCAGAGGGCTTGGGTGATCACAGGAAGGATCAACTGGCGCTCGGACCGCTTTCCTTGGGCAGGCACATTGGGGCAGTCCATCGGCCATCGGTCCAACGTTGTGCGGCGGTGGGGATCACACGCATCTTGTGCGCGACGACAACACATTTCTTTTCGCTTTGTCACCAGGTGTTAGCGCAGGCTGTGCAAGGGTTACAGGTTGGAGAGGCTTTGGACTGGTGCTGCCGATGGATTGTTGGCTGGCAAATCCTGTCATTTGAATATGTATTTCATCATCATGACTGGTCGCACCTGGTCGTACATGACCCCACAAACTGGCTTACCTTGCTGTGCAATGCTAATGAATACTGCATAGGTGCAAAAACGGCGGGGGGACAGTAAGAAACGGCCTCGAGTATTGATGTAGTCGTCAAGCTTTGATGGATATATTGTGTCTTATACCGTCACAGTCAGAGAAACACACTATAACTGAACTCGCACCTCCGAACATGTTGTTCTCTGGCATTGTTTGTTTCTCGAGTCTCAGAGAAACATACAATGGGTAACAATCTATCCAGCACATCAGGCTTTAAGGGCCCTTGTGCGTTTCTCAAACCTCACAGCCAGGGTGACGCAATGTGGTCCAAATCGCACCAAACCTCTTGTTTGTGTGCGTTGTCTGTTTCTCGAGTCTCACTCCGATCATGCGCGTCGGGCTTTGGTGGGTGGCCGTCCTGTGATTCTCATACATCACAGCCAGAGAAACACGCTATGGGCCAAAACCTGCCAGAAACCCTCTTATTTGGCTGCATTGGGTGTTTCCCGAGTCTCCGAGAAACATACAACGGGCGACGACCTACATGGGGACGTCAAGCTTTAGAGGTCATACTGTGTTCTCAGATCTGGAAACACACTATGGCCCAAATGGCACCAGCCAACGTCTGCGTTCGGCCCCTAGTGTGTTTCCCAAGCTTTAGAGAAACACACAACAGGCGACGACCTATCCCGGGACATCGGGCTTGAGGCCCATAGTGTGTTTCTCAAACCTTACACCCAGAGAAACACACAATCAAACCAAAAAGTACCCCACGAAGGTCAAGATTACGGCCTAGGTTGTTTCTCGAGTTTCAGAGAAACACAACATGGGCGAGTAATGGCGGGGGTCAACCACTTTTTTGGCGGTAGTGTGTTTCTCGACATCCCTCACTGGATCACTGGATTGACTGGGTTGGTCGGGACGCCGTGCATCGGCTCCTCGGCCGTCTGGTATTGGTGCCGGTTGTTCAAAAAATGGGTCTTGCACGGGATCCGTGGGTGACCAGAGAAGGGGAGGGTGCATAAACCCCTGCGCGAAACGGGCGCTGTCTCTGATCTCTGAGCCTCTTGGTGCATTTGGAACCAGTCCACTGGTATCCACTGGTATCCGCGGCAATGTACAAATCCACGCACCCACGCCATACTCGCCCGTGGCAAGTATAATAAGTACATGCCAGCAGCCACCTGGCTCGACTGGCACACGACGGTCTCCAGTCATCCCACACCTCGTCCATGCCTAGTGCAGCACACAAGTAGCCTGCATATACATCAAATCACTTGCCGACGGATCTAGTTATACTACTGTCTCTACACGTTCTTCCTGTCCATGTTATCGCACACGTGATCATGACACCCGGGTCCCTAGGCAGTACGCGAGAGGGAACCAAACAGGTCGATCGAGTCAATACGCGTCGTCTCGTCACCCTCCTGGTTGTCCTTGACGAGGATGTGCAGACTGCGGACGTTCTGGAAGCGCACGAAGCGGAGGTCGACCTTGTCGCCGCGAATGTCGCTGCTGGACAGCACGAGCTCCTGGGCAGGCTCGTGCGACTCGGCGTCGTTGAAGTCGAGCGAGGTCTGGTTGACGAACAGACGCACTGTCTTGGGAGCCTGTTCGGGGGAGACACCGCCAAAGATCGAGATGGCCTTGATCTTGACGGCCTCGTTGAACTGGATCTGTCAGCTTGGTCCCGGCGAACAACGGCGGACTTTAGCTCACCTGGACAGAAATGAGGAGCTCGGGGTCGACGTCCGACTCAAGGTAACTCCTGCCCTTGGGGCCGGCGTTGGGGCCAATGATGGTGCTGAGGGGGTGCTCCTTGGCCTCACCGAGACACGAGAGACCAGTAGCCGAGACGTACTGGAGGAGCGAGCCCTCGGCGGGGGCAGCGGGAGCAGCAGAGCCGCCGGCAGCGGCAGCCGGGGCGGCGCCAGGAGCAGGCTTGGGACCAGCGTGGGCGCTCACGAGCTGATTCAACTGCTGTGGGTTGGCACCCTTCATCTCGGCCACCTCGCGTCCGCCCTTGATAAACTTGAACGTGGGCATGGCGGAGATACGGTAGCGCGCGGCCAACTCGCGCTGGGCGTCGACATCGATCTTGACGAACTTTGCGTGCTCGTTGCGCGCCGCAAGCTGCGCGTACACGGGTGCGATGGCGTGGCAAGGTCCACACCAGACGGCGTGGAAGTCTGTGAGTAGAGGTCAGCTCATGTGCGCTTCAAGGGGCAAGGTAGCTCGTCTTACTCACCCACAACGAGGAGCTGGGTGGGGGTCAGGCCCTTGACGATCTGGTCAAACTCTGAGCAGCCAGTCAGCAGCAGCACACACGGTCCAGAATAAACAAGCACGTACGGGCCGTAGAGGAGATTTCGGTAACGTTGGCGCTGGGTGCCATTGTGAATGTGGTTGAATGAGTTGAGTGAGAAAGAGAAGATGGATGGAACACGGTGATGACCGACGAGTCTTGTACACACAGCCGGCGAGCGCATTGCGCCATTGGCAGATTACGTCAGGTGCGACAGATGACGAGCTGATTAGTGAGCCCTCCCACGGGTGAATAAAATAAAGTGGAGGGAGGGTTATTAGTGCCGGACAGTAATCGGTCCAGCTAATGTTTTGTATTGCAGGGTTGTGGCAAATCCAACGAAGACGCTGGCAGCTTGTCGCCCAACTCGGGCTGTGGATGGCAAGGACGTCGACACAACTCACCGCCTTGGGGTGGCCAGCACACAGACTGCGTCTACTACCTATATACATACGGAAGCTACCAGACGCTATGACCGCGGTAGTCATGGCTCGCCACCACGGACCAATACATGTGCCCGGGCCCCCTGTGCGCTGTGCTAGGTTTCCAGGTTGGACAGCGTGCACAGGACAAGTGTTGCAGGTTCCACGGCCCGTGTGGTAGGTAGTCCTGGTTCTCTCCCCGAGTGCGTCCCGGTTGTCTTGTCAGTGGTGTAGCTTGATACAAGTGCTGAGGTACTGCATGTCCCCATATCGACACAAAATGGCTGGTCTCTGGAATTCCATTTGCGGAGGCACGATGGTCGCCGTCTCAAAGAGAATCAGAGGCCGAGTTCCACACCGCATTGCGACAACAGACAAGTTCTCTGTCATGTTCGATGTGTGTCTATGCGTGTGAGTCTGCACTCTGGCGGAGCCCGTCTAACCTCAGGAGACAACCCACAGGCCATTGTCGATCGATCTGAGACTCCAGTTTCCTCTTTCCTGTGGTTTTTTGTTTTTGTTTCCAAAAGCCAGCTCCATGCAGCGTGCCCAGACGTCCGCCTGTCCGCTGCCACGCATTCTTAGACTCACATACCTGGTACCGGATGCCACGGTGGCCGTGGATACCGAGTAGCGAGCGGTAGTGGCTTTGGGCTTTGTGATGGCTGAAGCGGAAGGCTTGGGCGTACGCCCAAGCCCACAGCCCACAGCCCACAGCCCACAGTGTCTCGGCCACCACGACAGTGTCATGGCGCACAGGTGCCACCCTGCCGGTCCAAGCATGCAACTTTTTGCAGTCAGCAAAAGAGAAAAAAAGAAACATCTGGGCCGCCAGCGATCATTCTCCCGCATGTACGGAATACGCATGTCGTGGACGTAACAGTCTGAGAAAGAAGGGTCTGCAATGTGTACGAGAAGCGGGTAAGGGAAGTCCAAGTTCCGGGGTGGTGAGATCCTACGGCGCAAAGGCAGCGAGTGCCTTGCGTCCAGGCTATAATTGACCATCGTCCGTTACGTGGTGGTGGTGGTGGTGGTGGTGGTGGTGGTGGGTGGTGGCAGCAGCGTCGGATGCCGCCAGCCAGCTTCCCCCACACAGCGAGTCTGGTACCACCACCGTTCGCGCCAGGCTCACTTGCACGGGGGTTGTCGACACCCCCGGCTCCAGTTCCGGCTGCGAACGGCACGTCGAGGCCGGCACGGCTTCGTGTCCCGTGCCGAGTGTCCGTAGCGCGTACGAATATTGCATCGGATTGAGTTGGGGTTCACTTAGTGCTTGGCCTTGACCTTGACTTTGATAAAGCGCGCTTCAGACCAGCGTCCATTTTCCTGGTTGCTTTCAACGGTTCAAGCGTGTTGGCCGTGTGGGCTGGTGTGTGGCAATGACACGACGTATGCAAACTGATCCAGTGATCCAGTGACGCGCTGCGAGGCAACCCTCGCCATTGCCATCTCCCACTCATGGCCGCGCGAACGCGCGAATACATTCCTTGTTGCGCGTCTCTCCCGCAGATGGGTATCCGAGACATGCTGCAAGATGGTATGCTGCATGGGTTGGGGCAGTAAGCATGCTAAGCAGGCATGGCAGATGTGTTTCAGCGAAGCAAAACACGTCAGAATCCGCGCGACAGCCCGTCCAAAGAACAGAGAACGCGGGCCGCGGCTTTGCCTTGCGTTTTTTTTCTCTTTTCCCTTACAATGAGAGGCCGGGACCAAGTGGGTGGTGCTTGGGTGGTGCTTTGTTGGTGGTTGGGCCGTCGAGACTGCGGCAAACTGCACAGACCGACGACCTTTGAAATGCAGGGCCTCATCAAGGGTCTACCGCCGTTACGACAGCGGTAAGCTCAGTCACGCCGTGGGGATTTGAGGCAGACGAGCTGAAGAACATGGCCATACGAAATGGATGCCGCGGCCGGCTGTCCTGGCACAGGCACGGGGTGAAGAGAGTCGTCCAGCTGCTCTTCTGCACAAACAAACCTTCCCCCGCCCCGCAGCCCCCCGCCTCTATAGTCCATGGTGGCCCCCCTACTTGTCCGAGCTCGCCGGCCGGACTTGCTTTTGCAGGTGTGGGGGGTCTTTTAGTCCAGGGCGGGCGGGAATGGAATTAGAGCAAGACGGTTAGGAAGAAGGTCAACGTAGTTCTGGCCATGGCCGCCAACGACACAGCCAACGGATCCTCCATCACACGCGTGCGCACACCTCAAAATAATCGCAGCCATACCAATAAATACGGTCTGGGTGCACACGGACGGTATGGATGGAGGGTCCACCAGCCGGTTGCCCACACGGGTGCCTTGTTGGCTGTTAAACTTGATTCTGGGTTTGCTCTGTTATTATGCCCTTGTCCTGCCACAAAAAGAAAACAGAACAGCACACCTTTGCGTATTGGGGTCTTGACGGAACTGGCCCAACTGCGACGACTCCATCGCAGCAGTCAATTGACAGGCCGAGAGACGTTGCCTCAGTAGGAGACGTGCTCAAGTGGCGAACACCACCAATGTGTGGCCTGTGGATCTGTCCGTGTAAACATGCCTTGTACAGAGCCGGGGGTCCGGTTTGTTACGACGGTTAGGACACAGAGAGCGTTTGTATTAGCTTGCCTTAGAAACAAAGGTCCCCGCCCCCCCTAGTACAAGCAACAAGCTGCCTTTAAGCTGTGCTTGCCTCTCCCCTCCCACTGGCCACAGTGGTGTCCCTCTTTTTCAGCAACATGGAAAGCGAAATAGATGTTGCTGGCCCCCCCGGTGGCTGTTGGGTGTGTGTCCGTTCCGTCCCTGAACAGCCCGTTACCCTGTGCGCCCCGGGTGGACCCTTTTTGCCGACGCGCGCGGTGCTTGCGCGGGGAGAGGCAGAGCGGGAAACACACACACACAGACAGATGCTCTGCACCTACCTACACACACGGGCCCTCTGGGCCTCTGGGCCCGTGCCGTGACGTGCCCCCTTCCTCTGCCCCTCTGCCCGTCCCCCCTCTGCCCCCTTCCCGCCCAAGCGAGCGCACACACCGCACACCCCTCTTCCACAGCACACTTGTCCTTCTCGTCGTCGCTCTTCGTCTCTCCACCATCCCCCCCTCCTCACTCCCCACAACCACATCCCCCCCCAAGTGCTTCTCGCACTCCTCACTCCCCCCCCCCCTCCCCCCTCCCCTCCCCTCCTCGACCCACCTCTACCCACTCGACCGCCAAAACTCGCCTCCTCTTCGTCCGTTTCCGACCCCCCCGCCCCATTTGTGCTCTGCCAAGCACAAACCCACGCTCCTTGTTCGACTTGTTCCCCCCCTCCCCCTTCGACACACACCTCGCGCCTCTTTCTGGCACGCTCCTGTCGTCGTCTCTTTCGCACCCTACTGTTGTGCTCTCTCGCCACCGTTTTATTCCTGTTCCCTGTTCGCCTACCGACCACCGTTCGTAGCGACGTTCTTTGACCGCGTCGCGCGAATCGTTTCCATCACTCCCCCTCCTCCGTCCTCCACACAGGCCGCGTCTATCCCCCCCGGTTAGACCTCCCGTGTGCATCACCCACCCACGCGCCACAACCTACACATGTTGTCCTCGTTGATTTGAACAACCGTCATCATTCACACCTCTGTCCTTGTTGAACACACTCGAATCTAGAGAGGCCAAACGCAACATGCCCGTAGGCCACGGCCGCCGCATGAGGGGCGGCACCAGCCGCGTGCTTGCCCTTCTCTTCCTCACCCTTGTCGTCCTTGCACAGGTCGCCAACGCCTACCACCAGGTCGGCACTGCTCCCGAGCGCCGGTCGCGTGTTCGTTCGCCCCAGCCCATTGGGTTGGGATACGGCGGCTACAACAAGCGTCAGGCATCCACCGGCTCGTCCACCGACTCGGCAGGTACGTGCACTCTTGAACGGCCTTTGCGCAGCCCACATCACTGACATTCTTTTTCTTTTTCTTTTAGCCTCCTCCCCAGTCGCTTCTGTTGACAACACACCTGTCACAAACGACGCAACCCCCACCGCTGCTGCGGCTCCCGACACGACATCGCCCGCAGCAGACTCCTCCTCGTCCTCGGCGCCCGCCCCCAGCTCTGCACAGGACACAGCACCGGCACAGGCCGAGGTCACAACTTCGTCCACCGACACGCCCGCCAACCAGGCAGCGTCTACTCCAGCGTCTACTCCAGCCTTCACCCCCGAGGTGGCCAGTACCCAGGAGCAGAGCACCGAGCAGACCCAGCAGGCAGTGTCCACCCCTGCGTCCGAGTCTGCGTCTACCCCTAGCTCGGCCCAGGACTCTTCGACTGCGGACCCGTCCACCCCTCAGCCATCGTCGACTACTCCCGTCAGCGACGTGACCACCCCGACGCAGCAGGACAGTGTGTCGTCGGCAGACCAGACCACGCCTGTTGCCCAGAGCACTCCCACCGTTGAGAGCACTCCCACTGTCGAGAGCACTCCCACTGTCGAGAGCACTCCCACCGTTGAGAGCACTCCCGTTGTCGAGACTACCCCCGTTGTTACGACCGCCAGCACTGAGCAGTCTACGACGCCCCAGTCTACTCCCTCGGCCAGCACCGATGACACTCTGAACGAGCAGACCAGTGCCTCGTCGACCGTCGACCAGAGCACCGATGTGCAGACTTCCCAGACCACTGAGGTGCAGACGCCTACCCCCAGCACGACCGAGGTTACCACGACTGCTACATCGACGGACAGCGTGACCACGCCTGAGCCCTCGTCGGTGACCCCCAGTGCAAACGTCTCGGACCCTGTGAACGGCGGAGCTTCTGTTCCCCCCATCACCTCGATCACCTCGGACTCCCAGACGACCCCCGCGGCAACTGAGAACGCCACGACCGAGGTGGTCTCGACCAGTGACTCGACGACTGGCCCGACTTCGAACACGGACACGATCCAGACGACGTTCACGACTCGTTCAGATGCCAACTCGACCCTCTCGGGTGTCCTCCAGTCCATCGTGTCCTCTCTGTCTGTTACGTCGGCAACCACCACTGAGTCTGTGACCACGTCGTCGACGACGGAGTCGACTGCTACCCCCAGCACCACCCCGGAATCTTCAGTCTCCGAAACCACCGTCTCCGAGTCGACGACAACCAGTACCGAGACGCTGATCACTGCGACGCCAACCCCAACTGTGGCCCCGATCGTTAGCACAACGGAGACGAGCACAACTGAGACGAGCACGACGGACACGCCTTCGACCGAAGCAGCATCTACTCCCAACGTGACCAGTGCTACTGTAAGTTTCTTGGTGACGAGGACAGGAGTCGGCTCGTGTGGCTTGGTGTGTGTGTGCAATCGGGATACTGCGGGCCAACACGGCGCGCATCACGGAGGCTGTGCCCTTGTGCCAACCATCGGGACAATCCCTACAACGTACCCACATTAAACACACTTACCGAGCCGATCCTTCTTGCTTGTTCCCTTTGAATACACGCTGACCAACGTCCAGACCACGACAACGCAGACCACGGAGAGCTCGTCTACAACCGAGACGTCCACGACCGAAACGTCCACGACCACGGAGTCGACAACCCCCTCGCCAACGACTACGCAGACATCGACTGCTCAGACGACCCAGGACACAACTCAGCAGACTGTGGCCACGGTTCAGGACACGACCGTTCTCAGCACGAGCACGACCGAGTCTCCCACTGTGTCCTCGACCACAGACGAGTCCACTGTTGTTACCACCCCCGACGACTACCCAGTCTACAACCACGACTACTCAGTCTACACAAGACCCTGCTCAGGTGGAGGTCTCGACGAGCAGCACTGATGTTGTCTCTACGTCAACTACCGATACCACCACTGCCGTTGTCGTCACCCCCACGACTAGCGAGACGCAGGTCGACCAGACTGTTTCGTCGACGACGACTGAGCAGCCGTCCTCGTCCACGGACACCCCCGTGGTTAGCTCCTCAACCACGGACACCCCTGTTATCTCCTCGACCACGGACACCCCCGTCGTCGTCTCGACCGCCAGCAGCGATGCCGTGCAGCCCGAGCAGACCGTCTCGTCAACTACCGACGTTGTCTCTCCCACCGATGTGTCCCAGCCCGAGCAGACTGTTTCGTCAACCACGACTGAGCAGCCCGCATCCACCGAGACCTCCGTTGTTGTCCCCACCACGGACACCCCCGTCGTCGTTTCGACTTCCTCGACTGAGGACGTGCAGCCCGAGCAGACCATCTCGTCAACTACCGACGTTGTCTCTCCCACCGATGTCGTGTCCCAGCCCGAGCCGACCGTTTCTTCGACGACTACCGAGGAGCCCGCATCCACCGAGACTCCTGTTGTCGTCCCGACCCCCACGACTGATGCCACGCAGCCGGAACAGACTGTGTCGTCCTCGACTCAGGATGAGTCGTCCGCTACCGAGCCCCAGACTGTTCCCTCGACCGAGACTCCTGTGTCTACTCCTCAGGTCGAGCCCACCACTCCCACTGTCGAGCCCACTGTTGAGCCCACTGTCGAGCCTACTGTTGGTACTGTTGAGCCCACTGTCGAGCCCACTGCCTCGCCTACCAGCGTTGAGACACCTGGCGCCACCGACGTTCCCGTTGCGACCGACGTTCCCGTCGTCAGTGGCGACTCGACCACGCCCGAGCCTACTGTTTCCACCGAGGTTCCAGTCGTCACTGGCGGTACCACTACCACCGACCTGCCAGAGGTCACCGGCGGCACCACCGAGATTCCCGAGGCCACCGGCGGCACGACTGAGGTCCCTGTCGTCACCGGCGGTACCACAGAGATTCCTGAGGTCACTGGCGGTACGACCGAGGTTCCCGTCGTCACCGGCGGTACCACAGACCTGCCCGAGGTCACCGGTGGCACGTCGGAGGTCCCCGTCGTCACTGGCGGCACGACCGACCTGCCAGAGGTCACCGGAGGCACCTCGGAGATTCCTGTTGCCACTGGCGGCACCTCGGAGGTCCCTGTTGCCACTGGTGGCTCCACGGAACTTCCCGAGTCCACGGGTGGCACGCCGACGATCAGCGGCGACCTTCCTGTTGAGACCGGCGCCACTACTGGAGCTTCGACTGTCACTGGTGGTGCGACCGGTCAGGTTACGGACTCGCCCGGTGACACTGCCACTGACGAGGCCACGGCCCCCGGAACGACTTCTTCCACAACTGTCAACACGGACGTTTACACGCCCACCGCTACCGACCTTGTCATGGCCACTACTGTGCCGGTGACTGCTGCCGCCGAGGGCCAGACCACCGACTCGACTGCGGCCCCCGCCACTGCCACTCTTGGCAACATTCCGATGATTATTCTTCCCGTGACCACTGCCTCGCCCGAGGAGACTGCGCAGTCGACTCTGGTCTCGATCCTGCTCAACCGCAACAGCTACCCTTGGCCGTTTGTTACCAACAACGCCAACGCGAGCTCGCAGCTGTTCCGCAACTTCCCGATCCTTATTTCGAACGCTCTCGGCATCGACGTCTCGCAGGTCCCCTCTGACAGCCTCGAGGTGTACCAGCCGGCCAACTGGGACGGTACCGACTCGACTCTCGGCACCCAGTGGCTCGGTTACATTCCCTCGGACCAGTTCAACACCCTTGAGGCCTACGTCTCCACCAGCTCGTCGCCCCTCTACAACCAATCTGGTCTTCCGGGTCAGCTTGCTGCGCAGATTGACCCTTCGTACCCGCTCAGCTCCATGGCGTCGTACAAGGCCAACGCCCAGTCTGGTTCGAGCGGCGGCAACTCGTCGAGCACCCGCAAGCGTGACATTATCATTGGTGTCTGTGTCGGTGTTGGCGGTCTGCTCTGGATTCTTCTCGTCTACTGGATCTACAAGCGCGTCAAGCGTGCGAACGAGCGCGTTGTCAACAAGCGTCTGTCAGAGCACATGTCCATGTTCTCGGGCCGCACTGGCGACAACCCCTTCGCCGACGAGCGCCGCCACTCGAACACGCCGTCCATTGCCGCGTCGGAGATTGACGACCGCCCGTCCTCGTTCTACGCCAGCCCGCTGGACAACTACCCCGCTATGCGTCGCCGCCAGGTCGAGTCGTACTACACCGACCAGGCTGGCGTGGGCGACACGTCGCCTACCCAGCAGTCTCACCACATCAACTCTGTGTTTGGCTCCTCTTGGTTCCACAACACTCAGTATGCTGCCGGTAGCGCTGCGGGTGCGCCTAGCGGAACTGGTTCGGTCCCAGCCCAGCGCCAGAGCGGAAACCCCTTCGACGACGTCTACTCCCGCACGTCACCCACGTCGCCCCGCATGTCTGCTCGTCCTCAGCGCCGCTCGGTGCAAAAGGACATGATCTCGCAGCCGACTCTGCAGGGCAACTCGCTCGAGTTTAACGAGTACGACTACAACCGTTAAACCGTCTTTGCGGGCGATGGTTTCTACCACAACAGCGTGCCACGCTGGCGAGGCGACGCTACCTCTTTATCATCACGGACAATGACATCAAACCCCCCTTTCTGCAAACCCCTATCATAGCGGTTTCCACACACACCCCTCCCCCCTCCCTCAACCTCTTCAAACCTCTCTCCCTCCCACCCGAACACCTCCGCGTTGGCAGGCGCGACACCCCACCCCCATCTTTTAGTTCATTTTTGCATGGCTGGCCATCGTAATCCCCTCCTCTACCCCGCTTTCCCTTTTGTTAGGTTCTTCGGATGCGATGCATACTGCGTCGTATAGACTCTTTTTTTCACCAAACAAGCCCACCCCCCCTCCGGTTCTTTGACTTGGGCTCTAGACTAATTGCTCACGGCGTGACTTGGCTGTGGGTTTGGCAGCGAAGCTGATCGTGAATCAGAGTGCCACCGTGGCCGGCGTCTGCGGTCTTGCCTAAAAGCACGTCGCAAGGCGGTCGCCACAGTCTGGCGTGTGTACTCACTCCACCCTGCCGACTCCACACCAAAAGGAGTTTGACCGCGAGACGAAGGAGCATCGCAAAATGCACATCACAGGATCACAAGCTCCGACAATGCGCGTGGCATGGCGTGGCCCCGGAACTGAGTAAGGCCAAAGTGAGCACGCACAAACGCGTCGTATACCCACCCACCCACCCACCCACCCACCCGGCCTGCACCTGGGCCGTGCCTTTTCCGAGTCGTCGCGTGTCCATGGTCTGGCAGGGCCAACAGGGTGTCAGCCAGATGGCAGCGCCAGAGGGCTGGAGGTCGTCAGAGTGCGCAAGTCCAGAGTGACGATCGCAGTCGGGAGGGCACACTACATAGTACAGTACATACAGTCCACACCCCGCGTGGCGAAAACCGGGCCCACGAGGACGTAAATGGCCGTTTCTGGTATGGAATGTTCAGGACCGGGGACACCCTCTCGTACGCTTGACGAGGCTGGGTCCGGCGGTCGGGGCGCGACATCCCACGGGTGAAGAGTGTAGGTACACACGGATGACATGAAGGTGTGCAAGCTGTGTGCTCTGTGGCAGCACGAGGCAAGCGACGCACGCCCGTTTCGCATAGTTTCTGTTTCTCCCGACCTAGCCACTGGAGTGTGTCCCTCGTCTCAGAACCGGACAACCCATTGTTACTCGACCAGCGAGCCACCGGAGGAGAGGAGGACCTTTTGTCTGGGAGATTGACTCTGTGACCCCGCCATGTATGTGCCCAGATTACGCGATTGTCTGGTCTGGTCTGGTCACAGTGCCTGCCACTCTGACCGGACCCCGCCAATGTCACCAGAAACTCTAGACACGACGCCACGAGACCCGTGAGATGAGATGAGATTCGAGGTGGAGATAGAGCCCACGAGGCCGCTTGGCTGTTCTTGGCGAGTGAGGCACCTGGGTTGTCGCCTCTGAGGAGCTAGAGCGCAGTGCATTCGCCTTTCAGCCATGTCATGATGTTCTTGCTCATGCTTTGGTTTGGCCCTCTGCTTCAACGGTGACAACAACCAAGGGTCGTCGTTTTGTTCGCCAAACCAAACGACATGTTTCCGTGGTCGCATTCTGGCCCAGTCTCGGCTTGAGCGGTCCGATTCCGACGGAGACGGTGTCAAGGTTATGCACGGTTGGGTTACTACTGGGACAGCCGTGCATGTGGAGCCTCATGACGGCCCACGACCACGCTGACTGCGTTACTCCACCTCACGGCAGAGGTACTGATCGGGCGGCGACCATGCCGTGTATCGTATCGCCTCGGGTGTCGGCGGAGCCGGAGTATGTACGCGAGTGTGCTACAACCCTCACCCTCGTAGTCTCGGGGCAAGTGGGGAACAAAGAAGAAGCGCACGAAGCTCAGAACTCTCATCGTGCCAGAGATTCAGAGAACGGCGCGCCACTGACGAGGGATGGATCCCAGCTTCCCAGCCCATCATTGTTGGGTGATCATGGGTGACTGACTGCCTGGGAGACAGGCCGCCACCCCATCAGTGGCCGGATCAGTGGCGGCCGTACGGAATTCGTGCGGCTACGCCTCGCAACCAGCGCCATGCGCTTATGTGGTAAGGGACGCGAGAATCCAAGAACTTGGCTCTCGACGCGAGGGGACACGCGCAGCGGGCCGCTCATGGATGCCAGGTGCGTCAGATACAGGTCGACAGATACAATGCGGTCTGTCAGGTGCGTGGAGCACGAAGCCTGTTCAGTCTCACCTCGGGTGAGGTGACTTGCAGGTGCGGCGTGTGCCGAGACAGTCCCCATCACGCAGGCCAAGGTCACAGACTCGTTTCGAACCCCTGGTCGACAATGGCAGCGAGCGCCATGGCCTGGACGTTCAAATCGCAGTGCCTCATGCACACACAACTCTTACCCACAGCACACAGTGCGCAGGAACGAGTGGTGGCCGCCAAGGCCATACTGACGGGCTGTGAGGCGGTCGCGATGACAAGGTACGGGCCAGGCAGAGGTTTCCCTGGTCTGTGCATCTCTTCAGCCAAGATTAGGGGCCCACAAGACCACCCAAAATCTCATTCTGTGGACCTGCAGGAAAAAAAAAAAGCAACAATACAGCACCGCAGGCGGCGTTTTCGAGGCGATCTGAATGTGTGCTTTTCGCACTGCGAGGTCCCTCGATTCATCAGCCCTTGTGATGATGTTGGGTGGAAGGATGGCGCCACGCGCCACACAGAAACGCCAAATGACGCCCGAGAATGCCAGAAGAGATCCGAAGCGTTCTATCCCTGGCCACCTGGGTTCTGGCTTGCTTGACCGCTGCTGTGTGGGCGCCGTGTGGGATACAGCAACGATACTCTAGGTTCTCAGCTGGGCGCCGTTGAATGGAGAATGGAACATGTCGTACAGACCCCGTTTTCCGACGCGGGCACCGAGCAGTTCCGTGGCGCCCCAACCCGTCCAAACCCACCAGACCAACGGGCCGTCGGGACTGTGGGTTAGACATTCCCACAAGCCCAAGTGACGTCGACCGGCCCCCGTGTTGAGAAAGAGGGATGTGCTGTGGAGCGCACGACGTTTGTTTCCATCACCCCACCCCTCGTCTCCGAACGGACGTTTACCTCGACGTGCGGCGTTTTCACGGCGCCTTGAAAACGCATGTCAAGCCAGCCAGCAAAGGGCGCAGCAGGTACCAGTGTGTGGCCCTCGCACGCCCCGCAGACGTCGTCAGCCATGAGTGCGAGGGAAAGGTCCTCAGAGAGAGAGAAGGACAGAAGACGAAGTTGGAGTGTGGCAGATGTCGAGCCGCGTGTGCGCCCCGACGCCTTTCGCCGAAAAGCCTCTGTGGGCCCGACATATCCAGCAAAAGCGAGGGCCAAAAGATAGTGTTGTGGTACCCTGACATCAGAAGGCGGCAGTGTAAGGCCAGCGACATCGTGAATACACATGAAGCAAGCTCCAGAGGTGATTCGGGCGAGGAAAGATTGCTTGAGAAGAAAGGGCCGTAGCCCGATAATGCTTCTCACAGCATTAAGAACAGATACTACACATGATCTTAGCCAAAAGAGGCCAGAGAGGATACAAGGAAGGTATCCAGATGTCGAGAAGGTCACGAACGAGCGGATTTTGGAGGTGAAAAAGAGTCAAAGGCGTGTCGGAAGGTTTCGGCCGGTGGGGCGTTCCACCAATGGGCGCAACGCATTTTGAGGTTGTTTCGTTTTCGATTCACGCTCAGGCCATGTTTGGACGACATGTATGTGCTTGCGCCGGCGGCGAGTTGTGGATTCCTTGGATTGCGATGTTTCTAGCATGCGATGTGAAGGCAGGTTTACGCAGAGACGGTGAATGAGAAAATGGGCAATAAATGGCGAAAAATCGGCATAAATACAGGACCGTACGTTCAGGCGGTGCCACAGAATGTGCAGCTGCTGCAGACTACTACACGGTGTACCCGAGTGTAGACGCTACTAATGAGGCTGCGCTACTAATGAGGCTGCTTGGCGCAACACAGGCGTGAGTGGGTGGGTGTAACGTGACCATGGACAGTGACCTGGTATCTTGTGTATCCGTTGCCCGAGGCAAAAGTGGCAGGGAATGCAACGCAGCAAGTTTGTTTGGTGCAACATGTATATGCTATTTGCATGCAGGCTACAGTACAGACTGCAGATGACTACAGCCGCGGGGAGGTCTCCGCTATATGAGTGTGAAGGTCTATTTCACACCGGGGTTGGGTTGGGTTGGGTTGGGTGGGAAGATTGTGTAGTAAATATGGTAATGGATGGGAGGCTAGTGTCTTGTATGTCCGTGGCAAAAAAAAGGAAGAAAAAGTTAGGGGGAGGAAACCGTAAGGGATACAGCGCGGGGGTGTGTGCTGTGCTGTGATGGGCAAAAGCACTGGCGGCCGGCGCCATGGGATCTGAATGTGCTTGCAGCAGTAGGGATGTATTATGCGCTGGGAGCGTGGATGAGTTCCGGAAGAGGCTGGAGCTTGCCGGTGCCGACGAGCATGCCTTGGCGTCCGTAAAGGTTGGCAAAGACGCAGAGGTTAAAGTCGGCAGTGGTGACCATGCGGTCGACGACGGCACGGATCTCGTGCACGAGGGGCTCAAAGCCGAGCTCGGCGGCGAGCGTGGCTTCGCGAGCGTGGCCCTCGGCACGGGTGAGCTCGAAGAGCTCGCGGGCGGCAATGACCGACGCCGCGTCGGCGGGACGGTGGTACTTCTCGCGAGGGTCCGTCGTGGCGGCGCCCTGGCCCGTGAGGGGCTCGGAGAGGGCGACGAAGCGGCGAGCAGGCACGCGAAGGCGGACCGAAGTGGGGATCGACTCGCCGCGGGTGCACGGCTTGGAGTCGATGCCGCGCGTGTCGTACAGGAACGACTCGGGCTGCACGCGGTGCAAGAGGAGCGTGTTGGTGAGCATGGCGTAGACGAGCTTGCGGAGCGAGCCAAGGGCCGAAAGGTAGGCTGGGGCATCGGGACGCGCAATCTCGTTGGCGATGAGACTGTCAAAGTCCTGGGCGAGGCTGTTGACAAGCTCCACATCGGCCTCTGAGCGCGGCATGGCGGTGAACACGCCGCGGGCAAAGACGATGCGGTGGGCCATGTGGAGGCTGAGGTCCGAGGGGCAGTCGTCGGCGGAGCGAGCAATCGCGAGGCCATTGCCGAGGGTCATGACATGCTTGTAGTTTTCACGGACCTGGGCGACCTGGGAGGCGACTTCGTCAGAGGTGGCCTCGGGGTTCTGAGCCATGTACTTTGTCTGGAAGGCTGAGAGAATGGACTGGGCAATGGCAATGTCGACCATCTCGGCGTGGAAGTTCTTGAGCCTGCACGAGTCCATCTTGAAGACCTCGGGCACGACAACCTTGGAAGGGAAGACGTGGCCTGTGACGGGGGTACCCGGGCGGCGCGAGGGGACAATGGGTGGCCACACCTCGGACGACTCGACCCAGTCGCCAAAGACCAGGTCAATGAACCCGTCCGAGAGCGAGCGAATGACAAACTCGGTGTTGGACGAGCAGTCACACTGACCCATGATGTGGCGACGCTCGCGGGGCGAGGTGGCCATGGCCACGCGCTTGGACGCTGCGTTGATCCAGCCATACGTCTTGGAAGTCTCGAGGGTGCGGTGCGCGGCAACGAGATAGTTGATAAACGTCGTCATCTCGTTCTGCTCTGCCTGCTGCCAGAGGACGCCCTTGAGCGACTGGACCTGGTGGTTGGCAATGTCGAGCTTCATGACCTCGACGCAGTCAAAGCACTTGCGCAGGCCCGACACGACGTCGGGCTGACGTCCGTCCAGCCCGCTGGCAGTGGCGACCATGTCATCGACCATGGCGTCACGAACCGGTGCACAGTGGACCTTCATCGCCTCGCCAATGACGCGGAAAATGTTGACGTCAAAGTTGCCGCGACGGACCTGGCTGGTGAGGAACTCTGCGTCGAGGGCGGCGAAGAGGGTAGGCACGAGCGAATGCGTCACTGTGGGGCAAGCCGGGCCGTGAGCCGACTGGACATCACGGTTCATGGCGTGGGCGTAGTGGTTGACGCACGGCGTGGTGGACGCCATGAGCGACTCGAGGATCTGGCGCAGGGTCTGGATGAGCTGTGGGAGACGGCTCGGCCACGTCGCGCGCGACTCTTTCCACCATGCGACCTCGCTCATGTTCTCCTTCCAGCGACCGCAGATGCAGTCCTTTACGCGGCCGTCGACGTCCCAGCGCATGCAGCGGCAGCCGTACTCAATCTCGGCGCGCACACAGTCCCAGTAGCGGTTGGTCGACTCGCACGCGGGCGAGGGGTGCACGATCTGGGAGCGCATGGTCGAGAGGAGGCCATAGCTGGTCGACGAGTAGGTGATGGGCGTGTGGATTGGCCGGAAGCCAAAGTTATCAAAGAGAAGGTCGTGCCTCATCTGCGGAAGACGAAGCACCTCGTTTGTGTCGAGCACACGCAGCGAGCGCATGTTGACGGGGGGCTCGCGGGCCGCTGCCATGAAATGGTCCTGAGCACGGCCACGGATCTGGCGCATGATGCGCTCGTCTTGGGCCTGCTCGGCCGCATCCTGGGCCGTCCACATACGCATCTTCTTGCGCGGCGTACCGCGAAAGTACTTTGCCGCACTCCTCGCCGCGTACATGGCGCTCGGTCGGTGGCTCTCGGGCGGGTCAGACAGGGACCGTGCCCGCTTGAGCGCCACAGGCTGGTAGACCTGGGCGACGCGGTATGGGCTACCAGCCTGTGAAACGATCCTTTCCATCGGTTTGCGAGCGTGGCGTACCCAGCCAGGTTCACGGGCGGCATGTGTAGACGACAAAGTGGAGCTTGTTCCCTGCGTAGACGCCACTCGGTCGAGCGGCTTGCAAGTCAGGAGGCTAGGTTCCGGAGTCGGTGTAGTGGGGGCCACTGTCGTGGGTCCTGGTCGCGAGCATGGCTCCGCAACGGGTGCGGGGTCGGTGCTTGCGACAACGTCCATGGCCGTGCTGCTGGTGCTGGGCACGACATCGACGTCCATCATGTGGCGCAGCTGTTCAGACGACGAAGGCGGGCTTGTCGGACTGCTTCGTGCGGGCTTGGGCGCAGGTGCTGGAGAAACAAACGGGGTGAACATGTCCGAGTCGAGGGCGCCCGAAACATTACGCCGCGCCGCGGTCTGTGACGACTCGGCGTGGGCTGGAGCAGTAGGGAGGCTGGGGGAAGGTGCGAGCTTTGGGCTCGGGGGTGCGCGCGAAGTCGAGCAGTTGGCGGGGAGCATGTTGTTACCGCTGCCGAGCGTTGGGCTCGAGTGGGTAGCTGCACGCGGGTCGGTATCCTGCGAAGAGCTTGGGCGGTGTCCCGCCGTTGGTGGCCGCTGCTGGGAGAAGGCCGACGACGACGACGACGAGGCGCCGCGGTCAAAGTAAGGGTCGGTGTCCATGGTGTGTCAAAAAGACAAAGAGGTGGGGGTGGTGGACGATGGAGTGGGGAGGTTGGTTGTTCCTTCTGTGCAAGTTGCCCGAGTGGCGCGAGGTGCGTTTTAGCCTCGTGGGATGGGCGAGTGAGGGGATGCCGAGAGAAGAGAAGAAGCACAAAGGCGCGCGATCACAGATGGGGAAAAGGCGATGGTCGATCTCCGAGTGCCGACGACAGAGACGTCAGAGGCGGACAAAGTGGCCGAAGGCTCCTTGGGTTCGCACCGTTCTGATGGGATTGTGGCCTCGATTGGTGTCGCGCTCAAACGAGAGGGTGGACACGGTAGCACAGGATGATGGTGTGCAAAGGGAGTCCGTCGTCGTGTTCAGGAGCGAAACACGGTGCTCGTGGGTAGTTGCCACCAGGAAAATGTCACGCTTTCGGGGTGAACTTGGAGGGCTGGTGTGGCGGGGGTGTGTGAGAGTGAGACCGGTGTGTGCGGGGCCTGTCGGGGGAGGGCGTGAGCAAGGGGTATATGGATGGTGGGTAAGGACGGTGGAGTAGAATGCGGTGGGGGTTGGGGACGGGGCTGCGCACCTGTGCTCTGATGAGGACCAAGACCGATGAGAGGGACTACGGCTGGTGTACACGGAGAGTCAATGAGCGAAGGGGAGAGGGGGGCACTGTCCGTCGAGGAACGTGCTGGTCACTGCTGCGGCCGTGTTGTCGTTGTCGTTGTCGTTGTCGAGTCGAGGGGGTTTCAAGGTTCCCGGCAACACGGAGAGAGAGGGAGCGGAGGGTGTGGGTAGTGGTATCGGGGAAGGGATGCCGTTGAGAAGAACCCGGGGGAGAGAGGGGTTGTCTGAGACCATCAGTAAGAGCGGCGCGCGCATGGCGGATGACAGAATCCGGTGGGTGGTTGATGGGTGATGGATGGGTGATGGGGGGCTGGGGTGGCTGTGTGGGGTACTGTATGCACGCGCGTGCACACGGTCCAGGCAGGGACGATCGAGAGGGAGACACGAGAATGAAGCCTGCCCCCCGCTGTTACCGGTGACGAGAACACTCGACGACCATGGTATATACGTGGTACGCAAGGGGGAGAGGCGAGAGGGGGTGGTCGCCAGCAAGGGGAAGGAAGCACTTACCAGGGCCGGAGGTTATCGACGACTGAACAGGTGGTGGGGGTGGTGGTGGTAGGTGATGGGTTGGTGATGGGTTGGTGGGTTGTCCTGCCCGCGTGAGTCTCATGTCTTGTCTTGTTATACATATGGTGTGCGCGAGAGAGTGGTATGTGTGTGTGTGTGTGTGGTGCGTGCATGCACAAAGAGGGGGGGAGACACCTGCCGCATACCGCGCCGGGTCCCGATGGTCTCCTAAGAGCGCTCGATCTCCGCATGCAGAGTCGTCATAGCCTCGTTGTCTTAGACTGGGCCATTATAAGAAAAGCCTGCCGCGCGCACGCGCTGGCGTGACAAGCGCCTAGCTGGGACGTGGGTGGAGATCGAGGCATTCATGACAGACGACCCGTTTTTGGCTGCTGCCGCCTGCACACTCTTTCCTGGAGCGGCGGGTGTGGCCCACGCGGGGGTCTCTGCTCGACTCATTTGCACAAGAGCGCCTCACGCCACCATCGATGCGGCGTACGCGCGGGGGTGGTGGTGGTGGTGGTGGTGGCCGTGGTGGTATGCGGTCTTGGAAAAACACAGAGAGAGATCGGAGACGAGCAACGGCTTTCATCCTGCCCAGGGAAATCTGGGCTTTGGCGCACACGCACAGTCGCCGTGACACAATCACACAATGAACAACCCATGGCACAAGGTTTGCCCAGCAGCAGCAGCATGTGTGTGGGGTGGGGTAGTAGGGCACAATGCACCTCGTGAGACCCCCCTATACACCACAATGCATGGACTGCTCGTGCAGAGTGGAGCGGTGGCGGGACAACGGGGAGCGAGTGGAGATGGGTGGAGAGGAGGGACCCATCGCGGGGCGGGGGGCGGGATGACTTACCTGGAAGCCTTTAGGTGGAGGGGGGGATGATGGAGAGTGGGGATCCCAAAAGAATAGATGGTGTCGAGAACCGACGGTGAGAGGGCGAGGGAGAGGGAGAGGAGATATAGGAAGAAGAGAGAGTCGAGTAGTTGGGAGAGGTAGAGATAGTCGAGATGAGGAGGAGGGGGAGTGGAGAGGCAGAAATGTTGTACGACTGGAGACTGGCGAGGGGGTGTGGGGTCTTGTGCGTGCAGAGGAGGCAGAGGAGGAGAGGGACTGGAGAGAGAGGGGGAGGGGGGAGGTTGGAGTTATAAGCAAGGAGAGTACATCATCTGTCTGAGCGTAGCATGGGCGGGGACGCTCTCGCTCTGCTGTCTTGTGCGTACCACGATCGCCGCCCCGCTCGGCCGGCCGCGCGTATGAAGAGTGGACTGGTGCAGTTCTGTCTCTCGTAGCTCTGTAACAGCAGCAACGTCTCTCTCGCCGCCTCCCGGAACGCCTTTTGCGCGCGCGCACCCAGGGAAAGGAGCAGAAGAGACGCTGCCCTGGGGATCCTGTTCGTCGCCCAAAAACCCCCTTTGGTGGCTCCCCTCGCTCTCGGTGGGTCGTCCCTCTCCCTCGCTCTCGCTCTCGCGCGCTGCCCTCTGCTGGGATGATTCGCCCTGGCGGTGGCTCACTCTCATTCCCGCAATTACATACAGTATCACGGCCTCTTATGAACGTTTGGTTTCGGCTGAATCGCACCACTCAAACCCCCCCCCGCCAGGCGACCCTTGGCACCCCTCTCCTCTCCTCTTCGGCTGCCTAAACTCCCCCCCCCCCCCCCCCCCCCCGGGCAACCCCCGCCACCATGCATCATAACGCGTGCGCGCACGCGCATGTCCGTATGCGCAGCATCATCATCGGCGCCGCCCCCCTCCCACCGCGGCCCCCTCATAGTCATCAAGGCTGGCCATGGCTGGCACATACTTTGTAAGCCGCCCACGGCTGATGATACTCCGCGCCCGCCGCTCTCGCAAATGGCTGTGCAAATTTAGGAACCACTCTTGTTTTTTTTTTGGCTTGTCTATTCTGCCCGCCCATCTTCGGTCGTCGTGTCGAGCATACGCCGCCTGTCTCGGTCCATCTTGGATTTGGTCGCAAAGACAAAGGACCGTGCGTATGTATGCTATGCTGGCTGCGGCTAGCAGCGGCGACTGCGGAAAGCCAAGCACAAAGTTGGGCCGCTTGGTCGCGTAGAGCGGCCGTAAAAAGTGGCATGTCCCACACGCACCACGCACCACGGGCCACGGGCCACGGGCCTCTTCCGTCTGCTCTACTTTGGAGCCTGAGCCTGAGTCTGCTCACCGAACAAGGTCGGAGGTTAAGCCTCCGAGAGTGGTCTCTTTGGCTCTGTCAGCATACAGAGTTCTCTTGCGTATACCTCCTCGCCCTGAAGTGACCGAGCACGAGCAGTCCGTTCTTCGGGCTTGTCGTCGCTCTCGTACAGTCATGCCGTAGTTTTTTAGTCTTGTCGCGCGCGCGCGCGTCACGGCCGGCCGAGGCACCGGCGTGCCGGGGGCCTGACCTGGTAAACGCTGGACGCGAAGAAGGCTCTTGCCTGACAGACATGACTGGAGCAACGACGATGAAGGGGTGTGTGCGGCCCATGTGCCGTTCTGTATAAACCCAAGAAACCTCGTCCAGTCTCTTGTCACGGTCATCCGCGGTATCCGTCCATCGTCCATCGGGACGCGCGGGTCGGGAGGCGACCAGAACAAAGCAGGCCGGGGAACTGCAGGCACCAAAGGAACCCAGTATCCATCGATGATGACACAGTAGCAGTAGTAGTCCCAGTACTAGTGGCACTGACATTGCTCGCGAGCCAGCAACGGCACGAGAGGCGATGCCTTGTGGAAACAACACAAGCCTGGACTCTACGAACCGCCGTGACACGTCTGGCGCGGGCTCGGTGTCCCGCCAAAACGTTCTACGCCTGTCCCACCGCCATCCAACATGCACTCCAATGCATCTGCACACGGGCACGGCCTGGCCAAACTGCAGCACGGCGTCTGGTTGAGAAACCCATTTCGCAGATCAGATCTCGGTGTACGCACTTGGCCCCAGGTGGTGCCTCTACCGCTAGAGCACCACCCACACCCCCTCCGACGGACGGCGTACACGGTCACCAGTGGCGTCCAAGGTTAGGACCATGGCCGAGGATGACGGAGGTGGGGGGGGAGGGAGGCGTTTGGGGTGAGGCCACAGCGGCGAGCACCGCTGCAGCGCTGGCAGGCTGTAGGCTGATTGTTGGGATCTCTGTCGGTCTCGGAGTGGCGGACGTACGTGCGTGCATAGGTTTATGGGTTTTCTCGCAACTTTCCGATGGCCGGGTTCCGTGTGTGGGCCCTGCCGCCATGGGGATCGGCCGCCTGGGGAACGCGGGCATGAGATCGAAGGGGACAGCCGTTGGGAACCGCTAGCAGCCGGTCGATGACGGTGAGGATGCTCGGCTGCAAAACACGCAGGCGAGCACAGGTCAAGAGGAGGAGGAAAACGGCCGGAGAGACAAAACTCTTGGGCCACCTGTGCAACCTTAAGTGACCCTGTAGCCCACACTCCCTAGATCGAGGTTGGTGGGTTTTTTGCCATGTGCCCATGTCCTGGCCGTCCTGGCCTCCTGTCGTTCCCAAATGTCTCGGTTCGCCGCAGCGCCGCGGCCTCATTCCTTGGGCATCACCTCCGACGTACCTCTGGTCCTGCCCGCCGCCGGTTAACAAAACAAGCGCTGCATACCCCCCCTCTCCCTGCAGTATCCCTGGAGACCTTCTGAACTATCCGTCCACACAGCACACCTTTGCGCCACCGAAAATACAGTTGCAGGAGTCGAAAGCAAAGAGCAAATGCAACAACAGGAAAAGGGACGGACCGACGTCGGTTCAGCAAAAGCAGAGGCCGAGGATTGCATTTTGGATTCATTTTTTTCTGTCTTCGCTGGCGCGAGGCTTGAAGCAAACGCAGATCTGCAGATCCAATTGGGATAAGCGCTGCCAT